CTTCGGCATGCTCACACTGACCTTCAACCACACACCTGCGATGAGCTTCGACGAGTTTGACAACCTGGAGCTGCCCTCATCCGAGTCTCTCTGGAACTTGGATGCCGCGGACGATGAGACCTGGCGCCGCAGCATTGCCGCTGCCAGTTCGATGACCGTCCGCGAGGCTCATGACTTCCTGTTCCAGGGTGAGCAGACTCGCTACAGTGCTTTCGCTACTCGTGTCTTGATCAATGCCCTGTTCCTCCAGGTGTGGAATCATAAGCGTAGCTTCGAGGCTCTGCAAGATGTGGTCACCGAGTACAAGCTCCGCTTGGCTCTGGAGACCTGGGAGAGCTCTCTTGATGTGTGCGAGCCGGAGACCATCGTTGTCCCACTCAGCACTCCTCAAAAGGGCCACCCTCTCATCTTCAACTCGATGGCAGTCTACCGCAACACTCGTGCCCGCCTTGAAGTCGACCTCAAGTCCATCCAGGAGGCCATGCGCTACCACTCTTCCTACGAGGTGGCTGCTGCTATGACTGTCGCCCGTGAGAAGGTCAAGCGCTCGCAGGAGATGAACAAGGTTGTTCAACAATGCTTTGAATGTATCGAGATCGCCGCCATTCAAGGTATCAACTGGGTTGCCAAGACCTCCGCCACCAACTGGAGTGTCGAGCACCCGCTCTGTGGCCTGGATTTGATGGTCATCCTGAGTCTCTGGCTCTACCGCCTGGAACATGACGACGAGCCGGCGACTGAGGCCGAACTGGCTATCTATAACAAGGTGCGGAATCTGTTTGATGATGATGCCATCGATGCCTTTGGTAAACTCAGCTCCACCGTCGCCCGTGTTTGGGGTAACATCCTTGACGGCGTGGTTGTATGGGGGTAAGTCAAATATCTGTCCCGTGATAATATTGATATGAATACTAACATGTTTCTGTAGAATTACCAAGTTGATGGGCGAGTCATTCAAGCTGCACTCCCAGGCTCTGGTCGGCTATGAGGATTCTTTGCGCGTCGCAAAGGACCAGCCGATTCACGCGGTGCCTACCAAGTCGCTCGCCAGCGTCGGCACCGCCTATTAATCACTTCTCCACTCTCTTTGACTTCTCTTCACTTTCAGTCTTTTTCGACCATTTTTTCCACAAACCTGTCTTTCGGGCTTTTTTTTTTTTTTCTTTTTCTTACTCTCATTATCTGGACGCTTTCATTGGGACACATGGGAAACTCAGGAATGGAATAAACGCCAATGGGCCAAGCGGGGTGTTTTGGGCTTTTCTTGGCTTTGGGAGATACCGCCGTCGCGACGCCCGTGTGGTGTGATTCCTGACTTTTCTGCTTTTTTTTATCATTCTGGGTTGCATCTTGTCGTTTTTGTCTTTGTTTCGTCTCTCTTCCTTCCTCGTTTTACACCAGGGAGTCCGGTGTGGTGTTCATTTTGCGCTGTTTTGGCTCTGCCTACTTCGACACCTGGCTGGACCTGTGTGTTCGTCTCGCACTCGATGGCGTTTATTATCATCTTTGACTGCCTTGTGCTTTGCGACAAACCTCTAGCCCCTAATCGTGCCCCCAGTCAGTCCCATCTGCCAGCTTTTTGTTGATCTTTTGATACCTTTTGGATGTTTTGGTTTTTTGTGCGAGTTTTGCGTTTGTCATTGTTTTTTCTTGCGTGTCGTCTTCCTTTCCTTCTTCGACTTCCGATTTAGGAGTTAAAGAGGGAGCAAGCTTCATGCTTGTTGACTGGACCGCTTGTATTTGATGTTTGATTTTTTGCATCTTGATTTGACTTGATTATTATGCTACGTCTTGCTCCCCGCCATGCGATCTGCTTGCAATCTTGTTTTTTTCTTTTTTTAACTCGTTGGATTGTGCTCGGCATTTTGGTTCAGCATTTTTGGTTTCACTTGCACATGTTTATTTTGATGGTTTCTCTTTTTCCTTCATTTACTTATTTCCATGTACTATACGTAATCGATGAATACAACATTTTGGCGGGGACATTCGTCTTTTACTGTAGGGTCATAAAATGTAGTTCTAATTCATGAACTTAGTTGAGTAGTTAGTTCGTTGTATTCGAGCCTTTTCTAGGAAGGGTAAAGACCTAGTAGCACCTGGAAAGATTGTCATGTCATAGAGCTAGTAGTCCTATGGATCTTCATATCTTTCCTCTTCCATTTGTCAAACTACTTTCTTAAACTACCCCTGTCACAAAACGAGGGCCATCCCATCTTCGTACAAAGCTGGCTTCTCCATCAAAATTCGTTGCTACATTATCTCGCTTGATGCAATGAGGCAATCATCCACGTGGACTCAAAGGATCATCAGCAGATACATCAATCAACCCTGTTCTGATTGTGCCAGATCATAATAGCACATTGCCAGTGCGGGCTCTTCCACGTCTCATTTCGAGACTTTCTTGTCGATCCGGAAATGCGCGATATAACCCCGTTCTGGGTAGACGAGAAAGCGATGCATCACAAGCTGGCTATTCAATGCCTTCTTACGTTTCGGAATCTGCGAAAGAACACTTTTGGACTGGCAAGTGAGGGAACCCAACGTACAGAGATTAAGCGTCAGGCTATTGATGACGGTCTTCCCCCCGGAATTGCAATACGCTTGTCGGTACTGGGTACATCGTCTAACGCCATGCACGGACCCAGAGAGTGTCATGCGAGAAGCTTTCCTATTTCTCGAAAAGCAATTCCTTCACTGGGTGGAGGCAATGAGCCTTTTAGCTGGGGTCTTGGGGGTAGTGGGTATGCTTGGTGTCCTCTTGACGGTAATGCCGGTAAGTATCTGTAAGTCAGTCGTTGACATATGCTCTAGAACTAATGAAGATAGAGTGACCAAGACCATGCAATATCTAAGTTCCTCTAAGACGCGAAGCACTTTATACTGAAGAACAGCCAAATAGCCGACAAGGCGCCTCTCTAGATTTATTGCGCCGGACTGATATTCGCTCCCAAGAAGTCCATCATTCGTACCAAACTCGAAGCAGAGCTTCCTACGTGGATATGCCAAGTTCCACATGTCGAGAAAGATTGGAGCGCAGAATTACAGACCCTTGAGGGCCGTTCCGGTTCAGTTGAGTCTGTGGCTCTTTCCCCCACGGCTTGTTAGCATCTGGCTCCGGTGATAGGACCATACGCCTGTGGAATACAGCTACCGGCTCACGTCAACTGATCATCGAGGGCCATTCAAATTGGGTTCGCTCGGTGGCATTTTCGACCGATGGCCGGTTACTGGCATCAGGCTCGGGCGATCGAAGTGTGCGCCTCTGGAATACGGCGACGGGTATGCTCCAGCAGATCTTTGAGGGTCATTCGGATTCGGTTGAATCGGTGGCTCTCTCATCCAACGGTCTGCTGGCATCTGGATCCGGTGATAGGACCATACGAATCTGGGATATAGCCACGGGCACGCTTCAATTGATACTCGAGGGCTATTCGAATCGGGTTCACTCGGTGGCATTCTCGACTGATGGTCGGCTGCTAGCCTCTGGATCCGGTGATAAGACTGTACGTCTCTGGGACACGGCGATGGGTGCGCTTCGACGGACCTTCGAAGGCCATTCGGGCTCGGTTCAATCGGTGGCACTCTCGTGCAACGGCCTGCTGGCATCTGGTTCTAGTGATAGGACCATACGCCTGTGGAATACAGCCACGGGTGCATTTCAGCAGAGCCTCAAGGGCCATTCGGGTTCTATTGAATCGGTGGCCTTCTCACCCGATGGCCATGTACTTGCATTTAGCTCCGGTGATCAGAGTGTACGTCTCTGGAACATTGACAGCCAATTTGGGAACCCGCTATACGTCCACAGCAAGCTCATTAACGAGACTGAAGCATTCTACCGCTGTTGGGAATGCGGGATCGTGACACCCAGTAAACACGTCTTGAAGAGACATGTGAGTAATTCTCACCATCCAGAGTTGGTATACTGGTGTCACTCTGAGGATTGCACGAATTTAAAAAACCTTGTCACCGCCGTGACAAGCTTCTGGACCATTATAGATTCTTCCACGGAGGAATTCCATCGTCGAACATTAAACAATAAAAGAGAGTTGCTCCCCTGTCCGCCCATTTGCCCTATTTGCTCAATAACCATACAGACCTGGCCCGAATTTTACGAGTGTTACGTGTTTCATTGTGGAGTTGTCCCAGAACCATCGGAAGGAAATTCCTCTCTTCGAAATGGTGATGATCGTAGGAATCAGTGCCCTCAAGTTGGAGAACAGGAACACCCTGCCTCCGCAACGGGCACTCTCCAGAGACCCTGGAGGACCATTCGAATTCGGTTCGATCGGTGACCTTCTCACCAGATGGCCGCTTGCTAGCATCTGGATCCGGAAATAAGACTATCCGCCTCTGGGACGTGATGGTGGACGTCCTCCATCAAACACTCAAGGGCTGTTCGAATTGGGTTTGCTCGATGGCCTTCTCACCCGATGGCTGCCTACTAGCATCTAGATCCAACGATAAAACCATCCGCCTTTAGGAGACCATGACCGGCGCACTTCAGCGGACCTTCCCTGGGCCCATCAGTGCCTTTGAATTTCCTGAGGATGGGTCATGTTTAATCACCCGGTTGGGTGCATTTGATATTCCGGCTCGGAATGAAAGGCAAGATCATGTTCCTGGATTAACCCATGGACAACTGGATATCGCCATGGAGAAGAAACAGGGGATAAAGCTGAATGGCAAACATATACTATGGTTACCTCTTGAGTCTCGAGTCACTTGCTCTGAAATTTTTGGTAATGTACTAGCTTTGGGGCATGCATCAGGGCGGGTTTCTGTTCTAGGATTTTGTTTGTAGGTAATAGTGGGTGTCAATGAGCTCTATATTTTTTCCTTTTACTTTCAAATCTACCCTATTTAGAAGAAAGAAAAGTATATAAGGAACTAACATACGGTATTGTAATAGTATTTTTTTGATAGTTGTAGTTGCTAGTAGATGTTAATAGCTGCTTCAACTTCTAATTGAGTAAAAATCCGAAATATCTCTCCTCTTACTCCTACTTCCCAAGAGCAACAAACAAGCGATCCCCAATATCCCCCACACCTGGAACGATCATGCCCTTCTCATTTACCTTCTCATCCACCGCGCCCACCCAAACTTGCACCCCCTCCCAACTCTCCGCCACCCTCTTCACCCCCTCCACACTAGCCAACACACTCAACATAATCACCCGCTGCACGCCCCAGTCACGGAGGGTCTGGATAGCTGCATCGGCAGTAGCTCCCGTGGCGATAATGGGGTCTAGCAGGATTGCCAGAGTTGAGGCGGCGGTATTGGCGGTTGGGTTTGTGGATGCGGGGGAGGAAGGGGAGAGGGCGGATTTGTGGAAGGGGAGGTTGTTGTAATATTCTACTGGTTGGAGGCCGACGGGTTCGCGGAAGAGGCCGAGGTGGTAGATTGGGACTGCGGTTGGGAGGAGGGCGTTTATAGCTGGGAGTGGTTAGTTGGGGTGTTTGTGTTTGGATAGAGTGGAGTGGAGATGGGGGGCGGGGAAAGTGGATGTGGATATGGATGTGTTGTAGATTGAGTGGTCCAGTCTCTCTGACTCCCATGATAGAATACATATGACAGAACAAAGATAGAGAACATACCATCAATCATGCCCAGTCCCGACCGTAGAATAGGCACCAGTACCAAATCAGCTGGATCAATACTGGAGGTTTCATACTCAACACCGAGCGGGGTGCGATCCTGCGGTGAGTTAAAGACCCCTGTTAGCCATGGACGAAGAACCCCGTATATCGTATACCAAATCAAGAGAAAAGCGATATAATCATACAGTCCCCGTCTTGGTCAATGTCAGTCCCTGAGCAAACGCCTCCACACCCAGGATGGAGGCAATCTCCTCGACCAGCGCCCTTGTCTCGCGCGGGGTGGTATTCTGCGAGCGGAGCTGAGAGAGCTTGGCCTGGAGGCAGGGGTGGGTGGAGATGTGGATATTGGAGGGGAGGGACATTGTCAGTGAGTAAAGTAGGAAGTATCAAGTGTAGAAGATTGGATTGTGATGAAGAATGGAATAGGGAAATAGAAAGAGGGGAAGTATATCAAGTCCAGTGCGGAGAGAAGCGGTGTTTCTTATCTGCTGCTTTGTTGCGGTTCTCTTTCTTATCTTCCCCCGCTTGCTTAGGCTATTGTCGGAGGTTGGGATTGCGACGTTGGAGGGGCTAGCTGCAGGGGATTTCTGGTACGTAGTATCCTGTGTTAATTGGAGTAGTTAGTAGAGCTAAGCTAGGTACTGGAGCTAAAGTAGGAGAGACGATCCCTCCAGGGTCTCGGTTGAGTATAAGCTGGCTGTGCTTGTACTGGGACACATTTCGGCCACTTCTAGCATACATGATTTCAAACCTGTGTTGACTGCAAATCTTCCAAATAGTCTAATAGTCTAACTATAATAATTGTCTCTTCTCCTTTGTTTGTCCACTCTATCTTATACAATAATGTCCCCGTATACCCGACTACAGTAGGACGATCGCCCTATCGCCGCCACCTTATCAGCTCCACCACATACCGTACCCACTTTTCTAGTTCGTTTTCTTTCCTCGCGTCGTCATCCTCATCTTCACCTCACCTCCAAGCTCAAGCATGGCGCCTCCGACGGAGTCAGGCCTCTCCAGGCCCTCGGCAGGTTTCGACCCAGATTGCGACCCCCAATTGACCGAGACTATGGCTCCACAGCCTGTCGAACGCGTCCCCTCACAACGCTCCCAGTGGTATACATCAGAACAACCGTCCTCCCAAAACGAAACCGCCACGCCCACACATCCCTCGCGAACCCCAGAAGACCTTGAGAAAGATGCAGATCCAGCTTTGACCGAGACTATCGCGCCGCAACCCGTCTCCCTGGTTCCCTCCCAGCGACAAAGATGGTACTCCCCCGAGCCCGAAGCCGTCGCGCCAGGACCTGCGCCAGTGTCTGCGCCAGAACCTACACCAGCACCAGCAGGCAAAGCACCCTCCGAACCACTCTCCAAACACGCAACCCAGCTCTACACAATATCCTACCTTGTATTCTTCTCCCTCCTTGGCACCCTCGCCCGCCTCGGCCTCCAAGCCCTCACTTTCTACACAGGCGCCCCCGTCGTCACAGGCGTGCTCTGGGCCAATGTCACGGGTAGTCTAGTCATGGGCTTCCTAATCGAAGACAAGAATATCTTCCAACAAGAATGGGGCGCTACAACCCCACCTCCCAAAGACGCCCATGAGGCTGCACAACATGCGAAAAAGCACAAGGCTGTGAAAAAGACTATCCCGCTTTACATCGGTCTGACAACCGGCTTCTGCGGCTGTTGTACCTCGTTCTCGAGCTTTATGCGGGATGTCTTTCTCGCGCTGGCAAATGCTCTGCCTGATCCGTCTTTACCGGCGGGTACGGGAATCGCACCCCGTAACGGTGGGTACAGCTTCATGGCGCTCATCGCTGTGCTTCTCCTCACCGTCTCGCTGAGCCTGTCCGCGTTGATCTTCGGCGCTCATCTCGCGCTCGCGCTGGTGCGGGTCATGCCTACCATGCCATTCGCATTCACGCGCCGCGTGGTAGATCGCGTAATGGTCTTCCTAGCCTGGGGCTGCTGGCTCGGCGCCGTTTTCCTAGCGATCTGGCCGCCGGACCGGCACGGCGACGACCACTGGCGTGGACGGGCTGTATTCGCCCTCGTTTTCGCCCCGTTGGGCTGCCTAGGTCGATTTTACATCTCGATGCTGTTGAACAGCCGGCTTCCGTCGTTCCCACTAGGCACATTTGCAGTGAATATGCTGGGCACGTTGGTTGAAGGGTTATGTTATGATTTGCAGCATGTTTCGGGGCTAGGTGCTGTGGTGCCTGCGGCGTGGACGGGGTGTCAGGTCTTGCAGGGTGTCATGGATGGGTTTTGTGGGAGCTTGACGACTATTAGTACGTGGGTGGCGGAGTTGAATGGGGTTGCCAAGAGGAGGCATGCGTATGTTTATGGGGTGGTGAGTGTTGCAGGGGGATTGGGGTTGTTGGTGGTTATTATGGGGAGTTTGTTGTGGACGAGAGGGTTTGATGAGCCTGTTTGTGGGTGATGGGTTCTCTTGAGGTTGTATGCCCTTGTATCGTAGGTTTTTGTACTATATAATGTCGTAGATGTGGATGTCAGGTATACCCATTTGTATAGAATATTGTAATCAAGACCAAGTCATAGACCTATCTCTTCATGTTCATGTTCATGTTCATGTTCATATTCAAAACGTCAGTAGATACAAGGATACAAATCCAGGACCTCCAAGTCCAATCACAACCCACTCCAATATCAAACCTCAATCCGAAATGCTATGTACTTCATGAAGCTCATCTACAATCATCCGACCATCCAACCCACCACCTTACTCCCAGTCAAAAAATCATCAATCATACATCCAATCATAAACGCATCTCCCCAAACCAAAATCCAGATCAAGATCACAACAACTCCCCATTCCCATTCCCCATCCCATTCACAACCTTTCCATAAACCCGTTCACCCCTAGGAGCCGCAGCCGCACTCATATTTCTACCCCCATACTGCAATCCATTCGCCGCGGATAGAGTGTCTGGTTGCGCCGCGGTGCGATTCTTGAATGCTTTGCGGCGGGCGAGATCTTCTTCTTGGGTGCGGAGTTGGATTCCTAGGATCGTTAGTATGATAAATAGTATGGCAGGATGGAAGGGTGTGTGATGGGAAGTTGAGTGCGTAGTGTATAATAGTATACACGTAGTGTAGTGGATAGAATAAATCAGGCCCTTATAAATGCAATGAAAAACCGAAGAGATATAATATCACCACATCGTACAATATGAAATAATGAAATTTGAAGTATGAAATATAGAAAGCGAATACTTACGTCTCCAAATGACCGAATAAACCCCCATCGTCACCACACAAGCCCCAATAAACGCAAACATAATACCTAGTTCCTTACCCAACGAGGTGGGTGTGTAAGCTGGGTATTGTGTCATGATGTAAGATTATTGAGGTACGAGATGCGGCCTCGGCGAGTATGCACTCTCTGTTTCTGATAGACTAGTCTGAAGATTGATATGCAATAGCGGAATCCTCGGGGCACATGAGGTCATTTATCGGCTGTACTTGTACTTGTGCTTTGTGAGTTATTCTTGTTTTCTGTCGCGGGTTCGTTGGAGATATATGTAGGTGCGGATGTTGATGCAGACAGATAGACATAGAGAGCAAGATGATAAAAGGCAAAGTTGGGGAAAGGTGGAGGTGTGTGGAGAGTCGTCGGGCGTCGGTACTTTGGGGGCTGAGTTCAGCCTCAGCCAAGCAGAGCGCCAAGTCGAGGGGACTGCGGGAGATGCGCGGGCGCAGGCTTACTTCTTACGAGGGTACTAGATACGAGGATGTTGGAGGGGGGCCAATGTAGGTTAATTTGGGGTCTGGAAATCAAGTTTGGGGGCTGGGGGAACAAATTCAAAGGAATCTACTTTTGCTTTTGCTGGGGGTTGGGCGGACATAGATGAAGTACATTACTTTTTTCGTGCTATCGAGGTTAACAAACAAAGAATCCTGCATCTAGGTCACAATATTGAGTCGGGCGTAAGTTAAAACCAATAGGATGCCCCGAGTTTCTGGAGTCTATAAGCAGTACTAGATATACGTTTCGTTCAATCATCAGCCGGTATGGCTAGCTCTATATTTGCTCCAAAATTGAAAGAAAAAGTGTGCCATCAAGTCTTGTATATACACACAGTAAATCCGATCAAAGTCTATGGTCCTCTCATAGGTCCCATAGATCGGTATCCAGACATATAAACAGAAGATCCCCAAAGAACACATAATGTAGGGCAGGTATCATGTACAAACATGCAATCTCTATACTCCCCCGTCCGGCTTGTATGCCATCGGTCCCAAGAATGAACTCGACATGGCAGCAGAGCAGTAGACGAGAGATATGCAACAGTGCTGAAAAGAATCCCCACGCCCAGGCTCTCGCACAAATAACAGATAGAGCCCGGGCCATGGATGCAAAAATGGTATGAAGTATGAAGTGAAGATGAAAATGGTGTAAAAATGATGTCGCTGAATGTCGCCAAAAGCAGCAGGAGAAGGATGTCGAAACGATTAAAGGTGATAAAGGTAAGGAGGGACATGAAACGATCCAGACCAGGATGGGAATGACATGTCGGATCGAGGTTCGGGGTCAAGAAAAGGTGTAGGTGTAGGTTCGGATCAAAAGTTTGGTCGGAGGGCGCGTATTTCACGTATCGTGTCAAGAGTGTTCAAAAGGTATCGAAGAATTGGAAAGGTGAGAAGAAATCGTGGAAAAAGAATATAAAAGCCTCGGAGAGGGAGTCGCAGTCGCGATCGCAAACACAGTCTTGTTTCACGACTAACCCAACATCACGGCTGCCAGTGCTGTACACGTCAAGCCAATCGCCATACCGATCCACGGCGTCTGGCCGAGCGAGCCTTCACTGCGAGCCTGGAGGATATGCCTAGCGACACGCTTGTCGAGTGTGACCACTTGCACCTCCGAGTCTGCAGAACTCCGTGTGTGATATCTGTGTGGCTCCGGTATCGTCGCAAAGGGAGAGCGCTGGGCCAGAGTATCGGCGTTGTGAGCGAGGTTGACGTTGGCGCGCGGGAGGGGATCGGCCAGGACAGCGGCGGGTGCGAGAGCCGCCAGGAAGAGAGTTGAGGGTTTCATGGTTTGTAGTATGTGGTATGTGTCTGTCCGATCGGGGGGAGGGGGGAGGATGTCTTGTTTTTCTCTCGTCCTCGCGCGGTGGGGAGAAAGACTAGGGAGGTGGTGCTTTTCGCGAAACAAGCAACGCCAAGGAGGAGCGGGTCGTCGTCAAGAGGAGGTTGGTAGTTGGCGAGGCAACAGCAGACAAGAGACCCAGACAGGAGGTTGAGGTTGGAGAGGGAGGGTCTGAAGAGTTATACAGGTTGAAAAAGCGATTGACGAGGGAATTTGGGGGGGGCGAGAGAGTGGGTTGGTGGATTTGGGGGTAAATTTAGGGGGGGGCCGTTTTTTGAAGTCGAGGCGAGACGAGCAGAGGCAAGAAAAATAATTAAATTAGGGAAATAGGGGGGGGAACACAACGCCACGGGAGCCGCACGGGCATAAACTTTGTTTCTTTTTCTCTTTTTAGTTGGTAGTTTCCCCTTTTTTTCAGGGGAGATACTGTTATACTAGGAAAAAGAGTCAATATATGAGTGATATTCTTATCACTAAATTTCTCAAGAATCAAATCACGAAGAAGCAAAGCAGAATCGAGAAAAAAAAAAGAAAGATGAAGCTGGTGATGAAGCAACTCAGGGCGGAACCTTCATTGGACGAGCCACGGGTCAGTGATGTCCCAGTCAGGGACGAGGCCCCGGTGGAGACGCCACAACCAATTATCATTGAAGGATATCCAAATTGAAACCACCCCTGATCCAATCATTGCACCGGGGTTCATCCCGTTCTTTGCTATCTTTGGGAATTACGCAGGGACCATCTCGACGATGATTTTCCTGCCTCGGAAATTGGCAAGTGGAATTAATGAACAAATGACAGCCAGCGACGTAGTGGCAGCTTCATGCTCCAGTGACCAGTTTACAGTTGGAGAAATTCAGGGAACACTAGTTACACTATGGACTAGCTGGACTAGCACTAGCCTATACTCTATCCTCTATTGTCTCATCTGGTAGTCTCCTCATACACGGATAGGCCTTGGTCTAGACTTGCTTGACATACTGAGATCCTGGTTTGGTTTCACGCTTAATATCAGGGCTTGGCAAGTAGAAGAAGAATCTCGTCATTCCTGATTACTATCATTATACGAGGTACAGAGTAAGAGTACTAATTCTGCGTTATAAACTTCTGTAGCACGCGACGTTGATCATCCCTCTCCATACAATACTACAGTATGATAGCCTGATGAGTCCACCACCCACTACGATGGTGTGATCCCCGGAGTCATCTCCTCACCCCCTGCACATTTCTATAGCCCCATTACTGTACAGCCTCCCAGCCACACTCAATAACCTACCGCTCCTTATGATACAAATCACTCCTCACTGGCAATATTCAGGACCCTCACTGACAGCTCGGTCCACCATACACACACCTAACCTGATAGGTACGATCCAGATTCAATCAGCGGCACGGCACGGCGCGCTGCAAGGGCCGCATATTTCCTGCACTGTGTAAGCACGGAGTACCTACGCATTTCTACATATTATCATTCTCAAGAGAACCCCTGATATGCAAATTGCAATGTAGTAGTCCATCTTGATATCACAAGTCTTCCTAGTTATTGAGGAGTGCGGAGGAATCTGCTCCGTCCCCGGGGGGCGGCGGAATAGAATTATTCAGGTAGTGAAGGTTGGATGCCGAGTACACATAGGTTGTTCCGAGCTCGAGTACACCGACGTCTATGGGCAGAGCACGCAAAGACCTGGATTTACTGCTTACAACCTTGATGTCTGCAAGAACTCTGGGAGGTATATATTCGCGGGTGCACTTGCGTGTTGATTAAGTGTCAGGTGAAATCTCCAGCAACTACCTAGAAATATCTTCACAAGAAGTCGCCAGTAAGCATCAAGTCTATTCAGATGGCTCATTTTATCATACATCAAGCTTTTACATGCGATTCGACAAATCCTCGTTGTCTGCATAGATTGAACTTGTACACAAGAGATGGGATGAACGCCAAGTGGGGCTAAAACTGAGTTGACCAATCAGAGCCCCGGAAGAAAGCTTATCCAAGGAGTTAAACGAATCCATGGACGATCGTTAACGGGCCGTTTACTCTACCGAGTACAGTAACTACCTTATGTATGAAGAAATCAGAAGACACAGTGCTTTCTTCAAATTGACTTGATTGTATTGAAGATGGCTGTAGCAACCAGATGGCGAATTGTATCTCTCCCTTCAATGATTTGCCATCTTTTTAGCTCAAAATTCATCCCAATCCATCTACCAACGCCCAAAATGAACAACATCGCACGCCTCTGATAAGGCCTAGATCTGATCCTATCACAACATCACAGCATCTCATCCCAGTTCGGCATCACAGTAAACTTCCCACAAAGCTCACCCATCGACCAAACCCGATTCTCACTATCATCCCTCGGCGGCGCCCCATCTTCTTCCTCAGGTGGACTCGACACAATCAGCGCCTCCTGCACAAAGTCCACCGTCGTCGCGCGATCAAGATCAAAGCTGATACCGCCCCAATCAAGCGTGACACGGCCGGATTTGTGTACGTTCAATTTACCCACGCGACCTGCGGGGAGGGCCCAGTCTGTAGCGGCCGTGATGACTTTTGGTGTTTCGGTGGCGGTTTCGTCGATGACTTGGACTTCGGCGTCTTCGGGTTTGACTTGGGGTTCGGGTTGGCGTGTGGGTTGGGGTTCGGTGGTGCCCGTGCTGGGTGGGGGTTGAGAGGTTGAGGCGTCGGGGATGGTGAGGTTGGGTGTCATTGGGGGAAATTGCATGAGGAAGAGTTGGCCCAGGAGTGCTTGGTTGGTGAATTTTTGGTCTTCGTCTTCCTCGTCATTTTCGTCTTGCGTTTCTGTGGTAGGTTCTGGTGGTGCGGATTCGCCGTCGGCGGTGGAGGGTTCGGCTTCCGTGGGTGATGTCTCGGTGGTCTTCTCGACTGTTTCGTAGTATAGAAGATTGCGGACGTGGTTCAGATCTTCCAGGTGACGATCGTATTCGTCAATCTCTTCTCTGGTGCGGAGGAGCTCCCGCGGATCTCGGGTAACTGCCACGGGTTGCAATGCCTCAACCGGTTCGGGTTCAGGTTCGGGCTGTACCGGTTCGGGTGTAGCAACATCTCGAGGGCTGGAGACCTTCCGTCGAACACGGACCTTTTGCGTAGGGAGGAAGCCATCGTCATCGTGAGGCACATCAGCCATAGGAGTATCCTCTTCGTCGGCAGGTTCAGCCTTCACACGAGGCTCTTCGACCGGCGCCTGGGTAGTAGCAGCCTTGGCCTTTTCCTCTGCAACCTTAGCCTCTTCAGCCTTCTGACGAATCTCATCCGTCCGGGCAGTGCTCGACTCCATGTTCACACTGATTACCCGCTCCTCATGCTGAAGACGAGTAACACGAACAGGTCGCAAGCCATCACGCGAGCGAATAGGCATCTTGCCCTTGATCTGCCGTGTATCGTCTTCCTCGTCCTCGTCACTCTCAAGACCAATCCGGTCAATGCTAACCCGCAGACCCTCGTAATCGTCCTCATCCGAGTCATAATCCACCCCATGACTCCCACCACTAATTCCAGACCGGAACCGACTGCGAGAACCACCACCACCACCACCACCACCATAACCACCGCCGCCGCGACCTCCAGCACCACCACGACCCCTTCGCGCACCGCCAAAGGCAGACCCAAAGGGTCCATTCGCACCCATCCCCATCGGTCCACCCCTTCCACGGAACGCACCGCGACCACCACGATTCCCACGACCACGCTGGATAGCCGCCGCCTCGCGCAGACGCTCGTTCAGCCGTTCCTGTTCACGCTTCTCAATAGCCTCACGCTCTTCCTTACTGCGACGCCCGACAGCCTTGGGCTTGTATTTCATCACAGGTTTTGCCTGTTCGCCGCCGAGGGTAGACGGGGGCCGATTCGCTGGAGGAATGCTTCCGGAAGGCTTGCGACTCTTCAGTGATTGTAGGCGCTGCACAGGACGACCAGGCGGACCAGGCGTTGCGCTGGCTGCTGGTGTACCTGCCTCGGGGGCATTTGTGGAGGTAGATGTTGCGCCTGCTGTATTTGTCGGGGTAGGAGCGGATTCGCCGCTTTGTCGGGGTGCCCCGCGACGAGCGCTAGCTTTGGGAGGCATCGTTTGCTTCGTTGCGCGGGCAAGACGCCGTGGGCGTCCCGCTATTCAATTGGTGGGGTAAAGTTATGAGAAGCTCCTAGGAGTATTGACCGGCGGTAATATGTGCAATATAGAGCTGGTGTATGTACTGCCAGTGTAATTTGAGGTAATAATGTGCGAGGATATCAGATTAGCGAATTGAACGTCCCATGAAAAAAGTTGCGGTCATCTTCGGAGTCAAAAATGCTGCGGGGCCTTCTGCCAGTCTAGACCGCTTTTGAAATTATGGTCACGTGACCATTCTCCATGTAGAGAGTCGAGTCAAGCTGTCAGGACAGTCCAGTTCTTGAAAAGAAAAGAAAAATTAAGATGGAAGACGGAATATTCACAGAAACTTGCATTCATCCCAAACTACTCGAAAAAACCTTGAACAAAAAGCCATAACATCTTATACAGCCTGTGTCAGTCCTGCCGCATGCGCTCTCACCGGATGTAGTTATATATCCCCACTATGCTGGCCACACATGCTTCTTCGACAATGCCAAAACACAGAAAGATCCAGAAACTCAGCAGAAGCAAAAATCAAACAGGAGGACCAGTAGGATTGAGTTTGAAGGAGTGAATGGGAAGTGACAAGAACAGAAAAGTTAGGTAAATAGTAACCTGCAAACACAGACGCCGAAAAGAGATAGGGACACAAAACAACAGATCCACCCGCTGGACTTTGTATAATCGAAATCGGGGAGTGTGGCGTGAGCCTAGAAAAAGGGAGTGTAGGAAGGTAGGGAGCCGTGATAAGGAGTGTTGAGTCTCCCAGCCGACGGTGGTATGGATGATGATATCAAAAGAGGGAGGATGTGGTAGGATGATAGATAAGAGGGAGCGGTCAGGTTGGAGGGTTGATGAGACTCGTAGGTACTCAATGACCCATCGAGAGAGGATGTCCGAGGAGGAGGTTGAGATTGGAAAGTGTCGGGGTCCAAGAGAGCCTGTCCAGCGTAGGAAAATAGGACAAGAAAGAAAAAACAAATGAGAAGAGTGCGACTAGCGCTTCCTCTTTTTATTCTTATCCGCAAGGTCCGCATCAGCGAGAGGTGTACCTGGCATAGGCGGCAGCTCATGTCCCTCTTCCTCTACTCCATCTGCGTTCTTCTTAACAGGGACACCCATGTGACGACCATAGCGTCCCTTGCGGCCGTTACCCTCATCTTCACTGACACAGCCTTCAATGCCAATGCCAGCATCCTTGCAACGTCCACAAGGGCGCTGGCGATCGCAACCTTTCTTACTCTTGCGACAGCGCTGGCAGCGAGGCTTGGTGGAGAGGTCCTCCTCATCAGCGCCGAGCTGGTGCTGGAAATTGACAGAGCCACCAGAGACCTTGCGAGAGGAGCTTGGGCTGAGAGGCGGTACCGGCGTTGTGGTCTTGTCGGAAGGCTTGCGCACGGTAGCAAGGCCGCTCTTGCTCTTGTTCTGCTTGACCAATGGCTTGGGGGCGCGAACCTTGGCGGACGTTGGGCGGCTCTTGGGCTTCTTTGCCTTGGGGGCAAATTCTTTATACAAGATGTCCTCCTCACCCTCGCTCTTGATGCCATCGTCAATGCCATCAGAGCTGTGATCACTGCTGTCCGCGCTGGGAAGGATATCATCCAATCGCTTATGATGGCGCTTGATGGCACCGGGGGGCAACATCGGGCTCGAGTCAAGTCTACGACGAGCAGGAAGATCATCCTCGTCTTCGCTGAAGTCTTCACCGTCGCTCGTAGCGCCCGTGGAAGAAGCAGCATCGGCATGGCCGCTAAACGCATCGTCGAGTGTTGAGGCTGATGTGCGACCATGAGAGAAATTCGAGGCATCGCCTAGGCGGATCAATTGCATCGCGACATCCTCGTCAGAGATGCAGCTTGCGATAGTGGGGTCGGGGGTGGGCAGGATGCCATGACCGCTCACGCGCGCACCGGAATTGCTATACGGCACTCGATGCGCATGGTCAGGAACCATGGGTGTCGCATACACAGTGTTGCGCCCTGACTGGGCGCCGTATTCACTGTGTCCATAGCTTTGTGGCGACGGCAGCGCTTGCTGATAGTTATATGGGCGGTGGGTGGGACGAGCAAAAGGAGAGCCAGCACCTTCTTGTCCCACCGAGCGACGTTGAGGAGAGATGGAGGAGGTCGAGGTACTGAAGGGGACTTGAGGAGGTGCGAAGAGGGGGAGTTCCTGGAGAAAAGAGTGGATGTTAGGCACAAGCGACCATTGAAAAATGACACAAATGGGAAAGCCAGAAGGGAACAGCAAAAAATGGCGAAAGCGCATGAGGAAATCTCTGACTCACCGAGCTGTCAAACTTGGGTCGTTTCCGACGACCATCTTGTAGTATATTTTCCATACTTATGTCAGAGCTGGCGAACGTATCGCCGCGAGCTTTGCGACTATAAGTGGACTCGCTGTCGCTTAGTCCACCATCCTCGTCGGGATACCCGGCATGGCTGGATCCCCGGCTCTTCAGGCCACTGCGAGAACCCTGCTTGTGCTGGGAAGCGCTGCGAAGGCTCCGGTTAGAAGGAGACGTGCTGCGCTTCCTTGCGAGACGTGAGGATGGTCGCGATGGCTGATCCATGACGGGGACCATGCCGTCAGTCATCTGAAACGGCTCACCCAAGCTTGGGCGCTTGCGCTCAGTGGGATAGCCGCCGTAACAGGAATCTCCAAATGATTGAATAGGAATCACTCTGACATATACAGTCCCATTGTTCTTCAAGTTTTCATACCTTGCGATGAGGGTGGTCCCATGTTCATCCTCGAAGCTCACTCCACTGGCAGTGCCATCGTAGATGCCATAGAAATTTTTGACCGTAGTGACGATCGAATCCGTGGTATCATGAGGGTATATCTGCACGCGCATTGGGATCCGGGCCCGCACCTTGGAGTTCTCATCCAGGAGAAGCTCAAAGGCGACGTTCTTAGGGACCGGGTTCTTCAGCGATTGCCCTCGGGAAGAGACCTCCGTCAGGACCGCCGGTTCGGCCAGGCCAGAAAGCCCGTCAAGCTGGGCGGCTTGCATGATGGGCAGGTCCAGAAGAAAAGGAAGAAAAAGTAGAGGCCTCTGCTTGCTGTACCGATGACTGCATCAACCTACTGCTCGTGCATGGTAGAAGGGAATCGGAAGGACGGGACCCATGACCGGGGGGAAGCGACGGAAAGGGTCTGAGGTATAGAGGCAGTGGGAGAGGGGGAAGTTTTTCCATCTCACCTACCACAGTTATAGTTATCGGCAAGGTTGACAAGTGGATGGACCACTTTCGGGTTGATGACGTTGGGAAAAGGTGGACGCAGGGCTTTTTCGATGGGGATGGAGGGGAATCTGCCTGTCGCAACACCAGAACCGAGAATGAACCGGGACGAGGACAGCGGCGGTTCACCTGGAAGAGAAGAGCAGAAATATTAGCACATTGGCCATTGCAGCAGTTCAAATTCGCATTCCAGATGAGTTTAGATGTGATAGAGGATGGATGGATGGTCGTTTGCTAGCCGAGTCCGGCCGATCTGGGGGATCGGGCTTGGGAGAGAGGTCGAGCGACGAGGACTCGGAAGAGGATGGGGAAGTGTTGTAGACATACCTGGAACGAATGACCCTGATTCCAACCGAGTCGCCGGAATGTAGGATATCCAAGACGGGGTGGAGGAAGGGTCGATGGGTGGTGTCGGAGAGTGTGGACGAGGTGGATTGTCGTGCTTGACTCTACGAAGCGCTGGGGCTATGTCAGCGGTGACCCAGTAGCCGAAACGAATGAGCCAGACCAGGGCTCAAGAGTACGGAGTCGGGAGAGGAATGGGAAAGAGGAGGATGATGATACCCAAGTGATGGACGAGGATTGGCGAGGTAGGGCTTGGAAGGCGAGGGGGAGAAGAAGGTTGAGAGTTGAGGGTTGAGAGACCAGTGGGTGTGTACGATGGTTTCACCTAAAGCGAGAAAACGGGCTTGGGCCGGTGACATGGCGATTTGCGCTTCCGGCGCCCGGTCCAGCCATCACATTCCATCGGGCCTACTTCCAAGGTCTAGTAGTAGATATATCTCGGTAGAAAGTAGATTGGACTATTTAGCTATATAATTCTTCTTTGATATACACTTCAACCATTCTTTTGCGAGGCCGATAGCTCCCTCCTGAGGTCGGTTCGTTTCGCAAATGCGCATCATTGTCGCAATCCGGATAACCATTGCGCCGAGCGCTCTTTCTGACCAACTCGGAGTTAATTCAAGGCGAATGATATAGAAATGCTTTTCAATTAAAGCGATCGAGGTTCTATCGCTCTCTTTGGGTGGTGGATCGTCTTCTAGTGCTACTTTAGGCAGCGCACACAACAGGCACCTTGTTGACCCGGTCGCCCCCGTCGAAGGATAGCGGCATGAGATCAAATACAGATCGCGAATGACGGAACCACAGCATGATCGATTGCTCAATGATATAGGATGATGGGGGATTATATATTTCTTTATCTATGACCCGACTCCTATGGAAGGTTCTGCCCTACGAGGTGACGATCCGAGTGACACGGCGACTTGGACCGACCCGATGCGACTTCGGCCCTTTCGCCTTGTCGCATTGCAATAATACTACGCTAGAGACCTAAATTACGATATTGCGACACGATTGATGGGTTGAAATAGAAAGGAATGGCAAAGCGCGGGGATGTGCAGGGTATGGTGGTCCCCGAGAGGAGGAGGCGAGAGGGGGAAGATTGGAGAGAGGTTGACAGTTGGTGCGCAATGCCAAGGACCTCCAGTTGAGCAAGACACGAGAGACATTTAACCATTTAGGAACATGAGACCTTTCCAAAGAATGTTATTTGGGCTTCAATCTGACACTCAGAAACTGGATGGGTACCTCTCGGCATCGCATGACTGGACGCTCATGACAGCTTGTTTCGCATGATCTGCGCCGGCTGAGTTTACCCCTCCTCGGGGCCATTTCAAGAACGTTGATATTATTTGCAGACTCCTACAGTCAAAGGGGCTCGGAAAAAGAGTGCTTTGCAGTGCATTCTCCAAACTCTCCAACAGGCGGGGCAGCTCAAAGCTAAGGTTTACAGTGTACAGACTAGACTTTGTGGAAGGCATTTGTCCGGAACTCGCAGGGTCCTCTTGGAAAAAGAAGATGCGGCCGAAGCGGTAAAGTAAGTTGACTATTGAGAAACTTTGCATCGATTGGGTGGCCAGAAAACTAGTCCCGCCAGGTGTAGCGATAGTTGGGCGGATCGAGTGGTTCTCCATTGACGCCGAAGCAGTGGTGGTGCAGAACTGCTGAATTCCTCGACTCCATAATGAGTTGTTCCAAGTACTTCGGTGACTGGTCCAGAATTGCCGGAGGGCGGAACGTGCGTTACGAAATGGCTTGTCCAGACTTGTCTTGTCTCCATTTTTAAGAATCTCCGGATCCCGGCCGGATTCGTGAGTGAGGGGGTGAAAGGGCTTGATCAGGATGAGGAAAAGAGATATTCCATGAACTATTACCACTCTTCGCATAGATTACGTATCTTTTCTTTGGAGAAACACACCACAATCCCCAAAATGATCGCTATCAGGAGCGAGTTTTGCGCTTCGGAATCGCAGTTGGAAACATTTACCGCTTCATCCCGCGAGCGGTCAAGGGTCACGTGGACCCGTGTACTAGCGCGTCTGGAGCGAGATTCATCCCCTCGGGGCGATTGTGACCCCACAATTCTGATAACAAGGGCAAAAATCATCGGAATAAGGTCCTAATACTGGTGGTAGATTCAGGATTAATTATTTTATAATCTACTACCGGCGTGGGGAGGAGACATTGAAAATTCTCATAATGGGTTGGTCCTGGGAGACGTGACGATCGGACTATGATGTCATAGATAAGGCCGATAAGACCGATAAGCAGTCGATCCTGCGGCCAGGCGCTTACCTAATCTGGAACCACCAAGGCGGTGTCCAAATCTGATAATTTTGCCAAACTACACCGGCTATGCCAGTCACGTGAAATACTGCCATCCCTTCATTGCCCGTGCACGTGTATTTTATTTGTTGAGATGAACGCCTTCTTCTTTCCTTTGTTTATTTTCTTTCGTTCGCCGAGAAACACGCCATTATATTTCCAAGGTCCTGCTTTTCTGTTTCATTGAAAAGAGTGCCTTTCAGTGGGTAAGTTCATCTGGTTCGCCCTGGCGACGGACCATACTGACCCTACAGAAGGTGATACGCGATCTAACTGGTTCCCGTGCCAGACAAGCGGGTCGGAGTGTTTTGTTTTGCCAAGCATAGCCAATCAGACGAAGCGGGTCTCCCCTCGACCTCCGTCTCAACTTAGCAAAACATAAACAATTCCTTCTCGACATCTTCAGTGGACGTGTTACTCTACCATCTATCCTGGGCACCCGCAAAATGGATGCGAAGGTACGTTGACTTGATTCTGTTGAGTTTGCAATGGAGTTTTGTTTCCCTCGATCTTCCCGCCATGAGTCGTTTGCTGCAGTTCAAGGCGTGTGGATGTCGCATGCATACAAAGACATGACATAGCATACAACCACTTCAAGCATCCCGCTTTTCGCGCGCAATTGCCCTCAAAGTGTTCGAATACTGACTCGATGATTTAGCCACAGCGTATCCGCGTCCGTGGGGACGAAAATGTGCCGCCCTCTTTCCATGCCAACAAGGCCGTCCACCAACGAAACAAGTCAACTCCAGCGCTTAGCCTGATGGCTCAGAACGCGAAGAATGGCAGCGTTAACACTCGCCGCACGTTTGGCGGGGACTTGAGCAATGCCAAACTGATCGCTGATGACTCGGCATTGCCTGGCAAGCCTGCTATGCATGTGACCGACAAGAAACCCGCCCTTGCCCAGCCTGCCCAGCGCCCTGTATCGATGTCAGGCGTGAAGGGCCTCCTGAACAATGTCGCATCCAAGCCGGTCAACCCTGCCGGCAAAGCTAATACCACTGCCCCCACGAACAATATCAAGCGGACCAACGTGGTCTTCCGCGATCAGCTGGAGCCCGTTGTCGAAAAGGAACCATCCAAGGAAGTAATCACCACCCAGCCCGCTCGCCACACCGAACGGCCCCATGGCAAACAAACTGCACCGAGCCATGTCGAGAAGGACGACGAAGACGAGGAACAAGAGTACTTTGACATTCCGTCTGAGGATTCCGCCTCTGAGCCACAAACCAGTGAAGTCAACCGCCCAGAGCGTGAGATGCTCCCAACGAAGGCAGAGATCGTCAAGGCTGCCCCTGCCGCGGCTAATATGGGAAAGCCCCGCGCACGTTCTGAGCGTCCCCGTCGCAACTCATACGATGATAGCTCTGATTACCCAGCTGGGTCAGAGGTTGAGTATTCGGAGGACGAAGAGACCCGTGTCTACCGCTTCCGTGGTGAGACTACCACCGGTAGCACGACCACGATGATCTATCCCCGGGCCACCGCCGCGATGGAGCGTGAGATCATGCAGGCCCAGTCCATTGTCGAAGCCAATCAGACCGAAGAAGAAATCGAGGAGGATTTCTACGACCCTAGCATGGTCGCTGAATACAGCACCGAGATCTTCGAGTATTTGCGGGAGAAAGAGGTATGTCTCGGTTTTTATGAAGTCTTGATCAACGTTTGATACTGACCAATCATAACAGCTTGCCATGTTGCCCACGGCGGACTACATGGCCAACCAGGCCGAGATCCAGTGGTCTATGCGGTCGGTCCTCATGGACTGGATGGTGCAGGTGCATTTCCGCTTTGCTCTGCTCCCGGAGACCTTGTTTCTCTGTGTCAACCTTATCGATCGGTTCCTCTCGCACAAGATCGTCTCACTCGGAAAACTGCAGTTGGTCGGTGCTACTGCTATTTACATTGCCGCCAAGTATGAAGAGATAGAGGCTCCCTCCGTCGCGGAGATCTACTACATGGTCGATGGAGGCTATACTGTGGACGAGATCTTGAAGGCGGAACGATTCATGCTGAACATTCTCAACTATGACCTCGGCTGGCCGGGTCCTCTGAGTTTCCTCCGACGCATTAGCAAGGCCGACGATTATGATCTGGAGACCCGTACTGTCGCCAAGTACTTCCTGGAGCTGACCATCATGGATGAACGCTTCGTTGCCACTCCTCCTAGCTTCAGTAGTGCGGGAGCCCACTGTCTCGCTCTCCTGATGCTACGCAAAGGATGCTGGGTATGTCTCTTTTTTGTACCCCTTGACTTTTCGACTTGTTTCTCTGCCATTGATCTCCCTGCTGACCTTCTTTCCGCTAGACCATGGCCCACGCATACTACAGTGGCTACCTATACACCCAGCTCGTCCCCGTCATGTCAACGATGCTGGAATGCTGCGAGGACCCGCAGCGTCACCACATGGCGATCTACGAGAAGTACTCTGATCGCCGCTTCAAGAGTGCCTCTACCTTCGTAGAGAAGGAGATCAAGGGTGGTTTCCAGTTGCCGCGTCCCACTCCTTTCCACGACACTGACCGTCTGGATGGGGTGGCCAACTACTAAGGTCATTTCAAGCCTCCCAGCCTGAATGTCCTTGCCCAGTACTCGCTGTGCAAAAAATGACACTCCCTACACCCTTTTCTTTTCTTTTCATCTTTTCATGTGCATTGTTTCTGCTTTCGGGACACAATCCCAATGATGACCGTCGGAGTCAATCGGAAACTGGACGGGGACTGGCGTTAATGACCTTACATCTCTTCTTCATCAGCCAACATTCTTCCTTTCATCTCCAATTCGCCCCATCTCCCATAGCCCCCCGCCTCACGACCTCGAGATGAAACGACTTGACACCGGCGGGAGTTTCTGTGGGTCGGACGGCGCTCCGCATGGTCTGGCTTTTTGGGGCGTTTCTCGATATCCTTTTTCTTCTGCCAATTCGCCTCGTTGTCATGATACATACCACATTCTTCTCTGTTTTCTTTTCTTGTTGATGAGTACTTCAGCATTCGCCCATGTTTGATTTTTGTTTCCTTCATCTCTTCCCTTCTCCTGACGGGCATGGCTTTCACCTAGTTACTGCCTTAATGACGATCCTTTTTGTCTTGAGTCCCCCTTTCGCGTTTCTCTGTTCTTTTTTTGAGCTAAGTATTGTTTTATTGTGGTTTATCTTACTTGATCATAATCTAGTCAACGAGGAAAAGGCTCTTTTCATTGTTTTACGTCTCGTAGTCCCTAGGCATATAGTCTGTCTGTTTTCTTGGTCTGATGCGTAGTTATTAGGTATCGCTGCACCAATGTTGCATACGGGGATAACCCGGGGAGTCAATCATGATTGATGGGTTGACCAGCTTCTGTCCCTTGTAGGCACTTAGCTTCTGTTTTAGATCGACAACATTGAGAACCCTCGAATATTCCACTTCAAACTCTGCAGTAACTGTTGGAAAAATCCAAGCCTGGGGCATCTTATATTCACTTATATAATCTATTTTAATGCATATATACCATCACTGATCAAGTCCATTCAACTCAATCAATTTCTTCACAGCCTCAATGACTCGATCACCAGCCCCACCACTCGATCCCAACGCCGGATTATCAATGCGAGCCTGCAGCGCCTCATCCAGCATCGTTCGTAATCGAGAGACTAGTACACCGATACGAGCCCAGCCACGTAGTCGGAGCCATCCGTCCACGATTAGACCACGGCCCATGGTATCGAGGGTGATTGAGCCGCAGAAGAGGAGGAGGGAGTAGGCGTTGAATGCTGTAGAGTGCGTTAGTTGTGTGTAATTGTATTGTACATTGATGATGGGAAAGGAAAATGAAGGAGGGAACTTACGGGTAAGATCACGAACAAATACTTTGCTCGTTGCCATTTTTGTGAAATAGGCTAGATAAGCTGCTGCGTTGGGGTATCCTTGTGCTGAGAATAGGATTGAGCTGGGATGGATAAAGACTCGCCCGTTCTCTTGGTTGAAGTATTTGATTGTTCGTGCATCGGGGTCGACTTCCACTGTGCCGGTTACCGAGCTGGCGAACTTTTTATCCGGGAATGAGATCTGCGCAACTTGCGGCTGGAATGCGCCTGCAATTAGTGCGCGAAGGAGATTCTTGTTCGCTCCGTTGCGGTTGAGTGCTGCTGCCGATTCGTTATAATCCACAGGCAGAACGCCTGCGTCCTTAAGCGATGACACGAATTGTGCCCTGTTGGATGAGATATCGCGTAGCGTCTGGTGAGAGAGGAAGTTGGCGCCACACCAGGACTGCGTTTGCCAATAGCCCTGGGCTCGAGCTCGTTCGGACCATGACTGGTAGGCGGCAAGATCGGTGAGCAAGTCGCCATCGCCGGGACGGGAGAAAGCAGCCTTTGCGGCGTCTGCTTCCTCGCGTTTCTCGCGCGGTGAGACGAATGGGCTTTTTACGGTGAGGATGGCCGCGATGGTGAGACAGGCCTCCATGCAGCCGAAGATGGAGCCGTAGATCATTAGTTTCGCGCAGCGCAGGTCAGCTGGGATCATGGAGAGGTACCGACCCAGCGCTGTGAGGCGATCGTGGTCTAGGGCACCGACACGGTGTAGGAAAGTGAGGGCGCCTTCGACGGCGATGCTTTCCGGTGGCGTGATGGTGTTTGCTAGGAAGTTTGCGACGTCGTCGATGCCCTTCATTGATTTGACAGATAGACAGAGCTGCTCGAGTGGTACACGGCGGATCTCGGGGTCTGGTCGTTGCGCCATGTTGGACTCGGCCTTGCGGGTGTATAGCTTGTAGCATATACCGGCGCGGACACGACCTGCACGACCGCGGCGCTGTTTACAGGCTGCTTGGGATGCCCATACTTCTTGCAGACGGACCATGTTGTCCTTCGGGTCGTAGCTGGTTTCTTTGACGCGGCCGGTATCGATGACGGCGACTACGTCTTCGATGGTGATGGACGTTTCGGCAACGTTGGTGGCGGCGATGACCTTGCGCTTGCCTCTGGGTGGGCTTTGGAATACTCGGCGCTGTTCGGCTGGGAGGAGAGATGCGTGGAGGGGGAGAGGATGGGTGTTGGGAATCCTCTTCACTGCCGTCAGACACCTGTCAATCTCCAGAGTACCGGGCAAGAAAATCAGGATGCCTCCTGGTTCATCGCCTAGTTGATCATCAATGTATTGAACGGTCGACGCAATCAAGTCATAGTTGATGCCCATGCCAACACTTCGCAGTGCCTTGCCCAATGATGCTTCCCCTTGAGGAGCGTCATCTTCATCCTCAAAGCTTTCACTCAACTCGGGAGCAAAGCCAGTATCTCGGATCACATCGTCTAGATAGTAGTCCTCGACCGGGAACGTACGCCCGGAGATATTGACCAGACCAACGGACTTTGAGCCACCGAAGTAGTCCATGAAGATGTTTGCGTCAAGAGTAGCGGACATCAGAATGACTTTCAGGTCCTTGCGATGACGCAGCACATCACGGAGCAGAGCGAGGAGGAAGTCGGTATCGAGACTTCGCTCGTGAACTTCGTCAACCACCACATGCGAAACGTCAGCTAGAGAGCTGGCCACATTGCCATCTGCATCGCCACCAGACTGGATTCGACGCAGCAAGACACCAGTAGTCACAAAAGTAATCTTTGTCACACCCTGCTTGACCTTCGACTCGCCACGGATCACGTATCCAACCTCATCGCCGACAGTCGCGCACCGCTCATCACTGACTCGATCTGCAAGCCCAAGGGCGGAAATCCTGCGTGGTTGGGTACAAATGATATTCGCAGCGCCTCCCAGTCCACGTCTGATCATTTCGTCCAGAACAAACTGCACCGACTGAGTACTCTTACCGCTACCAGTCTCTCCAGAGATGATAGTCACCTGGTAGTTGTCAACCGCGTAGATAATATCCTCTTGAGTGTTCCAAGCAGGTAGAGCCTTTCGCTTTCGGCACATCTCAACTTGCGCCGGGGTGTTTTGCTTCGCTTCCCAGGCTTCACGGATGGCCAGGCTTTGCTGGGAGTTGGGCTTCCAATCGATGCCCTTGCGCTGCCTGCGACTGGTTCGCACTGGAATCTCTCGAGTCTCTGCAGCGGCGGACGAAGTGACCGAAGAGATATCGCGGAGTTTACCGGGGTTGGCCATGATACTAGGCAGGTTGACCTCTAACCAATCCAGAATGTTGAAGATCATGGATTCCCCAGAGAAGTTCTCCTCAGCGTACTGCACTGCCTGGCGAATCGCACTCAATCGAATGTATGCTGGGATACCCTTGGCCTGGATTGAAATGACTGGAGGTGCCGTGGGATAATGATTAGATGGCTCTTGGAAGCGGAAAATTGTGTTCTCGGGAATCTCGGATCCCTCGCTCTTGATCTCGCAGACTCGGGGGGAAACACGGACGTAACGTTCGCCGAAGATCGCCTCAATCGTATCCTGCTCTTCGGCCCAAGCTCCAGCATCGCCATCGGGAATCGAGGTGGTTGCAAATGTGGAGCCATGTGTGAGCGTTCCCTGCAAAGACTCCGCGGCTGCTAGTTCATCGCCGCTCTTGCTATCCAGAACCTGCGAGCATAGGTCCGCTGGGTAACCAATGGCAGCTAGGCGCTTGATCTTGGCTTCTCGAGCGAGATCTCCAGCGGCGAGACTAACGCCAGCCGAGTATCCCTCGGGTAAACTCCATTGAGGCAAATCATCCTCCGGCACGTAGATCAACAGCCACTCCAGCACCTCTTCACGGTCTTTGCATTCGACGACGGCCTCTTCAACGTGGCTGCGTCGGAAGCCCAGACGAGAGAACTCCTCGACGATGCTGTTCTTCTCCTGCTCGGGAATCTTCACACCGTAGCCATTCCACACGGTATGCTGCCGCAGAAGGCCCTCGATCTCGCGGCGAATGCGAGTTCCCATGTCCACCTTGGGAGCCTGAGACCAAATTCGTTTGTTCTTAGCATCGCCACTACCCAAGCCAAGCTCAGGCCCCGATGCCTTCTCCTTTGCCTGCATCTTTGCGCGCTCTGCTCTCTTCTTTTCCAGGTCCGCCGCAGCACTCTCACGTTCCTGCTTGGCAAGGAATGGGTCCGCCTCGTATAGCCAACCCTTGCCCTCTTTTGTCTCTGCAGTCTTTATTTGCGCAAATTCCTCTCGCCACAGGTTCTTATATTTCGGCGGCATCATCATATGGAGGTTGCGCATATTGCACACTCGGAAGAGCCCGAAGGCTGCGGCGAAATGGCGGGCTTCGAGGGCCGTCGCTTGAGCAGCCAGCTCTTTATGCGTCGGAGGGAGTTTCATAGGAGGCAGGACAATCAATTCCTTCGTCTTGGGGTCTATTTTCTTCAGCGTTACGGCCGAGACATAGCCATCGCGAGTTTGAATCTGTAGTTGCAATTTCCGCATAATCAGCGCTTGCTCTCATACAATGATGGCAAACCAAAACAAAGGCATTATGATCAATTGAATTACCATGCTGTACTCTGGCTTCTCCCATTTCTGCTTCTGGCAATGCTCCGACAGCAAATTGACGGGCAGTTTGCCGGTCCATGATGCGCCGCCAATCACCTCCTTCACTGTCGGCTTCTTGGGCTCCTCTGCGACAGGCTTCTTCTCCGCCGCTTTCTCCGCAGCAGCCTTGGCCTGTTTAGTGCCGGGCTTGGGGCCACCGGGACCAGCAGTCTTCTTTTTGGGGCCCATTGTCGCTGGCGCTGAAGAAGGGCGTTGCCGACAGCTTTTGGGCCTTTTCGGTCATTTGTCCCGCACTAAACCTCTTTGGGCGGATTGCGGGGAGACTTTTAGGAAGTCGGCGGACATTCCAGCTTAAAACTGTTTTAAAGAAGGAGCAGCCCCTGGGCTTTTGCAAAGATCTATTGGAGAGATTTTTCTCTTCTCCTTCTTTGTCCATGTGATCTTCGATCGTTGGTACTCGCCCATCATGCCTGAGATGGAGCAAGAACGAGATCGGAATCAAGCAACGGCGTCTCCCAAGGAGCAGACTCCAACGGCCGAGAAGAGAAATGCCTGTGAGCTTGACTTGGAGCTGGAACTGATATGTGATGATGCTGACCTTGATATCTGCTAGTCACCGAGCTCCTCTCTTCCCGAAACAAGCAGCCGAAACACGCGCCCAGCAACACCTCCAAAGGCAACGTGCCACACGGCCGCAAGGCTTTCTCCGGAGGCCGAGATGGACTGGGCGCATACATCGCAAAGCCGGAGTCATATCCATCCAGTGTCGTAGTCTACCATAACGATGATTTTGTGGCGATCCACGATATGTTCCCCAAATCGTCGCTACACCTGCTCCTCCTCCCACGCGACCAAACGAAGACTCGTCTCCACCCATTCGAGGCTTTTGAAGATGCTGAGTTCCTGGTGAAGGTGAAAGCAGAGGTCCAGAACCTGCGCAAGCTAGCCGCGGGCGAGCTGCGACGGAAATATGGCAAAGACTCCGCGCAAGAGCAAGTGAGAAGGGCAGCGCTCAACGCCGACCCGCCGCCAGACGAGCTACCACCAGGGCGCGATTGGGACCGGGAGATTATGTGTGGTGTCCATGCGGTCCCGTCAATGAGCCATCTACATATTCATGTCATTGCAGTGGACCGGTATAGCGAGCGGCTGAAACACCGAAAGCATTATAACAGCTTTTCTACGCCGTTTTTCGTGCCTATTGACGATTTCCCTTTGGCAGCGGACGATAGGCGGCGACAGCCAACACAGGAAGGCTATCTCAAGCAGGACTTTGTCTGCTGGCGCTGCGGCGATAATTTTGGAAACCGGTTCATCGAGCTAAAGAAACATCTAGCGGAGGAATTCAAAGAATGGAAGACGCTGTAACCGACGGGGTCCCGTGCACAGATTCTTATGTCCGCTGCAAGAAAAGACCAGCCTGTTTTCAAATTGTAAATCGCGCCTCCGTAGTCCTCCAGGAATGACTTTCGGAGGCAGCTATACCGGGCCAATTGTGTTCTTTATAAATGTACATGCTCCAGCGTCAAAGCGGCAGACAGACAGATGATGCGCAACGCATTTCTCAGCGCGCGCATCCCGCGTGTCGTCGTTGACTATCCTCGACAGAATCAAGACACAAGCCTTGCGCTTCTCTCGTCCCCCAAATCCCCTCATCTCCCAGTAGAATAATCCTGGTTGTATGCCATTGGCTTACGCACGGGCCTTGGACTTGCTGCCCTTGACCTTCCGGGCCTCCGGGCGGTTGATGTGGTGGGCGGGGATCCAGTCAGCGTTGTAGGTGGTGGCAGAGGCGACAGCAGGGCTGGGAGTTTCCTCGACAATCTCGCGCTTGGCAGGGGTCTTCTTCTCGCCGGTCTTGCCGCCCTTGCGCTTCTGGGGGAAGTAGGGTGCGACCCAGACAGTGTAGAAGAAGTAGACGACACCAACGAAGCAGGCCAGAAGGAAGAAGTAGAGGAAGATGCTATGGTTCACAGTCAGTGTCAATTGATCCCGGGATATAATGGGGATGGCTAGCTGGAATGGGGAGGGCATTTACATCTGGGGGTCGAAGATGCTGGTCTCAGGCTCCACCACGCTCACAGTGCCATTGAAGGCCTGGACGGTGAAGAAACGACCCTCGCCATCGGACATGATGGCCGCAATGTTGAGGCGGACATCAACCGGGTGCATCTCAGTCGAGAAGCTGTAGCTAATGCTCTCCTTCGAGTTCGCGGGGATCTCGACACCGTAACGGGTGGCGGTCAGGTTGCGAACATTCTTGCTCTGCTCATCGAGACTCCACAGGCTACCGCCCAAGAAGTTGACGGTGACAGGGTTAGGTTCATCGTTGGTGAAAGCGATCAGCGCCTGGGTCGGGTGACCGTTGACGAGCTTCACGCCGAAGATCTCGGAGGCAGGGAAAGAAGCCTCGGCCGAGACGGCGAGACTGACAGCCTCAGTCTCCGCAACCTTCTCAGCATCCTATTTAAGAGAAAAGAGAGATTGATGTCAGTCAATGGCCATTGGACGTCTCCACCATTCGAACTCTCGCAATTGAGACACGAGTCTCGCGAGCACACCAGATCAAACTTACAGCCGCGAAGCCGGTGCCGACGAAGGCCTGGAGCGAGAGAAGGGCCAGGGAGAGGAATCCAAAGCGAGTCATCTTGAGAGCGGGAGAATTGGAGGTGAGGGAAAGGAAGAGGAATACACGAACGAAAGTAAAAGGTAAGTAGGGGTGATCACACGTTGCAATTTAGGTACGGGAGGTCCACTCGGTACCGGGGAAGCTGACTCAGCATCGCGTCCTCTCCCTTTGAAGACCGAGATTTTTTTTTTAGAGACACATGAAAGACATTAACTTCAAGGCGTAGCACGGTGCATTCATTTGCTACGCGATCGCGCAGAAGATAAAATATCTCCTTCATTTTCCTCGAAAATCTCGTTTCAAGAGGGTTCACCGCCGTCTCGTCGCGCAAGCGCTTGCCTACTTTAAACGCTATCTTCCTCTCTTCTCGAAGAACCAAATCACCCAATCTTCACATCTCTTCGACTTCACTTTCTCCACCACCCAAATCAGACCAATTCGTTGGATTCACACCAACTACTATACACAATGGCTTCAACACCATATCTTGAGCGATATCGCCAACTGGGAACGCTGGACCAGCAAAAGAATCAGCTTATCGAGGTAGGCGCCTCCCTGGTCCTCCTTTGGCAGTAGCAGAAGCTAATTATTTGCGCTCCTCGACAGGATCTCTTACAACGAGTCACCGATTTAGAGACCTCTTTCGCACAGGAAAAACTCGATCATGAACGCGAAACTCGGTTCAACCGCGATATTCAGCTACACGAGATGGAGTTGATGCAGCAGATATCCCAGATCAAAACTATTATGGTGAGCGCGCGTGGTGGGATGACACCTCGGAGCAAGCGCTGATGTGTGACTGGTTCCCTTTCAGGACCGCGAACCTTTTGTCGTCGTGTTGCTCGACGGCGAGGGTATAATCTTCAAGGATGAATTTTTGCAGGCCGGCGAAGAGGGTGGCCGCACCGCCGCGGACCAACTCTATGCTGCGATCCACTCATATTTGAAGTCGAATCTCCCAAGCGTCACTACCCCAAAGATAATGATGAAGATTTACCTGAATGCCAGAGGCTTTGGGGAGCAGTGCACACGCAACGGAATTTTTACGGACCCCGGCGCGATCCATGACTTCATTCGCGGTTTCAACGAGACCATGTCTTGCTCAGAAATCGTGGACGTCGGATCTGGGAAGAACAGTGCGCACAATAAAATTCAAGGTTCGTGGATCAATCCCCGCTATTTACACTGGTGAAGTCACGTCTAATCTGTGTTCATTCTCCACCGTGCAGAGACCTTCCAAGTCTTCCTATACAATTGCCACTGCCACCAGATCTTCGTCGGCTGCCCATCAAATAGCGAATATGCTCTCTTCCTTGAACATGTGTCTAAAGACAATGATCTTACTGGCCGCATCTCGCTCGTGGAGGGTGTCGCATTTGAGAAAGAGCTGGATGCAGTGAAGGGTTCATATCGTATTGCGAAATTCCCAGATGTCTTTCGCTCCGCGAAAATGGCGAATTTGTGGGCCGCCGCTCCTTGGAAGAGTACCTTACCTACGCGATCTGTGCTCACGCCTTCTCCGTCCCGTCAATTCTCGAATTTGTCTAATCCTCCAGCCTTGTCCCGGACATCCACCAATACGAGTGCCTCGGGCGTCGCCTTGTCAGTGGCAACTCCGAATCAAATCGACACTACTCCTGATTTCCAAGAAGTGGCTCGCCCCAAGCCCGCCGTCTCAACGGCTCCTAAGACGGTCGAGCGCAATAAATACGGGCAACGTGTGGATCGGCTTGACTTCAAGAGCATTCCCCGTGATGATTTGAATCGTCTGAAAAAGCTGAAGCTATGCAACTATCACTTCCTGCTCGGAGAATGTCCCAACGATCCTAACTGCTACCATGACCATAAGCGCAAGTTGACCAAGCAGGAGCTTCACATTTTGACTGCTATCGCTCGCATGACTCCCTGCCGATTTGGTCTGGAGTGTGATGATCCTGAGTGTATCTATGGCCATCGTTGCCCCCAGAGCGAGCCTGGGAAAAAGACCTGCTTCCGTGGTGACAGTTGCCGATTTGAGCCAGTCGCTCACGGCATTGACACCAACATCGTCAAAGTCACAAAAATCTAGGTGGCAACCATATTGCTTTTCCTTCATACTATGAAGGGGCGTTCTTTGGCTCCATTCAACATGCCGATTGCAAATTGAATATGCTGCCATGCTTAAACATGTTATTTTCAGAGGCGTCTCCTTATCCAGCGTGGGATGGCTGGATTGGAAGGGCATACACGGGTTCAGTTTACAAATCATGGTGTGGGTCGAAGGGGTATCGTATGCACTTTCCCTGCAGATCTATGTGACACAGAACAAAGATTGGCTGCTGCCCTGACCCGGACTTGTGCGTGGAGGCGTTTTCTCTTGGCCTGCAACTGGGCTTTCTTTCTCGGTTTATTTTTACGTTTGTGGGTTTATCAACACGGAATTGTCGTATTCACAGGTTGATCGGACTTCTTGTTTCTCATTTTTGGAGTTACCAGGGCTGGCGTACCGGATGGACTTGACTTTCAACTGCGAAATCATCAACATTCCTTGCAGGATGAGGGCTAGGTTAGGAAATTCCGGGGCGTAACATGGATACTGGAGCATTGGTTATCTCATAATGCACTGGTGCAATTTGGAAATGTATTACTATTACTATTACGCCAAGATTTTGATCTTCTTGATTTTGACTCTCCTGATCTCATGTAAAGTGACACGCTGGTGGCAGTTATTCAATGGTAGCTCAAAGGTTCCCCTCTGTTACGCTAATGTATGCAGGAGAAGAAAATCATGATTAATGGATTGTCGTCCCAAACATAGCAAATCGTCTTTCCCACCCAAAGCAGTCGGGGACGGTGCAGCCTGGTCGGCCACTGCCAGGTCCATCCAGTGCCATCGCATCTGGGTCGAGTGGATGAGTACATGGCACGCCGTATTCTTTGATACAGCATTGGAAAGGCAATGAGGATGTCTGATATGGAGTCCAGTACTCGTCAGTATCAGCAGTTGCGGTATGTTGTTGCTTGAGCTCTTCAAGATTGCCCCAGAGAATGAATAGCTTTTCTCTAAGCACTGCCAACCTAGTCCGATTGCGGCGGAGACTGTAAGAGAGTGTCAGTAATTGGGCCACGCTATTTGGCGACTATGATGCCTATTTCTTACTCGTCGGGATCAAGGTTCAGCAGATGCACAGCTTCACCACCTGTAACAAAGAGCTTCATCTGCGCTCGGGCTTGATTCGAGATCAAAGGCTCCGTTCCTTCAACTAGAAGGCAAAAACGCCATTCCCATTCCATGCGTGGAGTACTGGTCGGGCCATGACCATCATCACCGGCGGCGGCGGTAGATGTCACGGGTACCTGTACCGTGAAGTCTTCCAATTTCGGAGGAAAGAAGTCAACCACGCGGACTTGAGAAGGTCGGTAGCAGACATTTTGGAATGGCAATTGGTAGCTGATACCCCCGGGAATTGTATTGATGTGCGATGCACCTGATAGAATGTAATCTATCGAGCGGGAAAAGATATTATAGCTCCGTGCTTTGACTATTGCACATTAGCAATTGGTTAAGGACACCTATAACCGGGCATGCTTACCGCTTTTGTTGATCTTCCCTGGTGCGGGCAAAGACAGCGGCTTTTGGCCCTCCTCTGTCTTCTCTTTCTTTTTCTTCTGTTCGTTTTTCTTCTTTTTCGCAGTTTTTTTTGGATCCTCACTGGGCTTTCCGTGGATTTTCCAGTATTCCTTTCGTCGTTCCATGAGTTCTGTAGCACGATTATCGTCGTTCGAGATAAGCTGGATATGAATTTTGTTTGGATATCGCTTATCCTGGTGAACAACAGCCTCTAGGCCACTGTAATTCCCGGGTTTGATACGCGTGTATGTTAGAAGCACAAGCTGACCCTCCTTGACATGTCCACGAGCGAAAGTAGCATGTGGTTCCCATAGAACAACTTGTATGGTCATCTTTCCCCAAGGACCAGGCCAATTCTTCCTCTTTCGAGACAAATAGTCATAATTGTCCCCTTCAGTGCCCATCTCGTCTTCGCCATCCTTCCTGATGTCCGTCAGGGACTCGTTTGATGTGTAATCAGTGAGATGCAGGAAGCATTTCTCGCTATCGAGGGTGCTCATTTTGACGACTTGGCCGAGAATTTGGACAAAAGGCCCCGGCTGCAGATCTTGGATGAGCTGAAGGGGTAGTCCGCGACTTGGGGGTGAGGTTGTCATGGACGCTTGCACTACCTGAGACCGCTGCTGAGGGACTGCTTCTTTCCGCGCGGGCTGTGTCACCGTGGCCGGTGCGGTCGTCGCAACACCTTCCAGGAGCGTCAATGCGGCTCGCTTCTCCGGTGGCTGAAGTGAAAAAGGAGTAGGGCCTGTGTAAATTTCAGGGGTTGAGCTGGGATCCGAGTCTGACCTCAAGATCGCCCAGGGGACAGTGTCATGCTGAGAAGCAACCCCGGTCGGCTTATCGTTGAACATGTTGATCTGGACAATGAGATTAGCCCATGACTCGTATAAGAATGCTTAATGCAAGCTCAGGAGGGGGCACCTACTCGAACGTTCCGAAGTAAGACTACATCATTGCGTTGAACTGGGGGAAGAGCGTCCATTCGGTCGTTGAAGTATTTGATTTTGAGACCTCCATACCAGGAAGCTCCATCGAAATGACAGTCTTTGAGGGTGAATGTGACACAGGCTGAAGACCCTTTTGTGCGATAGGGTGGCAAAACATCCACCACGACACCAACAGTAGTGAGATAGCCCCGACGAGAGCACGCAGTGGTGATATCTACCAGCTCTGAAGAAGCCATCTTGGGGGTAGATTCGATCTCCGGAAGAGGCTTTCTCAATAGAAACTGTTTCAGAAGCTTGCGATCGCAGATGAAAGTCTTTGTTCCAGGAACAAGTGCAGCCACTATGTACCTGTATGGTGTGGCTTCTCAATGGATGTCCATCATGACCCAGTCGGACACCCTTTCTGGCCCTTCACACACAAAATCAGAAAGAGGCCGGATAATTCCTGCAAAATTTTAGCAATGAATCTTAACAGTTTGCGCTTATCCTTTCGCCAGAATGAATGATGGGCCTTCACAACAAACGCGTGAAGAGTAAATATCGGGGAGCGTTGTCACATGACTTTCCCCTCCTTCCCACACGAATCCTTTCTTCCTCTTCTTCCTTCCCCCCACATCTCCCTCCTTCTTCACTCTCCCCATCGCCAGCGCGCCCATTCCCATCACCTCTTCAAACCCCGAAACCCCGAGGCGCGCTTTTCTCTCTCTACAACACACAATATGGCGGAACGCTACATTCCAGAGCATCGCCGGACGCAGTTCAAGGCCAAGAACCAGTTCCGCCCCGATGAGCTCCGTCGCCGCCGTGAGGAACAGCAGATCGAGATCCGCAAGCAGAAGCGCGAGGAGGGACTGGCTAAGCGACGTGGTATTGTGACTCGCGATGGAGGAATTGGTGTTGGCGGTAGCTTGGCTGGCGCCACCGAGAGTGATGATGAGGCCAGTGCTATCGAGAGCGAGGTTAGTTCTACTTCTTCAACTTTTTCTTTCCACCCCCTGTTCCTTCTCCGAGGGCTTGGATGCTGTGTTGAAGGCTTCTACGATCGTCGGGGATTATAACCGAGTTTCTACTCCTACTCCTCCACGGTCGCCCTCTGCCCACTCTCCCTTTGCCTTTGTTTGTATAATGCGATCATCAACATGGAATTTTTTTCACCGCCCGGTTGCTATGGGGCCAACCCCTCCAACCTGGGCTATTACTACACACGACCCCACTACACCAGTTTATGAAAAAAGCTAACAGTATGGACTTTATAGCTGAACGTCGAGCTCCCTCTGATGGTGAAGGGTGTCTTCTCCGATTCCGTCGAAGATCAGATCAGGTACATAATCAAGCAAAGCTTTCGTTGGGTCCACTTTCACTAACTTCAGCCAGCTCCACCACTCGTTTCCGCAAGCTGCTCTCCAAGGAGCGCAACCCTCCTATCGAGCGTGTTATTGAGACCGGTGTCGTCAGCCGTAAGTTCTCCCGCCGGGTTTCCTTGCGTTATCCAGTCAAAAGTGCTAATCACCCATCTAGGATTCGTCGAGTTCCTCCGCTCCCCTCACACTCTTGTGCAATTCGAAGCTGCCTGGGCCCTCACAAACATTGCTAGCGGCAGTGCTACCCAGACTCAAGTATGTGACAGTCAGCTCTTCTCGAATGATCATTACTAATTATGCTATAGGTCGTTATCTCCGCGGGTGCCGTGCCCATCTTCGTCGAGCTCCTCAGCAGCCCCGAGCCCGATGTCCGCGAGCAGGCCGTTTGGGCCCTCGGAAACATTGCTGGTGACAGCCCTCACTGCCGTGATTTCGTTCTGGGTGCCGGTGCCTTGCGCCCTCTCCTGAACCTCATCAACGACGGCCGTAAGCTGAGCATGCTCCGCAACGCCACCTGGACCCTTAGCAACTTCTGCCGTGGCAAAACCCCTCAGCCCGACTGGAACACTGTATGTTCAACCTACTGCGCTTGTCGAGCGCTGTTATGTATGCTTGGGGGCTTGTAGCTAACGATCAATTTAGATTGCCCCTGCTCTACCCGTCCTCGCCAAGCTTATCTACATGCTGGATGATGAGGTGCTGATCGATGCTTGCTGGGCCATTTCTTGTAAGAACTGCCTTCCGTCTTTTTACGATGGACAATTTGCTAACTCCCAAAACAGACCTCTCCGATGGTAGCAACGATAAGATTCAAGCCGTCATTGAGGCGGGTATTCCTCGTCGCCTGGTGGAGCTGCTCATGCACGCCTCTACCTCCGTTCAGACTCCCGCTCTTCGCTCTGTTGGCAACATCGGTAATATATACCTCTCCCTTTCATAGATTATCCGATGATAGCGCTAACTGGACTTTCCATAGTTACCGGTGATGACGTTCAGACCCAGGTCATCATCAACTGTGGTTCCCTCCCCGCTCTGCTCTCCCTGTTGAGCTCTACCAAAGACGGCATTCGCAAGGAGGCTTGCTGGACCATTTCCAACATCACGGCCGGAAACTCAAGTCAGATCCAGGCTGTCATCGATGCTGGCATCATTGCCCCTCTTATCAACCTTCTGGCCAACGGTGATTTCAAGACCCGCAAGGAGGCTTGCTGGGCCATCTCCAACGCCACCTCTGGTGGTCTCCAGAAGCCTGATCAGATTCGCTACCTTGTTTCCCAAGGATGCATCAAGCCCCTTTGCGATCTGCTTGCTTGCCCCGACAACAAGATTATTCAGGTTGCTCTGGATGGCCTTGAGAACATTCTGAAGGTTGGTGAGATGGACAAGGAGGCTGGCCAGGGTGATGCCCGTGTCAACCGCTACGCTCTCTTCATCGAGGAGGCTGGTGGTATGGAGAAGATCCACGACTGCCAGAACAACGCCAACGAGGAGATCTACATGAAGGCCTACAACATCATCGAGAAGTACTTCTCCGATGAGGATGAGGCCGCCGGTGAGATCGACGAGCTGGCTCCCCAGCAGACCCAGGCCGGTTTCACTCTCGGCACTGGCCAGCAGCAGCCCGCCGGCGGATTCAACTTCGCCAGCGGTGCTGACTCCATGGACATGTAAATGGGATCTATTTCTCCCCGTACTTCCATGCCTCGTCATGCTTGCTCCATTCACCCCCTGATTCTACCTTTCGTTTCGTTCGGGTTGTCTAGGCTTCGTGCTGCATAATCTCGTTAGTCCGGCTCACTGGGCCGCAGAGACTTTTGCTAAAACACCCCTTTGCCCGTCTCGGTTCCTTTCCAGTTCTGCCCTACTCCATGCTCTCATGGTTTTATAGCAGTAACTGGGTCTTTGTCTCTATGCCCTCCATTCTCCTGTTGCCTCAGACCTCTTCCACGATCTTCCCATCCCTCATCTCCGTTTCTCTTGCCCCCATTTTGATTCACGATAAAGATTCACCGTCATGTAAACCCACCCCCTATTTTAGCATCCTCATACACAGGCGTATTTTGTTTGCAGGATCGGTTATTTCCCTTTTATGTTAATGTCACTTCTTTACTTGAATTCCTGGTGTTCCCTCCCTAGGTCATGGTTTCCCCTTGCTGGCACCACGGGTCATATTGGCGGATTCTTCTTCGGTAGATGCTGTTAGTTGCAGTGATTTCCCGGAGTTTGACATCTTTGCCGATGATGCCGTTGAACTACGTGTTCTGTAGAATCTTTCTTTTCACAGGCTACCTGAAAAATCTCGCGTCTTGCGCTGTCTTGTTTCATTCTTGTCAAGGAATTTCGTTCTCATTGTAGCCTGATGATCTTCTCATACTAAACGAATGCTATTCCAGGCCTACGGAGCGCAAGGCGTAGACACATCACTGGTATTAGAGCAGGACCTTCCGTAACTTACCTTGGCACCATAGCCAGAAAAGCCCTTCACACGCTCCTTTCGGCACAGCCAATCGTACTACTGATCAGCCAAACGGTCAACGCTTTTAGATTTAGTTACTCATATTGAATAGCAAAAACGGAGTCAATCCTAATACATATACATTGGGTGCGAAAGATGAGTACCATGGCAAAAAACAATGACCACCTTCCACAAAGAAGATTGAGACTTTGGTGGCAGAGGGAATTTATTGAAACATCGGGAATATTAGAAAGCAAAAAGAAAGGAGAAAGGGAGATTGGAACAACATCAAAGGCTTGAAAAGCAGAATTTCTCATCATATGGATCACTTAATCGCAAACACTTAATCACCCATCACCTCATCCTCATCCGATTCGGGTTCTGGGTCCTCGAGCTCTTCGTTTTCATCATTCTCGCGGTCAATATCTTCGTTCACAAGACCACGAGTGCGCAAGTCTTCCTCGTCATCTTCCTCCACTGGATCAGCATTGTCACCTTCCTCCTCCTCATCGTCATCATCATCGTCAACTCGCTCGGCAGACTTGAAGTCCTTCTTTGTGGCAGGCGCCTCGCCTTCTTCGGCGCCGGCCTTGGCGGACTGCTTAGCCCTGCTGCGTGGCGCGCTGCGAGGCTTGCGCTCCTCGAGATACGACAGGACCTCACGGTAGTTCTGGCCGAGCCCGTTCTTGTTTCGCAGGAGTCGCTTCTTGAGTGAGCCGCGCTTCGACCCGGAGGCATCAATCACGCGGCCGATGATGGCTAGCACGAGCTTACCAGTCAACTCACAGAGACGCTGCTCCGCAATCATGCTGCTACGGAGGCGCTCGTTGGTGACGGCTTCATCGTCGGAATCGCCCTCCTCCTCGTCATCCTCGGGTTCGTCCTCGGAAGCGGGTGCATCATCTTCTGCAGGTTCAAGGTTGCGATTTGACTTTTTAGCGAAGAGACGCTCGGCACCGCTTTGGATCTTTGCGACGAGAGATTCACCCGCCGACGGAATCTCGTGCACAAGGCTCTGAGCTTGGAAGAGAACATCCTCATCATTTCCGACACCCTGGCCGATATTGCGAAGAGTGCCGAAGAGAGTGTGAAGGTCCAGATACGTTGTTACTGCTGTGAATCGAAGATCATCGAGTCCAGCACGCTTCTGCATAATAGCAAGAAGAGCAGAGGAAAAGGCCTCGCGGCTTTTGGTGATCGCTTCGAAGTATGATGTAGTAAATGTCGCTTTCCCTTCCTTCAATGCAGCTGTGAGAGCCTGTACCTTCCACATGAAATAGAAAAGCAAGGTCCGGATGCTGTTGGCTACCACTTCAGTCTCTGCCTTGGCAATATCCTCATCCTCGTCCAACGTGCGAGTGCCACGCTGAATCAGATGGATGAGGGTATTGAAGGGGGCTACGGGAGTATCTTTCCTGGATTTTGAGTGAGACTTGGGCACTGTCTCCAGGATGGTTGTACAATCGGTAATAGTAGAGAGGTTGAAAATGCGCGTAACAGTGTTGGCAAGATCGGTAATGGTGGGATCTGAAATGTAGGCGGCCGCTTGGACTTCCTTTTTGCGAGACAGCGCGCCAAGGGTGTCAATCATGTCGTCCCACAACTCCTGAACTTTACCCTCGAGAGCCTCACGCATTTCCTCGGAGCTCTTGGCATGCAAGAAAGCAACACTAGCCTCAGCCAAGACGTCCTGGTCTGAATGGGTCAGGAACTGCTTGTTGATATCGTTCAGCAATGATGTGTACGCGGTAGCATCCTTCTGGAGATCTTGAATAGTATCCAAGTCAACTAGATGCTCGAGACGCAGAACAGCAGATGCAGCCTCGGGAGCTGATCCGAATTTGTTCAAAAGTTGAGGAATGATTTGAGCAAGGCCATGAGAAATTTCCTCCTGCAGCTCAGGAATCTTAGCAGTCAGAGCCTTGACCTTGCGTCCGCGCTTGTCGATGTCGGACTTGGCGACATCAAGCACGCGGAGCTTGACTGCGGCACATAGAATCTCAAGAAGAATAGACTCCTGCCCCTCATTCATCTTGTACAATGTCCGCACAACTCCCGCAGTATCGTCTTCCTCCGGCTCGTCCTCAATTTGCGAATGATCATACAGCAAATAGCCAGCGAGAGACTGCCATTGAGAGAGTTCTTCCATGTGCGGGTAGATAGCTTCGGTGGCCAAAACGAATCGCGAATCTGCTGGAGCTCCAGAAAGCACACCGCGTGATGTGGCCTGTTCAGGCGCCTCATCCTCGCCGTGGTCATCATAAGCCTGGAAGATATCCACCAGCGCCTTGAACTTGATCCATGAGCGCTTGGGCGTCTCGAATTCGTCCTCATCGTCGTCCTCGGCAAACATATCGTTCATCTCATCCGCCACCTCCTCAGTCGACGACTCGAACGCATCCTGGACGTTGGAAACGAAGAAGCGACCTGCCGTCTTCCGTATCCGAGGATCGATATCGAAAACCAATTTACCAATGGCATCAATGTCGTCCGGTTCAAGCAATCCCCCTTCACGAAGGTGGTTCAGCAGCTCAATTGCAGCCACACGAACATTGATGTCGGCATCCTGCGCAGCAATCTCCACAATACGCGGACGGAAGCGATCCGTAAAGGAATGGAGAACAGCAACATTGTCCTTGCTTTCGTAAAGAGGCAGCAATTGCGTCAGGACTACCAAGCGAGTGTGAGCAACCACATCAGCCAGATTCCATCCCAGATATCGCAAGTATTGGCCCTCGAAGAACATTTCTCGGTATGTGGCGATCCATCTACCAAGAGACGCCAGGCATTCGCCCCGAATAACGCCATCCACATCCCGATAGCGGTGGACAAAGACGGTGTCGAACCCATCTTGCAAGAACTCGTCCAGGCGTTCGATCTTGGCTTCACCCTCAGAGATTGCGGTTTGGATCGCTTCCACCCGGCCTTTGTTCACGGTCTTCTTTTTCTTCTCGCTCTCGAGCTGCTTGCGGGAGGTGGTCACAGTTGTCGTTACTTCCCGTGCAATTCCACACAGAGCGGTTGTCATAGCTAGCGAGATGATAGTTGCCGTATGCCGGAAAGGCCGAATACCTGCTGTCGAGATACAAGAGATCCAAATTTGGATATTCTCGAGAAGAGCCACGTCGGTGTATAGAATCGAGGAGTGGTGGAAAGTCTGGATCAATGCGGCGAAGAACTCCTCGAGAACCGGTTGGAATGCGCGGTATTTCTTCTCTTTGGAAACGAGGGGATAATCCGGGATCTTATGAGCGATGTAGACCTCTTGCAGCTCGGTAATGTGTTCAGGAGCATGGTCCACCTCCACCACCTGCTCCTCGGTGATTTCCAGATCATCTCCTGTGCATCGGAGAATGAAATTAACCAAGTCGCGCATAGCCACTGCGGGATCGCGTTGGTATTGACTCAACCATTGGGCGGTGGTCGTCTCGGCGTTGTTGCTCTTTCCGAAAACGTCGGCTGTTTATACTCGTTAGATGATTTCCCGTCGCACGCTTGCCGGGACTTCTCACCATATAATCCCTTTTCGCCGGATGCCAGGCTAGGTCGAACTGTGATCTTGCGGGGACGCGACCTCGGCAGTCGACCGTTTGTTGCAGGTCGGAAAGCCAGCTGTCTTCCCACGCCATTGCTCGCAACCTTGGGCTTCTTCGCCGCATGGGAACCTTTCTTGGCGGGGGCCTTCTTTGGGCCCTTCTTGCGAGGGGCACGTCGCTTTTCTCTTAGCTCCTCCTCGTCGGCCTCTTCGTCGCCCGCATCGTCACTTTCAGACTCCGAGATGTCATTGTCACTGTCCGACTGATCGAGCGCGTCGCCACGCTTGCGCTTGCCGCTGGCATTGGCCTCGATGATGGAGTGATTGCTTTGCGAAAAGACTTCGGGTCGTCGCGTCATGCGACCCGATTTGCGTCGGTCTTCGGCGGGTGTAGACGCCGGGCTGCTTGGGTTGTCCAAGTCCATGATGAGGGGGTTGTGTGTGTTCGTGTGCGGGATTGAAATTCAAGCGACTGCAATGGTTCGAGAAGATCCGTGTCAGCGAGAATGGACAGCCGAGGGGATTATGTGAAGTTGGGGATGCTCGTACGTTAGGACCAAACGCGCTCCGTGGAACGCGCCGTGCAACGGCAGCAAACGGGACCCGGTGAATGGGAACACCGGTCAAGGGTGATCGAGGTTGATATGGTTGAACTTCGAGGGGACGCTGCAGCCAAGTTCACTGCATGCCAGAGTGGGTGCGCGAATCGATCGTCCGGGGAAAAATAAAGAAACCCGATAGACGAAAAGAGCGGGGGTCTCGAGGAAACGTAAAGGAGGTGCGACGCGACTGGGTGCCTGAGCGCCTGGGAGCCTCGTGGTGTACGTGATGGCCTTGGGGCTTGGGAGCCTGAAAGCCTTACAGCCTTAATTTTCCGGCCAAGCAAATTCACGATTTATAGACACCCTATATCTCAGGCAACTATAATTGACCTAATCGAATGCACCCCCTGAAAGATGACATAATCTCTGCCGGTCACACGCCAGTCACGAGCGGCTTGCGGGGATCCCCATAGGGCAAGTCCAAAGCCGCCGACTTGGCCGAGACTTACTGGGCATTGACTAGTGTGAAGATCCATGGATCTTGTGTGTCATAAAAACTCCTCTCGGCGCAGCATTTCAGTCCACTTTGCTCGGTCTCACGGAAGCAACAAGTCATGAGAGACCCCCGCTTGACACATCGTGCCGCTGTCCATGGAATTGCGCGAGCCAACTGGGCCACTAGAACCGATGGTAACCACCCCAGGAGTGGATGCGCCATTGACTAATGGATGCCATCATCGCCCCAGTGTGCCAGCGTGGAAGGGCTAAAATTATATTCCACCTCATAGCCCCAAGAGTCCGGGGTAAGTAAGGAAAAAAAACTCAGTTTCTGCACATTCGCATCATGCTGCAGAGCGTTACAGCCACTACTCCCTCCTGATATCTGCATACATTCTGGCCTGCTTGGCTCATTCTTCGTCCCGCCCCTCTCTAGCTTGATAAGCCTTCACCCGGCCCACCTCTCTTCCTCTTGACTCCCCTTCTCTTTTCCAAACTCCTCTCACCAAACAAAACAACACACATCCGGCACCATGCGACAACCAGCAATGCCCATCCGCTCGCCCTTCGAGTCTTCCATCGCGAAGCCGGGCCAAGGCACCGTCGTCCTCTCTCTCCTCCCACCCAACAACCCCACCCTCACCACTCTCACCTACAAATACCCACTGAAGCTGGTCCCCAGAGCCCCAGGCTTCGTTCCCAGCACAGACCCGGCTGCATTGTCGGATTCATGCCCTTCAAGGCCAATCCATCTTTACCTCCTCACCTACGGGGGCGGTCTGCTGCCAGGTGATCATATCGAGGTGTCCATCAAACTCGAGCCGAGGACCCGTATGGTAGTGACCACGCCGCAAGGGAGCACCAAGATCTTCAAGACCGAGCCCGGCAGCGCCAATGGCATCAAATTGATCAAGGGCCATCGCAAGCAGATGCCAGCCAACCAACATCTGGCCGACATGAGTCAGCAGTCTCTAGACGTGCGAATCGGCCGCCAAGCAGCGCTGTGCTACTTGCCCGACCCATCTGTCCCCTTCAAGAACAGCCGCTACGCGCAAGTACAAACATTTACTGTCGACGCTGCCGCTAAGGGTAACGAGCGCAGCAGTCTTTGTGTTCTCGACTGGGTTACACAAGGTCGGACGTCGCGCGGCGAAAACTGGAACTTCCGCTTCTGGCGTGGCCGTAATGAAGTCTGGGCTACTGATGAAAAGACGGGCAAGAGCCGGCTCTTGCTGCGTGATTCGGTCATCCTGGACGATGAGACCGAGGACCTTGATGATGACTCAGATGAGGACCTTGACGAAGGCGCCGGCGAGAGCGGCTTAAATAGCCACTCCGGTCGCGCTGACACGCCACCGCCGCAGGCCGGCCTGGTGCCTTTGAACGTCATCCAGGAACGGACGCGCCCACACGGAGTTGTCGGTACGCTCATTCTATCGGGCCCGGTGTTCGACAGCCTCGGCTCGTACCTCATGCAACAGTTCAACTCTCAGCCTCGAATTGGCAGCCGGAATTGGTCCTCCACGGCACCTTCATCGGCGCCCGAACCATCGCTCAGCACCAAGGGCGATGTCACTTGGACAGCAGCTCGTGTACGCGCCGGATTTGTCCTTGTCAAGTTCGGCGCTAAGGACTTCGAGACAGCCAAAGACTGGCTCGGGGGTCTCCTCCGTGAGGAAGGCAGCATCACCCGCGAGTTCGGCGAAGAGGCCCTCTTCTGCCTTTGATCTTTGATCTCTATATCTTCAACATCCTTGCATCTGTTTCAACAATCCCATCACCCCCCATCTGCGTCTGGAACTACCAGTTCGCTCCATTCGATGATACCCCCAATTGGCCCCCCGTGGCTCAGGGCCTTTATCAGGGTCTCACTTTGTGATATTCATTGTATTTGTTCTTTTAGCATCTTGCATTGTCATTTGGTCGTTTAGCATTGCCCTACAGCCAGGGCAGATAGGGACTGGCGCGTCCCAACAGAACAAACTAGGACTACTGCATCCACAACTGCATTGCAGCTACCTAAAAGCTTTAGTGCTTCCAGCTCGAGTGCTTCAATGAACCTTGATTTTCGGCACTCTATTGAGATAAACCATCTATAGATGTAATCATCAAGAATATGTAACAAAACAGCAAGAACGATAATCAAATCTATCAAGGCAAATAAGGTATCTTAAAATGTCATCAAAAAGTCGCAACCAGATAAACGCCAGTCCCACCCTCATCATGTACGTGCATCAAGATCTCGTTTCCCATAATTGAGGCATAAATCAACCATTCATCCCTCCTAAAACCACCAATCAAAAATCTTAATCTTCCAATCCCCCTGAGTAGCAGCCGCCAAATCGTCCACATTCAAAATATCAACCCCCTCCTGCACAAGAATCCGCCAAATATGATTCCGCAAACTAAGCGGCCAACTCGGTAACCCCCAATACCTTACCTTCAACCCATGACTATGCGCAATACGCACCTGTCTCCGAATAGACTCCATTTGTGTCTCCGTGAAATGGAAAGGCCAGGGGAATCCGACGGCCTTTTTGAAGGATACAGAGGCATAATAGCTATTCGTGATGTTGAAGGTGTGCGCGTTGATACTGTCCGGCATCCCGGATAGACCCTGGCCCAGGCCCGTGGACCGTTTTACCGGCGAGACCTGCCCTCGGTCCAGGCCCAGGTCATCGATTAGTTTGTCAAGGGGCGCGTCGAAGAAGATATCCCGGTATGTCGTGTTTGCGGTGAGTAAGTCGAAAGGCGTATTCCCCGTTCCGACGACCGTCACCGGTCCGGGGATGATATCCCGTCCATTGAAGAAAGTGAGATATCCCTTCTCCCTCAGCGGAGCCAATTCCTTCACGACGGCGGGCCAAGTCGCCGCACCGTCCGTTTTGAAGTCAATCAGTAGGATCAGACTCTGTCCGGGATCTGTATCGAAGACCCCGTGCGGGGGTAGGTCGATCGTGTGCTGGAACGGGGTAACCGGATTTTGACGATCGAGGATGCGCACGAGTGGATCGACGTACAAGGATCGTAGAGTGCGGCGCTTCGTCAGTGCTGATCGTGTGTGGCCGACGTATAGTTCCTCGTCGAAGAGCCAGACATCCGCTTCGACTCCGATGCAGCCTGCCTGTAGGGCGGAGAATAAAGGTATTCGGCGCCAGTAGTCGTTGTGTGAGTGACACCCGACGGGGATGACTTCGCGGGTGAAATCGGTTGGCCAGTGGGCGATGTCGTCGGTGTTGGTTTGTTCGCTGGTGTGCATCAATGAGCGTGCTGCGCGGTCATATTCGTCCGGGAAGAAGATCAGCCCGATTGCACAGGCGATCGAGATGAACTGGATAACTCCCCTAGAGCATAGTTATTAGTTTCCGCCTTGATTGAGTGCCCAACCTCAATTTCCATCATCTGATTTTCCCAGATCCCCACACCTCTATTACTATTACCCCGTCCTCGTCCAGCTGTCCATGTCCACTTACAGCATAACGAAGAACCCCAACAGTCCGCGCACCAACCAACGCTCCACACACGACCGACAAGACCGCTTCTTCCTACTTTGTGGCGAATGCGAATCCTCCGAAAGCAGCGGTAAAGCGTCGTCGTGATCAGCCCGTCGAGTCGTGAATCTGGACCGAACGAAGCCCGCCAGTGACCGAGGCCATTTACCGATACGCGGCCCCACCTCCGCGCCGGGGATCGCATGGAGTCGCACGGTAGCGCTGCCCTTGACTTCCCCCTCAGACGTGGTATGGCCGGTAGAAAGGGTCGTGGACGAGGGTGAGTCGCTGTAGGTCTCGAAAGGCACCTCGAGAAGGCATTCGGAAGTAGCTCCGGGGCTTATCACGTCCAGCGGCTGGTAAGAGACGCCCATTGCGGGCGCGATGGGTCTCTGTCGTCCGGAGGGTGGGGAGAGGAGGTGAAAGGGACGGAGGAAGACACGATAAAATAAAGGTTCAGAATCATATTGGAGGGTGAAGGTTTAGTATATAAGGGTATCGGTATCGCGATTTCTACTGTGTGAGTCAATTAAATTGGATGGTGGGATTATTCTTCCAGTGTGCCACCCGTGGTTGAACCCCTCATCGTCTGCTATCAGCAGTCTAATTCTAGTACTTTACAGTTTGTAATTCACTATCCCACCGCTACGAATGGCCCAGTTCCCTCGCTGCAAAGTGCCACAGGAGAAAACAGCAGTAGGGTAAAGGTTATTTGCGTCCAAACGTTCCAGCCATGCTGTGCTGCTGCCGTCACTCATTGGGTAGAAATGGTGGAACAACGGTACTTTCTTGAGAGTGGTGGACCAACGAGATCAGCCGATGGACGCCACGCAGGGACATTCTGGCGGTTGTTGGCTATCCAAAGTAAAGAGAGACTTTAAGGACTTGCAGCTTGATACTTGGTTCTGTGCGGAGTATTCTTCATGGACTTGCTATGCTTCCCATACTTCTGACCATCCACGAGGAACCTGGTACAAGTCCGCATGCAGACATCCGCAACTCAGATAGGCTCTGTCCATCATCCCTACAAGGATGGAGGTCAATGCTCAGATCAAGATCCCGACAGATTCTCTTCGTCTACAACCTTAGATTAGGGCTGGCCATGATGCACCGCTTGAAATTCGGGAGAATAATAAAACGGAAAAAAGGAATTTCATGGATGATCTGCGTCGTAGCGCTTTATATACAACGAATGCAATGGTCCCAAACACCCACGGGTTCCACGAAAATGTGACAAAACACAAACCCGATCTTTTTTTTAGACAGAAATCAAACAACATTTCAACATTTCCCAGTGCTGTAGAACAAGCAGAGCAGAGCAGAGCTGCTGCTCTACTCCTCTCCCTCCTGCAGAGACTTGACATAGGCCGCCGCCCGGGCCTTGGTCTCCTCCACCATCTTCTCATCTCCACCCTCAGCCGCCGCTAGCTTCTCCTCAAAGGCCAGCCACTTCTTGAACAGGAATCGGGCCTGCTTAGGCTTGACCTTCTTGCTGGGGTCCACAGTGACAGAGCCCTTCTTGTGCTGCAGTCCAAGCACCCGCTCGAACAACCGGCGCACTTGCTCTGCATCGCCGGCCTTCATCTCCAGATCGATCAGCACGTTCCACAGGTCAATGCGCTTAGGGAACGAGGACAGCAGGCCCTCGAACACAGTGCGGCCACGCTCAATGTCTCCATTGGCAGAGCGGAACTCCAGTTGAGCGAACTTGGAGGTCGTCTCAACGTGAGTGTGTGCCGGGAGCGACTGCAGCGCGCGGGAGAGCAGACCCCGACCACGCTCGGGAGCAGCCATCGCGTCAAAGAGGAAGCTGGCGTAGTTCAGGAAGAACTTGGGGGACTGGTTAGAGATCTTCTTCTTCATGGCGGTCTTGAAGAGCTCATCCGCTTGCTGGAAAAATGGTTAGTATATGTGGTAAATAGAATTTTGGGAAATAGATCGCTGTCACGTACCTCGTTCTTGCCGGACTGAATGTAGATACTGATCATCCGCTCGTACATCTCCTGAGGGTCGTTGTACTGGCAAGCCCGCTTGAATACTTCCTCGAGGCTGTCGTCATTGCCGTAGGTGTTCTCCAAGTTCAGAAGAGCCACCCAGATGTTGAGCTTCTCGGAATCCTGGCCCATGGTGATGGTGCGGAGAGCACGCTCGGCAATAGTCCGGGCTTTCTCCACCTCACCCAACTCGAGCTGGAAGGCCATGTACTGCAGCCAAAGCAGCGAGGAGTCGGGCTCACCAAGCAGCAGACGCTCGTAGTCAGCGACAGTCTGAGGGCCGTTGGCATCCAGATCGCCAGTGCGGTCGACCTGGATCTCGGGCCTGCTCTTCTTCTTCTTTTTCTTCTTCTGATCCTCATCCTCGTCGCTGTCAGATCCAGCAGCCTGAGCCTCCTCATCCTTAACGTTGCCGCTCCAGTCGAAACCAGTGGCGCCGAGACCACCGTCCTTGGAAGCACCATTCGTGGGCTCGTCGTCGTCACTATCCTCTTCCTCCTCTTCGCTGTCATCCTCGACGTCAACGCCGCCCATGGAGACGTCGTCGTCATCCTCATCAGCACTCTCCTCGCCAAGCTCAACACCACCAGCCTCTTCCATGTCCTCGTCCTCGCTCTCGTCCGCCTCGTCTTGGAAGTGGGAGGCCTTCAGGGATAACGAGATCTTGCCAGTCTTGGAGTCAATCTTGACAATCTTGGCCTTGACGGCATCACCCTCGTCATACAAGGTACGTGCGTCCTCGACGCGCTTCTCCGCCATCTCACTGCGGTGGCAGAGACCGCTGACATTGGCAGAGCGATCGATGACAATGAAGGCACCGAATTCTTCGACCTTGCGGACCTTACCGGTCACAATCTGGCCGACCTTGAGATCCCGAAGGGTAACCGGGGCCTTGAAGTTGGGGTCCAAGACAGAGTCCTTCAGGCTCATCTGCAGTTTACCCTGCTCCGCGTCAACGAGAGTGACGCGACCCTTGACCAGCTGATCGGCCTGGAATGAGTCCTTCCATTCCTTGAGGTAGGAGTCAGACAGATCAGAGACACGAACGTAAGCAGTGACATCGTGACCGACGGCAACGAAGAGACCGGCATCAGTGATGCGCTTGATGAATCCACGGACCACATCATTGGGTTTGAGGTCCTTGATAGCGGAGATCTCGCGATCCTGCACGGGAAGCGAGGAGCTCAGAACCTTGGAGGGACGGAGCGACAGAGAGATCTTCTTGTTGGCCGAGTCGACGGCAAGGACGTACGCACGGAGCACCTCGTTCTTGTGGTAAACAGTCGGGTTAGCCTTGGAGTAATCGTCGGCCATGTCGATCAAGTTGACGGCACCAACGAGGGCCTCGCCAAGCTGCATGATGATCTGCTTCTCGGTGATCTTGGTCACGCGGCCTGGCAGGATCATGCCGACGGAGACGTCTCCAAAGGCGAGCTTGTCGAAGCCCTGCTTGGCAGAGAGATCCAGGTGACCCTTCTCGGCATTGACAGCAGTAACCTGGACCTTGAGGGCGGAACCAATGGGGAAGTTCTTCTCAACGTCGGTCAAGAGAGACAGATCATCGGACGCATCCATGAAGCGCAGTCTGCCGCGCACGTTGGGAGACAGGTTGATCCAGAGGCAGTCGTCGGCAACGTTGTTGACGAAGCCCATCCATGAAGTGCCAACCTTGACCTGATCCATGTTGAGGGGCTCGGGGTGAGCAGCCTTGATGAAGCTGGGCTTGAGGGAGAGCTCGAAGACGGGATACTTGCCGCTGCGGTGGGAGATGGGGAGGAACTTGTGGTTGCGGGCGTCGTGAACACCGAGGATCTTGGCGGAAAGAATCTGCTTGGCCTTGAAGAATCGCAGGGGCTGCTTGCGGTCCTTAAGGTCTTCCCACTTGTCGAAGATCTCAGACACGTCGATGCGGCCCTGAATGTTGTCTGCCAGTTGCACATTGACTTGAGTGGCCTTGATAGAGACGACCTTGCACTTGACAACGCGGCCGAAAGAGAGGTCGGACATGGTCTTGACGTCTTCATCAACGGGGTTTACAAGGGCATCGTTAGTCTGCTGCGCAGGCTCCTTGGTCTTCTTGGAAGCGGCACTGGCAGTCTGGGGAGCCTTTTGACTCAGAATGAAACGCTGGAAGTCAGTGTCAACCTCGTGAACACGGACGGTGATATTGGATCCCTTGGAGATTCCGAACTGAGGCTGGCTGAGGTTGGCATCATCGATAAGACGCTTGGGAACGAGACCGGTCAAACCACCAAGGAACTCAACGAAAAGACCGGCGGGCGTAATGTTACGAACGAAGCCAGTCACCGTAGCACCTTCCTGGACATTTTCGAACTTGCTAGGCATGTGTCCTTGCTTAGCAGCCTTCTTCAGACTGGCTCTGCTGGAAACACGGATCAGGCGATGAGCGCGCTGGGTGTCGAGAACCAAAAGATCATTCAGCTTTTGACCAACACGAATCTTGGACAGGGTCGAGCTCTGCTTTGACGGAGAACCGTCAATGATGTGCTGGATATCGAGACGGGCGACCAGGTCGGTATCCTCGAGCTTCAAGAGCAAGTCGTCACCAGACTTTTCAAAGACAGATCCAGAGACGAGCAAGCCGGGCTGAATGTCCTCGAAAGCCTGGCCGTACTTCTCAGTGAAGGTTGATGGGTCCTTGCAAGAGACGGCAAGTCGGCCCTGGGCAGCGTCCACGCTCAAAGCGTGAACGTTGACAACCTGGCCCAGGCGGAAGTGCTCGGCCGGGTCCTTGATATAAGCCGAGCTCATCTCAGAAACGGGGAGGAAGCCGCGGACAGTGCCGTAGAACTGAACAACAGCACCGTGAGGCTGCAGGTTGACAATAGTACCAGGAGACTGGGCGCCAGCCATGATATCCTTGTAGTCATTCCAGATAGCAGACTCGCTGTTCAACAGACTCTTCTTCAGCGTCAATCGAATCTGATGCTTATCGAGGTTCACGGACAGAATTCTGGCGGAAATCTTCTGGCCCACGCGGAACTTCTTCTCGGGGAACTGAAGTTGGGTGTCTGCGAAGTGCATGGAAGGAACCAGTCCAGTGATACCATCGGCAAGGCTGACAATCAGACCATCCATTCCGGTGGCACCGACCAACAGCTTTTCAACCTTTCCTTTAACAATAGCTCCAACATTGACATCCTCAAGGCGCAAGAATGGCTGCTCAATGACAGACTGCTCAAAGGAGAGGAGGTAAAGGTTGTCGATCATGTTGTATCCCACGACACGGGCTTCGTGAGTAGATCCAATCTTGTAAGCACCCGACTCGGCGGAGATGGACTCAACCTTACCATCCGAAAGTCTGGAGATGTGAACGAATCCAATGTGCTTAGATTCGCCAATCTGAACATACAATCCCATGCCGCTGGAGTCCATCCTGACAACGGTGACTTCGGGAACAATGGCGGAAATAGCAGGGGCCTCATCGGATGAGCCAGGACCACGGCTATCAGAAGAAAGCTTAAGGACGTGGTCCAGCATGGAGAAACCGATCTTGAAAGGCTCTGAGTTGGGGAAAGTGGAGACGATACGGCCCTTGATCTTGGCTCCCATCTTCCACTTGCGCTCCAGATCCAATTTGCCGTCATCTGCGCCAGACTGCACCACATCAACAACGGTATCGAGCATTCCCATGATTTTTCCGGCCATGCCGTTCGGGGTGACTTCAGTCAAGAGAATCTCGGCGGCGACACCAGGAAGGAAGGAGCTGATGGTTGGCGCGGCGCTGAGGAAGTGCGAGTTCTTGATTGAGGCGGAGGACTGAAGTTTGGAGGACAGCTTGATCACATTGCCGCTGGCATTCTGACCAGTGACCATGCAAAGGAAGACTGAGCCTTCCTTGATGCTGGAATACTCCACGCGAGGGTCGACTTCCTTGGACGACATGAAGCCCTTGAGGTCGGAGCCTTCGATGCCAAGATCCATAACCACACCGTGGTCCTCCACACTGACAACCGCAGCCTGGACAGCCAAGTCCACAGCCAAATCAGACTTTGAGAGACCAGTGTTGGCTTGTCTGGGGTCGATCGACAGCTCAATGCGCTTCTTAGTGCGACCTCCAGCTTCGGTGGCTTCGGTGCCAGTAGAAACAACGTATGTTCGGAGATATTGGCCGATATAGAAATGCTCCTTGAGGTCGAAAATTTCGTCGTCAGAGTTGTCATCGTCGTCGTCGTCATCTTCTTGTTCATTCAATAGTTTCTCGATCTTGTCGTCCAAAACCTTCGAGACAGCAGTAAGAGGAACGTAGCCAACAAGATTGTTGGGCAAAGAGATGGCAACGTCGTGGGCGGTGATGTTGGAAACCTGTCCAAGAATCATGGATCCCGGTACAATACGCTATAAGAGTCAGCTAAAGAACCTGATAAATGTTTGTTTAAATCCGCCCATACCTTGTAGCTGAGACCCTCAATTCGCACACCTTCCTTCTCGGAAGATTCCTTATCGGTAGACTTCTTGCCTTTTGACTTCTTCTTTCGAGACTTTTTGGCAGTACCAGTTGTATCGGCATCCTCCATCTCCACATCTTCATCATCTTCGTCGTCGTCGTTGTCATCGGCAAATTCGCGAACAGGCTTCTTAGCACCTTTCTGCTCGAATAGAACATCCTTGTTGGCCTGGATCTGAATTTGCTTGCGTTCCAAAGGAGTCAAAACGCTACCGCCACCACGGGGGAAAGACGGCTCATCATCACGGAGAACAGAGAGCTCCGAAGCTTTAGGAGCGGTATCTTTAGGCTTGGACTCAGATTTACGGTCCTCTGCACCAACTTTGGCGCGCTTTTGCGGCTGGCGAGTAGCCGTTTCTTCGGGGGCATTCCCCTTGCGCTTGATCGGCGCCATTGTTGGAAGGCGAGACCGAATCGTGCACGGTTGAGGATTCTCGTTGTATCGCAAAGAAAAAAAAATCGAAAAACCCGATAATGAGCGGCAGAATCAGAGGCGGTGAGAATCGAGTGGGACCGCCTTTTGGACGGAGTCAAGTCTTTACAGACCCTGCGTGAAGTATACTGTAGAATCTACAGATGCCACTAGATATTGACAACATTAGAAATTATAGTACTGTAAACCATATCCGATGAATATAAAATGAATACCCTCGAGAGTTACCGAATCTGCCATATTTTGGAAAGTCATGTTTTGCAAACTCGAATCTGCTTAAAGTATTTTCACTGTTTTACCAATATTCCCAGGTTTAACTAGAAGGTTCATTATTTCAAAGTAATGTAGTGAGAATGATAGGCTCATTATTAATTCACTACTAAATACTAAACTACGTTCAGATTTTTCAAATCCAATTTGCCCTAAATTACATTTCGTCACGTCTTCGCCGTACCATTTGGCCTTGGCGCCTGAATTCATGTGTCAAATACCCGAACACCACACGCTCCGCGTCACGTCCGATGCGCGCAACACGACCAGACCCGCTTCTCCCATCTTACCCCCTTGGGCCGAATCTTTTCACACCCAAATGTTTCCGCCATAGGCTCTCTTCTCTCCTGGGTCGATCGAGTACACAATGGACCGAATTTCTGGTCTTCCAGAGCCACCCCGATCAGAGCCTATCCTACCTCCTTCGTCCCAAGAGATACCGTCCTCCCCGCCCTCAGTCGCATCCGAAGCGGGTGGGCGCCGACAGAGAAAACCGCCAACAGTCACACCTCGATCCTTCCGACGCTTTTTTACCCCACGGTCGCTATTGAACAGCGGCAGCAATGCTAGCAATGTAAAGACAAGTCGTCAGGCCCTACGGGCGCTGACCTCGCCAGCTGTCAATCGCCTTGGTCCCGCTTTTACCAGATCCTCGAAGACGGGCGGTGCGCAAAGCCCTAACCATGGCCTGCCCGAAGATTTTCCTCGCACCCCAAGCAGGAAAAGAAAGCATTCGTTCTCTTCAGTAGCATCTCCTCTACAATCCTCGCCATTGAAGAAGGTCCGTGTGCGGTCTCCGGCGGGCGATGAAGTGGAGCAGAGAGCCATCGTTCGAGATATCGATTTGACCGCCGTGATTGCGAGCGGCCGCAACACCCAAACAATCCCGACCAGTCCTCCCAAACGCCGCGCCGTTTCGCCAGTCACCCGATCTCGTTTATTGCAAACCTCTGGTTCCCTGTTCATGCGAAGCTTGCAGGGCTCGCGTGCGAACCGGCTGACTATCCGATCGACTGCTGGAGCCGGTGAGTTTGGGCTAATCAATGTTTTTGGAGCTTGAGTCTGATATATCTATAGGATGGCAGGATTTAACGTCGGATTTCCACTCGCGTCCAGAAGACCGCCATTCATGTGCCAGCTATGCTAATGAGGGGCAATTGGCACTTCCGTTTTGCAATGCTTCCTGCAACAGTAAGTTGGAGCACATTCTTTTGAAGACATTGTGCCGGGTACTGACTTCCAATTAGCAAATTCATTGGTCGCTGTTGGTGACGAAGAAGGCGGTATCCGTTTGTTGGATTCCTCCAAAGATGACGAGCGAGGATTCTCTAGCGCATATCTAGGTTTCCGTCCTCATATGAATTCGATTATGGACCTTGAATTCTCATCCGATGACCTGCTACTGGCCACCGCTTCTGGAGACCAAACGTCTTTAATTATCGACATGACCACACAGCGACCCATCCATTGTTTGCAGAATCATAGCTCCTCGGTGAAGAGAGTCCAGTTCCAGCCTGCTTCCAACAATAAGGTTCTTGCAACATGCAGCCGCGACGGAAATGTGAACATCTGGGATCTTCGGTGCAAGGGGGTTGAGCAGCGCCCGTCACTGCAGGTTCGATGCTCGCTAGAATCCGAGGCCGAATCTTCCAATGCTTCAGCACCTCCAAAGATGACATTCCCCCATGTTCTCAACACTATCCACGGTGCTCACGCATACACTACCCCGCAAAAGCTTGCGGCGGATAAATCAGATGCTATTCCGTTCGGTCGGTCTGATATCACTGTAACTTCGTTGGCTTTTCTCCCGCCGGGCCAGGAGAATCTTTTTGTCACAGCATCCGAGGCCAGCGCCAGTGTCCGACTTTGGGATTTGCGGACAGCACACAACAACCGCCGTGGCCGACCTGTTCTCCCACTGTCCACTACTCGCGAGCCTGACAGTCACATCAAGTACCGTCGGTTTGGCTTGACATCAATGGCTTTCGGTGGTGATGGTGCCCGACTGTACACCCTTTGTCGAGATGGTACTGTCTACACATACTCGACCTCTCACTTGGTGCTTGGACACGCACCTGAGCTCTCGCTCAACCACGCTCACCCGCGACGATCGGGTGGTTCTGACAAAGAGGGACTTGGTCCCCTGTATGGATTTCGCCACCCACGCCTTCAAGTCTCTACGTTCTATGTCAAGCTCGCTGTGCGCAAAGCTTCCGATGACCGTGCAGAGATGCTGGCAGTTGGCAGCAGTGATCAATGTCCGATTTTGTTCCCTACCGATGAACGATTCCTACAGTCCCCTGTGAAGACTCTTCCAGTTGATCTTCCCCCTACCCGAACATCTCTCTTCACAACTCGATCCGGCCTCCGCCGCACCAATTCTGGTATGGGCCTGTCTGGAAGACTTGAAGACACCATCCCTATCTATGAATCCGGCACACCCCTGGTTGAAGGTCATCAGAAGGAAGTCACCGGCATTTCCTGGACGGTCAATGGAGAACTGATTACCGTCGGCGATGACTACCACGCTCGATGCTGGCGTGAAGGGCCTGAGGCTCGCGAGCTTCGACGCCAGGGTCAAAAGGATGGTCGAGACTGGCAGTGCGGATGGGCTGCCACGACTGATTCCTATGATGATGAAGATGAATGATTTTTGAAGTCTTCGTACCATTGTTACGTTGTTATGCATACTTGTGGTGTTTGTTTTATGGTGTTGTTATTGGCGTAGGCATATTTCTTGGCGTTCAGGGTGGCATTTTGTTTTCTAGCGCGGCATACCCGTTTACATTTGTTGCATCTCTCGGGGTTACGTGTTGGTTTATCGCGTGGTTTTCAATGAATCATTGTTTGAAGTACTCTTGTGAAGAGATCTCGTCTCTCTCTAGCCTTTCCTAGTAGCCTCAAGTAGTGTACAATGGGCATACACAAGCTCTGAGGGATATGATGCGTGCTCACTCGTATTGGAAGTAGCCGATACACAGTAGGTTATCTGGAGTACCCTCGCATTATTAGTGCTCATAGGTGAATGTGGTACCCAGGGAGCTTACTACCAGCGGTTGCTCGCATGTTTCATCTCGAACGTCATACGAACGATGATAGTCAAATTTACGAGGAAAGATTCGAGATGAGCACTTTGCAGATTTCATTAAGCTAGACTTGAGAGGCAGTCGCACATAAACAAGCAACCTGACTGCTTTCCCCCGTTCCATAACCACATTCCAATAACACATCAATCATCTGCTTCGCAAGCCATTCCCACATACAGCCCAGGATATCCGTCGACTAATTTCTGATCCACCAAACACCCTCACAAGGACGATATGTTTTTTCAGTAAGATAAGCCGCACAAATAGCCTCGAAGACGGAATCGTGCCACTCGAGACACACATGAGTGAGTCTTAATTCGTCATCAGGCTCAGCTTGTTCTAGCCAGGCAACGATATATCTCTCGAAATCATCCAGACTTCCGAAGCGATTTGCAGAAGTCTGGGTCAGCTGGAACGGGAAGCTCTCGGAGTCGATAGAGATGCGTGACATGGCTAGGAGAAGGTGGATTATGAGTTTGGTGAGATGGAAAGAGTAGGTAGCTCTATGATGGAAACTGGAGGGTTGATGCCAGATAGGAATAGACATAGGTAGAATATAATTACCGGAGAGCCCAGAGTGTTTGGTCACCTACCTATATCATAGTCAGTGAGGCGTATAGTTTGTATCCTAATTAGGCATAGGACAATCCCGAAGCGGTACACGCCAGAACCGCTCCGATATCATTTTAATTATATCCGTAGCTTTTAATTGTATTTAAATGTCTTTAGAATAAAATAGAATTGGTATTAGGACCTACCGGAAAGAAATGTAAGGAGACATGGAATCCTCATTAGACCCGGCTTCCTCAGTCTGGTGGTGATAGTTTATGCGCCAGGTAAACGGATGGGCGTGAGCAGGGGCTACCTACCGTAGAATAACGTAGCATTAAAAACCTAGTAAAACCATGAAAAAATTGTTCAAATCATTCAACGCCTATCTCTGTTGATTTGCTACTGGGTAACAACTTCTCGTCGACCTTCATGGCATAGGGCCTTAGGTAGCACAGCAAGACGCACGGTAGAAATATATAGTTGGGCCAGCCGCGATAAGAGACTGATTGGCTGATAAGAAACTTAATCACCCGAAAAAAAAGTTCCGCTGAGGACTCCGCCTCTTCACCAATTTGACACCACCAATCTACGCCTCATAATGCCTCACAAGCACAAGAGAAGGGAGAGGGATGACTCGTACGTTTAAAATCAGTTCCAATCCACTCAATCATGTATCCAATCTAACATTGCGCCCTCTGCCCAGCCACTTCGACCTCCCGCCATCGGTGATCGCTAAAGCACTACCAGTCCGCGAACAGCAACCCAAGCCCAAGCCCGGAAAAAAGCCACAGCCAAAGCAGCAGCAGCAGCCCAAGGGAAAAGCCCCGAATGCCCCTGCTACTTCCCGGCGCAAGAATGCCACGGATAACGACACCCCCAAGGCTTTCCAGCGGCTGATGCAATACACAGCCATGGGAAAGCGCCCCTCGGGACTGGAGACGGGAGAAAAGAAGCAGAAGCAAGACAACAAAAAGCGGAAGCGCGAAGCAGGAGATACCCAGGATGAGTCGTCAAAGAAGCCTGCGCAGGCGAAACCTCAAAAGACCGAAACCACCGACGACAAGGAAGCTAAGAGGGTCATGCCTAAGATTATGCCTGGAGAGAGGCTGGCTGATTTTGCTGCACGTGTTGACCGTGAAATGCCACTTTCTGCGATGACAAAGTCCAGCTCGGGTGGGCCCAAGGTCCGCGACCATAAGATGACCAAGCACGAGAAGCATCTGCGACGACTACAAGCGGGCTGGCGTGAGGAGGATGTTAAGATCAAGGAGCGGGAACAGGCTGAGCGTGAGGAGCGTGAAGCTGAGATGGAAGAGCAGCTTGATATTCTGAAGGAGTGGGAGGCTGAAGCACGGGGCGGAAAGGCCAAGAAGAAGGGAACAGTCCCGAAAAAGAAGAAGAAGGCTGGTGGTGCTGAGGATAGTGGTGATGATGACCCCGATCCATGGGCAAAGCTGAAGAAGCGGGATAAGGAGAGACAGACCAATCCGTTTGATGTTGCACAGGCGCCACCACAATTGACGAAACCCAGGGAGGTTTTCAAGATTCGTGGTGGAGCTCGGGTTGATGTTGCCAACGTGCCGAACGCTGTTGGTAGCTTGAGACGTCGCGAGGAGCTGGCAACCGAGAGAAAGAACATTGTGGAGGAATATCGGCGTCTGATGGCCGAGAGACGCCAGTGATGGTCGTTCATACGCTTGTTTCATCATCTATAGTAGATATCCCATTTGATCAATTTGTTCATACATATGCAGTTACAGCAGGAGTTACCCCGTCTGCTGCTTTTTCATTTCTATGTAACATCCAATTACTTGTGATTTTTATGATAAACTTGGGGATAGCAAAAACATAACAGCACATTTAGTGGCCGTGGCCATCATCCTGCTTCTGCTCGGGGTCCAGCTTGATGATCGTGTCAATACGCATGATGGAAATGCAAGCCTCGACAGCACTCTTCAGCTGCTTAATCTTGCTCATGCTGGGCTCCAGAACACCGGCCTTCAGAGTGTCGTGAACGCGTCCCTTCGTCAAATCCAATCCGTAGTTGCGGTACGTCTTCTTCTTGGCAATGGCCTTCTCCTCCTCGTTAGCATCGCCATCCTGCACACGCTGTGACAGGGCGTGGCGGACACGGAGCTGAGCAACAAGCTCGGATGAGTCCTTGGCAGCGTTGACTGCCAGGGTTTTGGGGATGACCAGAAGAGACTGGGCGAACTCGCCGATGGCAAGCTGCTCGCGAGAACCCTAGCATTAAGTTAGAATCAATAAAATAGAAAGATAGAAAGCCAGATTCAACATACCACTGTGACGGCGAACTCCTCCAGGTAAATGTGCAGTGCGGTCTCCACAGCACCGCCACCAGGCACAATGCTGCCACTCTCCAGAGTGCGCTTAATAGCGCACAGCGAGTCGTGAACAGAACGCTCCATCTCGTCCAAGCTGTACTCATTGGGGCCACGCAGGATGATCGAGGCGGAAGTGTGAACCTTGGTGCCCTTGACGAGAATGCACTCGTCATCGGAGATACGCTCTTGAGAGACCTCCTCGGCGTGACCGAGGTATGATGTCTCGAACTTCTCGTCACCGTTCAAGTCCGACAAGGTGCTGATGAGGGTAGCACCGGTGGCCTTGGCAATACGGCGAAGGTCCTCCTTCTTACAACGGCGAACAGCCATAGCACCCTTCTCAACGAACGCCTTCAGAACCATGTCGTCGATACCCTTGGTGGTCAGAATGACATTGGCACCAGACTTCAAGATCATCTCGACACGCTCCAGAACGATTCCAGCCTCACGCTGACGGATCTTCTCCAGTTGATCGGGGTCATCAACGGTGATCTGAACACCCAGCTTCATGCGCTCCTTTTGCAAGTTCATGTCCAAGCAGGCAATCTTGGCGTCGGTGACACGGGTCGTCATAGCCTGGCTGGCCACAGTGCAGTTCAGAGCGTATCCGTTGACCAGAACCGACTCAGTAACACTCCTTCCGTGGGCCTTGAGGAGGTTGACAGCCTTGACGGGGTACTTGACCTCGCCCCTCTGGTTTGTTGACTTGACCTGCAGCATGGCGTCCACGCACAGGTTCGCAAAGAAATCCGGGTCCGCACCAATGATCTTGCTAGACATCGAGGTCTTCGCAATGTTGATCAAGCTGTCCTTGCCCAAGTTATCCACCTTCGTCGCCACATTCTCGTTCATGTACTTGACGGCTTCGCGCAGCGCAAGGCGGTATCCGTTGATAATGGTCGTGGGGTGTATCCGGTTCTTCATCAGCTCGTTTCCTCTCCGCAGAAGCTCTGAAGCAATGAGGACAACGGAAGTCGTGCCATCGCCGACCTTTTCGGAGACATATCAGCACCAGATGAAAAATTTCAGACGGTCAGGGAACATTATAGGATCGTACCTCCTTATCCTGCTGTTGGGCCAGGTCGACGAGGATCTTGCCTGCAGGGTGCTCAATATCCAACAGGGACAGAATGGTAGCACCATCGTTCGTCACGGTAACGTCCTATTATCATTAAAAGCAGTTAGAAAGCAGCTCCTTAGTCCTGCGGGGTACTCCAGTATTTCCGTACCCCTATGTCGTCCACCATCATCTTGTCCAAGCCGGAAGGACCGAAAGAGCTCTTGATGACATTGGAAATAGCCTGAGTAGCGAGAACTACATACTGTCAGCTAAAATCAATTGATATCAAAGGGCTGACCGGTGAGCATACCATTCTGCTCTCGGACATCGGCACCGGTGATTTTCTGCCCACCCAAGACTGTGTGCGAGCTGCGTTAGCGTGATGCCATGACCTTCGAATTTGGAGGACTCACAAAGAGTGTCCGCATTCCGCGGAGCCTCGAAAATGCCTGCCATGGCGAAATAAAGTCGATCAACAGGTCTTTTAGGTGCGATGACAGAGCTCTGTTGGCGTGGACGGGGGGTTTTGGTCGGAGGCCACGCTAAAAGTTCTGCCGCACCAAAGCGGTGTCGACGATAACATCCCACTTTTTATTGAAGGAGTCATACTTCGAATTACTCCCCTCTCCCATTCTGCTCTTGTGTTTAGCCTAATCTCTTTATACTAGCCAGGCGCTCGTTAATCACCATCATGGCTAGCCAGAATCCCACAGATGCCGCCGCCTCGGGCGCTGCTGCTCCCACAACCCTGCCCGATCGCACTCAAACCCCCGCCGGTAACCAGGCCGGCGAGTCTAAGAACGCCGCGAAGAAGGCTGAGAAGGCCGCCAAGCTGGCTGCGGCCAAGGCTGAGAAGGCTGCGAAGCACGCTGCTGGTGTGAAGACTGAGGGCAAGAAGGAGGCTAAGAAGGCTCCTAAGAAGAAGGTTGACGGCGCTGCTTTGATCGGTATCGATGCGTCCAAGGAGGAGAACTTCCCGGACTGGTACCAGCAAGTTCTCACCAAGGGTAAAGATGGGAAATCCAAAGATTGAATTTCTTGCTAATGTACCTCTAGGAGATATGCTGGACTACTATGATGTGTCGGGCTGCTTCATCTTGAAGGTAATGATATCTCTCCCCGCTCTCAATCGTGTGCCCTATCACTAATGTATATTTGTCTTAGCCCGCCTCGTATTTCATCTGGGAGGAGATTCAAGATTGGTTCAACAAGAAGATCAAGAAGATGGGTGTCAAGAACTGCTCGTTCCCCTTGTTCGTTACCGAGGATGTGTTGCAGCGTGAGAAGGACCACATTGAGGGTTTCGCTGCTGAGGTCGCCTGGGTGACTCACGCGTATGGATTTGCTACCCTGTCAAATTATTGGCGACACAGATTACTGACTTGATGTTTCATTCTAGTGGATCGACTCCTCTTGAGAAGAAGATTGCCATCCGTCCCACCTCCGAGACTGTTATGTACCCCTACTATTCCAAGTGGATTCGCAGTCACCGTGATCTGCCCCTGCGCCTCAACCAGTGGAACTCCGTCGTCCGATGGGAGTTCAAGAACCCCCAGCCTTTCCTGCGAACTCGTGAGTTCTTGTGGCAGGAGGGTCACACTGCCCACCTGACTGAGGATGTCGCTCGGAAGGAGGTGCTGCAGATTCTTGATTGGTATGCCGATATCTACTCTGAGCTTCTTGCGGTTCCTGTCGTCAAGGGCCAGAAGACCGAGAAGGAGAAGTTTGCTGGTGGTCTCTACACCACTACTGTCGAGGGTTATATCCCTGCCACTGGTCGTGGTATCCAGGGTGGTACCTCCCACGGCCTCGGCCAGAACTTCAGTAAGATGTTCAACATCACCGTTGAGGACCCCTCCGCCAAGCCTGGTGAGCAGAAGGAGCCCCTGCACGTCTGGCAGAACTCCTGGGGTCTGTCGACCCGCACCCTGGGTGTCATGGTCATGATCCACAGTGACAACAAGGGTCTGGTCCTTCCCCCTCGTGTGGCTGAGACCCAGGTCGTCATTGTCCCCGTCGGTATCACTGCCAAGAGCACCGATGAAGACCGTGAGAAGCTCTACGCTGAGATCGACGGTCTGGTTACCGTCCTCGAGGCTGCTGGTGTCCGTGTCCAGAGTGACAAGCGTGAGGGCTACTCCCCCGGTTGGAAGTTCAACCAGTGGGAGCTCCGTGGTGTGCCCCTCCGTCTGGAGTTTGGCCCTGGCGAGTCGGCTGGTCACTTCGTCACTACTGCCCGTCGTGACATCCCTGGTAAGGAGGGCAAGTCCACCCTTCCCATCACTGACCTGGTTAGCGGCACTACTGCGCTCCTCGAGACTATTCACACCGACATGTACAACCGTGCCGATGCCGAGTTCAAGGCCCACCGCCCTCTGATCACCAACTGGGACGACTTCACTCCCGCCCTGAACGCCAAGAACGTAAGTTACATACCACTTCCCCTTGAATACCAAGCCAGACACTGACTTTTATAGCTCTGCCTCGTTCCCTTCTGTCTCCAAATGGACTGCGAGGAGTCGATCAAGAACCAGAGTGCCCGCAAGGCCGAGGAGGAGTCCGGCGAGGTCACTGACGCCAAGGCACCTTCCATGGGCGGCAAGAGTGTAAGTACCAATCCGTCGAGAGTACTGGTTGATATAAGCTGACTTCTTTGAATAGCTGTGCATTCCCTTCGAGCAGCCCGAGGGCATCGAGCCCGGTGTTACCAAGTGCATCAACCCCAGCTGCTCCAACTTCGCCGAGAAGTGGTGCATGTTCGGCCGCTCCTACTAAGCCGACTGGTCAAGCCTCTGACCTCCAGGCAAATACCCACCTCAGCCCTTGCAAGGGTATGAGCTGTGGTTTTGCTTTCTCTTCTTTCCTCTCGAGAACGTGGAGTTGAATTCGGAGAGTTTCATGTCGTAAAAATCATTCGGACCCCTACATTTGAAGTGACCAACAAGGGGTCCCATCCAAGATACCTTGTGCATTCTTTCATTGTTGTGGAGTTGAGGCTGGAATACGGGGTTGCGTCGGGGAGATCGTTAGTTACAATGAGCCTATGAGCAGAAATGAGTGACGTTTTCCATTTTTTTTTAATTATAAGCGAAGATATCCTGTACTTTGAATCATTGAACAAAGAAAATCAGGAATAGTAGTACAATACATATTGCCTACGCGCTAGAGACTCTATCCCACATTCCTTTCTGCGCAATCCACAGCGTTGTCAGACTGCCAGACTAACTCGCAAGGTTGTCGATCTTGATTGGGGCTCATAGATCACTAAGTCACATGAAGTCACCTGTAACCAAAGTCGTGACCCCAAATTATGCTGTCAGAATTGGTATGCGGGACTGTATCTAAACGAGAAGAGATCATGCTTTAATGCCTCACCTTTTCGAAACGAGTCTAAAACAAGAGTAACGAAAAATAGTGTATATTTGACAAGGTTATTGCCTAGATAGGCCGTGTAGTAGAGTACAAAATATTGACAAAGTCTGATCAATCGACAGAAACGCCATCCGGAAGATGCAAACCGATGTCCGGTTAAAGTAAAAGTAAGACAGAGTGAGAAATAGGAAAGAAAACAAAATTTGAGACACATGTATTGGCGGACAATCGACGGTAAAGTAGGCCGATGATGGACAAGAGATATAGGAGACTGTAATGAGTAAGATGAATAGGTGGGATATAGTAACAGTAAAAAAGAGAGAGAGAGAGAGAGAGAGAGAGAGAGAGAGAGAGAGTGTGACGATGCGAAAAGAAAGGAAATGAAAGATTATGAACAGACGCTTCAAGTCAAGAGTTCAAAATCGCTGTAGAAAGAGAAACAGACACTGAAGGGATCAGACAAGCTTTTCAGGTTGTGGAGGTATCATGAGAACATCATTATCATGCGAGAAGACCACGGGGTCTTCTCAAGGTAGAAGAGGCAACAAAAAGACAAGAATAATTTGTTGCTATTTAGTAGGTCTCGACAGAGCGATTGCCGCGGAACTGCATCCGAGCGCGGGATAGCGGGGACAAGCTGTTATCACACGGTGCCGAGGTAGGTGCAGGCGACTTGGTACGGCGGGAGCGCTGGGGCCAGTTTATGAGTCTTTGCGCATCGGTAGCGGCGGCAGAGTCAATCACGTAGCGCACGTTGTTATCATCGACGGCATCGATTTGCACACGCGGGGGTGGTGCGGCGACGCTTGGGAGGTGGATGATGTCGTCGTCACTCTCTTCGTATGAGCCACTGCCGTGGCTCTCCTTGGAAGAATTGGAGTGTGCTTGCATGCAATAGATGGCACCCATGGGGCCGGGGGTATTGGGTCTCTCAGAGTTCGCGCGGATGATAGCAGAGAAATGGGAGGTCGAATCCGAGCGTCCGCGCTTTCTCGAAGATTGGGGGGTTTTAGAGCTGGAAGTGCCCGGCTTGTCGTTGCTAACGCGATAGAGCACGTCCATGAATGTCAGCTGCTCGGGCGAGGCGGTTTCCTGCGATTGCTTGATGTCGGCGAGGAGGCCTGGGGATGGGATTGGGGCATCAGTGTGTCGCCGGCGAGATGGAGAGGGCGAGGCCTTGCGGAAAATTGTGGAGATGCTCTGACGGGAATCGGAATTTCGCTTGTGTTTCCTGAAAGAGCTCTTTCTCATGATCTTGGAAATCGATCCGGCTGACGCGCTGCGGCTCAATCCTGGGTGTGCGGTCCGGGGGCGATGGTCGAATGTGTCATGCGTCGGGGAAGGAGTAAAGGGAGGACCAGCGGTAGGAACAGGGACGTTCTTGAAGGCCTCGTGAGAGTTGATTTCGCGGACAATGGCATCTTGCAGACTCTCGTACGTAGGATGGGGGCTGATGGCCTGTGTAGACATGTAGGCTTTGTTGAACAAGTCCATCATCTCCGAGACCTTGAACCGAGGGGGGGGTTGTTGAGGGCTCGGCGCAGGCAAAGGACTATGCATGACCTCTGCAATACTTGGGGCCCGCTTCATCTCGTTTGCCGAGGGCGTTGGGGGTTGAATAGCGCGGTGTGCAATTTTCGGCCGGCCTTGAGCAGCTATCTCCGTATTGATGGATAGATCTCGCACATTCTTTCGAGAAGCGGAACCCGATGAAGGAGGTGGGGATATTGATCTTGAAGTCAAAGATGAGGTTCGGGCCGTCGTGACTGGAGCTCGAGGCACTAGGGGGCTTTCCGCGCGGTTCTCGCCGCCGCTACCGTTTTCACTCATAGGATTGGGTAGTGTCGGGCTATCTGGCAAAGGGGTATTACTCCATCGCTTGCCCTGCTTATATGCTGGAGGAACACCCAAACGCTGAATCACAGGAGGCGGTGCCTCTTCTCCATCCTCGTCAGGAGACAAACTTGGCGCCGATCTTTGTTGGCGAAGCAAGCTGCTTGCCTGCAAGTGTCGCAATGAGTTATCCGAGGCAGTATCTGGAGAGGCAGAGCGAGCACGTAAATCACCATCTGATGTCCAATTGGGATTTCTGAAAGTGCGTTTCTTCCCCTTTCCATCGGGGCTTAGGTTGCGTACCCTCCCAGGTGCAGGAGGGGAAGAGTGAGAGCTTAAAGACGAAAGCGAGCGTGATTCGGTACTGTACTTTGCAATGTTCCTGTCCGCGACATCTTCTTGATACAGAGCAGAGAATACCCGGGAGCTTGCAAATCCACTCCGATATTGAATACGAAGGAATCTGGTCATGTTTCGTTCCGCGACATCTTCGTTATATGGGCTCGTGGGAGGCGATGCGACTGGGGAATCACTGTTGATAGGTTGCTCTGAAGGAGCAATAGCTTGCATTAAATCGATATGCCGGGCATTGGGATATTTGCGAAAAGAACGACCAGGTACGGGTGGCGGGTGCTGCGACTGAGAAGATGTCGGTCGTTCCGCTAGATGCTGATGCAGATCTTCAAACTGTTTCTCAATCTGATCGAAATGGTGTGCCACATCATGTGCTTGGAATGCTCTCAAGCCTGGTGACAGGAGTGCTGGCGATGGGGGACCGGCAGAAAACAGGGTCTGAAACTTGCTCAGAGTGGGGGATTCAAGGTTGCCAAAGCAGGATTCGTCCGACTCCATTCCATTGAGCCCAGTACCAGTTGATGAGCGCGAAGGCGTTCGCTCAGCTTGAAAAAGCTTCTTCAAAGCCACCATCTTGATTAGATTGTAACCAATCTGGTGTTTAAAAGCTGTGTTGAGTATCCCAGTGTCCCCGGGTGGGAGAATTGGAGGCGCACAAGGCGGCCCTATAGTGACGTCGAAACCTAAGGGGAGAAAAAGCTCTCGAGCTAAACAAATTGAAAGTGGAGCGACTAGACCAACGGCCGTCATGAACAATCAAACAGGCGGAGTCATGACAGTCTTGAAGCTCGCAATTGAGAAACCGTCATACGGTTCAGGGTTCATCGAGAGAGCATGGTAAAGAAAGAAAGGAAAGAAGGAGAGGAACTAGAAAAGTCGAAGCTCACACCCTCGGCCAAGGGCAGCGAGAAGGCAGCGGAGACTTGCCTCGTCCAGTGGTTGGCGTGCAGATCCATCACCGATTGGATTATGATTATGCCTGGATCAGGGGGAGGTAGAGGAAGTGGTCCGGTCTTCTCCATGATCCGTCGCCGCGGGCACAGATGGGGCCAGGCCGATACGGCACGACGGTTCGAACGCTAAAAAAAAGATTAAGAAGGCTCCATCAGCCGTAAGTTCTGACACATGAACGGCCATCTGTCGTTCTAAACTGGCTTTGGTAAACTCAAATGATGTCCGCGGACAGCCACGCACACGATACGATCTCGAGCCTCGAGGGACACGAGTCGTTCACCGACCAACACGAGGGGCCCTGTGTCTTTTCGTTTCTTTTCTTTCTTTTCGTTTCTTTTCTTTTTCTTCCCGCAATTTCGTCAGTTGGGCCCCTCGAATGGGGACGGGCTTATGCAGCTAACAGAAGCTTCTTCGGAGTCAACGTCCAGGCTGCATCATAGGCTGCATCATAGGCTGTTAGGAAGCTGCGGCCCCAGCCAGATGTCTTGGGGTCCACCTGACAGAACGTCTTACTGTATCCCATTATTCTTGACGAGACTAACGAACAGGAAGGACGGCATTCGTCATGCTCTCCAGCCGTCGCGACCCGGGAGAATTGGATAACTGGTAGGCTTGTACGGAGTCATGGTCCGGAAAATAGCCGTTCGCCTGGTCTGTCTCGCATTGGCGTTCATCTGGTAATCTCAATGCGATCCTGTGAATGGGGACCAAATGCCGAATTAACCAGCAGTAGTGGGAAGAAGGCCGAGGCCAGTGGGCGGACTAGCAGCCCGATGGAGTCCTCAATTTCCGCCAGGCTCACGATTGGTGTGATGAGAGGATCGACAAGCAGGACCGTGGGGCCATCGCGTTCTTAGCGGCACGAGCCTGTGAACCGAGTGCCAATTTTGGCTTCCTGGACGACCCGACTGCCTAGTGGCTGGACAACTGGCGCGCCAAAATGGTCCACTTCGCGACTCCAATCTCCAGGAAACAAAGAAAAAAAAGTCAATCCAAATTTGAGGTTCTGGGAAACGAAGGTTAATTCTTTGACGGGAATTAATCCTCCATTCCGTTGGCTTGTGTGGTGGACGGAGAGGAGAAAAGCAAAACTGGCAGTTCCCCTATGGGCCATTCTCCCTTGTCCGCCTTCGGTATTGTAGTACATGACTCCGTACTTACTCCAACTTCAACTACTCAGGGGCTTCTTCTTAAATCTAAAATTTGTCAATTGATCCGCTCTTAACCGTGGGACAAATATAACCCTAGAGCGGAGAAGGTAGGTCCATGTTGGGTGGCTATGGAGAAAGTGTTGACGAAGATCTTTTGCCCCTTTTTTTCTGGCGTTGAGTTAGTTCCGCTGTCAATACCGTTGATGGGGTATGGAAAGTAGCCATCCATAGATGCAACTACTCGTGAAGCAAGCCTAATGGAGTTGTGGTCTGTTTTCCAGTTTGATGCTACGGAGTCTACAAACTCTAGCCGACCTTCCTCAAGTTTCTCTTCCTACTTATGGTAATCAGTCCATTTGCTCCACTATCCCAGGAATCTCAAATTGTACCCAAATTGTGTTCTTTCTTCGATCGATCGATTTCGATTCCGATGGCAATGGGTCCTTGACTTCCTGGTGGCCCGATCAGCGTACTTTTGACACCGACTGTCCTCTAAATGCATGAACCGGCTATAGAGATCCCCGACTACTGTATGCATCATGCAAATACTGTTTATATAAGAAAACATGCGGGGTACAGAGACGGGGCACATCCTGCAAAAAGAAATACAGTCCTGTAAAAGTACAAAGAGTACAGTGGAGTCCCGAAAGCAGTCACGAGTCAAGCGATAGACCAAAGAAATGGTATCTGTGCCATTAAAAAAAAACATCAGATAGACATTTACCTACTGTAGAACACAAAGAAGAGCGATTGAAGCATATCTGGTTAGGTTTTTGGCCTGAAACACGGGCCTAGCCTGAACCTGCATAGGCCACCAGCGGATCGCCGCTTTTAATCTTACTTTCTTTGTTTTTTGTACGCCACCCTGCGCCTACAAACTATGACTACAATCCACGAATACATACATTAAGTTATTAACTACTGTGGCGGTGGATGTACGGGCAGTCATCGTAGAAATGTCCTATGCATTGCTCGCGACATATCAAACCCAAGTATCAAATGTGCATAGGACCGCGCTCCCTTGAAAAAATAGCAAAATAGCAACCCCCTGAAAAACAAAAACAGCAACAAGAAATCACAACATCGCAATCAACACCCTTGACTTATTCCAGAAATCGGCACCGGGAATATTTTGGCTAGATGTGTGTCGATGAGTACTTCTCCTCACATGTCCTCGGCGAGCTCATCAATGTAGCTCTTCTCTGGCTTAGACTCCTCCTCCTCCTTATCCTGCTCAGCTGGCTTGGAAGGAGATGCAGGCTCAGACTTTGCGTCCTTGGTGGCTTCCTTTGACTTCATCAAGAACTCCACACGATCCTTCACGCGGGCCAAGCGGGACTTAGCAGCAGCGGCGGAAGTTCCCATTTTGGCGCTAACTGCTTGGAAGTCGATCTACGGATATATTAGTGACGGTAACAAGTCAAACGTTCCCACAACCAGGTTATACTCACGCTCCCACCACCATTGTGCTTCATGCAGAGCCAGACGCACAGGAGATTTTCGTCGGCCATAGTGATCCCGTTCTTTGAGGTAGGGGACTTGCGAGGCTTGGCCTGTTTCTTGGTAACACGACCGGTCATGATGAGTTGGTTTCTGGAAATGGAAGAAAGGTGTCAGTAGAGCACTTCAGACGTGATAAGAGAGTCTATTAGAAGGAGAAACAGACGAGTGAAGACTGAGTGCTCACTTTGATCGGATTTAGGGTACGTGCTTGATGCAGACTGTGTGTGGGAGATGTGTGAGGTAGTGATTGGAAGTGTTAACCAGAAAATATTTAGTTAAGATGGGAGTAGGATGAACAAGCTTGTTGCCAGTCAACCCGAACAGGTGCAGAAGGGAGAGAGGATAATAGAGGGGTTTCACCGGACATATGAGTTCGGCTTTGCATTAGAGATATCACGTACCTGGTGAGGAATGGTTAGGTAGTTGAAAAGCCTGGCGGGCAGGGATGTGTAAGATGCTTCAAATGGATTGGAGATTTGACAAAGAAGAAGAAGAAGAAGAATGAGTCGAGAGCGTGTCTTATAACTTTGGCGTCAACTACCCAGGCACCGCTGATATCTTGACTGTATAGAATTCAGGACCTCTCGTCTTAGGGCCCCGCGGTCCACGTGATCTAGCAATCGATGCCTATTCCTTCTACATTATCCAGATTCTACAGTGCATTTCAAGAGAATCATGATAATCCTGGCGCGATTCAATCCAGGCACTGCTGATAGTTGAACGGTATAGAATCCAGGATCTCTTAGGGTCCCGCGGTCCACGTGACCTTAGAATCGATGCCCGTATCTACATTTTTGCGGACCACGCAGTGTACTCCAAGAGAATTATGATAATCGTTGTGTAAAAAATGACCTCTGATTCTTAGTCTTTATGTGATATCTTACGCGTACCGGAGAATATCTGTGTGAAGTCCATCATTTGTGTGGAGCTATCAAAACCGCAATAATGACATCTATGGACATGACCAATTTCGCAGGAAACCAGAGACAAGTTTCAAAGCCATGATCCAAGATGTGTAACCGGAAAAAGCAAATGAGTAAACTGTGGATGTACCCCATAAAGGAATGTACATCGGGACTGGAGTTCAGTCCATCAGGCCTTTCGAATCTTCAACGCAGCGACTCGCCCTTCGAGAAAATGTTGTCCAGATCGTCGAAGGCCTTCTTCAGGCCGCCATTATCGGAATCATCCTCTCCATCGGTGGCTTTATCTGCAGCTGGTGTGGGTGCTGCCAGAGACTCCTCGTACTGCTCCATGTACTTCTTGATCTGACCGAAGCGTCCGAAGGCAGTCTTGTAGTTGATGTTCAACTTTTCCGCAACGGCCATGTGGTTGAGCTGGAGTGAGAAATAATTTCGTTAGTCTAGAGCATTCTTCCCCACAAACTTAGAGGGTATAAGATACCTTGCCGCCCTGCTTCAGCTGAAGATGAAGCCAGAGGAAGTACATCTTCTGGTCCAGGGTGGCCTGGTCAAAGATCAACTTCTTGGGGTTGGTCTTGGTCTTGGAAATTTTCTTGGGAGTTGAGGGAGCCATGATGTAGATGGGAAATCTACTTGCATGTCAGCATGTTGCTATTTCCAAAGACTGGGTGTTCATCAGTATGATGGTAGTGTACTTACTGGATTTTGAAGTGTGTTGTGATAGTGCGTCGTCCGAAGGTGGAGGCGAGGTGTGGTTACGAAGGAAAAGAGAAAAGCGAAGCTGGAGGGGAGGTAAAGGATGTAGTGCGTCGCCGGAAGGGGTAGGTGGGGAAGTGGCAGTAGGAGTTTACTATCTAGGACGTCTTTATGTAATTGTCAACGCCCACGCCTCCCTTGGCGGGAAGATACCACTTATTTGCCATTTACAAGGCTTATTTCTACTTTTCCCACTAGAATCATCATTAGAATATATGGAAAAGGCCGCGGCAACTTCTTTGGAGCTGCCTTGTAGAAGACAAGGTTAGTATACAAAAGCGACATAGGACGAATGCCACTACAATCTAGCCACATGCGACAAAAATAATATTGCTGCGCACTACATACTGCGAACAATTCAACAATTCACGACTTCCATATCCGTTATTGTTTTCCTCCGATTTTTCCTGCAGAGCTAGACAAAGTGACCATCAAGGGTCGCGTCCTTAAGCATCTAATAGCAACGCCAAGACGGGTCTTAGCAGGGCATCTGCCAAGTGAGCCTTTTGGCTGAGTAGTCTCAGAACGAGGCTGATTGAATGCTACTTAGGCCTAGTCACGTAGGCGAGAAGATTGTCAGCAGGTCTGAAAACAGAATCTAAGGTGACGTATCAACCGAAAACGTATTTAAGAGATATTTCGATGGAGTTAGGATGGATTAGTTAGGTTAGTGAATGGTATACTTGGACGAGACAAGGGGTGATATGCTGCTGCTTGTTATATCTAGGATTATTCAAAATCACACATCATACGAAGGAAAAGATCATGTACGCCACTCACCACTTCACTACAGAGAAATTCGAGTATAGCAATAAGAAACCAGAAAGGAACTCGCGTGCGGGTAATGTTAATCTGAACAAAAAAAAAAGGGGAAACACACACACACACACACACACACACACACACACACACACACACACACACACACACACAAAAGACCAGAGCAAAAGACAGCAGCAACTGGTAGGCGTGAAGGCTTATTACGCCTTCTTCTCCCCCTTACTCCTGCTCGTACCAGTTCTCCTCATTTTCCAGGACCCATCTAGTCAAGGCGAGAATAGCATCGCAATGAGTGGACAGTCGGCGGAATCCATCCCGAAGGAACTCGGCTGGGTACCCAGTCAACTCTTCTACCAGTAAAAAGTCGGGCTATGAGATGAAAGGTTAGAACCATCACACATCACGATGTTCACATCAAAGGTATGCGATTGGAACTTTGAAGCAAGTAAAACTTACGCGTCCATTTCTTCGGAAGATCATACAAACCCAGATCATGAAGATCCAGAGCTGAGGGTTGTCCTCATACGGGTTTTCAGCCAGAACCCGGTCCACGGCCTGCCGCCTTTCCTCACCAGTAGGCATGGTGGACTAGCAGTGGCACAAAACGTCAGTTTCAGCATGAACAGAACTGAGAGAAAGACTGGATGGGATGAATAGTTTGGTAATAACATACTCGTTGTGGTAGATTTGTGAGGATTGTGTGTGGAGATGTTTTGGCGAAAGCAAGTGGAAGCAGATCGCAGGCGATAGGGAAATATAAAAGAGGAATCGAAACGGGCATGACGGCGTGGATATTAGCTGCTAAATTCTAAGCCATGCGGCTGGGGGTAAGTCGCGCTTAATCGTTATATACACAATTTTTCGGGGATGGACGGGGGAAAAACGAAGGGCAGCCTCGATAGACCTCGCGATGCAAGGTGTATAGATATCACTTTTCGAGGGCTTACGTTGGCACGTGATCTGATTTTGGATTTGGAGGTCTTCATTATGTCTTCATTAAATTGGTATGGTTATTTCAAATTTGTCCCACGGTTTTTAGCAGAGACTCCCGAACAGCCTCCGCCAGGACAGTATGAGCTCCCCGGGCAGCATCCACAGCACCATCTATCAAAGCTTCATGACCCGTACGATCATCACCGTCTTCGAGAGAGGCTTTAGAGCTGTCACCCTTAAGCCAGAGCTCTGTAATCTCGTCCCGGGCAGGCATGTATGCCACAACACATGCAGATAGAATAGAGCGGTGCTCGGCAGGATCGGTGTCCAGCATGAGCTTGGGAGCCCCCGTTGAAGCTCCGGTGTTCTCATCCGAGACGATAGCGGCAACACCGCCGGCTACCAGGTCAAGACAGTCGATGTGAGCGTCCGCAATTGCGGCCGAAGCGGCAGTGATACAGCCAGCAAGAACGTTCATCATACCCCACGAGGCGTCATGCGAGTCTGGTGCACTGCCCCACCACCGGTCATCTTCAGCTTCGAGAATTGTGATGGTAATATCAAGGCCACTCTTCGGCCAGCGCTCGGCGATAATTGCGCCGCGCAAAGCGCTCTCAAGGTGTACTCCGAGGTCACGCTCGCTGGAATCGCGGATATGACCCTTGCGCTGACGTGCCGCGAAAGGCGCATACTTGACGTGTGTGGTGAGAACGAGGTTCGGAGAGAACGCTGCAGATCGGGGCAGTGGCTTTGGGCCGTGAACTGTGCAGGCAAGCTTCAGAGCTGACGAAGGCGGGATCAGAGATTTGGGATTGGCGCGAGCAGCAGCGAGAGAGGCTGACGGTTCGAATTCGAGATATGAAGAGCCCGATGCCGTGGGGATCAGACCAGTTTTGAGGACTGTTACGCTGATGATTAGCTGGAGCCACCACCAATTGTAGGTAAAAAGTCTATGGCGACATACAGATTTTCCGTAGCTCGGAAGGTTGTCGCTGGCGCTGAGCGCGATCTGTGGCACTCGTGCCAGATTGTAGGTTTGAGGCAAAGACCGCTGGCCTTGTGCCGCCTGGTGGTCCATTGATCCTTCTCCTGTCGGCCATCATCTTGATTTCTTGACGTGGAAAGTTGAAAGGTAACGAGGTTATCGGAGATGTCATGAGCCCAGAAGCGGAAATCCTGCGTGTTTGCACTGTTTGCTTGCGACCCCACCCGCCCCGTTTAGCTTTTCAGCTTTTTTCTTCGCTCCTCAGTTTCTCTTCCTTCCACACTTCTCCCAACATTGTTTTGTCCTGGGTGACCAGCCCTTTTCATGCTGAAGGAGCTTTCTCCTGGACAAAGCTTTGTTTCTTGGGAGACTTTTATGATCTACTAACTTCCTGTGAGTATCATCTACCATCGATTGCCTTTTCGCAGCCCCCTTCCCCGTCTTCATGATTGAAACCTACCCAAATTCTGTTCCGGTGACAAATAAATGGGCCATGAACAAACATGCATCACCATCTGATCGACACACCTTTACACCAGTTTTTCTCATCAGTCACGTTAGCTTGAGGATATAAGCTAACTATGATTCAAGCAGGGCTTTCAATCCCCAACACTGACCTAGCTAGAGCATCTCGGCTGCACTGGAGCTTTCCCACAGGTAAGCTTGAAAATTTTCTTTTTCCCCCCAACCCACCCTTAGCATGATGAAACAAAATTTTCAGTTCTGCTTCTGCAAAAATATTGAAGATAACAAAATACCTTACCAAAAAACTCCTGATGCTACTCCAATTATTGTCACTGTCATTTCATACCATTGCTGTCGATGGACACCAAGCTGACAGTTTCCAGTTTTTCCAGTCACTCAAGATTCGGTCTTGCAACACCTAACACCAATGGCAAAATGTATGCAATCCCTTCTATTTGCCCCTTGTTTTCCCCTGAAACACCCCCTCCCCTTTTATGATGACAACCAGTCAATCCATTCAACGATCTCTCTTGAGAACCGCCTCTCGAGTACGTACCTACACTGTTGTAGCGGTGCTTTCGGGCCTGGGCGTCGATCTACGTTCTCCGACTCCCAAATACTGGACCTCTTGTACCCTCACGGGCGCAACTGGGAGGAAGGTTGTGGAGAACCGGCGGGCGTAGGCCAAGTCGTCGTCCGGTTCCGCTGCCTTCAATGTGGCTCTGCTATGCTTGACTTGTGTCGGCTCTTTCGGGTCAGGGTGCTTGTCCGTCTTGGATGACAGTCTGGCTCGGGAGGTCAGCAGAGGATGGGATGAGTTAAACTGGCTCGACTGATTATTTGCCTTTGCATTCTTTGCTTGCAATATGGAGCTATTCTTGCCTCTCGCATCTGATGATGTTTTGGAATCCATGCTGACGATTTTGAAGTCTAGGTCCCAATACTAGCAGAAATTTTTAGAATACCCCTAGTAGTACTTAAATATGATAATCTTTCCTTGGATCACACTTCTTGCCTCTCATGGTATCATAAGCTACCAATTGATCGTAATCAAAGCTATGTACAAATAAACTTGAAAATAAACTGGAAAAAAGAAGACATTGTCAAGAAGCAAAAGTCAATTGCCCCATCCATCCCCAACACCCACACAGCCCCTTGGGATCCCCAGGCAAGACGAATTATAAAAGTGAACACCAGCCAGTCACCCGAACAAACCAGTGGAATCGTCCTTCAAAAGCAAAAGACCATGCCACCCCTCATAATTTGGTTTCTTCCTTGCGTTTTTCGCTGATCACTGGAAAGCGACTTGAATTTTGTTGTTGTTTTTCGTTTTTGGAAAGTCATTCAGAACGTGCAGACGATCCCATAATGGCAATTGAACGCCGAAATCTCTGTTGCTTTCGTCATCTTCCACACTATTGCACGAGTCTCGACAGGATTCTGTTGCTTTGTCTCGGACTGCAAGTGGTTTATTGTTTCCCCTCAATTGGCGTTGTGGTGCCATTCGATCGGGACATGCTGTAGGGAGCCTGCATGGGAGGGATATGTTAGGGCGATATACTTTCCAAGCAAGAGGCAGAGACCATTTCACTTACAAGAACCTTCTTGGCATTGCATATCCTCCAGGCAAGATTCAAGACATTGCCATCGGCCTTAACCACCTCGGGCGCCAACTCAACTCCGAACCTGCGGTCGTGTTTAGCCATGGACAAAAATCGAATGTGAACGGTAGGTGGAAACTTACATCTGGTGGACTGCGAAAACAACTCGCTTGGCAAACTTGCCATCACGCTCGACCAGACTACCGAACTGTTCCTCAACATTCTCCGGTGCAATCTCGGGGTCGCGGTCGAAACAATTGCGGACAACCGGCAGCAGAGCGTTCTCCACAGCAGTCTGGACAATGCCATCGCTGTCAACGACGACATCGTCCTCGGCAAAGCGGCGGATCCGAATCTCAAACGGTCTGGAGATGGCCATGACATTGTGTAGCCCATTGTGATGATAGCGAAGCTCAAAGGTGCCTTGCGTCCAGAAAAGCTTGTCGCCAGAGAAGACGATCTCGCCCGAGGCAACATCATGGCCCTCACGGCCATTCTGCTCGGCGGAACGAATAACTGTGTCGCTGGTAATGATGCCCTTCTCGCAAGTCGTGTTGTCAAAGAAGCCCTCGTTCGTGGCAACCCACCGGCCCTGGGAGGACACACGAGTAACCTCTCGTGAAGTGTTGTCGGTGACCCGGTAAAGGCCGACCCAATCCTTCTTGCTATGGTTGAGAGGTGCAGTCCACTTGACCTTGATCGGGGCACCATATTCAAACGTCAGATTCTTGAGATCACCTCGCCGATCCAGCGGCATTCGCGCGTTGGCGCCCTCGCGACCCTTGCCCTGCTCGGTCTCCTCGAGGGATTTGGCTTCGGTACCTTCAACCGACAGCGAGTAGTCGGAGACGTTCAAGCCAGCCAAATCAGCGTCAATGCGGGAGATGGTGATGCGAGCAGGGTACTTTTGGAACAAGGCGGTGGTGTCTTTGACGAACGTGTTGACTCCAGCTGCGAGTTTCGGGCGAGCATTGTCAAGAAGTTCCTCAATAAACTCAAACGAGTCATCAAAGATTTTATCAACGCTTCCGTGGAGCTGCTTGAGAGAAGGCGGCAGGGACTTCTTGAGGTTCTTGACCACACCACCATCCCGGCGGAGACTACGGCCATACAGCTTCTGCATATGAGGACGCTCCACAAACTGGATGAAAGACAAGCTCAGGATGTGGCTCATCAGGGCCAGGAAAGTAACCGTGGCGCTGCTCGTGATGAGAACGGCACCCCAAACACCGGCGAGACCCAAAACTCGCTCGGGGTTGTTGAGGAAGCGATAGATACCATCGTAGGTCAATTTGGGCGACTCATCAAAGAAGAAATCGCCATAGAACCAGCCGAATTCACCAAGAGAATCGTAGATGCTGACCGAGGTCCAAATCTGCAGGCTGATCAGACCAGCACCCAGAACGTGACGGAACAGGACCAGACCATAGCCCCAATCGGTCGGGAACGTGTACATTTTCCACGCAGCCGCAATGAAGCTAGAGTAACACATAATCATACTGAGGTGGTAAGTTCCCTTCCATTGATTCCAGGCCTCTTGCGGGGTTTCACCAAACTTGAGGAAGTGCCGGGTCCAGGCTTTGTTGCGAGACTGTTTGTTGAGAAGGTACCCAATACCTACAGAGTACCACAGCCGCCACGCCACGGCATTAGCCACGAAGAGAAGCTGATAACGCAGTGTAGATGGTGTCAAGGCAGTGACTGCGAATACAAGAAGCTGGACAAGCATAATCGACGAGTCCGTGGTTCTATATAGATCCAAGTTGTGCAGTCCCAGTAGGTTATGAACTGAAGGGGGAGGTTTGGCCGAGTACGAGGAAGACGCATTGGGGGCAAAGTCGTCGGACGGAGTAGGCGCTCTCGGAGTGTCCGGATCCAAGGGGAGGCTGGAGGTCGAATCAACCCACACTGATCGCTTTCGGGGTGGTGGCGCATTGTAGGTCTTGTCGATGTGTGGATTCTCGACAAGGATGAGGAAGGCGAATTGAGCTGCATGGGCAATGATTGAGATGAATAGGACCTTATAGCTGGCCGCCATCAGAGAGATTCCGTAGTAACCGGCATAACCGACCGAGTACATGGGGTGAGGAGCCATCTCGAAAACGCCGTCGAAGGTGAGTTCCTGATCAATGAGATAGAAAAAGTCACCCCAATACCAGGCATAGTCCTTGACTACTCGGTGCGCATCTAGTTTGACCCAGAGATTGAACAGAACGAGCACAATACCCGCTGTCCACCGGAGAATGGTCATGATGATACTCTCGTCCACTGGACGGTGACCACAGGCGATCGCAAAAAGGCAGTAAGAAGTGAAGTCACACATCAGGATCAAGTCCACTAGACGTCTAAAGACAAGCCAGGTATTGTATTCAAGAGGTGCATTGTCGAACGAGTAATCCTTTGGGATTTTGGTCTCAAGCTCCTTCTTGATCCAATTGTATAGAGCCGGATGAGGGTTCTGACCCGTGGCCGGATTGACGAATACTTTTGTCTTCTCTGCCCATCGGATCAGTGTTTTGTGGTGCGACTGGTTGTGGAGCAGCCATCCGATTCCTCCATTGTAGGCCGCCCGCCAGAATAGGTAAATGAAACCCAAGATAGGAACCTTGACGCTAGCAGGCAGATACCAAAGAAGAAGAATATGGATGGCCAGTAGGGCTATCACAACCAAATCGCCCACGTTCTTGGGTTCAGATGGCGACAAGAGCTGAGAGACCATGTCATGGGTCTGGGGCACCGTAAACACTAAGGACGCGACGGACGCTCAAGTTAGCGGGGGTGACTCCAAATGGCAGATCGTTGATAGGGGGTCAAGTATCGCCAATTCATCCCAATACCGAAGTTTGCAAGCAGTGGACAGTATCAAAATGGGATGCTGAGCAAAGACCTACCCGTTCCATCTGGAGTCCGGCCAAAGGTCTTCTTGTCCTTTCCGGCCTCATCCTTGGCTTCTAACTCGCCGGTCGCAGTTAGAGCATCACCGGCCCCAGTTGAATTAGGGCGTGGGACATTTCTTTCGCGCAGCCCATCGGGCTGCTGGGCACCTGTTGAACGGCCCTGGTCCATGATGTTGTTGAGGAAAGAAGCGGAATTGTTGGGAGGTGAACCTGTGACGACAGAAGCATGTGACAGTGTCGCAACAAATTGTTCTGTTTGCATCCGCTTTCCCACTAAGTCGGGTACCTATACCTACCCTGGTAGTATGTCAACACACACACAACTGGTTTCTACAGGGTTAGCCAGGTGAGTCTCTGGAAGAGTTCCGGGCAAGAAAGAGAGGAACAGGAGGAAGAAGATTAGCGGTCAAATTTATGGAAGAAAATCTGGCGCGTTGGTGTGGAACTCGACGCCAACGTTAACTCTCCATCTCATAGGATTAGGAGCAGCCCGCGAGAGTTAGTGCGGGCCCCCCTAACGGAGCAGAAGGGAAAAGAAACGGGACCCGATCATATCCCAAGACACTAATCACATCCTGGTTCGCTCTTCGCATATCTGACGCCAAATGCCTCGCGACACCATGGAATTAGAGAGTCGTCAAGTTCTCGGGAATTTTACTCCACGTCAATTCGCCATGTCCGGACCGGCTCGTGCAGAAGCGATGGGTTACACACAGCAGTCTTCTCCTCCAATCTTCTTCTCATTCAGCGGGGCTTGTCGCGGGGGGAGAGAGGTGTAGCGGCAAGTGCGGATACCAGACCATTCGTGCATCACTCCATTCTGCAGGTAGGGACTTGACACTTAACTCCTCCCATGGATCGCCATGGACCTGTCCTCTTGCGACTATAATGTTACAAAAGACTCGATAGAACGCGAGGCCTGCATTTTTTTACGCTATGATTTCTATCTAGAGTAGGAAACGCTAGCGAAGCGGGTCAACAGTAGCTACCACACCCTGTTTCTACAAACCTGACCTTACTGCGAGAAGAGCCAAGCATCTACACCAAAAGAACTAAAGTAACCGCTCTCATAATAGGTAACTGTAGCGAACATTAAATTTCCATTACAACAGAAATGCCTACAAAACACCCCACTAGTATCCACGATGCATATCAACCTCCGCTCGCCCGCATATGTACCTACATTGGTAGTGCTAGCAATGCTGTTGTCAATGCGCCAGCAAGATTGATAATGGATCTTGGTATTATTGCTCCAACGTTTCCGCTGCAGCACTTGCACTGCCTCTCGAGTTCCATCCTACATGGGCACAAGCCAGTAATATCATCACTAGCAGGGCTGCAGACGAATATGACCCCGCGCTTTGTGTCTGACCCTCCGGCTGCATAAATTAGTGCAGCACTGCAGCAGTCAAGTCCACTGGGACTGGCTAGAACCGATCATCGTGCATGGGGTGCCACGCAAGATCAAGATTCTGACCGTGACTTAAGTTCTGACAGGACCAAGGGTCCGAGGAGAAGATGGTACCTGCGGCATGGCCGTTCAGCCGACCGGCAGACTAAGGTCCGTGATATCTACCCAGTACAAAGGATCTGTATAGGTAGAAGGGTCTCTTTCTTGAGAACTCCAGATGATGGATAGCATTCTATTGCTTTCAGTTGCTATTTAGCACTTCATCGTATACTCGACCCAATAAAGCTCAAATTGTTCTAGATATTGAACTAAATGCGATGGAAAGGCTCTTGTAACGAGATCAATGGCAATGACTCGCGAAATCTTATCTAAGTATTTAAGCTTTTTCGAATGATCAGTCTTCTCAATCATCACTCAGAAACCCTTCCTCATATACCCTGTTTGAGATAGAGCTCTTACTAGCTTCGTCAAAAAGAGCCTTAGCGAACCCAGGTAGATATGCCAAGGATCAATTTGAGGCGCCGAGAGTAGCTTGGTACCTATCAATGATCTTATTGAATGCTCAGGCCACTTGGAGTATTGCTGGATCAGAGAAGATTTCTAATTCAAGTCCTCATCATACAAGAAGCTACAGATTGATTGCAAGATATGTATCTATAGAAATTGGACGGGCTACATGGGCGGTAATTGGCTCTATTTTTCTAGTCGTTCATGGGTACGGCACAACTCTGTTCATGCATTGACTGATTTCGGTCATATATTGACTCCAACCGAAAGGGATAATCGTGTAAGTGCACTCTAAGTCTATCGAACAAGATAGAGGGGCATCATGTAGATCACGTGCCTTATCAGGAACCCCGCCCAGCCAATCCCGGTGTCGGCGTCTCCAATTTAGTCATCCCCGCTTATCAAGCAGCATATCCGCCACCATCGATTGACTTCTTGATCATCTCTCTGGGAGTTTTCTGCCTACCCTCTAGCCAGATCACTTTCTTGGTAGAATCATACTCTGATTAGTGATGGCGCCGTTTGTGGAGGAGTCAGCCGTTGTGGCCTCCCTCGCCGCCCATGCCAGGAAGGCGCCGACAAACCTGGTGGCCCCAGAGCCAGGTACGTTCTTGATCGTGTGGACATAGTTTGCTGCAGAGCCACATCTAACATTCACTTTAGAGCACTGTCCCGGTCCCGAATCTGAGCAAGCAGGCCAAGGCGATGCCTGTGCTGGCTGCCCAAACCAACAAATCTGCGCCTCCGCACCCAAAGGCCCCGACCCCGACATCCCGATTATAACCGAGCGTCTCTCGCAAATACGACACAAGATCCTGGTTTTGTCAGGCAAGGGAGGTGTGGGCAAGTCGACGTTCACCACGCTCCTGGCACATGCGTTTGCTGCGAACCCTGACTCGACCGTTGGTGTCATGGATGTTGATATTTGCGGGCCTTCCATCCCCAAAATGATGGGCGTGGAAACGGAGACAATCCACGTGAGCAACGCGGGGTGGAGTCCTGTGTGGGTTACGGATAACCTGGGTGCAATGAGCGTGCAGTTCATGCTACCAAACCGCGATGATGCAGTCATCTGGCGCGGTCCGAAGAAGAACGGATTGATCAAGCAGTTCCTCAAGGATGTGGACTGGGGCGAGCTCGATTATCTGATTGTTGATACTCCCCCTGGCACTTCCGATGAGCATCTCTCAGTCAACTCTTTATTGAAGGAATCTGGAGTCGACGGAGCCGTCGTCGTGACTACCCCACAGGAGGTATCTCTACTTGATGTCCGCAAGGAAATCGATTTCTGCCGCAAGGCAGGCATTAAGATTCTCGGGTTGGTGGAGAACATGTCTGGGTTTGTTTGCCCCAACTGCACACACGAGTCGCAGATCTTCCGCAAGACCACCGGTGGAGGTCGCCGGCTCGCCAAGAAGATGGGAATTCCCTTTCTCGGGGCTGTCCCTCTGGACCCTAGGGTGGGCATGGCTTGTGACTACGGAGAGAGCTTTGTGGACAACTTCCCAGATAGCCCAGCTTCCAAGGCTATCAAGCGTGTTGTCCGTGCTGTCGGTGAAGCGGTTGGGGAGAATCCAGATGATGTCCTTCCCGAGGACCTGGTTGGCTGAGAGTTCTCTTGGCCTTTTATTATGATATATCTTTCTTTATAGCGCTTTTGCATGAGGCTAAGGTGAACTCGAAGGTACGGCGTTTGGGCATAGAATTTCTAATTGATACCATGAATCATACGAACACTTGAGAATACCTCCCCGCCGATCGATCAATTATCGGATCGAGAATTAAGTGAACGAGCTAATCTTCGGAACGACAAATCCGCGACAACAAAGCTCGAATCCAAGTTTTCGTCTTGTTTGTTAGACTAAGCTGAGCTATTGTAGTCTGGGAGAATCGGCCGCCGAGACTGGCTAAATGTGCTGTCAAGATTATCCAAGACAGGATTTACGATTAAACGTTTGGCATCCCACATAACATGGGGATATCAGAGCAGCCGGAGAAATACTCTGGCTTATTCCTCGTAAATACCTCGGCTCTTGGCGGTAGTGCAGTCAAACTGGAGCATCTTTAGCGCAATACTGGCATTCTTGAACATCTTCCTACTGACCCATTCTCTATTATACTCGTACGAAGGACAACCACCTCCCCCTTGTGCTTCAAGGGGACAGTCCACAGTGTAGTTCCACAAGCGCTGCAAAAGTGTTTCTCTTTGGGAAATCCACTGTCCGTACCTGACGTGATGCTAAACACAGAGACAAGCTTCTGTGGGTCTTCAACGTGGAGCTGGGAGCGAGAGAACCTGGCGGTCTAAGTTGAGGTCGGTTCGTTCTCAGCAAGTCGGGATATCTGAAACTGCGGGGAAGAGTATTAAAGGTAATCTGCGTCTCCTGAAGGGCATTTTCCACGGAGGCTTCGTGCTCAGAGAGATGCCAAAAACATGGCAGCCTAGCTCCTTGCAGCATATGGGCAAGCCCATAATGATGTACACGCCATGATATAGTATTCTCCCCAACGGCAGCAGGGCAACAGTTGCTGACCGCCTGCCCTAGACTTACGTCACATGATATGATCCAGTCCTGTCGCAGGGTACTTTTGCCGTCACTCTTATCGATAACATACCTACTCCATTTGGTACTACTAGTCACCCTTTGTTAGTAGCCTTCTCGCTTCTCTCCTTCTGCCTCATCTTCCTTTCGCTATACACCCCTGTGTAGCCAATATGCTGTCTCCGCCATCATCCACAGTTTCGTCCTCTTTAGCTGCAAAGGATGTCGACACGGCGAAGTCCCTCGATAGGACCGAGTCAGATCTTGCGTCTCGAACCTCGCAGGGCCAGGTCGAGGTAGCGGGTGTCTGTTATTCGCACCTGCCATTCGAAATCCCGGATGCTGTGGTGTTGTCTGCCCCCTCTATTTCTGTCCTTCAACAAACTTCGAACGATATATATCATCAAATCAACTCCGACACGTCGTACTCGAACCAGTTTATTACCATATTGAACCTATCCCGACAAGTGCAAGAGCTAATCGCTGGAGATCGAAATCCCCTTGATGTTCCCTACAGATTGACACTCGACACACAGCACCAGCAAGGGGTTATTCGAATCATGCCCTCAGGAGCGCATGAGCGAGTAACACGGTCATTTTCAAACGCACTCGTCCTGAAATTATTCGAAATGGGAATCCATCCAAGAGATTACACTATGAACTCAGCCACCCGGTACCACGGAAAATCATGTGATAAAGAAGCCGATGAGTCTCTCACTCCGTCGCGGGATACTTCTTCCGATAAGGAGTGGCCTTCGCTCGTTATTGAAACGGGTCTTTCTGAATCAGAAGCGCAACTGCGAGCCGACGCATATTGGTGGTTTTCAAATTCCGACTACAAAGTGAACATGGTTATACTCTTTCATATCCAAAGATCCCCTGAGCGCAGAGTCACCATAAAACTTCACAGTCTCAGACCTACCAACCCCAGAATTACCCGTGGACTACAGGCGGAGGCCCAGCGCACTTTGCTATCCAATCCCGTGCCATCTCAAACATATACCCCAATAGTGCTGCGTCATTCAGCGGTCCACGAGATCGTTATTACCTCAAAAGATGTTCAGAATGCTCCGCTGGAACTAGATTTCGAATCCGTCATGCGCCGCAAGCCGGCACCAAACACGAGGGAAAAAAGCATTACATTCGCGGCTAAGGATCTTGCTGAGTGCTGCAACCATGTTTTTCTGGAAGCCTGAGCATTATCACTACATGCATGATTTGTATGTTGAGCCCGACGGATCGTCATTTGCAAATTATGATGAAGCTGCATGGTTGTACATCAATTACGGTCGCCAAGCTGCAGATCAATGATTTCGGGGGTTCAAGCTCAAGGATTAAGTCTAGATTCCGGTTTTTGGAGGTTCAATCATAATGGACAGCAGCAGCTCAATGTGTGGCTGGGGGTTCCAGATTTGCCTGCTATGATCTAATCCTCCGCATGATGGGGGTAACACGAATTGACACTGCTGTCACCATAGCTATATTATCTAATTATAGCGAATCCATTATGGCGTAAGTTGCCCTGATTCCTCCAGGTCATTTCTTAATGATCGACGGACTTTGCGTGAGACCCTTGGTACTACAGCTGGTTTCAGGTGTAGATGACGCAAGACAGCAGAGAGCGGATCAAGCATACACACACTAGAACTCCACAGATTTGAATTTTAGCTTTTGCGATCGTAGTAGAAGATGCCAGCACGTTCAATCGCTTTTCGTTTTCCTTCTAAGCCAATTTCATGCGTAGCGTATAGGGCTGATGGTGATCCGTCGTCGATGCAGTATAGTAAGTGGCGCTCGGGTATGACGTTACGTGATGACATCGGGAGCCGGTTCCTTGCCACGATGTTCAGTCAAGTTCCCCACAATTGACAGCTTAAGGGATCAACAAAGCACCGTTTCTTGATGGTAACAGTCCATATCCTTGTAAAATACAACGTCATCTCTCTTATCATGATTTGGGGGCTTGATAGCGTCATGAGCTTTCAAAGCTCTCAAAGCCGTATATATACTCTCGTTTGTCACAACGAAACACTCATCTTTCTAACTATCAAATAAACTCACACAAAGCAACACTTCTTCTGCAACTCTTCAAAAACTCATTCCTCCTTCCATCAACTTCAACTTCTACATATTCATCATTCATCATCATGTCGAACATTATCCATAAGGTCAAGGATGCTCTCACCGATCACGGTGACAAGTCTTCCAGCACCCACCATGACTCTACCAAGTCCTCCAACTACGGTCCTCACGACGGCAACATTGCCAATGCCGCAGACCCTCGCATCGACAGCGACCGCAGCAACGTCGGCACTCATCACACTACCGCCACTGGCCACTCTTCCACTCAGCCTCTAGCCACTGGCGCTGGCGCCAACACTTACGAGTCTGCTGGCTCCACCAACCACGGCCCCCATGGCAGCAATGTGGCCAACAAGGTCGACCCTCGTGTCGACAGTGACCGTGATAACCGTGCTGCCTATGGCTCTCACAACACCACTGGCCTTGGCTCCAACACCACTGGCCTCGGCTCTCACAACACCTCTACCGGCCTAGGCTCTCACAACACTTCCACCGGCGTTGGCTCTACTGGCCTTGCTACTGGAACTGGTGCTAATGCTTACGAGTCTACTCGTTCTTCCAACCACGGCCCTCATGGCAGCAACATTGCCAATGCTGCTGATCCCCGCGTCGACAGTGACCGCAGTAACCTGGGCACTCACGGCACTCACACCACCACCACTGGCCACCCCTCGACTGGCCTAGGCTCCCACACTACCTCTACTGGTGTTGGCTCGACTGGTCTGGCTACTGGCACTGGTGCTAATGCTTACGAGTCTACTCATTCTTCCAACCACGGCCCTCATGGCAGCAACATTGCCAATGCTGCTGATCCCCGCGTCGACAGTGACCGCAGCAACTTGGGCACTCACGGCTCCCACCACCCCTCTACCGGTCACTCTACCGGCCTTGGTATGGGTGCTGGTTCTGCTACCGGCGCTGCTGCCGGTGCCTATGGCCACCACGCCTACGAGTCTAACCGCTCGTCCAACCACGGTCCCCACGACAGCAACGTTGCCAACAAGGTCGACCCCCGTGTGGATAGCGACCGCGATAACCTTGCTACTCACGGTTCTCACAACACCACCGGCCTTGGCTCGAACACTACCGGTCTCGGCTCCAACACTACCACCACTGGTACTGGCTCTACTGGCCTGACTGGTCACCACGGCACCATGGGAGGTGTCCCCCAGCAAGCCTCCACTCACTCTCGCGCCACCGGCCCTGCCAGCTCTACCGCCGGCCCCCACGAGAATAACCTGGCCAACAAGGCTGACCCCCGCGTCGACAGCGACCTCAGCAAGGAGAACAGCGGCCGCTTCGACAAGGACGTGCACAAGGGTAGCATTGGCGGTGCCGGTGTGATTCCCATCTCTGGCAATGCCGGTCCTACTTCCACCAAGACCTTTGAGGAGGCTCAGCATACCGGTGCTGCAGGTACTGCCGGTGCTGGTAGCAGCTACAACACCACTGGCAGTGGTCTTGAGCACAAGAAGACTGCTGGTCCTCACAAGAGCGATATTGCTAACAAGCTTGACCCTCGTGTGGACTCTGACCTTGATGGCTCCAAGACCATTGGTGGATCTCAGCGTGTCTAAATTTGTAATTTTACGATAGCCAGCTCTTTTTCTTAGTTATGTGTCATGAACCATGGAAATACACGTTCTAATGAACAATTAAATTGAATTCAAGATTTCTTAATTACGTCTACCCATAGCTACGTTTGTACCGAATTTAAAGAAAATGGATTATCTCACAGCTAAGTCTATAAAGGACATACCCCGGCGGCGCTAGAACAGAGAAACAATCGACTCTTATAGGTCCTTGAACTGATCAAAGTCCTCAACAAGAGGCTTGACGATATATTGAAATACCGCGGCCTGAAATTCCTCACTCTCCATGTCCACTTCACGACTCTTAGTCCAAAAGAGACACTGTTGAACAGCATCCCCGTATTGTGTTCCACTTTCACAGGTAACATCATATATCCAAGTTCTGGCCTTCTCAAGCAGCGTGGAGATCTCATCTTGGCCCGGGTCACTCGGCGGATGCAGGCAGGTGATTGTTCGGCAAAGAGAAAGCTCGATTAAAGCTAGCCCTAAAGGAAAAAGAACATCATTGAAGGCTGTCCAGGGGAGTTTGTAGCCTTCAAATTCCGTGGGATTGGATAGTTTTCGGGCTAGAACAGGTGTTCGAATCGTCTTTTCGAGATTGGTGGAGGTGATATTTTTGGTAAAGAAAATGTTGCGAGATGACCAACGTGATGGAAGCCAATTTCCGTGACATTCGAGAAATGTACTCGCGAGCTTCGCTGCTAGGAAGCGACGTTCCCTTTTGGGGAATATCAGGGGTGCACGGAAGGTTTCAGTGGCTGATAGAGACGCGAGAAGTAACTCTTCAAGTGAAAGTAGTTCCAAGTTCCCGGCATCGGCCTTCAAAATCTGGAAATCATGGGTATATTGTCCATCAGAGAGATGACCAATTGGTACTCCCTGGCCGTTGGGAATTGCACAGCCGTAGATTGCGTGACATATGTTTGAGATCTTGGAGGAAGGGCGACTACTGGACCCAGTGCCAGGGTCTGTGTAGGCAGTCGGATCGACTAGTGGTGGGGCAAAGCGTACACCCCGCGATCGTGTTATAGTAGGCGGAGATGAAGCGACATTCGTCACCTGAGTCTGTGCTGTTTTTGCTTCCATTTCATGCCATTTTGGAAAAGCTGTGGTCGTCGAAGTCGTCATCAATACTAAACGAAGCCGGTCCAGCTCCATTCGATCGCAAACGTTAATATCTTTGTCGAGAACAAAATGAATAGAATGTGTGTCAAAACACGAACACTGCCAGTAAGTCCTATTCATTAATGTCCCGTAAAGGCTAGCTGTCGTTTGTCGAATTGATTTGTATCTTCTCATGGATTCTTTCGATTTGGTCTTGAGTCTTTGCCGCGTACTTCGGGTGACAGATTGATCGACAAGCATTCGGATGATATTGTTCAGATTGTTTAAATTGTCAAATAGTTCTTTGTAAATGCTTTTCGAAAGAATATCTTTGATTTTATGGAGCCCACGAAGGGTAACGACAGGCTGTCCTTGAGTAGACTGAACAAGCCTTGTGAGCCCCATGTGCTCCGTGAAACATATCAAGCAGCTTAGTGCCGGCCAAGATCGACAAAAGATCGAGCCACCTATTCTGAATAGATATACTTACTAAAGTACCAATTGGAAGCTCCATTTTCCTTGCAAGCTCTTCGAGGGTGTGAGAAACTTGGCTCATGATGTCGCAAAATGGTGTATAGTCCCGGCCTAGCCTTTGCTGAAGTTGTCTCTGGAAAGTTACATCCGCCCACAGCGGATCTCTTGTATTTGCCAGGAGTCTCGAAATTTGATCTTCGGGAACTGTATCTTCTAGTATCACTTCCAGACAATTGATCAGGATTGCGTATTGTCCGCCCAGAATCGCCGCGTGTTCATCCAGATATCGCCGATACCTTTTTGTTCGAAAGGACTTGATAGTTTCCACTCCCTGGACATAGTTGTCCAGTTGGTTGATAATGAGAGGGAGTATGGCTAGAACCAGCCCGGTCACCTCAATACCGGTAACCATTTTGCCCGTTGGTTATCGAGACAGGCATCCAGATAGCTAAGAGGGAGTCGTATGAATGAAGCTCGAGGCGATTTCTCTTAGCCTAACTCGCTGACCCCGCCCTGCAACCCCGCCCAACCAGAGCCTCACAGATAACAGCTGTCACGGCGGGGTAATTCTATGTGCTTATCCTGGGAGTTTCTGCTAGAGACCCGACTCCTTTAGTAATTCTTTGATAAGTATAAACTATGGACGCTGGAAAGCCAATATCATCACAAGTCGAGATATGCCGAAGCCAATTTCAAGAACTGTTACAGTCTGGGGCTTTGATTCGATTCGAGTCCACAGTCGCATTTTCACAATGGAAAGATGAACTCGGACGGTTTCGGGTCTGGATAGCAAACATAGGTGCTCATCAATCCTGCCAGTCGTCCTTGGATTATCGATTACGAGATGCATCGCACATTAAAAGTCAAGTAACGAGACAGCTTCGCAGGCTCCATCGTTTACTTATGGACTTGCAAGATATCACAGGGGACACATCCGATACGGGAGTGTCAGACGATGAGCTCGAATTCGACCCGGCGGAAGAAGTTCAACTGATCTATTCTGATCTTCTTCACACGATTACCCGACTTTATGAAATGTCTATAATCATTCGAAAACCATCTGCGCATGACCGCTTCCGGCAAATTCAAAAGTCCGATTACTCCGAGTTTGAATTTTATGATCGACAGCATGTCTATGCCAAATATCCCCATGCAGACTTTGGTATCTTGGATCGACTTGGAGTTGCCATTTCCAAACGCCGAGCCCTCTTGAAGTACCGCGAAAGGCATCGCCAAAAGCTTGGATATGGGGCTGATGGAGAAGACGGCAAATCCACAGCCCCCTCGGAGACCGTGGCAACTGAGTTTGTAGATCCAGCTCTGCACTCTTGGGATACGCAATCAGAATCAGATCAATCCATGACATCATATGGGAACTTGAAAACGGATGGCGATCAAGAGATTGCTCATCTAAATCCACCAGAAGATGCCATGACCGGTAAGCCATTTGAATGCGAGTTATGCTATCATATTATAAAAGTCAGTGGCAGGCAACCCTGGATGCGCCATGTTTTCACCGACTTGATGCCCTATGTCTGTATCTTTCCAGACTGTAAGACTGCGGATCGAGTTTACGAAAGGAGGCATCAATGGGTGGAACATCTGAAATCCCATACCGGACCTTCACTTGACCAACGACCTAGCCGAGATACCGCTTGTCCTTTATGTCAGAAGACGGCCACCCGAGGTTCAGACTTAGATCGACATATTGCAAGGCATTTAGAGAGTCTGTGTCTTTTTGCCGTGCCACGAAGTTTATTTGAAGACTGGAGTGTCCCGGCGTTGGAGAATGAGGAGGAGGAATCATCTCCTTCTTCCCTAGATGAGGGTCATGCTGAAGCCGAAGAAGTAGGTGATTCTTACATCTGAAATTTGATATATGCTCACCCAGTACCTTGAAGAATGAAAGCAACATGGCGTCCGACACGAACCAACATGCGGAGGAAAATTCGGCGAACTCATCGCCGAGACAGGTCGTAAGGGATTTACGAGCTTCTTGGTGGGCATGCGTAAGTTTTTTTTCGCAAATCCTAGCTTATGATATAGGCTTTACTAAGCGAAGCTTAGTAAAGTTGCGATAGTCTTAACAACCCCGATCTGGCCCCAGCTCAGTGTTGTGTTTGTTCCCATTACAACTGCGGCGCCTGTACAGATATAATCGTGTAGAGGAGTTATAAATTATTTGAGCCAAGTTAGATCTAGAAAGTGGAATTCGTGACATTTACACCGAGAATGATACTTCCGAAGAAATAATCGATGCCCTTGCCGCCCAGTTGGTAGATAGTTATGGAAATCCAGTAAACTCGATAGTTTGAAAAAAAAATAAGCACTTGAAACATTCCTGTCGAGTATGACGACTCTACCCCCTACCCCCCTCTTTTCTCCAGACTTCAGATAGCCACTGCTGAAGGATTAAGTTGATGACGACTACGGATGTGAGTTGTGACAGGTAGGCAAATACGTCTACTGTAAGGCGTTGCGATAATCTTGGACGATCTCTGATCTATAGACGCCGATCCGGCAACACCGGCGCGGCGGATCAACAACCTACAGAGCGGCATCACAAACCCTCGGAATCAGTTTATCACCCGAGATCAATCCGAGTTTAATCTATCGTTTTGGTGTCTCTCTTTTATCTTTTTTAGCGGCATTCTATAGTCTATATTAACTGTGGAGTGACAGGTCATACTAAAGTAGTCTGTGATTGGCTTGCAGAATTACCTCGGCAGGCGCCGAAGGAGGGAGGTTCGGTCGAGAACTGTACATGTTGCAACCCAGGAACACACCATGCATAAATTACAGCAGGTACTCAACTACGGAGCAACACTATGGAAGAAGTAACTAACAAAAACTTGATCCCTGATAGGTCATAGTGAGCCATCTCCGTGGTTCCCCACCGTTTCAAGGGGAAGTGCATCCGAGCAAGCTAATTGGGCGTCTACCCGCACAGAACTGTTTCAGGATCAACAGGCTAACTTCGTTAGCTGATTAGCAAAGGTATGCTCCGTACCTTTCTGCTTCTGCATAGTCTGACTACCGACTTCGACTGGTCTCGCCTGTCAAGAGCCCAAGGCACCCGCCGCCCAGGAGGTGTACTCCACCCACTCCAGACATCCCAAACGCCCCAAGACGCTGCACGGTCACAGACAAATGAGCCGCCGAGCTTTTCGAGCTCTCTAGCCTATCCGGAGCTTTGCCCCTGACTGGGAGTTTGCGGTGACGATGCCTGTCGGAGTGTTTCTCTGGCGCTGGCTTGGTAGCGCGCCGAGCAAGAGCCAAGGGCTTGAGTCTACTGCTATGTTGCTGATAGGTGGGATGTACAGAATGTGGCCAGCGATTAGAAACGTACTATGTTGGCTAACGCAGCCCACAGTACGTACGCCATGCCTTTTCGATGGTTTTGATGGGTTAGTTCCTGGGTACGGGGGTGTTGGCGTGGGAAAAGGGCCTTGTTATTGTGTAATTGCTAAAGGTCCCTTTATAGATCTACAACGGTTTCCCTCCCGGGCTTGTCGGGAGTGTTTCTCATTATTTTGATAGATGGAGCTGTTTCTCTTTTTCATCTAATCTCTTCTCTCGTTACTTCACTTCCTTCCCTTTCTTTCTTGTTTGCTTGCTTCCACTTTCGTTCTCTGCCTGCTGGCTTCGCACGGTCGAGGCTGCAGCCTTTGTTCACGAGCACACAATCCTTTTGTGTCGTGTTTGAAACAATCGCATTCATTTTGAATCGCTGCAGTGTAGACCATATTCTCTCCTTTAGCCCTGGAGGCTTTTTGATTCTCTCTTTCTTATTAATCTGTCCCTCGTTTTCGGGTTCCCGGCTTTTTGACACTTTCCAGCGGGATCTGATTAACTCTTGCGGAGTCGCTGTTCAGACGAGATGCATCTCATTCTTTCTCTTCTCCTTTTTCTCGCCTTGAGCTTCGATGTATTGGCTGCACCAGCTCCTCGTCCGGTCCGGAAAAGCAGGTCTTTCCAGATCGATCGTGTTAAGCGCAGTGACTATGTTCCTCATGGACCTACCGCGTTGCGCAAGGCGTTCCGCAAGTTCGGCATCACGCCCGTTGATTTCACCAACATTACTCTGAATGACTTTGAGCCTTTTGACCTCAAGACTTCCGTGGTCAAGACCAATCAGAACACCATCAATGAGCCTGACCAAACGGGCGCTGTCAGTGCGACCTCGGTGCAGAGTGATGTTGAATTTGTCTCGCCCGTTACAATTGGTGGCCAAACCATCACCATGGACTTTGATACTGGATCGGCTGATATGTATGTTGAAACTTTATTATCTACCTGATCATCATTCAAGAATCTATCACTAAGATACCCCTCGATCTTCCCTTCTCACAGGTGGGTCTTCAACTCCGAACTCCCATCATCCATGACGCAGAACCGCACCGTCTACGACCCCACCAAGTCAAGCACCTACAAGAAAGTCGACGGCGGCACCTTCAATATCAGCTACGGCGACTCCTCTTCTGCCTCAGGCGGCCTGGCCCAAGACACCGTCGACATCGGCGGCGCAACCGTCACCAGCCAAACCTTCGGTCTCCCCACCACAGTCTCCTCCTCTTTCGTCGAAGACACCAATTCCAACGGCCTAGTCGGTCTCGGCTTCTCCTCAATCAACACCTTCAGCCCAGGCCCGCAAAAAACCTTCTTCGACAACATCGCCCAGGATCTCGAGGAGCCCGTGCTGACAGCGCGCCTGCGCAGCGACGGCGTTGGCGAGTACGAGTTTGGCAAAATCGATTCTACCAAGTACACCGGTTCCCTGGTGAACGTCAGCGTGGACTCGTCTGCGGGCTTCTGGCAGTTCGAGGCTGGGTATTTCGCTGTTGGAAGTGGTTCTTTGCAGAAGGTTACCCAGGTGCCCAAGGCTATCGCGGATACGGGCACCTCGCTTATGCTGGTCAGCCCTGAGGTGGTGACGGCTTATTACAAGGAGGTTAAGAATGCGGCATATTCGAGTGGTGTGAGCGGTTGGATTTATCCTTGCTCGGCCGAGTTGCCCAGTTTGACTGTTGCGCTGGGTGATAAGTATCAGGCTACTATTCCGGGGTCGTTGGTGAGCTTTGCGGAGGTTGGGAAGAATACGACTACTGGTGAAACTGGTGAGTTTCTCTGATATAACCATTTTAGATGCGCAGTTTGAGCTAACAATTGTCTGCTAGTGTGCTACGGTGGCATCCAGTCGAACCAGGGTTCGAGCTTGCAGATCTTTGGCGATGTGTTCCTGAAGGCTTTATTCGTTGTGTTCGACCAACGAGGTCCGTCTTTGGGCTTTGCGTCGCCTACGTGATAGGCGTGCGGTGGATGATACTGTGAAAATCTATTAGGGGATGATAATGGTGATTGAATACGTGGAGGAGGGCTGATTACTGGTTTTGCAAATACTGTAGATGTACATTTTCATAGAAGCGAAGACGTGAGATAGCTGGCTATACTTGAAGCAATTCATTCCTCGTTTAACATATGGACGACTGGACCGGTACTATGGGGGTTCTTTTTTGCCATTTGTTCTTCATCTCTCGTGGGTATGCGAGTAACATTGATTTTAATTTTGATGTGTCCAGGCAACTCTTCCTTTACCGCACAGTAGCATTCTTCAGGCTGGTGACGGTACACACGATACCGGAAGCAGTAACCAGCTTGCCGAGGGCAGGCTTGCCCTCCTGCTCCTTGGCAACAGGGACTGCGCTGCTGTCAAAGGCAACCTCGAGGTCTTCGGTGGTGGTGAAACCGGGCTGGAAGGTCTCCCAGACCTTCTTCTTGGGGTTGAGCTGCTTCTCGGGCTCACCCTCGGACCAGCCCTGGAAGAAGATACGCTCACCGGCGGGAGCATCGGCAGGGGGGTTGACGAGCTCGACGGGGCCAGCGTGGGAGTCCTCACCCTCGGCAACGCGGGGAGAGGCAGCCAGAACCATAGCGGAGGACTTGATACCACGCATGGTCACGGGCTTCAAGTTGCAGACGGCCACAATCTTGCGGTTCTGCATCTCGGCCAGGGGAATCAGGCCGTTCAGACCGGAGCACACGGTGCGCACAGTCTTGCCGGTCTCCTCGTCCAAAGAGGTGTTGTCGGTGCCGGGGGCATCACCACAGTCAATAGTGGAAACGTACAGGGAGTCGGCATTGGGGTGGTTGACGGCACGCAGGATGTGGCCAACGCGCAGGTCGATGATAGAAGGCGTAGGAGGGAGGGCGGGGGCAGCAGGGGCCTTGGGCGCCTTGGGCTGCTTCTCCTTCTTCTCCTTCTTTTCCTTCTTGTTGGTCTTGGGGGCACCGGCGGCGGCCTCAGCGGCAGCTTCAGCAGGCTGCTCGGGCTTACCCTTGCCGACGACGAGGGGCTTCTCGACGGCAGCATCGGGGTTCTGGGCATTGGCCTTCTCGCGCTTCTTGCGCTCCTTCTCCTCCTTAGGGTCGACGGGCTTGGGCACAAACTTGACGTCGTTCACGTCGATGACGACCTTCTCCTCCTCGGGGATCTGCAGGGCGAAGAGCTTGGAGTTTTGCACAAAGTCGACATGGCGCACAATATGGTGATAACCCTTCTCTCCCGTCCGCTCCTCGGGCGACCACCTCTCAACCATGGGAGCCAGAAGGGCGTAGACCGCAATATCAGCGACCGAGGGCTTCGCACCAAGCAGGGTGGTGCGCGAGGCCAGGTGAGTGTTCACCTGGGCCAGGATGCTGCCAATAACAGCCTTGTCATCCTTGGCCTGGGCATTCTTGAGGCCCGAGACGGTGTTCAGCCACGTCTTGATCTCTGCGTCATCTGCCTCACCAAAGTTCACGGTGGTGAAGATCTTGGAGGAGGCGTGGAGGTAATCGGGCTCGGTGGCATCGGGAGAGATGGCGGCCGGGTACGAGCGGTAGAGGAGGGAGAGGAGCGAGGACTCGGGGGTAGCTGCGGTCGCCATGGTGAATGCGCGTGGAGGAGATGGAAGAAGAGAAATTCGAGGAGGGGCACGGATTGGAGTCAACGATGGGACCCGCGGGGTCGTCCTTCGGGCCCGCAATAGGCTCACACACCTGAAGAAATGCAATTTGACGAGGATCCCAAGGAGAATGGGATCAGTTTGAGCAATTGAATTATTTGATCAAGCTTGCTCACGCGATCTACTTGAAGCTTCTCCCTTTTTTTTCATTTCTTGCCGGCGCCGGGGCCAATTTTGATGACTCAGCTGATAGGCTCAGGTCCCCGGCCATAGGGCTACTTCGGGTACTATACTTGGTGGGAAGTAGACATACAAGAAGGGTATATGCTCAGGATGGTCAAACGTTCTATATGTCTGTGAGGTGTAACGGTTTTGGAAGTATTGGTAAGACTCCTCTCCTCGAACCAGGTCACAATAGAAGTTGTCTCGTCCACAATCTAGAATGATACGAGCATCCCCCATGCAGCTTCCAGCATTTACCATCTTTTTCTGGCATATCAATGTATCTGAAAAGCCATCTCTTGCCATGTGAAACATCTGTTGAGATTTCTCTACGAATTCACTTCAATTGCGAGATCTCAATATTTCACCACCAGAATTCCGTTTCTTACCACGCCCTTCCCCAGCATGTCAGGCAGGAGGGACAACGGTGCCTCGATCCATGGTCTTCTTTGTTTCAGATCAAGCCCTCTGGAACCCGATGCCTTTCTTGAGGCTGCATAGCCGTCCTGAGAGGCTTGAATGATGTTTTCCAACTTAAACCTCGGATCTGGAATTTCTCTCTCTGATCAGCGATAAGGCGCAAAGAACTTCTGGCATGGCGTCAATGGACCGAGAGGGTTGGTCAATCTGGATTCCCTGTACCTAGCCTTGGGGCAGGGAGACTCAAGGCCTGGCAGACGATTTTATTCTTTGTGTGAAGAAGACGAAGCTATTTTTCATGGCTCCAGGGCAGAATTTTATCTGATCCATCATGAAAATGACTTCATGCATATATCATCAACTCACACGGGGCATATCGGCACACCAAGAGCTCAATAGACCGCAATAATCTGGTATCTTTCAAATCTTCAAATTTTAGCTATCTCTGACATATTGGGGGATACGAGGAAGGTTCGTTTTGTCTACTCTTCGTGGAACTATTCCCTATTCCCGGCTGCAGATGCCGTGGATATAGAGGCCGGTTTTTTTGATCTCATCATTTCAACCGTAATGGATGAAAACCGATGGTTCGGAGCCGCGTCCGAGATGTACAATGAAGCCAAGCTACCACGGCACTGGCTCATCGCTTAACTAAGCCTATTACTTTCCCTTCGTTGTCATATTGGTCTCGTTGAGAACCAATTCTTCTCTTTCGGAGAGATTATACACATCTCAAGAGCTTCCAATGAACGACCCTGGCGGATTCATATCGCCAGAAGGCATTGGATACGTAAACGTAGGTTAAGATGATTCATTGCGGTAGGGAAAGAATTTCTTAAGAGCCTTTCATCGTCCTGTGAAGACAATTGATCTCACTCCGCCCTAGAAATCGGTCTTTTTTCCATCGATTGTTTCATAGTCGCCGTTCCTTGCCGCCAGAGTTTCGAAAAGCCGAAATACACTACTGGGATGGGCCAGATGATCCAAAAAAATCCGTACGTTCCGTAAGGAGTGTCTAGAGGGGGAAATCTATACGGAGCAGGAGCTTAGTACGGCAGATTCAATTGGAGCAAGCGATATAAATGGGCACTCACGGTAACGACGTGTTTTATGTGAGTTCAACTCCTCTCCTTCATCCCGTTGGCGAATGCTCATTGAATTAATAGAAGTGTCCTTGTCGCGATACCAGCTAGCTCTTACAGTGGAGGACAACTCCAAATGGCTAAGCAGTTCCACGTTAAGAACAGGCCATTCCCCCTCATGCAATGGGCGACAATGTCCTTTCAGATGGGAGCCGCATTTCTACCACCTATTTTGGTGCCGCTATCAGAATCATGGGGTCGGATGCCTGGATATGGCCTCGGATATGCCCTCTACATAATTTGTCTCTTTCCATCAGCCTTTGCACAGAAATTTGCCACTTTAATAGTAACCCGGTTCCTTGGCGGAGGTGCAGCTGCAGCTACTATTAACATCATCGGAGGCACTATTAGTGATATTTGGCGTGGCAGCGTTGCCCGGAGTCGACCAATGTCACTTTGTGCGTTTTCTGGTGTTGCGGGAATTGCCATTGGGCCTTGTATCGGTGGGGGTCTGCAAAGAATCAGTATCGGCACTTCATGGAAATAGTATGAAATACATTACTATACAAATTCCTGCTGAAGAATGGTGTCCTATCGACAGCTAGTCACTGACTTCTTATGTTCTTATAGGATCTTCTATTGCCAGATTATCTGGGGAGTGGCTTTGATTCTTCTATTTACTTTATTCTCTACGAGACCCGCGGAGACGTTATTCTAGCGAAACGCGCTAAAAGACTCCGCCAGCAAACAGGTCGACCAATCTATACCAAAACTGAGCTTGAAATGCCTGGTGCGTGGGAGCGGCTCAAATTTTCCACGACTCGCCCGACCCGCATGCTTATCACTGAGCCCGTGGTCACTTTCTTTACCCTTTGGGTCAGTTTCGCTTGGGGAATTCTGTTTCTCTTTTTTCGACAGCGTGTACAACACGTTCCATGAGAACTATAAGTGGGATATTTTTACCGTCGACCAGCCGAGCTCCCTATCCTTGTCGGTGCCATCATTGGCCTCACATTCAATCCTATACAGAACGCCATGTACAAGCAATTTGCTAGGCGGAACAAAGAAACGCATACTCCTGGTAAGCCCATACCAGAGGCCCGACTCTATACTTCCATTCCAGGCAGCCTTCTCTTCGCTGGCGGGTTGTTTTCGTACGGCTGGGGGAGAGTTGGCCATGGCTCAGTTCATTGGATTGTGCCAACACTGGGCATCGAGTACACTGGGATTGGGATTTATTCTATCCTGATGACTGTGATTAATTACATGACCGACGCCTACGAGAGATATGCTGCGTCGGCGCTGTCGGCTACCTCGTTAGGGCGCAACGTCATGAGTGTGCTTCTTCCACTTTCGTCCCCGGCCCTATTTCACCATTTGGGGTTCGGTTGGGCTGGAACCTTGTTGGGATTTATAGGTGTTGCTCTCTCTACCGTACCGGTGGTACTTGTGCTCAAGGAACCTGAAATTCGACAGCGCAGTCCTTTCATACAAGCGTCTACATTCGACTGAAAGGTAGCAACAAGCAACAAATCGACGTTTATGCATTGCTATGTTTGAAAATTCGGGTGCCTCGTAGTAAACAAATGAGCTCAGATGTAACCGTTCTACGCCCTTTTCCGCAGACGTGCGGGACTCAGAATGGCAGTCAATACTTCAACCAGTTAGACTTTACGCAAAAATAAACAACCCAATTTAAAGCTCAGACGAGTGGTATTTTCCTTGAATGCTTGAGCAACAATACGTCAATTATTTTTACCTCTGTTACCTCCAATTAGTGTCGGATCGAAGCATTAAGGACGAGGCTGTGGCTGTGGCTGCAAGGTCCATAGGCCGCAGCTGCGAAATAATACAGTCCTAATCACATAACAAGGCAACAAGCCCCTGACACTACACCGATAAAACGCACCATATCGGGATAGACCTAGATTCTCCAGCAAAAATTCATCAACCGATCCGCCACACTATCATTCTTCTTCAGGAGATCTCCGGATTGACATACTTGTACCGCTCAATGGTAGAAAACTGGCCCCACCTCGAACAAGCTCCGCTGTGATAGGCCAATTAGGGATGCACTAAAATGAGTCACGATGAGTCTTGGATGAGCAGCCAATCAAATACAAAGTCAAAGTGGGGTTCGATGCATCCAAGCGTTACATGGTCCCCTAAGCCCCCCTCTCAGCCCCCAAGCAGCCAAGTCCGCTTGCCGCACGCCGGATATAACACGACTCCCTCCCTCTTCATCGTTTCTTCCTCAGGACACCACTTCTCGGGCCTTTGCGACCGAGTTCAACAATTTCCTCCAAGTCCCCCCTGGACTTCCGGCTACACCTTCAAATAATCCAGTTAACGCGCTCCGGGCCCGCTTAGGCCCGACTAAAGTATCCAACCATGTCGGCCACCACGTGCACCAGCGTCGCGGCCATTTTCCAGACCTTCGTACTCTTCTGGCAGCCCCAGCAATGCGATCCCTCATTCAAACGGCCTCGGGGGATCTTCTCCATGGCCTAGTCACTCCTTTGTACAACATGAACTTCACGATCACTCCTTCTCTTCTTTGGCGCCTCCGTTGGAATGTATTCCTTCGGTTTCGCCTTACACCCAATCCTTAAACACCTTTACGACGCCAGAGTCGGATCTTTGGGCAGAGGCGCCTCTGTCCATTGCCAATTCTGACTGGAACGTTTTACCTATCGACCCTCCCCCGCTTTATTCCTCTGGCTTTGACGGGGTTCACGTAACCGTCAATGATATGGACTATGGCGTTCCTTCTACTTTCGGTTCGCTTTCGGATTCGGGATCCATCGAGCCTCGGCCTATTCCTTCCTCCCTCGTTCCTAGCCCGTCTAACTCCCAAGGTAAGAGTTGCTCTAAACGAACACTATCTCTACCCGCAAAGCAACGTTCTAACCCTCCCATTAGACGGGCACTCGCATGCTTCCCCTGTCTCCCAGATTCCCGGTTCCGTCTCAACATCTCTACCTAGCCCTGCCACCTCACAGGGTGAAGATGTCCTGACCCGTGTGGACTCGTCTCGCGTTGAAAAACGTAGACTAAACACACTCGCGGCGCGGAGATGTCGCCAGAGACGGGTTGACCGGATGAAGACTCTTGAAGACGAATTGGAGAGTATGCGGAGGGAGAGGGATGAGCTGAGACTCAAGGTCTCGAAATTGGAAGGCGAAACGGAGGCTCTTAAGGGGCTTCTGACTCGAAAGAGCAAATGAAGCTCCAGCGATATCCTTCTTTTTTTTTTCTAGCTGTTCTTTTAATGAATGAATATCTGTTTTGACGGCCATTTTATCCACCTTATCGTAGCGCTGTTCTTTCAAATTTTTAGATTCACTATAAAAGTCTAGGTCTTTTGTGATTTCCTCGAGAAAGGACGGCCTTATTCCGCAGTGGTCGTGCCCAGGAAATGTGGGACAGTCATTGTTGCACTCGTCTTACCCCACGGGGATATGCGGGGTGAGGAGCTGTACCTCGGATAGAGAGTCTATATAATGGCAATTATAATTGCCCTGGGATCATTCCATTTTAGAATACCCTGCTCTGCTGGCTATATAGCAACCTGCATATTTCCGCAGCTTTCTTACATCCATCCTATCCCCAATCTCTCTCGGCACACGCCCAGCTAAACTGACATCCACTAATCACTATGCGAGCCGTTCGCTACCACGGAAGAGAGGATATCCGAGTGGATGACATACCAGAGCCAGTATGTGGAAGTGGTCAGGTCAAGGTATGTTAGATCATCAATGCTTTAGCTGCTGTCGAAAGTTTCGGCTTCTCACCATCCAAAGATCAAACCAGCATTTGTCGGAATCTGTGGCAGTGGTAAGTCAGTATCTATATACTGATCCTCCAGATTTTTATCTGACCGGAAACTCTTCTTTTTAGATCTCCATGAGTATATGGGTGGTCCACATGCAGTGCCTCAAAGCCCGCACCCTATCACCGGCGAGAAGCTCCCTACAACGCTTGGCCACGAGTTCAGTGGGGTAATCGAAGAGGTCGGAGTAGATGTGACTGACCTCAAAGTTGGAGATAAGGTTGCTGTTAAGCCTAACTTGTCGGATGGTACTTGTTGGCCGTGCTCGATGGGGAGAATTAACTGCTGTAATAACCTTGGGTTTATTGGATATAGTGGTGAGTATCCCAAGATAAAGCATTATATCCCTCCGTGATTGTTACCCGATTGTCCGAAAACATTAATACCATCCCTCCAACTGCACTGACTGATATCTTGAAGGGAGTGCCGGTGGTCTGTCCGATCATATCGTCGTGGACCGGAAACATGCGATCCTGCTACCCGAATCAATGCCATTAGATATCGGAGGTAAACAAAACCGAAAACACACCTGGGACCATCAATAGTCCCTGATGATATACTCACATCTCTCATTCCACAGCACTGATAGAACCACTATCCGTCGCCTGGCACGCCGTCAACCGCAGCCCCCTCCAAAAAGGCGACACAGCACTCGTCGTCGGAGCCGGCCCCATCGGCCTAGCAATCGTCCAAGTCCTACGAGCGCGAGACATCGAAACCATCATCGTGGTGGAAGTATCCAAACGACGACGCGAGTTTGCCGCTACTTTCGGTGCATCCCATGTTCTGAACCCAATAGATGTAGACGCCGTATCAGAGATCCGTTCTATCACGGGCGATGTCAAAGGCGTCGCCATTGCTTTTGAATGCTCTGGTGTTCAGGCGGGGCTTGATACCGCCATGGCAGGTACAAGGGTGCGTGGAACCACGGTTATATTGTCGCTTTGGGAGAAGAAGCCAGTGCTGGATGCTTTTGCTGTTGTTTTGGGGGAGAAGCATATTGCTGGGGCGGTGGTGTATGAGGAAGGGGATTTTGAGGGTGTGATTTGGGCTATTGAGTCTGGTGAGTATTGTTTACAGATTCTTGATATGTACTGTGTTCATTACGTGCTAATATGAGCGAATTTAGGCAAGCTTCAGCCGCGATCTATGATCACGAGTACGATTCTTATGGAGGAGATTGTTGAGAAAGGATTCAAGGCGCTTATTCATGAAAAGGATAATCATATCAAAATACTGGTTGATATTTCGGCGTGATAGTTGCCTGAGGTTGTTATTTATTTATCTTTCAGTATTGTTTCGAGATGAGATGGAATGCCTCATTTATGGTCGTGTATTGTCACGCAATACAGCACTGTGACGAATAACCCAGATTGTGGTGGTTTCCGTCAACGTTGCATCCAGTTTAAGTACTAGTGATTCTCCATCCTCCTCGACCTCTCCATTCCCACCCACAGATCTCCCATAATGGGCAGATCAAAACCCCGCCAGCAAAACTTCCACCTGGAGGATCTTTCATGGGAGAAAAGACTCAAAGTCACCCTGTACAATAAAGACGACTGCAGTGGCGCGATTCGCGGACAAAAGATTCCCGGTGGCCTCGGACTGAAAGTCCAACGCTCGCCGTGATCCGTGGCATTCGACACCACGATGGTTTCGCCCACGAGTTACGCGGTGTCGCACCGGAATTCACTCGTGCACTTAACGCGCGTGCAATCATGAGCGGAGTCATCCCGGAGATCAATGACTCCTCCGAGATACCCTATTGCATCTGGTACCCGGAGCCTCCGCCCCAGGAGACCCTGCGCAATCTAGTGAAGCGTTATCCCAACATGATATATCACGCTGCTCGCGCCTGTGCCGTGGCGGGATATTTTAATCTTTACTCGGAGCTTCAGGTTCTTCCCGAGGTTTATATTGCCGCCGAAGCTCGCGACGCTAGCCTAGCAAGGAGGAACAAAGGCAGCGAAGCAATATACGAGCAAATAATGTCGAAGCATTTGAAGTTCGAGATAATGAATGATTATGATCGATCCGTCAATCTTGAAAACCCGCGTCCGGCACATCTAAATGGAGATACGGCGGTTTATTCCGATCTTACTGCCCATATGTGTCATGCAGGAGTGGACAACAGCAGTAAGTTTGGCGTCAATCTTGTTGACTACATCGAGTGGGATCTGGAAGAGTACAATACGTATAGCCACTTCAATATCACTGAGGACTTGGGAGTCGACGATTATAGTTGCGGTGCGCCTGAGCCTTTGGCTAGCTTTTGGCCACTTCTGTGTTCGCCTCTTCCGACAGACCTTCCACCAGTGAATAAAGACAACCTGATCCTACCGGCTGCATATACAGGTAACGTGGATCGATATGTACGCCTTCGACGCCCACAGATGATCGAACAAGAATTCCACGCAATCATTCTGGGGATATACCATTACCCCCTTTGGGCGCGATGGTGGAGCACACAGGTGCCGGAGGTTCCCGAAAGCAGAGAGGAGGTATCAATACGGTGCGCAGTTAATGTTCGACGCATTATCAGTGACGATATCACTTGTATTACACCTGATACCCCAGAATCGCTGGTTCCTTGCAGAATCTGGTGGCCTAGTGTTGCTTCTCCGGTGACCTATGTGCGTCTCGCACAGAAAAGGCCTGATATGATAGATTCTTGTCTACGAGCATGTATTGTCGCAAATTACGAAGAGGCGTGGGATGGTTTTGCTCGGGTCATCCGATACCCCGAACGATCCCAAAATCACTCGACTTTCTAAAGTCATCGGGTCGCATATCTATGCCGAGGCTAAGGATTCGTCAAATCCGCACTAGTTGGACGATATAATGTTGCTTGGAACAACCAGCGTGGAGAAGCTTGAATCCGGTGTGTACTACCTGGATGATATGCGCACTGCGAGATGGACTTATTCGCCGCGCTCCAGTGCCGGGAGAGTTGTGATCAAAGATAAGCCCTTCGCGTTGACATCGGGGCAGAGCGCCACAGATGGGCTTCGGAGAGAGCCTAGTAATTTGGGATTCACAATTTTCGGCATGGATGCAATTGGGCTGGATGATAAGATATGGGATCAGAGAAGCCATGTTGAAGTCCAGGAGATGTACGACATTCTTGATGCCAGAGATCTTTCAACATAGTAGTATATTACATTGAATAAAGCAACGGCTTCAGTCAACCCCTCCTAGAATTATGTACCGCGAGGTCAAGTACCTATGAAAGTCTTTCAAGTTTAGGTATTAGATACATAGAAACAAAAATCATAGGCTGTGTACTGCGGACGATTGACGCCAATTGCTCACAACCTCCAAGGCCAATAATATCTGCCTCGGGCAATTACTACTGTATAGATCTGATGTTTACTCAGTCCAATACTAGTGTAACGCCTACCGTGGATCGCTCATTTGCCGCGGCACACACCTCCCAGCATCCTGTATTTCGCTCTCTGGACCTCTTGAATATTCGCCGCATGATTGTCGTCCTTCGACGTCGCATCGGATCCTGAAGCTTTGAGTGTCCCAGCTCTATAAGCCTTGTAGTAATCATTGATTTATACTGTCACTTTCTTCTCTTGCTGGATTGCATCGATAGCCGGCTTCAAATCGCAGTCTGGTACAACTTTGCCGTTCGGAAGTATCTTGGAGTTGTCATCCCTCACCAAACCTTGGTAAACAGGTTTAGTTCCGTCCACATTCGCTTCGTCATATTGGGTTCGAAGAGCCAGGCTGATCGTCAAGTGACTTTCAGCAGTACGGATCACATCAACTCGCTTTCGAGCAAGGAAAGCGTCACTGAATGGAGGGTGACTGGGGGGTCTAGATTTTGTGCAAACCTGGCATTATTTGTAAGTGACCTAGAGAAAAGATCACAGAAACAGAGCGACTAACATTCGAAAATTGCGTTCTATATACTTTATGTATTGCTTTGTGGAATCGGTATAATCGCTGTTGACTTGCGTATTAGGTTGTTGAACGAATAAGTTCTAGTCGATTTCGGTTTGCGTAGCACGAGTTTTCTTTGGCATTGTAGGCGATCAAACTTTGCAAAGTAGCAACAGTGTCTCTCTCGAAAAATAAGAGCGCTTAAGGATAACTTTTAAATGATTATTCAAGGCTTATTTATACACTTGCCCTTTGATTAACGTATTGAGTATCTTTGTGCATCTACGGAGTACAGGCACTAAAAAAGGAAGTCACGCTAGGCCTAAATTAGCTCCGGCCGTTATGTCCGAGGCGCTGGGTGAAATGACTACGATTCTCCTTCCAAAGGCCACGAATAATCGTGGTCTTTTCACCGTCACCCCTTATTACTCCGTACTGTGTAGCTGATCGGGTCGGCCCAAAACTCTCTACTTTTTACAGGTAGAATCGATCGGCAATCCCGGGTCTTTGCCCAACACATCGCTGTACAGTGTACACAGCCCAACAACAACTGCACTCTCTGTATGTACCTCCATCACGCTAGCTAGCCGCCAGATCTGTAAAAACCCTCGCTAGGGCCAATGTCAACCGCCGATCCTTCCACGGTTCGTGTGTTTGACTTTGGTGAGTTGTCCATCAAGATCTGCCAAGGCTCTGCCAGCACGCCACATGGAAGCACACCATCGGGCCGAAAGCCACTTACCAGCATTCTTAATATAGTGGTTTGTAACTTTGGTGGTTTGGTAGGGTAGTATACAGATTGCATATACGGTTTGAACTGCACCTCCTTTCATCCTATAACACTAATATATTAGGAACAATTATCAAAATGTCCTTGTTTCAGCGGCAAAGCAGAGTTTTTTTTATTTTTATCTTCCCAGCGGGGGGCCAAGGGCGTTCCCAGTTTCCCACCTGGATGGGTTTGTTCCGCTTCGAGACTTCCGCTACGGCACTAACGCAGCACGTCGTCTGTGTCTGCATCTGATTGATCCACTGCTCGTCTTTTGTCTTTTCTTTCTGGAAGGGCTGGCCTCAGAGAGAGGGGCTAGGGGCTTCAGCCGTGAGCTGAGACATGCCGACACTGACACCGCTTCATGGCCCCCCATTGAAAACGATTGGCTTAACTAGGGCGGTTGGATCTTGGTTGAGCGATGGAGACGATCTGTGAGGCCCGCGGTTCCGTTGTCCGTATGTAGGCCGTAGTCCGTATATAGCTCGTCTTTGTCAGAGATGTATGCGTTGGATTTTTTTTTACCTTTCTTCCCATTCTTTCTGGGGCTCAGCTACGGCCCCTGGTTTCTATCTATTGATTTCTAGAGTGTTTATACCCCCTTTATTAAGCTTTTTTGTCGTTCCTCCTTGCATTCTCATATATCACTTTTATTGAGGACTTTGGGATGCGAGTCTAGCTGTCAATCTAATATTTGCATTGGTGATTCTTTAAAGACCCCGCAGATCCACAGCGTCGTCCACCTCAACCATATGCGGACTTGACGAATTACCAACACCACATACCTGGACATGGGGAGGTCACTCACAGGGACCGTGATCATCACCGGAGGAAATGGCTCACTAGGATCCGAGATCGCCGTGGCCATCGCCAAGACACAACCCTTCACACATCTCCTCCTCACAGCCCGACATCCCAAACGACAAGATGCGCGGGACCTCATCTCACGAATCCGACAAATCGGACCTCGATCAATCGAAATCCTCAGTCTCGACCTCACCGACCTCCAGTCGGTGACCAGTTTTGCCCATCGCACAATCGACCGAGTTCGAAGAAAAGAAATCCCTCCCATTTCCACCCTCATCCACTCCGCCGCCATTGCATCGTACACCGTCGACGAACTCACCCTGGACGGCTATGACCCGGTGTACCAGACCAATTGTGTCGCACCATTCTTCCTCACAGTCGGCTTACTCGAGGCGTTCTGCGCAGGCGATGGAACCCCCGACGGAGATGCGAAAGTGATCTACATCGGCTGCTCTGCGGCCTCGGAGGGTCGATTGGATTTCTTCGATCATAATCAAGGACGGGATAAGCGGCCGCCGGGAACGATCTTGAGTCGTAAGGAAGGGAATGTTCGATTCGGGAGTAGCAAGCTTCTCGCGAGCGTAGCGTTATATGCATTGCGACGCAGCCTGGCCAGTGTAAGTTCTTCAGTCAAGTTCTGATCCCGATCGCGGGCTCGACCCGTTCCACTCTGCAAAGTGTGCTGACTAGAAGGCTCCCCCAATTTTAGACCGAAAGCATTGGCCTGGACATCTTCACGCTAGATCCCGGGGCTATGACTGGGGACAGTCACCTGCGAACCGGGGCCCCCTTGTCCGTACGCATGGCAAATCAGACACGGTCGGGGCTGGGGCCGATTCTGCGGATGATGTCGCGCAGTTCGATCAACAAGGCCAGTGTTCCAGCCAAGGCGATCGCCAAAGTTGCATTCCGTCGGGGTGCGGTGGAGCAGGCCGAGAGGTACTTTATCTTAGATGGTGAGTATGAGGCCGCATCCGTCCTGGGGACGCTACGGCAGGGAGCAGCGATGGAATCGTTGTTGGTGCGGATGATGCGACAGGTGGAGGGGAGTTCGAAGGGATCGCCCGTGTCGATTAGTCCTGCGCCGACGACATATTGAGGAAGCAGAATGAGGGGGAGATTGTATGACTGGGGTTGATCAGGGTTGATCAGATTGGTGGATCCACCGGAGGATCACCAGGGGGGTTGTAGATTGAGATGTTTGGAGAGTGTTTGAACCAAAAGACTGGGTGATGCCGATTGGCTGAAGAGTGTCTGACGTACTACAGACTGGAGTGAGTTCGACTAATGTACGACTAGTACAAAGTACGACATCACTACGTATGCTACTTCGTATATACATAGTACTAAAAATCATAATCCACTTGACAATGTACTTGTCTAAGTATTACTTCGTGACCAATCTATTCCGTATTTACTACGGAGTACTCCGTACTAGTTTACTCACATTTGCCCTCGGGTTGGCTGCAAACGGCCACCCGGATTCGTCGCGTGTTTTTTCTAGGCGGAAAACGCTCAGATCGGCCCGACTGGAAACTGGAATCCCGCCAGTCGGTCCTGCGTACAATCATTTGGCTTCTATACCTTCAATTCAACTCTCTCCAATTTTCTTGCTGTGTTCTCTTCTCTCTTCTCTCTTATCTTTTGTGTCCCCCGCCTCTTTTCTACTTATCTTCTCTTCTTGCCCTCCCGTTGTTGATCTCCCTTCATTCCTCCACCGCCTCATCCGATTTCGAGCTGGCCTCTTCGAGACTCCCGACTGGTCGCGAGCCTCCAGAGCAATAGCTTCTTCAATCTTTCTCCGTCCTCGATGCTATCGATCTCCCCACAATGAACAGGCATTACGCCTCTCCAAAGGGCTATTCAGCCTACCCCCGAGGGCCCAACGACTTCTCCATATCGCCCAATCGGTACGTAATGGCCCCAGGCGCGCATGACGACCCCGTTGGAGCCACATGGGGGCCAGGATAATCGCCAAAAAATGATGGCTGGTCGAAACGGCCCCCTCCGAAAGATCAATTGATACTAACATACTCTGGTGACCATCCTTAGTAGCTTCCAACCTCGCTCACAACCCGCCCTCCGCCGACGACGTCAGCTCTTCCAACGGCTGCTCCTGCTCGGCGGGGTATCACTTCTACTAGTTATCTTCATCTTTCCTTCCTGGCGCGCGGCCATCATCCCAACCCTATCCCTCGGCCTCGTCCATCCATCAGAGGACCTCCATCTCCAAACAGTCCGGTACTATGATCTCTCCGAAGTCCAAGGCACGGAGAAAGGCTGGGAACGCGGCGAACGCGTCCTCATGCTGACACCGCTGCGCGATGCCTCCTCCCACCTACCCATGTTCTTCTCGCACCTGCGAAACCTCACCTACCCACACAACCTGATCGACCTGGCCTTCCTGGTGTCCGACTCGCGTGACGAGACTCTGGGCATGCTCACGCGCATGCTGCAGGAAGTGCAAAATGATCCAGACCCGAAGATGAAATTTGGCGAGATCTCCGTTATCGAGAAAGATTTTGGCCAGAAGGTGCAGCAGGATGTGGAGAGTCGGCATGGTTTCGAGGCCCAGGCGAGCCGGCGGAAATTGATGGCTCAGGCGAGGAATTGGCTGCTTAGCGCGACGCTGCGTCCTACCCATAGCTGGGTCTATTGGAGAGATGCAGATGTCGAGACGGCGCCTTTTACAATTATTGAGGATTTGATGAGGCATAACAAGGATGTCACTGTTCCGAGTACGTGATTAGCTCATTGTCTGGGACATGAACTTTACGAATGATGCTAATATATGTCGACAGATGTGTGGCGACCACTCCCAGATTGGCTCGGTGGAGAACAACCCTACGATCTGAATTCGTGGCAGGAATCAGAAACCGCATTAGCCTTGGCTGAGACGTTAGATGAAGACGCCGTGATTGTGGAGGGATATGCCGAATATGCAACATGGCGACCCCATCTGGCCTACCTCCGCGATCCCTACGGAGACCCCGATATGGAGATGGAGCTGGACGGCATTGGCGGTGTCAGTATCCTGGCAAAGGCCCGAGTCTTTCGCGCCGGTGTCCATTTCCCAGCCTTCAGCTTTGAAAAGCATGCTGAAACCGAGGGCTTTGGCAAGGTGAGATGAACCAAGCTAGGATTATTATTACTCTTTATAGCAGCTAACAATATTCTCAGATGGCCAAACGTATGAAATTCTCCGTGATTGGACTCCCACATTATACTATCTGGCATTTGTACGAGCCCAGTGTGGATGATCTGCGCCATATGGAGGAGATGGAACTGGAACGCCTGGCTCGCGAGGAAGAAGAGCGAGAGCGCGAGCAGCAGGAGCAGAAGGAGCCGAAAGAAAGCAGCAAAGCCAAGGCTCATAGTGCTGCCAAAGGCTCTGACAAGGGCTCGGATGAAGGTCCTGCCGCTCAACCTGCTAAGAACTCTGCGAATGATGCCTCCAGTCTATAGAGCAGTTGACCGACTGGACAGCCATCGTGTTCCTTTTTTCCAAGCTCTCGGTCGTCCTTAGTTCGACAAGTCCAGCTGGCTGGATTCTAACATAAATGCATACGTGACATGGTGTGGCCGGCTCTGAGCAACTAAGCGTTGACAGATAACAAGCTGACGATGCCGCTTTCGCGGGGTTCTATTTCATCTCGTTTCACTTTGCTGAAATTGGAGTCTGTTTTGTCCTAGGAGCGACGCAAACGCACTGCCTTTCGATTTCGTTTCTCGGGTTTGTTTGGTTTTTGCAGCTTTTTGTTTGTATATGGCCTGTGTTTTTGGGTGGTTTTCTTTTTGGCATGGTTTTAGACTGCATATTAGAGGGCGTGATATTGGAGCTGGCAATAAGGTTTTTTGGAATGACAATTGCAGAGTTGATTACAGATTCTTCGTCGTAGCTATACACCAGATCAGGCGATGTTCCAACGGGCTGTGATGAGCCACCCGATTCCTAGTATCAGCAATGCGATACCCGTTAAAGATGCAGCTCGCCCAACGACAGATCGAGTATCTTGAAAAGCGCCGGGCTGATGCTTAGGTTCTCCCTCATTGATGTCCAATGCCTTTCCCTCATTCTTACGACCGACAACTCGTTCAGCACTTTCAAGTGCTAAATTCCTAGCAGATCTCTGGATCTAAGAAAAGTTAGCAATTCTGAGTCAATTTATCCTAGTCCCCGGAATACATACCTCTTCACATGCATCACGGACTCCCAAGTAACAAGGGTCACCGGGGTGAATCTTCTGTTCAATCCGACCAACATATCGACAAAACACATAACAAACGCTCTCCATTCCCTGACTAGCCTCAACAACCAGTCTCAGCGCATCCCCCTTAGCTATCTTGAGTCTCTGGTCAAATAGTGCCGGGTTGCAGAAACACAACTCCAGCGTGGCAATAGCCATGCACTGAGGAGTAGCGCAGAAATTGAAAACGCTTTGCTCGCGTAGGCCAGCGAGGTATGTCAGGACAACGCAGACATGCCGCAGTGCATCCAGTATCATCTCGGAGCTGCATGAGAGGGCATCTCCACGATTCTCGAGTTCGAATAGGTCGTCGAAGGTACCAACGTGCCTGGATATAATCTCTTCAGGCCAGAAACGTCGACCGTCGTCTCGATCTTCGCGTATATCGCGAATAATATTGGTTTTTTGTAAGAAGAGGCCCATCGGTTTATATAGACCTTGTTCGATCAGAGCAGTTTCCGCTAGCCCAGCTTCAACGAAGAGCCTCGTTAGTCCCTCACCGACCAGACCAGCTACATACCAACAATACAGATCATACTCCGCAATAGTCACAGCACCAACAATCCCCAAATCCGCCTTCCGCGCATAGTCCGCCATACCACCCCCCATCCTCCCCGTGACATCCCGCACGATACCCGCATAACCGGGCTTCATCTTCCTAAATTCGACAATAACATTGTCAAATTGAACCAACAGTTCCCGATCTTTTTCCTCTGGACGATTCCCCGTGTAGTTCCATCCATCTATGTCAAGATAAGTCTTGAAATCCCGGAGAAGCGGTTCTTTAATATCCAGTGGGATCGAGGTATCATCTTCGATCGTGTCGAGGCCTCGCAGGATAAGGTAGAAGATGCAGATGGGTAATGAGAGCTCTGGGTGTAGGTCATTGATGACGGGATTGAAGCTGCGGCCTGTTTTGTGGAGGAATTTGAAGCAGGTTTTTGCTGTGGGTGTTTTGTAGCAGGTGTCTTTTGTGTGGTGAGGTTTTTGGCGTAGTTGCCTGTCTCGTAAGATGGCTGTCAGTCAAAGGTCTTCTTTAAATTCGTATGGCTGGGTAGAGTTACCACCGAATTAATGTGCCCAGGTGATTTGGATGGAGTGCAAAATAGAAGATATTAGAGAAAACTCCCATTGTGGTCGATGCCAGCACAAGATAGTAGGAAGATGGAAAATGGCAGAAATGGTGTCACAGATGCCGGTCCGGGGGTATCTAGAAACATTTAATATACCTATTTAGGTCTTTGGAGCCTAGTTCTACTAGCTTAATCAGAAACTACATATGCTGTCGTGACTAAGGTAAGTAAGGTGATGTTCCTGGCGGGTTTCGGGTATGAGTGAAACCCGGCCGCAGGATTTGGGACTTCAATGGGCTCGATTGATCAACAGGAGGCAATAACGTTGATATTCAACGCCTGCCCAGGAGTCAATTCAAATCATTGGTATTTTGGATAAAATGAAGACGTGGTTTGATCTCTGGATTGGTTAGAGGGTAGAAATTTACGCGACCCGTAACACTCCCGAGGGCTTCAAGTAAAACATCTATTAATCGCCTATTCAATCTTTATCAACGCTTTCAAGTCACCAGTATACAACCACATCTCTCCACCCCTGACTACCGATAGGGCGAAGTCTCCCTTAGCGGCAACATCTCCTCCTCTCCCAATTCCGGAATCCGTTGCATCTTCTTCTTCTTTTCCCGCTTCCTACACGTCCGACAACAACATGCACAGCCACAGCACACACACAAATTACAGCAATTCCAAAAAGTCAAAAGTTTGCCAAGTCCACTGGGCGGCAACTTAGCATCAGCACCCTGTAACACCGCACCAGGCGGGGCTACATTCCAAACCACAATGGCAAGAAGCATCGGCACCGCGTCAAACACGTACATATACCATTCATGATAGGGTATCAGGTTATCTGTTGTCTGTCCGGCCGAGAACTCAACGAGGCGGTAGATGATTCGCACAGTAATGAAGAGAAGGCTCCCGTATAAAGCGTACAGTAGATGTCTCCACCGTCGCTTGTCCGCGAATAATCTGCTCGCACGTTCCAATTGTAGCATCTGTCTGTGGAATTGCATGGCGAGGACTAGGAAGCAAACGATGAAGAATTGCTGGATGCCAATGCCTGCCATGTATATGTGGATTCCTTTCATAGCTGCTTCGTTGGATTGGCCCGGGCTTGCGCTCATACCGCCGATGATCTGGATGATGAAAGAGCCGAAATCCAGGAGGACAAAGACAGTTGCTAGCAGTGAAGGTTTGAATATCCCGATTTGACGCTCTGGTATGAAGAAGTAGATCATCCGAGCTAGGACCATGTAGCAGTAGGCATTGACCCCTAATCACGATGGCAACGTATCAGAATGCGCGAGCTTAAAAGCAATTGAGGAAAGCCAGAACTTACACAGTGGTGCCAAAAGAATAAAAATCTGGGTAACAGTAGCAATAGTAGTATCCTGTTGATTGCGTGTACTCAATGCACGGGTGGCATAACCCACGCACTCCCAGGCAACACCCATCAAAATGACCCAAGCAAAACCCGCTTTATAGATGGTAGCTTGAACAAAATGAGCCATCATGAGGAGACCGAAGAGCACGGCGACTGTAATTGCTATGTTGAAGGATGGGTAATAGAGATAGAGGGCGTTGCATTCCGATGCGGGAACCCATCCATTCTTGTCTGGTGCGATGGTTGGTGTGCAAGTGTTGCTGGGTAGGTTCAAGCTCAGTGTCAGATGGAATCCTGTTTCTGTTGTTGTGGATGTGGGAAAAGTCGTCGTTGAGACTTTCGTCGTGGTTGTTGAGGTCTCATCTCGTGGTGAGAGGCGAGGGATCGGTGCAGGGGTTTGAATTGGTGTTGCAGAGACCGTGACAAATGTCACTAGTAAAGTGCATAGGATAGGAAGATAGTGCCGCATCTTTCTCCTGGTAAGAGAATGTTGATAGAAGAAATTTTTGCAGTCTACCCAAGGGAACGCTGGTGTAGATATGCAAAAGATGAACAATGCTGGTGGTCTTTGGTTATCATCGACTTTCCGCTCTCTTATACGTGGATATCGTGAATTTTTTCCATCTTCTTCTGACAATCATTATCTAACTGCCTGGATAATTATAGAACATCGGCGCCAAACAGCTCCAAATATTAGACAGAGACCATGGCATAGTTGATGCAAGTGTTGGAAGAGTAAATATGGGGAAATTAATCGTATCTTTGGCTAGTTCCGATTGGCTGACTCGTTTACAGAGCCTCGTTTAAGGAAGTCGGTAATCATTTCCGATTGTCTCTAATTCGTCGGAGCCTTAGAGGTGTGGCTGATTTGGAGGCCTAGTCCGGTATATGTAGCGCAAGGCTGTGTGGTGTTTGTTTCATGAACCTCACTACATACAATATTTCAGCATCTGCCTAGATTCTGCTCACCGAGAGGTTGCAGTTGCGACCAATTCGAGGTTTACTCAAGGAAAATTATGTGAAACGTTATCGCAAGGTGGATGTATGTAGAGTAGAGCCCTTGATGTCCGTCTCATCGCCCAAAAAGGATTCACTGGGCGCTGAAGCAAGGTAGCACTGTCTCACAGATTTAGGTCGCCTTGATCGCTATTCTATACTCTAGGTCTACCTAGAAATACTCGAGACATGGAATGAAATCTCATCCCCGAAAGTCAAGAACCTCGACATTTCCATTAAACGGTGGTCCGTGCACGACCAGCGCGTGTCCGTCGCGTCCCCGCGCGTTTCTTCTCTGGCATCACCTCGACTATTCTTGCAGATCGCTCTCAGAGGCATTCTCTCGTTCCAATGGCGACTCAAGACTCACGAAGTATTCTTTTCACGAATACAAACCCCCAGCAGGGGTTCCGGCTATTAGAACTGACCCCAGAATTGGAGAAGTTGTTGACTTCCAAGGATGCCCCCGCGTAAGTGGACTGTTTCATGCCAGAGCTTGATCGTTCTACCAGGCTTGCCTTTGTCAATGATTTACTGACAGTGCTCAATTCGATAGACTCGAGCTCAAAACCCCCTCTGCTGCTCTAGCCCGCGCCGTGGTCGATCCCAGTGCCCCGGAGTACGTCAATCTGTGCACGCCATCACAAACATACCGTATCCGCCAAGTCCAGTCCTCAAACTCTCTTCACATTCTCCGACCGAGCCTTGGACAGATCTCAAGGGCAGACATCAAAGTCGTCGAAGAGGAAGCCGGCGAGACTGGTGCATTGAATCTCCCTGATGAAGCGGTGACTGCAATTGCGAAATGCGGATCAACATTGGAGCTACATGTCTCACCAGGGGGGTTCTCTGCAGTCCCCTTTCTGGAGAAGAGTTTGGGTCTATACGAAAAGCGAACTGGTGACGATGACGGCGATATCTCTATGGACGAGACTGCAAATGGATCCGGTTCATTGAGCCCAGTTGAGACACGAAAGCTACGGGACCGTGTTTTTGCGGATATTCCAGTGTCTTCGGCGCAGTGTGAAGCTGGTTGGACAGGCATTTGCGCGTTTGTCGACGAGAAACAAGGTGCATGCTGGAGGCCTTCGGCGCGGATGCGGCTGAATGTGTGGAAGCGCTTGATGCAGGGCGCGATCTTGCAAGGGATTGATCTTGAGAAGCAGTTCCTTGTTTGGGACCTATGGAAGTCGGTTCTTGACGATGACGATGATTCGGAGCCGCCATTCCCACGAGCGCTCCTTGAAGCTGTCGCAAGAAGGCTTTGCGTGGCGGACGAAGGGCCGTCATTGGCTGACGAGATCAAGTGTAAGTTGTCGCTGGCTCAATATCATAGCCCGTGCCCAACTAATCCGATGCGTCTTAGGGGCAAGCTTTGACAAGACCGAGTGTACGAAATGGGTGGGTGAGACTTATCTCGCTGCTACAGCACCCACGACATCATCGGCCATCGGGCGGAGTGACTTCCTCCGTGCATGGAAAGATTGTCTGCCAGAGTCCTGGAGAGAGGAGGCCACTCTATCCAAGCTACAGGAGGGCTCATATCAGAGCCCTGATCCTACAACTATATGCTTCGTTGTGCCATCGCTACGGCAGCAAGTCAGTAAGACTTCTGCCGCAGCGCCAGCTGCAGCTGCCAAAGCCAAGACCACCAGAAACTGGCATGAATTGCTAAAAAATCCAAAGCGCCGCTGATTGCAAACTCATCAAATACGCTGCCGCGTCATTGATGGAGTAGCCCGATCTATAACTATCAGGCACTCTCTAAAAAATATGTCATGACTGCCACCCAGTAGCTCAGTTGCGAACTCCTCCACACTTCAATATCCAAGCATGACAAGCCAAAGAAAAGTCAATCAAAATGGCAGAAACTCACGAAATGATACCCAAGCAATCTGAAATCAGCACCAAGTATACTTCTCGTTCAAGATCCACTCCACATCCTGACCAAGGCCGTGCTCATCACCCGTCCAGCGCAGACTGGAGATACTGCTCTTCTCACGGTGCACGACTTCAGCATCCGGATCCAACACCTTGACAGCCTTCTGCAGAAGTGGTTCTGGGTTCCAAAACTCAACGGTGCTCAGCCCCCACTCCTTGGCCTCGTGCTGAGCTCGTCGCAAGATATCAGCCATCGCCTGGACCAATGCTTGCTCCTGCTCGGGCGATGTGGGGTCATCGTACACCCATCGCAGGATGTAAAGCACACTGTCCTCTGGTGTCTCGCCGAAGTTCCGATTCCACGCGCAGTATACGCGAGCATTGTCATTTCCAGCGCCCTTGACGAGTGGCGGGGCATGCTGTGAGAAGACCTGCTGCGCGAAGAATTCCTCACGGGCCCAGTGCCACACAAAGTGGTCGAAATCAGGCAGGATGGCGACCTTGGCAGCTTGTGACTTTTTCGAAGCAACCCGCATCTCTTCACGCAGGTTGGTAATGACGGTATCATTGCACATATTCTTGTCGACGTCCTCGGCATATAAATCCCGTGTCGCGCTCTTCCCTGTCGTCCCATTGGATGACTCCTCCTTCGCCCGAGCAGGTAGCACCATGTGCGAAGACGAGTACGGCCGCCAGCCAAACTGTGCATAGAATTTCTTTCCAATATCCGAGAAGAGAATAGTGAACAATGCTCTGCCCCGCGGCTGATTTTCCATTTTCCACGTATCAAGCTTCCGACTGAGTTCTTCTAGCATACGCTTCGCGTAACCTTTACCCCGGAACTCCGGCCGACAGTAGACACTTCCTACGCCGTGTGTGGATACATCTTCCACTTGGCCGTTGTGTGCGAGGATAGCTTTCTTCTGGTAGGTCTCGCAGGAGCTTAGAATAGTGCGGTCACCCTCAGGCTCGCTACCGTCGACCAAGATCCAGCAGGTCAAACCATCCCGGGTAAGTCGTTGACTGTAGAGGTGATCCTCACGGGCGATGTAGGTTTCAACGTCCAAGGGACCTTTCCAGGCGATACTGTTGAGCTTAATGGAGGCGATGCGCTCCTCTGGAGTGGCGGGGACCAAGATCAGGTCTGGCGAGTCTCCGTCCGGGAGATGGGGAACGTTGGCAGCGATCATGGTGAGGTTGTAGCTATATTGTATCTAGTCTTCTCGAGGTTGAGCTGTGCTGTGAGTAGGTAATTCGGAGCCGTTGCTGGATGTCTTCAAGAGCAAATCTTCCCCAGAAAAAGCTTCGGATAGTGACGGCGAAACTCAATATGTAGTCGGCGAATCAATTGTATAGATCGGCGAAAAGACCTGGTCACGAGAGCCACAAAATCACCGGAGTATGTAATGAGGTCAAATCCCCTGCATATCCCCACAATCCACAATGACGATTCAAAGGAATATCCCGGCTTTTTTTCTATGGCGAGCTTTTTGAAGCGAGAAACAAGAGAAGGAGGAAGAACCAAGAAAAAACCTCTCCAAGAAATCCGGGGTCGACAGTTTCCAAAAAGTGGATAGTCGCTCCAGAGTGGCCCACGGGTGAGGAAACTCAGCGGCGTGATATAAATCCGGGACACGCCCTACGCACCCTACGGAGAGGCGGGGACACTGGGACAGGAATAGGATCGGGCAAGTCGAGGGAGATTGTGACACACGCCAATTCCGATCCCAGTTCCATTCGTTCCCCCGCTTCAATTGGCTCCATTCTCGCGCGTTTACTCCTCCATGATCATTATCCGGGCCGGGGTCGCCTGGCTTGCCTGGGAGAGCGGCGGCCGACGGGGGAGGGGTGTTTCTCTTTGTCACCCGAAGCCGAGGGCAAGCGATAGAAAGCGGGCTTTGATAAGGGAGGGAGGAAGAGGCTTAATCTGCAAATCAGATTGTTCTCTTTTGGTCAATGGAACATACTTTGGTTTGGAAGGCCGGTTAGACCTGCCGTTGACGTAAGAGGGAGGGGATCCACCGTCGCCCTGAAGGGAAATGCTCCCATCCGGTGGGGAATTGTCACGTGATAACTGATTGAAGATCACATGATCTGAAATATGTCAGGTGATTAGTCACGTGATCTATCAGGTGTCCTGCGTAGGGTACAAACTTGTCACGTGCCCTTTGTGTAGTGGGGGTTGATAATGGAACACGACCTGCTTACCTAATCATGGCTGATGACATCTTTGATGGGTGATTCCAGCGTGGAGGGGAAGAATAATTCAATGGAGGAAGAGGGGCGCAGAAAATGAGGGGAATTGGCCAATTTTTTGTTGTCAGCGACGACCAACTCCACCATCCGAAACAACCATTATCTCAACTTGACACACCGGAAAGAAACCCAAAAAAACCCAAAAAAAAATAATTATCCAAAAAAAAGGACCACAACTGCACCTCACTCCGAGATAAAATAACCCACAACTTTATCTTAACCCTCTCTGGCCCTGGTCTACTACACCACCTCTCTGCCTGGAGGGCCCTCTCTGGTCACGAGGGTCGACCTCACGCCCCCCTCCAAGGAAAGGGGGGTCACTGCCGCCACCAATGCAGACTCCAACCACCTCCTCTCCAGATGTCAAGCTAGTGCCGCGTCGCACCTTGGAGGGCCATTCAGGTTGGGTCTGGGATGTGGCCCTCTCCCCGGATGGCACGATGGCGGCCTCGGCCTCGAACGACACCACGGTTCGGGTCTGGGGCACGTCGGCGACGGGCTCGCTGTATCGGGTCTTCAAGGGCCACTCCGGTCCGGTCAGGGCTGTCTCCTTTTCACCGGATAGCCAGAGGGTGGCCTCCGCGTCTGATGACATGATCGTGCGAGTCTGGGAAATCGGCACGGGCGTCGTATCCCGTGTATTTCAAGGGCATTCTGGCTGTGTGAGATCGGCCGCTTTTTCTCCGGACGGCAAGTTGATAGCGTCGGCGTCTGATGACAAGACAGTTCGCCTTTGGGATCTTAGGTCTGGCGAATCTCTTAAAGTCTTCCGTGGGCACACTGGTTGGGTGCGCACAGTGAGGTTTTCACCAGATGGGAAATTACTGGCATCGGCGTCCGATGACTGTACGGCTCGGATCTGGGATGTGCAAATGGGTACCGCCTGTGCCGTGCTCGAAGGACACACCGATTACGTGCGGGCTGTGAATTTCTCCCCAGACGGCACGATGGTAGCCACGGGGTCAAAAGATCGAACCGCACGGTTATGGCGAGCCGGTACGCTATCCCAGGTCTTTGAGGGACATTCAAGCTGGGTGAAAGACGTGATTTTCTCTCCAGACAGCAAAATGGTCGTGTCTGCATCTGACGACTCCACGATCCGACTTTGGAGTACCAGCACCGGTACGACCTGCAGCAAGCTAGGGCCGGTGCAAGGCTGGGAAAGGGGCATGGCCTTTTCGCGGGACGGGAAGCTAGTGGTATCTACGGCTGATGACATGACAGTTCGAATCCTGGAGACTGACGAGAACTTATGGTCTCTGAAATAGAAATTCTTAGAAAGGGAGATTAATTCATGAAATATCCACGGGGCTCGACATAGAGAACCCAAATCTTTTCACAACCATGGGAAATGCGTCTGACTTTCAAGTACTGATTCCTTGCAAAAGAGAGAAGAAAGCAAAAAGCGTGTCTCGCCAATCATCCAACCATCAAGATATCCCATCTATCATTCTCCTTTTCAATCACTGAGGCGGTGGCTGGGCAGGACATGGCACCATGGGAATCAACACTTCCATGTACGAGATAACCCGAATCTGGTACTGGCCATTGGCAATAGGAAAGACGTGCGATCCCACCTGCCCAATAGTATGCGGGACAAGCACAGCTTCTGCCAGTAAAGCTTGCGGGACCCCATTCTGAGAACGCGCATGTTGCATCAGTTGTTGCTGCGCTTCAGGAGGTATAGGCATTTGCTGTTGCGGAATAGGTTGACCTGGAATCGGTGGCTGCGTGGTGTTCGGCTGGCTAGACTGCTGTCGTCGTGGAAAACCTTGCTTCGTCTGCCCAGCCCCAGTGTGACCCGGGCTAATCAGGTCGGTCCATGGCGGAGGGTTTTGTGGAAGAGATGGTAGTCCGGATTCTGCTTGCTTCTGGTGGTGCTGCGGGCTCTCTGTTGCTATCGGCTGGGGAAACACGGGACTTTGCGGCTGCTGGGGTGGGAGAGAACCCAATGGTCTTTCTGGTAGAGCCATTATTGAGAAGAGGAATAGGAATGGGTAGTTTGAAGTCGGGCTGGAGATGGAGACTGGAGAGAAGCCGTTAGGAGCGGGAGAAACTGGGTCGATAGTCCTGTTTTGTGGGAAAGAGGAAGAGGTAGATACCTGATACCAATTTGTCCGCGGATAGCTTGAAGGAGATGATGAAGAATGACTATTTATCAGCTTAACAAGAAGCAATTTTGTACTTGCAGCAGTGAAAGACAAACAATAGTATCTTGTGCATAAATGTGACTTCTTTACTCTCTAGTTCATATATCCGTTTGCTTGTACTTCTGGTATTCCTCTTGACTAGTTGAGTTCATCATGTCTTGATTTATCAAATTGAAAGTGCAAAGACCAAGACCACTTGGGCTTCTGAGCCAGCAGTCAATGTCATGATAAGTCAGTCACTTAGTGTTAGGGCGTATCAGGACTATAGTCGTAGATGGAGTGTCATTGACAGCATGTTTGAATAGGCAGAACATAAATTGCTTCCGAAATTCACAGACCTGTAAGTCATGTTATGCCACTCGACCCAAGCTAGAACAGGTGTCAGTGATTTCAAAGGACCCGGCATATCAAAAATGAGAATCAAAGACGGTCACATGAATAGATGGACTGGCTATCAAAAACACCGGGTAGAAACAGCAGCCAGTACGGCATCGTGCATAACCAGGAGAAGAGACGCAGCCTAACGGATTAAACAGAGAAAAGAAAGACATGATCGATCAGACTAGATGAGGAAGAGGGCCAGAGACAAGTGCGAGATTCGTTGTTAGATGATTGAATTGGTAAATGGCTAAAGGCATAATGAAGAATCATGTAGTTGAAAGATTCCAACAAAGCAGACGAATGAGATACATGAGGATGGTATGAAAAATGAAGAGACAAGGCCAGACCGCAGCAAATAAGACCAACGAGGAGAATCAAGCCTAGGGATCGGCATGGAAAGATGCAAATGAGATGGACTTTCAAAATCAGGAAAGTCATGAATATGAGGGGGGGAAGAGGTCAAATAAGGAAAGAAGGAGAAGGAGTGTCGTAAACGTAAAAGGGATCATAAGTATCCTGAAGAGAAATGTAAAGAGAAAGAAAAAGAGCAGAGCAAGGAACATCCTGATGGTAATCCAAAAGAAAAAGCAAAGATATGAACCTGATCTATGTAAGTAAATGCCGTGCGAGTCCCAAATATCTTCCGCTTCCCGTTTTATGTATTTGCGCCACTTTCCTTGCGGACGGCAATTCTTAATTCCCTCGCCCATCATACATGTTCGATCATTGGTCACGCTAAATCAAGAATGAGACTGGAAATAGAGGTGAAGGAGGTGAAGAGGTGGGTAGGTCGGTGGCGGTAATGCGGTTTGAAGGGGTGTGGAGGTTGATATGGGATGTAGTGGACAAATGAACGAAGGAAAAACATGGTTTCCCCAAATCAGGGTTGGAACAAAGAATTATAATCTCCCAGGAGCCTTTTTGTGTGCTCGAGGGAAAGGTCTCTTTTTCAAAGCGCGTATGATTCAAGGAGGTTGCTCTGATTCCACCGGCTCATTGAATTTCTGCCGTGCCTCCTCCACCCACAGCTCCAAGCGCAATTCTCCGGCCTCTACTCGTCGTACCGGTACCGTTTTGGCGCGTCCATTCGAGACCGGAGGAGACGGCTGCTGCTGCTGAGACTCGCCATTCCGCACCTTGGACACAGAGTATGGGGCGGTGCACGATCGCAAATGCACCTTCCCGGGCTCGGCCACAATCCACGTTTGTTCCTCGTTGGTGGTCCCTGCCGGGGGAAGAGCATCCTCCCGGACTTCGATACACACAGTGAAGCTGAATTCGTCGTCTCGTGGCAGAGGGGTCAATCGGGCACAGGCAGAGGCGAGTCGAGCCAGACAAGCTCGGAATTGGGCCTCGAGGTCGACCGAAGTTGGGGAGGGGCCCCCGGGGCACCTGCATTGGATGAATCTTCATTTCTGCTCTCAAACGTAGTATTCACCTCTCCAGCTGGAGCACGAGGGAAGCCCGACAGATCAAAGGCATATCGTTCGAGGGGCTGGTTTGTGCGCAGAGATGAAATGATAATACTGACTGCGGTGATTGTGCCTTTCAAAATCTCTGTCCCGACTGCGATTGATGCATCGTTGATGTAGTCGCACACCTTGGGGTGACGCGATTGTCGGACAGGATAGTTGTATGCCCGTACGGGAAGAAACGTGGCGCGTGGATAGACGGAGCGCAGGAAAAGTATTTGGTGGACAGACACCGTAAGGAAAGAGGTGAAAGAGGCCGCTAGCGCTGATTGGTTGGTGGGCAGCGATTTGGTAGCAGGGACCGGGGCGGAAAAGGTTGTCATGGTGGTGGTACTGCTGGTTTCACTGGCCATTGGCATTGCCGTTGAACGATCCGATGTCGTTTCCACGGTATGGGTGATCTTGACGGAGTCTCGAAGAATCTGAATGATGTTCCACCCTGAAGCTAATCATCGCTCTGCCTTTCTAGAGTTATCAGTCAATGTGGGCGTTCTTTAAAAACAAAATTGGGAGAAGATTAAGGTTTGATGATGTCAGACGAGTTCTTGTTTGCCCCAGTTTCCGATGGTCGGCCGGCGATGCCATTGTACCGGGCGGTCGCGCGACGACGTGGACAGTGATCGGGAGGGAGTGCAATGAGATATTAGGGAAGTTTGGATGTTATGATAGAGTGTTTAAGCGGTTGAGAATGGAGTGGGGTTGGTAATATCAAAGTCGGTGGTCGAGGGGACGGAGGGAGGGGGGTTTGTTTGACGGGGAAAACCGAAAGAAGCACGTACGCTTGGGTTGACAAAACGACAAAAGGCAAAACCCTCAAAGCATGAGGGATGAATAACGGTAGGTCCTTGAGCGCCGATCCCAAATTACAGAAAGAGTGTAGTCGTCTTTTGGGAAAATTGATATTCCTTGTAGGGAAAGACAAGGGAGGGGAAGGCGAGGAGGGGCGGGCTAAAGCGAGAGGAGGGAGGGGCGGTATGAAACCCTGAGGGCCGAGGAAAGAGAGGGTCGGCAGAGATAAGCTCAGTTCCCAGCAGTGTATCGAATGGGAGCCCGTAAAGGAAATTCGCGAAGCCGATGGCAATGACTCGACGAAGAGATTCACGATGTACCGCTTTGGCGGAGGGGAAAAGCAGGAGTGGTGGAAGATGCCGGTCAGTGGAAGGTCACGGTTCCCCGTCACGTGGTTGCGTCATGGGTCCTGCAGAACCTCGCTTTCTACCCATTCTCATACTCCCACGTAGGAGTCATGCTGGAGGCTTTTTCCGCTGCTATTTACATATTTGACCTATTTCTTTTCTTGATCACGACTATGGTAATCGTCTATCATCATCAGTTGGAAAGATTTCCCTTTTCTATACTTGGGATGGGCAAGACAAAAAGCTTTCGAGATCAGCAAAACACTGCAAAGCATAATAGTGGAAAAAAAAAGGTTGACATTGATACACATAGGGCCTATTCAGGGTACCACACATATTATTGCTAGATTATTGGGGGCGGAACAGAGCGCACAGTTTTTTCCTGCCCTTTTTGCCTCTTCATTTTCTTCCCCACCCCATGAATGAGTCTGGTAGGTGGGATCGTCGGACGCTTAGCGGCGAGAGGGCCGATCACCGTAGGCCAAGCGAAAAAGAAAAGAAGAAGATAGGTTCGGAAAGGTACAACACAAAATCCGGCATCATCTGCATGTTTACACACAAACCCAGGACCCGGGGCTTGGAACCACACAACACTCTCTAACCAGCCAAGGTACAGCCTTGGAAGTGCTGCACGAACCAGGGTATACCCGAGCGAAATCAAGCCATACCCGAAGAACCCAGCAGGAGATGTAAGCTTATCTTTCCGCCCACGGGTCTGCCAGAATTGTCTCATCAGGTACCGAGTACTGGCCCTTGTACTACTACAATGGGTATTATTCTGTCTACTTAGAAATATGTCCGTATCTTGAGGGACTGGGCAGAGAAAACTTTGATGCGAGAGTGGTACCTGACGTACCTGAATATAGGGATATGTACTTATATGTACTTACAAGGATCCTACATGGAGGATCATTAATAATGTCCAGTAATTCTTGGCTCGTCCTTGTATTATAAAGTAGATTCAAGCACGACCCTGTGCGATTTGAATACATAATTAAGTGATCCACCTACCACCAGGTACCCGCTCATCCCAAGGCTGTTCTGCCCAATCTGTAGTCTCCCCATACCAATTTTCCACACGGAAATCCACGAGAGCTGTTCCATCCCTATTTTTTAATAACGCCATCAAAACTTGCCAGAAAAAGCTCCCACGTGAGTAAAATAGTAGGCTAATGATTTGCGTTCGCTGCCTCTCCGCCCTTGATAAACCGGAGCCGGCAAGGCTCTAGGCTGAAGCGGGGCGAAGAGTCCCGGCAAGCGTGAAACTTCTATCAGTCTCGTTTGGAGCTACATAGGTATGGATGAAGATGATTAAGCATGATAAGAATTAACCGGAAAGAATTGTAGGCGCGTATCTCAATCATGGATGGAATCGCCTATGGTGACCCCTCGGAAAACAATCCATCCGATTGATCATGGGGTGTGAAACGGTGGAGACAGTTTGAGGTATCTCGAGACCCTTACCTAGTCGTAGAGGCGAAGAAATCTGCAGATGAAGTCTGAGGACGATAATCGATGTAAGACGTCGAAAAATTATTCGCAAGTTAACCGCTTACATTCTAGGTTTCTGAGCGCCTCTCAAAATGGAAGGCCAGTCTTCTTCGTTTCCCGCGTCCAAAGCGGAGATGCGGGGAGCCCTCGGTTTCCCGATCGGGTAAACGGTTGTCCTGAAATCACTAGAAAGGTAAGATCCAGGAGGAAACCGCAGATTTGAGCCTTGCGACTGTTGGCCAAGTGCGATTTACTTCCCAGCTATCACGAGCTAATGGGGTAAAAGTACCATTCAGCGTTTCAAAGTACTTACAAGGGGGGAGGGGGGTCGCTCTCCACAAATCACAAATCCGGGGTATCCGCGGTGACGAAGTTACCCATATCGGGTATGTCTCCGATCTTGTTCACTTGCCTAGTGCTAGAAGCAGGAGTTTGCGGTGGACATGTCCTATCCGACCATCATGAGCCTCGGGCGGGCGATTGCTTGGGGAATTGCAAGCGACATCTCGAAGCCCGCATTCGCCAGTCAAACAAACGGCTATTATTTCTAGCCGACTAGACGTTGGTTTCTTTTCACTGTGCCATGTGGATCTAGTCTAGTAGCTACAGTGAGAAACCTCGAAATTGGGGTGGTAAAGGGGTTAGTCAGGCTGGAAGTATCAAGTAGGGTGCCTTCTATGGCCTGAAGGAGACTTACAAAGCATACTTTGTTGAGACCTACCTTCGAGCCATCTCTGCCGAGAGATTGAAATGTTCCTGCGTTTGGGCTCTCTCTCTCTCTCTGTTTCATACTCTATCATCTGAGCTAGATCTAACCATACCATCTGCTTGCTCCGTCATCCCTTGACCAAAGCGGAACGGGGCGACCCTGGGCAAGGAACTAGCCAACTTAGAATCGTTCCGAAACGGCCTCCTCGCTTTCTCCCAATGATCTTAGCGTGTGGGGTCTAGTCTACTCCTAGAATTTGAGGGCCGCTTCATTGGTCGATTAACCTGGGGTTGTGCGGAGTGCTGCAACACTTCACGGGGTTGGGGAAATGTATAAAAAGACGGAGTCCCTCAGCTTGCATCAGTTCAATTAACCCCATCATCTTCTAAAACCTTCAAATAGCTCATTGAGCCATAATCGCCCTTTTCTTACAAGATGAAACGTGTTTTGCTCGCCAAGTTCCTTTTATGGACTGGCTTCGCTGCTAGCTATGCTGTCGGATCCACCGAGTCAATTGATCGACGAGCTGTCCAAGGTACGCTGGTTATCTGATCCAGAAAGACGTCTTTTCCCTGAAACAATGAACGATCTTCATTGACGAATTCTACTTAGATTCCAACCAAAAGACAGCAATACCGAGCCGTGATGGTCTTCGATTCGTCATCGACGGTCACGCAGACTACTTTGCCGGCAGCAACTCTTATTGGATCCCTTTCCTCAAGAGTAACTCTGACGTGGACATGGTCATGAGCCATCTCAAACAATCCGGCCTCAAGGTGCTCCGTGTCTGGGGATTCAACGATGTCAACGAAATCCCCACAGATGGCCGTGTCTGGTTCCATCACATCCAAAATGGAGCATCGGTAATCAACGAGGGAGCCGATGGCCTACAGCGTCTGGACTATGTTGTAAAGTCTGCCGAAGCGCATAATGTTAAGCTCATCGTCAACTTTGTCAATAACTGGGGCGATTATGGCGGTATTGCTGCTTACAATACGGCCTTTGGCGGCAACGCAACGTCCTGGTACACGGATAAGGCGTCGCAAAAGTCTTACCGTGATTACATCAAGGCCGTTATCTCTCGGTACAAGGGATCGTCGGCTATCTTTGCTTGGGAGCTTGCCAATGAGCCTCGTTGCCGTGGATGTGATACCAGTGTGATCTATAACTGGGCAAAGAGCACCAGCGCCTTTATCAAGTCCCTTGAGCCCGCCCGAATGGTTTGCATTGGAGATGGTAAGTTGAATCCCTCTTACAAAATTGACAAGGAAAGATGCTGATACTCATTTTTTTCACTTTCAGAGGGAATGGGTCTCACCACCCAGTCGGATGGCAGCTATCCATTCACTTATTACGAGGGAGTGGATTTCGAGAAGAACCTCCAAATCCCCACCATCGACTTTGGCACACTTCACCTGTATCCCAGCCAGTGTAAGTTCAACACCCTCTTTCGTTACTTGCGCTATCATTGACAATTACTTTTTAATTATTAGGGAGTGAGCAAGATCCCTGGGGCAACCTCTGGATTAAAGCCCACGGTGCCGCTTGTGTCAAGGCCGGAAAGCCATGCTTGTTGGAGGAGTATGGCTCCCTTGCGCTTGCAGCATCTGAAGCTTCGTGGCAGCAGACTGCGTTGAAGTCAAAAGGAATTGCGGGTGATACTTTCTGGCAATATGGAGACAACCTATCCTCTGGCCCCTCGCCTAATGACGGATACACCGTCTACCGTGGAACTGCTAACTATACCATCCTGGTGACTGACCATGTGAAGGACGTCAAGAAATTGAATAGTCACTAGTGACTTGAGTGGGGATATTTGCTTACATCAAGCATCGAAGGAAAAGCTGTAAATCGCCTACTCTAAATTGTGTCATGCATCAAGATTCTTTCTGAAGTCGGCTTTGTGGGAGTTTTTTGACTGTAGGTGCGACAGGGTGTATAAATAAATCTCAATACTAGTATTCACCATAACGATTGTCAACAAATGTATGTACGAAGCTATCTATCTTATAGGTAGAATTAGAGGAATAGCAATTTGGTATTGGATTTAAGTAGAGAAAGAAGTGCCAGCCGACACCCTGTCCGAAACCGACTCGCAACTATACAGCCAGCATGCGCTTGGGGACCAACCAAATGATCACCACCGTTCAGCTCACCATGCATTCACACACGCATGCATATGGTCATGAGACTTGGTTGGCGACACCGAAGAGGCTTGGGACACTGTTAATATTTCATTTTTCGTACATTCAACTAATTAAACTAGCCAGCCTGCCGATCTCTTTGAGAGGGGGTAGTCTCCTTGCTGACCAGTTTTTCAACCTAAAGTCGGGAGAGACCTTGAAAGAATTTACGCCTCGAGAATGATTGGCCAACAGGAAGTGTCTTTCGTAATATGCATATATCATCTATGCAGTGATCAGTGTGGCTGGTTGTGGACTTGTGCCCCGTAGAATCTCCCCCACTTATAACAAAGATCCCACGAGTCTGCGCACAATACGAGAATCATACGAATAGACATAATATAGACATATGAGACAAAAGCAAAGGAGAAAGTTCAATCTCAAAAAATCCACTGCAAATGAATTAGAAATATACACCCACCCCATATCCTACACTATACCGTAGTGGGATAGACAAGCTCCAATTGACCGCCTCTGCCCCTCCAGGACGCCTCGTCTCCTTATCGCGCCGCGCGCAAACTTATTGATTTCACCTCTCCTCGCGACGGGCCACTCTGACTTTCCCCTCCAAACAAACCCCCGCGGAGACAATTCAATCACCCGCTTACATCGCCATGGAGCAAGAACTCCTGTCGCTCCTGGCAGACACCCAGTCGCCTCGGGCAGACGCCAGGAAAGCCGCGGAGGCCCAACTGGCCCAGCTCAACTCGAACGAATCCTTCCCCATCTCCCTCACAGCCATTGCCTCTCACGAGTCCGTCCCCGTCAACCTGCGTCAATCGGCACTCTCAGTTCTACGCACTTTCATCTCTTCCTCCTGGTCTCCGAACCTCGACGACTTCACGGGCCAGGTGCTTGTCACCGACGCGAACAAGGCTCAGATCCGCCGCGCACTTCTGGAGCTGGCGACTACCGTCGAGACCCCCGAACGCAAAGTCAAGGCTTCCGCTAGCTATGCTGTTAGCAAAATTGCCAGCGCCGATTTCCCAGATGACTGGCCTGAGCTTCTGCCCACGCTACTTCATGTGATCAACGACCCTGCTACGAGTGACACTGCGCTGCATGGAGCGCTGAAGGTGCTGTTGGATCTTGTGGATACTGGCTTTAGTGACGAGCAGTTTTTCAATGTCGCCCGCGACCTCGTCTCGTCCCTTTTCGCTGTGGCAACATCCGAGTCTCGTCGCCCGATGCTGCGGGCGCTTGCCGTTGCGGTATTCCGGTCATGCTTTGATACATTGGAGATGGTCTTGGAGCAGCACAAGGCTGCCATTAAGCAATTTGTGGATGAGGTGCTGAGTGGTTGGTCACCATACTTTGTTGAGACGTTAAAGGCACCGCTGCCTCAGCCGCCGAGTCCAGAGGAAGCAAACAAAGTGGGCGAGATTCCATCGCAATGGCGTGGCATCGTTGGGTTGAAGATTCAAGTTGTGAAGGTATGCGCTTACACAGAAGACTCTGGAACTGCTTGGCTAACGATGTATCCTTTGCTTTGCGTAGACTGTCATGAAGATCCGCATGGTCTTCCCTGGACTTCTTACCGCCCAAAGCCCTCTCTTCTTCTCAACTGTCTGGGCAGAACTATCCAATGCTCTCCCTATCTATCAGAACTTTTACATCGAGGACGAGCGCCAAGGACGTCTGGAAGATGTGGACGGTCTCCCATACTCGCTGGATTTCCTCATCCTGGAGGAGCTGGATCTTATTCAAGCCCTCTTGAAGGCGCCACCTGTGAAAGCGGAGTTGACACAACAACTGCAAAACGCTGGCGCTGCTGCTAGCTCATCCGGCTGGCTACCCGAGATCATGAAGCTTGCCGGTCGCTACTCGCAGATTACCTGCGAGGAGGAGGGCCTGTGGGAGATTGATGTGAACCTCTTCTTGTCGGAAGAGACCTCGGTGACCGCAAACTATACTCCTAGAACTTGCAGTGGCGACTTGGTTATCAAGGTCGGCGAATGGCTGCACGAGAAGGCGGCCGAGGGTATTCTGACCTATCTGAACAGCCTTTTCGCCGATGCCTCTGCCTCGTAAGTGATTCTCTAATTCTATTGAGACATTTTTATGGTGCTAACTCTCTTCAAAACAGATGGAAGTCCCGTGAGGCTGCCCTTTATATTCTCAATGCTCTCCTTCGTGATTTCGGCGAGGTCAACCAGCCAATTCCCCAAGATGTGGCTACTCATTTGACCCAGTTTGTGCAATACGCTACTCAGCAGGAACAGGAGCTTCTACGCGCCCGAGGCTACCTCGTGGCTGGCGCCCTGGCCAAGGTTGCTGGCGAGTCTTTCCAGCAGACTACGATTTCCTACCTGGAAGCCGCTCTGAAAGCGATCGCCGAGGACCCGGCCGAGGTGGTCAAGGTGGCCTGCATCCGCGTTCTTCAGGACCTCATTCCCTCTCTCCCTGTCAGCGTGGCTCGCCCATTCCAGACGACTGTCATCTCAGCACTCTCCGAGTTTGTCTCTGCTCATGACCTGCGCGAGGAGACTGACTCCGATGATCTCAAAGTTACACTGGCCGAGACGCTCCGGGATACCATCATGGCGGACCCATCCGTGGTTCTGTCATCCTTGGCCATCGACGTTCTCTTCAACATTGCCAGCAGCGGTGCTGAGAATTTCCAGCTCACGATGACCGTAACCGAGGCGTTTGAAGATATTGTTGATCGGATTACCGAGCACGGACCGGATGCGTACACGCGTCTCTGCGAGAAGGTTCTTCCCTCGCTGATGGGCGCCGTTGACGTGGGCAACCTGACTGAAGAGAACGAACTGACGGTCTTCGCAGCGGACCTGCTCCGTGCCCTGGCCGAACGTAGCCTGGATCCCATGCCGGCTGGCTTCGTGGAGACCGTCATGCCCAAGCTCAACCGTCTTCTACTAGAGTCGGAGGAGGGTGAGTTGATTCGGCCCGCGACCGAGGCTGTGCGCCACATGCTCGCGCACGACTTTGCGCAGTTCGTCGCGTGGCGCGACCCTCAGTCTGGCAAGGAGGCTATTGAGGTCGTCCTAGTCATCATCGATCGTCTGTTGGGTCCGGCCGTGGATGACAACGCCGCTACCGAGGTAGGCCAACTAGCTGCCGAGCTGGTGGAGCGTGCTGGCTCTGAGCGGTTGGGACCATATCTCCCACAGCTCCTGCAAGCAGTTGCGCAGCGCCTGGCGACTGCCGAGCAGGCCCAATTCATCCAGAGCTTGATCTTGGTGTTTGCACGGCTGACCCTCATCAGCGCGCGGGAGGTGGTTGACTTCCTGGCGCAGGTGAACCTCGGCGGACAGAGCGGACTCGTTGTAGTTCTGAGCAAGTGGCTCGAGAACTCGGTCAACTTTGCCGGCTACGACGAGATTAAGCAGAACATTTTCGCCCTGGCACGCCTCTATGAACTGTCCGACCCACGGCTGTCTGAAGTCCCCGTCAAGGGTGACCTGATCATCACTGACACAGGCCGTATCAAGACGCGCTCTCAAGCCCGTGCCAATCCCGATCGCTTCACCACTGTCCCTGCACCTCTGAAGATCATGAAGGTGCTGGTTGAAGAGTTGGCCGCTGCCTCGGGCAACAAGGAAATTGACGCTGCGCAGGCGGCCGCCTTGGAAGATGCCGCGAGTGATGACGGCGATGATGACTGGGAGGATGAGCCGGGCCAGATTTTGGATCTCGGACTGGGCATGACCAAGCAGCAACTAATGAGCTTCGGCGAGGGTGGATCGGAGAGTGTGTTTGGTGTGCGTCGTCGAGATGACGAGACGCAGGCGTTCCTGGCCGACTTTTTCCGGCGTGCGTCGCAGCAGCCAGGTTTCCAGGAAGTCTTTGCGGCGCTGACACCCGATGAGCAGGGGAAGTTGCAGGCATTGGGATGAATAGGAGAGGGATCACTGACCTCAGACGGTCGGGTATTGGATTATGAAGTGCAGGAAATCCTGTAGGAAGTGCTCGAGTATGACTATGTGGATTTATGTCTGTTATGCCTGGGCTCCGATTCCGCTCGAGGAAGGATCGCAGCAAAAGAAACGGATCATTCCAAGGATTAACCCTGGGAGATGGCCGTAAATAATGAAATCGACGTTGTGTATGCCATGTAGTTCGTTCGTTTCATCTAGTAAACCCAATAGTTATCTGGTACTTCCTTTCATGTATGTACAGAGCCCTTTGTATTGCATCCCTGAATCATAGAATCCCCTCGCCAAGGCCCCGTCCGAGTCAAGCCATTGCTGCAGCCCCATTCATGGGTCACCCAATCAGAAATATTGGCTATCCGCCCCGACGCGGAGACACGGAGGGGGAGCCCGAGATCCTGGGTCTCAACCCGGGGAACAGGGATGACAAGAGATTTGGTTTGTCCTGAGTTTGGGTCTGGTTTTTTGGTTTGGGCAAACTTGGCGTTGGTGCTTGACGCGTGGTCGGGATTTGGTCCTGGGGTCCGGAGGGCTCTGGGCAACCTGCAGGCGTTTCTTTGTTTGTCAATATTACTGCTAATTTTCGTTACTACCTTAGTTTGTGTATTATAAACTGTGATCAAATACCATGAGTAGGACTACAATTTGGACTTTATTTTTTTTTCTACAAATCTTCAAGAATAATTCCTAGAGTATTGTATGTCTTGAATAAGCTATTCTTTAACAAAAATCCCCATACCCAGTCCTCTGGTACCTCCCCAAAGCAAAAGTATGTTCTCCAGTCTTCCATGTCCCCTCCCGTACGACTTTAACCAGCCCCTCGGGATTCCCTGCGGGGTTCCCGCGGAGGGCCTAAATGGGCTAAACGGGCTAAATGGGAATCCATGGATCATCTTGACTCGTCGGGTGTCCCAGCGTCCCCTCTGTCGGTATTGACCTTTTCTTCAATTTTTCGAAATATTGCCAAATCTCGTAAATCAAGGTGCACTAACCTAGAATCAGTCATGGCTTTGGGGGATTCTATGCGCTAGAATTTCTCTGGAAGGTCGTAGGTCGTACTCCGACTCCATAGTTTGAGTCTGCTAGTTTTCTCGTTCGTCAGGTGGGGGTGAAAATGGGGTTTCTGATCGATAATAACCTGACTAGTTTGATCGTCTCCTTCCCTTTTCTTTCCCTCGTCCTGCACTGACCATCCACTTTTTTTTCCCTTTTTCCCCTCTTCACTTTCTCGGATAGCTTCACCTCTTCTTTTTATTCTCTCTCGTCCGTCTCTCTTCCTCTCCCTCCCGTTCCTCCTCACTCTTCTTGGCGGGACGTGGCTGCTCTTCTTCCTCGGTTGCGTGTTCCAGGATCGCTTCTCCATCTCCTCTTCTTCGCCCCCTTCTTACAGGCCATGTCCCAACCAAATCCCTACGAGCGCATCCAGATCGACGTGAGATATTCCAATTTTCTTTGAACCCCTTGTTCTCTCCCGTAGATTGTGTTCTCTCCTTGCCTCTCAAATCTGTCTTCACCTTTGTAGACTTGTCCTGGTTTAAACCGCCATCAACCAGCTCACTTCCACCTCCACCTTTCCCCACTTCCACCATACCTCCCTTTATCCTCACACCACCTACCACCCCACCACCTCTTCTTCTACTTACACTTCGCAAAATATCCAGACCAGCGACGATGACTCGCTCTTCGACACAAAAACCCTCGTGGACTCCAACCTCTCCTTCGCCTCCTCCGTCCGCGACTACTCCTACGAGAATGGCCGCCGGTACCACGCCTACCGACATGGCCAATACCCCTTCCCAAACGACGAAGAAGAACAGGCCCGCCTCGCCCTAATGCACCACCTCTTCAAACTCCTCTCCGGCGGCGACCTATACCGCGCCCCGCTCACCCGCAACAACAACCCATCCCGCATCCTAGACATCGGCACCGGCACCGGCGAATGGGCCATCGAAATGGCCGAAGATTACCCCACAACAACCATCCTCGGCACAGACCTCTCCCCGATCCAACCCTCCTGGGCCCCTCCCAATTGCCGCTTCTTCATTGACGACGCCGAGTCCGACTGGGCGTTCTCCCCCGCCGAGGCATTTGATTACATCCACGCGCGAAGTTTGGGCGGCGGGATCGCTGATTGGCCGCGGTTACTAAGGCAGGCGTATACGCATCTTAAGCCGGGTGGGTGGTTTGAGGCGCAGGAGTTTGAGACTTGGGTTTTGAGTGATGATGGGACGCATGCGAAGGCGACGAGTATTCTGGACTGGCAGGATCGGTTGAATGAGGCTAGTACTCAGTTTGGGAAACCCATGAATGTCGCGTCGAAGTTACAGGGGTGGTTACGGGATGCGGGGTTTGTGAATACTGTGGATGATAAGTACAAGGTGAGTAAGATCCGAGAACGAAGCTATCAAGCGGGGTTCGGAGTCCATTGGACTTTTCCCGTCTGGTGGAAAGTCGCGATACGCTACAACCTTCTCTCCAATGATCGACCGAATTACTAACTATGATTGTGTTACAGTGCCCCGTTGGCGGCTGGGCGAAAAACCGCCGTCTCAAAGAAATCGGGCGCGTCGGCAAAGTGACTATTCTCGAGGTCGTCGAGCCCTACACACTAGCCCTCTTCACTCGCGTATTAGGCTTCTCCTACCAGGACGCCCAGGAGTACATGGATAAAGTGCGCGCGGAACTAGTGAGCAACAAGTTCCACCTCTACGTGCTATTTCACTTCGTGTATGGGCAAAAACCGCTCGAGACGAATGGTCATGACCCGACATTGTGAGAGGAAGGGGCGATGACTGCTTGCATTGCGGTATATCTCTGAATCTGCTTCTGCTGTATTGGGGCAGAGGCATATCAGACACCGAGATGGATGGACTCGGTTCCTTCCATCCATACCTTTTAACGACTAATGGCGTGATGATTCCCGGATTAATGTATAAAGGCATTTACTTGTGCATTAGACGTTTTTTATTCTGTTTCTTCTGTTTCTTTGTGTTTTGGTTATATCTTGTCGACAGACAAAATCCGATCTAGAGTATGGAGGGCGCATCATTCGATCGAAGAGCGAGACATCAACATTGAGCATTTGGAGATGCTGTGGCTGGGGTGAAAGTAAAAAATAATGAGAAATGACATGAAATCGTGATCTCGTGGATTCATTATTTCGTAACTATTTCACATGCGGTCTAATCTGCATTCCAAGCGTGAGGGACTCCTCATCAGGGCAGTCTCAGCCTGGGGAGCAGACCTAGTATAGATCCCCGCAGTTATCAGCTTCAATAGGCTAAATGCATAGAGCACCCTAGTCCTCAAGAAATACGGGGTAGATATCAGGCCAGCCCGATACTCAACCCACCCAGCCCTTCCTTCTCTACCCTCAGATATATCATGCAATCCATCAATGCATGGAGAGATCAACCCCATTTCCATCCCCACTAATCCCCAAAACCCGACATATCCCCGAGACAGCTTCCTCGGGTGTCTCGCTAGTCCGCACAACGGCGACAACTTGAGCGACGCGCTCCTCGTCACAGCTGGTAATAGTTTCGAGGAGTGTTTCGAGTAGGGCTTGTTTGTCGGGGCCTTTCCAGGAATCGGGGATGGAGTTGATGGCGTGGGTTTGGTAATCGGTTGGATGGTGGGGTGGTGAGTATGTTTGTGTTTGTTGTTGTGTTTGGCTGGTGGTGTGGTAGGAGTGAGGCTGAGGGTGTGGGTATATGGTCGAGTCTGTGGGCGCGGGCGCAAAGTTGTTTGTGTGAATGGATGAGGGGTAGTATGTTGAGTCTGGATAATGAGGTGATTGGACTTGTAGTTGCGGTTGAGGTTGTGACGGCATATGTGTCTGTGTCTGTGGAAAGGAATGTCCTTGACTCCAAGGCTGAGAGTATGTTTGCGAGGACTCATGCTTGGCCACAGTATGCATGCTGTAATCGTATGTATTCTGGGTATAGCCCCCGTGGTGGTAGCTGGCCATGTGAGTCTGCGCATGCGTATGCGCAGGGCCCCCGTCGTAGCGTGGACTATCCTGCTTACCGTACATATGGTTTGGGGGCAGTCCCGTTAGTCCTTCGTCGGGCGCGGGATGCATATGTTGTGACGAGAGACCCTGCATTGGGCCTGATCCAGGGATTTTCGGCGCGAAAGCTGGCATGCTGCCTGCATGGAATTGGGGTAGTGTGTCGTCATTGAGATCTGATAAGATGGGATCAGTATGGAAAAAGAAAAGAAAGTGTCCAGCAAGATCGTGATTTGGAAGAAACCAGAGCACGGAAAGTACCAATATGACAAGAGGAAATAAGGAAAACGTACAGCTCCCCAATGCCGCACTGTCCGTCGCCGTCGTCACATCGACTTCAGTAGTCTGCGTCCCATACGACCCCGTTGACCCCGGATACCCATGCTGTTGAACATAACCAGCACCACCAGCACCACTGTCGCTGCCCGTACTATCCGGACTCATAACAGTCACAGAATTCGTCCTAGTCGTCGTGGATATCGACGACGGCGATGAACCAGCCCAACTACCCGCCTCCGTCGGCTCCGCCGAGCCCGTCGCAGATCGCGAGCCAGACCCGGACCCCGACGACCCAGGTCCAGGTGCAGGTGCAGCTCCGGACCCGGCGGTATAGCTCCCGCGCACTCCTACTGTCTTATTCTTGCGCGCATAGACTCTATCGCGGCGATTGAGACTTGGACCGCGCACAGAGGTCTGGTTCAATTGAGTGCGCAGTTGGGCGACTTCGCGGCGCAGGCGGTCGATGATCTCGGCTTGGCTGATGTGGGCGCGATCTTCGGGGGAGGTGAGATAGGTGCATTCCGATTCAATGCCGCGGTGGATGCAGGCCTCGCAGGGGATATTTCGGTCGCACTGTGATGAAGAAAGAGCTGGTTAGCTTGGACAAGCTCTCTTCTTATGTTTTCTGTATCTCTCTTGTTGGGGGAGTCGCTGCGGGGGTCGCAAGAGGGGAAGAATCGGGATACCTTGACTTTGCGCTCGCGACATTTAGAGCACGACTGTTGCGGGCGAATCTTGGATTTAGACTCGATCGCAGACATGGTGAATCGCTGAAGCTCATCGGCCAGTGAAGCTTCCTCCAGCTCTAGAATTCAGGTCAGTCCCTCCTCAAGGGAGAGTTGGGAAGAGGGGAAGAATTGCAACAAAAAAAAAGGGCCTCGGCCGAAAGGCTCAAGACGTCTAAGGTTCACAGGTCAGCACTTTTCCCTTTTCCTCAACATCCCCGCCGACCAGCCAGCCAAAAACACACGAACCACCGACCGTTAGGCCTAACCCGACCGGGTGTGGGGGTCCAACTCAGGCTTAAGCCGTAAGGGACCAGGTTACCGGAGTTGATTGGCCTTGGTTTCGTCACTAACTACAGTAGTAAGGCCCTGGTTCTCCACATGGTCCGATCTCATCTCACCGTCTTGCGTGCAGGAGTTGCACATACCTAAGTTAAGTAAATATTGAATGACTAAGGAAGATGACAAGTGGATAAGTGGACTGACCAATGCATGCAGAATCTCAATTTGGCCTTATAATTCATCATCTGATTCCTATTCAAGACTTTCTTCCGGTAAATGTGATTGATCATAGAGCCGGCCATGCCGATCATTGTGGACAAAAGTTCGGTCTCTCCGTGAAGTTCCACCCGGAGTCCCCGATCAATATGGAGGTCGTAGATCAAAGTATATACATTGATCATGCATCATTGACATTGATTACTATTGTAGGAATTCTTTGTTCACCACTCGTTCTCTACCACGGCAATCGTTCTTTCGGCATTTAATGGTGGTGCGCCGAGAATAATTATGGGGGCCTTTCTACTGCCCCACTACACACTCTATGTGATGAAGCAATATCCAAATATGGAGAGGCATAGTGATCTTCTGCTCATTTGATTTCTACCAGGTGAATATTCATGGAGCGCTAGAGATGGGGGAACTTACTAGCCAGCAGGTTATTCCGTAGACCTTGAACCCTGTCTCGGTCGGAGATGCGCCTTTCCCTACCAAGCCATCTAGTAGGAATTGTATACTCTTTCTCAAGGCTCATCCCGGTCATCGAAGTTCTTCTTAAATATCATTTCTCTCTAAATAGCCCTATATCCGTTTTGATGCAAATAGCAGCTCAAAATATGACACACATACGTAGGCACAGCATGATACCCAGGTACAGAACTAGAGATCGAATCGCTGGAGAACAACTAGACACGGTAAGGTAATAATAACGATTAAAGATAAGAATAACCTCTTTGGCCTTGTCTTATATAGACTAAATTATAGCCAGGGTAAAGACACACAGATATCTACAACAATAAGATCAAGCCAGCTCTTCTTCTCCTTCATTCCATCTTGGGTCTAGTCTCCACCAGCGACCAGCGGCACAGCCCGACGCCTCCTCGTCTCCGGGTGGTGTTAAGCTTTGGCGATAATCGACGAGGTACCACCAAAACAACAACTCTCGATTAGGGACCTTGTTCGCCTCGCTTCGAGAGATAAAGATACAGCAATGATAGACAACTGGAATTCAATTTGCCTAATTCCCGATTGCCAGCCAAGCAAAGAACGGCACATACCAAAATGGAACAAGCAAGCCCCAACAATGAGGAACTACTATCTAGAACAGCCTCGATCGACAGCGCAACTACGTCTTTAGTGCCGATAATTACTTTCTCTACAAAGGCTTAATCAACCACTGTTATCAACGATGCCACCGTCGCAATGCACTAAATAATGCGACTTGCCCCGACGTATGATTCGCGTCGATCCCCAAGTACCTTTGGGAATAATGTACCTCTCTCCTCCGGGGTGCGGGGAAAAGCAAACATTCCAACCGGAGCTGCGACGGTCTTCTGTCCTGCAGTATCGAGCTTATAATGCATCCCCTCGGCACTGTTCTAGCTCTTACCGAGCAAAGATCAGAACTTCGAATCACAAGTTTTGCTAGAATTCATACTGAACCATCTACTTGATCATCTTCAATTGCATCCACCAACTATACCATGCCACAGCCATCCACCGCCCGCTGGGCAATCCCAGCGCGCATGGCCAGTCTCCTCATCCTCCCCCTTCTATCTGTACACGCCTCAGTTGAAGACCCCAAACTCCTCCCCACCCCACCAATGGGCTTCAACAACTGGGCACGCTTCGAGTGCGATCTCAACGAGACCCTCTTCACCGACACCGCTCAGTCCATGTTATCCCGCGGCCTACTAGCTGCAGGCTACAATCGTCTCAATCTAGACGATTGCTGGATGACGCACGAGCGTGGCGCAGACGGTGCGCTGCAGTGGAACTCTACCCTCTTCCCGCACGGTATCCCCTGGTTAGCCGATTACGCGCACAAGCACGGCTTCCACTTGGGTATCTACGAGGACTCCGGAAATGCGACTTGTGGCGGGTATCCCGGTTCATATGGCTATGAACAAAAGGATGCAGAGACGTTTGCGAGTTGGGGCATTGATTATCTCAAACTTGATGGGTGTAATGTTTATCCTGAGGGTGGGAGGTCGATGGCGGAGGAGTATAAACTTCGCTACGGACAGTGGCATGATATTCTGAGTGCTATGGCGGAGCCGCTGATCTTTTCGGAATCGGCACCGGCTTATTTCTCCGAGAATAAGACGGAGTGGGCTAATGTTATGGATTGGATCCCGTTTTATGGTGAATTGGCCCGTCACTCGGATGATGTGCTTGTTTATGTGGGTGAGGGGAGTGCTTGGGATAGTATCATGGTGAACTATCACTTTCAGACTCTTCTTGTGCGGTATCAAAAACCGGGCTACTACAATGATCCGGACTTTTTGATCACGGATCATCCTGGTTTGACTGATGCTGAGAAGCGCTCGCATTTCGCGCTGTGGGCTTCATTCGGTGCGCCGTTGATTATCAGTGCTTATATACCTGATCTGTCGGATGAGGAGGTTCGGTTCCTTTCTAATAAGGAGTTGATTGCTGTGGATCAGGATCCGTTGGCTCAGCAGGCGGCTTTGGTTAGTCGGGATGGTACCTTTGATGTACTGACTCGGTCCCTGGCGAATGGGGACAGACTTCTTACAGTGCTGAACACTGGGAGCAGTTCTGCGAAAACGAGCATCTCCGTCGCCCGATTGGGTCTGAAGGGACAGTGTCAATACAAAGCCCGCGACCTTTGGACAGGCAAGACCTCTTCTATCCGTGACGCCATTGGTATCAATCTCGACAGCCACGCAACGGCAGTCTACCGTATCACTCCTGGTCGGGGCTGCACCTCGGTCACCCCAACAGGAATGATCTTGAACACCGTCTCCGGAAACTGCCTAACCGCGTCATCATCCGGCGCTACCTTCAAAACTTGCAACGCAGCAGATACCCAGGTGTGGAGTGTTTCCGGTTCTGGAACCAAGGTGTCCATCAGCCCGCTGTCGAATCCAGCTAAGTGCCTGGCTGCTAAGGGATCTATTATTGCTCTGGTTGATTGTAAGGGTGGAGCCGGTACTATTTGGTCACACGCTATCACTGGTCACTTGCAGAATGCGAATGGTGACTGCCTGACGGAGTCCGGCGGACAAGGAACTCTAGCGGGCTGTGAGTTGCTTCAGGGTGGGCAGATTTTGGGATTGCCGAGTGGGGTTCATGTTGTGGATGGAAGTGCATAGAGGTAGACCTTTATTGACCAAGCTGCGGAGTGTACATTCCTCTTCTGGTGAGAATGGTTACACTATATAGAAAGAATGGGGAGAAGCAAGTCGAAATGAATGGATATTCACTAGAGAATTCCTCCCATTTCTAGGCTCGATCTGATACTTCTAAGTACATGAGTGGAAATTGCAGTATACCAGCCTTCTCTCCAATTTCTAGATCTGGTCTTATACTAATCAATACACACTAGATACAAATTTGAATCAAATTCATCAAATCATCCATATAGACCTTCTGTGATTCTAATACAATGTACAGCTCTGATCCCATCTACCCCTGCAACGAAAACCCAACCCCCTCACCACTCCCCATCGCCACCAAATTCGCCCTCATCTTCTCCGGTCTCTCTCCAAGTCCAAACGCCGCATCCTCACGATGCACCCACGCCCCAACACCATGCTGCAAAACCGCCGTAGCCCTTACCTTCTTCGTCTCCGCATCCGCCGCATCAGCAGCCTTCAACCCCAAACTTCCATGCAACGTCAATCGACTCTCCTCCCCACCCTCCTTCTTCCCCTTATAAACACCCCGATGCAAGATATTACTATCGTAGAACACCGCATCACCCGGCTGCAACTGCACAACCAATTGATCCGGCAAAACAGACTCATATGGATCCGCATTTCGCTCAACATCCGTGCGCGCACGACGGTGCGAGCCCGGGATAACAATCAGCGATGCATCGGGACACAGCGCAAGATTATATTGCGCGTGGCTCTGGCGTCCACCCGGTGACTTAGCAGCTAGTTGGGCGAGTTCTTCCTCCGCAGTCGCCTTTTCCGAGATATCATCACGATGCCAGCGTAATTCGAAATCCTTCGTTTCCGGCGCGACGAGGAGATTGAATAGTTCCATGACGAGGGGTTCGTCTTGGCCTGCTTGAGTGGAAACGCCCATTAATTCACCCGCGACGGCGAGAATCGATTCGGAGAAGTAGCATTTGGCAAAGTCCTCGCGGCCGGGCATTTCGGGGTGCAGCAGGTGCTGGACTCCCCAGATGCCGCCCTCGGACGCTGGGGGTGGAGTTGTGGGCCATGGGGGGAATTGTTTGGGGACGGTGCGGAAGTGTGGCCAGCCGCCGGTGCGGGTTTTAGTGGTTGCTGCTGTGGCGATGGTGCGGTAGTGGGCGATTTCGGTGGGTGTGAGGAGATTGCGGATGACGACGAAGCCGTCGCGTTGGAGGGCGTCGAGGTTGGGGTGTGGGGAGGATGACATTATTGAGATTGGATGTGTTGAGGATTGGATAGCTTGGAGGTAGTTGAAGAAGAAAAAGAAGTGAATTCAGATTGAAAATATGAAGTAGTTAAGACAAGTTAGAGGAATGAAAAAAAGTGATGGGATTGCGGGGTACGCGATGCGACGCGGGGGACTTGACGACGGTAAGTACTACAGTGACATTTTCTTACGCGGTAATTCCGCAGTAATTATCTCAGAGGCTCTGCGGGCTTCGGCAAAGCTCCGATGTTACCGTCGATCCGATGCGACTCTGGCGTTCTTTTTATCGTGATTGTGTGTATCTTTGGTGCTTTACGCCTATCAACCAACCCGTTGGCGGGGCCTCGGAGCTCCAAAGGCGAAGTAAATTCCGATTCTCCACATTAAACTTACCATCTCTCTATCGTTCCATAGTTGTATTCAACCGGGCCGGTTGTTTACGAGTCTACAGTACGTATATACAGCAGTACGTACTTTGTGGGGTTCGATAACGTGGAAGTCGTGAGGTACACATGGTGCGATCGTCTTAAACGAGGTCGTATCTCAGTCCAACTTTGGAACCCTGGGGTACCAGGGTGTCACCAAGCTGCTCAAGCTCATGGGGAGCTTCTCCTGTCTTCTCAAAGAGCTCTCGGCTGAATAGTCGGTTCAATCGGATAATTTCATTCATCATGTTGTTTTTTCCGTCTGAACTAATGCTTCAACTAAGTATACTTCCATACCAGAGTCATCTCACAATCTTGTCTATAACATACTCAATACAGTGATCACTTCCACTGCGCAGCCCATCCTTGCCACAAAGCAACCTCGTCAAGCTTCTCATCCGCCTCATCTTCCTCTCGCTCTCTCCGGTGCCTATACCGACCGTACCGGTGCCCATTATAATCATCATCACCATCCCCACCAGCCTTTCCCTTCGTAGCCAGCCGTTTAGCAACTTCATTCGCTTCAAACAGAGACACAAGTCTTCTCTTCTGCGGACTCTGCTGCGCCCGCTTTCGACAGACCTCCACCATCATCTGCGCCTTGGTTCTCCAGTCCTTGTCCTTGATGAAGAACTGCGGCTGACGCTGGGTAATGTTCTGCCACTCTGGCCGACGATTCATGGAAGAAACCGCAATCATGGGGACTGTGCGAGTGGTCTCGTTCACCCATGCATCTACCGCCATGTCGATGGGCGTGCTGCCCGTGGCATTTTCACGGTACAGAAGGTCTGGTCGAGAGTCAAGGATTGGTTCTAGGATTTGAGGGAAGCCTCGCTTGACACATTCGTGCACGGGCGTGTTTCCGGCGCCGTCAAGGAGCTCCAGATACTTTTGGTTGGTGGATTCGCCCAGAGTCAGGAATAGCTTGGTGATGGAGCTGGTCGATTCCTTGTTCGAGGGCTGGTTAGGCACTGAATAGTGGGCTTCGGTGGAAATGTCGAAATCGGGGTACTTTTGCAGCCAGCGTGCGTAAGGTGTCCGCGAGCCTTCACCGGCACGTTGGGTGAGCATGGTAGAGACATGTTCTTTGTCCATGAGGTCGATCAGTTGAGAAACCTTGTCTGCGTGTCGGGCAGGGGATCCCGAGATGGAACATAGCACCAAATGCAGGAGATTGCATCCTTCAGTATCACGAGCAGCTTGGTTGGCACCAGCTTGGATCAAGATGCGCGCGAAGCTCAACCTGTGAAGGGAAACCGCCAGCGCGAGGGGGGTATGTCCCTCGGATGATTTGACTTCGAGGCATTCGGGGTGATGATCAACCAAATACTGGACCAGTCGCTCTGACTCGTCGCAGGGACGAGACATCACTGCGCAATGAAGCACAAGGTTGTCTGCATTCCAAGTTAGTACAAATCTATATTGTTCTGAGACGAGAGTAGACAACTCACTCCGATTCTGGAGCCACTTCAAGACAGATGCTTCGAGGCCAAGCTTCGCCTGGGACAGTCTCTGGATATTCTCATCCTCCAGGTGCGCATTCACATACTCCAGGTAGTAGCGACTAGGCGCCGTACCCAGAAGCCACTCAGTACTAGCCATTTTGCCCTGCAACGCAGAAATAAGAACAGGCGGCCGGCCGGCCTCATTGGATCCGCGAGACAACTGGCCGTTTTCCGGCCTCCCAGCATCCGCCCAGTCTTTGCGTTTCTGACCGCGAATGGACAAGCCCTGGTAATACTCCGGCTCTTCCTGGGCGGCAACTCCCGAGGCCTTGCTCAGCTTCAAGAGCGGAAGACCAGCAGCAGTGCCTTGGATGAGCAAGCCGAGACAGTCTGTGTGACCCAGAAGAATCGCAAGTTGGAGTTCCTCTTGGCCCAGAGTGAATGCGGTCTTGTCGGCAGGATCAGTACTTGCACACTCGTGTCCAGTTTTCAAAAGCCAGTCCAGCAGGTCAAGATCGTTCTTGAAGATGGCGTATTTGAACAAGTTGTTGACCATCAAATAAGACGAGGCACTCCAATTATTCATCCCCACGAGTCGGAGGTCTTCCTTACCAGGAACTTCCTCCTCCAAGAAAAGACGGGGCCGGAAGAGTCGCTGCAGCGCTACACGCGGCGAGACGTCACTTTCAACCTTGCTTGCGACTTCCCCGACATTCTCGTAGGTGAATTGCTCATTCACAGTATGACCGACAATGTTGAGGCCCTCATCGTCGGAAGATTCGCCGTCTGTATCGATATCCATCTCAAAGTGCTGCCGAGCTTCAGGCTCCTTTACCTTGTACTGGACCCGAATAATTCCCAAAATAGCCTTGGCAACGCGAAGGTGACCCCGCATAACTGAGATTTGCAGACAGGTCAATCCCAAAGCATCGCTTCGGGACATTTGCAGGGGCAATTGATCTTTGGCGGGTCCCCACATTGACAGGGTGAGTGACTCGATGGTGTTAAGATCTCCGTTCCATGCAGCCTCGAACCTGGTTTTAATGAGTTAGCGGCTTGTTTAAAATTCATCGGATGTTTTGTACGTACAGTTTTTCGTATCCTTCACGTTCGACATCAGAAAGACTCGCCAATGAGCTGAAGAATTCAACCTTGAATATCTTCTTGGGGCTTTGCTTTTGCTGATTTCTCCGGGTTTGACGATGTCCAGGATCCTGGGTTTCTCCGGGGTGAAGCTCTTGCCAGGTCTTTGCATCTTTTGACAGCAATTCCGCCTTGAGCAATTCGTAGTCTTTGATCAGTGCCGCAACAGCCTGTCTCTTTTCAGCCTCACCGGGCTTCTCTTCAGGTGCTTTGTCCTTTTGACTCTCCTCGTACTCTTCGGCCTTCTTGTTGTTTTCCTTGGCATTCTTCAGTTGAGCCTTTGCAGCAAACATCTTGTAACTTCCCTCTTGGAAATCGGCCAGATAAGATTCCTCGTCCTGCTCGAAAATGACACCATCAGGAATTCCGTACGGGCGGCGCGTGGGTGATTCGTTCTTCAAAGAGTTTTCCAGCTCTTTCAGGCACCGCTTCGTGCAATCCAAAGCAGTCTCACGGAAATCGTGTCGTTGCTCATGATCGGTGTTTGGGTCAACGCCGCGTTGCAGGAGGTCAATGGCCACCAGAGGTAGATCGTTTTCGATAGCGAAAATGATGGGCTGCTTCGAACCCTTGTCTTCGAGCTTTTGTTCTCCACCATAACGCATTGCGTCGGGCATCTGAGACTTCAAGGCTTTCAAGCATTCGCCAAGCTCATGACTTGGCTTTGCGCCTAAATCGAGCAGCTTCTTGGCCCCGGTAGGATTCTTGGCACACAAAGCATTCACCAAAGCCGAGGAGAAGTTGTAGCTGGAGCTATACCAGGGACCTTCTACTGCCAAATAATTGATGGCGCGTTGCATAGCTGGGCCATCGTGTTCTTGGTAGACATCGAGAAGGTCACTGTAATCGGATTGGGCGAGATAGTGGAGTACCGTATAGTGAGAAGTATCGGCCTGAGCAGGTGAAGCACCAAGCTTCAGGAGTGTCTGTGACATCTCCCTCGCTTTGTCCAAGGGTAGAGCGAGTACCAAGACCAGCGTTAAGATTGCACCACTTGGCTGTTTGCTGTAGTCGTCCAAAATCTTGATCGGCAACAAGACATCGGCTCCGAAGGAAGTGACAAGCTCTTTGACAGTTTCCACGTGGCCATGAACAATTGCAAGATGCAGAGGCGATGCGAGATTATCCCATGCAGTCACGTTGATGTCGTAGATATCCGGGTCCATGTCATTCTCTTCAATTGTGTCGAAGGTGGATGCCGATTCGTCTCCATTCTCCTTGTCCACCTTGACAAACGAAGCAGAAGTGTGCGACGCAGCATCCATGTCGTCTTCATCCTCGTCGTCGTCAGCATCTTCATCCTCCGGACTATCAACGTTCATTGGCGTAGGTTTCTGATCATCTGTTTTCCGGCTCTCTGCCTCCTCGTTCTCATTGCTCTTCGTCAGTAGAATGCGAACAATCTCAGTAGCACCCCGAGCAGCAGCTAGATGCAATGCAGTCTGTCCATCAGCCATCCGAGCAATCAGTCTAGCACCGCGGTCCACAAGACACTGCACAATTTCTGGTGTGGATGACATGCAGGCCAGTTGCAGGGGAGTACGTCCAGTGTAATCTCGGCGGTCTGGATCCGAGTCCTCTTGGTCAAGGAATTGCTTCACAGCTTCCAGGTCATGCGACACAATGGCCTGGCAAAGCAGCTCAGTACGACCGACATATGCCATTTCTATGATTTATCGTTAGTGCCTTAATTCACATCAAACGTATTTTCTGTATCATACCTGTCCAATCGGTCTCGGTGATCGGGTTGAAACTGCCAATTTCTTGCCGACCCGGATCATCTTTGATGAAGCTGATCTTCCCAGAAATATAGATCTTGCTCTCTTCTTCGGCTATTTTTCGCTCCTCGTCAGTGACTGGCTGCGGACAGAATCCACAGCAGTCGCCAATGACATGCTCAGCTTCACCAAAGAAGGCCGGGTGGCGATGAAGATATACCTCGCGATCCTTCTTCTGATTCCACTGTGCGTTCAGAAGAAGATCCTTTGTGTACAACAATTTCTCAATTTTGCGTGCGTTGAATCTTCGGCCATAGGGAATTGTCTAGCTTCGTATTAGCAGAAGCGAATGAGCGAACAAGTGTTAGAAGACGTACAAAGGTGTGGTAGTCCGAGATTTGGTCTTCTTCTTGCCATTCCGGTACTTCGTCTTCCCAGTCATCTTTGATGTTACCGTGCAACTCTTTTCCTTGACGACGTCGTAGATAAAGGCTGAGAGGCGGTCGACCGCGCTCTTCACGTCGCTTTCTCAAATAAGTGTCTCGATCATTCGGCTTTGGTAGCTTTTCGAGAACCAAGAGCCGTGCAAGTCCTTCAGTTCTCATGAAGCTTCTTTCGAAAATTGTCTTTTTTTTTCAAAAGTCAGCATATCAGGACATATTTTGCTCAGTACATCACTTGCATACCGGATCGACCTTTGACCGGTCAAGTTGAGGCCAGAACACTTCGAATCCACGGTGGGAGTACTTTGAAAGGCGATTCTCATAAGATGGAGAGCGGCGTGTCAGATCAATTTGATTCGTCTGCGTGATATACGAGACAACGGCACGAGGTGACGCATACACCTGTTGGCCATCATAGGCCGCACAGGAACAGTCCACATCGAATCCAGTGAGGATTTCGGCTACCGAATGGTAGATTCGAAGAACAATCTGCACATGTCTCTGGGGATATTGCGAGGCAATAGTGATAGTGTTCTTCGTACGAATTGTCGTAGTCTCGTACAGGATCGTGTTACGGATACTGTTTTCGATGTGTTTGATCTTCTCGATAGCTTGCTCCTCAGTCAAGCCATACAGGAACAAATCGATATCTGACGCCGGAGCAAATTGTTCATGATAGTATTGGCGGAGACCTCGCTTAGAGTTGCGATACTTCTCGGGCACTGGTAGTAGAGATGTCACAACGGCGCTGCCGGCAGCAACGACGTTACTCCAGTCCAGGTCGCCCAATGCACCCTCAGTGAAGAGGGCAAAATTGTTCTGGAACTCAGCCAGAGATGGAACAACAGCGTGCGAGCCATTGAGTCTGCGCTTGTCGTGGGGAAGAGGTAGAATATACTTCTCCTTCTGCTCAGGGGTCTCTGCGCTCAAATCTCGTGCCCGAACACGAATATCTGTGGAACCTGTCGTGGTGTCGAAGATGGGGACGATATTAGCAAAATTGTCCTTCACCAGAGCGTGTGCTGGATCTTGAGCGAAGATCTTTCGTGCTGAAGCATCGAATGCATTGTAAGGCTTGACGAGCTCCTCGATGGGTGTTTCCGGGTGCGATTGAATGTACTGCACGAAGTCGTGATGCTTCACAGGTAGAGAAGGCAACGAGGGAGTCATTGTTGATACAAGTCAAGAATTGGAGGCTAGGTCCTGATTGAAATGATAATTATGCCGTATAAAGTCTGCTGACCCTGAGACGAACTTGATGTCGTTTAAATATCAACAAGTCAATAATCGTTCTAGTCTGGTTTGGGGCTTAGTGCACAGAGGGTCTAGGCAGCCTTAGGCAACAGGAGCCAACCCACCTGCCAGCGACCAATCAGCATCACGCCAAGCATCAAGTAAACTTAGTCGCTTCGCTAAGAGCTCACCAGGAAATTGAGAGGCTTCGAAATGAATGCTGTTTCAGGAATTGACGTCTTTGGACATGTTGATTCGGTTGTGGTCAATGGGTTCTTTTAGCAAATTTTCCCTTCTGAAGTGACTGTCAAGGAAGGTGCATCGCATCAAGTCACGTGTATTTGCCAAAATACGATCTCAAGGAATGAGCGAGCAGAACCAGTGTGGGGACCATCAACAGACAGAGGGGGAGAAAAGAAGAGAAGGATAGGACTTCAGGCTTTAAGACGATGTTGGACGTAATCACTCGATTCCCCATCAGAGTATCGCTGCTAGCTCGACTGTGAGAGCCAGGCAAGTCGGAAGAGAAGAGAATTGAGTCCCACTAACTTGACCTTTGGATAAGGACTCCAGAATAACTAGAATGTTCAATCGTGATTTTCTCTGGAAGCAACAGATGTCTTTGATCTCTTTTGGGCGTATTGTATATCGATCAAAACAATAGCAGCCAAAAAAAAATCCATCATGTAGGCTCCACTGATATTTACAGACTTTATCGCTCAGTCTAAACTAGCTTGAACCTGATAAAATAACAGGTAAATTCTGTACTAAAATCCAATTCATTGTTCAACCTAGTCTCTTTTCACAGGCTATACATTATCCTCCCCCACTTCAATGGCCACCGTGATAACTTTCTCCGTGTTGCCCGTAACCACTTTCGTAGCCGCCATGTCCGTTGTTGTTGTAAGAGGCACCTCGCTCATCATGGCCTCCGCCATAATTTACTGGACCATTATGTCCGCCTCTGTACTCGCCATGGCCTGTGTAGCCACCTGGGGTGTTGTGGCTGCGCTCAGGATATTCCCTTCGATGCTCGTTGCGGTGACCATGGCCATCCGACGCATCACGTCTGGCGTAAGGATCCTGATGAGAGGAATATTCGCCTCCGTGGGGAACAGGGCCACCAGGATAGCCGTTGTGAGATTGGCTGGGGTAGAAGTCTCTTCCATCGTTGTAGCCTCCAAAGCCACCACTCGGGGCGTTATAATTTCCATGTCCCTGCCCATAGGGAGGCTGATAGTGCTCCTGACTTTCCGGACGAATAAACTGGCCCGTCAGGTATCCTAGTTCAGATAATGTTGTTGTCAGATCAAATCAACTTTTACGAATGGCCAAGCCGCATGACTCGATAAGTAAGCTCACCTTCCGCGGCGTAAGGTCCTGCTGGCTGATTGTTTCCATACATCTGAGTATAGTTCTGAGAGTCTTGGGGATGCTTTTGACCGGTCAAGGCATCCGTCATTTTGTGCATGAGTCCCGATGATCCGCTCGAAGGTTGAGATAGCTTCTGCCCGGACAGTTGATCGGCCACTTTTCCCAGAAGACCAGACATTTTGATCTTACTTTCCAGCACTAGATGATCGTGTTTGGGGTAAATGATGGTTCAAACCCGGTTTGGGAGTAATCCAGAAATCAAGTCCAACAATAGGGGCTGAGAAATGTACTACTACCAAATTAGGGGAACAAGAAGGACTTATAAGCCTCTCCCTTTCCCTCACTCAGCCCCCTGGATCCTTCGAATTTCGAGCTAGCAATTCCCGATGTAGCCGAGGGCCAATAAGTTTACGGAGAATTACCAGGACTACGTGTCATCTGAGTCATTTACGTAGCTAAGCCACGGTGCTTCTAGGAACTGAAACCCGGTTGACCCATCTTGGTCACGCTCTTTGCCCGAGCAATCTTGCCATGTTACAGCGAGTTCCTGTGGAAGGAGCCGGAAATTTAGCGTCAGCCTATTGGTTTGATGCAGCAACATTTCCTTTCACCAGGTTCCTATTGGAATAGCCTGAGAAGTTATAAAAGGATGTTTTAACTGAGCCCCTACTGTCCTCCCTCGTTCTTCGCACTACATTCCAATGTTAAGCTGCTTCATTTATGACTATCTTCCATGTCCTACTTCAAGCTTTTATTTTGTACCTAAAATTCCCTTTACACAACCCCTTTCCCCTAAGCACTAAAGCAGTCTGATCAGAGTGCTCAACTAGCCACAGCAGGTCAATATCTCACAAGAAGAACTGCCACACTTGACTTGGCATAGCTGGGACCAATTACCCTGATAGTCAGTACCCGTAGCATCCGCTAAAATAGACGACGACCCAATCTCCGGCTGTACGGTCGCTGAATGTATACCGTAACTATGGAAGCAAGCATTCATGGTCTTTGCAATCTTCACAAATTCGGAGACAGTCTCATTAACAATGGCGACGTGGACAGATGCCAATGCCTTCTCTTGGTTCAGGCGCCAAACATGTAGCTCGTGAATGGAACGGACACCGGGGATCTTGATTAATCGTCAATTTTAGGCTGAGAATGAGGATTGTAATATGTACTATAACGCACCAGTTCAAGATCATGTCTGATATCGTCAAGGTTGATGCCGCTCGGAACACTTTCAAGAAGAATCCTTCCCGAGTTTCTCACTGGATAAAGAATTACTTAGTCACTGAGTAAATATTTTATTCGTGTAGGAATCACGAACCTAGTGGAAGCGATGTTGTGAGAATAACTATCGCAATAGCCATGCTGACAGCAGGGTCTGCATAGTAGCGAGCTGGGGACGAAGTAAGCCAGATCACAAGAGCCGAGATAATGACGCCAACATTATTTGCTGCATCGCCGACCACGTGAATCAGAACACCTAGCATTCCTAGGTCGTATCCTTTTCTGGACAGTTGAAGATTGTTGTGCCGATGGTTGTCGTGCAAAGCAGGTGTCTATCCAAAGCTCAGCATATATCCGGAAACGATTCGAGTTAATATTCTGACATCCTCTGTTCCGTTTTCTGCGTTCTCTGTACTCTCCGAAGTCGAACCGTGAGAATGATCATGTTCTAAAAGAAGGTACGGGTTAGAGACTGGGCGACCAAGGTTGGAATCATAGCACGAACCGTGAAGAAAGGAGGCGCTGATAATGTTGAGACAAAGGCCGATGCAGCCGACGATTAGTACAAGCTTGGGTTGTTCCACGACTGCGATGGCTTTAGTAAAGTACAATACCGACAACTAAAATGTCACTTACCCTGAACAGAGACGAATCGTTCTATGGATTGTAGGAATATGCTAACACCCAACGCGAGAAGGAAGACACCGTTGAAGAAGGCACCGAGAAGTCGGGACCTCTGCCAGCCAAAGGACAGGTCTTGTGGTGAGTTCTTTTTGGCGGAAATCTAGTACGTATTAGCGACGGGTATTGAGGGGGTGAAAACCGGGGTTTCGACCTTCAAAGCGGCAAATGCAACGACGAATCCTATAAGATCGTTTAACTGGGAAAAATCAGTATCTAAATGTCTGACAGAGAAGAGAAGGGGCCAATTCGGTACGTAATGGAAGGCATCGGCGACAAGAGCAAGAGAGCTCGTGTAGAACCCGACTAGACAGTAAAAGTTAGTGCACAGTTATCAGGAAATCGTGTTCAGTGTTGTTACTGGATATTTCTGTTATAAAAAAGCACAGAGAAATAAATATCACAAGCTGTAACCGCTTAGACTGAGTCAAGTGAAGCGCCATGGTTGAGAACTGGCTGGGAATAAACCGGCAGTATGAGTGGATAGAGATGAAAAGGAAGAAAATGGTGGGAGGACCGACCACCCTTTTTCAGCTTTTCTTCTAACGTGGCTCGGCGCTCGGATCTGAAAGTCTCAGATGGCGTGGGCATAAGTCCGAAGTTCCGTGAAAGCTGAGCATTTATTGGTGGTAGCAACAAAGCGAGGGCAGCAATCTCCACCTAAGCATCGTTTAAGTCTTTATAATCAGCATTAAATGCCTCAACTGTCTCTTTCCTGAATCTGATAGCCCAATATCTACCTCGGCCAGTGGTGTTTCCTGCCCGGATTACTCCGTACGCATTTCAGAGCACATTCTGGTCTACTCGGGAGTCGGGCCAAAACGGCTTTCCGGTCCTCCAGGATGATCGAGGGTGAGAAAAAATAGATCACTTGCATGCAAAAAGGAGATACCTGATCTTGTGTTGTATGTCTAGGCTCTGTTCGCTCTATAATTTTCAATTTTAAGGCAATATTGTCAAGATGTTGAGTATTTCCACGTTCAAAGCGAATGTTTTACCTCGATAAATAAACCAAATTTGGATATGTCACATTTGTTACCAGTGCTTAAATCCAAAGGCCCATGAGTGGCTTTGGGCCTACCCGCAAAGCGGTGTGTTTGCATACTAGGCTACCACAGTAAGCTTGTTAAGAGTGCTTAAATAGCAGAAGCTCGGGCTTAGTTTCGCTCCCTATCACTATGGTAGTGTGAACCATACAACATTTGAGATGATTGCAAATTGGTGCCAGCACAGTCACTAAATGTGACTTCTAGCAGCGCAGCGAGGCACTTGAGATTCCAACTCTTGTCAAGTAAGAAGCTTGTATGTGGTACACTAGCTCTAACAGTCATCCCTAGTGGATCGTCAACGCCAAAGCTTTTCAATCGATCTTTTTTGGAGATACCTCGCCCGAATACTACTGTGAAACGGGAAGAAGCAATATTTTCAATCCGTCAAGACCAAGAGCGACCGTAGAGAGGCTTTGAAAAGGTTGGTCTTGGCTCCAGTGCGATTAAAGACGGTATTATCGCCATACGGGCAACGTGCTGGGTCATAATGCCATCCAAATGGTGAATAGATGGTGGAAAGATGTTGGATTAAGGTTAAATAAGCATAGTTTATGACGCCACGTTTCTCTTTCCCTCCCAGGCATTGGGGTTGATTAGTTTCTAGTAATTGGCTGAAAATTGGGAGATTTGCTCGCAAGGTACTCACCCTCGCCCGCAAGGTCCTCATGAATGTCACGCAAACGAACACCCAACACTTCTTCATGGGGACAGGTCAAATTTGGGCAATATCTTCGAATGATTCATAATCGAATCTGTTCGGGCATAATGTTCTCTTTCGGTGGACTCGATATTCTCTTGACTCTCTTGCTCTAGTATGCGAACCTCTCACAAATGCCCACAAAGTTGCTGATTCATCTGTATATTCTTTCCTTTGCACGTGACCTTACTTTTCTGTGCCGAAATATACGCAGTAGATACTCACAGGTACTCATCATCATTATCATTTTTGATGTTCAGTACTAACCGCCTTAGAGGAGCTCAGTCATAAAGTAGAGACTGTTTGCAAACACCAGGGAGTCGAAGATCATGAGAGTGGTTCGCTTTCCAGCCCTCTTTTAAACAGTGTTCCCGACCTCTCTCTCTTTAGACTCTCTTTGGCATCACGGCTTCGCACGCGAAGATGTCCGTATCGCTAGGTAACCAGGCTATCGAGGCTGCTGGCTAATAATAGCAGTGTTTCGGATCACCAGTGAGAGCTCCAGCTTCCATCTCCTATTATGCACGACTTGGCGGAGAAAAACCGTCTTAGTGTATGTTGTGGGGACTCCATATTTGAGTCCCAGGTCGCGCTTGTACTGGGCAATCTGACCTGGAGTCTGTCAGTAAACTTCGGGGCATATCGAGAAGATTGAATCCTTGTTGACTTACTCAGGGACTTGCGAAATTTGACCTTCGGTGATCTCTCCAGCCAACTAGGCATTGCCCTCCCGCTGCTTATCCGCGGCCCACGCTTGGAAGCCCTCCACCATCTAGGTGAGATTCTCGCGCCGCGACACACAGAGGACGCATGAGCAAGTTGAGCATGCCGGTTTCGGGCCCCGCTTTGGCTTCAGCCACTGGTATATCTGGTAGGCAAACGTCCTGACGCGATCAAATTTGCCACGGCCGAAAGGGCAACCATCGTGTGCTCAAAATCGGTCCAAACTGCCATATCTGTAGAATGTTAGCAAAGAGGGATAGGTTACACAAATTCGATCGAATATAAATGTAACTTGAGGAAGGAAGCAACAGAAATGACCCGGTCCAAGATTAAAGTACCGTGTCAGCATAGCGCTCTTCGGGTAGAAAAAGCTTCTATAGCATTGTTTTTCAGTAGCCGTTGTGCCATCACTGAAAATATTTCTGTCAAGATAATGCTGTCCCAGCTTTCACCCGTTTAGTTTTCGAAAGCTAAGCCGTCGAAAGCTAAGCCGTCGAAAGCCAAACCCGCAACACATAAGCGGGTGAAGGCTAGGCTGGTGAAAGCCAAACCCGCGAAAGCCATTTCCAGGCCCCCAATACGTCAGTCAAACAAGTCGACTTCGTCTACTTTGATATTTGAGCCCCTAGCACCATAACCCTAATGCAGATACCGTGGCCGGCCACCGATTTCTGTGAGAGAAGATATCTTCCGTTTCAATTCAGTTCTCTGTTAGGGGAGACACTGGCCAACCCCAATGCACAGGTCTGTCAAACGTCAGGCCTATGACCGACGTCATGTAAATGTCCCCGTACGATACAGCCTTGTACTTCTATTTGAGCTGAAAGAACAGCATTCCATGGTCTTACTGCTTAGCCAAAAGGGTAATGACATGGATGGCTCGCGACTAAAATAGTCCGTTATTTATCAATTTCTTAAATCTGTGAGCTCTACCGTATCGTACTGTTGCAGCTACTCGTTCGATCTCTCTAATGCCCATATATAATGGCAGCAAGAAGAGGAAATACATAACTTGAAAGTAGAAATAGGTACCCTTTAAAGTTCTTGAAGGAGGAAACAGATCTCTGGGTTTCATACAGTCAGATTGTCAGCAGTTTTTCTCCAGATTGATGGGTTTCAGGTGGTATTTAAGTTGGCGGGCATGAACTCAAGTATCACCTCTATTTTAATCATTCAAAAAGTCATCTTATACCAAGAGTAGCCATATTTGAGTTGGTGAATGACCACGACAACATTTCCTTAATCAGAGATTCGATCCTTCAGGCAAACCAAGTTCAACTGTCTGCCATAGCCCCACTGCATTTCTTCCAGCAAACACAACGTCCCGTCAACCTCTGGTTGAAAGTTTGGAAGTGACTGGCCTGCCGACTTCTGTCATGCTATTCCTGCTAGAGTCGGAACTTGCTCATGTCTCGGGCAAGTATGTGAAAGCAAAGCCTTTCGGAAATGAAGTCATTGTGTCTAGGTCGGCTGGTAGTAGCACGCTGATTACCACTGGTCAGAACCGAGCTAGTGTTACCGGTGTTGCAGAGGAGATTTAGGGCTTTAGATATATGAATGGAGTTATCCTATGTGGCCGGCAACTAGACAGATAGACAGTCGCTAACTTTCGCTACATCAGCTCTAGTCCTTGCAGAGGATCTAAGTTTCTCGGGATTGTGTACTAGACTTGAAAGAATCCAATATTCAAAATCTTGTAACCTTCAAATTGCCTGAATGTCAAGATCGGGGATGACGAGGCTGATGGTCAGTCGAGATCCATAGCTGATTATTTGAACCAACATCCAACTTGGTATCCACAATCTTCCTGAAACGTCAAAAAAAATAAACAGAAGCTACTTTTTATCTTCCATGCCAGTTAAACATTATAGAAGCGTTGTAAAAATAGCAATTTCCGTGACGGTTCCCAGCTGAGGCCAACCGGTTAAGCTTTGTGCATCGCCCCAATGGTCGCACCACCGCGAATCGGACGTCATCACGATCGCAACTTTCGCTGTGCCAAGAGCTTTGGGGCTGAGACAGTTGGGCTCAGCCAGCTTCCACGCTTTCTTTTGCTTTTTTTCCCTTCTACTTACTCGGTACTTTAACCCCTTAAGACTCTCGCAAGCACTCCTTGATTAATTCTCTCTTCATACACACTCCCCTAATTGTTGCTCCCCCACCATGCCCCTCCTCCGCGCGGGCTCCCCCGCCCTGCTCGTGTGCTTGCTGCTGGTGCTACTTCCCCAGGTCCATGCATTCGGAGCTGGCAGTGAGTTTAAATCTTCTGCTTATTGCAGGCCCATCTAACCTGTCTTAGATATTGCTTCGATCTCGGCCGTCGAGGGCAAAAACTGGCGTCATGGCGACATTGAGGATATGCTGAAGACGATCACGTTCATCGCCGGTCACAAATGGACATCTACTATGATCAAGCGCGTGTACTTTGGAAATTGGCTACGCGATTAGTGAGCTTCTTCCAAAATCCTCAACAACGTAGAAGTAGTGCGGCGCGGCTGACAGAGTCCCACCAGTTCGCAGGCAATGGATGTCGGAACCCTGAAAAATCTCCAAGCCGATACGATCCGCATCCTCGTGTGGGTCCTCTCGTTCCTGACGTTCGGATACGCGACGGGCGAATTCGAAGTTACCTCAGAGCGATTGGGTGTCTACCGTCCGGAAGAGCATATTGAGTGAGTCTTTATTATATCCTTGGTATACTTGTTGTCTGCTAATGTCTTTGTCCTAGTAACCCGAAAGATTACGCCGACAACGAAGATGCGCGCCAGTTTGACAAGCGCCTGCGAGGCCCGGTTCGTCAAGTCGAGCTTGATATCGATCCGGAGACGGGCATGAAAAACTACATCGCGAACGAGCGTGGCGACTGGGCGACTAGCACCGCCTTCGTCAAATTCAGTCTCAGTCGCAGCATCCATTACGGGCGCATGTACACCAGTGGCGGCCACCACAAGGGCAAGGAGGAAGATTTGTGTGAGGCACTTCGGTGCTTGGGACAGGGTCTCCATACCCTGGAGGATTTTGCGGCGCACTCTAATTACATCGAGCTTGCGTTGCGCGAGATGGGATTCCACAATGTATTCCCTCACACTGGCACAGCCACCCAGTGCAATATTCGTGGACATCATGTTTTCCCCTTGGTGACGGGAACTTTTGGTATGGTTGACTTCTTCCACTCGGTACTCGGTGAAGCTACCGATCATTTCACCCAGTCCGAAGTCAACGAAATGGACATTGCGCTTGGTGATGCGCAGACCAATGCCCAGGCCGGCAACTCTCTCAACTCCCTCACTGGTCTTTTGGGAAAGATCCCCGGGACTCGGGACCTGGTTACGGAGGCTGAAAACCTGAAACAGCAGTCTGAGGCTCAAGAGAGGAGTAATCGCTCTCATGGCTCTCATACGGGTTACGTGCAGACAGGCGGATTTGACCAAACCCGCGCACCTGATCCCAGCCACCCGATGACTGGTGGTGCTGCTCCAGGGCCTGGTCTCCAGGGCATGCCTGATTTCAACCCTCAGGAGACAGTGTCCAAGATCTACCCTATCCTGGCCTTCCGTGACAAGGTCGTTCGGAAGCTGAACGCGGTCATCGAGAAGATCCCCGGTTTGGAAACCATCGTTGAGAAGATCACAGAGACACTCACCGTGTTCATCATGTCGCTACTTGCGCCATTCATCCGCCCACTTATCAACGCCGCCTCTAAGTCTCTCCAGACCGGGTCATCGGGTGTCATTAGCGCCTCTGGCAAGCACCAATACGAACCATGGACCGATCCTCACTGCACTGATCCCACCCACTCGCTTCTCTCCAAGGACCACTTCGCCAACATTCTGAACGAACCAGCTGGGCAGGTTGCTTCCGCCATTCTGAAGTACGTTGCTCCTCGCGTACTATATGCCTGGCAACACATCGACGTCCCCGAGCACGAAGTTCTGGATGACTGCATGCGCATTTTCCACCACCCCGTGCTCCGAGACATGCATAATGAGGCTCACCGAACCATGTTCGAGGCTGTCGGAAACTGGGTGCACTCTCGTGAAGACCGCGGCTCGCGTCTCAACGACATTCTCAGCGCTGAGGGTGTCCGAAACGGTCGCAACACCGGTGGTGTCCCGCATACCCACGGCGGTAGCCAGGGCGGTTTCGCTGCTCTGGGCGGCGCAGCCCATGGTCAATCACACGGCCAAGCTCACGGTCAGGGTCAGGGCCACGGTTTCTCTGTCGGCGGTATTCAGTCATTCTTCACGCAGGGGCAGGGTCAGCACCAGCAGCCGTCAGGTTCACACGGGCAAAGTTCGTCTGGTCTGCCTTGGGATAAGCTCTCCAAGCTACCTATCCCTGGCATGTCGAACCTGAACAGGCTTGAGAGCACCATTTCTGGTTTCATTCCTGGTGGTTTGTCACATGGTTCGAGGAGAGAGCTTGATGATGATGACGAGGCTGGCTCTGGTCATGCACAGGGTAACGCGTCGTATCAGCAGCAGCCTTCGGGGTATCATGGTCAGCAAGGGCATGGTCAGGGTGGTCATGGTTACTGAGAGACTCTGTAGGTTGGCGCGTCTGGCGAAATTTAGTATGGAGAAAGACTTATGGCACAGATAGTTGATGATGTTATGAATATTGTGATGATAGTGCCCGCATGGGACAAGGTACGGGGCCAGGGGTCGAGCTGTTAGACTAGGGCTAGACGACGTAAGTATGACCTTGCCAATCTAAAGGCCAGTGTTTCCTGATCTCAAGAATTAGTCTCCTGAGGAAAATTATTGCTTTGGAATATGAGCGCCCGTATCTTTTGATTTTCCAAGTTTGTTGACTATACCTACGCTGCTCGCGCTGACGGGATTCGATATATATCTCTCGGTGAAGCCCACCTAAGCAACAAGTAAAGTCTTTCTTGCTTTCCAGGGCAACTTTGCCTCTAACCTTCTCGTGGAACTATTCTCGATCAGTGGTGCCATAATCGAGAGTTCATCAGAGTTTGCTTCTTTTTTTGCATTCGGCCAACGCCACGTTCTTCGAGAATAATGCGTTCTCGCCCCCCAACATGCAAACCAGTCAACCTCGGTCGATGAAACCTTCACCGGCACCTAATCTTAATTTTCTGTTATGTAGCCATAAATCTCCTCGCTCTTCAACCAGCCCTGCCGGGCTAGCTCAATCGGTAGAGCGTGAGACTCTTAATCTCAAGGTTGCGGGTTCGACCCCCGCGTTCGGCTATTCCTACAGATAACCTGAGATCATTTCTTTTTTGTCCCTTCATTTTTGGTCGAGTTTGGGAGGGTTTAGAGCAGTTGGTGCGATGGAGTACTTGGTGTGATGTTTTTTTGACAGATTGGAAACCTTGATCTTTTGTTTGATCCAGGCCCGCCGATCAACTGGGCTAGCGCCAATAATTAAGATTCTTTGTGCCTACATAGCTTAGGGCTGACGCGAAATAACGGGCCCCTTGCCGACGGGAGCTTCACGCGTCTAAAAGCTGGACCTCACGCGTCATTGTGATTGTTCTTCTCCAATAATTTTCTACCACAGCTAATACCTAATCATGGAGTCTCAGTGGCCAGAGCCCTCTTTTGGGAGTGGCGAGTTTAAAGATGTCTTCCAATTTGCTCAAACATTCGAATTGCACTGCGCGAAAGTCTACGACCATGCCACGAGATACCCCGAAGGAGCTGCCTCGGCGACTTACGTGATGGATCTTGTCTCGCAGGCCTACAGGGCGGTTCACAGCTTGCATATGCAGAAAATGGCGACGTGGTATCTGGATCAAAAGACAGCGACTGCATCGCTGCAAAGCAAGGCGATAGAGTACCGTGAGACGCAGGAATTACTACCCTCGGAGCATACCGAGGCCGTCACATCTGCTGAGGTTACCACTGAGAACCTAAGCGAAGACACTGTCAGAAACGATATTGAAAACTCCTTCAATGGCGATCTTGAAGATGACTCGGACGACTCGGACTGGGATGAATCGTCTGAAGAGGAGACAGACGACGAATACTATGAATACAACGAGGAGTCCGAAGAAGAGGAAGACGAAGACCTCGGAAATATACGACGGGTACACAGGGTGAGGACGATTCACGAGGTCCCAGAAGACGACGGACCAGAGATGAGTCAATCACCACCGATAAATCTCGCGACACCAAAGCACACGAACAACAGAACCGACGACGCCACATTCACACCCCCAATCATGTCACCAGAGGAGCAAGCGGCCCATGATCGAATCACGGCTGCACTCCAGCGCATCTCAGCGAAATTCGAAGACGCAGATCCTGCGCCGCTGGCGCGGGTACAGACCCGTACAAAATTTCCCATGCAACAGACTCCGCCCCATACGGACGATTCTCAAAGTGAAGCAACCACGATACGGCCAGAGTCAGGTCATGATCAGTTGTCACCTCCGCAGACTGCGACTGAAAGAGGATCATCAGCTCCGGGAACGACAAATCTCCCCCCAGTGGCTCTGGTGACAGAGCGAAAGGCCAGCTTTGATGGGACTGGCGAGCAGGTTGTGCAAGGGAGCCTTAGTCGGCGGGCTTCTGTCGCTGTGATTCCTCGCCGAATCAAGACTGTTTGTCATAGATATGTCCGCAGAGCTATGTTGCCCATCCGTGGAAAGGCTCACTAAGTGTGGAGAACGCTCTAAGTGCGATCGAGTGATTGACGAGGATCAACATCCATCAATAAATCTCCTCCTGACGACCGGCTGGGTCACCGAGTGCATCATGAATCTCAGCTATCTCAGACATATTCATCATGATTTCAACTTCTTGACCGTGGTGGGTAAATTTGTTTATCAGGATTTGAGTCACCCGGTGATGGATGCGGCTGCTACATTGAAAATTCCAACGAAAGGGAAATGGGGAAGGGGGAGACTTGGGAATACTGGTCTTGAGGGAGACTAGTGCGTGATCTAGGCCGCATGATGCTAGAGAAAAGGCCTTAGTAGGGTCCAGTACAAAGAGAGGTAATAGATGCTATTTCTGACTGTCTATCTACACAAGAAAAAAAAGCCCAAAATTCCTTCATCTCCGCAGGGCTAGTGACATAATGCTGCCATAATTGAATACTGGCATTAAATCACTGTGAACGATCCAAGGATTATGAGAGAGTTGTTTGTTCTGTCATGAGTATATAGATCAGTAATATTACCTGTTTGGGTTAGCGCGTCAGTCATTTCCCCATTTAGAAACACGCGTACAGCCCAGGGCCCAAATGCTTCATACAATTTACATTTTTAATTGAAGCACTATCCAGACAGAAGAACATCGCCAAGCCATCCACCAAAATGGCGCCCCCACGGCCTCCGATACAAGTTAAGGTGGCCGCTGATGACAGCGTGGAAGATGCTCTTCAGAGACACCGTTCGATATGCCATACACTTCACGGCTCAATACCCGCGGGAAAAGGCCGACTCGGCCTACGTGGGATGCATTGCCCGTCAGACGGAAAACCTGCTGCGGTGGATCACTCAACATATTACTGCAAATCGCCAAGCTACCCCGTCATCTACTGCTACTGCCACTGCTACTGCGATGGGGTCGGAACCTCAAATTCGACCGGCGCTCCCAATGAATGGACCCCCCAAGAATGCACCCCAGCATGCTGCACCTCCAGTGATTGTTTGCATTGATGATTCCGATGAAGATGCCAGCTCTACAGATGGAGACCAAGACCAAGCACATCCGAGACCCTCACTCATCCCTTCAAGTTCCTGGATATGAAACTGAGAGCAGCCAGGATAATGAGAATGAGAAAAGCGGGGAAGACGAGACCTCCGACAGGGAAGGTTTAGGGGTTGAAAGGAATGGAGGCGAAACTTTTGGTACCGAACAAGAAGAGGAAATCCGACAAGGTGCTGGTGAAGTTCTTCCAGATGTGGGATTTCTCGGTGGCCGAGCTGGGCCTAGGGCTGATGATAAAGATACCGAAGAATCTTCCGAACGTGACCTTCCTGGAAGTGAAGACTATGACAGTGAGTCTTCCGCTACAGAATCCGACGAGGACGCCCAAAAACATGCCGATGAAGCTCTTCCAGATGTGAGATTGATTGGTGGCTCGAACGACGATAAAGTTGATGATGGAGACCCCGAGGAATCTTGCCAAAGTGACCTTCCTGGAAAACACAGCGAGACCTCCGATGCGACACACGACTGCCAGGGGAACACAGAGCCTGTGACAGAAGAACGGGGAGAACAAGAGATGGGGGATGCGCAGCAAGCGGACGACGACGACGACGGCTCTTCTATGGACACTGCGTCTGACATCTCAGATCGACCACAAGGCATTAGATCATGGATTCCCAATCATGTTGAGGAGGCTCTGTCTGAGGGAACCTCAGCTCAATCCGTTGAGCCCGTCGAGCACTGGCCTCCTGATTGATCGGCATGGGCCTCAGTGATCTCTAACCTGCCCGAGACAGATCCAAACACACACATGGTTCGTGTTAGATGGAACCTCAGATACCCCCACTCTGAAGTGTCACCCGCGGAAATGAAGTCCATTATTCGAGACATATGCCTTCAACAAGAAGTTGTGATACGATCGATCAAAATTCAGACTTGACCGGGAATAGTTGACATCTACCTCGACACAGCGGCTGGTCGGCGCAAACTCATCAATTCACAAAACCAATGGCTTCACCAGATCTCAGTCCATGGTATCTTGGCTAACATTGATAAAATCGCTCGTCCGCCACCACCGCGAATTCGAAACAAAGCCCACAAGCTCCCATTCGCGCCCAGAATCCACTGGAATTGCAATTATCCGCCTTCCAAGGTTGGGAATCGTCCCAAGATGCCACTATCATTGTGGAGGAGATCAGGGCTGCGTTGGAGAGCAGCGGAGACCTTTTGCTAGCAGCGGCTGCTCCGCGTGTCCATGCTGTTCAAATCAGACCTCGATCCGGTGACATTTGGGTATATGTGCTCGATTCCAGCTCGCGACTACATGGTTCGGAAGGAAAACGCTCGGTTGTGGGCTCATCACTTGAAGCATGGCCACACAACACGAATCCATCTCCAGGAACATAGATCTGCCAGGCATGCTATCGCAACCCAAAGAAATCCGCCTCTAGCAGACACTACTGGGAATGGTAGAAGGGGAATATTGCAGATGAGATTGAGTTACAAAGACAGAGTAGACGCGAGAGACGCCGGCGTCAACGAGTTCGCCAACGAAGACGAAAGAGGCGACGAGAACGAAGGAGGCAACTGAAGCGCCAGGAACGCCAGGAACGCGAAGGTGGGGTATCGGTTGTAGAAAGCGAAACTTGTACGATAGGATACGTGAATACAAATGCAGATCACCACATTTTCTTCATTGCTCATTAACAAGCGCATAGTTATAGTATTTCATTATTCTGCTGATCATCAGCCCTGGAGAAACCAAGATGAAATTACGATCAGCATCATGAACGGGGAACCTCTGCCCTTGTGCACTGTGAGACACGCTACTCGTCCTATCGAGGCATTGGACACTACTCGATCAGTCGCTCAATATTCTATAACTCCATATATCTTCAATGCGTTAAGTAGGCAAGGCAGATAGTATCGGATAAGCTTATGCGCTCGGCCCGATGAGGTCCAAGCTAAATATTCAGCTTTGAGAGCGCGTAATTTGCAATACATGAAAACCATCTTGAGGTGGGATATAACATATGAACACAGTGAACGTTTTCCCCACATACAACACGAATAGTATTAATGTGATGAGAGTGGATGAGTTCTTCTACCCGGATCCGTGATCGACCCAGCCAATTTCAGTGATATCCTTTCTCATGGCATAATTCCAAGCGCCATATCCATAGGGCTCCCATCAAAACTCGGCATGGTGTAGTCGGTGCCTAAATAGTTTGCATATTCTAGACCCGGGTCAGGCCAATCGAATGTGTTCAAATTCTCCAGAAACGGTTCAAGCGACTCCTCCGATAGAGCCCAATTTCGATCAATGAGGCCTGCAGTGGTGTCACTGACACTCCCAGGACTCACAGTAGCCTTCGCGCCCGAACTATTACTCGTGCAGGGCTGTGGAGAAGAATGGCTAGGAAATGCCGTGGTTGTCCCTGCTACTCGCCAGAGGGGCGTTGGAGGTGATTTATTTTCTTTCTTTTGGATCTCGCGTACGTATTGTGCCTTGGCCATTAGCCGATTGATGGGACGCCAGAGATTGCCTTTGTTATCTTTCATCTTCCACCGATTGTATACGGTTCGGGTATACTCCCAACCCCGATCACAATCCTGCGACGGGGGACGTGAGCATATTTCAGATAGTACAAAGGCAACTGCATGCCATTGAACGTGGGTCTTAGAGTGCCATGTCCACTGCGAAAGGGCAGGACTAGTGAGCAACTCGCATGACAGCTCGAGAACCTTAAGTGAGATAGTGAACAGTTGGTCTCTAATTGGACTAGGCAAATTTGACCCATCATCCTTCTGTCGAAGTGGATAGTAGACCACCAGCCAAGTTCGCGCAATAGTCAGGCGCGCGACAGCCGCACAAGCCTGGAAAAAAGGACTCGAAGTATCGCAGTACTTGAGATAGCGTTCCTCGAGCCGTTGCTGGAGATCTTTTGCTAAAGAAGCACGCTCAGCAAGGGTCAGTCCCTCTGCTGGTTGACCAGGTCGTCGCATAGCGGGCGGCACATAACCGGTTTTCCACACAATACGCATAACCTCACATCGAATAAGGCAAAAGGTCATCTCCGTGGATTCTTCCCGCTCGGTAGGAGGTACAGTCATATCAGGCGCTAGATCGCTGTCGTTGATATTCAATGGCATCCGGGTATCGAACATAGACTCGTGCACGATAGGCTCACAGCCATGGTATTCAGAAGATCGGATATCTAGTAAGCATATATGCCACCAAAGACGTCGCCGTATTTCGGTCTCTAGGGGCCGAAGGCCAAACGAGGCTCCATCTCTGTGTAGGCCCATAGCTCGCGCGATGTGGAAGATAAGTGCGGTCATAGACCAGGCGGTTCGAGAGGCATCCTCATTGCGTAATGCTGATAAAAAGAGAACTACCGCTTGGATTAGAACCACACTTTGAGTGTTGAGGAGATTGGCGCGAGCCATAGCCTGTTCCACTGCGAATTGGTAATGTTTGACTGCTGCGGCTCGCGAGAAGCCTAGAACCTCTTCGCATTGTTGTGACTCCATACTAATCACGGCTGAGTAATACATAGCGAATAGCAATGCCTCGGTATTGCGGTTTAAATATTCGGGCGATGCCACGGCATCCCAGTAAGATGCGACCAGAGTTGGCATGTGGAAAATGTGCACTAGTGGAGCAACACTGTGTTTGAATATCTCAAAAAGTGCCACTGATTGGGATAGCGGTGGATGATACGCCCGCAAGGACTGTGCAAGCGCTTGAAATCCCATTATCGCTGCATTACAGCCGAGCGAGGTTGTGGTGTCGGCAGACGAGGCCGCGGCCGCATCGAAGTCTTCGTCCTCTGACGCTGGCTCGTATAGTAAATCGCGCAGCTCTTCGATCTTTACAAAGTTAGACGATTACGAAGGATGATACTCCGTGGCATCGAAAGTGATGGCATCGAAAGTGGAAACGCACCTCATCGCCTAAATTTGCCCATAAAATGTTGCTCACGTAGCAACTTCGTGTGTTATCGATCACAAGCCGACCGAACTGCTGTTCTATCTGACTCGACTGATCTTCCGATTCTGTTGCCGAATGGGCAGGGGATTCCTGTGGTGAGCCGCTTGCTAGCTGGCTGCCTGCCTCTGTAGTGTCCAGGCGTCTCACCAGCGCCTCGAGATCTGCCAACCTGTCGAGCACACGCTTGTCAAAGGGTCGACGTGGTCGCTTTGGAGCTCGACCTGGGCCTGATGGGTAGATACATTCTGCCCCTGTACGTAGACAGTTGGCACATGGCTTCTGACGATCGCATTTTACTTTGCGAGATCGACAAAATAGACAGCTGCGGATGTGTGAGGGGCCCGATAACCCTTCGGACACTTTGGTCGTAGCTTCGTTGGCTGGAGAAGGTTGGGCATTAGGCGCGAGATCCTGGAATTCCGAGCTCATTGGAACAATGTGATCGCGCATGCTGAGACAGGTTAATCGGTTGTCGGGGTTGGAATGAAACAAAACAAAGAATCAAGAGGTAGGGGACTGCGATAGCGAAGGCCAGGTAAGGCTTGGGGGCCTAGTGTTAGGCTTATTGTACGTTACCTACAGCTTTGATACGGTATATGAAAAATAAACGGTATGAACACCCAAATTTCTTGTGACCTGTACAGTAAATATCAATACTCACTTTTTGCAATAGCCACTGTAGAGTTGGCCAACCCTGGGAATTTAAAATGACTTGGGACCATGGGGCCGCAAGGCTGATGCTGCATTGCATTGACTTCATTAGCTCTACATACTGTGTGTACAGTATTGATGACCATTTGGTGGGTCTCGCATAAGCTTATGCGGCGCCGACTCCATGCCCCTGATAGGGCCCGAGAAGGCCGATTGGCTGAAAACTGTCCTTACTATGTATATGATTTTGGGGCACAGATGTGGATTGTCGCCTAAATACATGAGAGGTAGTACCAACAACTTTCCGTTTCACGATGAGAATGTTGCGGTTTCTGAAGTCTCGCCTGCCATGTTCCTGGCAGCGAGGCATCTCTTCTTCGCATGTCCTTACAAACCGAACCTACTTCAAGTCATGGCCTGGGCGATGGTCACATACATGTTCACCTAAGCGCCAAGCAAGTTCAGCGCCAGGCTCGGGCGTATGGGGAAGGCTGCTGGCGCATAGTAGCATCGGTCCTGTTCTACAAGGATATGCGAAAATCCAGGCCCAGCGACCGTATACCACGCAAATATGCACATCAATAGTCATTTGGCTGTGCGGCGATCTGAGTGCGCAGTTGTTTCCGTCCGAGCCAATTGATGGAAACCTCGACAAAAGTCAAGATCTACAGAGATGGGACCCTTGGCGGACAGCAAGACATCTGACTGTCGGGATAATGGCCAGCGTTCCCTCCTATGAATGGTATGTATAGAATGAAACAGTCATGTACTTAGTATTCACGATGTGCTGACCTCAATAGGTTCATGTTTCTACACCGCAGATTCAATTTCGCTTCTAGTACTGCGTCGCTCGCTACTAAAGTACTTGTTCAACAAGCAGTATATACACCTGTTTTTAACACCTACTTCTTCACTATGCAGTCGCTTCTATCAGGGGCATCGGTTGAACAAACCCTCACGCGCTTACAACTCGCCCTCCCAGCAAGTATTGTGAATGGCTGGAAGGTGTGGTCGGGCGTGGCTATCGTTAGCTTTATGTACATACCGCCTCAATTCCGAAGTGTGTTTTCCGGATGCGTTGCAGTGGCATGGCAGAGCTATCTGAGCTGGACGAATCGGAATATTGAGAGGAAAGTCCCTAGAAGGACTGGAGAGACACACGGTGGGGACACCAGACTTTGAAGATATTAGATTACATCTTTGATTTGCTATTTGTATAATTCACGATTGCATAACAAGCGTATACTTAAAGTGTTTCATTACTCTGCTAGTCATCAGCTCTGGCAGAACCAAGATCAAAGGTAGTATCAGCATCAAAAACCGGAGAACCCTTTGCCCCAGTACATCATGAGACAGGCTAGCCCAGTTATAGGTCATAAACTAATGAAAAAAGAGAAAAGACAATCCCAATACTCCCTCTCCAAATTCCAACCTGGAGATATGCAACGCTCTAAACACAGATTCGATTCCTTCCCATTCTCACAGCTTCGTTCCCTCACGCCCACTATCACTAGGCCGTCTAGGCCGAAGAGGCCCCAATGATGCACCGCTCGGGCCCGCCGCGGAAGTGGATGTCAATTGTGTCCGGGTGGTTTCATTACTGGCCGAGTTGGTGCGCATGCCATTTGCTCGAGTCCCGTTGTGGAGCCGGGGATTCATGAGCCATTGTACCTGCATGCGCACGCTGTTGAGGGCGGCGTTGGTATGGGCCATGTCTTCTTTGATGCGGAGACACTCGTTCATGATGGTCATGCTTGCGCGGGCGTCGAGATCCGTGAGTGCGTGTGACATTTGGCTGACTTCTTCGCGGAGAGACTCATGCAGCGAGAGAAGATATTGGGTGGTGTGGGACGAGAATGAATTGGCAGGGTCTGCGGATTCGTCTGTATCGATGTGAGACTGTCGGTCTCTGTCTCCATTAGTGGCGGATCTTCCGCGACTGCGATCGCCGCCGCTTGCTCGTGCGGACTCGAGGAGGGCGGATCGTAAATTGGCCATTCCGTCCTCGAATATCTCATTGCGTTGTTGGAGATGTCGCATAGTTAATTCGAGGGTGTTGAGCCGCGTGTTTTGCGCCTCAAGATATGGTCCTATTGAGACTAGCGGACACTGCTGTTCATGCGTCGCGATATCTGCCCGTCGGACTTTGACCGAACACCCATATTGTGATGCCGCGCAGGGACTGACAACATCCGGGCACGTCTCGACGTGTTTCTTGAACGATCGCCGTGGAATGGTATTTCCACAATCATCGCAAGTCGCTTCTAGACTGGGGCAGAGCTCCCTGTCATGCTCCGCAAAGTCCTGCTCCATCACATCCTCTTTGCAGCGTTCGCACCGGCAATAGCTATGCATACAGCGTTCTTCCGGCTGGAGATCCTTTTTCCGAGTCTTTTTCCCGCACGATTCATCCGGACACGGCATAAGCCGATAGCCGCAGTATTTCTCGACATGCGACTGAACATGACCTCGCGGGATAATCTCGTCGCAACCTTCTCCCACCAACGGACACCGTACCTGAATCTCGTCGCACATGTTGACCAATAGGCGGGGCACGCTGGTCGATATTCGGGTGGTGGGGGTCCGGCAAGAGGGACATGGGAACTCATCCGAGTCGGCCGAGCGGAAGGTGGTGATGGCCGATCCCAGGCACTTTTGGCAAAAGATATGATCGCATTGTAGTCGCACGGGTTGCACAAAAGGGCAGTGGCAAATCGGACACATTAAGTGTGAATCGTAGCTGGAGACGAAATCAAGGGCGCGAAGGTCGACCAGGTAGTCGCGGTCGGAGTTGGCCTCCATAGCCAGGAAGTCTCGAATATCCATGGTGCGCGAAAAATATAAGCCTTAGGAAAGGCCCATGTAACGAGTTATGAGGAAAATCAGGCGCGTTCTATTGTAGATTCGTTGCTGCTCAAAAGTTCCGGCGTCAGCTTGTGAATGCGGCGGATAATAGTAAGACGGGAGGTATATACCGAGGTCGTTCACAAGGTACGCAGGACCCCTTAGGGTGATGATCAAATGGGAATCATTCAATAGGGAAGACGAAGTCTAGCAATTCTGACAGCAGCGCAGGTGGTTTTAAGAACGAAGTATGGAGAGGGAAGGGGAAATGAAGAAGGTGGGATTGCGGAGGGATGAGATGGCGAAAGGCGGAAAGCGGGCGGGTACGCAGCAGATCCGCGCTCGGGCTTGTTGGGGGGTTTCCCATGTGCTTGGGAATCCACTACTGCCTGGACCTCAGCTACGACGGTTGTCTCACCTCCACCCATCAGCATCGCCTGGTATCCGGCAGTTCATCTGAATTGTCCCGCGCTTTGTATCGCTTCTCTGCATCCGGGCAATCTCCATCACCCGCCCTTTCCACGATAAACTTGCCTCCCCGGTGCCGTCTGACACCACCATGACGAACCCATCCCAGCTCTTCCTCCTCGCCGATCATATCAAGCTCTCCCTCCTTGAGCGACAGCGCGCCATTTCCCTTGACCTTGAACCCAATGCCCAAGAAGGCGAGATCTCCCGATCCCTCGAGTCCCTCCAAGCGGGCATCCAGGCCGTAGAAGCTGAGCAAGCACGGCTGGCCGAGTCCAACGACAGCGCAGGCGCTGCCGCCTTGAAGGACCAGCTTACCCCCTCCACGATCAATACCAAGATCTTTCCTCCCAGTTCTACGGCACAGATCGTGTCCCCTCCAGCCATGACCCGACACAGGCGTCAGACTCCGTGCATCGATCCGCAAAATCGCCCGATCTCAAACAACCCGTTCCACAACATCCCCCTTCCAAATCGGTGCGATTTATGGATAACACGGCCGCTGCCGCGGCCGTCCAGGAAGAAATTGATGAAGAGGAGGATCGCAATCGCAAGAATCTCTTCCGGCCGTACCGCGATGAACCGTCACCGCCTGGCATCGATCAATCCAATATGTCCAACGAGCAGATCTACCTGCACCATGACCGGGTGATGCGCGAACAGGATGATCAACTTGATCAGTTAGGAGAGTCTATTGGACGCCAGCACCAGCTGAGTATCCAGATTGGAGATGAGCTCGATGGCCACGTTGCGCTGCTGGACGGCATGGATGGCGATGTCGAGCGTCATCAGAACCGACTCGACGGAGCGAGGCGGCGGCTGGACCATTTCCGACGCAAAGCGGGCGATAATTGGAGTATGATGACCATTATCGGGTTGATCATTCTTCTGGTTATCTTGATTGTGATTTTGAAATAATTGCGACATTGGGTCGCATGTTTGGTCTCTTTGTTACGAAGCTTTACCTACTTGCGAGCGGGCGTTTTGGGTCTTGGTGGGATGGACAATCCTAGAACCTACTTCGGCTGGCTTACGGTAATTGCGATTTTGGCGTTAGGACCATTGGTCAATTCAAGTTGGCTTCTACGGCCACTTTACAATCTCTCTGATGATTATCTCACTGAATTTTATTTGTAAACGGCGGACTCCCTCCATTACTTTGACATAAAGACCTCAACCTCAGCCCTTTCGGCCTCTGTTTCCCTTCTTCTCCTCCTCTCAACTTGTCTATCTTGCACTCATCGCCGCTACCTCTCTAGTAGCGGCCGAAACGGGTCTAGTAGGACTTGACAAGAGCTATCAGCCACCCACAATCGAATTGATATTTTTCGCAGCAAGATCCATCTTATATCTACTTATCTCTTCACACATCTGTTTGAATCAAAGTATCCACCAAACTTATCTTCAGTTCTTAGGCTTTTCCCAACCACGGATATCAGTAAACCAACGAGACCGGTACACCTTCGAGCCGTTGAAGATGATGTGATTCCCACCCGAATGATAGACATTAACCAAATGACCCTCTTGGTTGTTCCAATCCTGTCAAGTTGGCTGCATGTAGATAAAATCTCCGTTCGGTGCCAAGCTCAGGCTCTCGATGTCAGAACGTGGCAGCCAATCCTCCAATCCGTCTCTATTGATTCCTTTGCGACAACCATGAGTTTGAAATCCTTTGAAGTAGATCTCCTGGACAGCCAATCCCCCACGAAAGGTTCCTGTTTCAATGTCAAAACAGTAAACATCAGTATTAGTCGTCACGAGGAGTTTGCGTTCGTCATGTACGGGGACGAGATCGTGTGCTCATTCTGGCCGTACTTATCCACTGCAAGAAGGTCGGCTCCGCGAAATATAAAGAATTCGAGCAGGGTCGGCCTAGTATATATAGGCCTAGTACATATGGAAGGGAATTTTTGCTGCTGCTCGACTTGCCAGGGCTTATCTAGCTCAGGGTATAGGCTCGGCAAGCCCCCCGATACATATAGATTGGCCTTTGGCCCGTCCACTGCAGCGTCCAAGCCAATAATACTTCGACAGGCTGCGAGAAACAAAGTGCGATCTTGGGGATCCCGTCGTTTCAAATCAAGGCTATCACCGAGAAAGTCAAAGATTGGCTGGCAAAGCCCGCCATCTTCAAGTAGACAGTGTAATGTGCTGCAGACACCATACTTAGGCGGATTTTCAGGCACATAGTGGATAGCTTCTTTGAAAGCGTCATCAAACTCGTAGGGATGACAAATATCGGCTTCTTGAGTCTCCCCTAGTATTCCAATTCGCTCATACTCCTGCTCAAGTGTATTCGCGAAGATACCGAGACGAGCGAAGGTCGAACTTCGAAGGTCTGTGTCATCGTCATCATATTCCGGGTGCTTCACATCCCCAGGAAACACGGGAATCGACTCATAGCGGTACATAGGCTGGCGAAATAGCGCATAAGGATCAGCGCCATGCTCAAGTAAAGTTGTCATAAGGGTCGCTGTTGTGGCCAAATCGCTCTGCTCTTTAGGGTCCCACACATAATCTCTAACCGCTCGTCGAAGGCAGGCATTTCAGAGGGTTCAAAGTAGAAGTCTGGCGGCCGTGTGGCATCATCGGCCGCGTCGGTTTGTTGAGAAGGAAGGGCAACCTCCTCACCATGCATGGTAAAGTCCATTGGGATCAACGCCTGAATGTAGGAGAGATTCCACGCGCTTGACCCAGCCTTCGGCGGTTGCATAGCTCAAGTCCACGGCCGCCAGATATTTGATCTCTAGCTTCATGGTCGCTGAGACAGTATGTGCTGGTAGTCCCCCAAAAAGCGATCGGGCTTGGTGTATATTTGGGACAGATGAGACATCAACAATGATGACTGATGGAACGGGGACCTCGATGCTGATTCAGCATAAGGGGCCCCTGAGCCAGTCATCGAGGTCCGCGATTATATAGGAAAGCACAAAAAATTGCATACAAAAGTAGATTAGACAAGAGCTAGAATATTACGGTAGGTAGTACTACTAAGTCAGTCACTACTTCTTCATTTCCACGACGACAGCCGTTTCTAGCGCCGGAGGCCGTCATTTTCAGTGTCGTTTCACAGGTCCTCAGATGTTAGATGTAAAATCGAGTAACAAAACGGCGACAATTTCGTCTGGGATAGAATATCAAGAATATCAACATCCGTTCATAAACGCCAGGAATCACAACGGTCACGATTTCGCAAATGCATTTTCCTGCCCCGATATTGCACCCCTTCACTTCTGCTCTGGAATCTGCTTGGTTTTCTGTTGCAACTCCTGGAACGCTTTATCCGAGGAATCGACCTCGCCTCGATCTGCCTTGACCTATAAGTAAGAGAGAGTGTTAGTCAACTCATGTCGTATCTTCAATCGGTCAGGAAGAGCGACTAGGTACGAACATCCGCTTCACTGTTGCTCGCTAGATCGGAATTCCACTTTGCGGTTCCGGTTTTCTGGCTCTTCAACTGTTGGTCTTTTTGGGTCTCGTAGTGACTTGGGAGGTCGTCGCGGTCTAGATGGTATCTTGGTTAGCATGTTGTGGTGTGATGAAAGGTTGACAGATCATATGGTTTTTGTTGATGCATGTCACGCAGCTTCTCGACAGTATCTTTGGTCTTGGTTTTGAGGATAGAGGACCAGAACTCATTGGGGACACTCACTTTTGTCGCTTTCTTTCAGACCGCATCGCGGTGTAGAGGTGTGGAATGTAGAGATGGAGGGCAGGGTATAGCTCGATGGCAGAACACGACGGGAGCCAGTCCGGACGGAGGTGAGGAAGGACATGGCGATGTTGGGAATCGGCAGATTGGTAGATTGGAGGATGAAAGGTTGTGAGAGTTTCGACGTCTCCTAGCTGGTGAAAGCAGGAGAAGTGTAGTTGGCAAGTTGAGGAGAGGAGTAAAAGGTCAAAGGATAGGTTACAACAATCAAGGTGAAGAATTCCCCGCAAAACAGCCAAAGTCTAGCACAATCAATGTCGTGGGGAATTCAATCCTTTAAAATAAACCGAGAAAGACTGGGAAAGCTGTAATTCCCCTCTTTCTATTCGTGATTCTCCGTTGCTGTTCTATCAGTGACGTCAGCGATACTTAAGGACGGCCGGATGGGTGGATCGGACTTGTTGGACGGTCTTTATTCGAGACTCTCTACTTAGCTGACAGATACCTACTGCAGTATGCTTGACTGAGTTGTAGACCTTGTTGAAACTTGGGCAGGTGTTAATAGTGACACCATGAAGCATTGTATTGTTCAACGTTGTCGGCTATTTGTGATCGAGCATTCTCGACCGTTCTGTTCTCCGACGGGGTCGAGTAATGACATCATGAGATATATATGGAGAACTATCATTTCCAGTGACGCAGGGGAATGAGATCGTCCACTTTCAATGCATGGGTGATGTTGCCAAGTAGGCAGGGAGTGGATACTAATCAAAAAGGACAGCTTGGTCACTTCCAGTGCAACGATACATACTTGCCGCCGCGACATGGACACATACCATCCAAGTCGAAACACCGCTTACGAGCTGTATCAGAGCATAACAAAGCCATTGATAATATGGACAGATAAGATATATCATTGAAGAGAAGTGATAATGTGGAACAAACTTCAAAACAAAAGCTTGATGTAGCATAATCCCCACCCGAGAAAAAGTATGGACTTGAGACAAAGAAAGGAAGCGAATGTAGAGAGAAGTGTGATAAAATGAATAGTACCAAGATAGAATGTAAGACATAAACACAATGTGATGTAAACCATTTTCAACGCAATATGGTCTATCGCATGTTCCGCGAGAGACCCCCAGGATATCGATTTCAAACAGAAAACAACTCCGCATCCCATGGTTTGCTGCGCAACCAAAACCCCCAACCAGCCACTGCACCCCGTGGCAATGGAAGCAATGAGTATTCGCATGTCACCCATTCCCCCATAAAACCGATGTACAAGCCAAGAAATAAAAAGATAGTGGAAAAATAAACGAAGAATCGAAGAGTCAAGGTGCAACAAAACCAGAAAACAAAACCCAGATATTTCAACAGTGCCCAAGCAATGCAGACGTGTATCGTTTCCGCCTCTAGATCCTTGAAAAAAAATGTGATATCCATCCCGCCCCATGAGAGTAAAACAAAACCCCAAGAAAGTCCAGAAAGCAAGGAAATCGTCCAAATAAATCACAGCGTATGTGCGAAACAGAAAAGATAGAGGGCGAGCCGGGGTAAAAGGTCGCTCGCAAGCGATCCATCCTTTTTCCCAACCCTGAAAGAGGCAAAAGAAACCAACTCCGGGTTCCCAATGCGACATGCACGTCAAGTAGCAAGTCACTGCACGTTCTAATACATCATCGGCGGGCCGAACCGAAAAAAGGAAAACAATGAACACAGGCCCAAGAATAGAAGTTTCAGGTCCCTCCCTGAGAGACCGCAGGTATCGTGTGGAATAGGATGCAAAGAGGGTTTCAAATCGCAAGGGCGCCGTCGCTCGCAACAAGCTGGAAGTATCGCAAAGGATCTAGATGTAAGGCGAAGATGGTCGTAATCGGCGGCGTAGAGGTATAATATGTACAAAAGCCGGATTTTTCGTCGAAGAATTTTCGAGTGTTTTTGGGTGATTTTTTGAAGGTGAGGTTTCGCCATGTCGTAGAAAAGATGGGATATTTCCAAAGGTAGTAAGTGTGGTCGTGTCGGAAAAGGAAAAAAAAGATGCAAGATAGTCATGTCAGACAAAAAATGCAACGTAATAAGATATTAAGACCTGCGATTAGAGGGACCCGCGCGATGATGCAAAAACTTTAACTCAGGTGACGTGCAGAGACATATGCCGCTAGGGCAAGGGAAAAGAAGGGCTCGCAAGCAAGCACCGTTCTTTCGGCCCGAGAACTCAATGGGATCTCTTTACCATCGACGCTGAGCCTGAGCCTGAGCAGCCTGCATCATCGCCGGGGAAATCGACGAGGGAGGGCTGGTCATGGACATCCCAGTGGTAGGGTTGATGATTGGGATGACCTTGCGGGTCCGGTTGGCAGCAGGCTGGTGGAAGTTGTTGACATGGTTGGGGTTGGCAGCAACATTGGCGTGAACAAAGGAGTTGGTCGAGGCGGGAGAAAGGGAGATCGACGGGGTGACCTGCTGCACAGGCTGGATCTGGTGCTGCAAAGGCGAGGTGTCGGGCGACCCGCTGGAGAGCGAGGAGCGGTCGGACGAAGCAGAGTGGATGGAGTGCAGCTGCAAGTTCTGGTGTCAGTACGGAGAGACTTGAGAGAAGTACGGTGTTGCTCGTGTTGTTTTGTTGTTATTGCTTCCGCACTGACTATCCCCCAAGACAGAGTGGAATGTTTTGATCGAGCGGCCATAACGAGCGAACAACAACAGGAGAACCGTGAGAAGGGCGGACAGGAAGGGGGACGGTCGCAGAAATATCCGCCAATCTCAACATACATCTTCATCGGTCAAAAGGTTGGGGCAGAACTCCAAATCATCATCGAGATCAAAGGAGCGACCGGCCTCGAATCTGACCCGGAAAGCCGTCACCGCTGGGGCTTCCGCAAGTTCCCGCATGCTCTTAACACCACGGAACTGCCGCTGGGCATTCTGCTGGGCCATCTTAGGGCCGCGGCGAGTGCGACCATGGTGGTTGTTATTGGCATGCATTTGGGAGGCATGCTGAGGGTGGTGTTGTTGGTGGTGGTGTTGCTGTTGGTGGTGGTGGGTGTACAGGAATGCAGACATGATGGATGATCGAGGGAGAATCCAGCACCCGAGTTGAATAAAGACAAGAGAAATGAAGATTCGAGAGGATGAGAGAAAAAAAGAAAGGAAGTCGGAAAGTAGGCAGTTGGAAGTCGAGGTTGGGGAAAAGCGGAAGTGGGAGGGAGGAAGTGGAAGAAGAAGAGAAGAAGCGTTAGAATTGGAGTGGAGGAGAGAGTCTGTGGGAGGGAGGCGAGGGAAAAAAGAGGGGAGAGGGGTGTTTTGGGGCTGAGAAGAGTGCGGTATCGTCAGGGTTTGGTATTGTGGTGAATGGTCCAGAGGCTCGAGAGGAGGTCGAGGCATACATGAAAGAATGGAAATGAGGTAAATTACTCTGTACTGTACGGTCACGCCCTTCTCTCTCCCAAAGGATTCACAGCGCTAGCGAAAGGTCACGCACCAACCAAATCCGCTCGAGCGCCGCCAGTGGCGAAGAAGCAACATCGCAACCAACCAGATCATCGCGATGGAGCTTAATCGGCCCACTGCCAAATGCCGCTCCCCTGGGCGGTTACTCACTGGTCCGTGACGTCGACGACAAATGCGAGGCTAATCCTATTTGGGGATAGCAGGAGATCCGGCCGAACTCGCTGCAGTACGGTATTTCTGCCTGAGTACGCAGGGCGAGTATGTACATACAATAGTAAGACCATGACGATGACTCTACTTTCACCATCACGATCTCGTCCTTCACACCCCCTCCCGTCTCCATAATATTGATGATGATGGATTGACTACTAATCCTTCGATGGTAGGGCGACAATGCTGATTGTTACGATGGTCCAATTTTAGGAAGAAGACCAGCTCCACTCACACGACACTCGATGTTGGAGATCACCACCAAAACCGTTCTCCCCAGCCACACCCCAACCGGAATAGGCATGCCATGCCCATCTCCTCCCCCATGTTCTGTTTGACACAGCCCGTGCTGTGAGCAGCGGTTAGCGGTCCTAGCATACGGGTGTCCCGACAACGAAGTCCCGGCGCTCGCTAAAAACATCGTCGGTTGTTGTTACTGGGGGACCACTCCCATCAAGGTTTGGCCTCGATCCTCGACTCCTCTCTTTGGTCTTAGTCTGCTGCAGGCGATGCAGGACTGGGCAGGCCGCAGGACAGGGCAGCCGTCCAGGCACATTCTCCGTCCTTGTAGGGCCCCGGCTGTGGCTGCTGATCGCTGATCGTCTGCCCTCCCCCCAAACGGATTCCCCAATCCTGCGACTGGCATGTTCTTTCGGCGGCAGAGACCACCCATGCTCTAGACTCTCGATAAGCCACGCCACACTTTTTGTCCAGGAGTGAACAGGGCTTGCAGGGCCCCCGCCACCCCCCCTTATCATTGGCACCGTGAAATTCTGACGCTCCCAGAACAGCAGAAGCTCATCATTACGGTTTGCGGGTTAGTGTGGAAGCCAGAACAGGTAATGGGGGATTTCGCCTCTGTGGCCAACAGGAAGACCTCCACACAGTACTGGGTGTTTCATTGGGTGGTGCTGTTGCTACTCAAGCACAAAGTCCAGTCCTGTGTGCATTCTACAGTTAGTTACCTGGGTACATAAGATCTGAGTCACAAGTACTCTGCTCTCCATCTTGACTACCCAATCTGACCCTCTGTGGTTCCACCATTGTCTGCACTCGGTATGTGGCAGGCTCTCGTAGGCCTGGGAGTTGGGTTTCTAGTCTGTTTCTGGCCCTTAGATAGCGATCTATGGGTAAAGGACCTCCTGAGTAGGCGCTTGCTGGAACACTTCCCACCCCGGCCCACTTGTAACACCCTCCTTGACACTGTTCCCTGTTTCTGTCCGAACCCACGCGGTACCCGAGTCAATCATTCCTGCGAGCTTCAGGTACCTGGTACCTCCATAGTGAATGCTACTGTACTAACTATAGTTCTTCCGGAGCCTACACCGCTTCTTTCGAAGGGCCTCTCCCCCTCTCTAGTATTCATGATTTGAATCCCACACTTAAGGTTGAGGCATAGGGCTCGGATAGGAATTGATTGAGTTGGCAAAGCTGACCACCAAGCTTTGCATAATGATTGTGCTTGTCAAAAGGAGAAACGTAGCGCCCGTGCTGTGAGATATGCCCAGGTGCAGGCACGGTTGCTCGACGCTTGAATCATGCAGCTGACACATCAACTCCCACGCCTCGATGCCTGCAGGACATGCAATTAATTGCCCCGATATTACAGAAGATGTAGCCGAACCCTGCATGAAAGAAGGAAAAAAAGAGTGTAGATCAGCGAGGGGGATTCCCATCTCCAGTCTCTGCCCCAGACATTGCCACGCAAGGGAGGCCACACGATCGATGCGGTGGTACTAGTTCGGTTGTGAACCCGACGGTGTTGATGTTTTGGGGGTGGCGGTGGTACGTAAATAAATCCTGGTTCTGATTCGGAGTGGTTTCGGAGCTTGGGCTGGTTTGCAATTTGGTTTGTGGAGTGTAGTAGACATCCATTGGAGTCAGGCACAGCGGATGAACTAATCTAGCAATGTATTTACAGCCTTCTGTCGTAGGATTTAGCGCAATTGTGAATAATATATCGCATATTGCAATGACTAATGGGTGATTTTCAATAGTTAGTTACTGTACGGTGGATACATTGTTATCTGATTCTGCATGAAATGAACTGTAACAGGGACTCCCCGGTTCTCATGGCTGCTAATTGATCTGCGAACATCTATTCCAGGAACTGACACCCAGTAATCTCAATCCTAGGCTGGAGCGCAATTTTAACACAGACAATTGGAAGAAGCCTAGAATTTCCTGGATGCTATCTATGTACCTCTACGCTTGACTCCTTTTGTGCCCAGGATACATATCTATATAACCACCGGGCGACGATGGAAAGAAGATGCTAGAACGCCCGACCCATTGCAGACGTGAATCATGTTGAATGCCAATACTGTATCGCCAGAATGCAAAAGCTTATGACCCAAACCGAACGCCAAGAATAACAATTCATGCCCATCGTAATAAACACCATGGTCGGCAAACCAAACGCCGCCCCCCGTGCGGGTATATATCAATTCCACACAGGCATCATTTATCAAGATTCTTGCTCTTGACCATCCGCCCAATCAGCTCCTTGCAGTGCTTCTCGCTATACTGCTCCCACACTTCATACAAAGAGAGAAGCTCCTGGGTACTTTCAATGACGGCCTTGATATCAATCTCACTCTCTGCCAGCCACTGCACGAGCTTCTGGATGCGAGGTGGACCCGAGCCAGGTTTATCTGACAAGGCAGCTAGCATGCCCATGCCAGCACCGTCTCTCATCGCCCCAGCCAAGGCTGCCTGCGCCGAGTTGCCGAAGCTACCTGGGTGAGAGGGCTTGAAGACCACGGCGACGATGATGGCCATGATCGCGATGATGTGTGGCGGGTGGAGTAGGGGTAGATCCGTTAGATAGTGATCGTTGATAACAGACCACGCTAGGGCGACTTCATCCGAGCTGAGGGGTAGCTCGGTTTGTAGCTCTGACAAGGTCCGGTATGGATGGTGTACGATGAGTTGGGAGCTCATCTCTGAGATTAAGGCAAATTCACATTCGCCCAGCTTGGCTACATCGGGTGTGATGAATTCTGCAGGGGAATTAGTTGAACATGTTCAATGTCTTCAGAGGTTGATCGATGGGAAAGGGTGATATGTAGAACATACCGGGGTATAGACCGCGGGCTTCGCCGACCACAAAGCGGATGTGCTGGGGGCATTCTTCCATTTTACAGGCCAGGTAGAATGCAGTGGTAAGAACCAGATAGGGATTGGTTTGGCGGATCTCATTCTTGGTGTAGAAACGTTTCAGGTATACCTGGGCGGTGGCAATGGCCTGTTGACGGGTGGACATGCGCTTGCCCAGTTTGATCAGTTCTGTAGCGGGTCAGTTATCATCCCTGGAATCAAAGGCAAACGATTCATACGCTGATTGAAATAGATATTCAGTAATCGCTGGTCTGGTAGTGGAAACTGTGAATGCGTGACCTTATCTCGTTCTCGGAGTCTCTCCCGAACTTCGGCCAATTTCTCCCGAGTGAAGAGCCAGTGACGACGCTGGGTCGAGGCCCAGTAGTTGGCAGCCATAGCAGAAGGCCTATGAACTGAATAAGAGAGTAATCAATATAGCAACATGCCCTTCTTTGTAGCTGTATAGATCGGACCTCGGACTTTGCAATTTGATAAGGCCAGCATGGGGAAGCCCAAAGGAGTATAGTAGGGCCCAGCCCTGGTCCCGTGCCGCCCCGACGATGGCGTCAAGCGCCCGATCTCCAGCAGTCCCATGTCCCAGCAATGACCGGCCGCGCATTATTCATTGATCCTTGAGGACCAAGAACCCCACCGGTTAATGCTCACTTTTATGCTCCCGATCCTCAGACCTCACATCTTCAGACTCCGCCCCCTCAGGAGTCCCCTTCGCTTCCCTTCACCTTCACCTTCAAATCCAGAATCCTGGTCATGCGCCCTTGAATAATGCCGGGTGCTCGATAACAATTTTCCTCCGAACATGGCACCCGGCGAGTCCAAAGATGAGCGCGATAAACGAGTCGCTCTGCTCTGGGAAAGTCTGGACACGCGCAAAGAGGGTCATATCGACTTGACTGGTCTAAAGAAAGGCTTGAAGAAGATCGATCACCGTGAGTTTGTTCTCCGTCATGGATCGGGTCTTGTGCCGGAAGCTCCCGACTGACGCGGTCGCATTACTAGCTCTGAAAAATGCAGATGACATGCTGCGCAACATCCTGCAAGATGTCGACACCAATGGTGATGGCCAGATAGACTACAATGGTAGGCTCTTCCAGCTTTACTCGCCGATCGAGGACGCATCCTGTGCTCAGATCAGTCTTCCCCTAACCTGCTATCTCTCAGAGTTCCGAACATTTATCGACCACACCGAGTCCGGGTTATGGCAGATGTTCCAGGCCATCGATCGCAATCACAATGGAGAAATCGACAAGGGAGAGCTACGAAGCGCGTTCGCACAGTCCGGCGTCACCGTATCGAGTGCCAAGCTCGACAATTTCTTCGCCGAGGTGGACAAAAACAATGACGGGGTAATCTCTTACGCGGAATGGAGGTTCGTTTTAAAACCTGCCCTCGGTCATGTGCTTGCTTGGATGAAGATACCAAGGCGAGTGAGAGCCAAATGAGAGAACTTCAGCTGACGCAAAACCTCACTTCGGCCGCATTTTAGGGACTTCCTCCTTTTCCTCCCGCTGCATTCCACGTCCGACCTACGCGCCGTCTTGTCATACTACACGGCGACGGGCAATCTAAACCCGGAAGGAGATGTCCACATCAATGATCTGCGGGGTTTAGGTACAGACCACACATTTCTTAATCGTTCTCTCTTGGCCCTCCAGCGCCTCTTGTATAATATCCTCTCTTTGCCTGCGCTGGCATCCCTCCTTCCTTCAGCCCTCGCGCAAACCACAACCAGCCCGGCTGCAACGTTGACCACTGCTCTCGGGAATGAATTTGCCTCGTTAGACGGTGACTTCGAGCTGGAGTGGCTGCCCATCCCCAAGACCGTCGCCATGTGGATGTCCTTCCGCTATTATGAACGCAAGTTGACCGAGAATACCCCTCAACTAGGCTACTTTATTGCAGGCGGAATTGCAGGTGTCGTCTCGCGAACGGCTACTGCCCCTCTTGACCGTCTCAAGGTCTACCTCATTGCCCAGACGGGGCCAAAAGCTACGGCGGTTCGCGCGGCAAAGGATGGGGCGCCCTTGGCGGCGGCGGGACATGTGTCCAGAAGCTTAGGTGGTGCTCTAATGGAGCTTTGGCGGGCTGGTGGTATCCGAAGCTTGTTTGCCGGTTTGTTTCCCTTGGCTCACTACCTCACAGGATCATTCATCTGATGTGTGTATAGGAAATGGGTTGAACGTTTTGAAGGTGATGCCGGAGTCCGCGATCAAGTTCGGGGCCTACGAGGTGAGCTGATCATTGATAAATTCTGTGTTATCTCATCTGACTGTTGAATCTAGTCGGCAAAACAAGCACTCGCTCGGTTCGAAGGACACAACGACCCCAAAAAGCTTCGACCCACATCACAGTTCTTGTCGGGTGGTATCGGTGGAATGGTAGCCCAGTATGATATGCTCTCCCGTGGGATGTGGCTGGATGAATTTTTTCCTGACTGAATTCTTGCAGATGCTTTGTCTACCCTCTTGACACATTGAAGTTGTGAGTCGATCATATTTCTGAGCTCTATCAAGCACGCATTTGCTAACATCTTCTTACAGCCGGATGCAGTGCTCAACCGTCGAAGGTGGCTTGAGAGGAAACAAGCTCATCATAGCCACTGCAAAGAAAGTGCTGAACGCCAATGGCATACTCGGTTTCTTTCGTGGCCTGCCGCTTGGCCTCATTGGCATGTTCCCTTACGCCGCAATCGACTTGACCACTTTCGAATACCTCAAACGAGCCCTCGTCTCTCGCCAAGCTGGCCTCGAGCATTGCCATGAAGATGACGTGACTCTGAACAACTGCCTGACTGGCACGATTGGTGCTATCAGTGGCGGTTTCAGTGCCTCGGTCGTCTACCCTCTCAACGTGATGCGGACTCGACTGCAGGCACAGGGCACCGTCCTACACCCGACCACATACTCAAGCATCACCGATGTTGTCCGCAAGACCCTCCAGGCCGAAGGACCCCGGGGGGTTCTACAAGGGCCTCACCCCCAACCTACTCAAGGTGGCACCGGCCGTGTCCATCAGCTACGTGGTCTACGAAAACTCGAAGCGGATGCTCGGCTTGAAATAAGCGCGAGATCTTGTACCAGTGTGCCGTAGCCACCACTTCACCCTCACCTCCGCCACCCTTTCTGCCGCTGTCGATCCGCTAAACTTTCCTTGGTTTCGTTTCCCTTTTTTTAGAGCCATTTCAGCCTCAAGATACCCGCAAAATAGGTCACCATACAATGGTACAGCTTCTCTCTGTTCCATATTGGATACATCTTATCCTCAGCTCAATTTCCCGGCACATATCATTGCCATATCACGTGCATCTAGCTCTTGCGTTACCTCGTTTGCTTTGCTTTTTTCTCGTTCGCGAGACATCATCCACCTGACGGGTGCTTTGCTACAGAGCCAAACTGGGGGTTTCATCATACTCCCAAACAATATGTTCAAACATAAGCATGGCAAGGCGTCGAGGCATGTGGATTTTCCATGCATTATCATTGGGTCTTTCTTCGTTTTTCTTTTTCTTGTGTATATTGAGAGAATACTAAATTTCATCTTTGGATATCCCACCTACTAGAAACAGTTTCAAGTGGGTTAGAGGTGTCGGATAGAGGCCATGTCACGATAGATTCAATTTAATTGCATTTCAAATAATCTCCATATATAATGAATGTGTACCGTTGAAATGAGAAAGTCAGGCCCGATTTCTTATTTCGCAACCTGCGCAGCCTTCACCTCCTCATCCTTAGGCAGAACATCCGGGAACGGTCCAACAGGCGTAATCGCAAACTGGTTAATCTGCTTATGCGACTTGGTATAATGCTTCTTAATATGCTCAAAGTCCGTCGTATCCCGGAACGCAGGCAGATCCCAGTACAGCCCACGCACCCAGCGATGAATAGCCGGGAATCCAGACCGAATATCCCGAATATTGCACTTGAAGTGCTGCACGTAGACAGGGTCAAAGCGGATAATCGTCGTGAACAACCGGATATCAGCCTCGGTGACTGTGTTGCCGAAGAAGTAGGGCGAGACGGAGGCTTGCTTGGATAGGTGTGCTTCGATCTTGTCGAGGGAGGAGAAGAGGGTTGTTACGGCTTTTTCGTAGGCTTCTTGGGTGGTTGCGAAACCGGATTTGTAGACGCCGTTGTTGACGTCGTTGTAGATCCATTCGTTGGAGGTGTCGATTTCGGAGCGCAGGGCGGAGGGGTACAGGTCAATTTTTTTGTATTCCTCTGGTAGGATGTCGTCGAATTCGTAGTAGAACATGCGGATGATTTCGGCACTCTGGGGAGGGTTGTTAGATGGGTTGGTTTTGGGAGATTTGATATGCGGGAGATATTACCTCGTTGCTGACGATTCGGCCAGTCTGCTTGTCGAAGAGGACTGGGACGGTGAAACGGCCAGTGTAGTCTGGGTTCTGGGAGAAGTAGATATCACGCAGGTGGGTGAAGTCCTTGTGCAGCGGGTCGGGAATGGTGTTCTCGCCCGGCAGGTCCTCGTCGGAAGTAACGAAGCGCCATCCTATATCAACAATTAGTCATTCGTCAACTGCAGATTCCTAGATTGTGTCGTAGAGCACTGACCCTTTTCGCCGAGGTGCCAATGCACCGACGAGAAGGAAATGATATCCTCCAAACCCTTGAGCTTACGGGTGATCAGAGTGCGGTGAGCTAGAAGACATTAGTACGTATTAACAAGACCTCCGATAGCAATTGATAATTGAACATACCCCACGGACAGGCGTAAGAGACATAGAGATGGTAGCGGCCCTTCTCAGGCGGGAACTCCGCACCAGGATCGCGGGAGATGAAGCTGCGGAACACTGACTGCTGACGCTTGAACTCGCCCGACTTGTCATTGGGGTTCACCCAGTCGGTGATTTTATCCTTGTTTCCGGTCTATACATAGAATTGTCAGTTAATTGAGCTGGGAAAATTAATCGCAAATTTTGGGTATTTTTGTTCATTACGTACCGCCATATTTTGGAATGGTCTTGTGGAGAAATGCGTTGGAATTCCAGAAGCTGTAAGGAACCCCGCACGGAGAGCTGGTCGTGGTAGAGAAAGTAATGCTGGTGAACGTAAAAATGTCAAGAGCATCAGCAGGGGACAGCTAGCTTTATGTATCTCGTCGAGAATACCACGAGATTAAGCTACAGAAGAGACTGGAAAGAAAAAGAGAAGCTTAGGAGCTTTGCAACTGCGGGGGACGACGCCGATTCAATGACGAGGGGCTTACTCAGCTTCTTATCGAGACGGGGCCCGTCAGCGTTGACAAATCCTTGACTCAGGCATTTGGCAGCAGTTACTCAACTTTACTTAAGCTACCAGAACATTGAAATCAAATCTAATTAGGCGTGAGCCAAAGAAAGCGATTGAAATTTCAAGACTGGAAATCTAGCATCGCATAGAGCTGGTTCGTTGGTAATCATGAATGTACTGCTTCTTGCTTCTTTCCCATTCCGAAGAGACTGTCACCACCGAGGGTTATTTTTCTAATGCAACAGTCTAGACGGTTTCTTGATTTATTTGCTCATTTTGACCATCACGTAGGGGATCTCAACATCTTCCTCAGTCTGGTCCTCGGCTGTCACCTCGAAGATGACGTTCTTCTGGTGCTCAGGCACGGCCTTCTTGCTGACATGCTCGACGAGCTTGCTCATCCTGTGAGAAGTTAGTACACTATAGAATATAGTGATAAAAACACGAAAATGGTAAAACTTACGGCAGAGGAAGGCGATCCTTAACCTTGGACGGAGGGTAGAAGCTGGCATAGAGCAAGCTGACACCAGAGCTGACCATGGTGATATCCAGGCCCCGGTCGGCAAAGTAGTCCAGGAAGGATTGAAGGGGAATGTCGTCCAACTCAAAGCGGTCCCAGAGACGATCAATGGTGACCTCACCCTGCTTACCCTGATATTTACCCTTGGGGCTACCGATCGGTTCACTGAAACCAAAGAACGGCAGGGCAAGATTGATGAATCCGTTCTTGTACTGCTCGATATCGTCCTTGCCATCAACAACCTTGAACAGCTCCAGAGCAACAAGACCAGTCACTAGAGCTGTGGCAGTAGCAATAGCAGGGATAATCTTTCCAGCAATGAACTTAGTCTTGTGACGATCCGCCTGGGGGATCTCGTAGTTATCGGCACGCAAGTTGCTGGCCGCAGTGATAAAGTCGATATGGTGGTTGGTGTCATCGTCCTTCTCAAACTCAACAGGTTGCAGACGGAAGCCAGCTAGGGACTTGGGCGATGGGAGGAGAGAAACAAGCTTTTGAAGGTCTTCATCATCGTTGTTACCGCCGGCAGGTTGAGCGTTGGGATCGGGCTCATTGTCGTCGGCCTGAATCTTCACGTTCGAGCTAGGAGTAAACTCCGGGATGATCATATCGTCCACCACCTTACGGTAGTACTCCTTGTCGGCACCAGGGTTCTTGATACCGTAGTTGAAGGCGTGGAGGTTTGCACCAGCAATTACGAATCCGATGTGAGTGGGGTTGGAGCTATCGAACTTCAAAGGGGTAGGTGCGCGCTTGGGACCAGACCAGAAAGGCTGGCCAGTAGAAGTCTTGGAGTCCTTGGGGAAGTTGTACAGAAGTTGCTGGATAGCATTGTTGTACTGAGCCTCGAACTGCTGGCGGGCCCAGACGATGCAGTCATCGAATGTCAGGGGCTTCTCGGTGACCAGGAAGTCACGGAGGTGCTCCAAGGTCTGCTTCTCATTGCCCGCCTGCTTAAGAGTCTGGTCAATGTAGTCGGGTTGCGAGAGGTACATGTTGACCGACTCGGGAGGGCCAACGAAGTAGGTCTGGAAGAGGTCGCGAGCCCAGGCAATGGTGTGCTCAATGCGGTTGGGGAAACTCTTCAGCGTGCACATGGGGAACGACTTCTCAGGAGGGTCCTGAGAGCTAGAGTAGGACTCGGTGATGAATGGTAGGATCACTTGAGTGTTGCCCTTGGTACCAAGAGTACCACTAGACACAGTTAACAAATACTCACTCCCAAATTGTCAGAATGAACGGCTTACCTCTCGAGAAGCGGCTTGCGGAAGAAGACGCAACGGCGATCCACATATGTACGGGCATCAACGTTATCCAGAGCGTTAGTCACACCGTCAAGTCCATTCCAGAACTCCTCGTTGAAGATGTGCTCGGTATCCGCACCGACGCGGTCACGAAGAGTCACAATCTTACCGTTCAAATCGGGGTTCATAGCTTGGACTGCGGCAGTAGCACACTCACTCTTGAGACGACCAACGTCCTTGGGGCGGAAAAGGAACTGGCGGTTTAGGTTGCTCTTCTCAATCTGATCCATGTCCGTGACAAAGATTTTACCCTTGGGACCAGTGCCCAGACCCATCATGGCCCAGTTCTTCAGGGTCTCGCAACCAATGGCACCCGAACCGACCAAAAATTGAGTGACATTGGAGAGCTTCTCCTGGTACTCCTTACCAAAGACTGCAATCTGGCCATCATAACGGGAACCGGTAGGCTTGCAGCTCTCCTCAGACCGGGTGGTCGAGGTGGGCAAAGACTCCAAGGAATCGAAGTACATCCACTGATGCACGGGGCTGAACTTTCCAGAGACAGCCTTGAGAATTTCCTGAGCTGCGATACCTCCGAAGAAAGCAGCCAAGGCGTTCAGGTCACCCTGAGCTTGGTAACTCAGCTCCTTGATGATCTTCTCATCCAGCTCAACCTTCTCCTCTCCCGAGGCCGCAAGCTCATTGGCGATCTTCAGGACATCCTGAGCATCGCTGTCATTATGCGGGCGGGGGAACTGACGGTCGTGGGTCTCCGCAAATTGGTGGAGAGCCTGGATACCAATGTGGAGCTGTTGAGGTCGGTCGAACTTGGCGAAATCAGAGATCAGAAGCTCCGGCTTCTTGATTTGTTCCGACAAAGGCTGGAAATCAACGAACTTGGGCATCTTCACTTGGGTAAAGAGACCGCCACCCTGGTAGGAGCCGAGGCCAGAGACATCGCCAATGCTAAACGTGTATGGGCCCTTCACGGTAACCTTACGAGGATGACTGTTGTTCAAGCCGTCCATGCCCTTGATCTCAGTGAATGTCACAAAGTCGCCATCTTCCAGGCCGTGCCGGGTCTCGTCCAAGGCAGACACGAGACCATCCTCATCAATATCGGCAATGATACCACCGACAGGCTCTTCGCCAGTGGGGTCACCAATGGTGAAGTTTTTACCAAAGTCGTTGAAAATGTAACCGAATAGACCGAATGTATCCGTAATCGTGATATAGATGCCGTTCTTGTGGCAGAAGTCTGCGATCGCCAGCTGCTCCTTCAGCGGAGTCTGTGTCAAGACGACCGCTTGGTAACGCTTCAGCTGTTCCAAATCTCCAACGAGATTCTCACCCTCGTGGATCATCACGGGGACATAGGAGTTGAGCTCGGCGACTCGTGGGGCGGTGACATCAGCGCGGGGCTTGCCGACATCTTGAGGCTGGAGGAAGAACTGGGAGGAGAGATCTGCGATGGCAACGGGGGCGGGGTCGTAAAGAGTAAGGGATTTGACACCAGCGAGGGCAATGTTCTTGGCTATGAAGGTGAGAAGAGATGTGTTAATCAGATGTCCGCGGGGTTGCCGCTCATTTTAACCAAGTATAGCGTGACCTGTCGTTATTGCTTACCAATTTCCACACCCAGACCCTTGAGGCCAACAACGAGGACATTTGACGAGCCCATGCGCTTCATGGCTTCGTGACCAAGCACATACCTTGGGAAGAAGCAGTTAGATACGGTGTTCCATCGCATATAACCAGGGAAAGGCCAGATGCGGTTGTCTTACAATTGCCGACTGTATAGGGACTCATCGATCTCGCCATGCTTGATCATCTCCACGGTCTCTTCGACCTGCATCGTAACGTCCTGATAGGGAGCTGTGTTAGTGGACATACAGCACTTTCGATGTCCAGCCAGCGGGATCGAGTCATACCGTCATGGTCTTCTTTTGAGGCCGAGCGGCGGTGTCGTCTTCAGACGCTCTGCGCTTTCCCGGCTTAGCCGATTCACGAACAGCAAGATTGGAAGGAATGGTGAAAATCAGGAGGTGAAAGTCTTGCCCAGTGAGCAAGACCTTCGACTAGTGCGGATAAAACAAGAGATGCAACTCGAAGCGTACCAGGTACCTATCTTTGACCAGACAGGGCAGGGGCAGGAGTTGAAGTAGTAGGAGGCGGAGATATAGAAGAGGCAGGTAGGATTTTAAAGCTGTATAAAGGAAGAATGGCGGTTTGATTGCAGAAGAAGAGAGGCAAGGGAGGAAACAGGAACAACTGTCGAAGAGAGAGCGGGACACTCCATCGACGTAAGAGGGACAAGCTGTGGATGACTAATCGGCGCGTCGGGCTCACCCCGCGGTCGGAGACATTCAGAGATACTCAGTCAACTCGAGCTATACTTGGTTGCAAGTTGGTGCTTTGCAACGTGGTCGCGGCTGTTATTACCATATGGAGATGGCGATGGCTATGATCTGGGCTTGCTGAAAGATTCAGGCTCATACAGCCACTCTGCTCTTGACCAACACGTCAAATTGCATCATCTTCTCGTCCGCGCCCAAACCCGGAGCCCGCCCTTCTCTCACATGTGTCGATTCGAGCTTCTAGGGCGTGGCTTACTATACTGGCAGAGGCAAAACACCGAAGAGGACACTATCCAACTTGCCAGGTAAATCATACAAAGTGTCAAGCTCTCGTGCGCGATCATTTGAAGCTAACAATCATCTCCGCGATCGTGATAGAGCGCCCAAGCCAAGATGCTGCACGAGATCCTCCTCTCGCTCTCTGGCCAGCCCTCCCCCCTCTTCGGTCATACGCAAGGGAAAGATGCGCTCGTTCAAGATGATCTATCCCTTCTCGCACCTCCGGAGAAAGCCCTCCTCCGATCTATTGCCCATCTAAGTCAACTGCACGCACAACTCCGGGCGCATACCTCTCAAATATCTTCCGTGCATCGATCCGTGATCTGTCGCTCGGTATCCACCGCTATAGTCACAAATCACCTTGGCAGTTTTCAGAAAAAGATCCTCGAGGTGGAGAAAGCAATCCTCGCCGAGGACAGCGGATATGTTGGCGGGTACGGAATCGTCCCGCTATCCACCATCGTGGGAGAATTCGCGCCCTGGACACGGCGCATGGAGTGGCTATGGGAGATCGTCAAATTCATACAGCCCGAGGATAGACTCCAGGATCCACGGTATGGCTGTACGGGAGCGGCACTGATCGATCATTTGCGCACCGAGTCCCAAACTGGATATCTGGATATCAAAGAGATGGCTGTACAGCTAGCGACCGCGGCGGAAACGGCATGGATGAAGCAATTGTCCATGTGGCTTCTATACGGAAATCTGCCTATATACGGCAAGAATGACTTCTTCATTCAGGAAGATTTCGAATCCAAAGACGACGATACACAACTCAGCATGCACATGGAATTCCTCCCGAAGTTTGTATCTGCGCAGACAGCAGGGTCAATTCTCTTCATTGGGAAATCACTCAATCATGTCCGTGCAAAGAAGAAGACCTCGGGAGGGATTTCTACTGCCCCGGTGACTCTTTACCATGAACACATTGAACAGCTTGCCGGGTTAAAGTCGCCAATTTCATCAACACAGCTTTCCACGGCTGTGGACTGGATCCGCTTGTCATTATCACAGTCCACACTATCGAAGCTGCTGCCTCTTCCTCGGATTCTCGAAATGCTTACGTTGCTACACGATTTCCTTCTTTTAGGACGAGGCGAATTTGCTGTGGCCCTAGTGTCCCATGCAGACTCCCGCATTGAGGAGAACCGACGTCGCGGCGTCCTCGCTCGGGCTCAGTCTGGAGGTCTTGCAGGACTCCTTATCAAGGAAGGCGATGTTATGACAGCCCTGGCTCAGGCATGGGCTGAGCTTTTCTCCCTACAAAAGGAAGAAGATCCAGCGGACGAGGAGCTAGATCTTGCGCGAGAGCTTCTTCGCTTGTCCATCAGTGACAACAAATCAAGCCGTCCGATGACCCCATCGCAGAGCTCGACTGCGATTCCAGAAATTTCAAGAGTGTCCTTTGAAGACGTTCTCTTCCCTACGCCCACAAGCCTGACAGCCCAGGTTCGCGCACCTCTGGACCTATTCCTGTCGAGTTCCGATATTGCTGTCTACTCCAAGATCCACTCTTATCTGCTGAGCATCCGACGTGCTCAAATACGCCTCGGCGATCTATGGAAAAGAACGTCTCTTCGGAGAAACCATCCTTCACCATGGGGACCACCTCGAAGTAACAGTGCCTTTGGCCAGAATAAGCTAAGAGAGGGCCGCGAGAGGGATAATACTCGCATTCGACAAATGCGTCCGATCTGGGCTACTGCAAGTGCCTGTTTATTCGTACTCTCAGAAATTGGCAGCTTCTTCCAGGGAGAGGTTGTCCACGAGTCCTGGCAGCATCTGCGCGAGTGGATTGAAGGACCACCTCTTTCAACAAGCTCAGCGCCTGGCTCTCGCCCAGGAACTGCATCCTCGGCGAAGCAGCAGCGCCAATCCCGTGCTGCTTCTCCCGACCGCATATCTAGTCGGCCATCTTCCAAAGCTGGCCCTCCATCTATGGGGCGACACGACCCCGAAGCATTAACCGTTGCCCACCGCCGCCATCTCTCCACTCTTGTCCATTCTCTCTTCCTCACCGACGTACCATTTACCAGCGTCCTCCGCACCCTTCTCACCAGCGTGGACCGCTTCGTGGCCCTTGTCATTCGCCTCGAAACTATTCAGCGCAACATGGACCTGGAGACGGACGAAGGCGTCGTCGATGCACTGGTCGACTACGCGCAAGAAGAGCGCGAAGTCTGGCAAGACCTACGCAGTACGCGTGACGACGTGAATGTCGGCATGAAAGACCTCGTTGTGAGTCTCCGCCATATTGATGACCATCGCTCCGGCGAGGGCCTAGGCCCGGCCACGCCGTTCGGCATGGGCCAGGCCTGGCCGGGAACCCGTGCGGAGGTGAGCACAGGCCCAGGCTTCCACCATTATGTACCACGTCAACCGGCGGGTGTGGACCGACTATTGATGAAGCTGGACTTTGGGAGTCTCCGTGGTGCTACGATTTCACCAGGTGTTGCGGATTTGGAGTTTGGACGTATGTGAGAGAGACTGGGGGACTTACCCTTTCTCTTTGGGGGTGATACTTTTGACATTCTCACGATTCTTATGATTATTCAGCATGGGAAATACCATTTGCTTTCTCGGGGAACCTGGGATTGGGCGTTGTGAAAGAAAAGAAGAATATCAGCAGGGATTCTCGGAGGGAATTGACTTTGATGCATCCGCGGATGCGAGATAGAAGAAAGGGTCATATGTACCTTTGAGAACCATTCATCCGTTCTTCCATTCATCCTGGTAGCCTTGGCCGCGGGGTTGCCTCTTGGCTCTTGGAAGTTACACAGTAGACTAGAAGGACCGCGTGTCCTTGCATTTGGCAATGGAAATTGCTCTTATCATGAAACCCCGACGATCGAATATCCGATCAAACATATTACAAGAATAGGCTAATACATAGAGACAACTGTATGAAGTGTCCAGCTGACCAGGCACGCAATCTAGCAGGGTGTTCGAGATTGAGCTTAATGTTCGTTCTATTCGACGATCTCTGTGAGATGTTTCAGGGCCTGGAGCAATCATCGTGAAAAATCAAAAGTACCCTAACTCAAATAAGGAGCTCCGGGCTAGGCGGTTAAACTACTGGCTGATAATCTTAAAGAATGGGGATGTGTATGCGAGGAGAAGCAGGATGTGGCATTTGCGGGTCCGACGCCTTATGGGCGGTTCGGGCGGTGGCGGAAGCTTATTGAATATTGAAAACAAGATGTAAGTCTGGGGTACTATCAGGATCATGGATTGCGTATACTACTCGAATTTCTTTGATTTACCCGTTCACGATTGGTCCTTTGTTCACAGAGAACGATGCTCGTATCCCAAGGGAAATAGACCGGACTAATTGAAGCATTTCTTTCTACTCCCTCATCCTTGTTGGGCAATTCTGTTGCACAGAGTGTCCCTTGGCGGTAAAGCCGGGCCAGTTCAGGATTACCTATTTCGGACATCCCGAGCAATCGCTGCAGGGGTTGATACTGTTCCCCTTCTCTCTCTTGCTCTCTCTCCACCATGTCCACTCTGTCCACTCTGTCCTCCTTGACGCGCTGGACCACTAATTCTCCTGTTTCCAGAGGAACTTTCTGTCTGCTTATCCACGGCATCCACTCTTTTTCAGCCACTGGGTCCCCGTCTAAAAATACCCAACGACTTGTCTGGGGCACTGGTAGGGACATCCCGCACAGGGAAGAGTCAGTTGGTCGACTGACCTGCTTCTACTCTGTACAGTATGTATGTACGATCCTTCGGGTATTTTCTTTCTTTTTCCCAGTGGGACCGACGATGCCACTGCAGCCGCCAGAGTCTGTGCATCGGATGTCCACTATGCTACAGCCAGCAATGGAGTCTCTCCCAGAGCCTACAGTACCTAACCGATACATGGAGATACTGGGGATAGTCAAATAATGAGCAAGTCCAAAGTAAGCTGGGAAGTGCGGCTTCAAACTCAATACTACAGCTGCATTTAGTCGCCAAGGAGTAGGGACCGAATTCTTGATATCTTGATATCCTGACATCCCGAGCCTCTAGTTGGCTGGACCCTAGATCCTAGGGGATCTCAAAGTATCGAAAAGTCATCAATCCCGCCAGTTCAACCCGCCACACGGCTACAATCCCGGGTACTCAGGGCTCGACCCCATGCTCGGTGCCTCGATAGCCAGTGCGAGCAAGGAGTCTTGGAACAAACAGCTGCAGATCGGCCATGCATACTTCGGGGGACCCGCCCGGTGGGCCATTCCATCGAAGGCTTCGAAGAATTCCCGTCTTCGGCAATCCAGCAAAGGTCACGATGTTAACGGATGGATCTTGGGTCATGGATAGCTTGGGAAAGGGAGTGCGACTGTGCGTGTCCCCTGCTCGTTTGTTGGACGAACCCCATAGTTCCATACTTTTATCCCATCGTCTTGGCTGGGGTGCTATCGGCACCTCCTCTCATCCTATTGTGTAGCTTGGGCTGATGTGGCAAAGCTTCCTAAACCCGTGGATGCTCCCGTCGATTTGCCTGGATCTTCGACTCATGGGAAACACAGCCTGGCCAATCCACCGAGGGGGTCACGCGCAACCTTGATATTTTTTTTCTATCAATTTCATTTTCCAAATTTCTATCGTCGGCCCACGATCCCTTGACTTGACACTGCACTTTCGGTAGACTCTGCCAGGCAGTACCGTTCCGGTCCTTCATAGACATATAAACCCTCTTCCCCAGGAATAATGTAAGATGATTTCTCACGATAACTCAACAGACTGGTTCTGGTAATTGCATACTTTCTGGTGTTCAATTGCTTTACATTGTGCCCCATTCTATACAAATCCCCGGAAATCTCCAGTCACCACCACCCTTCAACACTTCTTACTGCTTTGTACAAAGATTCCCCCTATATTCCCCTCCTAATACTTTCTACACAAAATGTCTCTCGGCATCTCTCGAGTATTCACGCCCGCCCGTACTCGATTCCTGAGTGCGGCGGTTACAGCCCCTAAGGTGGTTGCCTCTTCCTCGACCAGACTTTACTCCAGCACCAAGAGCGCCTTCAACCAGCATGATATCCACAATATTTCCCACAATCCAGACCACATCCAGTCCAAGCTCCCATCGAAGAAGCAATTGCGTAATGCCAACCGATTCCGCGAGTTTGACATGGAGGGGCGTGTCTATGTAATCACTGGTGGTGGCCGAGGATTGGGCCTGTCGATGGGCGAAGCCCTCATTGAGGCTGGTGCAAAGGGTATGCTATGCTCCAATGCCTCCAATTTGATTCCCCCAATTGAGCTCAGAAACTAATTTCAACCACAGTTTACGCCCTGGACCGCCTCGAAACACCTCACCCTGACTTCCTGAAAGCCCAAGCCAAGGCCCAGGACTACGGCGGCACACTAGAGTACATCAGAATCGACGTCCGCAATAACACAGAAGTCAACAACACATTCGCAGCAATCGCCGCCCAAGAACAGCGCTTGGACGGCCTCGTCGCCGCAGCGGGTATAAACCACCTCCAATCCGCCCTCGAACACTCCCAACAAGCCCTCGACGACGTAATGAGCATCAACTACAACGGCGTATTCAACTCCGCCACCGCGGCAGCCCGTCAAATGTTCAATTACCAGCAAAAAGGCTCCATTCTCCTCGTTGCATCTATGAGCGGCCTCATCGCTAATAAGGGAATGACTTCGCCCGTGTATAATTCCTCCAAGGCTGCTGTTATTCAGCTCGCGCGCTCGTTGGCTATGGAGTGGGGCCGTCATGGTATTCGGGTGAATAGTCTTTGTCCTGGACATATTATTACGCCTATGGTGGAGGATGTTTTCCAGCAGAATCCTGCGGCGCAGGCTGTTTGGGAGGCGGAGAATATGCTTGGTCGTCTGGCTATGCCTGAGGAGTTCCGTGGCTCTGCGCTGTTTTGTCTCTCGGATGCTAGCAGTTTCATGACTGGTAGTACTCTGGTCATTGATGGTGGACACACTGCTTGGTGAGCGTGTGATTGTCTGGAGATAAGCATCCTTTCGACTATAATCTCTTTGAGTCGAGTCAGGCGTGGCGTCACGGAGAGCACGGAATACACGACACAATTCGAGAGGCTTGGGCAGGGAGGACGGATCCCTTCTCTGTATTAGGAGGAATCCCCGCGCTCCTCGGACGAGGCTTGGTGTATGGCTTTTTCACTTTGCAGCATGCACCCTCGGCTTCGGGCAATGAGCCCAGACTTGGAGGAATGTATGTGGACAGACCATTTATTTTGGCAGAAACCAAAATAATTGCATTCCGGATCTTGCAATTTCATCGTTCCCTTTCTTTTCTTCTATAGAGTTTACGAGATATCTAGTGAGAAATCACAATACTTAATGATTGCTTTGAGCATTCCATTCATCCACTTTGTTTTGCAACATTCTTCGCCGGTAGGATTTATAGACTGTACCAGAAGTATTCTTTATTCGTAGAATGTAGATTCAGGTAAATGTGATTGTATGATGGGTATGACAGTATAGATCGAATATCGCTCAAACCCGAAATATGCACCCGCAAATGACAATCATCTAATCAAGGACACGTCTCAAATAATATAAACAAGCCGGCGATCACCAGTATGATGCTCCAAATCATCCCTCCGCCCTCCACCCATAAGCTCATCTCTCTCCTCACCAGAATGAGCAGGCCCAGCTTGGTCAACAGCCTGGTACACAGTATTCACAGCCCTACGGTTAGCCCGTTGCAGGAGAAGGCGCAAGCCAATCGCCAAAATTGCAACAAGCACCATGAAGAAAGAGCACGTTGCCATGCCACGGATATACCACGGCCCGTCAGATTCGGGGTACAGCCTTGTCCCCAGGAGAGGCCCGCACTGCCCGATGATGTTTAATATGGCAATGCTGGCACCTTTGCCTTCTTTTTCCACCCGGTTGTCCATTGACCAGGTTATGATCAGCGTGATGGCGGAGAAGAACCCGGCTGTGGCGGGGTAGACGCAGATGTATCGGATGAAGGTGTGTAATTCGGTGGATAGGTGCTCGTGGAAGTATCCTGTTGCGGCAATTGCGAAGTATGCGATTGAGGAGATGAGGGCGTGGGCTATAAGGTAGGGGCTGCGGCTGCGGCTGCGGTCCGAGGCCCATGCTGTGACTAGGACCACAACGAAGGCGACTAGGTATGGCGGTGCTGAGAGAGCCTGGGCGTTGAGGGCGGAGTAGCCCATACTAGTTGACGTTTAGCAATTGTAATATGAAATTGGAGGTTGCCGTAACTCACTCTTTGATGATAGTGGGCAGAAATACTGGCATCGAGCTGAAGGCGACATTGCAGCTGAAAAACATGAACTATAGGTAAATTAGAAGACCACCCAAGACCGAATCGACATATATTAGACTTACAGCTGCCATATATGCCTTGGGATCAGCAGCCGTCTTCGCGATCTCCCTCCAATCGAAGCGCTTCGAGGTGCCTTGCTGGTAGTCAGGCTGGCCATGTTCCATGCGCAGCCGGGCTACCACCCTCTGCCGGCGAGTGAGGAACCGAGCACGACCCGGAGAGTCTGGAATGAGAATCCAGGCGAAGACAGCAACGATCACGCTAGGGAAACCCTCGACAAGGAAAAGAGCACGCCACGGAGAGATAGGCCCATCACTGTTGACCTTGACGATGAACCAGGCCAAGCTGCTAGCAAAGGACGTTGCCAACGGTGCAGCTGAGATGAACAGTCCATTCCTAAAAGCCAGTTCATCGCGCCGATAGAACAGTGACAGGTAGAACGGAACACCGGGGCCGAATGCAGCTTCGGTAATACCGAGTAATGCACGCAGGATGACCAGCCCTTCAAAGGATGTTGCCAGAGATTGGCACGATGCTACCAACCCCCAGCCAAACACACACAACGAAATGTAGATATGCGGAGGTACGAGGCGGTACATCAGTGTCATCCATTCGAATAGGATGTATGTGATATAGAACGCAGTGAGTAGCCACTCGTATTGCTCAGATGACAGCCGGAGGTCATCCTGTAGTCCTGCAATCTTGGCATTTCCAATATCTGCAATCAATATTTAGTACGATCAACCCAATCAGATCCATGTACTCTGTACTCACTCGAACGGTCCAAGAATGCAAGCAAGTAGAGAAGCGCCAAGAATGGGACTAGCCTCCTATCGAAGACCTTGACGACCTCCCTCTCCTCTTCCAGTGTAAATTTCGGCCTCGACTGCCTCCTGCGATCCTTTCCTTCCAGCTCCTCCGCGGAATCATATGTATTCTCTTCATCCATATCGGACACAGACCCCGCGACGCCCATCCCATCCTCGAAATTGGTTTGTAGTCGCAGATTTCCAACAGGCGAGTTCACCGGCTTCGACGCCGGATACTCCTCTTCCGAGCCATTGGAAACAGGCGTAAAACGAGGATTCGTCGAGCCGGAGTCGGAGGAAGCGTTCCCCGCAGCGGACGGGGGCAGATGGAGATCGGCCATGCTGTTCGGGGGGAGATTCACGGCCGCTGAGGCGCAAAGAGACGCTTCGGTCGCTGTCGCTGCGTACTATGAGCCTTTTTCTAGACCGAGGCTCTCCATTCGAGCAGGATATGGGCCCCTTCTTTTGTAACATCGGCAGCCACCGACTTTCTGCAAATGACTTGATCGGCGGACCTGTTAGATTATGTAACCAGGGGCACGTGGAGTGGCACTAATGGGGTTAAGCGGCGATCACTATGAACTACAAAGTATGAACTATGAGAACTATGAATATGGGAAAGCGCAGAATTGATTGATAATGAGACTTTGATGGAACTACCGATATTGCTATTAAGGATGTCTAAATCTCAAATAGCTGTTGAGAGTATCACATCCGCAAGATTATCGCAATATCCAGTGGGTTCTCGTCTCTTTCCAAACGCGCCATGAATCGTTCCGTCGTTGGCATCGTTAATGTCCAGGCTAAACTCGCGGGTTTAGTGGCAACGAGACCGCCCAGCCCGGGCCTTGTTGGAGGTGTCGGAACGGTCATCGTCGTGCTCGTGGCGGCGGTCATCGCGGTCGTCGCGGTCATACCGATCACGACGGTCGTATCGGTCCTCCGGCTCATAACGGTCGCCGTGGCTGCCACGGCCGGGACGATAGCGATCGATGAATCGCTCGTTGCGGTGCTCGCGACGCTGGTACTTCCAGCGAGGCCCGACAGGGCGAGTGTCGGCATCCTCGGGAAGCTCGAAGACACGCTTGCGACCGCCGGAGAGATGCTCGGCGTGCCTGCCGCTGACGGCGATCATCTTATCCACCTCGGGCATCAGCGGGTGGGACTCGTGGCCGTGAGCCTTCATGTGGCGCAGAAGGTTCTCGGCGGTGTCGCGGAGGAAGCGGACATTGTTGAACTTGTCGTTGCATTTGTTGGAAATGCCCGACTTGTCCGCATCGCTGAAGTAGAAGTCCGCTTTGGCTTCCTGGTAAACTCGGATGAGTTTGCCCAGGGCGGACTCCTGGCGAGCATCGCCTTCCTTGACGATGGTCTCAATCTCCTCGAGGGTGAATTCGAGGTGCTCAGGGTTGGAGAAAGCTAGGTGGTGTCAGATATCGCGGGAAGTCATAGTTAACTCAGAGAGCGTATGGGATCTAACCTGCATCAATAAGCTCTTGGCCGTGCAGCTGGGCAAAGACGAGGGTCTTCTTCTCGGGGTAGGTATTGACCGACTTGGCCATCAAGAACTCCTCGATGAAAAACTCAAGGAGCCCAATATTCTCAAGCTGGTGCTCCTGGTGCCAAAGGTCGATCAGAACCTTGTCGAAGACGGTCATTTCACCATCCTCGTCGTCGTCAGAGCGCCCGGTGGTGAGGAACTTGTACCGGTGCTGGACCATATTGTACAAGGTCCGGGCTTTCTTCTCATCCTGGAGAATTTCGAGAAGGAGCTCGCTGGGGGTGGTGACACGGGCCAAAGCTCGGCACAAGTCCTCAACGAGAGCGGGGGAGGGCATGATGTCGTTTGGTTGGATGGAAAGATGGGGAAGGTCTCAGATGACGGGTACGGAAGTGAGAGAAGAGAGCAAGCTGCAACGCAACCAAACGGATATCAATGGCTCTCGTCTTGACCGAGGTCGAGATGAGATACCTTGAGAGCGTCTGGGAAAAATCACGGAGAAAATCGAGGTGGATGAGGTTGAGAGAGGAGGGTGAGTGTTGAGGAATAGTCGAAAACTAACGGAGAGATGAAGAGGAAAAAGGCACTGGCTGTTTCCCATAACACCGCCAGTCGCGTCCGGCCTCACCTACCGCGTTCCTTTCTTAACTGACGAGAAAATGCGTCGGCACGTGAAGATAGATTAGAGGTTTGATATCACGGCGAGGCTATTGCGACCCAGATATTTCAAAGCTTCGGCCACTTGCGGGACATCCCTTCATATTATAGTAAGTAGGCTATGTCTTCTCCATACGAGGTTTGAGAAGATGGTTAAAGATGATGAAGCTGTACCAATCGGTTTTGATAGACCACAGGAAAAGAAAGAGACTATGCCATATATTAGGAAATATTAATCGTTAACTCGTTCATAGTAGAGGGGGTATCAAAGTAACTCGTTCAGGAAACTCCTTAGTTTCGCTCTTCCCACAGCTTATTGACTTGATCGATAAGCGTCTGGGGGTTAGCGCCATCGCCATTCTGAGCACAATCTTTCCACTCGCCGCCGTCACGAACACACCAGACCGATTCGTCTAGTCGCACAGTACAGCTGGTTCTAACGCCGAGATCCTGGCTGTGAAGGGCAGATTCTCGCAGCAGTACGACACCACTTAGGGGTGAGTCTCCTTGTCCACCGCCGCTAGGGTTATCGTCTTGTTGACTGGCACATCTATTCAAGGCATCGAAATCGATACCGTGCTCCATCGCACACTCGTGGATAAATGAGCGATCCGGGATATATTTGTAGCCGTTGATGAGACAGTTTGCGAAGCCCAAAGATCGAATGATGGGTGTACGGGGGTATGAGATCGGTAGAAGTGATTCATCGGCCGCCGGAGGGAAGGGAAGGTTGGCAGCGCATAGAATGAGCATATCACCAATGCATTCGCCAGGACCATGCATACACTCAATCTCGGATGACTCTTTGGATACACTGTATATGATGAAGAGGTTAGAAAATGCACTGCAATAAGGGTAGGGTTGATAAACGTACCTAGCAATAAAGGAGAGCTTGAAGTCAACCTTATCACTGACTTGCTCCATAGCTGGCAGCACCAACTTTTGTAGACAATCCTTGGCATCGGGACACTTGCTCATGATATGTGCTTCAAGCGGAATCCTATTCTCCACAAGTTCTGTTGAGATGACAAGAGGGCGCTGGCTCGCTGAGGGTTGTTTGTAATGCTGGTCCTGTTCGATATTCTCATTTTGCGACTGGTCCGAATCGAGGGAGCTGAAAGTCTCCATGGAAGCATCCGGTGCAGTACATGCAGTAGCATCGCATTTGTGACTGCAGTTGAGCGACATGCACGGCGCTTCAGTCGGTCTCAGGAGCAGGTAGTAGCAGACCAGGAAGCTGATAACAACACAATAGCGCCATATCATGGTGTTCCGACTAGGTCGTGGACGGGGGTCGGCCCAACGGGGCTTTTCTGAGCCTTCAAAGGCATCTTCTTTGTGAAGAGGGAGTGTCGACATGATTGCGTTGGTTGTAGATCGAAAGGTCACACAGCCAACGTCGATACTCTTGGATATGGAGGTGGCAGGCACAGGCAAAGCGGTTTGCAGGCCGCTGAGCTGATTACGTCAGATGTGGATGCCTGGGGCCCCAGTCCGGGGAATGACTTGAAGATCCATTTGATCATTATCAGCAACTGGTTGACAGCTTTCGATGATCTTTTCATAGCAGAGGTTGCTTTGATATGTTTAAAGCACTAAGAAGCTAAAAGCTGGAATCCAGAGCCATGAAAATGTTGTCAAGCAAGACTAGGTGATGATCTATAATGTACTCAATCAGCCTTCGATCGTGATTCCTACAGATCAAGACAAGCTGTCATTGAAATCATTCCATGAATAGAGTTATCTGATTTCTCATATATTATTTGTTCACTTCTTGCTAGTATCATAACTTTATGAAAGAAGGCCAAGGATGGCACGTGAGCATCAATCCCGGCATTTCTTCGGGCAAGATGCGGACGGAACCTGGCCGGCGCCCTTAGTCTGCCTTGGTTTTATGCACGCAAGGCATCTAAAGTCACTAAGATGCAATGAGTATGGTCAGTTTATTGAAACTTTTAGTACTCCCACCTCGTGCTCCATGTGGCAATTGACTTGGCAGGCCGTAGAGAACAAAGAAAAGTTTGCTCGGATTAATCGCCTGATACGGTCAAGTTCTTGACAGTTACTGTAGTGGGTGAGCGAGCCTATGACATGCGTTCTGAATTATGGACAGCTGCCCCAGACGGTAGCCACACTTGAGCTTTAGGGGACGACCCAGCCGACAAACCTTCCCCATTAGATATCGAGGCTTCAATAGATATGGAGGCATATGGTCTTGAGCAAGAGCTGGTTGGCTAGAGCAAGCCTGAAATGCTTTGGATCATGCCCATCTCCATTCAGACAATCGTTCGGTGACCTCATTCGACACATCCGCTGACTTGGAACAGAAGACTCGTCCCATCCATGACCAGACGCATGGCGCAGCCGGATGAACAAGATGATCTCACGCCCTTCAGGCTTCAGGCACCAAACAACGCCCAGTCACACCATTCCATAACCGACACGCTAACCCGCCAGTAAGTTTTTTTGCGGACCATTTTTTTAAGAGCATCGTTTGGGATGCTGTACTCCGTCTAAGTACTTCATGCCTTGGCTCCGATCTCGGAGGGCCCCCAGGAGGCGTCAGTGCCCAAGCTTCCAAGGTTCGTATCTGGAGCGGCTTGAACCAAAGGATCTTGAAATAATCAGGGCCTCGTGGAAATTCCCGAAAAGCACCCTGTCTAGCGCTATCAGCCTTGAAATTTGCCGTTGAGGCTCACAACGTTCGTTCATGCGGAGCACGGAGCTCCTCCTCAGGATTCATGATGACGACGGGGAGCAGGTGATCCGCTCCGGAAGCCCCCATCAGCGGCCCCCCAAGCCTGTTGGCCATACGAGGGTTTGGACCGCTCCAGTAGGAAGCTTACGGACCTTTGGTGGCTGACACGCCAGCGAACGATCGAGGCCCTTTGGGGGTTGGGATGCACAGGCCATACGTAGGTGAACACGGTTATTCCCGAGGGCTAAGCCTATAGCCATCTCCATGGTGAGCATTCAAAAATGATCAGCACCGGTCATCTCTGTAGTGAGTCGGCAGGATGAGCAATGAGCAACGCCCGTAGTGGCTGAAATAGGAACGAAAAAGACCCCATTCCTGCATCGGCGTCGGCGAATGGCGCGATGGAGAAATGATCACTTAGGCCCTTGGCACGTTTCCAAAACCGTGATCGCAGGCCCCACACCACCCTGGGCTGCCGCATGGCTTGGGGTTTTGAGTCGCGGCCGTGCGTCCGTTGGTCCAAACGCCCTGGCAGGGCTCGTGTGTTATTGAGCACACGCCAGAGCCAAGAAAATGGCGGTTAGTAAAGAGATAAAAATGGTAATCAGGTTGGCGGAGGGGAGAAATATTGGATATGTAGCCGAGTTCTCTAACCGAACTGGAAGAGCGCATCAGGTCGAGGCGTCAGATGTCCGGGTAGGGTTACATAGTTCCCGTTATAAAATGGGGAGGGGTTGTATGGTTGTATGCCTAGATGGCTGGATGGAGGTGAGCTGCGCGGACAGGAGCTTCAAAGTGGAACATCTCCGACCGAGATCGTCGACTAGTTCAGACTGATTTTTCTCTTCGATGCTGCTCATTCGAAGGAAGAATAATAGACCACAGGGCAGAGCAGCGATTAGGCAGGACAGGAAGGGAACAAGCATAGTACAGTAGCACTCCTTACTGGAGATAGGATAGTTAGCTAAAGCGATCATTGGATAGACGACCGATGTAATCATGTTCAGTTTGCTATAATGCCAACAGCTGCCAGTCTATGGTTTTAGTAAAAGTCTTTTGGATGAGTGTCTAGCTGTTATGATGTTATCTATAGGATTTCTAGAGTCTCCTGTCGGGTAAACCAAGCCCGAAGCACTGTAGTACTCCCCAGACAGCATCGATCGTGTCAAGATAACTAGATAGCTAGTCTTTCCACTTCCAGTTCAAGTGTTTCAATGCGAGACCCAATGATCCAATCGACGTCTACCATATGTCGGAATTTCCAACTTGCCCACCCCGGAAAAGAACAGCGTCACATCGTCACATCGCCTCGTGTCCTCCGATGGTCGCATCTCCCGAGCGCCTGCGCCTGCTTTATTTACTTGTCCTTATTCGCTTTTCAAGGTATGTCTTTATTTACTTCCCATAGGTCCCCATTCCCCCTCTTCCCCCTGATTTTCTCCAGCCTCTGGCTCCTTTTCAACTTTGATGGACTGTTCAACCACTGGCTGGTACACGAATTGTTCTACTGATATTCCTACGCAGACCCCTTTCTCTGGGGGCAAAAAAGCCAAAAAGACCACTTCTCCGGCAATTTGGGAACGCCAGGACGATTTGGAGCGTGAGGGACTCCATACAAAAGTGGGTAATGGGGCTCCACCAGCGCCTGGCCTTGTCAACCATTCCTCGTTGAATCATTTATGATTTAACCCATTTCGACCACCCGATTTCATCCTCCTCCAAGCTGTGCTTGTGTATACCTCTTCTGCCCGCCGCTGGATGAACATCCCTATAGTTCACCGGTAACTATTAGTGTCGGTATTATTATCATCGCTATTGTTTATTCATCCTCCCCCACCATCCAACATACACACCGCTTGGCCTCAGGCACCCCACAGGGATACCTTATTCGACCCTTCTCCATTTATAGCGACTCACTCCCCTGGTCGATCCCTGGCCAGATTCCCCCAATTATTTTCTTATTGTTCGGTTTCTTCCCTGCAACTTTCTCTTCGTTACTTCTTGCATTGTCGCCCTCCTTGTCTCAACTGCCGAAACTACCAATACGCCAATCTGCCGAACAGAAGCTCCGTCCACCTTTCACTCCGAAGCCTGACCAACTTCCCCTCTCTCTATTACACCTCCGCCCGCATACCAACAATTTACCAGGGTACGTAAAAACATGACAGCTGAGGATCATGTTTCTCCTTCGCTGTCCAGGTCCTGGCATGATCGTCACAGCTTGTTCCCTGGAGACCCTCCACTACGTACCATTTGCCCTCGAATCTTGTAGTTCCGCTATGCCGCTAGTCCAGGCTACCCATATTTGATGTTCCATCTTCCCCTCGATCATCCTGCAGACCGCGTCACCACAATGTTTCCCCGAGCGTCCCTCAATTGCAACGTTACTAACTTGGACCCAGTTCCTGCACCCTGCAATCTAAGCTCTCCAGAGCTTTATTTTTAGCCCACACTACGCGCGCTTCTCTCCGTGCTTGGCCATTGCACTTCCAGACCCTTAGCCTGCGCGGTGGTAACCTTTCTGCGCACTTCCCTTGACATTCCAGAGGCGCCAACGTCACGGCTTAGATCGGAGCATTGTGACGAGAAGACACGATCCGTTTTCTCATTCATTCGCCAAGGATTCCTTTGCAAGGCATCCTTAAGCAATTGTCATCTAGGACACCGGAAAGACCGTTTCATCCTGTCTTTGCCTTCTTATTGGTTAGAGTGTTTGGACTTCTACGCTAAGAACAAGTGTATCCTACTACAATGGCATCGGTCACTTCAATAACGTCCGAAAAGGACAACGAAGAAGATCGCGACATCATGCACGAGGAGGCGATCGAAGATGAGGATCATGATATCAGCTTGGAGATGGATCCATCTCAGCGAGAACACCTCGAGTTCAACCGTCAATTAGACGACTACCTAGCGCCACTCTATCTGGATGAGGCAGTGCTGTACAGATTGGCTCGCCGCTTCTCCGAAACCTACCGCGACCTGGCCTTGACATCGGACCAGCAATTTTTGCCAACCCCGGTAACTCAGCTGCCTACTGGCCAAGAGACTGGTCGATATCTGGCAATCGACGTGGGAGGCAGTAATCTCCGGGTCGCATTTATTGAGTTGTTAGGCGAAGTCGAGGAGTCGGATTTCCGCCCCGCGGATGCCTCGGAGAGGTCACGAGACACAATTCGCAAGGCCCAGCGACAACGGGTCCAGCGTACGTTAGAACGAGCATGGCCCATTCAAGAGCATTTGAAGAAGGACAAAGCGGAGGATCTATTTGCTTGGATTGGTGACTGCATTGCCGAAGTGGTAGCTGAGAGTCTGACATCGGATGCCACGAAGAAGGACATTCCCGCAGAATTAGATATGGGTATCACCTTTAGTTTCCCAATCATGTCAGTTCAGCTCCTCGGTTTAGATTGGAGTGCAGACGGCATTCACAATCTGCTACCCGACCCTGGGTTGGTACGCTCAGTGCTAACTCTTTTGCAGGCAAGAATCGCTGGCCGAGGCAACGCTGATGCCAATGGGTAAAGGATTCGCTATCACTTCCAATCTCAATCTTCGCAATATCCTTCTCAATGGATACGAAAAACACACTCGGAGACCGGATGATGAAGAAGAGCCTTCTTCCAAGCGCCGGAAGCTTTTCGCCCTGCCGAAGCTAAAGATTCAGGCCATTACGAACGACACAGTTGCCACTCTCGCTTCACTCGCATACAAGGTGAAATCGCTACCCAACAGCCGAGTCGCCATGGGTATCATTGTGGGCACCGGATGTAATGCGACTATTCCGATGAAACTGAGCGAGCTTCATGAATCCAAGGCCAAGAGCGTTAACACGATGGATCCTAGCGCCGTGGAAACTATTGTGAACACGGAATGGACCATCTCTGGAGCTGCACCACCGCTACAAGAGCTCAACATTACGACTAAATGGGATGTTGAACTAGACCGGGCATGCACACGTCCAGGGTTCCAGCCATTCGAGTACATGACGGGTGGTCGGTACATTGGCGAACTAATTCGTCTGATCTTGTTCGATTACCTCACCACCGTGGGAGGGTTATCCAAGCGAGTTCTCCCTGCGAACCTGGTTCAAGAATACGCTTTGACAACTACCTACATCTCCGACAACGTGGCCAAAGCCCGATCAGACCAAGACCTTGCAAATGCACTAAACCAATCTCTCCCTCCACCCGAGAGCAGCGACTGGCGCTGGGATGCGCGGACAGCCGGCGCATTCCGAAGAATCGCACGAGCAGTGCAAAGGCGATCGGCTGGACTGATTGCCGCAGCCGTGATCGGCCTCTTGGCCTGCTGCCGCGAAATCGAACTGAAGGAAGAGAGCAACACCAACACCCCCGAAGCCGCAGCGTCCCCACAAAGCAACGGAGACGTCCCCATCTCCAGCAGCACAGCCACCCCATCATCCATCGCTACACCAAGCAACAGTGTCCACGGCCACGTTGTCCCAGTCCTCCAACCGTTCCCGGCAGACTGGCAGTCCGGCCCTGAGGAACTGGTCGTCGCGTACACGGGCGGTATCATCCAACATTACCCGCAATTCAAGGAGATGTGCCAACAAACCATTGACCGCCTCATCATGCGCACGGGTCCTCAACGGGGAGGAAAGTCTGTCTTCTTACGAGAAGCTTCGGATGGCGGTGTCATTGGAGCAGGTGTTTTGGCCGGGATGGTTGCCGGCAAGTAAAAAAGGAAATCCGTATATTGATTTTTTACGCTTTACGATTTTTGGGTAAAGGGCACTGTTCGATCGTTGTTCCATCCCGCTCATAGAAATGAATGGATTCTTGGTGTGAGGTGCGAGTACTGCTATGTAATATCGGGCATTTCTTGAGGCGTGTTTTCCAGATCCTGTCACGTTTATATACGACTGCATCCATGTTCCAATCCGCTTGATTTCCAGTATGGCCCCGAGATGGCGATGTTCGACTCTGATACACATGATGATGTCGTCGCCAGCAAGAGGAGAAAGAGGTTATCTTGAAAGCACGTCATCCCGTAGATTCTACCAGTCGATTTGCACGCAGCGATAAGGGACCCGCCTGGCTTGCGCGGCCCGATCCTGGGAAGCGTAAAGAGGAATGCAGTTGATTTTTGCAACGTGTGGAATGTTCCCGCTTGATGGCGGTGCATGTCCATCCCGTCCGATATATCTTGGCATAGATGAGCCAGGAATGTCTTTCTGAAAAACCAACGGCTTTATATATCCAGATTGTGTTCCGGTTGAACTCGATTGCTGTGAATTCGACCAGCCGGGGGCTCATATCAATCGGAACATATTGTTGCGCACTCCACGCTTCATAGCGCTGGGTTTACCGTCTTCGTATTCGATTCCTGCAGCTCCTCCGTCGCCTGACATTCGTTCTAAGCGTTCTCGAAGCTCTGCGTCGGCTTGGGCGACTGTTTTGGTCTTGTTCGAAGCCGCAGTTTGTTTATTCGAAGGGGTCTTGCTGCTCGTGCTGAGGGAAGGTTGTTTCAATGCCTGCTTTTTATGATCTACTAATACCATGTTAATGAATGCTGGCCTTCACTTGCTGATTGAATCGTAAGCAAGAAACGACGACATACCATTCGGTGTTGAGGAAGAAGTCGAAGAGAGACAACGACTGAAAGAAATGTGGTGAATAAGATTGAAGGGTATCAAGCGTGTAGGAAATATTTTCACTACGTGCCTGAGCTCCATTCTGGGCATATTATGCGACAGAATGTCAAAAATAATTTATGACAAGATGTCTGAAACTATTCAGATAGTTCCAGAGCTTAGGACTGACGTAGATGTGCGATAAGGAAACGCCAAATCACGTGATCTCACGTGGGCGATCATCCCCGCGATCGATCGGCTCAAGGCAACTGAGCGTTAGACACTCCCCGTGCTTTCGACATCCTCTCCAACTGGCCCATCTTTACCTTCAAGATGGCGGCGCAACAATCATATTATGAACTTTACCGTGGGAGCAGGTATGGAGATCACCATAACATCCCAAAGACGGTGATTACAGGACTGACTGGAACCTGACTAGCCTCGGTCTGTCTCTCACGGATACCCTTGACGACTTGATCAACGAGGGCCGCATCGAGCCTCAACTGGCTATGAAGATCCTGTCCACCTTCGACAAGGTAGTCACCGAGGTTTTGGCCGATAAGGTCCGGGCCCGGCTCACGTTCAAGGTACATTCGCTCCACCGAAGGAGTCATCCAGGACACACGACCAGTGCGGTGACTGGAGATCAGTCTCATTTCGGGTAGTTCAATCAAGCTAACCTACTCCTCTCTTTCCTTGCAGGGCCACCTTGACACCTACCGATTCTGCGACGAAGTCTGGACATTCCTGATCAAGGATGTCACCTTCAAGCTGGACAACCAGACCACCGTTACCGCAGACCGCGTTAAGATCGTGAGCTGCAACAGCAAGCGGCCTGGCGAGACATAAACCGGCAGCATGGATCGAGATTACTCTGGCGTTTTCTTTTCGTTGGCTTGCATAGGCGTTCACAGGCATGTTCTTGGCTCCGGGCTAGGACCCGACCGGCGTTAATGGGCTTTTTTTCTTTCGCTCTGTATCATGCATAAAGAAAATCTTTGATATCAGATCAGATACCCATATCAATTGAGAGATCTACCCTACAACTGCCCACATCATGTAGTCCTCTTTAATTCTCAGTTGGTCCAAGTAACGTAACTGATGTGCTTGGCGGTTGACTCCCGGTACCAGAAGCCGCAGGTGACCTCAATCTTATCGGTGCCTATCAGAACTTCCTTCAACTTCTCCGCGCCGGAGCGCGTCGCGTGAAATCCACGCAACAACGAACACGATGCCGAGAACACTGCCTTGGTTGTTTAACCAAGGCAATGATGTGCAGGTCAAGCGAGAATCTACTCCCCGAAAGCGTGTTAAACGAGAGCGCACTCCCGAAGCCCATGACGACGTTACCCCAAGGAAACCTCCTACATCACCCGAAAAGCGGGACTTCTTCAGGTCTTGTATGTGATCGAAAACTAAACCTTCTATGAGATTGCGCTAATAAAGGCTCACTTCTCGCAGCTCAAACTCCGCCTACCTCGCCTGCGCGACCTTGTCCCCCCCAAGAGTATGTCCCGGTTCATATTACCCCACAATCATAACGGCTGTCGCTGATTACGAGTACGCAGGTTCCTGATCGAAGGCTTGGATCACGATGATGCGTGGATCATGGTCGAAGACGAGTTCTACACGATAGCTCAATCGTTTGCACAACATCTACACTATGCGGAATACATTCGGCGGAAAAAAGAAGCGAAAGCGCAGAGCATGGAGGCGCTGAATGAGATTCAAAGGCCTACGGATGGTCGAACAAAATTGCCGAAGGAGGCCGAACGGAGGAAGGAGGCAGAAGCGCTCGCTGCGCGCCAAAAGGCTGGGTTGGCACACTTAGGGGAGCCAGAAGCAGACAAAGATGATTCCAATGACGATGACACATGGGCTGGGACGCATCTTCATGGTCTTATGACCAGTCCGCGGAAATCGCGCTTGTTAATGGGTGCTCATGCAATGAAATCTTCTACGAGGGCCGCTGCAGGCTTTAGCCAAGCTGCAGGCGCCTATAGCGACCGAGCTGCGGCTAGTGTTCCATTGTCAAGAGCAGCAGCAGCTCACATCGTCGAGGTTCATGATGTAACAACATCGGATGATGATGGCGATATCGATGGAGAGACGGCTTCCGATGAAGACGACGATCTTGATGGGCAGGCTCGTCCGGTCAGGATACAGTCGAAAAGCCTACCAACAAATGGCCCTACAAGGACTGCTCAACCCCAGCACACCACGGGTAGTAGGAACGGCATACACAAGCAACCTACGATAAAGGAAGAGAAGGTGCGGGTAAATCCCAAACCAACCAGCAGGTTCCAGTCAAGAGTTCAAATGCTATTCGACGATTTCGACGAGCTACCAGAGCCATCGCCGTCAAAGACTTCTTCTACCTCCGACATGAAAAAGAGCCGATCTTCCACAAACATTATTACCCAACGTGGCTCTGGAGACGACAATCTGGAATCCAAGAAAACCCGCTTCAATGACGTTCCAACTTTTCTCTATTGATTTATTGAAATACCCTCAAACATCCGTGAACCATATCTTGGCGATCATGACAAATTCGGTTTAAACATTCTTCGGTTTATCCTCCGCTGTGGTAAACAAGCCATCCTCACCGAAAACCTCATTTTCAGAGTCAGTCGATGGAGTTGACTTGAACCAGCGAGAGCATTTCATGCGGTCTCGGAGGCGGGCTTGGAGAGGCGGACGCTCATCCTTCTGACATGGCTTTGAACCTTCTCCTTGACAGACGGCTGACAAGCGGTCATCTCGATTGTCGTCTCGTCCTTCTCCATCGTTGTTTCGCGGCTGTTCTGAGAAGTCAACGTACTGTGGCTGGGAGGTCAGATTGGCTCGCTCGGTTGCATTTTCGCTGGGCGATAAGACTGACTCGGCATCCGAGAAACACGCAGGAAGTTCTTCTTTCCGGAAGTTGGTTGGAGGTCCCTACAAGAACAATCATTATTAACGACATTTCTTCTAACTCCGCCGGGATTTGTTATGCACACACAATCTCAATGATCTTTCCCTGGTTGCGAACGAATGGTGCCTTGAGGCATCGGAAAATTTGTTGGAAACACTCCATCTTGACGGAGGTGGCTGGTCTAATCCGTGGATCGGATTGGGGATATTCGGTGGGTTTATATAAGGTCCAGTATCGATGACTTCGTGGACAACTCAGAAGATCCGAGGCGAAAACTAGTCGTTTTGTCTTCGAGTATTATGAATCGTGAAATGGCGACGCTCCGGTCTGGTGAAACAAATGCTATACAACGGAGGAGAATATGCGAAACGAGAGACTAGCGACGGTGAACGTCTATAAAAGGAAACAAACGAAGAAACAAAGAGTCGCAAATGCGCTAAGTCATTGATGCGCTGGATGGGAAGAAAGAAAGCCTTTCGATGAGGCCAGGCCTGAGTTCATATAGAGAAGACTCCAGGTGGAGCGCCCCGAGCCGAGTTCCAGAGCCTTTCATGCAGTATGCACATCCATACTACCCACGGCGTGTCAAGGACAAATTGCTCCACGGCCCCGCTCATGCAGGTCGAACTGGGCGACAGCCCACCACTCCTGAGGCATGGACCAGAACCATTCAGCGACAGGCTCGGGAGAATTCACCCGTGAAAAATCCCTTTGAATTTGATGGGTCTGTGACACATTCCACTGGGACAGTCCGCGCTCTCCCTGGCGGCAGCGGCGGGCTGACCGGCTCTTCTTCTCGCCTTGGAGTAATCCTCGATTCCTGAACAGCATCAAGGATTGGCTACGATTGCGAGGAGAAAGGCGACCCGAAAGTCCGGAGCCTTTTGTGGCTATTTCGGTTTCTATGCAGGAACCATTCATGACATGCGCTTTGGTCCATTGTACTGCCACGGTTTCTTTGAGGTCTGTGACACGGCGGAACTATGCACTCCGAATCAATGGCGTATCTACGGGTATCAAGTCCTTCATTACTTACAGGCAGCAAGGTCATAATGACCTGCAGTCTGCAGGGAAGAAGAAAATTCGGTCAAACGCCCGTTCGTGGGAGCCACTTGAGATCAAGTTGAGGATCAAGTGGAGAGGAATAGTGGAGAGAGCTGGCCGAAAAGGGTAAAAGGGAGCAACAAAGGCGTCTCTCGTGTACCAGAAATCCCCCATACCTCATTCTTGGTCCTGGCCCCAGGGGGGCAACACCCATCTGGCTGTTTAAGGTTCGAATCTAGCAGCGCCGCATTTCAATCGAGCCGACCTCGACCCGCCGTTTGCTCGGATATGCGCGTGAAAAAGCAAAGAAAAAGGCTCGTTGGGAATGCCGGCAATCCTGTGCCGAGCAGCCTCGTCTTGTTGTCTGCCTTTGTTCTACTGCATTCAGAAAAAAAAAAAAAAACAGGCAACATTGCATTTCTAGAACTACCTTGTGCCCTTGGGTAACTCTTGTGCAATATTACTACCTTTGAAACCGTGACAAGGGCCTGGAAGGACTTCGTCCTCTAGCAAGTAATCGATGACTGTCTTGGTGGATACAATTGATCGTCAATCGCCCGCAGAGATGTCGATCGATCATGAATTCGTCGCTGACAGGGGTGATCAGACAGTTTAATACCAATTGGGTAATGAAATATGTGCTGCTAGTACTGTATTTGAGCCCACCACTGTGCCAAGCCTTGTTAGCTCGATTACTTTGTTTGTACCTCGAGAAACCGCCTGTGGTTATGAGGTTTACCAACATTGCTATCTGATTAAAGGAACGAAGTAATTGGAAGCTAATCGTTGAATAACGATAATTATTGTTGCTTTATTTTCAACAGCCTACGCTAAATAATGTATCGTATGCATCCAGTTAGTACGAATGGCAATTCACCATAAAACATGTTGTAAATTTGACCATACACAAAGCTCTTTTACCTCGTCTTCCTTATCTAACAATTCACTATAAACCTCCCCTCGTCAGCATTGCCACATGAAATTAGACAACAGATAAAGGGTAAAAATGTCTAGGTCCTTGCGCACCGAGAATATTATTATTTTGGAAGGGTTTTCTTTCTCTGGTCACTTTTAGTGTCCTCCCTTGCGTCGGAGCAATGCTGTGCGAAAAGAACACCTCACAAAGGTCGGGTAGTGCCGGCACACGAATCGACGCAGGCACAACGAACGCAAAATAGGAGAGCTGAAAAGTTCAATGCAGATAATAGCAATTTGCACCAAATTCATGCCATGTTTAAGAAATTCCAAGTTATAGGGCTGATCTCTAGCGCACCTTTCAAATCTGGCGACAAACGCACTCGGGGGTAATCAGAGCCCTAACTCCGCGACGGGGCGATGCTAACAAGGGGGTCAGGATAGGGAGGGTCTTCGTCACCACGATTCGAGCCTCAAACTTCGCAATAGAAATGTCAAACTCAGGTTTCCAGTCGCTTTCCCATCTAACTTCGGCACTATCGATTGGCGGGTGTTCTGGTGCCAGGCAACTAACCTTATCACCACAAGTGCCGAGTGTCCCGAATGTGTAGGTTCAGTAACCAGGGCCACGATATCAGCCAGCACCGATTTGAATCTTGGCCAGGGCGCCGAATGGTATGTAATAGAGCAATTTTCCCTTGTAATGCAAGGTCCACTAGAAATGCTGGTATCCCCCTCCCTGAAGCCCGTTCCGAGCAACTGGGTCATTTACATTCTTCATTCCATTCATCGAAAGTTCCACATCCTCTCGTAGGGATTGCCGCTTTGGGGGCTTCCTTGCGCTGACAGATCCATTCCTCGCTAATGAGATTACCCATCGTATCTAGTAGGGGGTTTCTAGCTCATTTACGCTCATTTACCGTATACTGAGGCTCATTGTACGGAGGTGTAGTTCAGATAGCTAGTATATGGCTTAAAAACTCTGGTTGTTTTAGGTCCATCATATCTTTCTGGCCGATGAAGCTTTATTACCATGACATTCCCATTTTTTCGCCATTGTCGCTGTCTTCTAATGCTTGGCGTGATGCAATGTCACCAGATTTGCACGAGAACCTGGTGCGCTTGGGTTTATGTCTATTACGAGATTGAGCATAAAAGTGTTGAGCCAGGAAAGTAGCTGTATTAAAGGAGATGAGAACTGGCTAGCCATTCATGACATCCATAAAAGCCCTCTATTTTACACAGGCACATCCCGCACCAACCGCGCGCCTGCCCAGGCGTACAAGTAATTATGTTGGTACCAGTTCACACTAGAAAGTTAGCAGATTCTCCTTTGGATGGTTCTAAATGAGAGAGCTCACAAGGTAGTCCGTCCCGCAATCCGGGGCATCGTCGCCCACGATCCTCCTTGAATGATATTATGCTTTCCATCGAAAAAGTCCGCTGAAGTACCCGTGAGTATAAGCCACGAACATGGTGACATATAGAACACTTACAGGTGTAACCAGGGTAAATTTCCATGGCTTTGAAGCCCTCGTGGGCTGTAAGAGGTGTGCTGGTCCACTCCCAAACACCGCCTAGATCGCCTTGTCCGGCGAGCTTGTCACCGTTTGGTGTGACCGGGACAGGGTGCCAGTTCTGGAAACCAACATTGCAGCCGTCGAGTGCACGGAATACCTGCGAATTTGCTTGAGAGGAAGTCCTCGCTGAACCATTAATCGCATGCTTGACTCCGTTGGACGTGCCATTCACTCCGTTAGAAGATCCATTCACTCCGTTACTATATTTCATATTAGCTTGGCTTTAGGATGACCGACGGGATCTGAGCGTATACCTGTGGCCATTGGTAGTCTGGTGTGCGTGTGCTCCTCGAAGCTGCTCGGCGTATAGATAAATGCTGCGGACCTCTTTGTAAGTAGGGATTCGGCACCCTGCCCACTTAGCATAGCTAGCTAGCTCATCGTATGAAGCTATGACTGGCCAATCTTGTGCAAGATCCAAAGATAATAATCCGAAAACAGTCCGAACAGCGAAGTTGTTCATGAAGTCTTCAGTAGCACTAGGACTGGACTCGGTAATTCCCTTTGAAATTGGGTAATCCTGGTTAGAGTGGACGAGCGTCCAAGACGCTGGCAATTCTCGCAGACGATTTGCTTGCAGATACTTCACATATTCTCCATTGGTGACTGGCCGGGCCTGGGCTTCGAATGCTTGTACCTGAACGGATCGGTGAGGCTTCTCATTATCCCACCCGAAGGAATCCTTGGGCAGAGCGTTGGCGTCTGTGTCATCCAAGCCAATCGTGAATGATTGTTGGGGAATCTTGAACCACTTGTTTGGCTTCTCATTTTGCTTTGCAAGGTGTGCCAACTTCGCAAAGTCTGGAATATCCACACCGACTGGAGGGAGCGTCTTTTCACTTTGGAGCAGCATGTAGAGGAAGGTCTCGAGATGCATTGCCTCGTGCTCAAAGCCAATCCAGAGCGCCTCGCCGAGGCACCGGTCGTGGAGGGCAGATCCTTCCTCAAGAACAGATCGTGTTCTGTTCCGGACCCGTTCCGAGTAGTCCAGGATCTCATCAAGAGCTGGCCACTCGTCCGGGATCTCACTGTGAGCATGGCAGTGTTCTGGGTTCTCGACATCAGGATCGATACCACGCTCGAAGATCTGCTTGTAGTATTTAGGATCGGTGGGCTTTCCACGCAAGGCTCGCGTCAAATGGATGTCTAGAACGCGATACAGTTAGCCCGAGGCCTGTCTAGATGTACGTGGCTGAAAGAGCATACCCAAAAAGGTAGGAATGTGACCAAGGTAGAAGATCAATGCATTCCGGAGCTTGATAGGCTTCGAAAGGAGCTCCTCTCGGGGAATCATTGTTTTGGTCACGACATCCCATACTGTCCAGAGCGACTGGAAGTCTTCAAGAGTCGGAACTGGATGAGACGCATATTGAAATGGTTGTAATGGAATATCCAAGGAGGACGGGGAAAGCAGGTGAATATCTGAAGTGAAGATGTATGAGGTTAGCAAGTGAAACCTGACTAGCAGCAAATGGTAACCCCATTAGTTTGAAGTCAAGGAAGCTTCATATACATACGGTAGTCATCTGTTGAGTTTCCGAACACAACCTGGGATATTAATCCTGCATTGCGGCAAAGTTCCTCCCGCTCATCAGCGCCATATTTATACGCCTCCTCGAAGATAAGCTTTTCTCCCTTAGGGATCTGAATATCATTGATAGTCACATGAACCTTAGGCGCGTAGAATGCTTGGTGTCGCCCATTCTTCTTATCGTAACCAGTAATTATTTCCCAATCGTTAGGCTTGAACGCCTCAAAGCCGAGCACGGAATTGGCATGCGCCAGCCCGTTTTCATAGAACTGTTGAGTCACACCTTGGGAATCGTTGTAAGCTTTGTAAACCTTCTCCGGGGTCTTACAAGCATCCAACCCAATAAGCAGGAAATCCGATGGACCCAAGGCTTGGGAAAAGCCACCCAAGAAATTCGCGGCTGAGGCGCGATCAAAGTTCCCCAGAGAGGATCCCATAGATAGAACCACCGTTGGTCTGGTGCGGTTCTCTGGGTTCTTCAGCCACAAAAGAGCATCATCGTAGGTTCCATGAAGACCATGGAGCCCAACGTAGGTGAAGCCTTCTGGGGAGATCTCGGAAAAGGTCCGTTGTAGTTCCACCAGTGATAGATCCAATGCATAGTAATCCACCTGCTTTTCCACCCGTTCACACTCCCGCAGAAGAATCTCGATCTTGCGCAAATTTCTAAAAGGTAGGTGTTAGAAATGGGCGAGGTCAAAACGATCCATTCACGAGTAGTCCATCAGGATCCACGGATCTGGAGTTGCAAGGACAACAGACCCACTACCAAGCTCCACCAGCTGTGCATTCTGTGGTATCCGCTCGACAATCCTTCTTGCGTGTGTCGTCAAGATCTCAATCTCCGCATTTGTGAGGTAGTATTCGTCTAGGTAGGTGATCTTTTCGAATAGCTTGAGTCCTTTGGTGTCGTAGAGGAGGAGCGTGGGGAATGATCGGGGTGTACCCTCTGCTGGGTTTAGACTCTTGTATAGGTCATCCACGAGGGAGAACTCCAAGTCATCCTGGTGGATGTCGACAATCTCGACCGTGTCCACGTTCTTTAGTGCTGTTGGAGACATCGTGGTGATGGTTGCTACGAGGAAGTATATGATGAGCTCGGATTCGCAGCCAAAGTGACACAAAATCAACGCCTCCAAGGTAGAGCAAAGAGTGCACAGTGCAGAAACATACCTGGAATGAATAAAACACATGTGGAAATGTCGAGGAGGGGGAAAGGCCAGGGTTTTATGAACTAATCCTGGCATAGCTGTACCTCGGACGCGGCTTATAGAGCTAAACTCTATGACGAATCATCGCAAAAACCACAGGGGAAAGGACGACCCAGAACCAGAGTCACCACCAGTCAAATCCCGAGGCAGGCTGCGCGAGGGGGGCGCAGAAGAGCGCGGAAAGTCATCCAACTGGGACCATTTTGCATTTGGCATCTTTGCATTTGCAAGCGACAGGGCGATATCATGAGAGGAGCAGTGGGATTGGCCGATCGAGACCCGGTTTTGTCTCGTACAACATGTTTGCAGTTTTCTACCAAGGAAAACCCCGCAAGTCTAGATCGAGGGTCAACTCCTGTTACGGCGTGGATCCGCATTATCAGATTGGACCATGACCGGTTGAATCAGCCGTGTTGCTGCTGTCTGACGTCGCGCATACCCACATTGGTGTTTGCACTGTCCCATCATCACCCCGCTTCGCCCAGTCGCGGTGATCGCGGGTGTGGGGTCAAAGAGCTTCAGGACGCGCTGAGGTCATAGCGCGCAGTTTGGCGTGTTTGGTCGCTTTGCACTCGGTGGATTATCTCTTTAGTCTCTTTAGTTCAAAGTTAAGTCCAAGTTTAGGCAACTAATCAAAGAGCGAGTCGTTCATTCATGGAACAATACTCCGTAATCCCAGCTGATTCCCAGCTGAGCTGACAAGATTACTAACTACAGTACGGAGCTCATCGGATCCAAGGTCGGTGCTACAAACTACTAGCGCGTTTCCCGCCCTTTTTAGATCCACTCGGATGAATCACCCTCGTATGATCTCGTATGTTCGTGCCATCAAATGTTACCTCTATCCACAATCTATCCACATAACTAAGCCTCAGCAACTTAACATTTTTGATTTTAGTCTGACAAATCTTCAGAAACAACCGGCATCAGCCTCCTGAATAAGCGGATTCTTTGTGAATCTGCCACGGCGCAGAAAGAGTGGCTATCTTTAGGGACAAGAAATGAACAATGGCCATTGTGAGCCCTCAAAAAATTGGATTGATTGTTTATGAAAACATTTGCTTTGTGTCGTTGATCTTCGAGACAGGGAATCTCCCAACTTGCTGGTTATATAAAGTCCTCAAAGTTCCTGGCTAAGATGATCACCTCCCATGCCTCGGACTTGGACTCGCACTCGCAGAAGCTATAAGGTTGCTCTCCAGATTACGTCTCCTAATCAAGTCACAGTCATGTTTCCTAAGTTATCATCTTACCTTCGCAGGGGCCGCTCTCCAAAAGAGGGAGAGAAGTTCGAGGACTGGAAAGTCGAGCTGCTCGCTACCGCAAATGCAAACCTTGCTTTGCAGCTCAAAAGAGCGGATCAAAAAATCACAAATCTCACGGCGAGACTTGCAGAGTCGGATCTCCTTCTCGCACATGCTCAGGCGCGTATGGGAGATTCTACCTATACAGCCCTGCAGCAGGATGAAAACCTCATGCCTGGTTTCTTAAAGGGTTCGAAGGAAGCCGGTCGCTTCAAGTGGATCGATGATATCTGGATCTACACAGGCCAGGATTATCTTAGGAATGCAGAGGAAATCTGGAGAAATGGAGATGCTGAGTCTGCATGCAGTATTTTGGAAAGTGCTCTCACGGCCAGCCCGTTTCAATCGGTCGCTGAAGGACTCCATTGTCGGGTGTTTCTTGCAGCTATCCTGCATGCCATCGGTAAGTACGATGAATCTCTTTCCCAATTAGATTTTGTGATGAATTTCGCCTCATCCCGAAATGAAGTTCAACGCTTTCGATATAGGGATATAGTGAACACTGCATACTTCATTGAGGCTATGGATTTCATGGCACTAGAAAGGTTTGAGAGGGCCTACTGGTCATTCTCGAGGTCACTGCAACTTCCAGGATATGGTGAGAAAGCCCGTGAATATCAAATTAAAGCTATTGAGGAGTTTACACGACAACAAGCCGCCGATGATGGTGCGTCTGACTCTCTATCTCTTCGGCCTGTGATCAGTCTGGATGAGTATCTGCCGATTCCAGCTGATGTAGACGATGACCCCTGTCAATACCGAACTTGGTGATTTTCTTTATTGAATTTCTGAAAGTTTTAATGGTGAGTGGTCAATTTCATAAAAGCCGGAAGGCTGTTTTAGTTGATAGTAGAGGTTGGGGAAGTGTCCTTCTAGATATTCTAATCAATTTAGGTTTCAATGCAGCAGATTTCAACAATGATAAGAATTAAGGATAGAGTAATTGTTTGACGAAAGACTAAATAAATCGGCGGCTATCTAACTTGCCTCCGAAATACGATTTAAGAAGTGAGGATCGTCGAATCCAACATCAGACAGCCAATCATTCTTCTACAACATGAATCTTAACGGCCTAACAAGGCGGCATGTACTGCCCGATTTGGTGGCCCAGTATAGATTCCCACCCATACCTTGGTGTGCACGATTCAGGCTAAGTAGTTGGTGCCCGATTTGGTAACATGTTCTTTCCGAATTGAAATTAAGGTAGCCTTATGACGTATCCGCCCAGGCGCAACCAAATGTGGTAAATAGTGAGATAATAATGACCAGTGCATACCTAGAACTGATTAGGACTAAATAAAGAGCTCAAAGAAAGTATGAATGTATCAAATGAGGACCATGCCAACACACTTGAAAAAGAAGGCCCCCCTAACAAAGCGGCAAGTTTCTTTGTCGGCCTAATGGGTTGACTTCAAAAGGCCCAACGAAGCACTCTCTATATTAGTGGGAATCTTTCTTATGAAATCTACCTCTTGAACACGCCTGGACGGAGAAATTTTAAATATTCTACTTGATCGAATCACCGATTTTTTCCCTTTTTTTGATCATTTGGATATCCCGTTTCACATTCCTCATACAGCTCCACCATTTATGGTCGATCTTCCCAAGATGACTCAAGAAAAACCTGTCCTTGTTTCGTGCCAACGAGATAAAGCGCCGATCGAACCAGACCAAGAGGACGATAAGCACTTGGATGTCCCCGAAGAGCCTGATTACGTTCTAATAACGCCGAGCGACTTGGCCGAGAAAGCCAAAGAAATCAACCGCAATCTGCAAGATACCCATCAATACAAGACTCAAGTGGTCAAAAAGATCTTTCTAAACCGCGCCCCTTCAATACCGACCGGGCTCGGAAGGAGATTGGGGAACCTGCGAACATCATTCTCACTCGTCACCGTCATCAACCACATTGCCGACAATCAATTCCCACAAGCCAAAAAGCAAGCAAAAAGAGCTCTCGAACTTGCACAGGCTTCAAATGATAAGCTTTCCGTTGCGCGTTGTCATTATTGGATGGGACGAATCGAATTCGAGAAGCAGAATATGCAGGCAGCACATGCTCACTTCCTCGCTGCGCGCCCTTGTATCATGGATAATATCAACCCAGAAGGGGAAACTCTTCGGTTTTACTTGGACGCATCAAGGAAAGGAATCTCGGGAGAGTATATGAAACGCATACTCACTCAATATAACCTTGCCTTGGTCCAGAGCGCTCCTCGTGAGAGACCATTCAGACGATCAAATCCACCAACGCCCAAACGCAAATGGGAAAACCAACCGTGGAAAGCTGTTCTCCGGCCAGCTCTCACGGACAAGACTGGAAAACGACAGAAGCGATCACCAGGCCTGAATACCTCGAAACGTCTCGGGAGATTGAACAAGTGGATTGTTAGGGATGTTCCGGATCTTCCGGATCTTCCTTTCCGACCGAAAGACAGTTCGGGCACAACCAAGCCCGATCAAGGATCAACAAACCATCACGAGCTTCCTGGCGACCCTGGCACCACCGAAAACCAAGCAGACTTTGTCAGGGTCGAAGGCAAGGCCCATGGAATGGGAGCTTCAGAAGAAGGCATGGAGTGGCTACAGGCGGCGAATTCTGGCCCCCGCCTAGAACAGCGTGGGGAATTTACTCTAAGGTGTTATCCTGTAGGGCTCTCGCCGCGAACTCGTTCAACAGAAATATTTTCCAGAATACCTGATGAGATTCTTCTATCTGCTCAGGAATGGAAGTCTCTCAGCAAATTGATGAGCAATCGTGCAATCACAATGGCCTACCTTGCGAAGGAGAGGCAGCTTAGATTGTCCAACATGGAGGAAATTGCACCGACTTCTGGGGTTGAGGGCAAATGATTGCAAATAATTTTGATTTTGTTGAAATAGATAGCGCGTTTTATATTATGACACGAAGATATATAGCGAATTACTTCTTGATACTAAATGAGGACTAAACGGTGGAGCTTTCTCTCCTGTTTGCCAACTGTCGAAGAAGTAGAATGATCGAGACTGAATTTCGGGAGAAATACACCGATAAGCAACTCCTGAATAAAAGAGATTTATCTCCACTCTTCAAGTACACATTGTGAGATGAGTTGTGATCTTGAGTCCATGCAATTCTTGGATGACTGTTTAACAAGGGTTAGCTGCTAGTAAAATGGAGCCAGGAAGATTATAAGTTCAAGAATATATCTTACAGTTGTATGTCAAATTCATGTCTACAAGGATCATTGGTAGAGCAATCTTGGGGGCTAAGTAGATTATTCTTTGGGGAAGGACTCCCACATCCCCATGAAAACGCTTCATGGACTGCCTTGGGTGTTCATCTGAATATATGCGGCTGCATAATTCAATCAAGTCATAGTTTTCTCCATCCTGCCCGTTTTCTCTTCACTTATAGCCTCTGCCGTGTGTAGAAGGGCATCGTGGGCTCAGTAAAGGAAACTTGGCGTATAGGAGAATGTGGGGTCAAAGCTTAGCCCTCCGCAGTTAGTAACTTAGTTTCCATTGGGAATCAATTTTGTATACTCCGTAGTAATTTTATGATTCGTTCATATACTCCAAATATGCGATTATGTCATAATTCCTTCATCAAATATTCTGTCAACGTATTCCTAAGTGGGCGTAATTTGTAAGTTTCCCGAGCGGCCTTGGAAGGTTCGATGTTGTCTTCTTGCAAGTGGTGCCGCCTACAATGAGGAACTATTATGGTGGTCTTCTAGTTGACGTCACAGACGAACCAGGATATTTTGGGAAGCCCCTTGTACTCTCTACAATGCCCTGTCGCTATACGATGATACCTGTTCCAACCTCAATTGACCCGATTTAAGAGATGTCCGGGAGCCTTCAATTCACTGGTCCCATCATCGTCATCCTTACCGTTCGTGCTATCATCGCACGATATTTGCGTCTATATTCGCCCTTCTGCCAGCTCTCTTATTCGGAGAATATTGTCTCCAACTGCAAAATACTCTTGAAAAGAAGCCCGCGATGTCGCCGGATCACAACGGTCGCAAAGACGGCACTCAGCAAAGCCCAGACTTGGAGGCTGGCGTAGACAGACCACCAACGTCGCCCATCTCACGCGCATTGTGGAACTTCTCGTCGCAATGGTTCCTTGTCCCCCAGGGAACTGGTATCATAGCTGTGATACTTCATCAGCTCGACTACCAGTTTCGAGGGCTGGCAATCATATCTGTTATTGTATGGATATACACTATCGCATTGCTGATGGTGGGTGTGTTGCTATACCTACTCCGAATTTTCATTTACCCTCGGCATGTTGCTCGTACGCTCCGAACAGACATTATTGAGACCGCTTGCCTCGCTAGCATCTCAATTACGTCCACATCAATTATCCAAATGATTGCTCTTGTGCTTGTCCGCCGGTGGGGACCAGCCTGGGGTATTGTCGCATACATCCTATGGTGGATCAACACTGCTATGGCAGTTATAGCAGTCATGGGAATTCCTTACGTCTTCGTCAAAGTTCAGCCACCCGGTGTCAAAGAAGTCACACCTTGCGTGCTACTCCCATTAATCGCAGCTTTGACTTCGGCTGCTGGCGGGGGTGTCATATGTCGATACGGAGCGCTTAGTGACCGTTTACAAGTTCCTGTCATTATCGTCTCATACCTCGAAGTCGGTCTCGGACTTGCCTTGGCAATGGCATTCAACCATGTCTTTGTGACAAGACTTTTTGACAAGTCTTTTCCACCCTTGGAACAGATATACCAGGATATGATACTGTGTGGCCCATTTGGACAAGGCAGCTTCGCTTTACAAATCCTCGGCCAAGTGGTTTCACGAGGGAGCTTTGCAGGATACAATCGAGGCACATTCTTGACTGCAGAGGCTGCTAAGCCTATTGGCTTCGCAAGTCAGTTTATCGGCCTGCTAGCTTGGGGATATGGCACATTTTGGTGGGTTTTCGCTATTATCAGTATCCTACATACCTTCATCTCTCAGCCGGGTGGTATACGAAAGTCGCACTTTACACTGTCTGCTTGGGCCCTTGTCTTTCCTATGGTAAGTAATTGCAATTCTCCTTGATCGGAGCAAAAGAAACTAACAAAATCTGCACAATTGTTAAGGGTGTGTACACAAACGCCGCTGTACAGTTCGGTAAGATCATGGATTCTCCAGCCTTCAAGGTATGGTCTACGGTACTATTGCTACTACTTGTCATAATCTGGATTGTGAACCAAATTTTTACTGCCAGAGGGCTGTACTCTGGGAAGACCTTAGGAGTCAGGCGGACAGACTAGATATTTGTGGAAAGATATTTTAAATTCAAAATTCCAAGATCATAAGTGTAATCTAGGTGACGGTAAAACTGCCGCCTCAGGAAGTGATCGGCTTCCGGAGCGAACATGAGCAGCTCACTGAGCAAACTGATCGCTCACCCCGATGCTCAGACTGATCAGCCTATTTGATCTCAGTTTTCCTCTCCAATCTTTAAGTTGCTCCGACTATAACCGCACTGCTTGCTGCCTACTTCCGGCGTTCCTGGGATCGAAGGCTAGGATATGACGGATCCCCATATTGCTATAGTAGTAACTTAGTCTCGCCCTCTGAAAGAGATATAACATGAGCGACTTTGATTGAGCCATCGTCAAAAACCTTGCTCTTCCCAGACGTTCCTAGCAATTTTCTTCAAAATATCGTCGTCAAGGCTGATGTTTATTTCTTTCGGGATGCTCGGTGGGCGAAGAAAGAGCTTATTGAAGCTGATAATAAGCGGCTGGCCCCGGAGGTAGACATGATTGTTATCGCCTTTGCTTATGGTAATGACTTGCTGACGTTGGACCCTATTGTTCACAAGTTCCCATGACTCCAGCACGATGTTGGGCGAGCTCCGACCGATCTTGATTGTGATGACCATTTGAACATCACCGTTTGATTCGGAAAGCCAGAACCGAGCATCGGACGTCAATTTGGAAGGCGACTCTGAAAAGCCCGTTTCCACGATAACCGAGGGCCATTTCTTCGTTCGAGCTCGAGGAAGCCTTCTTGGTAAAAATTGGCAGTCGGGTTGTTTAGCGGAGCCATTTTCTGCTTTGCAAGTGGCGGATCCAAAGGTTTGAAGACAGTCATCGAGGCCCATTGGCTTAAGACAATCAAAAAAGAGCCTTTCGAATACGCGTGCCGCAATTTCATGAGCGCGTGAGACTGTCATTTTGACAAGAAGAAGGTGTTGGGAAGAGTTGTAAGAATTCCAGCAACGCTGAAGGATATTGTCGTCCGAGTTTAGGAAGTCACGACTGAAGGCCTGCTCATTAACCTTGGTGAAGAGCACCCATTCACTGGCCTCGAATTCCTCTTCCTGGCGACTTAGTTCCATCTTTACAGTTTCTAAAAACTGTCTAGTCCCCTTGTACGGATACCTTCTGATCGGGGGTCCTAGATCACCGAGAAAGCTGCTGCTAGAGGCCTCGGTGTCTAGCTCAGACTTTATGTTCAAGGACATAGTGGTCGCAGTTATACCGTCCCGTGCTAGTGTGAAAAAAGAAACATTCCCATATTGACTGTAGGCATTAAGAATTATCCCCGAGGACCACCTGACGCTGATGTGACGTAGCCTGATTACGATCTTTAGCGCAATAGACGTCTACGTGCAGTGATATGTATATGCGGCTCTTACATGATCCCCACGAGACAGCCCCAAGCCATCCAGAAGTAGTTTTGTCTTAGAAGAATCCTAAGAGTTTATGATCCTATCACACATCAATAGTAGTATACCCTGCCTGCGAATTCTTTGCCACTGTGATTCAGGCTCTTCTTCGAGGTTCGCCCCAAGAGCTCTTCATTGTCTATCTCGCTTCCACGTGTGTGAAATCTGCGATTCGCTGTGCTGCCTAGACCCCGCACGGTATACCTAGGCGCCTAGTGGCTTATCGACTACCTACAGCTATTTCGTACCCGCTCGGTACGTAGCTCGCTGTATTTCTAGTAAAGAGCCCTACGCTATCTTAGGTCGATCCTAGTCTAATTTAATTTACCAGTTCTTATTTTCCCGTAATTCTAGAGCAATTGGATAGGAAGGGCTGAAGCTAAATTGATTCAATATCACAGACCACCGTACGGCGATTGGCCTCTTGAGTCATCCATCAAATTTTCAATGCAAGTGGACAAAAGTTAAGGCAGACGGTGACATCTCGGGTCCCTTCCGCGGTTAATTTTAGAAACGGAGATAGCGGCTTATACATCTTGTTCAATGGCTATTTTGATGCCGGAATTTTGGAATCTCGTCGCATATGTTCGTAGCTAACCGTTAGTTGTTACTCATTTGTTGTGACTTTCACTGTTGCGTTCGTTGCTAGCCGTCCTTATTGTGACATAAACGGTTATTACCCGTTTATCGTCCGTTTATTACTACCTATTTACTACTACCCGTTTATTACTATCCGTTCGTCGTCGATCGTTCGCCGTTCTGGATTTATCAGCTTGTTTCTTAGCAGGCATAGCTAGGCCTAGGCTCATAAGGGTAGGTCTTGGGTAATAATCTTGAACTTAAGGCCACACGCCCTAAGGCCAGTACCACTCGTCGCTCCTTACCCATATTCATTGCAGTCAAATGTTTGTTATGAAGTATTCGTTGCAAGCATGACAGCCCGAGAAAATTGTGAGGCCCTCGAGCCAAAATGTATAAGGTAGGTGGTAGTCGAGACTCTGACGCACGGGGTTAAGGAAATTATCCTAATTGAGGTAATTTCTCAATTTTCGAGTCGCAAATGTTTGGGATTGACGTGTATAAGGCGTTAAGTCGCGCTTTGCTTTTTTCTGTGACGCTACCAATCAGATAATGGAGTCAACAGATGGCAAAGGGTGCATAACACTACGATTACTTGACAACGCACGGTCTGGGGAAGTGGACAGATGGATCATACACGAAGTACACTGAAAGGAGCTAAGGTTGACAGAGGCAGGATCTCTTAAGCATTAGAAAAGCGGCGTTGAGTATTGTCCAGAACTAACAGAAAGACCTCTCCTATTTTGCAATTGGCGACTACAATTGGATAACATAAGAAGCGAGACATGACAACATGCCTGGATGTCTACCCTGAGCGTCCCGAGTGAAGGGTAAGCAGATCACTGAGCAACCATGAGTGCTCGGGGAGAAAACGGAAATATTGCACAGAAACAGATCACTTGCCTTGCCTGGTTGATGACTAAGAATCTGGTAAAAAGGACGCCCAAGACAGCGTCAAGAGTAGCCGTTTTCGGCATCCTTTGACTCCATGACATAGGGATAATGTCGGATTATCATAATTAGGCAGGTTCAACAACAACCCACAACCTAAGACTGTAAGACCTCGCGGGACCGACCTAGCGACCCGGAATAAAGATGCCTGTATTCTCTGGGACCTGAAAATTGGAAAAATTCCATCCGTATTATCTTTGTTCGGTAGCTTATGAAATACCTGTAAACAGCAAGAGTTCTCCCTCGTTAAATCATCTCTTCTAAAAAAATAACTAATCAGAATACGATAAGCGTATATAGGATCCCACATAAAAGCCAAAGTAAATTCAATATATTTTACACGGCTTCGAGAATAGTGGATTCTGTAAGCCAGGACGATAGGCTCTATAGATCACTGTACACAGTAGAGACGGGTGGCAGAACAGATGGCCGGGAGAGCGGAAGGGTTGGGTGTCCTGGGAAGAAGTGTGGTGTCTAGGCAGAATTTGAGGCTTAAAATAAGCATGATCCAATCGGATTGATTAAATTTTCAACAGGCTGGAACCTAGTAGATGCACTAGAAGTACTCGATGCCTAGAAGTGCGATACATCATCGATTATAGTCATAGTCGCCTGACAGCCAGAAATGCATCAGACGCGACGAATCACCCTAACTAACCATCGTATTTATCCAAACCTTGCGAGGCAGCTGATGCGCCTTACTAGACTGGCTATGTAAAGGGCCACTTTACCCCGTTTTGGGACCTCGGCGAGGTTGTAACGATACGTGAGCGATACGCGGTAACCCCCTCTACGATTCCTTCATAAGATCAACTTCTGTTCATAGAATTAGACTAACCAGACTCTGTAATTACTTTGGAAGAATACATTTTTTCGTTAGACCCGTTATATATCCATGGTGATGCCAAAACAATGACGAGACTGGGGCGACCAGGACCTTATCAATAGGTGAAACCCTCCACAGGGTCGGAAGGATATGCAATAACCACTTCCCAGATTCCTGATGAGTTACACCTCTTTCTATAGGCTCAAACCCACCATATTTGAGTTTCATGTTTCCAAAAACGAGATATTTTTTCATCACACCCCACATTAACACGATTATGATCAATAAAAGTGCGAAAAAAAGTGACCAGACTGGGGCTCGATCCCAGGACCTTATCGGTGTTAACGATACGTGATAACCAACTACACCATCCGGCCAGCTGTGTTGTAACATTCCTCGCAGTTACAATACACCACCTATGAGGTGGCGTTATGTCATGTCATGTCACACTTCGATTGGTAAAGCTGAGCCTCGTTGCTTTTTTCAAACCGCAGCTCGGAGTTTTGGTGTTTATCTTGCCAGGTCAGTACTGTAGGAAAAATCGGTACCTCATTAATTGGGTAAAATATCGCCTTGTGAAATATTCAAATAGCACCTTCCCTCAGTTCTGGTTTTTTCCCACTCGTTCATTCCATGACTTGGAATTTTCATGAGCACAGCCTCAATCGGCGGGACCTTTGTTATTTGATTAGACTTGACTGTCTCTGTGTTACGGAATAAGCTGGAGGCAGAAAGATGATGTTATTGCTATCTAATCGAGTTCCAGCTCTCACGTACCCAAAAAAAGTTCATACGGACAAAAAAAAATTCTTACTAATCTTGGGTACGTGTGAGGTACCCGATCTCACATCTACCCAAAGTATTTTGGGTCCTGATAAGCTTTATACTTTTATATATTTTATTAATAATTATGTAGGGGTTCAACTTAAAGTTGAACCCTACCCTATTAAAATATACTATAACTCTATACAGCTCTATACAACTCTACATATTATATTATACAACACTTTTAAAAACTCTTTCTATTAATTATTTATAGTAACATAAAAGAATCAGTCTTTGTTATAGAAAGTCGATTCCACAATAATTAGGCGATCGGCGACATCTTGAACCTACCAGCCCACTCAGTTCAAATAAGATAAGATAGCAGACATAGGTAGAGACAACAATTCTAGTACACGTCACTTTATCATATCTCTAGACCAGAGCTTGGTGGTGACTCTGAACACACATGTATTCGAACATATTGAAGATTGGTTGTTCAAACAACCCACAAAGGAGTGGTGTTATGAACTGGCCCATGATTCATAGCATCACATCCTACATAGAACAAACATTGCCTGACAGAGACAATGGGATTCACATCGCTACTCTTGTATGCGGTGGATGCCCGGATCACTGGAGAATACTTAATTCTCCTGACTCCTTGGTTATCAACGAGCTGTCTGAGGAAGATTGTCTGGTCGTAGTTGCTGAGGAATCCGTACACACATCCTAGTGCTTGCATGTACTGTATCGGCTGGGCGAGTACCTTCCTCAAGCCATCCCGTTGGTAGTAGTGTTTCCCAATGTTGTGATCTCGAATCCAGGGCACCTTAAGCTCCCCAATAACTTTCAGCTGGTGATTTTCATCCATCAAGATCACATCAGGTATACCACTATAAGTGGACTGTATGCAACTGAAATCTGCGAAGCGCATTCCCATTGATTGCGAGTTAAAAACCGCGTTCATAGTGTCGCCGAAGTATTTATGGAAGCGGCCTTGCACGCCATGCTCGTCCCCAACAACGACGTTTCCATATGTGTAGGGGTCCCTAGTACGGAGGCTTAGGCCTAGGCACTCATTCCGCCAGGAGTAGCTTTCGTACATACTCTGTACGGCACTCAAAAAGCCTGGCCATGGGCGAAGATCCCCCATGAACTCGAGATTGTGTAAGGCGCTTGATGTCGTGTGGTATGGGCCTAGTTCGAGGCTAGGCGCAGCAGACCTGACTAATGTCTTCGGGCCAATATGGATTCCGGGACGAGGCATCTCGAGAAATCGAGTTTTGTTGTGACGAAAGCTATTAATTATTTCTTAAGTTAGCAAGTTATCCAATATGGATCACAGACAGTGCGTACGGAGTAAGCTGAGCTGTGAGAGATTAGCTCGAAGGCTGAGGCGGAGCGAAATACGAAGAGAGAAAATGGTTCGAGACGATCAGAATGTTTGTTGAGTAGGGACGAAGGAACGCGTAGCTAAACACAGACTGGGCTTGACTCATCTAGGGAACTACTGACAAACTTGGCAAACATGACTTCCCAAAGCCATCGCCACATCTCCGGCTCCCAAATTCGAAGCTGCTCCAGAATCTCCGTAATTGCCGCGAACACAAGCCGCGGAGGCCATTCAGTTCCTTCATCAAAAGGGCGTAATACATTCCGACCTCCGGCCTGAGAATTTTCTATTGCACACTGCCGCCGAAATTGAGCTCCAGCTTCTACTTTGTGACTTTGGAGGTTCAACAAATGGAGAAATAGACGGTCGGCATCCCCCCGATTCAGGCTTTTATAACCTTTACGATCCGCCGGAATCGACGCCGGGAACGGACATCTTCAGCCTTGGGTCTATTTACTACATGATAATGGCTGGCCATTGGCCTATAGGCCTCCAGGTCTATTCAAGTCTCTGGATAGGATAAAGAAGTACAACGAACTGATTGATGATCTGCTTGCACTCAAAAAGTATCCGGTTGTTGACGGAATAGCAGCTAGATCGGTCATCCAATGGTGCTGGACGGGAGGATACTCTGATCTGGGGGCGCTTATCGAAGACCAGAGCTCGCAATTTGAGGTTGTGGTGCAGGAAAGCAAATAATGTAATTTAATGCAATTCACGAAGTATCCTATCAACGATATCGAGCTCAACACAATGTCATCGGAAATAATCGTTTGTTTGAAACTTGATTGGAAGCCGCGATGTTCCTAACCAGGACTAGTCTCCGGAAATCGCCCTGCTCCGCAAAGCTTGGCACTGCGCCTTAGTATGTCCGTTATTATGTGGTCATTCGTTGCTCGTTGCTTTCCTTACGCCTTCTCCTACCCTCATAAATCTCGTTGGCAGCAGACTTTCGAGCTGCTTTTTCCCACTCTTCCTACCCCTTCCCAGGTTCTCTCCTCGCATCAAACACCATGGCACCGTCCGCGAGACAAACGGACTTCGATGCTCAGTTCCTCGATCACTTGGTCGGGACTACGGTCACTACCTATTACGAGATCGAACCCCCACAAGAGCTCTCGGCCGTCTCCCTTGCCTCTGAGGCACCTGTGCCACTGTCTGCGGGTCCCCCTCCCGGGGTTTCCCCCCTCCAGTTTCATTTACTACGGCCTCACCTCCTCCGGTCTCGCATACTACTGCCTCACACACTACTGTCCACCCTACTGCGGCACCATCTGCTACAGAACTTAGCCTTTCGTTCCCTGGCTCCCCGCCCCCGAAGGTCTGCCTCTCGTGGATTATCACGGAAAAGCTTTCTGAGAGCGCACTCTACCTCGCACAGGACCAAGTCAATATGGGCGCCGGGCCTCCTATGACAGTTGGTAAATTCCTATGCCACCTAGAGGAGGACCCGGCACAGATAGCTTTTATGCGAATCTACTATCAAATTCCTGTTACTGGGACCGAGTACGCTAATTTAGCTACTCGAGCTCAGCAGGGCTGTCCTGGCAGGGTCTGTGGTGAACATGAAGCATTCAAGGTATTGATGAGGGAGGGATGTAGCCTTGTTCCACGTTTCCTTGGCTACGATGAAAGGATGCAGAGGCAAACTGATCTCGTACCTAATGGCTTTATCAAATATGTTGTGTGGGAAAAGGTACCTGGGGAGTCACTCACAGAGGAATTGTTCTGGAGCTTGGACCGCCCTACACGGGATGATATCCGTGCTAAGTTTCGCGCTGCCTACGAGTAAGTTTTGGAGCCCAGAAAACCAGATAACGAAACCTAACACAACCAAAAGAGAGCTACTACGTTGTGGTGTAACACCACAGTTGTCGAGAATTTCCAAAATCATCTACGATCATTCTACTGGCGATATGTACGGTAATGGTTCCCTAAATGCTGACAGAATTTGCTGACAATTTCAGCCGCATTTCGGGGTTTCAGCGGGGATGGCCAATCCTTGACAAACTTGAATGGTCAGATACCCTTTACGTTGCGTATGACCTGGCTGAGCCGCCAGAAGAGGACCTGGACTGGAGTCAGCACCCGGAAAATTGGGAGTGGTGAATTTTTTGAAACTCGGCAATCATCTTCGGATCAGGCAGCATGTGTATGGAGTAACAAATGAACAGTGACGTATTCGATCGCTTACAATTGCTGGAAGATGGGTCTCCAGGCCTTATGGCTACTCCTCGGGCTCTGGCCCGTTATATTATCCTCCTTTATTTCAATTCTTTTCTAGTGATTTAAATATTAAACGGTAATAAATACTAATATAGTTCTAAGGCCCTTTTAGGTAGGGTTAGAAAATAGTTAGTATAGTAGCCTATTTTAAAAGATAGTTCCACAAAGCCCTATAGTGGAGAGGCTATAGTCTCCCGAGAATCGACCACGCGATTTTGCCGAAACTCCACGCACATGCACCTTTATATTCTCTAATTCGTAAATCCTATCGTAGGCTTATGATAGAGCCGCCGGCGTGCTATGCCAGACTAGGAGACAAGGATATGTGAGGAGGCCTAATTACAGTCGTCGATGGCGCGCGCCGATACCACAGCAAGGACAACCGTGACTTTTCCATCGATACGCCCTAATTATCACGTGTCAAAGCGAGCTGAATCGGTATAGACTAGTATGCATTTGGACGAATATGAGCTATCGGAATCATACAGTAAAGATTGATTGATTAATCCAAGGAAGAAACTTCGAAGGAATGGAAAAGGGGCAGGTTGAGCTGTCCCTAGGCGGTGTAACTCAGTATTCGAGTGACCGTACCGATGTCGAAGTGTTACCCGCATGTTACATACAAAACATAAGGAAAATTGTCTGGCTTATGGACCAATCCCACGTCACTGTAATGTTCATCTCCACTTTTCACGACATCACGTATCGTTAATACCGATAAGGTCCTGGGATCGCCCAGTCTGGTCAACTTTTTTTACAGGTAGTTAGTGCTTCAATCGTTAAATTTAATTTTCTCTAGAGTACTTGCCTAGAATCCTGTTCAGGTAAAAGCCGGATTTCATTGGGCCAATGGCAATTTCGCTTTATCTATTCAATAAACGTGATTCACTGTTGACCCGTCCACACAACCACCCCCCACTTCATACCTAATTCGATTACACAAAACGCCTCAACAATAAATGAAATATCTAGCTTGATAAAAATTTAACCGATCGCCTATCCCTGTGTACTTAATCCATATCGGGAGACTCATCATGCTAGTGCTAGTGCGGTTTGACTGGGCTTCACGTGAGCTACTAAGCAGGCAGAGGGGCTTATAACCTTCTGTTCCATACTAGAATACTGGTTACGTGAACTATACATCTCGATGGAGTGCCAAGGCATCCAGCATGTGAAAAATACGCTAGCCCACGGAGCAATTTTGGATATATGTCTTTGATAATGCGGTAACGTTAGTGATCTGAAACTTTGTGATACTACCTTCATATGATAGTTGCTTACGCCCTCGAGAGCCAGAGTAGCAAGAGATAGTGGAGAAAGTGTTCATTCCGACTGCAGCGATTCGAACCGAACTTGATTGGAACTGACTACGGATCGTTTACCACTGCCATGTTGCCGGGTGAAGGTACCAGTCTCTCTCTCTGCTTGGCTTCGCCAGTCCAAACTCGACGTAACGAGCCTCTGACCATTCAAGTTTACTGATAATTGGCCATCCCCTTCGAAACCCCGAAATGTGACTAAAATCCGTTAGTGTCTATTTCCAACGCATTTATATGGATGCCTGACGTACAGATTCCCTGTGGACTGATCAAAGATGATCTTGGAGATTCTGGACTGGCCTGGTGCTACCCCGCAACCAAGTACCTGTCTTTTGATTATGTCAATATCCCGTCTACCTGCCTAGGATTTGCATAGACTTACTCATAGGCCACACGGAACTTGGAACGGATATCTTTGCGTGCCGTGTCATCCAAGCTCCAGAAGAATTCCTTTGTCAGGGGCTCCCCGGGGACCTTTTCCCACACAAGGTATCTAATGTAGCCGCCAGGAACGAGGTCATCGTCCCCTTGTGTACTTTCTGCGTGGCCAAGAAAGCGAGGAACAGCGTTACAACGCCCAGTCTGCAATAGTTTGAAGGACTCTAGCTCGCCACACACTCCAGGAGGAACGGCCTGTCTAGCCAATATGTCGTGATCAGCGTCTTCCGTTCCAGTGATAGGAATCTGTTGGTAGATTCGCATAAACGCTATCTGATTTGGGTCCTCCGCAAGGTGGCACAGAAACTTGCCAACAGTCTTAGCTGACCCGCGGCCCATCTTGACATCGTGATCTGCCAGAGGGGCTGCCCTCTCCGAGAGTTTCTCCGTGATGACCCACGTTCGGGAGATCCCTGACGAGGCAGACATGACTGTCATTGGAGAAGCCGCCAAAGCAGAGGTCGTAACGCAAGAGGGCTCGGTGGAAGGGGCGAGGGGGGTATAATCTGGTGACGCTCCATCCGAGGCAAGGTCATATGTGGTGACCTCAGTACCTACAAGGCCACGGAGCAGTCGAGCATCGAAGCAGGTTGTTCGGGTATCAGGTGCCATGGCGATGGTTGTGAAGAGGATGCATTAGAAAAGGAAGAAAGCCTGAAACCATGGATGTCCAGCTTGGGGGAAGAAAAAGCGACGCATAATAAAATATGTGATGACATGGATGGTCATATGACTAAATACCGGAGATCTCCATCGCCATCACTGTCTGCCGGTATTTGTCTCCTTTATTTCTGTACACTTATTCTTGTTCTAGCTCTCTCTTTTGTCCCCCTTGTATCTTATGTGCCGACATCTTTCATCAACATCCACATACTGTCTACATTAGGGGTGTGCAAAGCTACTCCGCGGTGTGGGTCACTCGAATGACGCTAATCCTAGTTCAGCTTAGAGCCACGGTAACCCCCGCTCCACCACTCAGACTTGCTAATAGTATCCGTCCTTGATGTTGTTTATAACCACCATCTCGTTACTCTGCAGATTTATATGAAGCCCTTCTATCCGGAAATTGTTGCGTATATGAAGGGTCTATTAACGTGCCCTCATGCATGTATCTCGTGACATATCAATCGTCTTGCAAATTTGACTACTCGAGGTCACCTTCCTCGGAATTTCATCGATAAGCTATGACGCTAGGAAACAGTGTGTAGGTAGATTAGAGTTTTGAGCGATCTGATTGGCAGACACCGAGGGGTATAAAGGCGGGCACCTCAGCTCCAGCACTTCTCCCTTGTCTCTTCTCTCAAGTCTATCTTTTCGATACGGAATGCACTCTTTTCCCAAAGACTGGGCTCTTGTCACATAATAAAAAACAGAGTGCATAAGAGTACGCTAGCTAATTAGACGCGCACAAAGTAGTAGCTGAATTTAATGGTTTTAATCTATAGAATCCGATGTTATATGTCATTCAGGTACCACTCATGGACGGGGAATGTCCCTCAAGACTCAATTTCGCCCTATTCTCCTGTGTTTCCTCCAAGACTTATATACGGTACACCTAGGAGTTGCGGTATACAGCTTAAATTTTGGAGTAGAGAGTAACAAATAGCTCCTACTGACTAAATACATTTAAAACCTGACTGGGCCAAAAGGCTGACTCTATAGTCGCAGTCGAGGAAGCGGTGCATCTGTCCAGAGCCTACAAATAATATGTGCGGAATGAAGACTGAATATAGCCAAGATATGCTTGATTTCAGATATGAGGACAATCTCGGAACATTAAATATCTACAATCCACCCTGTTGAAATGTTGTTGACCGGTCCCTGGTTTAACGCATTAAGCCCCACATAGAAAAAAAATTGTCTCACCGAAACAACAGCGGGAGTGGTCATATGTCTGTCGTAAGAGGCGGACGACAGAACCACGGGAGAATACTCAACCTTCCATACGCAAAGGAAGCAAGGGGAGTCAGAAAGAGAGGATTCTCACTGCTGTTGATTCAAGTAGCCAGAATGATACGCACACATGAAAAAAGACTCCTTAGGTACTTATCAGCAACAATACCCAAGCTGACGGATTTACGGAGCGGGTATCAGGAAGAGGAGAAGTTAGGAACTTAGGAAGATAATTTTTACGATATAAGGGTGCTCCCTGTTTGGGTTGCATATCTAGTGAGGATTACATACTCATATGGGATTAACAGTTGCGCTTGCAAATTGAATTAGTAAAACGTAACCGTGAAGGATCCAATCCACCATTACTTTGATGGCCCACAAGGGCTTATTGGTAGGCATAGTTCATGGGCCCCTACTTGATCTGCTCCTGTAGGCTTTCCGGAGTACTAGTATATTTGATGCGTCCTAGAGGCTGAAAGATTTGAACTATACCGTTGTCGAGTTGTCAATACGATAGATTTCATGGATACCATGCTTATTGCTGAGCGACTGCTTCTTGATCAACCATTTTTGTTCTGCCACCAATATCTACCACTTTGAACCTAGGGGCCTTAACGTTGAGCTACTGTAAGTATAAGTCATAGGGGTAGAAAGCGCAAAACTCGGCCTTAGAGCCTATTGATACTACTGGCTATAGCATACAGAGTAATCGAAGAGTGTAGGCAGTGAATCAATTGATGAAATAGCTAAATTTATACACCAAAAAAGGGGTGAGACGGGATACAGGCTCGAGGAGCACGGTCGGGTTCAGAGCAGTATTGACCCGGACCGACCTCGGTCTTCAACACTAGTAGCAATACGCAAGTTCTCCACATCGACAATAAACCCTGGCTGAAAGTCCATAATCTGAGACGCAAAGCCTGTTTTATCCCTTCGATGTCTATCCGCACCCCTGCTGTTATTTTGATCCGGTCAAGTTCCGTTCCTGCAGCCACTTTTCCAGGCTAAAGCTCCCATTTCGCAACTCTTCGGGGTCACCCCTCCACTCAAAGGCAAATCCCTCGACTTCCTGTTCTCCGGTGTCAAGAAAGTCAATCAAAATAGGTACCAGGTCATAATGATCGGAATGGTAGGAACGAAGCCGATCCCACTCCTTCCGTAGACGAATTTCGTAGGCTAAGCCGTCAATTGGTTGAAATGGCTTTCCACTGACAAGGGCTGCGTACTTTCCCCAGAGCTTAGTCGTGTAGCCGATCACTCTGGCTGGTCGCATTTGTGGAGGCTCAGACAATTGCAGAACTTTGGCAAGAATGGAGGAGTCCATCAGTGTCCCATAGAAGAAGAAATAACCTTCACTGAAAGGCGTCTGCGGCCAGTCTGTTTCAGAAGATCTAGGGGACCTGGCTTGGGATGGGAAATATAACGTTGGATCTTCTGAAGCCTTGTATTCGAGGAATTTGCGAACCATGCGGGATGGCGGGGGAATTGGTCTTCGGTTCTCGCTCATTCTGATTAAGTCAAAACGCCTCAGAAGGTATGTGGTTTCCTATGGGCTTGGAAAAGCGGTTCAAGTCGAAGTCCGGTTGGATGGACTGGATGGTAAAGTTGGAGTGTCAGGCCTGGGTCTGAACCTCTTGCCCCTCAGAAGCTTGGAGGACTTACTGTTAGATACGTGGAGGATGTCCGCCCTAGTGGATAATGAAGCCAGGCTAATTCAAGCGTAGTGAGAATATCAAATCATTCAGATAGACTTGAATTATCATCACTGCGTGTTTCTGGAATGAGAGAAGGTAAGAAAGTTATGTTGGTCGCGGCAAGAGCCGATAAGCTTCTTGTGTAGGTGTAGGTGCAGCGCTCCGTTCTTGGAACGTCATCTCAGGTAATCGATTCCCAAGTATCCCACTACGTAGTTAACTTCATGACAATTAAGATTGGACTTATGCTGTACTGTGAAGTTGCTTCTCCTGGATTAACTGCATGACAAAGCTAGAAAGATGCTTTCTACCTGGGCTTGAGACCCAACTTCATCATCATAAGATTTCTCTTGCGACCCTCTTCCATCGTCGCCCGCAACGCTGTCCGCTCTTCTTCGCTCAAAGTTCGGACAGCTTGTGGTACCACAAATCCAGATTTCCCTCGGAAAATATGGTCCAAGAGAGAACGCTTGAACCCAGAGACTTCATGTCTCGTGAGAAACCTGCGAAGCCCCTCGACATCTCGAGAGTACTGAAGAAGGTCACGATAGGATGAGGTCATCTTAGACCCATGAACGAAACTGACCACAAACTCTACCCATGGTATACACATTGTTTCGTCAACTGCCCCGGTGCCTGTCTGAATTCGACAGTAGCCAAGCCACCGTAGTATAGATTTGTGAAGTTCCAAGAGAAATATCTTGTGCCGCCGTCATTCATCAAGTCTGCAATTTCGGAGGGGCGATTGCAACGATTCACAAGATTCAGGCAAGTGGTGATGGATTTTCCTTTGAGCAATGAGTTATCGCGACGATTGTTCGCTGTGTATTCATCGCTCTTGATATACTAACATAGTGTCGTTAGATCTCTTTTTTTGTAGGCTAGATCAATAGACCGCAAGCAAGAAAAATTTAAGGTTTATTCCTTCTTTTGCTTTCCTTCATCTGCATTTTATAATCTAAAGCTTCAGGTTTGTAAGGTATCCTTCCCCGTTCATTCTCAGTCGCCACCGTTATCTCCTTAGTCAGTACGTACTTCAATGACTGCATCGTTGCTATTTGCAGTTCGGTTTTGGTACAACTATAACGTCGGAAAATTGAGAATTATGGCGACAACGTGTCCCTAGTATGCGCGCGCTAATAAGGATGATGTTGATGGAAGATGGTAATCGAAGGGCAAAGTCGACTAGCATATGGCAAGGCCCGCCTTTATGTCATCCCTCTCTCTCTCTCGCGTAAACCTAGGATAGAGCCGCCGGCATGGTATGCTATGCTAGATACTGGGATGGAAGAGCTGGTTTGATACGGTAAAGCGTGGACGTCGTTCGATGGAGGCGCCGCCGCGCCGACATCGACATCGCGGTGGAAACAACACGGTATTAGGCAGAACGCCACGATATGCTAGTAAAACACCACGCACAACCATGACTTTTCCACTGTCACCCCCTAATTATCACGTATCGTTAACACCGATAAGGGTTCTGGGATCGGGCTCCAGTCTAGTCAGTCTTTTTTTCCCTCTCAAACCCTCCCTGCGGTTCACTTGGCTCGTTATGAGTGCGGAGACGTAGAATCTGTGTCTTAAATCGTGGTGGAAAGAGTAAACGCATCGATCTAAATCCAACATAACCTGGAACACGTTTAGCCCACTTAGTAGCCTCTTTTCAATCGCATATCCCCATACAAGGACCTCCTATTTTCTACTGTAGTCTAGATCAACTCGTATTTCCATCAATTGCATCCATGTTATCGGCCCATTGATTAGTTTAGTCCCATTCCCACGAAAAATATATGTGTGTGGAGGAATCTCTTCGAATTTCTGCGCACGAGGGAGTCAATGGGAGAAAAACGAGATTTGAAAACGATGGAAAGCAGATCTATGGAGGCCTAAATACGGGGACTGGACAAAAGGGAAAGGGACAAAACAGCAAATGCTGCATGGTCCTGACAAAATCCTTTTCAAAATCCACCACGGAGAGGAAATTTCCGTTAACATGTCGCCGTTCGCACTTGACCACACAGCCTTCTATCCCCTCAAGCCTTGAAACGTTTGTAGATTCGATCCGAAAAACATTTCACGTGAATATACACTTGTTAAAGAAATTGTGATGTGACAAATTTGAATTGCTAAATTGGTATTTTCCACACAAACAGTGGTCATGGTATTAAAAGAAAATGCAAAGTGATATCATCCTATCTATAAGAAACATTATGACAAAAAAGAAAGTAAATCCAGCTTCGCGACCGACTCGATCGAGCGATCCGCTTATTTAGCAGCGAAGTGGGGGGCGTTAATGAAGAGACCCATCAGACATCCACCCAGGGTGCCGGCAATGGGGATGGTCATGATCCAGGCGAGCAGCAGGAGGCCGACACGCTGGAAGTTGACAGCCTTAAAGGTACCGTTGCAGAGACCGACACCGACGGTGGCACCGGTGATACACATGGAGGTGGAGACGGGGAGGGAGTATTGGGAGAAGACGAGGACGGTGAGGGCGGCGCCCATTTCCATGGAGGAACCACGGCTGGGGGAGTGGTAGGTGATCTTGTTACCCATGACTGTGTGGAGAAGATAGATTAGTATATGTGTGAAGTGTGAGGGTTTTCGCGGGGGGAAATGGTTTGGCTTACCCTTCATGATGTTGTATCCGTAGGTAACCAGACCGGCGGAAATGCACAGAGCGAGGACAGCCAGCTGCCAAACGGGGACGGGGGCCTTGGAGGCGGCGGGGTTTCCGGTGGACCAGGCAGAGTAGATGGCAGCCCAGGGACCCACGGAGTTACCGATGTCATTGGCACCGTGGGCGAAGGAGGCAGTGCAGGCAGTGATAATCTGGATGAAGGAGTAGGTGTGCTCGACCTCGTTGGGGTACTTCTGGGCGGCATCGTAGACACGCTTCATGCGCTCACCCTCGGGGGTACCAGCGATACCGCTCTGGGCACCGTGGATATCGTAGTGAGCACCGTACAGGAGACCGACAACAATGATAGCAGGAATACGCTTGATCATAGCGACGATGTTGCGCCACTCATAGATCTCACCAGCACCTATGGGGTTGTCACGGAGGAAACGCATAGCCCAGCCAAGAGGACCACGGCCCTTCAGGAGCTTCTCACGGTGACGGGCCTCGGATTGAGCCATTATCTCCTTGTAGGTGAGCTGGGCGGTCTCGGCCTTGACGAGCTTGTTCTCGTGGGCATCGGCGGGGGTGCTCGTGGTGCGAGGGTTCTTCTCCTCATCGATGGAGCCGTTGGTGGTGGAAGCCTCATCCTCGTACTCATCCTGGACAACGGCGTAGTTGGGGACCTTGGCGACCTCGAGGGCATCGGTAGGAGCAGGGCGCTTGAAGAGAAGGGGACCGTAGAAGATCATGTACCACTTGACGGTGTGGTCCTTCTTGATGACACGGGCGTGGACGTAGGGAACGAAGAAGAGAGCGGACAGGAGACAGAGAGCAGCACCGGAACCGACGGTGACACCAGCAATCCAGTAGCCGGGCTTCTTGCTCAAACCCAAGTTGGGAGAACCCTTGTAGACGATGGAGAGCACACAGATGGTACCAGCAACCAGGAACCACAGGGGAGAGGAGTAGACCGACCAGGGGACGGGATTGCGGCGCATGTGGACGATGAACTTGATGAGGAGGAAGATGATGGAAGCGAAGCAACCAGAGATAACCGGGGCCATACCCAGGCCGGCGAAGATGGCACCCATACCCTTGCCTTTGTTCCAGCCCCATTGGACCTTGTCAGCACCAACAGTAGCGACACCAACACCAGCAACAGCGGAGATCAGGGAGTAGGTCGAGGAAACGTGAGCGGAGTGACGAGTGCACCACATGACCCAAGACGAAGCAGCGGCCAGGGCGCAGGTGAAGGCCAGCATCTGCACAGCAGCATTGCCCTGGAAGGCGGAGCTGGGAATGATACCGTTCTTGATGGTCTCAGCAGTTCGGGATCCGACCGTGACGGCACCGAGGAACTCGAAGATGGTGCCGAGAACCATGGCCTGACGGTAGGAGATGGACCGGGAGGACACACTGGTGGCCCAAGAGTTGGCTACATCGTCTATCGAAGAGAAGAATATCGATTAGCACCAGAATAGGGACAGTGGAAAGGGCCATTGAGAGCCATTGGCCATCGCAGGCTAGGAGGTGTATAGAGTAATGCTTACTGGCACCGTTGTTGTAGGCATCCAGCATGGCAAACACCGTGCCGATACCGAAGATATAATCATACTGGTGAAGATAAGGCATCTTGAATGACTGGACGGGGCGAGCAAGGGCCGAGTCAGGGTATCAATTGCGTGTGGAATGGCGGTGCAGTACAAAATTCTAACATTTCAGCGAAGTGACATGGGCTTTATATGTACAAGATGCTTCGAAATACGATCTCTGCATGGGGAGTGGCCCCCAATTTCCCTGGCGTCTGGGTTTGGCACATGGCACGCGCATGGCAGACTGTCTGGGCGAGAATACGCCCGGCGTGGCAACAGGCGAATTGCAGGCTGTCTGATGGCCAGTTCCTGGCCATTTTCACAGGAAATAGGCCACACGTGCGACAGCGACTCGCGATATTGGCATCACAGCCATCGCTTCCCGGGTGCTTGGCAATCGTCTAGGCTCGTAGTCAGACCCCGGTGGCTGCGAATCAAGTGGTCAGTACCGGGCATAATCACGCAATGGGAAACCAGTCAGGAAGGAGGACACTCATTTCATGGGGAGCCAGGTTCATAACGAAGCAAAATCGGCGAGCTTGGCGGCCCTTGGCAAAGCTGGGCGGAGGTGGATTCTTATACATTTGATACTGCGAGTTCACCTTGGTTGTCCTTGCTGTGGCGCACCAACGGGCTTGGCGGGGCTCCCGGTGGAGCGGCCACACGGACCACCGCTTCCTATAAGACAACCCCATTCACCCCACGTGCCCCCAGGAGAGGTTCTCGTCTCTTCACTCTTTTTCTGACCTTGTCCCAAACTACACATACTTCCGATTGCCAACCAATACTCATTACAACTAACCACAACTAACCACAGCTAGTCCTCCGGGCGTTCTAGAAGGCCCCCGGGCTAGGTGGTATCCTACAGTGATCTTAGGGTTCTTGGCGTGTCTGACTGACCCAGTTACCACATACTGTACTTGGTTAACTGCTCGCACGTGGGTAGCTGCCTGCAATGAAGAACGAAACGGCGACAAATTGCAATACGAAGCGAGCTGGAACTATGATCAGAGGAATGTCTGATTTCGGACCATGGCTTCATCCAGAAATAAGCCAATACGAGATCTCTGCGCCCTGGACACGACCCCCGATCCTTCTCTCCCGAGTCATTCATGCTGGACAGGCAATCGATGCATGATGCATGACAGAGACGATGTTACGCAGGGATCAGTATCCGGAAACCAGTGACATGCCTCGCAGGAACTGATGGCGGCTGGCAGGAGCGGCAAGCTCGCGTGCCCCAAGACGGACTTTGGCTGTCTCGCTAGACTCTTTTCCCTCTAGCATGTGTTCCACTTGGATCATTGATGTCTCGAACCGGTCGGCAACCCTGCAGGGGAAAGTCATTGTTACGATGATGGTTCCTTCGATGATCCTTCGATGCCTCTAATGCCCACAAGTAACCTTTGATCGTCAACCTATCGGGACACCCGGCTGGATGTTGTGCACTCCCTACGAACGTCTGACTTGAAGCTGCAAACAATAGTGGTACTGGAGTTCAGCCAATACCGTTACAGCCCCGATGAACCCCGATGGATTCGAATCGGAGTCGCCTGGCAAGGCGCTCTACTGCGCCGATGTCCTCGGGCAACTCACCCCCCTACTAGCTTGATCCTCGGCGAACACCGAGAGATTACCTAACCGAGCGTGGGAACTATTTCATGCGTGGCCGAAAAAGGAAGGATGATTGGATATCAATGAAATGAATCCAATTCATTCATCTATTATCAATCAACTGCGCCTTTCGGGCAACTTGCCACGCGTTGCCACCAGATGAAAAATTGGCACACGCGCAAGTGGACCGCGGAGGGTCGACCACGCGCGCCCGCAAAGCAAACCTGTCTGTCAGTCAACTCTGTTCCTTGAGTCCTGATCCATCGAGAAAAGTCGCGTGTCCCCACAGAAACTGGGACGACTCACAGCACGGGATATGGACGATCCTCGTGGTTGGAGCGTTTCAAGGTCGGCGGAAGCCCCGCCAAGCGCGATTGTCTGTCAATGCGTCTGGCCATCCTCTGACCATCGGCCATCCTAATGTCTTTACCCGTCTCTCCGGCGAGGATCTTCAAGTGGCGCCGTCTGCTTGGACATTGTTTCTTCGGAGGCACTTAGCAGGGTCTTCGGCTTCCCACTCGGGTACGGTAGCCCGCTCCACCCACTTCTGATCATTATTTAAGTTCCCGTTGGACAATGGCCAGTCTTGACCTTGTGTAGCTTCCGAGAGCTATGGCGTGGCGTAAAAGGACTTCTCTCAGGGCTTGACAGGTCATCGATTCCTGAGTATCCTTCGGCCTTCCCGTCTTGACGGTGGCTCAAAGTGACCAGGTTCTCCAGTCCAAACCTTCAAAGCTATGCATTGTGGCTGCACCCCAGGACCTACCTCCCAGCACAGAGTTCACTGGACTTTCCGCCCAAAGTTAATTGATCCGCCATTGTATTTTCGTCTGTGGTTTTCATTCTCGTTTCTCATTTCCTCTCTAAGTAGGGTTTGCTTCTTTGAAAGCCTGCCAAGATGCCAAGATAAACTCTCCTGCCTTTCCCCTCTCATACTTTTGCCATTTTAGCCACTCAAATAGCGGTATAGAAGCTTTGCTTTTGATAATCAAGAAAGCCCATCATCATTTTCGTGGAGACGTGTAGTGTGCCCCGGAAGTTTCCTAAGTACATAAAAACCGGATTCTCGAATTATATCCAACGGGTGACATGCCAGGACCTGTGCGATACTCCCTACACTCTCTCGCAGTCTATCTACACCCACAACTCCCGCATGTCAAGTCCCCAGACCCACTGCGAGATACCCATAGCTCCCACGCTCATGAGGAAGGCCATAAGCAGATTCACGCCATTGTTGTCCAGCCAGTCGCGACCGGTCTCGAGGCGTCGACTCTCGTGGCTCTCATCATGAGGACGGCCACCTTGGGTTCCTACCGAGGTGCCGGTAGTACGGCTTCCTCGCAAGGTGGCCGCATTGGCAACGGCCTCCGTATTACGCAGATGCGTGCTGCCCGATACTTCGGCTGATGGGCCATTGCCAGTAGTGCCCGCTGGTTTCGTGGAGCTCGGGTGAATGAGAACCTATTCGATAACATGAGATCAGCCGGGAATTTGGCAATGCAGGAATTGTTGCAGGAGTAACATAATAGCTTACCTTTCGTCCACCACTGCCTTCCACGACCTTACCACTCCTCTTATCGACAACGCTCGCCTGGAGTAACCCGCCAAGTACACTGTCCAGAACACTTCCAAGCAGACCCCAGCAAGTCATTGCAACGGTCCAGAGGGCGCGATCTTGGATACCGGATTTGCCGGGGCAGAAGGGAAGAACGAGGGCGGATGTCAAGGCAACACTAAATGATCCTAGGAGACCTGCACCAAGACCAGCTGCTGTAACACCGCCGTTTGTACCGGGGGGAACTTCGCGGAGATTGAGGGAGGTGATCAGACGTGGGTTCGACTTGGATAGGATGCCGAGTTCGGAGGAGAAGGTATCAGCAGCAACCGCAGCGTAGTTTCTATAAAGAGTAGGATATCGGAGTCAGCGGGTTTCTATTGGAGGTGATATAGAAATAGGATAACACGATAGGGAGACATACGCCACGATGCCGACCATGAGGATATCGGCGGGACTCTGGCCAAGGGAGAAGCAGGACTCCGAGGAGGAGCTCTTTGATAGAACAACTGCATGCGCAATGCTAAGAACGGTCGCGACAACCGAGTTCGCCAGGACTTGGAGATGGTTGCGGGGTCCTTCACCCCCTTCTGAGCCCGTTGCTGACAGTGTCTTCTGTGCTTTGATTTCATGTTTGACCTGGCAGAGAACGTGAGGTCAGCTTCAAGGCTACATCAATACCTATTATGTGTAGTTCCTGTCATACCTTTGTAACTTTCGTCCCCCCATAGTAAAACACCGCAAGGAGCGCGAAAGGTGTAGACCACGGGTGGAGGGCATGTGCGGTCGCTGACGCTCCGGCGACGATGAGACCCAGCGGCGTGAGTGACTTTCGAGCCCAGGCTCGGTAGACCAAGCCGGCTACCGCGAGGAGGCCGATAACGGGCTTCATCGTGGCGGTTAAATGGTTGGAATGAGGAGTGTAGAGGAGTAAACAGGTTCCAGGCGTCGAGCTGACAGCTCAGCTGAGGGACGGGCGATCGGCGGAGCTTTGGTGGGGCTTGGCGGGCAGTCCAATCATCACATGGAAGACACTCTTCATGATCTTATTGAGTGGAAACTACAGAGAAACAGCTGCATATTTGTTCTTGTCTTGATCGTGTTGTACTCCAATATTTTGAATTGTGTAGTGCCCGTGGATTTTCTATTCTAAACCTAAGCCATCCATCGCACAACACCAAAATATATATCTAACGGCAGTCCATATGTACTTCAGGTTCTTGGAGATATATACACGTACACAGCGATCAAGGAGGACCCCGAATTAAAGATGAAAAGCACTATTCTGCTCATTAACCTCACAAAACCGCCAAAGTCCAGCCTTAACCGCCGCATCCCTAACAGAACCGAGTTCCTCATCGCTTACAGCCCGATTAATCTCCGCATACTTCACCTCTTCCTGTCCACTCTTCCCCCCATCTCCCTCTCCCTCTCCCATCCTCACCTTCCTCGTAACCCGCCTCTTCTTCCCAACATGCGCATCAGGATGATACTGCTCCATAATATGCACATACAAATCCCTCGAAACATTCTCGGCAAGCCAACGCATAATCTCCCGTCCCTCATCCTGCTTCCCCGGCATAACCAGATGACGCAGTAGAACGCCCTTCTTCGCAATCCCATCTGAAGTAAATGATAAATCCCCGACTTGCCGATGCATCTCTTTGATACTTTCCATCGCGGTAGCGGTGTAATCGTCTGCTTTGAGGAGTCGTTTTGATGTACTTTCCTTCCAGACTTTGAAGTCGGGGAGGTATATGTCCACAAGCCCGTCGAGAAGTTTTAGGGAATCGAGAGAGTCGTAGGATGATGTGTTGTAGATTATTGGAATGCGTAGACCCATGTCCCTTGCAGCCAAGATGGAGAGGACGACTTGGGGGACAACGTGTTCGGGTGTTACCAGGTTGATGTTATGGACGTTGCCTTCTTGTTGGAGCTTGATGTACCATTCGGCTAGTTCTTCGGGTGTGAGGTCGAATCCATTTCGTTGGTGAGCGATGTCCTAGACACATCGTTAGTCTTGTCTCATCTCCAACCTCAGATGCTTTCCATGACTGCGACATACATGATTCTGACAAAACACACACCGAAGATTACACCCCGAAAAAAACACCGATCCACTACCGTGATACCCCTGAATACAGGGCTCTTCCCCACGATGCGGTGCGATCACATTGACTTTAGCTGTCTGCGCGCCGATTAGACATATCCCCGTCTTTTCGTATCGGTTTACCCCGCATTTGCGGGGGCATAGATTGCATTCGCGTAGATGGGCGTATGCCAGGGATCGTTTCTTTGAGGAATCGACTGAGCTCAATAGGTTGTAGCGGGGGATGTAATCGTCTAGGAGAAATGCGGGGGGATTCCGATGAAGCGTTTGAGGATGAGGGGTGTGTGTGAGATGTGATTGTGAGTTTGGGGGAGGATGCGGTGGGAGAGTCTGGTGAATGTCTGCATGGTGGATGTGTTTAGTTTGCCACTTCTTGGATCTTTCGCTCTTCCATCTTTTTCTGAGGTGTAGGTAGTTTGATAAAGAGGGTTGGTTTGAGTTGGAGATGGAGTAGATATGGCTTATCTCATCGGTCACGTCATAACCTTAAAGGGGTGGACCTTTGATAGGGTCTGCAAGAGATGATGCCGATCCCCATGTGGAGAAGTGGAGGCATTCTATTGCATGGAAGCTAGATCTAGAGACTCTTTACTCCTCTTATCGCTGCAAGTGGTTAAGAATCCTCGTGTTTTCAGTCAAATCATCCTTTTCAAGTTACAATCACTTTGATGAACGGTCCACATCTTCTCCAATTTTTCAAGATGTATACTGTAGTACTGTAATGCAATCCATTTAAAACCCTTCATGTGCAAGACAGTCAAGAAACAACATCAAAAAGTATGTATAACTCTTCTCAAAGGGTATTTCATATGTGCAACATATTAATAGAATAGACAAGAAACATCTGCTCTCCCTTGCGCCTCGCCTCGGGGTATGTTCGTTTAAAACAACACATAATATACAAACAAAAAAACAAGCATCGAATAGTTGAATAATCCTGGAACCTTATGTTTTTGGGTCGACCACATGCTTCGTAGCCTGTCAACAACGACAGGACTGGAACCCGAATCGATTAAAATAGAAAATGGAAAAATGGTGAATGATGTGAAGAAGATATTATGATAAACTCGGCCAGCGATGGGGAGGGGGATCGAGAGGCTTATTGATAGAGCGAGACTTATAGAGCGAGACCGCTGCCGTCTCCGCTCCAGCGGTATAGGGCAAGGACTTCGCGTCGGCGTTGTTGTTGCTCGCCGAAGTCTTCGGGGACTCGTCCGCGCACTTGGGCGAGGGCGGAGCGCATTACTTTTCGGAAAGTTCTCTGGAAGAAGGATGTTAGTATGGTAAGTTTGTAGAAAAGTGGGGGGACGGGATGGTACCTGATATTCTGTGTTTAATGTCACAACGCATGCCTCATGTGCCCGCACGATCGTTTCACAAGCTCTGACAACACTGGGACTGGCATCGCCTTGCAATTTGTCCGCGGTCAAGAGCAGGAGGAAACTACCCTGTAACAGGTAGATACCAAAGAAGAACGGCATGAAACTCAGGTCTGGATCATACTCAAGTATATCTGAAGCGGCTTCGGCAGCGCTGACGGCATGGCCCATGGCCGTGATGAATGAATCAGATGAAATCCAGAGATCATTGTCATCTAACAGGTTGATCGGATCCCATTTGCCAGCCAGTAAGATGTGAAGCACGTGCATGATGTGGGTGCCATATGCGACAACCATCCTCGTATGTACGATCGACTCGTTGACATGTGATCCGACGGTGCTGCTGTTGGACCGACCAGATGGGCTAACATGGTTGATATGTGCCCCTTCCATCGCTGTGTCGTTGTCGCCACCCAAAGCCAATGAGCTGGTATAACGAGCCTCAAATTCCTTGAGGCTTTGCGCGTAGACGTCCAATTGTCGGGTGATCTCCATGGCTTGGCTTTCCCATTCACCGCTGTTTCGGAAATGAAGTCCAAAGCGAGGGTGATTCCGAGCATGCTGTAGGTCCACAATTTCGCCGAGGATAGACATGAGCGGGAGGAAATAACCAAAGGTACTATGGCTGGTGCATTCAAAGGCCGGGCCCGCACGTCGGTAACTGGCAGCGGAGAAGTCGCCAGCTTGCCAAAGGTCGTCGTTCATCGGTTGTAGCAGACCCTCACATTCCTTATCCAGCAATGTCAAGGGACGATTGTAGCAGAGAGCAAGGTGGCGATCCATCACATATAGTAGCCACCAGATGCGACGACGCTCTTCACGTTCTTCTTCCGAGAGATTCACCGAGGAGCTTCCAGGCCCGTGGCCCATCGAATTCAGAAGTGATGACGGTTGCCTCTTGTTCCCATTCAAGTCCATGTCTGATTCACCCTCTAACTCGCCATCTTGACGGTTGTTAGCATTAGGTGGTAATTCACGACCCAGCTTGAGCTCTCGTGCGAGCGACCATGCCGCGGTCCACCAACGCATACTGGCAGCCTTGTACTCGCTCGCCGATACTACAGTCGCCAGATGGACGTATGTTGCAACGTCATCCACGGCACCGGTCGCGCTGCTCTGTGCACCTAGCTGGTCCATCGACACACCGAAGCCTCCCAGGGCGACGCCGTTGATGACCATATTCGCCGCATAGTTCGGCGAGGCTTCTCCCGTGGCGGGGCCATGGATCAGAGGTCGCAACAAACCAATGGTGAGTTCCAGTAGTTTCTGACAGACACGGCCTCGTGCAGATGGGGGCGAGGTCAAGAATGCCGCTTCACTAGTCTGAGCCGCTACCCAAAGCATACTGGCTAGAAGGCCTGGGCTGCATACTCTGGGCTTGGTGGGGTGGAGGAAAGATTGCTTGCGGAAGACGAAACCAACGACATAGGGCGACAATGGTGACATGTGTGAAGAAGATGAACTCGTAAAGTAGACATCGAGAAGATCGCAGGCGAGGGACTGAGGAATTATAGAGGCGATGTGCGGTAGGACTGGTTGCAAGACGGGGTATCGTAAGGAACTGGCAAAAGGAGCCATGCTAAAGGACGGGAAGTTTGCTGGTGATGGCGATGGAAGAGGAAGCCAGCTGGGGGACTGTGCTGGCGGGGAGAACCCTCCTAGAAATGAGGCTGACGGGTTTTCTGCCGAGCCACCGAGTCGGAACTGGCCGATTGAGTTGGCATTTTGGTCGTGCGAGTTCATTAATGAATATGCGCCGTCATGGTATCCAGATCCAAATCCTTGCGAGTGAATCATCGCAGCTGGCGACCGAGGATTCCCATTTTGTTGCATCATTTGCAAAGAGCGCAGATCAGGTACAGACATGGATGGCCGGTTTGAATCTGGTACGTTTCCATAGTTCAGTGAGATACTATCGATGCCAGATCCTACCGATTGTTGAGGATGGCTCGCGGCAGGGTGATTGTTCTGCGGTATTCTCGATATACCCGGAACGCTATGATTGCGCAGGGGTGGTTGGGCGGATTCAGGTACCGCGCGAGCGGCGTCGAAGGCCGGGTCGTAAGGCATATTCACCTCGTGGGAGTTCTGACCATTTGGCGAATTACCATGTACAGACCCGCCGTCTTGAAGTCCCTTGTCACTGGTGGACGTGGCGACTGCAGCGGCTGCCGCAAGATCCTTTTTCGAGGCTTTCCCGCGCTTTTTCCGCTCTCGCGCATACTCACAACTGAGCCCAAATTCTAGAAATATTGGGTGGTTAGGTTTGATCGGCCTACGGGGGGTGTTGGGAGAGACAAAAAAGGGGAATGAGAGCCTACCGATGCAATGTGCGCACGGTTGCTGCCCGTCGCATTTAGTGCGCAACTGGTTGCATTGATCGCAGGCCCGGCTAATCCTGCGACGTACCGCCGCAGCGGTCGAGTTCTTGCGAATTGCCGACCGGGCATCTACGAGGGGATCATGTTGTGAGGAGGAGGATTTGCCTCCAGAATGTGGGCCATTTTGTTCACGATAGGACGGTGGCTCCAGCGCCTCGGATTCGCTGACTGGTTTGCCCTCGGAATCAGTCGGAGGATTGGACGCGCTGGCTTGTCGCGCCAGCTGTAGTTGCTCGAGCGCATATTGGGAGCCTTCTGCAAGCGTGTCCAACCCGGGGGTTTGAGATTGGGCCATTCGATTAGGTTGCGGCCGGGACGAGAAGGGAGAGTAGGAATTGGCGAACGATTGGAGAGAGGTGGAGGTGGTCGACATGCTTCTTCTCCTCGGGAACTAGACCTGCAGCGGCATAGAGTCAAGCCGATCCACACAGATCTGGGCTTTCGCCCCTCGGTTCAGATGGGGAGGGGAGGACAGAGAAGCTGTGCGATCCAGCGGGAAGGCCGAGAGAGAGAGAGAGATTGGCAGTAGACTGTCAGGAGTCCAACGACATAATCCAGGCCAGTGTGTCAGAAGGAAAGGAATACCCCAGACGGGCGGTCGGGTGGAGGTGGACCCTGTTTTTTTTTTTCCGGAACCGAGCGCCGGAAGCTTAACCGCCAGATGATATCAAGCCCAAGAATGAAGGACTTGATGGAATGTAGAGAGAGAGGAAGGGTAAATGATTGAATGGAGGAAAAGAAGAAGAGGCTTTCGGGAAAGTGAATCTCGAAAAAGAGTTGCAGGATTTCGGAGGGGGGAAATCTGGAGAAGGCGGGGAAAAGAAGAGGCACGTGGTGAAAAGAGCCCGAAAGCGTCGTCGGAATGGGCAAAAGAGAAGAAGTACGACCTTCGGGACCACCTTGGTTTGAACACTCGGTGTATGGTGATGACTATATGTGAGATGTGTGCTGGAAAGTAGAACCTGAATCGGCCACTGATTCGTGTTCTCAAACCGCCAATAATTTCTCGCCCCTGGGCCCTGCTGGGGGGCGGGGGGGAAGAGTTGCAGTGCGGAGTACAGCCCATTTCGCTTACGGCCACGGAAGGTTTTACCGGGCCGATCGATTCAAATGAAGTATACAGGACGGTCTACTCGAAGTTAAACAAGAGGGTTCATAAGGATATAATAACATGGTCAGTTCTGATCCGTTCAGAAGTTGAATGACTCTGTTGAAATGAAGAAACTAGTTTGGTATGTACTGGTCTTTACTCATATCCACTGCCCAGGCCTTTCCAATCTCAATAATTCGCCACAGTCCATTGCAATTAGCCATGAAACGGAGTCGGGGTGGTCATTTCCTTTGAAGCGTTTGGACAGGGATGAGGGAGGAAGTGGCCCTATATGCCGGGATTCACTGGCACCCCGAACTGCCGGCATCAGCAAACTACAAAAACTCACCGATTTGCCCCCTTCACGGCCCTGGAAGCGACGGGGAATACGAGATGGAAAACTGAGAAACCTCGCTTCGCTACCTAAGAATGGACAAATGCATTAAGCGACCATAAAGTCAAAAAAATATTCTGGAATAATCAGGAACAAAAGCAGATGTTCCTGCTTTGGATCATCGCCTGGTCCACGGAGAAGAGGGTCTAGAAACGCGTGGCACTCTGTGTTGGGCTTTGAGTCTGCAGTCTAGCCCCATTCCTGGTTGATGTCTGGTGTCAATATAGCCGGTTTTGCCTAATATCCAGGTTTCGGGAAGGTGGGAAAGTGTGGAAGTCTGGGGTAAACCGTAATCCGGGTGTTGTATCCTGGTCCTTGTTATTAACTTGCTATATCCTTGCCACTTGCCACGGGGGGATGCCCGACCGAACTCTTTAATGACGAGCCAATGAAATCAATTCATGGAAGTTGGGGAAGAAACTCACTCCAAAGTAGTCCGAATTTTGAGAACTGAATCTCCATTGATGCACGGATTGTTTCACTTTCATAGTAAAGGTCCCGATGTAACATGAGGGAGATAAGGCCGTGTGCCCCTCACTTCCGACCGCGATAAAAGCGGAGTCGACCGAGGCATCGGCTGGGCTTCCTCCCTCTTACAACAAACAACAGCCAAGATGTCAGCCCAGAACCAGACTATTGACCAAGTTCTTGACGCGATCCCACTTCGTTACCGGGGACCCGGTGGTGCGGCAGTAGTCGTCAAGAATGGCGAGGTCATCCGCCAACGAGTCTGGGGATATGCCGATCAATCTCGTCGCATCCCCGTCGATCCCTCCACACAATTCCCGATATGCTCCATCACCAAGCAATTCGTATGTGGGTTGATGATGGATCTTCACCGAGATCCCACCTCCGCGATGGCTGCCAAGGGCGACGTGCGGAGTCAGTTCGTGGAGAAGCTCCATGAGTTGCTCCCCATGGCTCGAGAGAAGGGGTTGACGCTCCAGAATCTGTGTGATATGCAGTCCGGTATTCGTGATTACTGGGCCATGACCACTCTCTGGGGTGCGAAACCAGATGACGAGTTTTTGATCGATCGAGATTGTCCTCCGATGCTGGACAGGACCATGTCGCTTCACTTCGAGCCAGGGACGGAGTATTCATATTCCAATGTGAATTTCTATCTACTGGGACGAATCATCGAGCGTGTCACTGGGGAACCACTTGGGAAGCTTCTCGAAGAGAGAATCCTGAAGCCGGCGGGGATGACAACTGCACTGCTCTGTCCGAATACCGCGCACCACCCACCTCCCTGCGTCGGTTACGAAGGGGACGAAAACCACGGATTCACCGAGGCTATCAATCGGATGGAATGGTCGGGCGATGCTGGACTGGTCGCTTCACTCAATGATATGATCGCCTATGAGAAGTACCTCGACCGACTATATGCTGACCCGCAGAGCTGGTACTATACTGCGACCAGGCCACAAACTTTTACTGATGGTGCGACGGCGAGATATCACTACGGTTTGGGCCATGTGGATGTCAATGGTATCGACTCAATCGGTCACGGTGGAGCGCTGAGGGGATATCGATTGCATCGAAGACATGTGCCTGAGGAGCATCTGTCTGTAGTGGTTCTATTCAACCACGAAGCCGATGCATCAGCGGCGGTTAACGATATCATTCAAGGCGTATTGAATCGACCTACCCCCGAGACCGCGCCAGTAGAGCCTGCCGCCGAATGGTATGGTGTTTTCCTCGACCAGGCCACTCAGCTAGCCATCACTATCGCCAATAGCGCGCGAGCAGGAGAAGTCTTAATTACATACGGTGCTCACTTGGAGTCTACACCGCTCAAGTTGACTGATGCAAAGAATGGTAAAGCACGCTCAATGACCGGGTCTATCGATGGTGATATCCTACGCATCCATCGCGTATCGGAGAACAGAAAGCTCGAAGCTCGGCGCCTGACTCCACGTGAGACCAGTCTCAAGGAATCAGCGTTGCCGGGCGAATACTACTGTGCTGAAGTGGACTCCACTTTCCACTGCACTGGAGGAGCAGGGTTGTTGTATGGATGCTTTGACGGATATCTCGGGCAAGGTATCGTGACCCCCATGCGTTATCTGGGTGATGATGTCTGGGCTTTGAGTTGCCCGCGTGGATTGGATGCGCCGGCACCCGGAGACTGGACGGTGGTTATCCACCGCGATGAGAGTGGCTCAGTTGTAGGCTTTAAGATTGGTTGTTGGCTAGCCAGGGGTCTGGATTTTGTCAAGAAGCAGTAGATTTCGTATAAGGAACAGCTCGTCTCACTTGGCCATGTTTAAACCAAGGGAGATATTTCTCTCGGGCTTTCTGTGAATGTTGTAAGCATACGCTAGCTTATATAAGATCCAAGAATATCATATTCGATTATGCCGACTCCAAGTGTTATAATCTGCCTGGCATATTTACCACACTTGAACTCGTTTCATTAAATGGATTTCTATCACTTCTTGTTCATGTGTACATTTCCAACTGCACCTTAAGGCAAAACATACCCACCATCAATAAGCACATCACTTCCAGTCATATAACTCGAAGCATCGCTCGCAAGGTAGAGATACAATCCCTTAATCTCCTTCACATGCCCCTGTCTACCCAGAGAAGACATACGGTACGCTTCATTAAGACAATCAGGGCCGGCCCCCATCTTGGTGTCGAAGAAGCCCGGAGAGACAATATTGACCCGAGCAAAATCGCGCCATTCACGGGCCAGAGATTTTCCAAAGTGAGTGACAAATGCTTTTGTGGCGTTGTATACGGGTTGATCAACTGGTACGTTGACGATATGGGCACTCATGCTTGAGGTAACGATGAGGTTACCGAAGCCCTGGCGTTGGAAGACGTGGCCGGCGTATTTGGCGCAGTAGACAATTCCGTCGACTAGAATGCGTATCAGAAGACGAAGTATGACCATAGTTCTGGATAGGAATTTCGTACCGTTCACAGACATTTGCTTCTGGTATTCGTCAAGAGTTTGCTCCAAGATAGGCTTGGAAATAGCCATTCCTTTTGTAAAGGTCAATTTATGCGGAGTGACGCCATGCTCATATGTGTTATTCACTCACCTGCATTGGCAACGAAAACATCAATCTTGCCGAAATCCTCAACGACCCGTTCCATAGTGCTGGAAACCTGTGTTGACTCAGATACTGCATTAAAAAGGGTGAGTACAAGGAAGCTCCATATTCAAATGTCCTAGAATTCTCACCATCCACCTTGTAGGCAGCTGATTTCACGTTATGTAGACTTGCCAGTTCTTGAGACTTTTCAATTGCTGCATCATTCCTTCAATCATGATACCCAGTAAGTACGGCCTCTCCGTAGAAAATCAGGACCGAATAACTCACGAGTTATACCACAAAGCGACATTAGCCCCAGCTTCAGCCATAGCCTGTGCTACCGCCAGACCGATCCCATCTGCAGCGCCATTAACCACGACAACTTTGCCGTCTAGGCGAAATTGTTCCAACACATTGGTAGGCGTGTTGGGGAAGGGTCGGGGGAATCCCTCGCGTCCTGGGGCGCTGTCCTCGACAGTCATAGACATTTTGCAGAGTATATGTTTGTTGTGATGAAAAATATGTGTAGGAAAATGAAATCCTTGAATTTGCTCTTCGGTTGGTTTTATTATTGAGCTGTTATAACTAGGCGACCCACTTGCTTTCGGTATACTGTCCGCCGAGTGGGCACTCGTCGCGGTAAATTAGGGATGAGATCTGGATACTAGACGAGCAGACCGAACAAGTAATAGTGAAATCTCCTGTTCTGTCCAACTTCCTCCCAGCGCTTAGATCTTCCATTAATGAGGCAGAATCAGTAGAGAGAAGTGAGATTAAGCTCAGCAACTCTTGAATTTTTTTGATAGTATTTTCCATGAGATCACGTTGTTTCTTCAAGATGGCTAGAATGTTCCTCCATACTAGTAGTGCAAGAGCGGCTATTACCACTAAAACCCCGCCATCGGGAATTAACCGAGGCGACTCTGGGGTGAGTCGCTCTTCCTTAGCCATTCTGGCCCACATTTCGTCGGAATTTAGTGGCCCGATATCTTCAAAGTTGCGCTAGTACTATTCCTGGACAATCCCCGCATCTCTCGTGGCCTCATATCATGACGGCATGAGTGGAACTTGAATACAGCATGTGTATTGCCAAAGTCACTGCCATTAGCTAGGCTGGTATCACAACCCTTTGCCTTTCTCCGACCGATATTAAGGACCAGATCGGACAGTGAATTTCCGATCGTGGAATCAGCGTGGTTGTATTCTGATTGAACGGCAACGCTGTCTGCATCTAGACGCTGTATGCAACTATTTAAAGTACGAATTCAAGCACCCTCAAGTATCTTCCGCGCCTTTTAATGCTTCCTTGATTCCAACCTCCCTCCATACATCCCTACTGCTGGGACATAGATTCTCCTTCTCTCATCATGACAGCTTCAAGTGGTCTGACCGACCGCGATGCTCTCGCTGCAAGATCTATCCCGTCGATGATTCTCAGCGATGGCAGCCCCGCATCAATGACCCCGCCTCCATCTTCTGCATCCGAAGCGGACCCTGCTGTTGGTGCACAGAAAAGATTTTCTGTTCGAGGAAACGCGGTCGTCACTGGCGGTACCGGGACGCTAGGCCTTCAGGCCTGCGAAGCTCTGCTTGAACATGGCCTTCAGGGCCTCATGATCTTTGATGTCAATCCCACAGGCAATGAAAAGGAGCTCACAAGATTGAAGTCAAAGTTTCCCAGCGTTAAGATCTGCGCTCAAAAAGTTGATGTCACAGCCGAAGATGCAGTTCGTGAAGCAATGGAAGAGACAGTCCGTTTACTTGGTTCGGTTGATATCCTCGTTTGCTTTGTCGGCGTCGTCGGCTGCATCGAAACTCTTGAGATGCCCGTCTCGCAATGGCGAAAAATCCTCGACGTTAATACTACTGGCTCATTCATCTGTGCCCAGGCAGCTGCGCGAGAGATGGTCAAGCAAGGGACTGGAGGCTCGATCACATTCGTGGCATCAATTTCGGCCCATCGCGTCAATTACCCACAGCCTCAGGTGGCATACAATGTTAGCAAAGCTGCTCTGTTGATGCTCAAGAGCTCCCTTGCTGCAGAGTGGGCTCGTTATGGTATAAGAACCAACAGTGTTAGCCCGGGGTATATGGACACAATCTTAAACGAGGGAGCGGGACTGGAAGCCCACAGACGGATCTGGGCTGAGCGAAACCCAAGCGGACGAATGGGAGTTCCATCTGAGCTGACAGGGGCCATTGTGCTTCTTGCTAGCTCTGCTGGCACTTATATGAATGGGTCGGATATTCTTGTTGATGGAGGTGCAACTGTGTTTTAATATGTACAATATGTTATTTCAAAGTGTACACAGTAAAAAGGGTTCTAAATACTGTTCGAGATAGCATTCTCGGCCAGATAATCATTATGAACATCCAAGAATATCATAGGACAAAGTGACAAACATATTTACTGTATATTTACTCCATATAGAGTACTATATTTCCCGGTGTTACCAGCACTCCTCTGTTCAGCAATAATACCCCACTCCCACTGTAAGTGTCGCATCGGGTGACTGCGGTCCGATGATCTCATCCAGCAAGAAAGAGCGTTCCCCCGCGAAGGAAGGAGCTGGATCTCGTCTATCTTATCTCCCATAGTCGATATCATGCAATTGAAACAAGACCGATCCGACAATACATGCTGCGCTAGGGAACTAAGATCGACTCTCTTAAAGCAAGGGTTGATCTTAGCTTTGATACTCTTTGAAAATGCCGAAGGTCGGGCGTCCATCGTCCGGTCATCATGATCTTCGAGCGGTAATCACTCAAGCTAGGAATTTAACCAATCTGATACTGACTTATAATAGTGTACAGAGTGCCGTGTAAGAGACGTTCTGCTTTTCTGTGCCCTTCATCACTGATTGCGGAGTCTTACAGAAGCGAAAGAGCAAGGTACGACTCCAAAGTCCCGAAGATCTTCTACCATCAGCGTATACTAAAAACCAGTTAGTGCTCTGGCTCTTTGCCATGCTCTTACTGTACTCGTGCCAATAAAACCTGCGTCCTGGGTCGGCCCCCATCTCGTACGCCGCTCACGAGAAAGTGAGTCTCCAAAACTACGCTGCAGGCTTATGCCTGTTCTGACATCGTATAGAAATCTGGACGCAGCAGAGCTACGTTGTGCAAAATTAATCTCTTTGGTCAAAAGATTTGATCCAGAAATCGATATCTATGCGGCCTTGGATTCAATTACAGGAAATGGTATGGGAGAGCGTCCTGCGTCTCTAGAGAGGTCTGAAGCCCCAGAAACTGATCCAGAGAGTGCTCCCTCATTGGATCGATTTGAATGGAGTGAGGCACCGAATATGTCTCCATCGCATCTCCAGAAAGAGCCACCGGACGGGATGGCTGTACTTCCAACTAAACGGACGGATACAGGCTATCTTGGTACGATTTTTCATCTCGCCTCCGCAACAATTTTGAGCAGGCACTAAGTTGATCCTATCTAGGCAATACCTCGGGGTCGACAATGCTCAATTCCATTCCAGGCCTTCTTCCAGATAGTACTATTTCGCGTTCAAAAAGCCGACCACATGGATCTCCAGCCAGCAGTAACATGACCAATAGCCCTTCACAACTTGTGAACCTTGCCGTCACTACCACCCTAGAGAGACTTGTTGCTGCATACTTTGGGTGGTATAACCCTTCGTACCCAATCCTTCACGAGAAAACTTTTCGAGATAAGTTCCTGAATCGCCATCAAGTTCACCCAAGGTCAAACTGGCATATTATATTCCATCTAGTATTTGCAATTGGTCACTGGATTCTAGGGGAAGAATCGGAAGCCGAGCAATCCAGGTCTTACATGGCCGCACGCTCATGCATGTCAATGCGCATGCTAGAGTCTGGAACTCTTCTTACAGTTCAGGCCTGTCTTCTGATGGTAGGTTTACCAAAGAATTTTCCCACATTTGAGGCATCATGAAACTAATTTTGTGCAGGGCAACTATCTTCAAAAACGAGATCGACCTAACACCGGCTATAATTTCATTGGAATTGCGCACCGAATGGCGCTTGGCTTGGGTCTTCATCGAGAACCTCCTATAGGAACTATGGAAGATACACTCTCCAATGAGCGGCGAAGAGTTCTCTGGTGGATTGTCTATTGCTTTGACTCGGGCTTTAGCATCACAACTGGAAGGCCCATAACGGTCTCTGGCTCATTTATCGAGACTCGCCTTCCGCGAAATATTGATGATTCGGTGCGACGAACCGATTGTTTACAACACAGCTCATTTCGCTAATTTTTGATCACAGGCTTGTTCACTAGAATCTGTCTTGCCACCAACAACGGATTCTCCAACTACCTATTCGGCAATTATTGCTCAGTCACGTCTAACATCAATCGCCAACGCAGTATTCGGTGAACTGATATCTTCGACAAACAAGACCTCATGGGACCTGAGAGTTTCTCGTTCCATCAACCATCAATTCAATGCTTGGAAGCTATCACTACCTTCTTACTTCACTACTCATGTGATTCCAGAATGGTTCCGCGGTCCCCGTGCAATTATCATATGGAAGGAGCAAAATCTCCGCATGATGCTTTGGTGGGGAAGTCAAAAATTATGCAATCTGCCGTCCGATCACGAAGAAGCCCAGAATATTTGTCATCTCACAGCAGTTGAAACGATACAGGAGATCACTAATTTTATTGACAACAATCTTGACATAGTTCATGCCGGGCTCAGTTGGTATGCAACCTACTTCCTCTTCCAAGCAGCAGTTGTCCTCAGCATCCACCATCTCCAACCACCCCAGTCTGTTGAATCGGGACCGAAAGATAGAAATCAAGACCTTTGGCTCTCATCTGTGTCCAGAGCTCGGGACTGCTTGGCTTCCTTAAGCCAAAAGGACAAAGCTGCAACACGGTGCTTAGCCGTTCTAAACCGGTTACGAGATCATTTTCAGCAACAAGGACAACCCTCGGCTATATTCGGTGGTACTCGATCTAATTATCAAGTTAACCTACTACAAGAAGACGCTGAAATCCCATCGGCGTCACTTGCTGTGGACCCTATACTTCAAATGTTCTTTGAAGATCCGTCCTGGGGCAATGATTTATTCCATGGTCTAAGAGGTTTTCCAAGCACGGATGAGGTTGGAGCATTTGAGTATGTCTCATAAAACACATATTAGTAGTCATCCTTTTGTGGAGACATCAGTCCCAATCCAAAACTTCTGTTTCTGCTCGCATTAGCTTCGGACCATAGTCCCAGTAGGTGTTCAGGGAGACTCGACCACATGGAGTGGTTCCGTGGACCTGAGACACTACCAGTCCATTGGTTCGGTCATTAGTTATTTAGACTCAGCCTCACATTGATAATAAATTCTCCCTCTTATATTTCACAGGAGCCGGAATTTCATCGATGACCATTGGACGGTCTTTCTGCGAACGCCATCACCTTCCCACCGGCCACAAAACATGCTTGTATGACAAATTCACCCTTGAGTAATACGTTGCGACTTGGAAAAGCTGTGTTGTCCGTGCATTTAAGCAGCCCAGTCACAATGCCCAGAAGCTTTTGGGGCTGCACTTTGGAGCATGTGTTGTGATGTTTGTGTAACGAGGTCCGCCTTAGGCGTCCACAGTATGTTGTCATTGGCTTGAAGCTAGCCAAAAAAGAGATTCTGCCCGGAGACTTGTCATGCATATATGGTCCAAGTGCCGAATGACAGCTAGCGGAGTTCTGTGATGGAGGGTCGCCAATGCGGGGAGGCTCAGAATAGCTAGTCTCGTAACTGCGATAGATCACGCCTACATATTATTAACTCGCAAACATTCTATTCTTCATTGCATCGAAGATAGTTTTCGATACTATCGCCCAAGGCCAAAATGTATCTCTCATTGCTCTTGAGTTTTATTTCGGAAAATACTCACATTGCCGGGACTTTTGGTGGCCTTGGTGTCTTGTTCCATCTAAGTATACTCACTAGCGAGATTGACAGTGCCGTTGGTAGCTTGCTTATTGGGGCTTTCTTTGCCTGGTCTGGCCTGGCTGTAGCGTTCGTGAAAATACTGGACGTTGGCCTTGCCGTTGCGATCGCAAAATCCTCGCTCGCTTACATTTCTTTCCTCGCGGGCCTAGGGACCAGCACCGTGGTCTATCGTTTATTGTTTCATCGCTTGCGACATTTCCCTGGTCCGTTGGGCGCGAAGATCAGCCGGTTTCATACAGTATGGGTCACCAAACGCACTGGCCTGAGATATCACCTTGAGTTGGAGAGGCTACATGCCGAGTTCGGAGATTTCGTTAGGACAGGTTCATCACTCTCTTCTACCTCCTTGAAGGAATGGAGCTCTTGACTTATTCCACCGATAGGACCCCGTGAAATTTCTGTCAACCGTTCGTCGGCGGTACGCATCGTTCATGGTCCGCAATCAAAATGTTCAAAGGGGCCATGGTACAGCCAGGTTTCCGACGATCCCAATAAAGTCAACCTATTAGCTCTAAGAGATCATGAGCTTCACCGGGCACGTCGAAGAATATGGGATAAAAGTCTTGGACCAAAAGGTTGAGTTAGATTCTTTTTTTAACATTAGTCAAGAATCCGATTTGGCACATGCTAAATCACAACTGCAGCACTTTCCAGCTATCAACCCCAGATTCAGAAGAAGGCCGACACTTTGATCAAACAGCTCCATGACCGAGAGTCCAAGCCTATCGATGTCACCCAATGGACTCAATATTATACTTTTGATGTGATGGGCAAAATCGCATTCAAAAAAGACTTTGGACAGCTCGAGGACGGTGCTGAGCATTTTGCAATTACTGCCATGCATGCACAACTGGAACAGATTGGTGTTCTCGGTGTGATTCCGTGGTTGCTGCATTTGCTCGTCCGTATACCTGGACTCGCTGGCCCGTTTGCGGTCTTCAACAACTACACCATTGAGCAAGTCGAGCAGCGAAAGGCGGTATGAAAGAACACATAGTATCACGGATTATGCCTGACTACTGACTGATAGATGACAGGAATGGCACAAGGATACTGAAAAAACACCGACTGATGTCGTCTCCTGGCTCTTGAAAGCAAAGGATGACGGCGATCCTTCCGCACCACCTGGAGATCTATATCTATATGATGAGGGCAGACTTGCGATTGTCGCTGGAAGGTCCGTTAACGTTCTCATTCTATTTGTCTAACAACCTTCTAATTAAATAGCGACACCACTGCTTCAACCCTCGCACACGTTCTATACTATCTGGCAACTCACCCAGAAGTCTATGAAAAGTTGCAAAAGAACGTTGATGAAACGCAGGATGTCCCCGACTTCATCCATTCCCTGCCGTACATCGATGCAATAATCAACGAGACCCTTCGCTTGAAACCAGTCGTGCCTAGCGGCCAAACAAGGGTCACGCCGCCAGAGGGTCTTTTCATTGACGAAACTTGGATCCCGGGGAATACTATTTTGGTTGTTCCTCAGTACGTGGTGCAACGAGACGCACGCAACTTTCCTCACCCTTTGGAGTTTATTCCAGAGCGATGGCTGGAGAAGGAATTGGATTTGATGCAGGATGACCGGGCGTTTTTCCCTTTCGCTATAGGTAAGAAATTCTCTCCCGAAGGACCCGAGCGACAATATGGCTTATCTTTACTTCAAGGTCACTATGCATGTGCAGGCAAGCAACTCGCATATGTGCAAATGCGTATGGCCATTTGGTCAATTGCAAGGGAGTTTGATATCTCACTGGCCCCCGGGGAAGATGGGAAGAGCTTCGACGAGGAAGCCAAAGATACTTTTACTATGGCGGTGCCTCCTCTTCATTTGGTATTCAGCAAGCGAAAGAGACCAGTACCGAGTCAGTAAATGCGCCATAAAATTTACTACTTGTTTTCCATCGTGTCGGTCTGTCCACCCCTTACCCAAACCTCCTTTGGTAATACAACCTCGTACTGAGGTGACTCTGAGCTAGTCAATATTATCAAACAAGGACCAACCTGTCATTTAGTAATCAAGCTTATATGCAATTCAACGCAGACCATGATTTTTCTTTAGCTTCAAAGATCATTATGTTTCAGGACAGATTCCACTTGATTCATATCCCTGCTTTGCAGAAGAAGAGGAGATAAAACCAGAGATCTGATGAGAAAAGGAGTCTCCGGCAATCCATCCACAAACAAACCTTCTCAAAAAGGAAGTTGGTAAACTTGCTACCTCCATGATTCGAACCCTCAACCATCTAATTCCCTATATACTTACCCAAGGTGCTCCATAGCCATTCCATGATGCTTAAGTACTCCGGCCGGTTCCAACCCGATGCCGCATCCCATAGACAGTGACCCCTTTACACCCTTCTAACACATCCAAAAATGCGAATATAAGAGTTAAAATAATAGAATAGATGCTTGAGCTTAAGAATAATAACAACAAAAAACGAAATCCCCCAAAAAAAACTTGTGCCGGGGGAGGTGGGTCACCTCCCCGCTTCCCACCCACCCCCAACCCAAGGGTGTACCCGACCACAAGCGGAGCACTGACGGCCTGTAGCCTTTTGTGTTTGCTCCAGAGCACACCAGTAGCCACCACGAGTGGTGACCACTAGGCCATCGAAGGGGGGGAGTGATTGTTTGACCTGGAAGATGGTGATAACCCTTCTTTGTTCGATGCTTATTATAATTCGGATTCAGGCACGCCTGTACTCAACACGCGAATAGCCTCATCCACTGGGCGCCAAGCTTCGATTACGAGACTCCTGGACAAGCAAAACGAGGACAATCATTCTCATTCATCACTGGCTTTGCAAGGTCTTCAAAGACTCCGTGATCACACTAATCGTATCCTCTGGCTTGCTCAAAAACGGGCTATGGCTGGTATCCAACGACATCGTGGTGATATTGGCGCCTGCTTTCTTTGCACCCTGGACCATTGCCTGTTGGATCTGGACCGGAATCGCACCATCCTTCTGACAAAAAATGTACCAGACTGGCACGTCAGCCCATCCAGGATACATATTCACCGAATCTTTGAACGTGGCGGATGAGTGCTTCTGCAGACGACTCTTCCAGTAACTGACATCCTCGGGGGACAGATCATTGTAGAACAGCGCCTCGGGCTCCTGATCAATGACTTCCCAACCATCTGGCCCAGTATGGTGGAATGCCTCCGAAATATCGATCATGTCATACAGAGAAAGATCTGCCTGCGGCATAAATGCACACAGCTGGACGATTCCGATGACTTTGCCTGAGTTCGGGGTCAATCTTGTTGGATCCTTCTGAGTGAACCCTCTGACAGAGGAGCAGCCCACTGAGCCTCCGAATGAATGGTTGACCAACACAACATCGTTCCCCAGCGTGGTCTCTTCGGCAATCAGGGTCTGGATCTGCTGGATGGTGCTGGCGAGAGAATCGACGGGCTCGGATGTGCCACAGAAATCCAACTGCGGGGCGAAGCAGCGGTATCCTTGCTGCTTGAAGGCTGGGATCACCTTGGACCAGCACTCGGGGGTGTGCCAAGCTCCGTGGACAAAGATCAAAGAAGGCATGATTGAGGGTGTTGATAAGGTACAGACAGAAGACACTTGAGGATTTCTTGATCGTGCTAAGTAGGACTGGGCTAAGGAGTTCTGCTTTGGTTGGGGAAGAGAGGGGGTTTATAAAGACAGTCCCAAGGTCTACTAAATCGGGATCTCGGGGGGATGCTGTGCAAGTGGAGCCGTGGCGCGAGTAGTGCCGTTGCTGGTGGTTGAACCACAGCCGATCCGGTGATCCCGGTGCTGGGGCTCCACGACCTCATCAGGTGAAGATCAATGAATGATTTGATGTTCATTCTTTTGACTTTTACAGCCTCACGATGGCCAAGGACACGGCTTATTAGTTTTCAGCCTTCAATTTACAGCCACTAGCGGCAGGAACTGCATGTCAGCTCCAGCTTATGTGGCTTAGACCTTCGCACTCGGAGCTGTTTATGGAAACAAGGCGGGCAGAAACCTAATTGGATCTAGTTACGGGATTAACTTGGCATACCAGAGTAGCTTCAAGTGTACGTCTCGAAGGACAACTATGCAAGAAAAGGTGCACCAGTCAATGAAATTGATTGATTGAAATTTAAAATCCTACTCGCCTCCACTCCATCTCCATCAACACTTGTAGCCAACCAGCTGATCAACGGCCCCCAATTACCCCCCACACGCGTTTCCCAAGAAGGGCTGACATCTTGGCCTGCTGGTGTTCTGCATAGCAATGATCCTGAGGGATCATTACGATCGCAATGGATCAAAAGTCGTTGGTTCGATGCGATTCTGTGGCATGTGAACTGTGGGGGTGGGCTATCGAGCCCGAAAATCATCGCCCGGTCAGCCCAGTCGTGGGCGACCATTCATTGGCGAGGTGTATACTTCGGTATAATTTGGCCCAATCAGTGAAGAAGGGGCCCTGCTGATTCGATCCGGCACCTCAATAGCTCTCTCAATGGCTAAATGGGGCACGGTGGGTTTGAGGTCGTTCTTGACCTCCATGATACGTGAAGACGGCCTTGGAACCAATTCGACATAACGATATCTTTGCTTTCACGGTGCATATCAAGTCCTCTTGCTGATTATTGCGATTCGTGATCATCTCGCAAGTTCGTCTTCGGTGTCATCTCTGTGGTCCAATGAAATCCCGTAGTGCTCTGCTGCGGTAAAGCGCGCAACACGCTATGGGGTGCCAAGAGGGCAGGTTGCGACCTGGGGATACGCGTATGGGACATTGAGAAGTGATCATAGCCGGTTGACCACAAGGCAATAGAGGTGGAGGTGCAGTCGAGTAGGAGGGTGCGTCTCTCACGCGAGGAAGGCATTGAGAAGAAATTGACAAGCTCAATGGGGATGGAGGCAGGATGCCTCGACATCAATGGGAAAGCATGCAAGGATGGGATGGAGGACGAAGTATAACTCCCCACGGCATGACTCTCAGAACCTCGAAGAGAGCCACAAGGGATGAAGGGGAAGCGTCGGCTTTGTATAGATGAGGCGGTGAATGTAAAGCGGTGAAGGGAGCTTTCTTTTTTCTGCCGCTCCCCGCTTATCACGGCCGATGATATCTGAACGAGCTATCCCAAAAAAATCTAAAGCAACCGCGGGCTTTGTGAAACACATTATCATAGCTCGTGATCCTACCGATTCTAATCAGCCACCTTCTACGCACTCATCACTCCATTGAACCATCCGCCCATCATGGGCTCCACCGAGGACGATCCGGTCATCTCCTCCTACGACGTTTTCCTCACTGACTCCGAGATCTCTCGCTATGTCTTCCAATACCTCGATCGCCCACAATCCAAGCCATATAATGAAAGAAAGGGCCAAAAACCGACGGTCATGCGCATGAAGCCTGGGTCGGGTCTGGTCGAGCTTGACGTGCCCATCTTTACCCGATGCACCTACGATGCGGAGAAGGGACTTCGATACGGCGATGCCATGAAGAAGGGCCGCCTTGCGCGCAATGGCGGAGCTTACGGCATGGCTGGTGGCTTCAGCACTGGCGGTATACCTGGCAGTGGAGGACGAGTCAAGGCAGAAGGCAATGATGACATTGAGGTGTTGGACAACAAGAAGGCCATGGATCCGTCTTCAATAGTCAGGACACAGGCGCTGGGTGGGCGTATCAAGCCTGCAGAGGAAGGCGATCCAGTTTATATGCTGGCTACTTTCAAAGGAAGTAAGTTTTTCTCCCCTCATCCTCCCAGATAGAGAAATGGCATTCTGCTCGTGAGCATCGCTGATCAGACATCCAGAAAACTTGCATCTGTCCCCCGTGTCCGCCGTGGTCCAATTACAACCACAGGTTCACCATTTGGACGCAATGGATGAATTGCCCAAGAGCAAAGGTGCTCGGGGCAAGAAGGAGGACGAAGAACGTCCCGAGCCTGAGGCACGCGCCATCGACGTTAAGGTCAAGGGCGCAGATGATGGAGGCGCCATTCTTCACGGGAATCTTGATCTACTCAAGAAAATGCAAGAAGAGCAGTGGAAGAACTTCGAATGGATCGATGCAGAGGTAAGCGTTCGCCCTCGAGGTGGCCACCTTTTTACCCGTTAAGACCACGAATCTGAACTAATACGAACATCTTTCCAGACCGAGGACTCCTGGTATACCTATGAGAATTACATGATGAACCAGAAGCCTGATGATCTGCCCCAGTTGAAGGCTACTATCGACAGCGAGGATTATTTGGATGGTATGAGTGCTCCGCGGATTGATCCAGCGCGGCCCGAATTGACCGGATGGGCAATGAAACAAAACCGGCAAAAACAGATGGAAGGGCCCTCAGATAGCGAGGATGAAAGCTGAACCAGGTGGTATCATGCTCAAGCGTAGGATTAGAAATTGGCGTTCATAAGACTGGAGGGTTATCTTTAGCCCATGGGTTTCTTGCACTATGGGTAGCGAATGGACATTGATCACACTTTTCTGTCCTCTGTCTCCGAATGTTCTGCTGCAGTAATCCTGCATGTTATGCAATTATCTATCTTTCTACCTGTAAACGATATATCTTAATTGGAGTTACTATGCTATTGCTCATAGTTCAGAATATTGCCACCATGTAGATCTTGCCACCAATCAGCGGGAGCTTATCAGGGGTAGTCACGTGTAGTCACGCGTCCGCGACGCTTTTTTTCGCCGAGTCTCCGGCAGCTCTCGTGCTCAGCATCCCTATTCATCTTCACCCCCATTCCTTTCTTTACTCAACGTCGTTTTTCGCTCGGGTTCAGGGCTGCAGGACGGCACTCGGAATTTAAACAGCAGAGCCCTGATCAACCTAGAGAATACGCCCTCTCTTGGCTGTGTTGCGCATTTCTGCTTTTCGCCTGCATTATTTGCGTTCTTGTCGTTTTTCCTTTTTCACTTTGCCTCAATACCTTGCTCTTGATTCTTTCCATTCATTGATGGCACTCATCTCTCTGCTTCTTTAATCATCAATCCTTCAAAGCGATATCTCTTGCATCATGTTATCCCGAGTCGCCCGTCAGAAAAATGCGCTCTTCCACCTCCGGAAGGCGAATGCCGTCCGAACACTGGGCGTCTCTCCGGCAGTGCGCCTGCATTCAAACTCCAGCCGCCCAAGTTCAATCGTGAACTCACAATCTACCTCGACGCAAGAGCGGCCTCGAAGGCCATCCTTCCAGTCGCATCGCAACCTCGCTACCGCCACTGATCAATCCGTCCTCGAACACGGTTCCTACTTGGCTTTGGACGACTCATACACCCCGTCCATCGCTAGGCCATCGCCCTTCCAAACGACCGATTCCTTCGACCCATTCGATACTTCGTCCTTGATTGTCCTCAACGAAACCCCCCAAACCCAGCCCAAAATTCTCCGGAAAATTCGGGGAATTGGCGGCGATGAGGATGAAATGATGGCAAACTTTGACATGTCACTCCGCGTGGGTCGATTTGATCGCGCGGCAGCTTTGATCAGTCGATTGAAGGCATATTACCCTGTTGATTCCGCCGAGTTCCTGGCTCTGCATAATCAATATCTGAAGGCAATGGTCTCGCATATGATTATAACCCGGCAGGATGACATGGTTTTGCCATTGCAGAAATGGTTTGAAGTCGACATGCCAGCCGGCGGCGTGATGCCAGATGCCACTACATTTGCAGTCATGGTTCGCATGTCTCTTCGTATGCTGCACGGTTCTAAGCGGGACAGATCTGTCCGCAGGTACTGGGGCCTTGCCAAACAGGCAGACCTTCATGAGGATCTTTTGGCCAGCGAGGTCCTAACGGATCTGGATCTTGGTGAATTATCCAAGGTTGGTATTACTCATGGCTTCATTTTCGATAATTTCTTCGCAGTGGTGCTAATTCTCTCAACTCTCTCAGATCTGTTCCTCCGATTTAATCACACCCATGGATCCAGCTGGATTCGACGAGGAGTTCTCCGAGCAGTCCGTTGAAATCTTCGATAACATACCCGAAGTACTTGCCGCAGAGCAGAAGGGTCTGGGTTTGAGTTCTCTAAGGGAATCGCTGTCCTTGTTCTCTGAGGGTGCACAGATTGCTTTGCCCGAGGGTTTCAAGGGCACAGAAGAGGAGAAGAGAGAACTTTACGCCCAACTCCGCCAACAACGACTTGAATCCGACACAATGAGAACGGCTTCGAAGCGGTGGCGGGCCGAGTTCGAGGGCAGAGTCAAGGCTGGTGTGGATGTGGCTTCGGGTAAATCGAGGCTCAAGTCCGTCATGAGCCAGTGGCATACAGACCTTTCAGATGCTATTAAGAAAGAGATCAAGCTTGCTGAGGAGGCTGAGACCCAGCCAATGCGCACCGAGGAACAGAAGGCTCGGTGTGAGTATGGCGTTTACCTGCAGTCTCTGGACTCTGACCGTTTGGCTGCGGTCACAGTCCTCTCCGTCATGGATGTCTTCACCCGGCACGGAATGCAGAAGGGAACAAAAGTCTCGACTGTCGCCTCTTCTATCGGAAAGGGTGTGCAGGATGAACTAATTGCCGAAGCCTATCTCAAGAAAAATTCGACACCTGACACTCGCCGAGTCAAAATGGTCAAGGAAATGCTTGCTGGTCGCAGAAGCAAGGATGGACGACTACAGTGGAAGGCTGTGTCTGAGAATTTGCAGAAGGAACACGAGGAATACGCCTGGACGCCTCGTGTCACTGTCAGAATCGGAGCGGTTCTGATGGGCCTTCTGTTTGATGTTGCCAAGGCTCCTGTTAAGACCACAGATCCCACTACTGGAAACGTCACGACGACCATGCACCCGGCTTTCTTGCATGCCTACGAGATGAACTTCGGAAAGCGATTGGGACTCTTCCACATGAACCCTGAAATTATCGACATTATCAGCAGAGAGCCTCCGGCAGATCTCCTCGGCCGCCATCTTCCTATGATTTGCAAGCCACAGTCATGGACGGGAGCTAAGAAGGGAGGGTATCGCCTATACCAGAGCAACATTGTTCGATCCACGCCTGGTGAAACTTTGCAGCCAGCTTATGTGAAGGCAGCTTTGGAGAAGGACGGTCTCAAGGATATTCGGAAAGGACTCGACGTGCTTGGAAACACTGGCTGGGTTATCAACCGCGATGTGTTTGCAGTGATGCTTGAGGCATGGAACTCTGGAGAGGGTGTTGCAAGTCTGGCACCACTTGATCCAGATTTGCCCATTCCGCCCAAGCCAGAACCCGACGCGGGTTTCGCTGCTGAGAGGGACTGGCAACTGCAAATGCGCGATATTGAGAATCTTCGGTCCGGATATCACTCCATGCGATGCTTCCAAAATTTCCAGTTGGAAGTTGCGCGTGCTTTCCGCCATGAGACCTTCTATCTTCCTCACAACATTGACTTCCGCGGTCGAGCTTACCCGCTTCCCCCTTACCTCAATCAAATGGGTGCCGACAACGCTCGTGGTTTGCTTCTATTCAGCGAGGCTAAGCCACTAGGCGCAGGTGGATTGCGCTGGCTGAAGATTCAAATTGCTAACCTGGCCGGATTCGATAAGGCTAGCATGTCAGAGCGTGAACAATTCGCAATGGATCATCTTGAGGATGTTCTGGACTCTGCGAACAAGGGCCTCCATGGCAAGCGTTGGTGGTTGAAGGCCGAGGATCCATGGCAATGTCTGGCTGCCTGCTGTGAACTTCGCAATGCTCTGGCCCTTCCCGATCCGACGACCTATGCCTCTCGCCTCCCGATCCACCAAGACGGTTCCTGCAATGGACTGCAGCATTATGCTGCCCTTGGAGGTGACACGGTCGGTGCCCAGCAAGTCAATCTCGAGCCATCTGACCGACCTTCCGACGTGTACACTGGTGTCTCCGAATTCGTGAAGAAGTCGGTGGCCAAGGATGCCGATGAGGGCAACAAGGTTGCCCAGGTTCTGGACGGAAGGATCACTCGAAAGGTTGTGAAGCAGACCGTCATGACCAACGTGTATGGTGTGACATTCATGGGAGCTATGCGACAAGTGCGCCGTCAGCTCAATGACCACTTCCCCGATCTTTCCAACGAGATGAAGAAGGACGGCGCGCTCTACATTGCGCGAAAGATTTTCGAGGCCCTTGGATCCATGTTCAACGGTGCTCATGAGATTCAATACTGGCTCGGCGATTGTGCCACCCGCATCACTCAATCCTTGACGCCTGAGCAGATCGAGGCGATGGCAAATGAAGCCTTGTCGCCCTCCCAGCCTGCCGAGAAAGGCACTAGCACCAAGTTTGACCCGTCCAAGAAGTTCCAGACAACTGTTATCTGGACTACTCCTCTTGGTTTGCCCGTGGTTCAGCCATACCGCACCCGAAAGGCCCGTCGAGTTGTGACCTCGCTCCAGACTGTCAGCATCGTGGACCCCAGCGCCGAGGACGTGGTGTCCCGTCGGAAGCAGCTCCAGGCCTTCCCTCCGAACTTCATTCACTCTCTGGATGCCACTCACATGATCATGTCTGCCAACGCCTGCCAGGATGCCGGCCTTACTTTCTCTGCTGTTCACGATTCCTTCTGGACTCATGCCAGCGATGTCGACTCCATGAACAGCATCCTCCGCGACGCATTCGTGCAGATGCACTCTGACGACATTGTTGGACGCCTTGCCGCCGAGTTCAACGTTCGCTACGGCAAGAACTTGTTCCTGGCCAAGGTTGACGCCAACAGTGAAATTGGTCGCACTCTGCGGAAGCGCCGCAAGGCCAACGTTCGCAACGCCAGGCTTATCGAGTTGATTGACGAGCATCGTCGACAGACTTTACTCCGATCGGAGGACACTGCTGATCAGGCTGAAGGTCGTGCCATGGAAACCTCCGCTTCCATCTTTGAGAAGCTAGGTGGTACAGACAAGCACCTGGCTATGGCTAGCACCCTGGGTGAAACCACTGTTGGCCACGTCCCTGACGATCTGGCTGCCGCTGAGCGGGGGCCTTCCTCTAATGTCGATACCAGCGACCCGGCCATCCAGAGCCTGTTTACCGAGATCGACATGATGGACTCTCAGCCTTCCGCTGCTGAGGCTGAGGTCGACGACGCCATGGCGACAGATGATGGTACCAAGGAAGAGATGCAGCCGACGAAGAAGAAGCAAAGGCAAAAGCCGCACACCTGGCTCTGGCTGCCTCTTCGCTTCCGACCTGTTCCTACGAAGGGCTCGTGGGACCTGAGCCGGATTCGTGACAGCCAGTACTTCTTCTCTTGAAGAACCTTTCCCCTTCTTGGAGTTTGGTCGATGATTTGTGACGCATATCGTTTGGCGTTGGTTTACATTGGATCTGTTTATTTCGGTGGTTTTTGCCGATTGTATATTTAACCCTTGTGTCATTTTTGACTGAGGACTGTCTGGAAGGATGTCCTTCATATGTATATTACGTTGATGATTTGAGCATTGGCACGGCGAAGGAAAAGTACATACACTATCATGCATAATATTTTCGATCTGATCTATGTCCCTTTTCATGAGTTGCCGACTGATCTAGTGGAACACCTAGTCAGGTTCTTATCCAACCTAGGTCCAAATATGGGTACCCACGAGGAATATATACATGAACGATCGCTAACCTTCACAACCTCATGCGGCGCGAATTTGGCAACAAATTATCCTGATGGGAATGAACTGTGTGCTGGGAAATCTAACATGAGTGTTACGGTCGGCAGCTACTTCATTTGAAAGCTAGTGGCAGAGGATGTTGGAACTGATATTCAGTTTTTTTTTTTTTTTTTTTTTTTAAAGGAAAGTGGCGTCGACCCGGTCCCTGGAGGGACTCAAATTAAGCAGTATATAAAGATACAATCGCCTTTAGTCATCCATGATGATCGACTGGCCCAGTGGTGAAGGCGCCCGTCTTACACACGGGAGATCGCAGGTTCGAACCCTGCGTCGATCATTTTTGTCATCTGTCAATGACAGCGAGGTCAATTTTTGCTTCATTAGATCCAAATCACTGCGTGGAAGTTGACAAAGAGAGCATTATGTGGTGATAGACAGGAAAAGTACCAGTGATCAGATGAATGAACCAAATTCCAAAAAATCCCATTGACAAAGTTGTTCTCTCTCCTGAAGAAACTGTTCTCGACCGAGAGCGGAGTCGGTAATCACCGCTCTGTTATTGGTACTCCCTCGGTGAACAACTAGATACTACAGTACTACTAACTATAACAAGTAGTCTTTTCCAGCAGGTCAGTTACCAATTGCAGGCCATTGTTCTGGAATTAGTTAGGTCTAGTGGGATCATATACCTCTTTTTGAACATTGATACAACAGATCCCGAGTGACTCAATCTCATTCTTCAGACCGAATACTATGCATGCTATTCTCACTGAACTGCTCGACTCCCGAGCAAATGCCGACGGTGACGTGCTCAAGGGTGACTCAGCAAGGGTGTCACGGGATCCCCCGCACCAGCGTTCAAAGCGGCATGTTTGCAATGTTTGATTCTTGACATGCTCGATGTCGTGATCAACGGCCAATCAGACGTCGCATAATCTAACCCCGATGGCGGAGAACTGACTGGACGCTTGGGGGGAAAACCGAGTCGGCCACTTTTTTTTCTTTTGTGTTGTTGATAAATCAGACGAGAAAGTACAAGAGACACCAATTGTGTCGCTCCTTTGACTGCAATTGCTCTGCATCCTTGGTGGACCTGCATCAACCTGTGGGAGATCGCAGGGTGTGCTGATAAGCCCCAATATCGCTGGTGATTTACTCATCCCACCTGCTGCTGTGACTGTCACAGCATCTGCCAGCTATGGCATCTATTTCTACTGCTGCCGAGGCAGGTATGTGGCCCTCCGGTGCCCGAGTATCCAACATGATCTTGTCTAATATCGTTCCTAATATTAGTTGCGAGAATCGCCTACTTGTCTAGCGATCTCGTCCTGTCTGTGCAGCCCTCCCTCCTCCAGACGGACTCATTGTTCTCCAGGTCGCTTAAGTCCTTGAAGTCCAACAAGACTGCGAGCGCTCTGTCCAGAGGTACCCCGGTGGTGAGTCCAATGGCATCAAGTCAAGTCATCCTAAGCCGAGACAACGGAAGCTGATATACCCCGCTAGGTGCAAGCCGTTCGCCACAATGAGGACCCCCTCCTGTCGGCTTTCCACCCTCTGCGCAAAGGCGAGTCGGTCTCTGTCGTTACCGGATCCTCGGTCCTGATCACTGCCGTTCCTCACCTGTACCGCCTTGCCAACTTCCCCGTCGTTGTTCACGTCGCCCTCGAGTCCTCTCCATTCCCCGACTACTCCGTCATTAGCTCCATCCGCCAATGCGGTTTCACATTCCTGCACTCTGAGACTATCCAGGAGGCTCAAGATATTGCCTTGACTGCCCATGCTCTGGCTCTCAAGTCTGGTAAGGGTGTCATTCACTTCTTTGACCCCGCCAACTCTGTCAAGGATACCCCAATTGCCGCCGAGGATGTCGAGGTTGTCAAGAAGATCCTGAACCTGGGTGGAAATGTTGCTACGCACACCTCCACCGGAGCCGAGACTTTGTATGCCGACTCTGGCCGTGCTGCCACGGTCTCTGCCGATGTGGAGATTGCTCCTGCTGGTCAGGGCGAGGCGTCCGCTGGGTTGACCGTCCCTTCTCAAAACCAGACTCCTCTGGCTGTCAGTGTTGATAATTCTTCCGTTGGCTCTTCACGCCGGGAGAGCAGTGCTGGAAGCGAGGCTCCTAGCTCCACCGCCACCACTGTGGACTACTCCAGCGTTCGCCCGGTCAACGCTGCCGACGTCTTTGAGTGGACCCGTCAGATCTGGACTGCCTTGTCAAGGGAAGTGGGCCGCACTTATAATGCCATTGAATATACCGGCCCCGCTGATGCCAAGTCTGCTGTCTTCATTTTCGGCTCTACTGGTGTTTTCGCCGATGCTCTGTCCCAAGCCGAGGCTGGCAGCGAGCTTGAGAACATTGGTCTCATCACTGCTCGTCTGTACCGCCCCTGGGTTGGCGCTCAGATTGTGAACTCCATTCCCACCTCGGTGGAGAAGATTGCCGTTCTGGAGCAGGTCCGCAAGACCACTAGGTGGGGCCCGTCCTTCATGGATATTCTTTCTAGCGTCACCCCCTCCTCCGTCCGGGGACAGGCTCTGAAGGTTGTTGGCTACCGTCTGGGATACGTCGAGCCTTCCACTGCTGTGCAGGCCCTCCGTGGCATTGTCCAGAACCTCCAGGCCGCATCTCCCATTCAGAATTTGGATATTGGCAGCTCCCAGGCCCCCGCTGTTCAGGCAGCCCTCGAGCAGCCTCACATTGAGAATGCATACCTGAAGATTCTGAACCAGCTCTTCGGCGAGCGCCTTTACATCGCCAACCAGCTTGGTGCTAAGAACGCTGGCATTTCTTCAACTATCGCTGCTAGCCCAGAGTATGGCTTCGGCTCTCTGCTTGCCCGCAAGGAGCACCGCGAGCGTTTCATTCGGGAAGTTGAGGAGGCCTCCAAGTCTTCCACCTTTGCCACCGATGTGCCCAAGACTTGGCTCTCTCGCTGGGCTCTGAACGTCAAGGATGCTTCCAAGGCTAACAAGCTTGCTCCTGAGGTTATTGCTCGTCTCTCCAACGACGGCTCCAAGCTGTCTCGCGAGCTTCTGTCATCCAAGAAGCTGTTCTACGAGGAGTCTCAGTGGCTCATTGGCTCCGATGCCTGGGCTTATGATCTTGGCAACTCTGGTGTGCACCATGTCCTCGCCTCAGGTGCGAATGTCAACATGTTGATTATTGATTCGCAACCCCACTCCGAGCGCACTGCTGCCGATCCTACCCGCCGCAAGAAGGACATTGGTCTTTATGCCATGAACCTCGGTAACGCCTATGTTGCCTCCACTGCCGTGTACAGCTCTTACACCCAGGTTCTTCAGGCTATGGCCGAGGCCGAGCAGTTCAACGGTCCCTCTGTTGTTGTCGCCTACCTCCCCTACCACCAAGAGAATGACTCTGCCCTCACCGTTCTCCAGGAGACTAAGAAGGCTGTCGACCTTGGCTACTGGCCTCTGTACCGCTGGAACCCCGCTAACGAGGAGAAGGGCGAGCCCAAGTTCGCTCTTGACTCCGAGCGCATCAAGCGTGAGCTTGAGGAGTTCCTTCGCCGGGACAACCAGCTCACCCAGTTGATGAACCGCCAGCCCAAGTACTCGTCCGTTCTGTCCGAGTCGTACGGTACCGAGGTCCGTGCCCTGCAGAAGCGCAAGGCCAAGGATTCTTATGAGAAGCTTTTGGATGGCCTCTTCGGTGCTCCTCTGACCATTCTCTTTGCCTCCGATGGCGGCAATGCCCAGAACATTGCCAAGCGCCTGGGTAACCGTGGCCGTGCCAGAGGTCTGAAGACCATGGTCATTGCCATGGACGAGTACCCCATCGAGGATCTGCCCACCGAGGAGAATGTCGTTTTCATTTCTTCCACTGCTGGTCAGGGTGAGTTCCCCGTGAACGGTCGCAGCCTTTGGGAGCACGTCAAGAACTCGGGAGATCTCGATCTTTCTTCCATCAACTACTCCATCTTCGGTCTGGGTGACAGCCACTACTGGCCCCGCAAGGAGGACAAGATCTACTACAACAAGCCCGCTAAGGACCTTGACGCTCGCGTTGCCTTCCTGGGTGGTCAGAAGCTCACTGATATCGGCCTTGGTGACGACCAGGACCCCGATGCTTACCAGACTGGCTACTCTGAGTGGGAGCCCCGTCTGTGGAAGGCTCTGGGTGTTGACAATGTCGAGGGTCTACCCGAGGAGCCTGCTCCCATGACCAACGAGGATATCAAGATTCAGTCCAACTACCTGCGTGGTACCATCGCCGAGGGTCTTCTGGATGAGTCTACAGGCGCCATCTCCGCCAGTGACCAGCAGCTGACCAAGTTCCACGGTACCTACATGCAGGACGACCGTGATCTTCGTGATGAGCGCAAGGCTCAGGGTCTTGAGCCCGCGTACAGCTTCATGATTCGTTGCCGTCTGCCCGGTGGTGTTGCCACTCCTACTCAGTGGCTGCAGATGGACGCCATCAGTAGCTCTCACGGTAACGAGACGATGAAGCTCACTACCCGCCAGACCTTCCAGTTCCATGGTGTTATCAAGCGTAAGCTTCGTGGCGCTATGCAGGCCATTAACAAGTCTTTGATGGATACCATTGCTGCTTGCGGTGATGTTAACCGTAACGTCATGTGCAGTTCTTTGCCCGAGCTGTCGGCCTTCCACCGCGAGACCTACGTTTGGTCTCAGAAGATCAGTGAACACCTCCTTCCTTCCACCACCGCTTACCACGAGATCTGGTTGAAGGATGAGAACGACAACAAGGTCCAGGTGGCTGGTGATGCCGTTGTTGACCACGAGCCTCTCTACGGCCCGACTTACTTGCCCCGCAAGTTCAAGATCACCATCGCCATTCCCCCTCACAACGACACTGATGTCTACGCCCACGATATTGGTCTGATCGCCATCAAGGGTGTTGATGGCCACCTTGAAGGTTTCAACGTTCTGGCCGGTGGTGGTATGGGTACAACTCACAACAACAAGAAGACCTACCCTCAGACTGGTCGCATGCTCGGATTCTTCCCCGCGGACAAGGTCCACATTGCCTGCGAGAAGATCATGCTCGTCCAGCGTGACAACGGTGACCGCAAGAACCGCAAGCACGCTCGTCTGAAGTACACCATCGACGACATGGGTGTCGATGTCTTCCGCAGCAAGGTCGAGGACCTTCTGCCGGAGGGTCTGCGCTTCGCTGAGCCTCGCCCCTTCCACTTCGACTCGAACGTGGATACCTTCGGCTGGATCAAGGATGAGACTGGTCTGAACCACTTCACCTTCTTCATTGAGAACGGTCGTATCGAGGATACCGCTGACTTTGCCATGCGCACTGGTCTGCGTGAGATCGCTTCCCTCAACAAGGGTGAGTTCCGTCTCACCGGTAACCAGCACCTGATCCTCTCCAGGATCACTGATGAGGACCTCCCCATTGTCAAGGAGGTTATGGCCAAGTACAAGCTTGACAACACCTCCTTCTCTGGCATGCGTCTGTCCTCGTCGGCCTGTGTTGCCTTCCCCACTTGTGGTCTGGCCATGGCCGAGTCCGAGCGTTACCTGCCCGTTCTCATTTCCAAGTTGGAGTCCACTCTTGAGGAGAACGGCCTGGGCCGGGACAGCATTGTCATGCGTATGACTGGTTGCCCCAACGGTTGTGCTCGCCCCTGGCTCGCCGAGGTGGCCTTCGTTGGTAAGGCCTACGGTGCTTACAACATGTACCTGGGCGGTGGTTACCACGGCCAGCGCCTGAACAAGCTATACCGCTCCTCTATCAAGGAGGATGAGATCCTGGATATCATGAAGGGTCTCCTCAAGCGGTACGCTCAGGAGCGCAACACCGATGGCGAGACCCCCGAGCGCTTCGGTGACTTCTGTATTCGTGCTGGCATTATCAAGGCCACCACTAACGGACAGAACTTCCACGAGGGTGTAAGTGCCATCTGATCGTCCCATATTTGAAACTTTGAGTTCTAACCTTTCTCTACAGGTCGCGGAAGAGGATGAGGATGAGGAGTAAATAAACCGGACTTGATCCAGCCGAAAAATGTCCAACGTGTCATGACCGCCACGGAAATTTGATAAAATGTTTCTTCTTTTCTTTTGCTATAATATTGTCCTTTTCACTTCTTTAGACGCATTGTTTGTTCTCGGACTTTATGCTCGTGCAATTACTTCCAATGTACCCATTTGATATCACTCTTCTTTCTTCATGTACTCATGTACTCACGTTCTATATCTGCCTCGAAAATGAATACACTTCAACTTTGAAACCTCGATAAAGTTCAAAATCATCCGATCAATCAGGAACTAAACGACAGACGAAAACCGATACCCGAGCTATCGGAAGAAAAAGTCAAAAGACATTGACTGATGTCTCAAAAGAGGATATCGAAGCATATCTGGGTGGGACCGTTTCTCTGTTCTCTCTAGACACAGACTTTTGAACGGCCACTGTAAGTATGCTTTCTACCTCTTGTTCATTCAAGCTCTATAATTTCCCCCAACGACCTTAGCAGAGATAAAAACGAGGTATCCAACCCCATAATCAAAACCTCCTCACCCTCATCTTCCTAAGCACCCCCTTCCAAATCCCAATAAAAAACGCCTCCAAAACCATCTTCACAATCCACCTCGTACTAGGATCACTCATCCCCCGATCCCAATATTTCTTAATCGTCCTCCCAAACCTCGAAGACTCCAATTCCTGCGGACTAACCCTTATAGAGTCCATCCCATGCCGAACCTCATATAACGCCGGCCCAGAATTATCAATCCACAGTGGTGGTGGAGTCTGGAGTGATGTTCTTGAATTCTGCCAAATTTGGTGTCGGATTCGGCTGAGAATTGCGTGCATCACTTTCCAGGTCAGACCGTATTCGAGGAGCCCGATTATGCCGCCGGTTGTGGACATTAGTTCTTCGAAGGAGACGTGGAATTGGTGGGTTGGTGTGCCGACGAGGTAGATGCCTGCGGCGTCGAATTGGATGCCGAACATCTGGGGGAGATGGAGTGGTTGAGATGGTGGTGATGATGGTATGGGAGTTTTGAACGATGGTCAAACCTCCTGAAATGTTTGTTTTTGATAGTCTTTGCACTTGTACAAAGTATCTTGCTCAGCCCAATGGGCCACTAGCATCTTCTTCAAGCATTAGCACTCAAATCTACAGCAAATGCAAAGCGAGTATATGAATGAGATGAGATACATACCATCAATCCGAGACCACTGATATGGAGCACACATCATGGGAGGAGACTATAGGGGGTTGAAAGCACTTTCGAAAATCTCATAGAGCGGATCACTCGAATATTAAATAGCCCAGCACTTTCATTCATTTAATGCTGCACAGGAGAGTCTCGACGCCGCCTCTCAGCCACAGCCTAAAAGGGCGATGATCATAACTCTAATTCACCATCCATGTTCCGCTTCTCGTTATCGATGGCTTTTTTTAAGAAGATAGGTACCCACTAGGATCTCCGCGGGCAAACTCCTGGTGATATCGGGCATTCGTTGGGCACGGTTCTCGCAAGCAACCCACCAAGGTGCAAAAGGCGACCCAAAATCAGGGGCTGATCATGTCGTTACCTGTCACACGCAGCTGCAGTGGCGTTCTTGGCGGGTTAGGATCGTGACTATTTCGAAAGAAGTAAACAGTGCTTATTTCTTTGTCAAAGAGGCAATCTGATAGGTATCAATCCTGGATGAATAATGAGGGGGAGAAGGTGGGACTTGGTTGTACAGTCGAGGCTGGAGACCTGATAAATTGTGATAGCCATGAGAGTGGATACATGGATTGTATGGTATATGGTAAATAGCTATAGTAATTGCAGTGTACAATGCTGTAAAATGTTCGTCACCCCGAGGCGCCAGTAAAAGACCCACTTCCATATCAGGCCAGTGCACATGATCCGAACGCCGAAAAAGAAATATGCAAATCAAGAGCTAGGACTGATTCGAGTCCTAGATCGATTCCCAGTGATAGGCCAATCGTTCCGAATCCCATCACAATTCCCTAAAATCCGAAACGCCGTAAGTCGTAGACCCCCGACACGAAGACCGGGTGACGTGCTCGACGTAAAGCCGAGATTTTTGACGAAAAGATTCCAAAGAATCTAGCATTGTTGACTTCCAAGTCGGAATGCGGCTGAGAACAATTTTCCTGCTGCATGGAAACACTGTCTGGCGAAGTTCTGGCGATTGTTTGCTTCACATATGCAGGCAAGCGATGCAATGAACACCAATGCGGGGCTGCAGATCTGGGTCGCTTGCTGGAGGTGATGAATGACCTCGTACGCTCGACTGAAACATTATTAAGGACTGGGGAGAATCCAAGGCTCGAGAAGGGAGCGACGGAGGGTTCGAGTAGGAAAGAGAGGAACCCAATCGTGTTGAGGTTTGCACCCAATCGTGCATTAACATCGCCGTGGACGAATGTAGATTTTGATAATCACTTAGCGAGGCTCACTCCAGTCCTGCATCTTCACATTCATGCCAGGAACATGCTCGTGGATGGTTTGTTGTTGAAGTGTGGCGTCCCGGACGATCGATGGAGATGGCTGAGGAGGACCAGTTCCCGAGCGACGTCTGCGTTCACGCTCCAAAGGACCGGGCAGTTCCGTGCTGTTGGTGGTGCGGTTACGGAATTTTTGACCCAAATTTCCCAGCCAGTTGCCCTCCTCCTCTTCACCGAGCCAGTAACTGCGACCAATACCGACCATAACACGACCAAGCTTGCCCTTCCATCCCTGGCCTTCAGGGCTGGTTCCCGAGAAAGGCTCCCGGTCGATGTCGGCAACGCTTGCGACCGAGACATTGCGGCTATGGGTGGGTAGTTGTGTGTGGCGAGGAATGACAACCCAGAGGCGAAGGGTCTGGCGAGCAAAAGCAAGCATCACGAGGACAAAGTAGACGCGCATTACCCACAACAGGCAGATAAAGACGATGCTTTGGAAGCTTTCGGGCTGGTAGACGGCATTGCTGAGGGGGTCGGCGCTACGAGATGGATGGGCGATGAAGTTATTGCCCTCCTTTGTGTTTTGGATTTCGACGTAGGCGGCATCGTACTTGGGGCTGGTGAAGCCGGCGGTCTGTGCAATCGTTTCGCTGCCTGGACCGGAAACCTTGCCACTGTCGTAATGCTGAGATACGACAAGGAACCACGTCACACCAAAGGCTGCAGTATAGGCCGCATTGATGAGACTGTCGAGTAGGTACAGCCAGGCAAGAGCGAGACACTCGAGTGGTGATTGCTTGCGGATGTGCGGGAAGAGCAGAGCGGCGAGGGCGAGGGCGATGAGGGAGTAAAGGTACATAGACAGCTGAACCGGGGACAGGTGGTAGCCTGTCAACAGGGCTAGCAGGCCATATAGGCCACTGATCTTGTTGAGTAGTAGCGACAGGGTAATCAGCGACGCGCCTGTCTCGAGGCTCATTACATAGAGAAAGGACTGTCATCAAAGTCACGGGGTGATTAGCTTTGGGGCCACGGATAAGATCGCGAGATTTGCGACCGACACATCAAGGGCTCACCTCTGGCCGCGGAATGCGGAGATACCGGGATGAGAATCCCATGATGGGTAGAGACCTGAAGGGCCGAGGAATGCAAAGGTGGGCGATAAGGAGGGATGTATTATGTACGAAAGATGGAGTAGACAAAAACGAAAGGGCGGAGTGTGGAGGAAGAGAAAAGGCTGGGACTTTGAAGGTGTTTCGGGCTGAAAAAGGCCCAGGGGGACGCCAAGTTTCCTAGGTTTCCGGCCGATCCGTGCAGATCACCTGCCCGATTGCGACCGCTTATACGCAGCACTTTTGCCCATTCAAGTATGTGCATTACGATGTGTTTTATGCAGCTCTATACGAGAATACGAAAATATTGAAGATGAAGAGAAATGACAGAAAAAGCAAGAAGGGAGTCTTTCGTTTCTAGTCTTGGATATTCCTTATCCCTCTCTCATTGCTGAACTACAGCCGATTTGTAAGCTAAATAAGTTACAGTCCTGAATCTCAGACACCCTTAGTCTCTCCGATGTTATACCTACTGAAGTCTGCGTTTATGGAGGCTCAGAAGGCTTGAGAACAGTTTGATTTCTTTCGTTTTGTAATTAGAATACTTGACAAAAATGGAACTGGGCCAGGCCGATTGCCAATCCAACCAAGCTCAGTGACTATTATCATGAAACAATCGAGAAATTAATTATTTTAGTTCCTTTCCAGCACAAATATCTTCGATCAACGAAAATCTAGCTAAAGTCTCTGGTCACAGAACTGCTTATTACAGGGCATATATACGCTGGTGTCCCATGAAAGACACAGCCCGTCGAACGAACACAATCAATACCTGTATCGCCCGGGTCTAACTTGGAGGAAGTAAAGCAGGGTCATAAGACATACCGGAATGACGCACGATGCCATGAGCTTGGAAGAATGTATATGATCATAGTGTCTGTGAAGGCTGTTCTGACGTACAGGACCATTCGCCTTTACATGTCAAGAACGACCTAAGCTCAAGTGTCATATTCGCGCAAAGCTAGGCGGTATGTTTAAATTACAAAACGCCAGCATTTGAGCAATATCAGGAAGCTAAGCAATATACAGTGAGCGCCACAAAAATCGTAAAAACTGGCAAAGTGAAATTAGCCTCATGACGGTACCTACCATGTATGCCCTGGCAGCACAGACCTAGAAGTTTATCGAATTTAAAGCTGATGCTTATGTTAGACCAAGATAGATAAACAATGCCCTTCAACCCTATCAAACAAGTATTATATTGCTGGTTTGTATATTCTTTATTAAATGGAAGCTTCAAAGGATGTTCGCACAGTCACTGTACCTCTGCCGCCTCGTTTAATATCTTCCTGAGGCCTGATGAATACAGACTACTTAGCGGCAGATATCTCTATTATCCTCTAAGTTACGCTGAATGTTCCATTGGCTAGTCAATAAATCGTGATCCTCGTATCATTTGCGGAAGCTACGTGTCGCAGAGCTACTGCCATCCGAAGGCAAGGTACTCTAGATCGAAAAGATCTATCTAAACTTTAACAACTCGTTTTCCAAATCGGCTGGAGATGATTTCAATATTGAAATTATTGCCTTTCAAGCAACCAAGTAGCTCGCTAAGCACTATCGAGTACAATATTTTAATCGTTTTGACCCAGAGTGCCTTTCGACGCCCAAGTATGGCACAGATGTTGGGCCAAATCTGTTCACTTTCGTATTTGTCTATATTGAATAAACTAGTTGATACACGAGCTCCGAGGCAACTTGATGATTTCGTCGTTATTGCTATCGAATGTGGTCTATTGGATATCAGAAGTGCGTTGCAGTCAATTTCGTCAGTAGACATATCTCGCTGATTGCTGGATCGATACCACGCTCATCATAGAGTGGACTTCGCGTAGCTTTGATTATGACAGATTTTCAAAATCATCTTAAAAGACCAAAGAGATGGCCCATGGGCCATCAAGAAAGACGATTAACTGACTTTGAGAAAGATCTTTTAAAGAAAAGGAAGTGGTAACACATCTAGTTGGCCCATTTCTCTGGTCTCCAGATTCAGAGTTTTGGGCTGCCACTGTATTATGAATCAATCAATTTCATTTTAAATTAATGATTGACCTCTATGAGCTTCAATACAAGCTGCTATGTAAGCAACATTGATGACGATGTCGGAAGTCCGAGGCAACATCTATATGCGGCCCGAATAACCGGGGTGCTTGGACCCAAGATTCCTGGAAGATTCCGACAAGGCTTGCATGCAGATCATATCCACTGCAGGGCTTTCTTTTGTATATTTTCACTGCGTTATTATTATTTCACACGTGCAGGACATTCCGTATCACCCTCACGAACATTCCAGAGTTTTCGCAAGAAGCCATATACGTACCTATTTCTAGCTACTACATAACCACGCCACCCCTTAGGCATCTATGAACAGGGGGCGTAAAGGCGGCTGTCCACTAGAAAAATTATTAGCCAAACTCCACCTTTTGAGGATTCTGAATCACTGGGGCCAATGGATGACATCAGTCCCGTCGCGGTGCACACATTTTCCCACTAGCGTGGGACCAGACCCACCAAGTGTGAGAACGCCGTCTTTGGGGGAGGCGATGGTTGCATCGAAATTTTTGAATAGTCACTTTTCACTCAGGAACCATTCTAATAATAAGGACACTAGACAGTTTAACTTGCGGATGAATTGTCCAATCTCATGCGCTAGATCTTTAATCTAGTCAGATTAAATACGAGCACTGGAAAACTTTGCTATACTAATCCTTCATATCGGCAGTTACTTTACGAGGTGAAGCCGCCGAATGGTGGGTCTGGACGGTTAAGTCGGGATCTTGGTCCATTTCTGACCCCGTTTTCTTGTTCCAAGCCCCATCGTGGATGAAGGTGACCTTCTGTTTATATTGACGGCTTGAGTCGCTGCCTAGAAAATCTTCTTCGATCTTTATTCACTCCGTTATTCACCTATCCCGAGGCGCCGCGACGTGCCAAAGCGTCTGGGGCGCTAGCTTAAACTCTGACCCCTCACTGTCAACCATCAACTGTCAGTCATCATCATTATCATCATCATCACTATCATCATCGCACAATCACCATGAGCAACAACCTCGACCACGACCTCGAAGTCGCCGAGGTCGAGGCGGACCCCAAGAACCAATCCTCAGGATGGGACGAGGAAAAGCCTCGATCCTCAGCCGAGGCTGCTAGGCCTTCGACATCAGGATCTAGTATGTCCTCGACTGGCTCGAGTAGCTCTGTCGAGTACAACCCAAACTTCCATAGACTGCAGTCGCGGAATACAGAAATTGACCTTGAGCGCCGACGATCAACACTTTCTCAGGCGCTGAGCCGGATAGAAACTCAACGGCTTCAGCATTCCATGACTGTGGGTGAAAGCGTCAAGTCGCGACCATCCAAGCTTCCTCTACCCGCATTTGGTGCTGGCAAGCCTTATCCTCCACAGCTGCCAAACCGGGAAGATTATGTTGTTGAATTTGATGGACCGGATGATCCTCTATACCCACAAAATTGGTCACTAAAAACGAAGTAGGTCTTCTGTCCGTCGATACTGATTGATGAGATTACTGACAATGCATGTTTTCCAGAGTTTGGATCAGCGCAATGCTAGCTTTCACCAGTATCTGCTCAACATTCGATTCCGCCGTTTTCAGCTCTTCTTCTAAAGCCGTTGCCAAAGTCTTCGGTGTTGGTCTCGAAGTCTCAACTTTGTCCAGTTCACTTTACATCTGTGGTTATGCCACCGGTCCTCTAATCTGGGCCCCTTTATCCGAATTGAAGGGTCGTCGCCCACCAATTATCTTTGCCATGCTTGGATTTGGCATTTTCAATACGGGTGTTGCAGTCGCTAAAGATTTGCAAACCCTCCTGATTTGTCGTTTCTTCTGTGGTGTATTTGGTAGTTCGCCTCTGGCAGTTGTGGCAGCTGTCTTTTCCGACATTTACAACAACCGCACTCGTGGTATTGCTATTGCTTGCTTCTCGAGTACAGTTTTCTTGGGCCCTCTTATCGCGCCATTCATTGGTGGATTTATCAACATGTCTTACCTTGGTTGGCGCTGGACCGCCTATATCCCAGCTTTCATGGGATACGCTGCTTTCGTCATGAACCTGTTCTTCCTGAAGGAGTCCTATCCCCCAGTGGTTTTGGTGGATAAGGCTGCGGAATTGCGCCGTCGCACGAAGAACTGGGGTATTCATGCAAAGCAGGAGGAAATCGAGGTCGACCTGAGAGATTTGGTGATTAACAATTTCTCCCGTCCTCTGCGACTTCTCATCAACGAGCCCCTGATTCTCGCGGTGACAGTCTACCTCAGCTTCATCTACGGACTTCTCTACTGCTTCTTGACTGCGTACACCCTCGTGTTCCAACAAGTTCACGGTATGAATGCTGGAGTCAGTGGCTTGCCCCTGTTTGGCATGGTGGTCGGCCTTTTCATTGCTGCCTCATACATCATCCTTTCCAGTGGAGCATACGTTCGCAAGCTAGATAAGAATGGCGGTATTCCCATTCCCGAGTGGCGTCTTCCACCAGTCATTGCTGGTGGTGCACTTTTCGCTGCTGGAATTTTCTGGTTCGGATGGACTGGATTTAGCAGCGAAATCCACTGGATTGTGCCCACGCTTAGTGGGTTGTTTACTGGATTTGGCCTCTTGATCATTTTCATCCAGCTATTCAACTACCTGATTGATACCTATCTTATGTTGTGAGTACCCCCCACATCGTCTCCAAAATATCTGAAAAACCACTCTTCTAACCATTACATTCAGTGCCGCTTCTGCCATCGCCGCCAACACCTTCTGCCGTTCCATGGTGGCAGCCAGTTTCCCCCTTTTCTCGCGCCAAATGTTCCAAAACATGGGTATACAGTGGGCCTCCACACTGCTCGGCTGTCTCGCCGTGTGCCTAATCCCCATTCCCGTGGGATTCTACTTCTTTGGAAAGAAGATGAGAATGAAGAGCAAGTATGCGCCATTCTTTGAGCCCGCAACTGAGGCGCATGCTGTGGAGCAGGAAGAGGATTTTGAAGAAAATGAGGCAGAAGAACGTGCCTGAAAAGATACCCCCAAAATATGGATGATTCTAAGCCCTGAATGGGTTTAAAAATAATCAATTTAGTTAATATTAGAGATAAGCATGTGCTTAATACAGTGAATAATGTTCTGCTGCCAATGGAGCCGTTGACCTACCATTAGAAGCATAACCACTAGTAGCCGAGTCTCACTCCGAATCAATCAATAAACGTAGATCAAGCATAGTCAAAATAAAGTAGTCTATAAAAAGCAATATATTAGTCCACTTGAACGTGGTTGGCTCGGATTTTTACCATATTTTAGTCATCCATGCATGCAATCCATGGGCATCTTGGCTTCTAGGGGTCGTTTTTCCGAGTACCCATTGACCCATTCTAGAAATAAGGCTTGGTATTCGCAATAATGGAGAACTTTCCTTTGTTATTCGAATATGAGGCTAATGACTGTAAGGAGACACATTCTTCCGGTTGTAATCACGTATGCCAAGTCTTATGGATATAGCCTGACTATCCAGGCACGTCGTGTTGTCTCAAGTTAGGCAGAAGCAGAATTCTGGCTGATAATTCTCGTAATATGACCTCTGAATCATACCCGAAACTGTTGCTAGTCAGCGACTCCATGAATCAGTAAAGCAATATTTCGTCGGCGCCTGGGATGCGGAGATGCCTATGCTGTCTCTACAGCCGTTGAGTAAATTGAATTGTAGATTGAATAGGGAGACATAGACATATTTTGTCGTTTATCTTTTCGGGCTTGCTTTGTTTTTTCTCATTCGGGCAGTCCAGGAGAAATTACGGAGGTCTAAAATTTAATTTTTTGTTTATTAGAACACTGTAGTGCCGTGAAGATATTATATTGTACAGCTTCAGAGACGATACCATACGGGATATGTTAGCTTATAGGGCCAAAGTAGCCATGGACAGCCCGGAGATCAGATCAAGAGAAGCGACCCTCCAGTATGATCAAGGGGACAAAGTAGTATGTAGTGCGGAGTAGACAGAAATCAAAACGCCCACCATCCGCGCAAGAGCTCACCAAAGAAATTGAGGACGCAACAGCCGCATTCAACACTGAAAGATCTAAAGGCACGCTATTCACCTGGCGAGCAAAGGAGAAAGTGGGGGAAAACATGTACATCTTAAAAGAATCGGTGCAATATCATGGACGGACTCGATTGTCATCATCGGTCGGAAATGTGTAAATGAAAGGCATAGATAGAGGGGAGGTGCTTTAGCATGCGCAGCCCTCGTTGTTGGTGGTCTCCTTCGGGTGGATGTTGACATCGATCACTGGAAGTAGTAGCCCCTTGGTTAGTATGCGTCATCATAAACTTGACAGGGCTCTGTAGAATCGACATACTTGTGCTCTCTCCCTGCTTGGCCTCGCCATCCATTCCAGGCAGAGCCTGGGCAATCCTTCGGAACAGTTGCTTCACGTTGTGTCCGACCTTGGCACTGGTTTCGATGAACATCAGGCCATTCTTCTTTGCTTCCTCCTCACCTTGTGCCGTAGTGACTTCGCGCTTGTCATTCAAATCGGTCTTGTTGCCCACCAGCACAATGATCACGTCATTTCCACGCTCTCCACGAACATCGTCGATCCATTTCCGGGTGTTTTGGAAGGATTTGGCGTTGGAAATATCGTAAACCACGACTGCGACGCTTGAGTCTCGGATGTAGGAAGGAATCAGGGAGCGGAATCGTTCTTGACCGGCGGTATCCCAAAGCTGAAGGCGGACAGTTCGGTCTTCCAAGTACATAGTCTAGAGCGAGAGATAAGACCAGGCATTAGCATCGATAGTTCTTGTAGCAATAGCGGCAGCAAGTCCGGAGGGGTGGGCGGGGCGAAGTTCGAGGAAACGTACCTTGGACAAGAAGTCAATGCCGATGGTGGCCTGGTATGTGTTGTCGAACGAGTCGTACATGAAGCGGGTGATCAGGGAGGTTTTGCCAACTAAATTCATTGTTAGAATTGCTATTCGGGCTTTCGTATCTTCCCTCTGGGGTTATGGGTGGCATATGCGCCTCGGGATAGCCATACCGCTCTGTTCTCCCAAGAAGACCAGCCTGTTTCCTGTTAATAACACTCTTCCTAATGGAAGTAATAGCAAATCCTGGAATACACCCACTTGAACTTCTTCAAAGGGTTCGAATACGACCCTACCCCAGAACTGGAGGCCATGGCGATGGTTGTGTTTGTCGAGAGGGAGAGGGGTGAACTCAGGGGGATCCGGGTCAAAAATGCGCGGCGCCACAGAACCGAGGACTGGTCACGCAGCAATAACACCGAGCACCCAAAAAAAGGATTGCAATGGTCGATATGTGAAAGGACCAAAGCAGCAGGCAGAATGTAATCGATCAACTTCAAGATGCGGGCAGTTGAAACGGGCCGTGGATCTGGGGAAACAGACAAGGCCACCGCCCCAAAAACGGAGCAGTTAATCCGCTCCGACCGAGCCACTGAGTCCATTCCTCCACTCCAACTCCGAAGCAGAGCTGAAGCTCCCTTATCGGCGCGCCACTTTCACCCACCCGCTTCGAGGCCTTTTCACTCTTTCGTCTTCAGGTTGTCAGTGGTCGCCATGTATTACAACTACTCTTATGGTGTCGTGACGACCGCCTTCGTGGTGGTCGGGTTGTGTATGTTTAGCCACATCTCCGAAAGCTTGGGAGGTCCGACAGCTAATCCGATGATCTTCGACGTACAGATATGCTCTTCCAGGGAGATGGTGAAGCTTTCAATGTATGACATCTATTTCCGATCCTGCCGAAGCTTCTTTCGTTCCTTGCCCGCTGACATGATGCCTAGGTCGGCCGCTTCCTAGAGGAGGTATCTCCTTACGCCTGGGCCAACATTGGTATCGGTTTGTGTATTGGTTGTTCGACGATTGGTGCTGCATGGTATGTTTGGACTGGATAGCTCGAAACCACGACCACGGTGGCTAACGGATTGGCTTTGCGTTGACACAGGGGTATCTTCCTCACGGGCTCTTCGATCCTCGGTGGTGGTGTGCGGGCACCCCGAATTCGCACCAAGAACTTGATTTCCATCATTTTCTGCGAAGTCGTGGCTATCTACGGTGTCATTATTGCGATTATCTTCTCCGCGAAGCTCTCTCCGGTCCCCGAGAGCCAGCTCTACACCCAGAACAACTACTACACGGGTTATGCTCTGTTTTGGGGAGGTATCACCGTCGGATTCTGCAATCTGATCTGCGGTATCTCAGTCGGTATCAACGGTAGTGGCGCTGCTCTTGCAGATGCCGCTGATCCTAGCTTGTAAGTTTTGATTCCCTCGGGGTTTGGTTGTTGGCGTGGCGGTCTGGATAGTCTGCTTACCACTTCGACCTGATAGGTTCGTCCGCATTCTCGTTATCGAGATTTTCAGCTCCGTCCTGGGTCTATTTGGTTTGATCATCGGCCTTTTGGTTGGCGGCAAGGCCCTGGACATGGGTGCGGCTTAGAAGTGAGACTCCACACTGGTGTGAAGGTTATGATTGCCTGTCATGGCAGCAGAAAGAGGGGGTATAAGCTGCCCCATTATGATCTCGGAATACCTTCCGATTTTCCAACCTTTCGTTTTCGTTTTTACCCTTTTTTTCCTTCCATGGGAAACTTCTTTATGTATACAAGCATCAGGGCGTCTGGATTTCGATACCGTAGAAGCAAGTTTTTGGGGGTCATTTGCTGAGTTGACTCAATTGACTCGGAGATTCTGTCTGTGTACAGTAATGAGTACTCTAAGAAACAATCTGCATCTTTTTATTATTTCTACAACATCAACTCCAATAGAATTATAGCTTTGTATCCACCGATCCGACGTTGTCCACCCAGAAACCGCCGCAGCACGGACCGGCCACTAAGGGCAGAATTGCAATTTCACGTCCCGAAGATTCGCGGTACCCCAGAGTTTCCAAGTCGACTCCCTTTCAAAGACCCAACATCTTCCCTCTCTCCACTCTCTCACATACTGAACCCAGAAACCCACAATTACTCCATGATGGAGACTACTGATACTACCCCCAGACTCAAGGCAGCCATACTGATCGTCTCGGATACGGCCTCGAAGGACCCCGCTTCGGACAAAACGGCCAATGCCCTCGCCCCCATCCTCGCCGCGGAGGGGAAGTGGGAAACCCCCGCGATCAAGATCGTGCCGGACAACGTGTTCCAGATCCAACAAGCCGTATGTGATTGGACAGATGGTCCCAATTGGTACAATCTGGTCCTGCTCAGCGGCGGAACGGGCTTTGCTGTGCGAGATAACACCCCCGAGGTGAGGCATTTCATGCTGCTAGTCAACATTGCTTTCCCGCGCTAATGACATCACTAGGCAGTGTCTCCCCTGATCCATCGCCATGCTCCAGGCCTAGTGTGAGTGATACAAGATAATCGAGGATTCCAGCGCAACGACTAACGACGAACTAATCTCCTCAGCCATGGGATGATCGCCGCTTCATTGAAAGTAACGCCATGTGAGATGACATCAGCCCTGCCGTTGCCGTCTGGGCTCTCCCTTGGCTTGACTATTTACATCCCGCTAATTCCCCTGTCTAGTTGCAATGATGGCCCGCCCAGTTGCTGGTGTTCGTGACAAGACTTTGATCATTACGTTGCCCGGATCCCCAAAAGGAGCCATGGAGAATCTCGATGCTGTTGTGAAGCTGTTGCCGCATGCCTGCTTGCAGAGTGCTGGTGGGAGCTCTCGAACTATGCACGCCGGTGGCCTGAAGAAGCTGGAGGCCGAGGCAGGTGTCTCTTCACCTTCTGAGCAACGGCAGCCGCAGCAGCAACAACATTCGCATGATCATCACCACCACCATCATCACGGCCATGGGCACGGCCATGGACATGTTGGCCCCAAAGCACACACCTCCCCCGCAGACCGGCCCCAGTCCAATGACCCGTCCGCTGGCCCTAACCAGCGCTATCGTTCCTCACCGTACCCAATGCTCTCCGTAGAGGAAGCCCTCCGTCAGATCAGCGAGCACACCCCAGAGCCCATTGTCATCGAAGCTCCCGTGAACCCCTCTGTGGTAGGTTCAGTTATCGCCGAGGATGTCTTTGCCACCGAGGCAGTGCCAGCGTACAAGGCCAGTATCGTCGATGGCTACGCCGTTATTGCATCAGACTCTCCCACCGGACCTAGTACGAAAGGCGTGTTCCCCGTAGCATCAGTCACCCACGCCAACGTCGGTGGAGGCCTGCAACCCCTCCAGCCGGGCACTATCGCTAGAATTACAACCGGCGCACCCCTCCCTCCCAACGCGAATGCCGTAGTCATGGTCGAAGACACTGTTCTGGCCTCATCCACACCAGACGGCACTGAAGAGGCCACCGTCGAGATTTTGACTGGCGATATCCGACCCGGCGAGAACGTCCGCGAGCCTGGTAGTGATGTTTCTCTGGGATCCAAAATCCTTGCCCGCGGAGACGTAATCTCTCCCGTTGGTGGTGAGATCGGACTTTTGGCTGCCACGGGCAATCGCACGGTCAAGGTGTTCAAGAAGCCTCGAGTAGGCGTTCTGAGCACTGGAGACGAGTTGGTCGAGCATGACGATCCTCGGACCCTCACTGGGGGCCAGATCCGCGACTCCAACCGCCCCTCCCTCCTGTCATGTCTTCAATCCTGGGGCTTCCCCACTGTCGATCTCGGGATCGCACGCGACACTCCCGCTGGCGAGATTGAACATGCGCTGCGCGACTCCCTGCGTGGTGTTGGCCGTGCCTCGTCCAGCGTCGACGTCATTGTCACCACGGGTGGTGTGTCAATGGGTGAGCTCGACCTTCTCAAGCCTACCATTGAACGATCCCTCGGTGGCACCATTCACTTTGGCCGCGTGTCGATGAAGCCCGGCAAGCCGACCACTTTTGCTACCATTCCCTTCAAGGAGGCTGCCACTAGCGCAACAGAGGGGACTCAGCAAGAGCGCCAGTCGAAGCTCATCTTCTCTCTCCCCGGAAACCCGGCCTCTGCCTTGGTGACCCTGAACCTGTTCGTTTTGCCTTCGCTGCACAAACTGTCTGGCCTAGGCAAGAGCTCTCAGGCGCTAGCTTCAAAGCCCTGGATGGCGCCGCAGCTTGGTCTTCCCCGTGTGGCCGTCGTCCTGACACACCACTTCCCTCTGGACCCCAAGCGCACCGAGTATCACCGTGCTATTGTTACCGCCTCGCGCTCTGACGGCCGCTTGTACGCCACCAGCACCGGTCTCGGTGGTACCGGCCAGCGAAGCTCGCGCGTCGGCAGCCTGGCATCGGCAAACGCTCTGGTTGTTCTGCGTCCTGGACGTGGCGTCGGAATCAAGGGCGAGATCATGGAGGCACTGATGATGGGACCCGTTCATGCGTGCGATACCCGGCTCATTTGCTAGAATTATGCGACAATTATGACGACGATATACCCGGGGCTGGTTCTCCAAGATTTCTTCTCTTCTCAATTTGTCTCTTTACATTTCGGCTTGGGTTGTCTATTTCTTTGCTGCTCTCCTCTCAATCTCGGTTCCTGTCGATGATACAGTGCCACTAAACTGCCAGTAGATATTTGTGATGAAGAAAATACAGTGGGATTCCATAAGTTTGGAACCCCGACAAATCTTCAAAATCATCTTTGCAATCGCGAGTTGCACGATAGACGAAGAAATGATGATACCTTAGCTATCCAGAAAGAGGATTCAAATGACCTTGAGAAAGACCTCTCAAAAAACAAGAAGTGGAAGCATATCTATTGAGTGGTTTCTTTGGTCTCTAGATTCAGACTTTTGAACTACCACTGTATCACACTGTACATGCAAGACCTCGGCTGCCATGGTTTGGAGATGTAATTGGATGCTTGAAGGTTTGAAGAGGCTCGGGTCAGAGGCACACTTCTCCTGCTGCCAACGCGTATGAGCTCGGGGATATCTTGGCTTCGTCATGGACGGGGTAATCGGGCCAATGTCTTCCGATTTCCCCTGGAAAGACTGATTCTTCACATTGCGTACAGACTTGGCGGCGTTCGCTTCACTTGATAGTGCGGCGCTAGGATAATAAGTTCAGGCAATTCTTCCGCCAATCGATGTCTTTATTCACTACTGTACAGTATCCACTGCAGAATACCCCGCATGATGCTCCTCCTGATTATCATAATTCCTTCATATCAATGATATTCCAGAATATTTACCATAAAATCAATTGAAAGACCCCAAACATGGTCGGCATTTGGTCTTGGCACACTTCTAACACCAAGAAATTGGCTTAGAAAAGTAATCTTCAGGCGAATTGTGCCTGCTCGAAGTATATATGGTCCATGAAATAGGCAATGGCCCATCACTTCACTCTTCACGACCTTTTTCTCAGGACATATTCCTATGAGCCTGGATGTTCATTGGAGGGGTTTCGCATGTCAATTGTTAGCGAACGCTCAAGAAGGCTTCATAAGCCCGTTCCTAATGTGGAGTCTGTGTAGTCGGGCTCAATTGCGGAGAAGTGGAGAGGCCAGACAGCAGGAGAATCTTGGGAATGCGGGGCATCCCACACGTGGCTGAGTCTCTATAGGAAACCCCACGGCGAAAGAAAAATTCAAAATATTACTTATGGTTTATCAAGCTTCTCGGTGTTTATTAAGCCGAATCAATTTGGCAGTCATGTCTGTCTTGTGGTATATGAGAGGGCATTGGGGCCTAATTACTCCCCATGATCACACTGTACACTGTGATCCTCAGAGTAGTCAATTCCCTAGGGAGCTATAAAGATGAAGGGGCTCTTTGCTGCTGCGGCATCATTGCTCTTGAGCACTGTCAAGGCTCTCCCCTCTAAGCCCGCCACTGGACCATTCTTGACACAAGTCGACAACACAACATGGGTCCTCGGAAATGAGATCTGGAATGTCACCCAGGAGCAGATCTACGGTGTCAAGCTGATGTACAAGGGGAAAGATTGTGTTGGCGAAGCTGTCGGTCACTATGTCAGTTACAGTATGTGAAGCCCCTTCTTTATCGCTGATTTATCTTTTCTTTGGTTCTCTCAGAACTAACCAATTCCCGCTGAAGACGGCGCAGCGTCTAACTTGCAATGGACCTCGGCTTCCATTTCCAGTCGCGGTACCCACCAGGGCAAGCAATACATTGATGTCTCATTCACTGCTGCGGAGGGAGATATGCATTGGGTCATTTTCTCCGGCCTGTCTGGTGCTTATCAGTATTTCGTGAACCATGCGCTTCCTACCCTCGGTGAATTCCGTACTCTCTGGCGGTTGGATAACTCGACTTTCACAAAGGGTCGAACCAACATCAAGGATGAGGAATTACCCCCACTGAGCGAGTATTTGGCCACGAACAAGGTTCAGGATGAGACGTGGTTGAAGCCTGATGGGAGTGGGTATATCACCAAGTATGACTTTACTGCTTGGTCGAGGAACCAGGATTTCTTTGGTGTTTACGGAGATGGATTTGGTAGTTGGTATATAAATGCTGGCAAGGACTACTATAATGGTAATCATCTGAAACAGGAGCTGATGGTATGTTGACTGATCAATTCCAAGCACGGGAGACGATGAGCCTAACTGATTGACGTCCAGGTCCACCGAGAATCATCCACCGGAGACGCCGTGCAGCTGAACATGATCCATGGCACTCACTTCATGGCCTCATCTTCCGACGTATTCCCCGATGGCAAGATGTGGGGACCATGGCTTTGGTATCTCGTACGTACCACAATTCCACGCTTCAGCCATCCTCCTCTACTAACACACTCCCCAGAACGATGGCGACAAGAAAGATGCCGCCAAGCGAGCCGCAGAAGAATTCAAATCCTGGCCATACGCCTGGCTCGACGACGAAGACTACCACAGCCGTGGCGTTGTCCAAGGCAAGATCATGCTGTCCGACGGCCGCCCAGCCAGCAACGCCGCCGTCTTCCTCGGTGACAACAACCCCAATAAAACCGCCCTAGACATGGGCTCAACATACTACTACACCGCATACGCCGACAAGCACGGCAACTTCGAATTCTCCGACGTCCGCGCAGCTACATACGGTCTCCAAGCCTGGTCGAACGGCAGTTCCATCGCCGATGTGACAACCTCCTTCCTCCAAAACGACGTTACCGTGAAAAAATCCTCAAAGACCAACCTCGGCAGCCTAACCTGGCAAGTCTCGTCCAAGAAGCAAGTCTTCCAAATCGGTGACTTCGACCGCTACAGTTACGGTTTCTTGCACGGCGGAGCACCACACGAACACGCCCTGGTCGCGTCATGCCCCGCAAACCTGACATACACAATCGGCGAGTCCAAGCCTATTGACTGGTGTTTCGGACAGACCTACAAGGGTAACTGGACCGTGCGATTCAAGGCCTCGTCTGTTCCTGAATCTGCGGCTCCGAATCTGATCGTTTCACTGGCTGGATACTCCTCGGGGGCGAGCACTAATATTCTCGCTAATGGAGTCCAGGTTGGTAATATGACTAGTGGGTCTTCGTTGATTCCTACTGATCCGTGCTTGTATCGCTCTGCGACGGGTGCGGGTGAGTGGCATTTGCTTGAGTATTCGTTTGATAAAGGTTTGTTGACGGAGGGGTGGAATGAGATTACTTTTAATATGGTGAGGAATACTACGTGGCATGGATTTATGTGGGATAGTGTTGTCCTGGAGTGGTGATACGGAGGTTTGTAGGAGCTGAAGCTTTTTGTTTGAATATAACAGAGTGGAGCTTGTGACTATGTTGATAATGCATGTGAAATTGACAGATATCATAATTACTCGAGGTTTTAGAATTCACGACAACGATGGCGATCTTGGAATGAGTAGTATGATTCTATTTGTATGATATCCCTGTACCGAACAACAAGTGTTCTTCTAAGAACAAGATCTCTATGAGTGTAAAGCTAAAAAAACCAAGCAAATGTATTCACAAACCCCAAGCACACAAACAAACTAAAAACGTAGACACCTCACCCCTTGGAGTACTTCCACTCTTTCTTCTTCTCCGCTCTAAAAGGAAGCAGGGTTCCATCCCGTCCCTGCTTGCGAGCAATCTCCACAACCAGGAATCGCACAAAATCAGTCAAAGTCCAGTAACTGCTATGCGCACTGAGCATGTTCAGGTACTGAATGCTGAGCGGGCCTCCGCCACCGGAGAGGTAGTAGTCGATCTGGCCGTTGTCGTTTAGCAGTAACATGCGTTTCTCGGCAATCTCTTCGCGAGTAAAGTCATGCGTCTCCATTTCCACTGTCGATGGGAGTTTTGCTACTGCTGCGGGGCGTATCGGTGTGGCTGTTGGGATAAAGCCAGGTGCTGAGCTCCATCGGAAGACGCTGCCGAAGGATTGTATGAAGGATGAAGTGGAGCTGGGAATAGAAGCGATTTTGAGCGAATTGGCGAGGTCGCTATCTACTGCTGCATTCACGCGGTATGCAATCGCTAAAAGGTTGTTAGATCCCAGGAACGATATTGGTGCTCGGGAAAGAGAATGAAAACATACGATCTGTTGTATGCATGATGTTGTACAGGTTGTCCACGGCGAGACAGCCATACTTGCCAGCCTCTCCGGCAACACCGGGCAGGCGATCTTCGCCCTCGCTCCCTGGTTTTTCTCTACCCTTGCGAGGGCGAAGGCTGGCTAAAGAAACGGTTAACATCCCTGGAAAATTTCCATTTCTGAAGCGGGCATACCTTTATTAAGAAGCAAGAAGAACCCAACAGGGCTACCACAGAGAAACAGATTCCTGGTATCAAACTCAAAGATGTCGCTGTGTAGAGGTGTATTGGGAAAATCAAAGCGATCAATATTTGTCGGTTGGTGACTCAAAATATCGAGAGCCATGACACTACCCAAAGAATGGGCGAGGAGATGAACGCGACCGTTATCCTGGAAACCAGGGTTGTTCCTACACCACAGGCGGTAGATCCGGTTGGCTTCCTTTGCAACGGCCTTGATCATCTTTGGTTTGTGGTGGGACAGATAGTACGGAATATCCAGCATGACATCACTGATCAGGGATCGAACTGCGGGGAGTGTCTCAGGCGTGATATCCGCGAGGGAAAAGTTGTTGGATGCTGGGTCTTCTGTGTCCGGGGTATCGAGAGCTGGATCTTCCAAGGATAGAGTCGTTCTCCAGTTGACAGGCAAGACCATGATCCCACCATGGTCTTTTCGCACATGCGGCCACACGGGCTCGTTATTCAATTCCATGTTCACCTGGCGACGGAAGGCATTGATCGCGTGTGTAAAATGGAAGCTCTCCATTCTCTCAGAAAGCTTCTGGCCGATGCCGTGAATGACAAACACTAGATCTGATGGGCTTGGCCGCATCTCTTCCATCTTGCATGCGTAGCATATTGATTCGCCAGGTGCTAGAGCCGTGTTCTGGCTCTGGGGCCTTCGGATATACTGGCGAACATCGACAGGATTGGGTTTGGATGGATGTAGCTGGTCCCATCGCTTCCGACTGAAGCCTCTAATGACGGGAATACCGATTTGACGTCCCTTGCGAATGGCACTCAGCGGCCGCCTACCCCGGGCAACAGACGGGAGTAAACTAGGTCTGAGGATCTGGGCGTTTCGAGCATCCACATAGATAGCACTTGAAGTGGCATAAGGTTTGACTACCTCGACACGGTTGGCAGTTCCCCCGGCAGCTTGATTAGGATCGAATTTGAAGGCTTCTGCGCTCTCATCTGGGGCAGACTCATTGGTCCCTTGGTTCGACTCCTGTGCAGTACCAGGTCGACTGGCAGACAGCGACTGTCCCTTGGGCCAGAGTTCGTGGACAATCTTCATCTCTGCATCTGCACCATTTTCAACGCAACTATTCAATTCCTCTTGCCATGTCTGTGTCCACGGTCTGAGATAGACGTATCCCTCTTCCAGCCTGTTCGCAAGTTCTGTCTCCACGGGCATCATGGTGTTCTTGTAGAACCAAGTGGCTCGAACAACGTCTGAAATATCATGAAGCGGGTTCCAGTAAATAGGTTTCATCTGAATATACGATTAGCACGATGAAACATTCCTTCAAAATAAAGAAGCAGACATACCTTCAGGTTGGGCAGCTCGACCAAGTGGAGACGAGATGCACCAACTGGAATCTTGACCTGTGAGTCCTCCCCAGACTCCTCCTCACGTGTGGGATCTTGTGACAATCCTTCCAAGCTCATAGAAGTCCTCAAACCCGAGGGCTTCGGTACGGAGCGGGGGGTGACGGGAACCCGCAACTCAGGCTGCCCTTCGTGGGACCCGTCCCTCGGGGGCAATGACTCAACCGAGCGGCCGAACGGGCTATGTGATTGGGATACCGGAGCTCTGATGAAAGGTGATCCACTGATGCTCGCATCGCGAGATCGGTTGGCGCGTACGCTGACGGACTCATCATGAACGTCCTCCATGTCGTGATCGACTGGCGAACTGCTTCTTCGCTTTGTTGAGAGTGACTCGTTCAAGGACGAGGATCGGTCTCTCCTGCGATAAACACTGCCAGCACCCCTGCTAATTTTTCCATCCTTCACGTCATCCTCCATAGAAGAGATCATCAACCGCCGTTCTGCATAGTTCTCAGGCCGAGCATCAGCGCTGGTACCGGGATGACCCGGTCGGCTTTTGACACTCCGGGAAGGCAGCTCGTCTGGGAGCAACGGTGGCTCGATAGGAGTGCTACCGGTACTAGATAGACTTGCATCTCCTCTGGCTGCCGGCTTTCGACGTCTTTCAACATCGGAGGCTGATCCCTGACCTGGCACAGCTATTCCAGAGCGCGCTGTCGGCGTTTCAGGCAAAGGTCCGGTCTGACCAACTTGTTGGGCTTCTCGAGCTTTCCCAAGCTCCTGCCAGGATTTCTCTAGGGCCAAGTTATCTCTGGCCGAGAATGGTTTTGGAGGAGTCCTTTCATCTTCCGATGCTTGACCGCTTGTTGGCGGCGGGAGCGGAGCCAGAGGATCGTCGATTGGCAGGGACGAAACGTAGAAGAAATGCGAGCGAATTTCTGGCGGTGTTGAGAGCGCGTACAGACTTGACAGCTCTGGCTCTTCATCTACCAGTAGGCACGTTGGCCCATAGGTATGAAACGGACCCGTCATGGCGAACAACGTGGTCCCACTTTTTTCCAGGGACCTTGTCGGGGTTAGGCCTCGTGGAGATCTGGAGACCGATCGCTAAATGTTTCGTGTCATGACCAAGGTCTGTTGCTGATCACTTTTTGTCGATTCTCGGAAACAGCCGACACGTCAAGGTTGGATGTTTGCAGTGGTCAGAGAAACAAAAGGCTTTATGTAGACAAGCAACTGGGAAAATCTGGGAGCTGCCTGGTGTTTTGCACATGAGAGCTGATGACGTCGCCCGCACGTGCCACTTTGTACACCAACAAAAGCAACACGCGGCTAACTTCTACTTCTACAGAATAGATGAAACATAAACCAGCGAGAAAATAAAAAATAGATCGAACTATAGCTAAGCATTAATCCGAATATCTGAAGTTGGAAATTATTAGGGGAATCTGAAATTCCAGAAATCAAGGCAAAACAAAAGATCATAAAGATCAGAACCCAGAAACCCCGAAAGCACAGAGAACCCAGGGTATCAAAGTCGTAAGTTTCGTTCCAGCATTATTCGTTCCATCGTTATCATTGATATCTCCCACCAAAGCATGGATATCTCTCGCCCCCAGGCAGATCAAACGGAGTGCAAATCATCAACTCCTCTCAGATCTGAATGATTGAGAAAGGGGGAGCTTAAAGCGAGTTGCGCGAAGACCAGGAGCTATGAGGACCCTTCCTCAAGCGGGCCTCGCTTTGGCGGCGGGCGGCGGTCACCTTGTCCAGCATCTGGTCCTGAGCCCAATTGCAGAGATCTCGGAAGGCGCGAAGAGTTTCCAGAGAGGGGTTCATCATGTCGATGACCTGGCGAAGGTCGTAGAGGTGCTTGCGGATCGCGCTATCTGGCAAGCAGAAGGTACGGATGCTCATCTCGTGAGCAATCTTCTTCCAATTCTGCAGGTTGGTCTGAAGGCGAATTGGGAAGCGGGATGAGTCCCCGGTGAACTCCATGGCGCGACGGTTAGCGAAGATGAGCTTCCGCTGTGTCTCCTGGTCGAAGCGGAATTCAGCCACATGGTGGTTGTTCTTGGCGTTCCAGGCCGTGTTGACCTTGTTGATGGACTGCTGGGAGACACGGCCATCGTAGTACTGCTGGAGAATGAAGCCATTTGCGGTGTCGCAAATCATGACTTCAAGCTCCGAGTAGAGCTTGGCCTGGAGGGTGGAGCTCATGGAGGTGACGAGGGAGGCGGCCGAGCTCCCAGGCGCAGTAGTAGACACCGAAGACGACGACTTGCGCTTCAACCCGTTGTTGGATTCGTCGACCTACACAAAATGTTAGAAATGAGATCAAAGTTGATGTGGAGGTGAGGAGCACTACTCACCATCTCGGTAAGCTGGTGCTTCAGCTTCTTGGTCATGGTCCGGATCAGCCCCGACTTGCGGCGGGCACCAACCGAAGGCACATCCTCCTTCAGGCCCAGCAGACCATTCTCTCCCCAGAGGACCTTCTGCTTGTGGCCGCCAACGTCGGTCTCAGAGAGATCGGAGACGGACTGGCAGGGGGAGACGGACGCAGAGTTGAGGGGGAGGGCGTCGATATTGGGGACATCCTTGGTGGGCTCCGCATGCTCGTACGCGGAGATCTCGTTTTCGTATGCTTGAGGGAGTTGTTCGAACAAACCACTCTTGTCCACCACGTTCAGAGCCTTTGGCATCATGGTCTCGAGCCACTCCTCAAAGGCAGTGTCCGGAGGGCCGAAGGTCTCTTCGTGGTTGTGGGGGTCGAGGTCCATTGCGTGGAAGATGATATCACGCTCCTCGGCCAGGTTGTGCTCCTTGGAGTAAACGGGGTCATCGGGGAACGAGAGGGTGGGCTGATCGAAACGGTCTGAGTTGAAATGGCTTCCAACGACCCGTTCGTCGAAAGGGTTTTCATATGCGAGGTTGGCATATTCCAGGTAGCTGTGATCGAGTTTAAGTGGATATTCTTTATTTGGTATAAGGTGTTGTATAATGGGGTACGTACTTGGCTACTCCATAATTGTGGCCAACATCAACACTGATGTGTCCTTCAGTGTTGGAATCGAAGACACGAGCCCGGAGGAGGCACTCCTCAGGCTCAGCATCACGGAGGTAGTCGTAGTTCCTGTTCATGATGAAGGCTTGGAAGGATAGAGGTTGAGTATGTTTGAGTCTTGAAGGAGTAAGCTGTGAAGCTCAAGCTTGGTTGGAACCAGTGGGAAAGTGTGTAGGAGTAGAAGGAAAGGAAGAAGACGGGGAAGAAAGAAGGGAGGAAAGGAGGAAGAGGGTTTATAAATTTTCCTGGATGCCAGACCATGCCAATTTGGGGATGGGAAGTAGTAGCCTTGGGGCTGATTGTTTGCTATCTCCACAAGGCAGAATAAGCTTAATTCGATTAAGCTTATTGGGCTGATGCCCTCAGGATTCCCTTTTCGGGGGGTCAATTAATGGGGATGTCTGGAACCCACTGGCTAAAATGCATTGTTCGAAGTCACCTGGGAGGCTAGGATGAGCAAATTATGCTTAATCCGGTTAAGCTTTTGGCAAACATCGAGTGTCACATGGGCTTCTGCCTGGGGATGGCCTCAGGATTTCCTCTTTGGTGGGGTCAATCAGGACACGTGCGACCTGGAACTTCTAATGATACGGTAATCCTCAGGCTGTAGCCTAAACCAGCCAGCAGCCAGCAACGATGCATTGCTTGACCTCTTGCCCTGGCTGTCTTTGTGAGTTGCGTCTTGTAAAGGGGGAAGAGGGGGTTTAGGGCTTTTCATGCCACGGCTATGCATCGAGAAGGGCAGGCAGGAGACTCGGGACTCTCAGGCCCACCATGCAGTAAGCTATATGCCAGTCCCCAATTGATAGCTTCATTGTCAATTTTGGCGGGTCAATAGATCCCAAGCCCGGTTTTCGACCTCTTGGCGTGTGAAGTTACTGGAATTACCCGATTAGGAAATTCTGTCTCTGGCCTAGCGTTGTCTGGCTCAACCGGGGTGGCTGCCGACTCCAGCGTCTAATTGCTCGGATTACCCGTAATCTCCGGGGGATCCCCGAAAGTGTTGCCACTCAAAATCCTAACGAATTCTTGATAAGAACGGGATTAACTACGGTGCCCGAGGTAATCTATGAGGTGTAGCACTTTCTCCGGGTGTCGCCTCGGGACAAGGTTGTGAATCCAGTCATAGCCTGACACGAAGAATTGTAGCGAACCACTGCTTAACAAATGGATACGCATGGCGGGCGTAGATAGCCTACTTGAAACTAGGGAATCGACTATCATACAAGGAGGTGACATTGCATTTGGCTGTCCAGTGAATTGATCAAATGAATTAGTTTACTAGCTATGAACTACATTTGTGAGCAAAATAGGACTAGCTAATCTACCATATGGGCAAGCATAAGTCGAGATGGAAATCAGAAATCGAATCTATCGAGGCAATAGAGACGGCAACTAGTTAGAACTGGCACTGTAGACCGGGGTTTCCGTAGCAAACTGCCAGGCTAAACTACCAGACCCAACATGAGGATTCCTCCCCGGGGGGATAGCGCGGCAGCATATGCTTCAACCCAAGTCGGCAAAACGGACCTAGGTGGGGAGCAAAAGGGCCAATAAGCCGAACGGGACACCGGTGAGTTGACCGAGGAGTTTTGTGCGGAGACTGCGGGCGTATACTCGAGACATTTTTGGCGTGTGTCTGACTGGTTGTGGTTCTCGTTAGGGCAATTTGCAGCTTAAAAGCAACAAAAGTCCCGGCCAGCCCTGCCGAACAGCTAGTCACGTGCCTTTCTCTCCACTTGCCGAATGCTGCTCCCGGGCGTGTGGGGAACCACGCAGAATCTAAGCCAGTCAACGTCTCTCCCATGACCAGACATGACCAGACAATGGGCCTTGCAGTTCGGAATCAACGACGGCAGGTGAAATCATCGAGACCAGTGCACAGGTGGTGGTGGTCCCCACACCCTCGCCAGCGTTGCCATTGCTGACTGTTCTCCATAACCCGGCAATTTACCACACCTGATTGGCTTGCCCCAGTCTAATGCCTTGCACCTCCCCACGATTCAACCGATCCTCAATGCCGTGGCTGCTCGCCGTCACTTCCAACAGCCTCCATTCGGCCCGCTTACCCCGGCTTGCTCACGATTATATATGAAGTAGCCATGGCCCTCGATCTTTTCGTTCTTCAGATCGTTACAACCGTGCAAGGGAATTTTGTAAATTATCTTCACATCCCTGGTTGATTCTGCTGCACGCTTTGCGACGATCCGTCTCCTTCGCGCATAGCTTCCATCCTCTCTCCCCACATACATTCTTGTCCGTCAACATGGTCCAAGAGTCCTATGACATCGTCATCGTCGGCGCCGGCCCGGTCGGTCTGCTCCTCTCCCTGTGCATGTCCCGATGGGGCTACAAGGTGAGGCACATTGACAACCGCCCGGTGCCGACCGCTACTGGTCGCGCGGACGGTATTCAACCCCGTTCGAACGAGATTCTGCGCAACCTGGGCCTGAAGCGCGCCATCATGGCCTACGAGCCCGCCAAGGTGTACGATGTTGCCTTCTGGGACCCCAAGAGCGACGGCACCGGCATTTCTCGCACCGGTAGCTGGCCCAGCTGCCCTCGCTTCATTGATACCCGCTACCCATTCACCACACTTGTTCACCAGGGCAAGATCGAGCGCGTTTTCTTGGACGAAATCGAGAAGGCTGGAACCCGCGTCGAGCGTCCATGGACTATCGTTGGCTTCAAGAACGACGGCGCCGACGCCGAGTACCCCGTTGAAGTCAACCTGAAGTCACTCGACACCAACGTTATCGAGAACGTCCGCACCAAGTACCTGTTCAGTGGTGAGGGTGCTCGCAGCTTTGTCCGTGAGCAGCTTGGCATCAAGATCCGCCACAAGGACCCCATCTCTTACGTCTGGGGTGTCATGGACGGCGTTGTCCGCACCAATTTCCCCGATATCGAGACCAAGTGCACCATCCACTCCGATGCTGGTTCCATCATGGTCATCCCCCGTGAGGACAACATGGTCCGCCTCTACGTTCAAATCGCCTCCTCCACCGACCCCGACTTCGACCCTCGGAAGACCGCCACCGCCGAGGAGATCCAGCAGACCGCTAAGAACATCCTGAAGCCCTACTGGGTCGAGTGGGATCGTGTTGAGTGGTTCTCTGTCTACCCCATTGGTCAGGGTATTGCTGAGAAGTACACCCTTGACGAGCGCGTGTTCATGGGTGGTGATGCCTGCCACACCCACAGCCCCAAGGCTGGTCAGGGTATGAACACTGCCTTCCACGATGCCCTCAACATGGCCTGGAAGATCCACGCCGTCGAGAGCGGCCTCGCTGAGCGCTCCACCCTGAGCACCTACGAGAGCGAGCGCAAGGACATTGCCGAGACCCTCCTGAACTTTGACGCCAAGTACGCCGCTCTGTTCTCCAAGCGCCGCCCTAATGCTGGCGAGATCTCTGCTAGCAAGGCTGTCTCCACTGGCGGTGACGCCGAGGAAGATGAGTTCGTCAAGACCTTCAAGTCCTCTTGCGAGTTCACCAGCGGATACGGAGTCGCCTACAAGCCCAACGTGTTCAACTGGGACGCTAGCCACCCCGCCAAGTCTGCTCTGTTCAACATCCCCGGTGTCCGCTTGACTGCTGGCCGTGCCTTCACCCCCACCATGGTGACCCGCCTTGCCGATGCCAACTTTGTCGAGCTGGAGCAGGAGGTCCCCGTCAACGGATCCTTCCGCATCTACGTCTTTGCTGGTAACCAGAACAAGACCAAGAAGGCCATTGCCGACTTCGCTGCCAACCTTGAGAAGGAGCGCTCGTTCCTGTCTGCCTACCGCCGCTCTGACATTGCTAATGTCTCCTTCTTCGAGCGCCACAACCCCCACTCCAAGCTCTTCACCCTCTCCGTCATCTATGCCGGCGCCAAGAACGAGATCGATGTCGAGTCCATCCCCCAGGTCCTGCGCGACTACCACCACCACCTGTACGCCGACGACCTCCCCGATGTCCGCGTTCCCACGGCCAGCTTCGCTGCCCACGAGAAGCTCGGCATTGATGCCGAGAAGGGTGGTGTTGTGGTTACCCGCCCTGACAGCCACGTTGCCTGCACTGTGCAGCTGGTTGAGGGCTCTGGCACCGTTGATGCTCTTAACGAGTACTTCAACTCGTTCTCGACCAAGGCTCTTGGTCAGGACTCTCAGGCCAGCCGTCTGTAAAGGCTTGGCTTGATTGATTGATATACGCGTCATGTTTTGTATATTTTAGATTTGGATTGTATATATCTTATTTTTGATCGTTCTCTGTTGAGCGACTGCTTTGTGCATGATTGGCGTTATTTTTTCTTTTTTCTTGATTACTTCAATCAATAGACAATCCTCAGTCAAATTTTCCGAACACATTCTAAACGTCATTGTAAAATCGTGTGCCTCTTGGTAGAGCTTGAATCAACCGGCCTTCCCACTATGGTGGTCACATGCCAAGACTGATCTATTTTCCGTCTCCACCCCGCATCATCAGAAACCTGCGCCTTAAGCTCAAAGCTCATACCGCGACTTTCCGCTACCAAAAAAATACATCCGCTCAAAATCTAACAACATGCTTACTCTCACACTCAAGGCTGAACTGGAAGGGTGAGTAGAAGGCACCGGCTGATTCTGCGTTTTTGCCCGCATCCAGACCTTACCCCTCGCACCCCGCCAAAGAATCCTCTGTGACATGCGGGCACATTGATTCGAAAGACAAATCTGAAATCTGGCAGTGACTAACCTGTTGGAATAGTGTCACCGGCTTGCAGCCGACTGATACGGAGGAGAACCCATACTTTTACACCTTCAGAGTGCAATGTACCTCCTGTCGCGAGACGCACCCCAACTTTGTCAGCTTCAATCGCTTTGTAGGGGCACCCCATCCATCTTGCTTCAACTCCTTAAGACTATGTACTGACTGAGACTGCAATTACAGGAACTGCACGAGATCCCCGGTAGCCGGGGCGAGGCAAACTTCGTGTGGAAGTGCCGCCTGTGCACGGTAAGATGCCCATTGCACATTCTTGCTGTCAATACACATGGCTAATCCCCACGTCTAGAAAACCCACTCTGCTTCCATCACTGCTGGCCCTCACATCTACGACGCTGAGGAGAAGAAGAAGGCCCAGAAGATCATCGAGATTGACTGCCGTGGTCTGGAGTTCACCGAGTTCAAGCCTGACGTAAGTCCATCGATCCCTGTCTGCACTGTTTTCTTTGTTTCTCATTCTTTTTCTGTATAGGGCGAGTGGGAGGCTAAGGGTGTTGAGTCTTCAACTCCTTTCACCGGTATTGAACTCGGCGAGGGTGAATGGTATGACTATGACGAGAAGGCTGGTGAGGAGGTTAGCATCAAGGAGCTGACCTGGAGTATTGGACGGTCGTGATCTGCTTTTGATATTCGAGGGGGTGATTCGTATTGGCTGGAGAGCTGTGCTTATCACAGGTGCCCTTTTGGATGGGAGCTGCTTCAACGAGATCTTTCTCTATAGCTACGACGAACTTTTATTGTATTACTACTGGGTGTGTGCGCGCATGGGGCTGACTGGGGATGGGTGGGAGGGGGGTTGATGGTGGTCAATAAGACTGTGGTTTCCAGTCACAAAGCGACATATTAGGACAGCATGCCAAATATCTATCAATTGTAGAATCGTAGTCTTGTTTAGCTCCATCAAGGCGTGCATCGCGTGAAAGTTAGAAGGCGGTGAGCATATACAAGTGCTGATTGGCTCAAGCCCACAATCCCGACCAGCTCACATTTTCGCGGTGCAACCGACTCCGAGATCCAGTCAGTCCAGTTCCACGCGCGACCATCACGACCAGCTCGAGCATCTACAAGCTTCATCGCTCGGCTCGTTCTACTCCCCCTCTCCTCACACATATCCGGTTCCGCGCACGGTCGCAGACCACCGACACCCCTCATCACCATGAGTGTACGTCCAGTCCACCCTGTTCCTACTCCGCGCCTGTCGACAAGCTTCAAGATGGCTTGATCAAATTTCTCAGACCCTGGCATTGTGATCACAGAGCACTGGCTGATAATTGTTTACAGTTCCAACCCGTCAACCCTCGGCCATTCTTGCAGGCCCGGTACGTGACCTCCCCACGCCCCCGGGACTTCGCTTTACCAAGCTCGCTCGAGCGTGCTTCCGAACATTACACACGATATTACCCATCAATGGAATATTTACTGACCTTATTATACAGAGTCGGCACCGAACTCGTCATCCGCCTGAAGTGGGGTCAGACCGAGTACAAGGGCACACTGGAGAGCATCGACTCCTACATGAACGTCCTGCTGCGCGATACGGAGGAATACATTGACGGCAAGCACACTGGTACCCTTGGTCTGGTGCTGATTCGGTGCGTACAGCTCTCCTCGGGATATGTTATGGGGCATTGGTCTGCAGAACTGGTGTGGAACCCTGGTTTACTGACATGAGTTGTTTCGCTTACAGGTGTAACAACATCCTCTGGATGGGCTCGGCAGACGGCGTCGAGATGACGGATCTTGGGTTAAAATAAACGTTGATATGAAGATTGGGAGACTGGTTGGTGACCGCATGTGTGCGATGAGCCGTCAGAGTCAGGGTCTCCAGCCTCGTCGTTGCGGGATCGAATATGATTCCATGGTTGATAGAAACCGACTGTTTCTCGGCGCGGATTTGACAACGACCTGAGGGCCCCCAGCAACGACTGAGGATTGTTTGCACAGATGAGGAGTCCCGCTTGACAGAGGGAGTGTGATGTGGAGTGGAGGCGACAATGATTTACCTGACTGGGCTTTCTATTGAAGTCCCATGCCTGAACCAGGACCTTGTCGCTGTTGTTTTTTTTTTTTGTTTGCTTTTACTTTTCGATTCACGAGGCGTTTTTGATGGTTTCTCCGAAATATTGCATGGTAACTGGCCAAAATCGAATCAATGTCTTTTGACACGCACATCTTATTCTGTGTATTGGACGAGTATATCGTCGGTGGTGGCTAATTCATATCAGGTGCCTGGCGCCATTCGACTCCCCCCATTCAAAGCGCTCGACCTATGATGTTCATTGTATACGTAGTAATCAGTAGATCCCGTCGCAAGGGCAGTCGTCAGAAGTGACACGGAGTAGTTCTCCATTAAGGCCGTTGAATATCAAGGAGGGGCACACAGTCGTCAAGTGGCGCATGCAGCACCATAGCCACCCTCGACAATGCATATATACCGGAAAATGTCTGGCAACCCTTGGCGTTCTCCTTCCATTCTAGTGCTCACCTCCTCGCCGCTTTTGCTCACTGAGTAGAATTGAGCACGCCCCTGATCAGCCTGAGCGGGTCAGTGATCATTACGTAATCAGGTTCACTGAGCCCGATCCGAGCATCATGATTTGCTCACTGAGCATGAGCACGGCCTCCCTGATCTGATCACTGAGCCTGACCTGAGCAATCCCAGATTTGCTTACTAATCTCCTCCCGAGAGGCGATCTGAGTAAGCAGGCTCAATAAAACGCAACAAGCTAGCCCGACCCCTTGTACAGCTTTTCCCTTTCAGTCACAGAGCGGGCATCGTAAATTTGCCACTTCCTTGGCGATCCTTGCCATTGTAAACAGGATGTATTTAGTGAAAATCGTTCAATTCGCTGATTACAATTATTGTAGATCTAATACTCCTAGGAGCATTCTCCGTGCCCGATACTTGGCCACGCTTGGGGAACTCTGGAGGCAATTTTGGATTTTCTAGACAAACTTCGCATTTTCTTTGATTTTGATTGGATACTTTCAGATCTCTCTATAAAAATTCAGATACCCTTCTATGATCACCTACTACTAAGATGAAGACCTTTCGGGGTTTTGATGCCATACTATTCTCGCCAGATTAGGTAGCAATAAACGGAAGTAAGACCTGCTATTCGCATGACCAAACTCTTGCTCCTGGGAGCGTCAATATGTTACATCTTCACGATAGCTGAATCAAAATAATCTGTCTGTTCGGGCGAGATATTATCATAGGCTCCTGGGAGCTTAAGTCTGACCAATGCTGCCTTGTCTTAATGAACATAGATCTGAACAAGGCTCCCTACACCGATGCCCTTTAAACAATGAACTTATCTAACAGTGAAAGTGAGTGTAATACTAATCATGCTTACCAGCCCTGAAATCCCCTTGACATTCTTTTTCTAGATACAGGGAAAGCAGTATATGTTCAAGCTCATCTTCCAGCAAGCAGCACAAACTGACTCGTTATTCGACTCAACAAGTTCACAATTGATTCAAGCTGACTCGGCTCAGAGTATGCGAAGCAAGGCTTTTCGAGAGTCTCAAGTACCAAGACCATGAGCTCTTTCACTTCAGACAGCCGATCCAAGTCTTTTTGCAGCGTTTCCACCGCCATTTTATAGTCCAAAAAGCGAGTGGCAGTGGCCAATCTCGTTTCTGGCCCAATAAGACCGACCATTTCTGCACGAATATTGCTCAGGTCAAGCGTTGTGTCCAACCCAGCGATATTGTCGAGTAGGGAATTCGCAAGCATCACTAATACCGGAACATGGTCATTCTGAAGCCGGTTCTTTGCATCAAGCAGATGGCGTGCCTTCTTAGGTGTGAGAACCTCGGGCTCATCCAAAATGGTGAGTTTTCCATCCAATAATTGGAAGTTGACCCGGTAAACATTTTCCATTTCGGCTGCCTTTTGGCCAAGATCAACGGCGGCCATGTAGAGGTCTTCTGCTTGCACTGCCGATGACGAGTCGAATTTTGGTTTCTCCAGGCTCCCTATTCGATATGTCTCCATTTTACTGCGGGTTGAAGGATTCGTCAAATGGCCGACGGCCTTCAAGCTGTCTGTGATGTCTTGACCACTACACAATGCGATCACGGTATCTCCTCCTGGATGCCTCTGCATTAATGTGCTTGTGTCGTAAACACCCTCTTTGGCCGAGAACCAGTAACCGGTCTCTTGTGAGTTGTGCTTTATGAGCTGGGACATAAAGATTTTGCTGGAACTGGCCGAGGGTTTGAATAATGTTCATCTGGGTCATGATATTTACGTTCGAGACGTGCGTTCTCCAATTCTTGGTCAACCTCTTGCCAAGGCTCGGTCTTGCGCTTGCGACCTAGACCATTGATAGTAGTACTTCGACCAATTCCGGATCATCAGAAGCGGCAACATATCTCGGGACGGAAACTTCCGTGATAGCTTCGAGAAATTGGCGCCAATGAATAGGATACATAGCCCGAACAATTTGAGCTTCTTTACCAATACCCATCTTGTACTCCGATCGCCCGGTAAACTCATCCATCATGTGAAAGAATGGATGGGCTGTACCAGCCGCCCCAACCACACCCTTCACCCAAGGAATCCCCAAATTCGCCACGGTGAGTGTCCATAAGATAGGATCAATATGCGAGCTCTGGGACCTGTTCGCGTGGAGCTTAACGAGAGTTTTGGTAATATCTTTCAAGAGAGGGTGTAGACTTCGTATTGCGTCTTTGATCGAAGAGGAATCACGAGCCAAGACTGATCTTTGGGCCTCGATGATCTGATGTAGAATCGGTATTGCCTTCGCACTCATTTCAATCATTATTCCAATGAAAGTACGCTCTTCTATTGTACCAACGGTTGGAATGAGTATCTCCAAGTTCTCGAGCGTCACGCTACTGTGTGATAAAGCTGATGATGTGAAATTGGCTACCACTCCGTCAATGTAAGTTAAAGCTGGACCTGGTCGCCCAAGTCTTTTACAGACAATAGTCCACGGGATCTCAAGTGACGGAGGCAGTATGTCGCTGTGTCTGTCATATTTCAAAGTAAGAGGCTCGCTTCCTTCCATGGGGACAAACACATGGGCCGTCATTCCTAGAATGCTGGCGGCCCGTTGGAGGTAAATTTCGGGTAGAGCTTCTGAAGATGCGTCGAGCAAAGGCATCTCAGTAACTGCTTTTCGGACAGACTGAGCCTGGACCAACCGAGGTAGGTCGGCAGTAAGTTGGTCCCATACTGAATGCGAAGGTGGAAATGCCTTCATTGTCTCGAGAGGCATAAATGCTGCCTCTTTGGAGAGGAAACCCGCATTTTCGTGTCCATTGCGACGATTTGTCCGCTCTGCCTCTTCAATGACTTTCTCACAGGGAGGTGAGATAGCTGGTGTCTGGAGTAAAATGTTATCACATGGCTCATTGAAATAGATTATTGCGACGCGGTGCACACGTACCTTCGCTGTCGCTAAATGTAAACAAATGAAGAGGAAGGTAATGAGAAAAGCCAAGAACACGCCGCAAAGTGACGAGGAATCGTAGGTAGAACCAAAAATGGTAGTGGAATTACCGATTGGTAGAATGGGTAATGCGCCGACAGAAAACATGACTCATGCGTTGTGCAGCGATGTCTTGAGGATCCTGCCAAGCTCACGATGGACCGTATCGACCTGCCTGATTCAAACTTTGACAGAAGCAAAAACAAGTCTAAGTCAGTGCATCGGGATTCAGAGTGGTATTTATGTCCACTACTAGTGCAGATGCTAGTCTTACAGGCAGGCCTAGGCCGAAGAAAATTGTAGATTGCGGAAAGCTTTTTTAAATCAGAATCCTCCTACTTTGCCCCAACCCTTTAGCCTATGACATTCATTTGGTTTGTACATGGTCTTAACAGCAAGTCCAGCTAGAGAGAGTGGAACTGCTACGAATCTTTTCTTTACGATTCGATGCCATTGTAATTAATTTACACATGAGCATAATGACACAAGGGGAAGATGGGTAAGGGCTGTCTACAATTTAGTGAACTCTGCGCCAATTTCATTGAGCAAAGTCTCATGATCCTTGCTGTAAGTGTCACCAACTCTGTCAATCACTTCACGCACCCAAGGCCCACGAGGATTGAACGAAGCCTTAAAGGGCAGGGCCCGCATAACCAGACCATAGGTGCATGCAAGGGGGTCAATGTCGATGGGTTCGCCTGTTTCCTCAGACAGACCAGCCTTGATGTCGAATGACCATAGCAGTTGGGCGACCACAATCCAAATAGCATTACGTGCAAAATAACGACCAGGGCAGGTTCGCCTTCCATAGCCGAAGGCGGCTGCGGGTAGGGCTTTGAGCGTTTTGCCGTCCTCCTCGAGCCAACGATCCGGGACGAAATCGTCCGGGTCTGCGCCAAACAATGCCTCTTCCCGGGAGATTGTCCAAACATTGGGTACAATGACGGATCCCTTGGGAATGGTATATCCATTGTAGACTGTCTCCTCCCTGTTCAGGTGAGGGACGCCCTCAGGGCCAGCAGGCCGCCAACGGAATATTTCTTCGACAATAGCGGCAATGTACGGCAGGTTGGGCTTGTCCTCCGAGACTGGGAGTCGGTCGCGCCCGACAACGGCATCTAGTTCCTCGCGTGCCTTGACGATAAAGCTCTGGCCTTGCGTGACGCAAGCCACTACGAGCCAGATCAAACTGTCAGTAGTGCCGTCCAGTGCTGCATCGATCATAGTACCAAGCTCGAAGGCCAACTCCTCCAAGGGCATGTCGAGGTTATCTTTCTCGACAGTCTTCTGGAGATGCTTTGATATATTCCAGGCATCCGATTCCACTCCTCGTTTAAAGTTTTGGTGGCGTAGATGATGCTTGCCCTGGTAGTGGTTCTCAGCCTTAGCCTTCCATGGAGCTAAAAAACCTGGAAGATTGTTGAGCACAGGGAACTGGTCAACAATATGCGATCCAACCTGGATAAATTCGGAGAACTCCTCGTTGAATTTTATAACGGCGCAAAGACCTGGGTCATTGTAGCCTTTGACGCGGAAGCCATATAGCAAGGTATGAATGATGCTAGCAACCGCACGTTGAAAGTGTCCTTGAACATCAGTCCCAGCGCCACCCGCATTCTCTAGGAGATCGTGCATTAATTGCTGAGATTCTAGAGTCTGAATGGGAAGATAGGCGGCTGCCGGCGTCGCATTCAAGACTGAGACCTGTAACCTTTGATGTTGACGAAATTGCTCGGTGTAATTCATCATGAGAATGTTGAGCCCTTTCAAGGCCAACTCTGTCGCCAACTTCAATTTGAATTAGCTCATATTACATGCACGAGGTAAAGCAACAGAGTCTTACAAAAAGGCGAGGTCGGTCTGAAAATATGGATCCACGCTTCGCTAGGAGCTCGTGGGCAACTTCAGACGTAGACAAAATGATGACCGGCTGTCCAAGCATGTTGACATGAACGATGGGTCCATACTGCTTGCTCCATTCGCGATATGTCCTCCAGCCGTGGGATTTGGGTGCTTGGTGGACATTGCCAATGATCGGCAATGGCTTTGGGCCTGGTGGTAATGGTAAAGAAGATGTTGATTTACGACACGTTATAATGTACACGCCCACCAGCAGCCCAAATATGGCGATGAGTGTTGTCGAGTACATACTGATTCGAATTGGAAGAATAACCAACCAGATTCAGAGTGTCGGGGATGGAAGCGGGCTTATCACAGGCTTCCCGTCGGGAGCAGTTTCGTGACCTTCGAAGAAACCTTATCGTCGAGACTGCGGGTGCCACTTGTCGGGGATCAACAGAGCTAATTAGGTGGAGACGGGTGGAAATCAAGATGGCGGCGGGGGTTTGTTGTTTTTCCAGGCAGATGCCACATGTTACCGATGCTAAGCGATGGAACCGCGACACTGCGCAATAATCAACAACGGCTGTGTGCCTAGCTTGTGTGGAGTTGGGGGCCACAATACGATCTCGTTCGCTAGGATTAATGTCCGGTGGCTGGATCTAATCCGGTTCCGCTCAGGGCAAGTGGCCGTGGCCCGCCGACTGGCAGGAACCGAGGTGGCTCGTCTGGCACAGTGGATTTGATGGCAAGCCCCACGAGCTTGTTTCTACTGATCTTCTCTTTTCAGGGAGTGTATAGCTGGCCTCTGGTGGGACGTTTTCGTGAGTTGGCCGAGGGTGGAGCATGGACGGGTACAGGCCGTGCATCAGTGCCATCTAGCGGCTTATTATGTACTCCGTACAGTACCCTATCACTTAATTGTTCAATTGGGCCATTTGGGGTAAATCTTTCTGGATCTTAGCTCTCCGTAAATCCTGTGTTTTGGAAACGCTACTTACTAGTAAACGCTAATAATTTGATGAGTTTCCAAATGTATGAAATACAGTCCGGTATCGAGGTGGGACGCTCCACATGAACAATTATCTGAGAGGGTACTGTATTGTTGCCACTACAGCACAACCTAAACTAGCTTACTAGCCTGTTGTTGGTAGGGAGCCCGAGCTCTCATTTCAGCGACCGTCGGTGGGACTTTCAACTGAAACACCGGCTGAATTTTCTTTTCTCGACTACCACGAGGTCGCCCATAAATAGTTGGGAGTTGGGGACTCGACATTCAGAAAAGTGTTGCGAACACAGACCGGAACCCACAACAATGCCGTCACTAGCAATCAGACCGGTACGTGGCCAGCTGGAGCCGTGTCTCAGGACGCTGCTAATGCCGCCAGAAACACGATACGGCGTGCGGGATAGCCAAGTGCCCCGTGGAAGTTTTGGACTTGGTTTTGGAGTTGCTCTCCTCTGACGACTGGCGCGAACTGTGTCTCGTGAACCGACCGTTTCGCGCGTTAGCCGAGCCACTGCTCTACTCAAAGATTCACTGGTCTTGGAAGATCCTTGAAGATCCTCCTCCAATAGTCCAATTTTTACGCACTGTCACACAGAGGCCTGAACTGGGCGCACATGTCCTCGATATCCGACTGGATGGCCGGTCTGTTGCGCGGGCTGCAAATCCTAAACATGCATACAACTCATCTATTCCATTAATTCCGGTCTCGGGAGCCGCGCTAGACGGAGGATTGGAATTTATTGAGAAGACTAGGGTCCCGTATCGTGACACTTGGCAAGACCAATTACGCAAAGAAGTCGCCGAAGCTATCGTTGCGCTGCTCCTAGCACAACTCCCAAATCTCAGATCGCTAATACTTGGCCCTATCTTCACACAACGGACTGAACTAATTAGTATGATGTTCCGCTTAGCTATCTGTGAACTAGAAGGGTATGTGTTACCGAAATTTTCCTATCTCAAGGAAGTGTCGATTCAGTCTTATGATGGATGGGATTGGGTGCTGCGAAGAGAAAACGTGCGAAAAACACCCGATTTTCTGCCTCTTTTTTACCTACCGAGAATTGAAACCCTATCAATCCCAATACGAAGCTCGCTTGTATTCAAGTGGCCGACCACATATCTACCTAATTCAGCAACGCTCAAATCCCTTCAGTTACAGTGTATCCGAGAAGCACACCTCATCGATATACTCAAAGCCACGCCAAACCTTGAGAAATTGAGCTGGATGTGGTTCCATGACAACATGTTTAGTGACGATTTCGATACCCCGGTCGTCGATTTAAATCAGATCGCGGTCGCATTATCTTATGCTCCGCCTACTTTAACAGAGATCAATATTTCAGCCGACTGTCAAACGGATGTGATGGTATATCCCGGTCTCTCCACCAAGGGATCACTCCAAACCCTTTCCAATTTACACAGTGTCAAATCACTGCAAATTCCACTAGTCTTTCTGGTTGGCTTCGCCCAAGACACTACAAAATTATTGCAGGATAAAATGCCAAGAAACATCGAGCACTTGACGCTGGGTTACGACTTATCGGAGTTTTACAATACCTTGTCAGAAAAATACCCCGATTGGGAGTGGGAGGATTCGGCAGTTTTCGGGTTACTCAAATCTTGGTTGGAAGATTGGAATTCATGGACTCCGTGTCTGCGCGGGATTCATTGATAATCGAAGACGTTCACGGAATCATGGGCATATGGGACCCAGAATTGATGCGCCAGGCTACTGACTTGGGTATTCAGACTGGAATTTATCTTGAAGCCTCAGAACGGAAAATAGATGGGTCTATCGTGCCTCGAAATCTAAATTGAGGATGCGGCCTATCAGGCCTGCTTTCACTCATGAGCAAGACGAGGATAAGCACTCATGAGAGTAATGCATTGAAACCGTTCGTGTATGCTATTTTGTGGCTCCCGATACCTCACATTCTTAACAAATCAGAGGGTATTACACGACTTTATCCGTTCTTCCCCTCACACTGATCACATCCCAAAGTATACTCGAGCTCATGATGGCGTCCAGATTTTTCAGTGGTCTGATTTGTGGTAGGACTTCCGCATACTTGAATTGGCCAACGGTATCCTGTCCTCCCGCCAGAGTTTTCAGATCATAGGACTCATCGGCGATTTTTGTATCCATTACGGTCAACTTCTCTTGTGATACAAACAAATTGCATCCCCATTTGTCCTGTCATCAATGTCAGTATATTGAATTTCCTTTGAAAAGTTGTGGAAGCCAATTGATGCTCACGATGATGTTTGTTCCACAAGGAGGTGTCTTTGTGAGACCACCGTTGCCCCTCAGAACTGCCCCGACTCTTGCATCGGGTGTAAATGACGTTAATGATATAATCGGTTTGCAGAATAACAGAATTTCGTCCAGGTCGCCCCATTATCATTAGATTCGGCGATTGCTAATCCAGCAGCGTTGCGGGGATATGGCGGTGTGCTCCAGTGAAAAGGCAAACGGCGGACAGACGAGTAAATAACCTTTAGGGAATCTTTGGAGTTCGTGAGTGGCACCATGCAACCGGTAAAGACTCCCTCACTATCATAAGGCTGGTCGGGAACTAAAGCGGGCGTGGTGGAGGGTGTCCAGGAAACGAGGTCTCTGCTGGTGAGATGACCCCATGACATAGAGCCCCAATTAGTGCTATGTGGATTGCCTGGATAATGTTAGTGTAAACCACCTACGGTGCCGGAAATACCTACATTGATAGAAGACATGATATAGGCCCGTGGCCGGATCATACCCAGGCGCACAAGGATCGTTGATCCAGAAGCCAGCCGTGAAATACAGAGAGGGCCTAGTGTAATCGGAGGCCATTCTTGTTGCATTTCAGATCAAACTATTATCAAACCTACTATATATATGCCGCTCTATATACGCCGCTCTTGCTGCTATGGCTCATCAAGGCCGAGCTCGGCAGCTCAGCTTGTGTGTATCGCGGAGTCCCGGACTTCTCCCGCCTAAGGCTAATCTCGGTAGGTACCAAGCGTCGCGGAGTAGCGCTAGGGCTCCGCGAGACTATAGGTTCGCTATCTAAATATATTCTAGGTTATAACGTTTAACTTTATTGCAGATCCAGGTAGAAAATAGATACTATTGCTATCGTTGTCTCTAAATATGCCTGACTGAAATCGGTTTGAAAGCACTTTCAGTGAATCGACTAATTATACGGCCCGGCTTAGGAATTATGCCTTATATTCTAACGAGAGAGATACCTGCTTTCAAATACAAGGAAATTACTTACGCTATAATAGGAGAAGTCAACATGAGTGGGTGCATAAGCCCCCATGTGAGCTATCGAATTTGACAGAATGCGACGGAACGTACACGTGACGACGATCTTCAACGATTGACATCAACAACTTGCACACATGACGAAAGAGCTTTAACACTCTATTTCTCCTGATTTTTATAAGATTCTATTCTAACGTATTACCTCGATTTTATGAAGTTATAAATACTGCCTGTTTTCTATAGCTAAATTGAATCAAGTCTGACACTCTTTTCATTTATATAAGAGACTAAGGCCTCCTTGATAGTGTAGCTCTAGTCTAATACTGTATATTGCCTACCTAACTACTACCTGTTAAGACTGCCGACCCTCTTTCCTGTAGATAGTTATTCTTCTATGATTGTGGGTTCTTGGCTGAATCGCACAATCACAATCCTGACGTTCTACGATTAGACCGTCCGACCCGACCTGACCTTATCAAGAGAGAGCTCTAGGCCCATCTGATTGTGTAGTAGTCTAATACTGTACGCTGCCTACCTGACTACTATCAATCTAATACTGCCGACCCCCCTCCCTCTATCGCTTAACCTGACCTGTACGATTCTTCGCCAATCGTATACTGATTTGACCAACCGTGCACACTCGCTTGCTTGTGCACGCAGAAGGATTTATGCCGACCCTGTAAATCCGACAACAGATTATGTTGCAGAGGTTTCTAACTATTCGGCCTAAAGTCGCTTTCTTATAAAAGCACTGAGTCTTCTAAGTTAAGCAGTTTCGTAAATATATAGCGGGCGAATTGTACGTTCCGAGCGCACAGAAAAAAGCCCTGAAGTCTCTTAGGCAGTTACCGTTAGGTCTAGGTCCAGGGAAGTAGAGCGATAAGAAGCTGAATAGTGCGTGACATTATACAGTAGCCGTGTTAAGGGTGTAAGGTCGGTTTATTCCTTATATAGTCCGTAACTAGCTGATTTATTTGTTTCTTAGCAAAAATAAAAGCTGTCTTATATAGTCACCGCAGCTAAGGTGTAGTAGTAGAGAGCCAATAAGGGCCGACGCCTGTAGTATAGCAGAAAAACACACTGCACGAATACCATCATAGTAATGTTCTCTATTGATACATAGAAGTTAGGAGTAGACAATAAAGAACGTTCGATATAACGGAAATTCTATATCCTCAGGTTTCTATCTCAGAATAAATGTTCTGGTATCAATTTGCAGTATTAAGCTTCTCTCTGTGAGAAGGATCTTTGGCTATACTTGTCTCGGAGATAGATACTTGAATTATAAGAGAATCATTACTAAAGCATCCTGCGAGACAGACTGTGTTGCAAAGTAAAGTGCGGTCTGCTCGTCCTTCGGTATGCTTCAAGAACCGTGGGCTCGCCAATAGGGAGATTGGGAAGAGATGCCTGTACGAGTGGTCGAGGATATAATTTGGCACAACCCAGACAAGCTATTTGAAAGCTATCACTGCCATTCACGATTTCACAACATATGTGATAGAGCACAAGTACTGCTTTCACCTGGTTTCAACTTCCGACGTCTGGCAAACCGCTAGACTAATCAGAAATAATAACACCAATCCTCTTCTCGGTCTCGATTCTGTTGAGAGGGATCCTCTGGAGAAGGTCTTTCGCGTACGCAGCTGCCACAATAGCTACATATCCCTACCAATCCTTGTTCTTATGCGAGTCTGAGTAGTCGCAGATGCCCCGGATAACCAGGCATAGAAAAGTGTTCATCAGCCTGGCGGCTTCCATTTCGAAACAGAGAACGTCCTTTTCCGCAGCAAGCTTATTTCGAATCAAAGCATCTTTCATCAACTGGTTTCCAGAAGCTATTCCGAGAACTGGAAGAATTTGAGCGCGAAGCAGCTCATAAACCTGCCTTCTTAAGGGGTGTGGAGAGGCTACGCTCCCTACAGACACCTCTTGAAACTTTCAAGCTAGCCTTGGATTTAGCCAGTCCACTGGCAAACCTTGAGCCCACCGCGTCGACCGTATTGGGTGTGGTTAGATGCGTGACAGCGGTAAGCTTAGCTAACTGCAACCTGATGAGTACCACGATTTATAACCGTCATTTACTTATACTCCGCTTCTCATACTACGAAGATTGCCATTACATTTGCCAACGCAGATATTGACTTTGCAAAACAAATCGCTGATATGTTGGGGCGGATTTCCTACATTGATGAATGTGACGCACTCGGCCAGAAAGCAGGTAGGAGAGATATCCACAAAGTAGGGGCTTCTGACCTTTCTCTCCACGTTGTCGATTGGCTTATTTGGAGTATTTTAGGCGCTTGTAACAGTATACCAAAAACTTCTGGAGTTCTACAACGCCGCTCTTGAGATTCTCGCCCGAAAAGGGATGAAACTGGTAATGAAGTTAGTCTCAGAGAATGATCGCCTTCCAAATATTATCAAAGACTTCTTGGCGTGTGCCGATAATCTCCATTTCGAAATACACAAAGCGACAATGGATATTTTGGTCGATATCAAAAAGATGCTCTATTTCCAAGACAGTAAGCCATTGTTTTCGAGGAATACCAGGCATTTTTGACCAGCTCTTAGTTTCTCGATGGCTCAAGCTTGACAAGCTCGGCCACCAAAGTCAAATGCTCGGCGAGTGGCAGAGGGATCGAGAAAACAAGGCATGCGAATTCTTATTGGAGGATACCAGATTCAATACCTGGTATAATACTCCCGAGTCCCGGCAGTTGGTGATCCTCGGTGCAAAGGGGCACGGAAAGACCTTCACTATGACTTTTCTTGCTGAGGAGCTGGAGAGGAGAAACAGGTATCAACTGCCTCGGCCAGTGCTCTGTCAGTACTATTGTCGTGACGATGAGACGGGGAAGGCCACAAATGTGCTCTGTGCCCTGATCTACTCACTTCTCAATCACAAACAGCTTGAAGGCCTACAAAAGCCATTCCATGAGCGTTATAGAGAGGCTCTGGGTTCGGATCTTGATCCGGCCTCGAACATATTCACGTTGGAAAAGTTTCTGGGAAGCATGCTGAGAACTATTGATCGTCCCATTGTTTTCGTTATTGACGGAATAGATGAGTGCGACGACTCCTCCCAGAATAGCCTACTCAATTTCCTGAATTCTATTCTGCAAACGGCTTCCGGGCTCAAAATTATTCTGTCAGCGCGGCCTCGGCAAGAGATTCTAGATCGACTAGATGATGCAATCAGAATTGAACTGGCCCCTGATCCAAAGCGGGACTTCTTTATCGTTGAAAAAACAATCAAAAAATTGCCACGTCGTCTCTCACCAGATGCTAAGGCGCAAATACAAAAATCGCTCTCTGAAAGAATGCAAGGAAGCGGCATATGGACGAAGATGATCGTTGAGCTTATCAATGCTCGTCGACTCATGACAAAAGATGCTATCGATCAATTCCTGGAAGCATTACCCTTGCCTCAAGAGCTCTCAAAAGTCTACAACTCGTTACTTTCACGGTGCACATCAGATGATGATGAAAATTGGCAACTTGCCGATACAGCGCTCAGGGGTCTTGCTTTCAGCCACAGACCTTTGAGCATACTAGAGCTTGCATGGGCGGTGGAAATGAGCCTGGCCCAGAACGTGCGGACTGTTCACGCCCTTGCTAAAATGGTGGATCATCAAAGAGTCATGGAACTCATCCATCCATTCATTGCTTCCCCTGACTATGATGAGCCACGTAAGCCTCAAGTCCGGCTCACTCACCAGTCAGTGAAGGAGTGGGTTCGCCAAATGGAAATTGTCGTGAATTGAAGAAAACAGATGAAACAGGTCACGATTGTAAAAATCTCGGCGATTTTATGCTCAATATCTGCATAAAGTATTTGCTCTTGGACGAGATTGGCAATACAGATTTGTACTCTGAGGAGCAGGCAGCATTCGAACAACTACCGCAGCTGTCCAGGTCGTCTATCGACGACCAAGAGTCAATTGATTATGATCGAAACTGCACGTGGGAGTCCTGGGAAGATGATATGGCTCGTATTGACCCGCTTGACCGTGGCTTTGGCGAATTCTTCGTTTACGCGTCGTGCCATTGGATCGACCATTTCGGTGGTACTGGTTCAACGTTCGAGCATATTCCAAGCCTCGTGAGTATTGAAAATGTGTGCCAATCTGGGTCGATTCGACTTCGTAATTGGATTCAGCAAAATTGTCGTCCTGGCTGCACAATGTTGCCGAGATTTGAATTCGATAGCAGCTTGTACGATCCTCTAAGCATCACTTCGCTCTACGGATCAGAAGCAGTATTATGTACTATGGTTAGAGCGTCAAGCTTCGACAATGGTAAATATTTTCGAGACACGGCGATGAGAGCGGCTGACCAGATTCTCTAGTGGGGAGACCTATCCAGGCTCAAAATACTGCTCTTAGACAGTAGGACTGGTCAGCACCTGAAGAACTTTGACCTTTTTCGGCTCATCGTCAAAAGATAGGACAGGGCCCGTCTGATCACCAATCCACGAAAAGAACGGCAGAACTGGGATCTTGTATTCGATCTCGTTGACGATGTGACAGAGAAGATGATTGAGGATCACTGGGGAAACAAATTGTTTTGTTTTGCTGCTGGTGCTGGGTGCATGCCCATAGTGCAGCGTTTGATGAACAGCGCTCAACATTCGCGAGAGCTTAGGGGTGAATTGCTTGGGACCGAGGTGGAAGGGAGGCTATCACCACATGAAGAAGAAACGCATCAGTCCGTTGGCTACGTTGTTCTCGGGAATTACAGCGAAATTGTGGGATACCTTGGAGAATTCGGCTTTGAAGCGCATTTTCGATACCGTAATGCCCGTGGCGAGAACGTTCTACATCTGGCATCTAAGCACTGTAATCCAGACATGTTCCGTCTTTTGCTCCCCCGATTTCTAGAAGGCATCTTTGCAGAAGACCATATGGGAGAGACGCGTCTGTTGCGAGTTATTATGAGCCCTTCAGCTAAGAGGTACCAGTGTGCGAGGAGACTTTTGCTTGCAAAAGCGAACCGACGTACTCGATGTTTGGATTGGCAAGGGCAAGCATTGCGGACTGCCGTATCACGCCGTGACCTGGAAATGTGTTCCATATTGATCAGCCTCGGTGACATCGATCCACTTGCAGCCCTGATCGGCGATGCTGAAGGCCAGAAGAACTCAAAAGAAAGAGGCTCTGGGAACGACGACAATTTGTTGCGTATCTTGCTTGACCTATTTTCTTGTGAGGGTAACCCTGCGGTCATAGACCTTCAACATCTAGCCGAGAAGCAATATATCAAGTGTTTTGATAGTTGCAATGAATGATGCTCATCACTGCATTACGACAAACCAGATTTAAGAAGACTACTTTAGCATCAATGAATCTAAAATGAATCAAGGCGTCAAAATTCTAGGCAACAGAGGTAGCTCTCCCAGTTCTCAAACCACATCCCAGTAGCAGGTCATTGAACTTGAGAGAAGTATTCTTGCTAATTTAAACCGATTGCCCGAGGCTGAAAAATTCATAATTACCCTAACAACACCCCGATTACTGACACCCTTGTCAGGTAGCATTCGGTGTGATATAGAATTACCTAGCTACATGGACAGGCTCATTCCGGTTCACTAGCTCGATGAAATTAGTATGATCGCAGTGGCCGACGTTGCATCTCTTGCCCAGCCTGCTAATCCCAGTACATCTTATCCTGTACAGTTCAGAATATCACTGATATACCTTGGATGAATGGTATAAATAGAACTATGAATCCCCCCGTCTGGTCTCAAACCTATCCATCGAGCATCATCTTCTTCCTCATATCAATTTCAGTGTAACCTCGTTTACAATGCGTGTTTCAATCGCTGCTATCTTTGCCGCTGGCCTTGTCCTTACGCAAGGTGCTCCCGTTGATCCGAATGCCACCATCTACTTGACCTCTGATGCTGAGAAGGCTATAACCGGCCAATCCCCGAACCCCAAAGTCGTCTTTTCGATGCTGGCAGCAAACAACATGGTCAATGACTGTGGCTACTATACCTTCATAAACCAGTCCTCAGGCGGCTCTCCGCTGATAAGCGACTGCCAGCAGATAACCAGGAACATTGCCAATGGTGGTTCCTGGGAAGTCGAGGACTTTGGTGGACAGCACCAGCTTATCCAATATGGCACCTGTGCCTTCGGGGTAACGGGTGACAAAAGCATCAACGGATTTTACATCGGCAATCCCGATATCATCGACCTGATCAATTCGTCCATCGGTTTATTTGCATGGGAAAGGTTAGTTGGGGCCAAGGGCGTGATGGGTTGCCAATCACTCACCGGGTTGGTGGGCGGTGTTACTGTTACTTGGGGATTATACCACACCTAGGCTTCATCCGGTCGGGAGTGAAAGCTCGTATATGATGTTATCGAAACATGGAGCGGCAACTTAGCGCTAGGATAGGGTTGGCGTTGCACCATGTACCTTAGTCATCTTGGGGGTATTCCAACCATCCCATGGCAGTCATTCTTTTCTCGAATCAATGAACCTTTGCATCCAAGATTGGTTCTGCTTGGTCCTATCCTCGGCCCCATTCGCCTACTAGGATTACTAACCATTACTGTCGCAGCTTGCTTAGACAGATGTAGACCTTGCACTCGGATTATTCTGTGGTCACTGAAGGACTAAGTTCAACACATGGTGGTTCCTGCCAACTTCCTGGGAGTATTTGATCATATTTCTGGCAAGGATATCGAGTTTCTAGGGTCAACGCTAACCTCGGGATCTGGTAGTAGACTAGTAGTAGTAGTAGTATTCTTAGACTATCCCAGCCGCTCTAGTGAGTTGGTTTACCCAACTAGGCCAAAATACGAATCCCTACCTAGCCTAGTTGGTCCGGCTCTTTTCCAAAAGCTCAATCCTGAGTCAACAAATCACGTACCACTGCGCGTTGCAAAGAATATTCCCAGAGTCATACTGATTGAACTATTTGAAGAAGATGGCTCTGTTAAATTTTGGTTGTTGCCTCGGAACAGAATAAAATGGCAGATAGTCTAGCAGTATCTGCCTTGGGAGGGAAGGCTACTAAGCCTAGGTAGCTGTTTAAGTATGCTGGACGGACTGTTTGATATCTATGAATGTTGTGATCTCCTAGCACCCCATCACCCCGCGGCGACGGATCCTTACATTAGGCGAGCCCGAAACGACGGGCACTTCTACCACTTCTCGAAGTATTGATTAGTATAATATACATCAATTATGCCTGTAACTCAGAGTTCAGGCATGAGAACCATCTCCGTGTTGGGACTAACCCTTTTCATTTAGCTTCGTCCCGTGGGGTTATGGACCGAGAGATTGGGATCTATAGTTATCACGTGACGTAGAGCAAGATCTATATATTCAAGCTTGGGTCTAGGCTAGCGGGTGGCCATTCCGAGTTTCTTGTCTCACTCTCTCTGAAATCGAAAAATCCGCATGGCTCTGCCCGATTCCGGCAGCATGCAATCAGTGTCCGAAGATCCTAGCGATTCATCCAAACCGACCATTATTTGGACTGAGCTTCGGGTGCCTATCGGCCATGAGTCTGACAAACAACGATGGGTCGAATATTTTCAACCCTTAGTACATGCTACGGGCCACAAACAGTCAATATGGGCTCGGCTTCACTTCAACCCGGAGAGAGTGATTCTAGGCACACGCAAGTTATCCCTCCAGAAGCGATACATCATAGTCATCCGAGTGGGGTCAATTTACTGACGAGGCTCTTATATCTAGATTGGTCTAGTAACTCAGCGTGCAGGGACTTTGAAAGCTCTCTGTCAGCTCAGATTTTCAGAGAACAGCTTGCGAGCGACGGGATTACATTCCTGATATATTATGAGTTCCCTGGATATTCGCAACTTTGGTTTCACTTGTTACCTAGACGTTTTATCTACATCTTCTGGGTTTACTTTAAAGTTCTAGTATCGGAAGAGCAAAAGCAAAGAGTTGTAAAACGCGGTGGTATTCGCCCGCCTGCTGTGTTAAGCCTCCGACCCAACTAAAGACTGCAACCACGTCTTCCCGTGCAACTATGGGCTACTCGTACGGAGTACCTACATAGTGAAGAGGTTCAGCTACTGCTATGGCTACATATCTGGAGAGATGAGGAGGCAGCGTCTTGGAGGCTTATCAAGTCCAGACACATCAATTCCCTTGGTGAGACGCAAGTAGATAGCTTTCATGGTTTTCTTCGTGATATCGGCTCGATGGAATTCAAGGAAGACTATTGTCACTTTGAAGACCTGTTACGCCTATAAGTACGGTCGCAGCTCTTTTGTTTTGAAATTTCTATAACTTGTGATCAGTTAGTTGCCTACTCTATATCTCATCAACCTATTTAACTCTAGATTGAGATCAATCTAGCTACTCCCGTATCAAAACTCCATCTTTGGTTGGAGGAGTCGGACCACTGAGTCTGCAGGAAAAGCCAGTAACCCACGCTGAACCAGAGATATGACTCAGGGTTACGACGAATCAGGTGCTGGTAGTCTTCATCGTAACCGCCGGGTTTTATGTTTGGTGAATCTTCGAGCCAAAGTTGCGTAGTCTTCCACGAGTCTTTATAAGGCTGTTAGTATAGGCGCCAATGCACTCTAATCCGATTTCTCGTTAAGGACTTACAGCATTTAGGTAATTCCACATCGGGACTATCTTCCGACCCCCAGACCAGATGGAACAATTCGTGGTAGAAAGTCCCACTTTGTGGCAGGACCTTGTCGATTGACATGCGTACCTTAGGAGCTTTGGATCCAAGGTTTGCAGTGGCTTGAGGGTTTGTGAAGGCGCTGGGGCACAGCGTGATAGTAGAGGGTTTTGTCTGGTCCTGGGTGACACCGAGATTCTGATTCGATACGGTACAATAAGTCTTGCCACCGTAGTTCTCATCAAAGACGTACTCCTTCAAGTCATCCGACCAGTAAGGTACATAAGCAGTTTTGATCCAGAGAGCCCCTTGCTGCGCACCAAATCTTTGTGATATTGACTAGTGGCAAAATCGCTCAAAAGCGGAGGTAAACAAACAGCAATTTATTTTTATAAGTCGCCTGTGCTAAATTATTTCATAAATGGGGATCGCTTTCTTAACGCTTTCGACTCAGCCCCGAATATCTTTCACAAACCGTCGAGCAATACTCATTTTAATACCTTTGCCAATGAAGAACTCCGGATCTTAATCCTGATAGACCTGCTCAAGATCAAGGCCATTCTCGAGTATTAGATCACAGTCTTGTCAAAATGCAGCCATGAGAGTGTCATCAGGTACAGTGCGTCCCGAAATTGGTGCAACGGAAACACCATGAACATGGGGGAAATTGTAGGGCGAATAGATCGCAGTGAGTAAGATAGACTACGGAGTAGATCACATCGTATAATGCAGATCGGAGATACCATCATCCGATAGGTGGATGCAGTCCTCGTATATGCAATAGAGGAAAGAAGCATCCATAATAGTGTATTTGTGGGAATACAGCGGAAGACTATCGCCCGATGATGTTGAATATCGGTCAGGAAGGTCAAAAGGGTTACACAATGAAAGAAAGTGGTCACACAATCAGATCTCAATGAAAGGGCCAGGCAGAACATGCCGGAAGAATATCAGGCCGATGACACCACAGTAGCAACTATTTTTCGATTTCCCTTTCAGTTTGTATCTGTAGAACAGCACTTTTGACCGTCGCTACAACCGGTGTCATAGAATTTACTGTAGTATCCCTCAAGACAGGGCGAACCTGCAGGAGTAGCGCAGTATGCATTCTCAAAGTTAGAGCAGTCCAATCCAAGTGCACCTAAACTCATTAGCCGCATGTTCTTAAGTAGTTTGTGATTCGAACAAACCGTGGATAAAAGGACTAATTAGCAGTGGCGTAAGTTAGATATTGGAATATGTAGGTCTACAGATTACATACCTAAGAATAGTGACGGTGATTACAAATAGAGATCTCATCTTGATGTAAATAACTATGTGTAGTCACTGGGGCTTGGTATATAATTCGAGAAGGATAGATGTTCGAGCGGTTCAATAATCTCGGTTTTATAAAGTCAGCGGCGGGAGCCTAGGGGGTTATTCTGTATGGAGAAATCGATTTCAAGACTTGAAAGCATGAAAGCAAATTCCTGCGGGACGAAGGCTATATTTATGTCCCTACTGGCTAACAGGATTAGCGACTGAATTCAGGAGGAGATGGCAGTTAAAACGATCGCCAGAACAACGTGATAGTTAGTCACGTAACTCGTATCATGCATCTACTCAGCCTGGCAAGCACTTTGCATGTCTCACCTAGTCATGTTTCAGTAACTTAAGAGTGACCAGGTGGGGCATGCAAAGAGTGGATAAATTCGAACTACAAAACGGATCACTAGCTCCCTATAAAGTAAGGGAGAAGCGCAATAAGGTCTTCAAGTGCTGCAGGAATCGTTGATCAGGCAAATCAAGAAATAGTGGTAAGAATCGGACCGACTTACCAGTATTTATGTGTTGGCGAACTGACTTGCTATCTGCAAGAAGTAAGGTTTTTAGTATATACCTATATTAGCTGTTTGCTGTTCAGCATGTGCATTTATCTTAAAATTTCAAAGTTCTTACTGAATATTGGTTCAGTAGGGAAAAACTAATGATCATTTTTGTTACTGACAGATTATGGTGAGAATTTGCGGCACCTTACAGGCAGTAGTGAATGCATTTTCTCGTTGGCCACTACAGTTAACTCCCGTTTTCGGCATGCTAGGCACACATTGTCATTTGGTACTAAAATTTGTTGGATGGACCACCTTTTTGGGGGTTCCCGTAACCTATAACGTAATTCCTGGCCGATCTGGCCACTCCCGTCTGGCTGCATACCCGAAGTTAAGAGCCAATTATGGCAGATTTAAGCCATTACTACTCCGTAGATTCACCGTAGTTTTCTCGCCCCGGCGGTACACCTTGAGCGAGCTGGGGTGGATATTCAAATACAGGAAAGTGGATCTGCGGCTGAGCAACTATTGAATCAGCATATATGCTATCGACAACCCTAAAATGGATCTCATCGATTTTTCGCTGATCAGTGGGGCGCGGGATCGTAGGATATGAGAACTGCCAATCGTTTATAAACACTTTCAAAAATTGGTCTCAGCTCCACGGGCGATATATACCTTAGCCTGTACGGAGTAACTAGATCGTGAATAGTCCTAGGATCACCCCCAGCCTTGGACCTCGGGAATCATCAACATCAATGTGTGGACCCGCTTTCAAGGTCGATCATCTGGTCCATTTCAAATCAATCTCCGCGATGATTAGGTTTATGTCGAGAACGACCAGGTATATAAGCCACGTCTCTTGCCAGGTTTCACGTTCTCGATATCAACCTCGAACCTTTCAATCTCTTTACAGCCTTCCCACCACACCATCCCAACATGCGTCTCTCCAACATTGCCATCGGCACTATTGTCGCCCTTTGTGGCCAGGCTTTCAGCCAGGAGTCCCGAGTGGGCAAGGGACCCCAAACAATCGCTCAAGCCAACGGCGACTCCCTCCTGACAGCTGCATCGAAGTCCAAACAGCCTTTGACATTTGAGAGTCCCACTGGAGAGGAGGACCAAACTTGGTTTTTTATCGAAGACTCTGACAACCAGGGCCAATCTATCCAGAATGCCGATTCCGGTAAATACCTCTACTGCTCTGGAGGATCCGCCTGTACGCAGTCGCGGCAGGCTCAGATCTTCCACCCGTACCATCAGAAAAATTCCGATACCTGGGGGTTTGGTGAGATAAGCTCCCAATCGGTCCTCACTTGGACAGACGAGAACACTCTGAAGCTGGTGAAAAACCCCTCCAACATGGATCATTCGTTCTTCACAATCAAGAAAGCCGGTTAGTTATCCAAACTTCCTGATCTCTCTAAACGTCTTAAACTATGACTGAACCGATTTAGAGTAAACTATCGCGCCCGATATCGACTGAGGAAAGCCTTAAGAGGGTTGTGTTTTATCTTATCTCAGTCACCTTCGTTTGGCTGGATATGGGAGGGAAGAGGAGAGAGACATCAACCGATGAGATCAAGGCTCTTACGGCCGTCGCCTACTTCGCTACTTTCCTTTGTTGAGTGTCATTGATATATATATACGACCTCACATAGTGGGGAAGGTCCCGAGGTCGTGCTCCGGGTACGATATGGTGTAGGGGGATTACTCAGAATGCATTTCATCATACATCCATAGATGTGAATTCCCCGATCGTCCAATTACTTCTCTCGAAACTATCTTAACCTTGGCTTGTAATTAGTCGATTCCTGTGCTAGTTAGGTAGGTCGGAGTCTAGATTCTAGGATCTATATAAATTATAGAGGCTAAACCACTACTAGTGATCTAAACAGAACTAGTCCAATTAATTATCTTTGTATAGAAAGTAGGACGTCAAAAGAACAAAAGCCATACCAAAGATACCAAGGAATAGGAGAATATAGGGCCTCAGATCGCGCCTACTAAGCGGCGAAGGGGGCCTTACTGAGTTGATTTCGGCGGAAGGAGACTATCCAATCAATACTAGTCAAGAGCGACGACTATGAGTTCAAGCTGATTCTCGGTGTATTTCCCCCACTCTCAACCGAAAGACATGGAAAACCTAGAATACCATCGATACCTAGGCTCAAATGGCCGTGATCTCAACAACCAAATAGGCTTTCTTCGAGGGGGTGATCGGTGGCCATATTTGACTATCAGGCCAAAGATGGCTTGCCGGGTGACCATGACTCTCAGAGCACAAGGGTATGCATTGAATTTCGATTTGTGGGGGTGGTAAAAGCCCAGTCCACTGGACTGGGAGGCGTATAGATGTATAATGGCCTATTTAAAATACATGATCTTATTTTGAAGTTTCTCGAACAAAGAAAAGCTCTCCGTATGACCTGGATAGCGCATTATTATGATGCCTATGAGCACTTCCCCTTTGCTTGGCGATCTACCCAAGCTCACACGGCTGCGTATTATGGCCTCGAGGATCGATTTGTCTCATACCTCAGGACCGGTCAGCCAAGTACCCGAAATCTTGATATTTTTCGGTCGGATATTTTACATCTTTTAATCCGATAGCTAGTTCTACCTAAATGTCATATAATATCCTAGAATTATCACGTGGAAGACCCTTACCCTGAAGTGTTAGATTAAGCCTGTATTTTTTTAGGAATAGCCAGAAGGACGCTAAGATACCAACGCTGATTAGACGCGAAAGCATTAAGGGGTAAGCAAGCACTAAGTAATCACTAAGCAGTCCTGATTGGACACTAAGCGGTCACTGAACGATCACTGAGCATTAGTCATTTATCACATGACTCTCCTGGATTGATCACTGAGCCTAAGCCCGTGCTGACATTTACTCACTGAGGCTGAGCCTGAGCGCCCTCATAAAAGCAGCGGCACCCGGGATAGGAAAGCCCCACCCGCCAGACTTTATCCGGTCTATATAGTGGCATATACCCTGGCCATTCGATGCGACGAGCTCGGATGGTGTGGCGATCATCAGCCATGAAGAGGGGAAGGAGGAGGAGAACAAGCCACTTCGTCGATGCCGGGCATCATCCTTGCCCTGTGGAGGGCAATTGGCTCTATGATTATCCACCAGCTCCACGGGATGACCGGCATCCGAATCCTTTGTGATGATACCAAGAAGAAGAACATCGAAGCCGAGTGTCCCGCTTAACATCAGTGTGGTGGGCGGTGCAAGCCTCCTCTGCTGCAGTAGGGCAGGGCGAACTACTGTAGGTGGTGGTGGGGGGCCTACATTGCTTATGGAGACAAAGGCCAGATGGTTCGTCATTTAATTTGATATCTATTCCATCTACCATGGCTAACTACTGTAGACCAGCTATGTACCTGAAGAGAACACGGTATGTACGATGGTCGGTGTCAATGATAATGTTAGCGTGGTACTTTCACCCCTTCTTCATGACTAATACCCTCTCCAACCGCCTTCCGAATAGGGATTAGGGCAATACCATATGTTTCAAACCCTTCCACCTAGCCACCTAGCCACCTACCTTCCTACCTACCTACCTACCTACCTACCATGGAGACTAATCACGAAAGATCCGATCATACCCCCCAGGCCCCCCAGGCCCCTCATACCCCTAGCCATAAAGCTAGTCGTGATCAGCGCATCGCAGCGCGTACACTGCGCGCTCAGGGGCTTACCTATAGCCAAATTGCATCAAAACTGGGCATTACCCAGCGTCAGGTCCAAAAGGCTTGCACTGATGAGAGGCCTACACCACGTAAGGCCCCTGGCCGAGGTCGAAAGCTATCAGAAGAACAGCTTGATGAGATAATCGAGTTTATCTCATCTTCGAAAGAGACACGACGGATGCCGTACTCTAGGGTTATAGAAGAACTACAACTCCCTATTAGTTCTGTCACCTTACGAAGGGCCTTAGCTAGACGTGGATATCATCGATGTAAGGCCCTTCGAAAGCCTCCGTTGTCCGACCGTACACGAGCACTGCGTCTAATCTGGGCGCTAGAGCACGTTAATTGGACGCGTGAGCAGTGGGAAAAGATATTATGGACTGATGAGACCTGGGTTACATCGGTCTATCATCGACGGATCTATGTTACGCGTCGGGCTGGTGAGGAATTTGATGATACTTGTGTACGAGAGCGAATTTCTCGTGCACCTGGCTGGATGTTTTGGGGCTCATTCTATAATAATAAGAAAGGCCCTTGTCTATTTTGGGAGAAGGAATGGGGCACTATTACTGCTGCTCGATATACAGAGCGAATTGTGCCTCTTATCGACGGTATGGTTTCGCTGGCTCGCAATCATTTAGATCAACATCTAATTGTAATGCAAGACGGCGCACCATCTCATCGAAATCTCTTAACTATTGAGGAGCTTCACGATCGTGGGATATACCCTATCGACTGGCCACCGTATTCGCCAGATCTTAATCCAATTGAGAAGGTTTGGGATTGGATAAAAGATTGGATCGGTGATCGATATTTGAAAGACTATGATCGTAAGCTATCTTATGATCAGCTACGCGAGGCTGTGCGAGCTGCTTGGGATGCGATTCCTACAAGCTTTTTAGACCAGCAGATTGATCTGATGCAGAAGCGCTGCCAGGCTGTTATCGACGCGCAGGGGGGCCATACACCTTACTAGGCGGTAATATATTGTATTATAGTGGTTTAATTACGTGAAGTCGTAATAAAAGGGTGGCAGAATATTAGTCATGAAGTAGGGGTGGAAGTACCACGCTAACATTATCATTGACACCGACCATCGTATAGAGATGCTTATCACGGAGCATCCAGTTCCAAATCCTTCACAGTACAGCGGCCCCTCCGTTGATCACGTATATTGATTGGATGTACGGAGTACAGTAGAATACTCGGTATTGTACTCCGCTGCAAGCTGTAGCTCTTTTTATAGATGGGGCAAATGATGCTGACGATCACCCGCTGACGCTGTTTTGTTCTCCTCAGACGCTACGAACACGAGCTCCTCTATAGAGGGATAGGCTGATAAGATTTTCCTCAATGGGCTGGGCCCCCGACGTCATGGTCCTGCGCGCTGGGGGACAGCGACAAGCGACAGCTTTACGAGCGTTTCATCGGCACACTCCGTACAGAAACGGGCCTTTACCTTTTTGAGATTATCGCAAGCTGTGCAAGAACACCGGGCTGCCTGAAGAGGTTATTTGGGGGCAGAACCAACCAACATCCAACAACAAAACCAAAAACAACAACAATAACTGACTCAGCACCAACTTCCCGAGGAAACCTCCCGCTCTCCAAGCGAAACTGTGTTTTCCTCGCCAAAAAGTGTCATATGCCCTTTCAGAAATTTGACCCTCCGCCGCGCAAGTCCTGACCCACGCCGATCGGACGAACCACGGACGCCGCGGGTTTCGCATCCTCTAACGGTCAGTGGCCAGCGCCCATGCGCCACCAAACCGTTCAACTGGAGCGTGAGCGCTGATCGTCACTGAAATGGTGTCGGTTTGGCACCCACACACTTTTTTTTGGCCCTCGGGGACTCGGACTCGGGGTTGTGTGAAAGTGCATCAGCAGGACGTTGCCGAATACGGGAATTGGCGGGGGGTAGGTGTGTGGAGTACAGTAGTATGTACATGAGGGGGCTTTTTTTCCTACGTCGAATAATAAGGCGTCCTGATCCTGAAGACTGAAGAAGGAGACGGGATTGTGCGTCAGACTACTCTACAAAGTACAAACCCCAGAGATGATATGCCAAGGGGAACCCATGCGCGAACCAAGTATAGGTATACAGTCGAGCATGACAGATCAGACTGAGTTATCGAGCTGTAGTTCGCAGATTTGCCTCCCAAGCTCAGCTACAGTAAAGTTATCTTGGTACCTAGAGGCGAGGCAAAGCACATGATTGATGAATTACTCGAAATACTAATTACTTACCTCTTGATATTACTACAATAGTAGTTACTAGTGTACTGTACTACTCTGTCCTCGGCTACCTAGTACTCCGTACATAACACCTGTCCAACATGTATAGACCCTTGTTCCTGGCCCCAAAAGGGCCCTGACCCAAATCGTCCGTCCCAAATTCTCCGGGCTGTACGGGAGTGTAACCACCCATCCCCCAATTCCCAATAATAACACTGCTTCTATAGGACGAGTAAGAAATCTTGGTGGCTTCTTTTTGGTGGGTTCGCCCCGTCCCTGATCATCATTCAGTCTCCGCCTGAACGTTCCAGACTGGCTGGACAGATTGTTCGCCCGCATTAGTTGGTTCACAATATCATTGATTTACAACTTCCCCAATTTTCCGGCTCCATTATTTGCGGAAAGGAGAGGATCCATTCTTTCGCACGGTGGTTCCGCCATACATACGGGAGTATAGGATACCTAACTGTAGTTGGTCTGTTCACTCTGTTGGTGTAAATTAGGATTTCGATTTAGATTTTTTCAATCACTTTGGTTAGACATATTTTTAAATTTGTATTATGTACTCTGTGTCCCCGTAGCAGAGTGATTGGTTGACATCGTGATGGGGGTTAAAGAGTAATTTATTTCACTTCTTATTTAATAGGGTGTCCCCCTTTCTGCTCACGCCCCCCTCTCCCCTCATATTCCCCCCATTGTTCTATTCATATTCCATATGAGTCGCAACCTTCCCTTTGATTGATCCTTGATCTGCTCACCTATTTCCGACTCCTCGATGCATCCCATCCTGCATCCTGCGCCTCCTTAAAAGAACGTGAAACACTGCGCTTCCTGCTTCGTTCTTTGTCTCATCTATGCAAACGGGGTTTTACAGCGGTACTATATTATTATAGAACCCGCCCTCGTGACTATTCTCCCATAACCTCAAATCGAGAAAAGAGAAGAAAAGCAAAGCGAAATAAACAAAAGCCACAATGCGCGACACTCCCTCCAAGTTCATCGAGATCCTCGACCCCCAGGACTCGCATCTGCGCATGTCCGACTCGGACGTTCGTCTCGAGGACGTCCTCGCCGACCACGAGGCAACTATTAGTCGCCCACGCTCTTCCACCCAATCCTCCACTAAGGCAGACAAGTCACATCTTGCCCGGAATAACTCGACATCACCTACGCAACGGTGGAAGCGAATTAGCAATATGCTGGTGCAACCGCGACGATCCTCTTGATCCGGTCTCGCTGTCGCATACTACTTACTCCTCCCCTCTTTCCCCCACTACATATTGCGCTTCGCTAGTAGCGGGCGCGTATACGAATGACACGATTACGGATTTCCGACGACCCGGGTTTGGAAATTTCCTTATTCACGAGCCTAAGCCACAATACAATTGGGGGCCACGCATGGATCTATAAGCTGTGGTATGCGGGTCGCGATGCACAGCAAACAACGTGATCATCGCATCAGCATCGTAGATACGCGATGACCAGATTAGACAGCATTGATCTCTGTCAGGCGGAATTGATGTCTCGAAGGGGGAAACAGTGGAAAGGAGGGGACATTGGATCTTTGACTGGTTCGATTGACAAGATCGATGGCGATCGATCTCATCTTCCCCCTGCACCCTACCTACGGGGTATTTCCCCCACGCTAATGATGTGATGATGATGCTATGTTTTTCTTGGATTCCCTTTCCTTTCTTACTACGGAACGATCTATCCCTGATTTCATTGGACTCGATGAATTGGAGTTCATTTGCATAGTACACATACCCCTATGACTGTTTACTTGTTTTCTTTCGATTCCTTGAATGGGAAACAATCGAACCCAAAAAATATCACGGTTCTATAGACGATGAATTGAAGATCCGAGGTATACTCGCCTCTCATGCCTTCACATACTACACAGTTCTATTCACTAGGATAATCTCGTAGCCACGTACACGCAGGGCGCCTTTTCATTTCCACTCTCAGGCCAATTTGATTGACATTTCCCTACCGTACTGTACCCCAAAGATAGTTCCCCCACTAGTACTCCGTACTGCAGCCCTCAACGCTTTCTAGTCCCGATTTCGCCCGTTACGCGAAGAAACTTAGCTATTCACTCATTCCTACTCGACGCCCTCGAATCCATCCCCTCTAGCCCGGATACACGGCATACAAACTCACAACATAATATGTAGGTACATACTGTACCTAACCTATCTATCCAGCTGTCCTTGAGCCACACACATCTAACCCCGCATCCATGCAACACAAAAAAAAGCTGCTGTTCGAGTCTGTACCTGAACAGATCTGAAACTCGCCGAGTCACGACCGTTCTAGGCCGGGTTGGATCTCCATTTTTTTTTCTTTTTGTTTTTTTCTGTTCCCTTGTCATTTCGTGTGCCATGGACCGGGGTGTCACTGGTACCGAGGTACAGCGTCGGGTCTCAGGTACCGGGTGGATTAATTCCCCTTTTTTCTCCCCTGGACTGGACTGGACCCTGGCAAGTCGCGACGAGGCTACATAACCTCTGGTAATAAGGGATCTCGTGACAGGTGCAACCCTGTCGGTTGTTGTACGGAAAGTATACATAGAGAAGGGGAGACTAGTAATACTTTGTATCGGAATTTTTTTCAACGGTCTTGTGCTTGTGAACGGGGGTTTGGTGGATGAGGTCCAGACCGGGCCTTTCGGGTGGGCGGACCCCTTCGACTGTTGAAGATCGTGGACTAGTTTCAAGACATTTGAGCACCGATGTCCACACTGTTGTGATTTGTGATGGGTGACGCAGAGGAAAAATGGGCATGTCTTGCAACTGGGTGCAAAACGCCTGGTCTGAGCTTTTTCACGATGATGTACAATGACCTTAGCTATGCATGTATCTACTGCTAGCGTTAAACCATTTCCATAGACAGGCCTCGACCGATGGCTTGGCACAATTAATCTTCAGATCTTCAGCCAGCAAAAAGACGATCTTCTCCTCCACTTCATCTTGAAACTTGGCCTCCGTCAGTGACCGATAAGCCGCATCCAGACCTAGAATACACCGCAGCACGGCATTTTGATGGTTAGGACTGCCAACCATATCATAGGCTAGACGGCGTGCAGTCGCAAGATCGGAGATTTCGGGTATCTAGAGCGGTGGTCAGATCTTTGCTTGTTTTTTGTTTTTTCCATTGTGGATTGTTCATTCTTGACTTACAGGTCAAAGCACGGTCTCTATGAGTGGGGCTTACCATGGTCTGTTCTTGGTCCGTCTTGAGATCTTCAAATAGGGTTCGATAGCGTAGCTCCAAAAGTACGATTCCTAGGGAGAAGAGACAGGGAATAGATGCATGCATCATTGGTCGGGGGAGGCTCGGTGACATCGACGTCATGGTGTAACTGGAATTGCCAAAAGTACGTCCGACGAGAGGGTTGTCAAAGTCAATTACTCCGTATGAAGATCGGAGAAATGAAATATCGGATTGCTCCAGTAGTCTGTGAGCCAGTCTGTTGTATGGAGTTGCATCACGGACGAGGCTAGTTTTCAATGCAAGTCGGAGTTGTTGTTCTTCACCAAAACGATCATCTCCGAGGACATCTCCTAGTGACACCTTGTCGATCGTGTCGAAGGCGGGGAGTCGTTTCTGATGGTCCATCGCGCGGATCCGATGTTGTTGTCCCTTTGGACTAGCAATACGTCCGAGCCAATCTTTTGAAGCAGGTCCTGTCACGAACGCGCAGAGATTGGATATCTCGGGTTCATTCGTAGGTGCCGAACTCCCATGGGATATTGTCGGAGGGGTGACGGCGACTTGTACCTGCGCACTATATATAGCAGGATCCTGGCAGAGATCGGGGCCGCTTGTCCCCCATGGCTCGCTTTCAATCTCGCGCCAGTTAGACGAAGAGTTGAAGGCCGTCTCTGGCACAAATATTGTGTGAAAATAAAGCCCCTTTTCTGTACTTTGTGCACTGCGGAACTCCGATCTCATATTGACATGATCCGGTTGAAGCGCGCATTTGCAGGTAGGATGGGCGGGGGATTGGGTCTTGAGGATATTGTAGAGGTCAATCGCGTGAGATCGAATGCGTTTGTAGTGTTTCGTGCTCCTACAAGAAGTGTGGCGATTGGTAGCTGTTGGCTGATTTTGCTCTGTGAGTCTGGCGAGGAATGTATTGAGCTTCTCGGCCTTGGTTAGTTGTTCGGTGATCAAATCTTTCTTCAGCACCAGGATAATCTTCTTCCATTGCCGCCGGCGTGCCCTTTTATCGAGAATTGCAGGCTAAACACAATATCCGTGTCAGTTGACAGCCTAAAATTCAACCGACAATAAGCTTAATTTATCTGTGGGCTTCCGCTTTGTATCCCGATGAGCTCTTTAACCCTCGACAGCTCCTCGTTCATATCCTCAACGGCATGAAGGTAATGCTGGACGGAAGCCCGGTGGAGAATGCCCTCATTAACTAAGAAACCCTTCGTCTATCGGGAATCTTTTGAGTTATGAATCATTCCTGATACTTCCTCTTCTCCAACGCCGCAGTGTGCTGCAATATCTTCCATGAAGCGTTGGCATGAGTTGTGGAAGATGGTTTGCTCACGGTCGAGATCTCGAGAAATACGGATGAGAAGCCGCTGATAGTTGCGTGTGTCACTCACGCCGTCCTTCTCGTTCGTGTAGAATTTAATCGCCTCAATAAGAATGGGGAAGATCGCTAGAGCGAGTCCGACGGCCTCGAATCCAGTAGGCATCTTGTCAGTCCTCGGATTTAGAAACAACCCTGACAAATGCGGAAAACAGGAGGTATTTGGTAGAGATAAAACGAAAGTTATCAGGGAAGATTTGAACGATTTTCTAGCAAGAGGGAGTGAGGCTGAGACTCTCGTTTCTGTAAAGGCCGTTGTTGGTATAGCCACTAAGGTCAAGTTCAGCAAACGTCCATCTTTCAAAAGGCCCCAAGTCTACTGGCGACTCAAATGTAATGGATAGCGAAGATTCGGACTCTGAGGGCTCGGACTCGGATGGGTTTTGGGAGCAGATCAGAACAGAGGGCACGCATCGATCGCTCGTTGATGTCTACGCTGATGATCTAAGTCATGCGGTGACAAGTCTGTGAGAACTTTGACTTTTACTCGAGAGTCTGAGCCAAATTGCTAATGAATGAGGCGTTTCTACAGGTACAAGCTGTCTCTATCCCTCCAAAACCAGCACAGCGTCATCGGTCGGCTTAAGCCTCCCACAATATCCACTCAATGGACTCAAGACACCACAGTCTCAACAATACATCAGAACATCGAGGTCGCATCAGACTCTGGGAGAACAAAGTTCTCCGCTGCAGCTTCCACCATGGGAGATCAGGATCAAAATGTAAATGTGGTCCCGCCACCTCCAAGTGCATCAAGTGTCACAAGGCGAGATCCTTTCATCCGCCCATACTGTCATCAGACCGTACAGGCAGAAAACGACGAAGACTGGGTCTCCAACGTGTACAGTGACTTGCGACCTTACATCTGTACCTTCGGCGGCTGTGTGAAAGGAAATCAGCTATACGAAACTTTCACAGAGTGTGGTGCTCATGAACGACAATTTCATCGGAGAGAGTGGTTCTGTACCATTTGCTCATATACCTCCAGAGCGAAATCCAGTCTTTTCCACCACATTGATGACCATCATAAAGACACTCCCAAGGAACAGCGACAAGAAGTGGAAAATCAGTCGAAATCATCCACATCGGCGCAACAATGTCCACTTTGTACCAAGCCTCCAATGTCGAACTCGGGTCGGTTTCAACAACATCTAGCTCGACATCTGCAGCAACTCGCCCTTTTCGTTCTCGAGGAGAAGCCGATGATGAGGATTTAGCAGCTCGCGAGCAAGAGTCAAATGAGTCGCAAAAAGCTACGGTGATGGGTGTAGAAGAAAGAGAACCCATCTACTCTATCTCCGTTGATGATGAGGCTTCTATGTCCGAGAGCTCGATCTCTGGCCTCCTATCGCCCACCGATGATCGCTTGCTGGATGCTACTCCACAATAGATTACAAACGATACATCAGAAGATGTAAAAGTATAGCAGAATCTATTTTCTCTTCCGACAGCAGGGTTTCTTTGGCCGAGAACTGGGATTCTTCCTTCCGACATCCCCCCTATACGGGCCCAATTTCATGGGAACTAGTATTCAATTTTCCAAATATGTCGGAGATGAATCAGAAGGTACTTCCACGGTCGATTCCAAGCAAAGTAGCCCAAACATTCTCCCGCGGAGTGAAGGTGTGGCTCCGTTGAAAGATGCCAACAAGAACGACATTCCACCCACGGCGCGATGGACCAAGATCGACCAGCTACTGGTTAGTCCTGCTGCTTTAGAGGCAGGTAACGAGCGATATGAGGAGCGACTGGGATTCGTGATCGTGCTGCGAGTTCTGACTAAGGAGGAGATCCAGGCATATGCTCTAAAGACGGAGGAGATTCGAGGTAAGCTTTTCCAATTCGAGAGTGCGGCCAAAGGCTTCAATAGCACAGATAACTCACTTGATCTTTTCCCAGATGCCTGTTACGAGGGATACGTTCGCGACAAGCGCCGGCGGAGGGAGGAAAAACAGCGCCAAGCCAAGGACCAAGATTCAGCAGCTCGTGAGGAAAAGTGGAACGAGTCACGACAAGCTTTCGTGATGGGCGAGGAAGACAAAGAATCACTTCACTCTATCTCCATTGAAGACGAGGCTTCTATGGGCAAGCGCTCGACCTATGGCCACAAACATCCCATCGATGACCCCTTGGTGGACGTCATGCCCCAGGAGCCGTTATTCTATCCACCTGAATATATAGGAGACGACCTAGAGGGTACCTCCATGGTCAATTCCATGGAGAGATCCCCCGATACCCTCCCGAAAAGGGCAGTCGATGCAATCGCTTTACTAGAACACTCTCGAACCAACTTTGGTCCCGAGGATCCCAACACAATGGCCTACATGGAGCATGTCGTGGAGGTATTTTGGCAACATGGGCGACTTCGTGAGCTGAAGCCGCTTTTGAACGAATTGCTGGATCTCAAACCGAAACAAATGGGCCCTGGAAATGCTTCCACTCTCGCCCGCATGGATACTAAGGGACGGATGCTCTTTACCAGTCGCAACGGGTATGCTGAGGCCGAGGAAGTACAAACGGAGATTTTGCATATAAGAAAACAAATTTGGTGTATGGAAGACCCCCACACTTTAAATTTCATGTATTGGCTTGTCCGGACGTACACTGCATTGGAAACTTTCGACGAATCAGAAGAGCTTGCATTGCAATTGATCGAACACACCAAGCGGAGGTTGGGAGAACATGATCCGGACACTTTATTTGCCATTCGCCAGGGCATACAAAAGCCTTCGAAAAGGCGATCACAAAAAGGGCGAGGAGCTTTTACTTGATATAGTTGAAGCTTCCGAGAAGCACCAGCACTCCCTGGCGCTCCGGGAAGCAAGCGAATTGGCTGCAATCGACCTTGACGGGGCCTACTTCGAGAACGGGGAGCCTGAGAAAGCAGATGCCTTCAAGGACTTACAGGTGCGGGGGTTTTCCAGTGGAAAGTAGAAATGCTGATAAGTCGCAAACACTCACTTGAATTTGAGTCTAATGAAGCTCGCCCACTTTGACATGTTCAGAAACTGTCGTGGTCATCACCTTTGAAAGAACTGCACAAACCACTTCTGCCTAACGATATACGTTTATGCAGCTTGAAATGTATGCTTAGCACAGTAGACCAGAGAATTGCAGATCTCAATGAAGACGAAAATATCCATGAAATAGATATACGTTACTCATGAATCCCTCACTACGTAGGTATCCACTGTTTTGGTTTATCTCCAATCGGATCCCTCATCAACAAACTGCCCCACCACCGCGACTTCTCCCCGACAATCTCCAACCATCGCGCAACTCCATTGAGGCACAACAGCCAAACGCAGCACAAAATTACTGTTCAGTGCAGCTAAAGTGCTTGATACCCAATAAACCCAGCCCTAGTCACTTCAAAGACTAAGTCCGACGTTGAATTCGGCTCTTACACGGTCCTCCTAAACCCGACGGGACACATCAACCGCCCGCCATCGCGTCAGACAGGGCCTAGTCTATGACAACAGGAGCTGTCGGCCTAGTCAAAATTGATTCTCATCGACCTTACTGATCCTGCGCAACTATTCAATCTCTGAATATGGCTTGGCTCAATTCAACCCCGGGCTCTGGTGGACGCGCCGCATCCCCTACTGTCTTTGAGCAACAACGCGAAGAATTAGTTCGGGAAATTGCCGCTGTAAGTGACAAATCCTCTCTTTCGAACAAATTTCACCACAATAAGACGGGTTGATACAATGAACTGGAAATGAATATGTGTTAATATTAATTTGCGGCAGAGCATGGAGCAAGTACTCCAAAACATCAACCGTTTGAATCGGAACTTGGAGAGCATCATCACAGTACGTTCTGTCAAATCTCTCTGGGCTCTCCGACCCGTATATTTCGCTAACGTCTCTAGGTCGGAAACGAGTTTAGCTCCGTAGAAGCCCTCTGGTCCCAGTTCGAGAACTTCATGGGTCGACCAGAGGAAGAACTCGAAGAGGCTGCTCAGGGAAAACGGACAGTTAGTGGGGAGAGCGAGGGACGAGGTAATGCAGGAACACAGCAGGAAGGGGAGGACGACTCGAGGCTCAGCCAGTAGGACTTCTTCCGTTTGGACTGGGCTGAGCTGACTGGTTGTATTTCCATATCAGCCTTGCATTACTTATTACTTGATGATACCATGGTCATTTTACGTTGAACTACTCTTTACGAACAAAATTATGTCTACTTTGAAAAGCTACCATTGGGGGGTTGTCCTAACTCTTATCTACTCTCAGTATTCCATGATTGTGTAATAAACTTCACCATGGTCGAAATGCTGTTTATGCATTTTCTGTAGGACTACACTGGATGCCAGGGTGGGTGTTCGAAGTATTGGACACCACTACGAGTAAATGCCTACTGTAGTCTGCTTTTTCGTTTGTTTATTTTGATTTGAAACATCAATATCAAAATGTATTGTTTCAATAACATAGGAGGACGCTTTCGCCAACAGAGCATATCAGGTAACATAAAAGAAAACACCAGTCCCATGCATGCCAAAAAGTGGCAAAGACCCGAGTTCATGAGAGTCAAAGGGAGAAAAAAAGAACACGGTACAGTGGTCATGAGTACACAAGGAAAAGAGTAGAAAAAGGAATAAGAAAAATCAACAAGCATACAGTTATCGAAGGGATATCTGTCCAGATCGGTCGAGGGGGGCGCACAGCGATCCAAGACACCAAAAGTCATTTTTGCAGTTCATGTCCAGCTTTGTCCAGCCTGCGGTAACATGGCACATCCGCAGGAGCAGGCAAGCATGCCGATAAAGCAACCAGGCATTTGATCGGACCAGGGGGTAGAAGGAGAGGTAAGAATGGCCAAGAAGGAAGAGGGAGAAGAAAGGAGGTAGAGTGTGTCGGCTTAAAGGATCTTGCAGGTGCGCTTCTTGATCTTCTTGCCGGGTCGGACTCCACCACCACCAGAAGGCTTGCCGCTGTTGCGATTATTCGTTGGTTGGGTGGTGTAGCCTTCTTCTTCAATTGCAATGACGGTATCGACGGCCTTGGCAAAGACCTCGTCCACGCCACGCATCTCCTTACTACTGCACTCCACGTAGGTTGCACCCATTCGCTGAGCCACGGCACAGCCTTGTTCTGGCGTGATGGGGGTCAAGCCTTGTGTCTTGAGGAGCTCGATGCATGTTCGCTTGTTGCGGAGATCTGATTTCAAGCCAACCAGGATGATGGGGGTTGTGGGGCAAAAGTGTAGAACCTCGGGATACCACTGGCGGAGGTTAGTATCATGAACGATAACATTGCAGTTCGGGGCTTGGTGACTGCTTACCTTGTCCACAACGTTCTCTAGGGATGCAGGACAGTCGATTGCAAAGCAGACAAATAGCAGGTCGGTCTCGGGGTAGGACAATGGGCGCAAACGGTCATATTCTTCCTGTCCGGCAGTATCCCACAGTGCGAGCTCGACTGTCTTCCCTGATGCTCGGTGGGTAGTCTGGGTGATGTAATTCTCAAACACAGTTGGGACATATTTCTATGAGACATTTTAGCATTGATCCCCCTCTAAAACATACCAGATAGGACCATCTCACCTCTGGGAAATAACCTTGCGAGTAACTAATCAACAAGCAAGTCTTGCCGCACCCACCATCTCCAACCACGACAAACTTTTTAGAGTAAGAGGGCGGCTGAGTGATATTGGTGGCTTCCGACATTTGTCCACTGGAGAAGCTGGTATGTGTGCTGGCGGTGCCGTTGCTGACTCGCACGCTCTGAGAACGAGCGCGGCTGTGTCGTGGGGTCAAGCTGGGAGGAGGCGTTGCCACCGAGCGGCGTCGCGAAGCCGCATAGTACTGGTCGTCATACATTTGGCTCATCGTGTGGTTGTGCGGGAGGAATGGAGCCCCTTGTTAAGAAATGCGGGTCGTCGAGTGGTGAAGACGGCTATCTGCCGGAAGGATATGGTTGAGAAGGGCGTTGGTAGGATATGTCGAAAGGTAGGATACCGGGGGAGGGTGAAGAGAGTATGAGAGGTGTAAGATGAAAGAAGAAGAGGTGTCGAGAGAAGAAAAAATGGATGTAGATGATCGGATCGTGATCGAGGGATCGACTAGCGAATATGGAAGATATGGAAGTGAGGGTCTTGAACCTGGGCGAGACCCGTGGCAGTGTGTTTACACGGGCGGGTGCCATGGCAACGCGCCGCGCCGCCATGACGCCAGGACTCCGCTCCTCTCGATTGGCCTTGGCTCGGAGCCTGTGCCTGTCAGTTTCAACTTGATTGCTGCGATCTTTCCGATCCAGTTTCTTTTTTGGTCCTGCCGGGGCCTCTGCGTGCCCCTCTTTTTGGCCCTCAATACCCCACTGTTCAGCTCCTCTGGCAGGTGGCTTGAAGATTGTGAAGGTGAATTGTTGAAATGGTCAGCCTCGGGGCGGCTACTCCGATATCATGTGATCTGCATGAGAAGTGTTGCGCATACTGCTACGGTGCTAATAGACATACAGTAGTACTTAGAAGATATCACAGTGAGAGGGGAACAACCCTAGAACTCCATCAGGTGGGATCCTGGTCGGAGATTGAGTTGGAGATGGAGATCCTCGTGCTCAAACAAGGCACTGGATTCGAATCTAAGACTCTGCAAGTCAAGGCACAGCGGACCTTGACGTACGACATTGTCGGCATAATGTGGATAATAGAGTATCACCATAGCCGCCCGCCGTTGCCATCACTGATCTGTATGTAACCCGGTTCGAGAGCCTTGCAACATTCAAGCAGTGGGGTCTCCCAAACTAGTTTCCAGTGTCATAGCTCGATAGATCGGCTGGATATACCCCAGCATCTATGCTAAAAACCTGGCTATGAAACTTCGAACCAGGCTTACATTAATCGTAGCGAATAAATCGTTGATTCCTAGACAATGGCTCTAGATAATGTCAATTGATTCATATTCTTCATAATGTACATAATATCACCTATTTTGATAACATCAAAGCCCATAGATCTTGAAATGTACTCGAATGTCAGGGTCGAGGTTCTGCCGCGGCGTGACTAAGCCCACACATGGCCATCAGGGGAAGAGCCGCGGATGCGACAGCGACCTCCATCTCGATCTTGTTGATGCTGTCAACCCTGCCCTCATCAATCCCTACACCGTTTCCGGGTCTTCCTGTCCGGCTTTGTTCTTGCAATCCAACTACTCACACTCCTTATGTCCTCTTGTTGAATCGCGACGTCCCGAACCCCAAACGGCAGGCACCGGCCTGTCCTGTATGGAGGCCCGCTCCCAATCGCATTCGCACCGATAGCACGACACAATGGGCAAGGCGAAGGACGCAAAGGATCAGCCAGATGCTGGATTGAGGAGCTTGGATCACTGTACGTCAGCTTCTTGAAGGAGATTCTGTTGCTCCCCGCATGTTCATCGCTGTATACAATCGCCCGCTAACGCCCGCTTGTCGCGATTAATAGATGCAAACCGACTACCGCTCTGGCGCTACTGGCCACGACAGAAGCTGATCCCTCTCGTACGATATGAGACGCCATATCTTGCCTGGCTGCAGGAGAAAGTCCGCACCCCGACGTTGGACTCGTACTTTGCGTTCACGGCGAACCTCGGCACGCACACGTTTTTCATGGTCTTTTTGCCCTTCCTATTTTGGTGCGGCCATACCAGTCTCGGTCGAGGGTATGTCTCTGGCATTGGAATTGAAACATGCAAGGTGATAGCTTGGGATGATTAATTGTTGGTTGGTTTACAGACTCGTGCATATTCTCGCGTCCGGCGTCTTCTTTAGCGGCTTCATCAAGGACTTGCTATGTCTGCCTCGGCCTTTATCTCCTCCACTGCAGCGCATCACCATGTCCGGCTCCGCTGCACTCGAATACGGGTTTCCCTCGACGCATTCGACCAACGCCGTGTCGGTTGCCGTCTACGCTATTGCGCTCCTCAATTCGCCTGACTCGACGGTCCCCCCGCAAACCAACTTTATCCTCCAGGTAGTCACATACCTCTACGTGACATCAATTGTGATAGGTCGGCTATACTGCGGCATGCATGGATTTTTTGACGTGATTGTTGGTTGTGTTCTGGGCGCGTTGATTGGCTTGGTCCAATTTAGTTACGGCCCGGCTTTTGACGAGTATATTTTGTCTGCGACTCTGAAGGAAATCTTGGTGATTCCCATTGTTATTCTGATTCTGGTTCGCATTCATCCAGAACCGGCCGATGATTGCCCTTGCTTCGATGATAGTGTGGCGTTCGCGGGTGTGACGCTCGGCGTGGATGTAGGATCGTGGTATTTTACCGGGTCCAGTCTGGCTTGGGCTGACCCTCTCCCGGGAACCATTCCATACAACTATGAGAGCATTGGCTTGATCCGAACTGTGCTCCGCCTTGTTGTCGGTGTGCTGTGCGTCTTTGCTTGGAGAGAGATTACGAAACCAACTTTGTTGCGCATCCTCCCACCTATTTTCCGCAGTCTGGAGAAGGTTGGCCTTCTCTTGCCCCGTCGCTTTTTCACTACCGCGTCGTAAGTTTATACAACATGCAATCTTCGTATTTGGGCTCAGAAGTACTAATCACACTTTACAGGCGATATACTACTGTTCCGTCTAATCTAAAGGATACTGAGGTGTACCCCCAATTTTCGGATATTCCTTCCATCATCACCACCATCCGCCATCCTCGCCGTCGGGCAATCTCTATTGGCCCTCAGTCCGAGGCCGATGCGTATGAGACTCTTGCTTACCGGGAGAAGCGCCGACGTGAGAGCCTATCAGGAAGCAACCGTGACTTTCCTTCCGATGAGAACGGCAGGCCTAATGGTGGGCATATGCTGTCCCGGAAGCCATCTAAGCTGGACCAGTACGAACACATGATGGGTACTGGTAGTCCGAGCGCGTCCATGGTAGAGGAAGATTCTAATATCCCTCGCTCATCGCCACTTCCGCCCCCACAGTATGATGGAACTAGTCGAACAGAAGAGAAGGAGGTTTTCTCCCAGATTAAGAAGCCCCGGGTACGATATGACGTAGAGGTTGTTACCAAGCTGGTTGTATATGCAGGTATGATGAATCTCTCTCTCGTTCGATACTTTACAGAATCATCGCTGATCTTGAGGATATAGGAATTCCATGGATTGTCATCAATGGGGCGCCTCCCGTTTTTGAAATGCTTGGTCTCGGGGTTCCCTCTTCGTAGCATGGTGTCGGAGTTCATTCTTGCTTTCAACAGCTGTCGATTTGTCTCGGACATGTTCCAGTCCAGCGGGCTGTGCTGGAAGGGAGGTCTCTCAGGAACAAAGGCCGGGCTCGCGCATGTACATACCGCGATTTGTATCCTTACAGATTTCCATGGGCCTGTGTTGGCGCCGACGTATAAGATTATGATTATATAAAACACTTTCAATTCTTATTTCCCGGTCATCTGAAGCAATTGGTACATAAATAGTAAGAATCTTATCTCAATTAAAGAAAGAAAACCGGGCAACCTCGGCAAACAAGATGCTCTTTATAGTTCGCGTGCGTGCATCTGCAGATCTCCCAAACGGGTTAGCGCGGATCAGTCAGCCGCCCCATGATGAAAGTGATCCAGCTGCGCGGTCTATCGATTGCTTCCCCCAAATCAACTCCGCGACTGGGCTCCTGGACTTTTCCTGGGGTTGGCCCTTTCAATGATGGATGCTAGGGCCTGCCCAAATATTTCTTTCATTGCGATAACACTCCAACCTCGCCTTTCCAATTCGTCTTAACCCTGCCCTTGCTTCACTTGCCCACGCCTCCTCCAGCGACGAGGACCACCGCGCCTCAACTCTCTTCCCTCGTTCGACACCTCATATCTCTACAATGAAACGGTTCCTTTCGTGGATTTGCCGCAGGCCGGAGCCTGAGCCTGTACAAGATGGCGTGCGATCAGCGGGAGCTGTGGACCCTCTCACAAGCTCCAAGATCTTCGAGAAGATACAAAAGGATGAAGGTACCAGCGACAAAACAGCGAGATTAGATCATGCAGTTACTAAGAAAATCCATTTGAAGTAGATCTTTACGCTCTCCCGATTCCGGGCGCCTTCCCACCCTCGCCATCCGTGTCACCGCGCCTCGCGCCGCGCGATGAGCACTTAGAGGAGGACTACGTTCTCGTGGACACGACGCAGGAAATTGGAGTCGATGTTTCAACTGCTCCAATACTACACACAGATCTTGGGTCATATCTGCATCCAAGGAGACCGAAATACACACCTTCCCCGCAGCGCTTCCGACCCGCCGAACCCGCCACTGCAAAGCCAATACGAAGACCGCATTTTCAAGATGACCAGGCTATTGAGGACCCGTATGGCCGAAAGTACAAGGCATACGAGAAGCTGCCCTTGGGCAGGGCAATGTCTGCCGTCTCTCTATTCTACCCCGAGCAGAAACCACTCCCGGACAATCGCATTGCGTCTATACTTGCGCCTGAATGGGAACAGCGCGAAAAAGAAAGGAAAGCCTTGGAAGGCTTGGCTGGTCGTTCGACTCGGATTATTCCACGTGGACCGGCTGTGCGACCGTTGTCGAGGGAATGGATTATGAAGGTCTCGGAGGCTATGAGGACGCTTCAGGGTTATGCGGTCGCCAGGTCTCCCTCTGGTGACGACCTGTATCAAAAGGATATCGCGACGTGTATCAAGCCACTGGCATGGCTTAATGATGAAATTATCAACGCATACTTGACTGTCCTTGTTCAATATCTCCGGCAGTCGACTGGCAACACGGCATCGGGCGAGCGCCCCAAATTTCACGCTTTCAATACGTTCTTCTACTCCACCCTTAGAGACAAAGGGTACCAAGGTGTCCGCCGCTGGGCCAACCGGGCTAAGATTGGCGGTGAAGCTCTCCTAGATGTTGACACTGTCTTCATACCCGTGCACCAGGCAAGTCACTGGACTCTAATGGTTGTACGACCCGTGGACAGGACCATCGAATACTTCGATTCACTCGGTGCTCGTGGCATGCGAGAGGTAGAAGTCATCAAGAAGTGGCTTGCTGGAGAACTGGGGAACAAGTTTGACGCGGAAGAATGGTCCTTCTTGCCCTCTGTCTCTTCCCACCAGGATAACATGAGTGACTGTGGCGTGTTTCTTCTCATCAATGCCAAGGCAATTGCTCTTGGTATTGAACCCACGGCGTTTGGGGCAAAAGATACGGTTGACTTGCGGGTGAAGATTGTCGCGGAACTCATGAATGGCGGGCTACATGGTCCATTCTACCCAGTGGATAAGATGGGCCAGACGTGGCTTTGAAAGCATCCTCCCACGATGACATCTTTGGAGTGCCCACGACGCATCTCACCAAAGTTTCGACCTTGAAATCAGCCCTTCCACCCACGATTGACGCTTCCGATATCTATTATTTCGAGGGTACCGCCCTCATCTCATACATGACTTCAGCCCATGCATTGTCGTCACCCAGGCGTTTACATTTTTACATGTTTTCATTTTTCATCTTCATTTTACCGGCGTATATGGCGAACCAGAAACAGGGGATGATCCTTACGGGGAGGACCTAGGGCACGGTCAAAACAGGACTATTCTATTATGTATGGGAATCAGGGGGATTTTCTTTTTCTTATTATTGTTACTCTTGGTTTTTCATGGTTTGAACGAATTCAAATGATACCCTATTGTCGTTGATGGATGAAGTATTCTTGTGTGAAAGTTGGAGTTTGAAGTTCGTGTGAGTTCGGCTTGGATGATCTAGGTTAGTGTTTCTATTATGTGCGATGTTCAGTAGGTTAGAATCGAATATGAACGGCTTTATTTACACATCGATCTATCTACCAATCGCTAGCTGGAAGGCTGGCCGTGGCTATGTTGATGCAATACGCTTGCTGGGTGGATTGAGATAAGAGCAGGTTCTGTGATGAGACTCCGGCTGTCACTAGGTACATGCGATTCAGCCTTGGATTCGAGTCTGCTACCATTCTGGTCCCTCGTGGAAGTAGAACAGGCATGGATTTCGTGATTCATTATGTACGAGCGCATCATGATTCCGTTCTAGTAAAGTCACTATATATACTTGGTACTTCGAGGATAGAGAATAATTTCAAGCAATCTTCCAATTCAGTCCAAGTGTTCATTCGAATCTATAAAAATACACTCCCCATGCTGAACAAGCCATCTCCACTGAAAACACGAAACAGGAGACCTTACATAAAGATACTGCAGGTAGAAACCTCAACGACGAAGCCCACCATTCGCAAAACGAAGGTCATCAATGTTACACGCACGCTCACACCGCGAAGACGAGCCTCTATGAGGAGGGTGTTTCGGCTTCTTGCCATGCTTGCTATGTTTCTTCTTCCGATTCTTCCTGCACTTTCGTCCCTTCCGGCCCTTTTTGCATTTCTTCATCATCGAGCCATCGATGATTTCCGCCCCTGGTTCCGAGAATTCATCTCGCAAGCCGTCAACGTCGGGGATGGAAATATTTGTTGTGGAATTTTGATGTGCGCCGTGTTGTTCGGATGGAGGAATCTCGAAGTGCTGCGAGCTACCAGCAGATACATTGTATGCCAGCTCGATGTAATCGATGGCTAGAAGGACACTTTCGTCGTATCGCATATCGCCTGTCCAGGCACCGCCATCGCTCCACAGGTTCACCACTAGTCTACTGGGGAGATCAGGTACGCGGTATGTCTTCGCATCCTGGGGCTTGTTGTCCACCCACCAGCGAGAGATACCGGAGAGCCAGTCGAGACGGTGTGTAGACCAGGTTGTCCAGTGCACGGGGAGATCTGCAACCGTGCTCGCTCCAGGGATCATGGCGTCTTTGACGGCATCGTAGTCTGGTTGGTTGGCGTAGTGAACGCGGTATGGAGGGTCCTTTGTGAGGATTTCGATATCCGACTCGCAGTTGTGGGCGCGATACGTGAAGATGCCGACGCAGGCACCGGGGTGTGGCTTGGCCTCTTTCAAACTGGCGGTTTCATTGAACGCGACACTCTGGTTACCCCTGGAAACACTTTCAGGCAGTGACACGTACAGGTTGGATGGAAGAACGCGAAGTCGAACCCGAAGGGAACAGTGGAAGATACTCCGGACCTTGGTCTCGATTTCGGATGTCGAAGTATAGTTCCAACGGCGGGTGGTGCGCATGACCAGATATGTCGCGAATCTGTGCAGTACTTGCCGGTTCCTGGTGAAGAAGACGTTGTGCTTGGAGTTGACCATGGGGATTGGAGCCTCATCAGTGCGAGGGCGCTGCCATCTCTGGCTCATCCAGTCCTTGTCGAAGGCGGTTTCGAAGAACCAGAGGACATCGTGTTGGTCATTGTCATCCTGATCACTTCCATCATCGTCCTCGTTCCCATCATCCCCGTCATCATCGTCGGCATCATCATCGTCTTCATCGTAATCATTCTTCCCGTCTGCCAACTGGTCTAGTTCATCATCCTCAAATTCCGAGAAGTCCACATCAGCCTGTTTAGCCAATGGAACAGAGCGAAAGTCCCAGAGCTTGTAGTGCTGGAAGTACCCCGGATCTGGACCAGTGACTGTGAAACAGTCGCATTTTCTGGGATCTGTCTTCCGAGGAGGCTTGGACAAGGCTTCTTGGGAAGGAGTTGAGGCTGACGCAGTTGCAGGGCTGGCGCTTAGTATAGCGAGTGCCAGAATGACTGATAATAGGACGCCTGGCTTCATGGTGGTCAGCTGAGGTCCCTAAGAAGGGTACGAGAAAGGGGGGTACTTGCAAATAGATGAATCCCTCTCTAAGTCTCATTTGTTATAAGGGGAGTCTTTTTGGCCACTTGGGAGGAAGTTGCGATCGTGTTGATTGTCGTTAGTTAGGGCATCATGGTTTCCTAATTGGGAAGGTTGTTACACCGACTCCTCCAGGCCATAGATTTATCGAGGCACGTGGTAAGTCCTTTGGACTCATTCTAGGCTGTGGCAAATAATCATAATAATAATCATTCTGATTCACTCACTATTACATTGAATGATGTTCCTGTCCTTTATCCCCGGCTTCTTATGGTCGTTGTACAGTGCAGCCTCATCTCAGCCCGAGATTAATTACGACAAGAGGTGGCCAGGTGTCACGAGGGGGTATGAAAGATACACCGATGTCATCATGAGACCGCAAACGTCGAGCGGGTGTGGGTGATTATTCTTAGAGCGAATTCTGACGATGGGGGCAATGCGAGGGAATAGCCAATGAAAAGACATCAACCGTCGGGTGGCAATGTCGGTTCTGCTAGCGTAGGGCCAGACAGCAGCCAATCAGCTCGGTCTTCTGTCGACGATTTCGAACCAGCCTGAATCGGGCGAGGACCGCGTCGCACTAAACGACGCTAATGTGCAACTAACAGACGCTAATGCGCGCCAAGAGCGTCCCGTGAGGCAGACATGCTCCTGTACTGGTATGGTCATGGCTGGTAATCTATCCGCATTCCAACATTTGAGCGATCGAAAGGCTCTTTTGCGAGGGAGAAAGGACTCGAAATGATTCACAAAGAGAATAAAATCATTTTGGGAACCAATAGCATTTAATATCTCTGGTTGAAGAGTCATATTCCAGGGGTGAGTAATGATGTGTTGGTCTTGATGGTTGGCGTCTGACCGTGCAGCACAAGCAAAGAAGAAACGGACATTTCGGAGGGCAAAAATTGGCTGTGCGACCCGGTTTCCCCCCTTCTTGGTCGCTCGCCCTTTTTACCCTACGCCCTCCCCCCAAGTCTAGCAACGGCCCTACGTCCCAGTCTCAACCCACATTACACCCAACCACACTATACCATACACTCACCATCGACACAATGGACGATACTCTGGTCTAGAGAAATGCTCTTGAGATCTATGCCCGAACCGATTACCACTCCAATATACTATAGCCACCATGTCCACCATGACGACTCTCGAAAGGAGTCACTCCTGTACCTCCAACACTTCTCTCTCCATGTCCAGCCCGCGTCTCTCCGTTCGCCGTGAGACTCCACCACCGGGCTCGGAACTCTCGCTTCTACACCTGCATGACCGAATGAACCAACTGGACTCGCGTGTTTTGGAACTGCGGTCCACCGTTTTGACCAAGGAAGGCTATGTCGACCGCCGGAACCGTGAAGATGAACATATTCGCCGTGAATTCGAATGCCACCGGGCCATCTCCCAACGGATCGATCTCAATGTCGTGGCTCTTCGCTCTGATGTCGATCAGATCAAGACAAGTATCTTTCAGCTGAAGTCCAGTATCGGCCAGTCCGGTACGGAAACGGTCTATTTACGCGGCGATGTGGATCGTTTGCAAAAGACCATTGATCAGCTGCAAGTCGACATTGAATCGATCAAGGGCGAGGCTTGTGCCACGCGCATTGATATCAGCAAACTGCAGACGGCTTCCAATCAGCTCCGTACGGATCTGATGACCCTGGACCACAAGATCTCTCGTCAATACCATGCCTTGAACTCACGGATGGATTCAATTGAATCACAGATGAAGTATGCGGATCGGGTCCGGTTCAACTCTCTGGCTCATACGGTCCACGCTCCTATCAGCCCCGTCCCGGTGATTACGGATGACGGGGCCCTCGAATGGCCCCAGTATTTCCCACGTACGGTGTGGAGATTTTGGTGCCTCAAGAAACGAAGCCGAGGTAAGCTTCAGGAATGAAAATGAGTCTGCTCCTCCCCTCCCTCAATGTCTAACAAATTCCTCGCTCTAGTTCATCGTTTGGTTGAACTGGCAGAATTCTATCAACTGGGTGATTACCAGGATTGGTGCCGCATGCATCCTACGGAAATGTTTGCCGACGACAGTGATTCCAGCAGCTCCAGTGACGGTTCATTCACCATCACCCGCGCGGAAGCTGTCCGTCGGCATCCCGAGGCTGCCCACCAGGCCCTGGCTGCCACTCTGGGTCTGATCTACTATAAGATTCGTAACGAGGTCGGTGAAGGACCCCATGGGCCCATCACCGCACGCCCTCCAAAGCGTCAGCAGGAGGACGTGGCTTCCACAAGCACCAGCAACAAGTCCAAACCGGTCAAGATCCCCCGCCGTCCGAGTGTCTCCGACACTTTCCTCCACCGCCTGGTCACCGGCGGTGGTCCCTCTGTTGAGTCGAAATCTTCCACTTCCGAAGAATTCGACAAGTTGGGCTGGAACCCCTTCGCCGACGTCTCGGACGATGCCATGAGCAAGCTCCGTGCCATCGACCCGCAAGACATCGGTACCGTTCTCCGAGCCCTTGAGCAAGGACGTCTGAAGCTCAAGCCCAGTCGATCCGAAAAGCTCAACATGTCCCCCACGGATTCAAAGGCGAGCCATCCATTCGGTGGGAAAACTTCCGAGCCTGTCGCTCAGGAAGATGTGGTGCCTACCGTCCCCAACACGGTGCCCACCCAGCCTATCCACTCCCGGGAGAGCGCTGAGCTCTCTCCTGTTCCGGTATTGCCGGAAACTGCGTCTGACGCAGATAGTTCAACATCTTGAACAACCGAGGAAGTGTAGGTGGTGAACACCAGCCTCTCCTCTGGTATCTACTATACGTAACCGCTGCAGTCGGGAATCGTCCAAGTATATATCCTCAGGTTTGGATTTTGATTTTGATTTTGGATTCATGCACATATGCATTGCATTTAGCATTGGAGTTTTGTTATACACCTTTGATGGATTGGATTTGATTGGATTTGATTTTGGGTTGTTTATATTTTGCACCTTGAAGCGATTCGTCGGGCATTTCTTGGAGTTTTATGATTTGATTCTTTGGTGAATCTCTTTGTGTGATTTAGTTTACCTATCTACCTTATACCCCCTGGGCTGTCTTTGCATATCCCGGCTGTTTGGGTTCCTTCTTTTTGGGAGTTATTGTGATCGTTACCGATCAATTGATTAACTCCTCGATGGCACAGGTCTCTTGTCCCATCGACCGAGTGCCTTTGAAACCTTGTCTAACTCTCGTCCATCCATCGTCGTATCCGTCTTGAGGACCGATTAGATATTGGCCGTCGTGATTAGATTTGGGATGGTAACCTTTGGCCACCGATTCTCGATGGTTATCAGAGAGATGGATTTCGCGTCTACCACCGATATGATTTCCAACCCCATTCAACAGCCCCATGCAACACTGACAGACCATTACTAGTACCCCAAAAGAGTCATATACTCTATTCATCATATCGGATAGCACAACGAGAACGAGGTTGTACATTACTGACATCCACATCTTCTTTATCAGACACTGTTCATTCCCCATTTCCCACTTTTGCATTATGTACATACCACACTTATATCCAATCAAGACACACTCTCAAACAAATCCTGCTTCAAAACCTCCAAAACCTTGTCCTCATCCACATCCTCCAAATTTGTTCCCAACGTACCCTCCGCATCCCTATCCCCATTCCCAGCTCCCGTCCCATCCTCCTCCCCCTCCTCCCCCTCCGTAGCCTTCCCCAATTCCTCCGGACTAGCCGTACCTAGATACTCCTCTTCCAAAATAAATAGAGAGCTCTCTTTGCACGCGAGGAGTCTCTCGGGAGAATCGGGGAGTGCGTAGATGGTGGGGAATTCGAGGACTGTCCGTTCTCGTAGTGCGGAGGCTAGTTTTGTGGAGGGTGGGAGGGGGCGAGGACGGGTTTTTTGGTGGTTGTTCGGGGGCGGTGGAGGTAGAAGTAGAGATTGCGATGGGACGTTAGAGGAAGTTCTGGTTCTGGTTCTTTTTCTTTTTGTTCTGTTGGTGCCGTAGGCGTTTGGGTTGTCTCTGGGTTTGTGGAGGGACCGGTGGGCTCTGTAGTGGTGATTGTAGTTGTGGGCACTGAGGTATCGGGCGTCTCGGTGGCTGTTGGAGTCTGCTCTGTAGGGGTATTCTCCTGCACGACTTCTTTCTCTTTCTTTGAATCGGCAACAGGTCGGTCCTGCTTAGGAAGTGGGTAGGCCCGGTCATAGGCCTCGGAGATTAGGTATGTCTCCAACGCATTGCGAATAGTCTTCTCTCCAGCGGTGGAGATCCATTCCACCGTCCAGCTTAGACACTTGTGCCTAAATAACAAACCGCAAGTCAATATCACTCCATGAACGGCAAAGCAAGGCATAGAACCAACTTACTTCGGATGCCACCGTGACGTATTCTGCTTATTCCTCGACATCCCCCTCGGCGCCCGAAGAACCTTCACCAGGCCCGCCTCTGCACCACGCAGGAACCCAGCTTCGCCCTTTACCAGGCCCTGGGTAGGATGTTTTCTCTTACGCCCAGCCCCAGAAACAGCACCAGTACCAGAACTAGCATCATCCTGGCCCTCTTCACCTTGCGGGACTTGTCCACGCGCCAACTCAATCCCCCGATTTTCCACATCTCTCTCCGCACGCTCCAGCGAGCGCTCAATGCCGGTGATAAAGTTAAAGTCACGATCAAATGCAACTTCGGTGGCTAGTTCGCTTCGCTTGAGGTATGCGGCTGGATCGCGGACACCGGAACATTGAGACCAGAGCTTGTGGCGGCGTGTGCATGGGAGAGAGCAGGTGCGTGTTGAACAGCGCGGACAGCGGTATTTGGGGGGGTTGATGTGGCTGGGAGGAACGGGGGTGTTAGGTCGAGACAGATGTGGTTAAGTTTGAGGAGGGAATATTTTGCTCACCATATAGAGCAGAGCTCACTGAGGAGAGGGTCTGATTCGTCCATGTTGCTGTGTTGAAAAGTGATGCGATGCGACTTTGATTAAAGTAGAAAGTGAAGCTCCGGGAAATTTGAGCGTGGCTTATCGATAGCTGCCTCAGGCGGCGAATGATGAACGTGTAGATCCCAACCTACTAACAATAATTAACTATGTGATGGCATTGTGGAGACATAATAGGCAATCAGAAAATATGGATTGCATCAGATTACAGAGTGTATGGACATGGAGACTAAACGGAATGATATTATCATCAAAGAGTTTGTCAACATCGGGCGCCAGTATCATTCCTTCGAGATGATATCATCCGTGTGGTTGATGATCAATCCCCGCAGAGCATTTCTAAGCGTCGGTGATAGCTGAGACCCCGAGACTTTAACTCCCTCTACTTAAGTCACTACAATCCCTCAGCGTTTGATCAATATTGATTGAATTACGGGAATCCTTTTCTCAACACTTCTTCTATATTCACCATGACTTCAAAGGGACTTGCAATTATCGCTGGCGTCGGCCCCGGCACGGTATGCATTCTGGCTCCTGTCTATGTCTAAAGTAGCAATAAACTGACCAACCCCGCAGGGTGCCTCCATTGCCCGACGCTTTGCCAAATTATACTCAGTCGTACTCCTGTCTCGTTCCCCGAGTAATTTCGAACCGCTTGTCCAGGAGATTAATTCCAGTGGTGGAAAGGCCATTGGCATTAGCACCGACGTCTCGGACGCCAACAGTGTTAAATCAGCATTTGATGAGATCGAGAAGCAATTCCCAGACTCTCCGTTGGCTGCATCTATCTTCAATGCCGCTGGTGGCTTTGTGAGGAAGCCATTCCTGGAACTGACCGATGAAGAGTATTCTACGGGGCTTGACTCGCAAGCGTACGCATCACCTCTCCTTTGACAAGCACTATTCATCCCCCATGTCTAACATCATAGCAGAAAGGCCGGATTCTACTTTGCCCAGCGCTCGCTACCTCTCCTTCTAAAGGCCAGAGAATCTTCCCCCCACCCACCAACTCTCATCTTCACTGGCGCAACCGCGAGTATCAAGGGATCCGCCCAATTCGCTGCCTTTGCAAGCGGCAAGTTCGCTCTGCGTGCTTTGGCTCAATCGCTGGCTCGTGAATTTGGTCCTCAGGGTATTCATGTGTCGCATGCTATCATCGATGGTATTATCGATATTCCGCGCACGAAGCAGTGGGTTCTTCCGCATGAAGATGCTAAGCTGAGCCCTGATTCGGTAAGTTTGAAGATAGATCCGACTTGCTTGAATTGTGTACTGATTGAGTTAGATCGCGGACTCTTATTGGTATCTGCATACCCAGCCACGGACTACGTTTGCGTTTGAGTTGGATTTGCGGCCTTATATTGAGAAGTGGTAGATGAAAACTTTAACACTTTGGTAATGAGAGGCATGAGTTCAATACTAGCAGTCAAATTTATCTTGACCTCAGCAGTCTGGCCATATAAGTCTGAACACAATATAATTTTGGGGGAAGAGGAGGAAAATTTCAATCTTCTATCTACTTCGGGATTTTTTTGTGCATAGAGTAATAGTTACCGGATTGGGATGTCCGACTTCTAAGAAAGTCTAGTCTATCCATCACGCTTTCTCTATGATCTATGACTCCTGGTATCCGTCATAACTACCTGATTTCCTTGACCTGCAGAATTCTTACAGAGTTTGAATACTTCCCACTACCTTCCCCTGCTCCCCAGCCTAAATCATCACAGAGATGGCAAGCACTGGTGGGCGGCGCCAGGAACGCCTCCGGTTTCTCGCGCAAGAATACCTTGCAGCTCATCCCGGTCCAGACGAACTCGCGCCCAACGTTAGTCTGCATAACAGCCTCAGGAGATTCCTCAAGGGAGCGACTTATTCCAAAGAAATACTGGACGACCTTATCGAGAACACGGTATACAGACTAGCATCGATGCACGAGGCCGACTATCTCAGGGAGCAATTGGGGCTGGATTGTCCTTCAATCTTCGATACCAACGCTCTCGAGATAATACACAACAAGTCTTCCCACTCACAACTATTCTCGAGGACCTGGACATTACTTGTGAATCGTGAGATTATTACGAAACCGTTTAGGATCAGCCGATTCTATTCTAAGCCACTCCGGTACCTTACACTTGTCCTTGTCACCTTCGCCAGGTCTTGGGATATGATCGAGGAATGGGTAGATGTTATGGCTGCGAAGAAAAAGGGCTGGTATCGTTTCATCTATAAGGTGTGGCTGGGGAACCGAGTTGGCAGTGATGAAGCCATTGGGGTGATGGATCATGCATATGCTGCCGTAGAGGCTATAAAAAAGATCGCACATTAAGACCCAGGTTGATCATTGCTCTCTGATTGCTTGGATCTCACTTTGCTGTATTAATAAAAACATTGTTCTCGTTTCTATCCTTGATCTCTTCCAACGCTGCCAAGGCTTAACATACGGTTTTTTTAAGCGATCTCGAAAGACGATTCGAAAGACGATTCGAAAGACGATTAGAAGGAGAGGAGTTATAAGCTCCGGCTTTGAATTACTACTGCACTATAAGTACAGTACTTAATATTAGGATCCACTGGGCTATGCTACCTAATTGGGAAGGAGGCCACTGGGAAGAACTTAGTCATTTATTTGCTGAGTCAGCGCATAACGTCATGCACCTTGAGCTTCCCGACCTCACTAGCCCTGGTTCCCAAGTACACGAAGCTTTTCAACATCCCAATCGCAGCACAATCGAGAAGTGCTGCCATGGCCCTCGACGATGCCTCGCCGCAGGCAGAGGCCTACCCTGACAACCATGGCCGAGCCAACCCCCAAGCCGAACAATCCCTAGGTCCAAACCCCGCAATGGCTGGCAACTTCCACTTGCAGGTTAGGCCAGAGCTAGTGGTGAGGCCTGATCTGTTTACAATGACGTTCGGATTCTTCGGTCGCAGGAATTGGCAGCGAAATGTGGCATACACGATGATGGAGCGCGTGGAGAACTCATGGCTTCTGACGGGGCGCCCTCTCACACAGGACGAGTTGGACGCGTTCACTACCTATTCGACGAGGACCCTGTACTACCGGCGCATGGGTGTACCTATCTCGTCTTTCTTGGGAACGGCATATCTGTATTACAGAGTCCGTAAGGACGCGGGTCTACCATCGAATGCCAGTCCGGCCTCGGTTTATGATTACCTTCGCAATATAGCTCGGGGCGATAAAGCCGGGTTCCGGTCTTTGGTCGCTGCATCCGCTTTCAAGATGCTATTCATCACGACAACCGGCGCGATTCTGTCTGGATTCGCTGCCCTATACTCAGAGACTACAAACGTGATCGTGGATCCCCGATTGAGAGGCTTTGTGGAGGACATGAGAGGCCAAAAGCCCGAGGAGGTGCGACAGCGCAAGCTCAAAGCTGCTAGTGAACGAATTCGTCGTATGCGCGGTGGTGAGAAGGATATTGAGGGTTACATTGTTGAGGAACTTCAACATCCTGGTTCCCACCCGGAGCAGAATGATCAAGACTCCTACGCGTACGAGAACTCAGCGACAACGCCTTCTAGTAGCGACATGTCATACAGCACCTCTCAAAATGACCAGCAGACTAGCTCGGCTGGTCAACAGCGCCCTGTGGCGGAAGCTCCACGCAAGTCGTGGGGTTATGGGGGCCAGGCCCCATCCCGGCAGGGAGAATCGTCCAAGGAGTCTGATTTCTTCTTCGGCGGCAAGGACGACGATGCGAGCCCCACGGCTCCCGAATACCGGTACACGAACCCCGATGGCTCGCCCACCAGTGCCTGGGACCGCCTGCGTCAACAAAGCGGACAACGTCCCCGGGCTCCCCCGCCTCAGCAGCCCAGGCCGCAATGGGGCCAGGAACAGGATTCTCCCAATTCACCAACTTATACCCCTGCCGGTGATCGAGATCCATATGAATCCAGCAGAAACCGCGAAAAGGAGCAAGCACAGGCTGATTTCGATCGCATGATGGAAGCGGAGCGAAATGCCTCTACCAGTGGATCGCCTCAGAACCGGGACTGGTGATTATGACCTTTCCAAATAGCTATCTACGCTGTCTCCCATGTACAATAAACATCTATCTACAAATTCTAGCGCCGAGCATTGACTCGCTACTCTGAAGATTCTGAGACGAGGAACACCGGACACCTTCATAAGCCTTTGCAGGCAGATTGATTTAGATACGAAAGCCCAATTTGACAAAGAAACCCAGGCAAAAGCGGCTGAGCCATGAATATGGTGTGCAGTCTTGATAGGGGGAGGTAGGCTTAGGATTGACCAAGGATGTTGGCCTAATGTATACGGCCAATGTGATGTGAGAGATTGTTGCAAATTTCAAGAAAAAGAATGCTGTAGAAACAAAAGACTAGAAAGTTCCAAGGGAGATCGTAATATGAGGGCGAGGGAAAGGGTATAAAGAGCAAGAAGAGGACAAGGTGAGTATGGGAAGCAAAACTTTGAAGTTCGCTAATATCAAGAACGTTATCAGTATCATGGAGCAAAACGAAGTATGGGAAGAACTAATGGACATGAGCGAGGGTGATGAATAATAACTCCAAAAGATGACAGAGTAAATCAAACCAAGTAAACAGATATGGATGGAAAGTGGCCGAGACGATTCTTAGAAACCATTGCTCTGACCATGCGACAATGGCACGTCATTATACGGCCATTCAGCCTCAGTGTTTCCCCACGGTTCCACACTGCGGCTATTGCTCCGCATCCGAGTCAAACTGCGCAGCTTATTCGCAAAGCTCTCATTCGAGCTCCGATTCCGCCGGTGCTCGAACGACATCCTTCGGCTCGCATTCTGATGAGTGTTCGGCCCACTCAAAGCCGGAGCAGCGGTCATAGCACGGGGAAGCAGACGACCCATGTTTACGTGGTCGATGGCAATGTCAATCGTGGCAGAAGATTCCCGGGGCGAAGTTGGGTCAGTGGAAAGTGGGATTGGGGGTGGAGGCGGGGGTGTGTTGAGATGCTGTAACTCCGGGAGGATAGGTGGTGGAGGGGGAGGTGGAATCATCTCAACTTGGACGCCTGAGGGTCTTCGTTGTATTGCGTTCTCGATTGTCTCCTCGATACTGATCGTGACGTGGGGGGATGTACCCGAGACATAACCGCCGGAGCTGGTGCGTCGGTGGCCCATGTTTCGACTCCGGCTGCTGGAGCGGCTGCGTGGGAGATGGGGGTTGAATCGTGGGTGCATGGGAATATCAGATGGGACCGAGGCGTTGTTGGCTTGGGCCTCTGCTACGGGGACAGACATGGAGCGTGGGATTCTCTCGGCCTCATTTTGATAACCTGAATACCGGGCGTCGGAGAGAAGAATGCCGTTCGAGTAATCCGTTGGGATAGTTGGAACTGAGGGAGGTCGTTCCACTTCATGCCCATTGGCACCATACTTTGGGTGTCTCATCGCTCGAGGAGTCGCAGGTAGTCCTAGAGGAACACCTGATCGAGAGGAGCTAGAGTCGGATCCGCTCTGGTATTCCGGGGAGTTCTTGCTAGGAGGAATCTTGTTTCGAGATGGCGCCCTTGGGAAGAACGATCCAGAGACTTGGGGCGGACTATCCACTGGGCTTCGCGCATTGTATAGTTCGCCCGGGAACGGAATATTCGGGGCAGACGGGTTGCGAGCTAGAGAAAGACGCCGGGCCTCGAGTTCAGCAGCTGCGAGCTCTCTTCTCTTTTTCTCAGCCAGGCTGACAAACGGTGTTGTCGGAGATACCAACTCTTGGGCATCATCAGAAACTGGCTCCGGCTTGTAGGTGTTCCCATTGAGGAACAAATCCTCCTGACCAAAGACCTTGGCACTCAATTGCTCATGTCCGCCTGACTGGGCAGGAATCTCTGGCTCGGGGGCTTGTCGAACTTCGGGAACACTGTAAGATGGCATGTGTCGGGTCTCTGGAGATTCATCTCGCTTCGAGCTTGCTCCTCGCTCTACTCGGCGACGACTAGCACTCCGGTGACGCGAGCGCAAGCGTCGGTCTCCAGAAACAAGCCGGAGTGGATCCTCTGCATCATCTGCTCTAAGGACGCCCTGAGCTGGCAGAGACATGGGCAATGGTGAAGACGGTGATCGAGCGGCAGATCCTGTGCGGTCAACGCTGCGACCCCGAGAAGAGGCGTCCTGGAAGCGGTTTGCTTTGTGTCGACTGGACGAACGCTGACGGCTTCGCGACCCATCCTTTCTCATCTTGCTTCCGCTTCTGGCACGAGATGATCCCTTCTTGCGTGATTCTCGTGGCTTCTCAGAGTCTCCAGTGTGGTATCGAGCTAGTTCCTCGGGTGACATGGGTACTGGTGACGAAGGCGAACGCTTAGCGGGCTGAATGTATCGTCGCTCATTTCGGCCACGAGTTTCCTGAGATACCTCGCGGGATTGATGAACACGAGATCCTTGTTGACTACTGGTGTCGTCCGTATTCCGCCGACCGCGGCCAGGGGTACGACGGCCATTTTGTTTTCTGGCATGATAGTTTGCCTCATCGAGACTGCTGATATACTGGTCGATACTGCGGACACTCGGGCTCTTGGCGGAGGTGTAGCTGTTCAGGGTTGAAGTCGTACTCTTGCCGCTAGGTAATAGTCCCTGGGAGTCAAGCGGAGCCTCTTCTGCTTGAACTAGGTCAAGCTGTAGTCCATTTGGCTTTCGATCCCTTGACCCATTCCGGATGTCAGAATGCTCTCTGAGTGCATCAATGAAGCCCGGCGCTGGAGATGGTAGTCCCTTGAGGGAAGCAAAATGATCCGGAGCCTGAACGGCTGTCTGAGGACTTGGCTTCATGGAATTACTCTCCGAGGAGGGGTTATATCGTGCCGAAGACAAGGTCAATAAGCCACCATCTGAGGGCCGTTCATCCTGGCTGTGCTCATGTCCACTCGTGTCGTCATTCTCGGACGTCGAACCATAATTGCTTGTGTTGTAGGAGTGGTTTCGTGAGAATGCTGGAGGGTGGACATCTACCGGGGTCTCTCCAATAGAGGGTAGGCGACGACGATTGAAGGCGGGGGTGTTTGTTCGAGAAGTCATCGCCTGGCTGAGACTTTGGATATTGTTGAGTTTGTACGATCCAAAGCCACCGGGAGACATGGCTGAATCAGGAACGGCGGACTCGGCGATTGGAGTAACACCAGGCGCGTTAGTTGGCGTACGATCGTCTGATTTTAAGCCAGGGAATCGGTAACGCTGATTCGGTTGATGATCGAAGGATGTAATGAGTTTTAGCGCGGGGGTCTTTCCAGCTGGGCGTTGAGCTGATCCAGACTTTGGCCGGTTTGGAGGAGGTATCAGACTGGGGCCGAGGGGTTGTGTGGGCTCTGGAGATGCCAATGGTGACTTTCCTCGAATCATTTCTGCGAATGATGCAGCCTGCTGGGCGGCTGGTGAAGTCCAAGGCTCAGTCGGTTCAGCCCCGGTGCACATGAAACAGCGGATGGCGAGCTGTTGCTGAGAATGAGAGACCACATATTCTCCCCAGCGACGAACGAGATATGACTGGCGCTGCCAATCTGTTGGCATCAGAAGACAGGTCATGAGGATAGCCTCCATGAAATGATTTCGAGAAACGTAGACCTCAATTGCATCATTACAATCCCCAATTCCAAGGAGAATGGAAGCCGCAGTGTGAATGTCTCCAATCTCGAGCAATTTTTGCACAAAAGCCTGTCCGACCTTGTTCGCCTGTGTCTGCCCGCTCATCTGGCTCAGCGCCAATATCATCCAATCTGCTATTGTCACTTGGCCAGGTCCCAGCATTGCTGCCATTTGATCAGAGTCATTATCATTCAACCATCGGGTGAGTAAAATAGCGCTCTGGCTTCCTTCCTTGTGACGGCTCACTAAGAAATTTGTTAGCGGATATGAACACAAGGGCAAGTTAACAAGTTAGTAAAGACATACGCTCGTCTCTTAACAAATCTTGAATATCACCGTCCCACCCAAACACCACACTGAGCATCTGCTGTCGTAAATCATCTGGGGTAAGATGCGTCTCGTCAAGAGGCGGTGTCTGTCTATATGGTACATCGTTTAATCGCGCACGGGTAAATGGAAAGAGATCGACAATGTTTCGTTCAGCGGGACTCAAGTGGACTTCGTTTCGAAGTCGAGACCCAGCCCGGGAGCTTTTCGCCGACGACATGGAAATGGAAGATGCATAAGCGTATGAAGCCGAAGGTTGTGGGGTATCCTGGCCACTCATAGAAAATGACGTTCCACTCTGGGCAGATCGACTCGGTGGTGAAAATGGCCGGTCCATCTTGTACTTTCCAGAGGAAGCTTTTGAGCTAACAGATTCCGTCCGACTTCTTGAAGATGCGGGGCTGATAAGATCTGCCCTTGCTTGCTTCGCACTTTCTACACCATTCGTGTCAAATGGCGTCCGTCTTCCGGCTCCCTTTTCGCGAATGTCGGGGGGATCCTGCAGGCGACGTGGGGACATTGTTCTTGATCGACTTCCTTCAGATGCCGTCGACCGTGAAGCAACCGCAAGATGTTGAACGTTGGCAACCATGGCTGGAGATTCCAAGTCATACTGTTGTACTGTATCCTGAGGGCCGAGTGTGAAAAGTGTTGCCGTAGGACCGTAGCTCGCGATGCCTCGCACACCCTGTATCGTAGGGATTGGCTCGTAGGTTACGTGCTTCGTTCGAACATCCCATGACCATGTTTCCCTGTAAACATCGAATTAGCAAATTTTAGTCGCATCTCTACAAGTTCGATCACCTACCCATCAAGATACTGCACAATCCTTCCATTCTTCGACCAAGCCATCCACTTTGGATCTGAAGACGTCGAATCGGATCTTTTCAGCACTCGAATAACTCGTGGTGACTCTTTTCCTGGCGGTTTCGCTACGCTCCAAACTCGCAGATCACCATCGGAAGCCTGTGTTGCTAACATGTCCGATTTCTGCTTCGATGACGAGGCATGCCATGCTATGGAAAGGATGGGCGATGGCCCACGGGAAGTAGTCAATGTATGAAGGATGGTAAATTGAGGAAGAAGGTTAGCGATCAAAATTGATCCATTCTGGTAACTGTAGAATGTAATTAGTTCTGTTGTCATGCTATTATCCAATCGCGGGCTTAGACCTACCCAATCGCATATGTGCGACAGTCTGTTGCTGGCGCAAGAGCTGTAATTGGATCGAAAATTGTGCGCGCTGAAATATGCTCTGATGTTGGAGGTTCAAAAAGAATTACTTCACCCTTGCCGTTGCCTAGATAATAGCTCCGTCAGTGATCCACACGAAGCTCGAGGCCTTGCCGATTATTCCTGCGTACCAAATGCAACGTTTCCATTGCGCATCCACGATGCGACTCTCAAATGCTCGAATGATGCAAATCGCGCGATCTCGGTACCCGTAAAAATATCCCAGACTATTGCAGTTTGGCCCACGTCGTAGCTGACAACCAGCCTTCCCGCACCGCGCTCGCTCACATTATCCACTGATATGAACTCGATATTATCCTGGTGGCTGGTAAAGCGACGTTCCACCGCCAGAGTATCATGGTGCAAGCATAGGATCACGGAACCCTGGGCATAGAGGAATAATGATGCTGTGGAGGCGCAAGGCTCGAAGCGGGACTCCGTCACCTGCGACTGCGGTGCCATTGCTTTGAGGGTCTTCGAAGGTCGCGATTCTGGCACCAAATTCCTGTTCCACATCATGTTAGCTGAAATTGTGTCTGCGTTTCTCTACACAATAAAATTTGTCTTGTCGAGGCTGGAATTGGAGTGGTGGGCCAAGGCGACGCTTTCTCCGCAGCGCTGGCTTGCCGGATCTCGCGTCTCCACGACCAGCTAAGATACTTTGGGAGGTATCCACGGGGATTACCAGAACCAGAAATAAGGTAAAGAGAGAAAATGGTCACTGACCTAACTAACTTGAACCAGGCAGGAGGTTACTAATCGGTTCACGACCCTAAGTACCGCTCAAGGCGCAGGAAAGCAAGGCGACAGGGTAGCGCCAGGCATTTGGGATGGGGAAACTCCGAGAGGTTAGTGCCTTACAGGCTAGCCAGCAAAGCGATGCAGCGTGGCTGGCAATGAAGCGACGCAATATGCAGGCCTGGGTTTATAATTGCAAGTATTCGACAGACTGGTCCGGGTACACCGTATGCGGGTTGGCGAGACTGGCGCAGTCGACTTGCGGACCGATCGGAGGGTTGTTGAATATTAGATGTGGGAGAAGGTGCAGCACGAAAATATCAGAGACGCAGAAAGATGACAGGGATGGTGTATTTTGGGAGGAAAAAGGGCTCGCTTGTCCACGTTCATCACATCCCAATGCTCTAGCGTGGTGGAGGGGCTTGAGTTTGTGACAGGACGCGGGGTGTGGGTAGGAGCAGGGGTGGATGTGAAGGGGCCCGCGGCACCATATGTATATCTATACACGATATATAAAAGCTGGCGCTACCCTGTTCTCCCTACCGGAGTCAAGTGCATATCCCATATCCTGGCTAGGACAGGGGCAGAAACGGTCTAGTAGTCTACTGGCTGAGAGCAAGCAAGTCGCAGGATCTCAGAAAAGGAGAGGGGCGCAGAGAGGCGATCAGCATTTTGATCCATGGAGCAATCGGGGTTGACGCCGGGCCAGCAGAAGGCAAAAGCAGCAGGGCGCTTCATTTCACGACCGACCATACAGTGTGCCGAGAGGGAGTGAGCAATTACTCCACCGCCCCGTGTTCCCATAGTCCCAGGATCGGAGACAAGCAGAGCATCACATCATTAGCGGAGACGGTGAGATCGAGCCTTTTTGGTGGCTGGGGGAGGCGTGGCTCTGGTCGTGCGGGCTTGCACCAACGAGCATGCAGAAGCGCGGCCGTAGAAGAAGTTACGGGCTTAGATCGATGCAGGAGGCTCCCGAATCACAGACGGAAAATCATCATCATCCTCAAGGCTCGTCAAATAAATGTGGGTCTCTGCTAGACGAGCGCATCTGGAGAAGAAATAAAAGAGAGTAAAGCGGAGAAACTGGTTGTCGATCCATGGTCGACTTGTCCGTGGTCTATCTAAGATTCGTTAGTATACAGAAGTCGTGGTGGTATCGATCATAAGTTAACCAGAAGTACCCGAAAACTGCAACTCTCCAAGTTTCAATTCCAGGAATGGGATGGGCTATCCGTGACCCGCAAGGAAAAGGCGTTAGAAAGTGACTTGCTTCCAGCCTTCCACGAGGGTCCTTTGGCCGAGGGCTGCAGGAAACCGTGAACGGTCGAGTCACAAAGCATGCTGTGTTCTGAGACACGATGTGATGGGGATCCGTGCAGGTCTGCAGGAGTGTCAATCTGCACCTTCGTCACCTCACCTGCCAATCAGATCTCGTCACTGCTGATCCCTCGGCGCCTCCAGCACATCGGTGCAGCCAATCAGATCCCAGAAGTGCAAGATATCACAGTCCGACCGGGACAGTAGGGGAGAATAGGGAAGGAGAAGTAGTAAGGTAATGGTCCCTGATGAGGCAAGCTGGTGAGCCTATAGGAGAGCCTGAAAGGCCATGAGAGAACGGAGAATTAGTCTACCGTTCGAGTCTCCGAGTTTCATATTTGTTTCTGTTGTTGTATTGGTCAATCTCCAAATTGCTTCTGTTTTTCTTTTTTGTTCTCCGGGGATCGCATGGAAAGCTCTCCGAATCCGGATCTCTTTGAAAGATATGTGATGTGACTTGTGGGTGCTTCAAGCTGGGAAGTGACTTTTCATGCACCCGAAGCACATAGATCGGGCGTTCGCTCGCAGGAGCTTGGGCCCCTGTGATAGCATCGACCGACGGACAGGATTGGGATGGAGAGGTTTCCAATCGAGCTTGTATGACGGCAATGACCGGATAATGGAGCTGCACAAACGATGGATCGTGCTGTAGGAGATGTGATGCTCATCCGAAAAGGTGAGGAGCATCACGAGGGTGAAGACTGAAGTGGAAGAAGAATCCGAACAACGGGCCGGCGGTCGGCGAAGTTGCAGTTGGACCGAGCAGCACAACCTGCAGATGATCAACACCTGGAAGGTTGCCTATATAGTTTTGAGCTATGTAGCTTTGGTTACACTCAGATTTAGTTACCTTATTTTTTGTAAGCTACGAGGAAATCGATTCAGCCTCCACAACCAACTTTGGTCTCTTTACGAGTTACCTGACAAGCCTCTACCAAACTTGGTTATCTCAAGCGATCATGTCCCACCACAGCCACACTCGCAGATGCCGCTTATCATCTGATCGCGGGGTCTTGTCAGTTCCCCAGTCACAATCTTGACTCAACTCGGTGCAGCAGAGCCTCATTCCGATCCATCATCCTTAAAAGGGCTGAAGGGCTCTCGAGATTTTACAATCCACTTTTGTTGGGAGTCTTCATCGTCCTTGCAACAATTATCCATCATGGCCAGCCTGGAAACTATCGTGGTGATAGGGTGAGCGCATTACCTCGGCACCAGCGATAGAAGTCTCAACGACTGACAATCTGAATAGCGCAGGTGTAATTGGCCTCTCAACTGCCCTGTCCATCCAGGAGCATCTGAGTAGCACGCAATCCGTGCTTCTGGTAGCCCGAGACTTTCCCTCGGACACCTCCATCAACTACGCCTCACCATGGGCAGGAGCGCACTATCGTCCGGTGCCAGGATCCTCGCCCCAGGCACTGCGAGAAGCCAACCAAGCACTGCGGACATTCAACTACCTCAAGCAAATTGCCGCTGACGAACCAGCGGCTGGCATCAACTTCGTGAAAGGCATTGAGCACCTGGAAGCACCGCCGCCAGAATACCTGGATAAGCCGAGCGTGCAGAATGTCTACCATTTTGAAGATTTCCGTTCTTTAACAACCGATGAAATCCCCGCTGGTGTGAAATGGGGAGTCGAATATGGCACATATGTGATCAACTCTCCTGTATATTGCGCACACATGCTGCGCAAGTTCATCGTGAAGGGTGGCAGAACCCAGCAATACACCCTCGTGAATATCAAAGAGGCGTTTGCGCTCGCCGACAATGTCAAGACGGTGGTGAACTGCTCCGGGACTGGCTTCGCGGACCCAAAGTCCTTCATCATCAGAGGTGAGTTTATCTTTGTCCCGTTATCTACTCGCACTATTAGACCATTACTAAACTCCAAACCAAGGCCAAACTTGTCTGGTTCGCAACCCTGTCTCCGCAACAATCACCCGCCAGAACGAAGACGGAACATGGTCCTTCTGCATCCCGCGCCCGCTAGACGGTGGCACCGTCATCGGCGGAACCAAGCAACCCCACGACTGGGACCCGAACCCGTCCCCCGAAATCAGAGCCCAACTCCTCAGCAACGCCTCGAAATGGTTCCCCTTCACCGCCGAAAGCAAGGGCCAGTTCGACGTCGTTCGAGACATCGTGGGGCGCCGACCCGCCCGTGAAGGCGGGATGCGGATCGAAGTGGAGCAAGTCGAGGACAGCAAGAGCATTGTGCACGCCTATGGCGCTGGTGGACGTGGATTCGAACTGTCGCGGGGTGTTGCGGAGGATGCGACGGCGTTGATGCTGGAGAGTGGACTCTTGCGGGTCCAAGCCAAAGCAACTTTGTAGATAATTGCATTAGCATTGGTAGCATTTGCGCCTTGTGGATATTTTGTTTGTATGGTTATACCCCACTACTTCTATATATACTCTCCGACCTCACTTGGGTGGGAAAATGGTGTACATCCCTTAAAGTGTCCAGAAAGATTTCCTGGGGCATCGATTTACTATGGAAGTGGTCCGTGCAGGATATTTGTCCATACAAAGTGGGCCACCCCTGCGGTGACAGCCAACATGGCTGTTGACGTATGTAGTAAACAAATCGAACAGTGTACTAAGTGAAACATGAAAATCGGATAGACCGAAGATTTGTAGAAAGATGAGTAGAATGACCTGTAAAAAGATATGTACAGTATGTAAGAAAACAATCCTCACAAACAAGTGCGAGAGCTGCTCCATTTAGGCCAAGACTAGTCGCACGACAACTTGTGCTTTCACATGATACACTACACGCCTTGCGAATATGATGGGAAATAAGCATATCTGGATCCTCGATATCCAGACCAGAGAAACGGTTTGCTATGTGAATAAATGTACTTCACCGTTCTCTTTTGTGAAAGATCTTTCTAGTGTCTTTTGAAAAGTCCATTTAAATAGTTTACGTTGTACGACCATGTTTTGGGGCGCCAGCTGATGCTGCAAGAAAAAGACATCGAGGAATTCCTGAGCTTGCGTGCCAGATTGCAACAGATTCAGAAACCTCAGGAAGCTCCTCATAGTCTGAACCGGACCTCACTCCTGCCAGGAGAGCTGAGCAAGATAATCATGCGCGAGTACTTCGATTGCTGGCATAGCACTATTTCAGGAGACCTTGTGAAGCTCCTGAGCGTGGTTTGATGTCATGACTGTGATCGAGATATTGGCCATGGATCAGTTTGTGACGGATCTCCAAATCCTCATCTTGCAGCAAAAGATATCAATATAAAGGTGGAAAAACTATGTTACTCGCCTAATCTCCTATCCAAGAACTCAATACCCAGATCATCCAGACAAAAAGCCCAATCCACCTCCTCTTGGTGCTCATCTGGAGGCCGGATAACGATTTCGACCATATTCACCTTTTCCCCCAAGATCCTCGAAACATTGTAAAATTATAGTACTGCATATCCTGATAACCCCCTTCAGTATAAGCAATCCAAGCGTTGTACACATTTTGGGCTTCCGAGTCATGTATCTCCCATGCAAAAATTTCCAATACTAGTCCGCGCGGCACTTCTCCAAGCGGTTTAACACGGAAGCCATTCAAATTGAAATATTCCGAATGACCTGCGCTATGTAGTTTGGTTGTGTCGGCTACCCAGCGTGAGCGTGCTTTATGACCAGTCCTGGTGCCGGCACCGAATAGCGCATTTGGCTGGGAGGAAGCACAATCTGCGTCGTGTATTGAGATAGAGCCTAGAGATGCCGCTGCCATGGTGTTTACGGTGGTAAAACCGCTGAAATTTAAGTATGAATAAGTGGATATGGCTCCGGTTCCGGTCATCACATGAGTTGGCACATCGTCAAACTGGAAACCTGGTTAGATCTGACCGGGGGTTTTGAGGGGACTGATATGGTTTACATGGAGAGTAGTACCGAATCCTTGACTGTTTTCAACAAGTAGGCTCTCTTGGGTAGCATCACCGGCGATATCATCGCTCAGGGCCTCTTGGATGTCCTTTGCTTGGGTATATTGAAGGGGTAGAGGTAACCCCGCTAAAGCTAGATGCATTAAGATTGCCATAGTGAGAGGAAGTTGATGGACAGAAGAGCCACAATGTGTGAGTCCCCCTTCTGGCATTTTTATACGTTGCCTTTAGCCTTAACAATCATGGCGGTCCGATCGTCCGATGACCCTAGTCCTCGCCCACCGCTAATCATAATTGCTTGTTTTCAGGATATCATTGTGGGGTACTTATCCTGCCCTTTCCTAGAATCTGGATCAAGTTAGATCCCAATCACTAGTATGGTTTCTACCAGTTGGGAACCTGGCCTCAATGCAACCCCACTGGATCAATTAGGGAAAAGAAGCAGGATAATAAAGGACCAAGCAAGACCTGCCTAAACGATTTCTCCCCGCGAGAGATTCCTCTCACGAAGATTTTATACAATGAACCGGCTCTAGTCATTTCATTTTGCCAAGGTGAAGATTTCCTGCTCATCGGATCGGCGAATGGGTGCATCTATAATCTCGACCTATCGACAGAGCAGGTCGAAACACTTGCAAGGGTCGATAGCATCGGAGTCTCGCGAGAGAAGGTAGCACGATCGTTTTTGGTAGTGCGAATGGAGAGATCTATTTATTAAACACTCAATCCTAGTAAGGTGGACCCTATCTCTAACTGTATATAAAGCACGAATATAGAATTTCTCACAAGATATCCCAGTGGCCCTCTGCAATCCGTTACAGGCCACGAGTCACTAGTGCGGTGTTTGAAATTCCTCGACGAATATACCCTGATATCTGGGGACGCGAGACGGTACGCTACGAACCTGGGAAATAGCATCTGGCTCTCTTAGCTCAAAGGCTGAGTTTATTTGCTACATCAGTGAAATCCGAGGTCTGAAAGCTCACGGCAACACGGTAGTCTCTGGCAGCTATGACACCCAGGTTCGCGCTTGGAATTCTCTGACAGGTGAATGCCTTAAAACTCTACGCGGCCATCGGGGCAGCATCCATAGCGTGGAATATGATGGAGGGGTCGCCACGAGTATCGAGGACCGCGATATTCGGGTGTGGGATCCCAATACTGGGTATGTCGCTTATCCGAATTTCCCGAGTTGAAAGTGGTCTAAGAATTGACAAAATGTCTTATAATTTGACAGATCCTACGTTGCTATCCTCTAAGGCTATGGGGCGCAGGGAGTACGCGTCTCACTCCTCCATCTAGCGAGCGACTTGCTCATCGCTGGCGGCGCTGACGGTTCCATAAGACGTGGGGCCTGACTTTAATGGATTCAGAACCACGTGAGCTATCCGCGGCAGATAGTACTGGAATATCGGCTATGAGCGTCGAAGGAAGCCTTATTGTCAGCGGTAGCAATACTGGTGTACTGAGAGTGATCGACCGTTACTCTGAGACTACGGTCACGAGCTGGACGCTCGAGGGCGAGAGAATTGCAGTATTTCAGGTGGGACTTACAGCTAGGCATAGTCCAGTAGCCGTGTATCGGAAAGATGAGAGTATCTTAGTCACAATTTTGTAGATCAAAGTTGTATGAAATTTCTATCAACCAAGTACGCCAGATTTGGTATCTACACAATTGTGATTCGTTATATTAGACGTACATTAGCTTTGCAACTGCTTTATATGGGATCACCCTGCTGCCATGACCTCTCTCCGCAAGACGACTCAAGCCAGCCAAGCCAAGGTCTACTCACCTCTGTCATCGAGAACGAGCAGGCTATCCGGAAACAGTTTCAACGGATGGATGATCTAGACAAAGAGATGACTAAAATGGTAGAAAATTTGGACAACAAACACTTCTCCATAGAAAATCCAGATTGGAATTTTTTCGCGGAATATTTCCAAGAGTCAGGCCGAAAAACCACAGAGATGACACAGGTGTGTACCGGGATGGCAAATTTTTTTCAAAGACCGCACCGTTCACAACACCACTAAGCTCTATAAAGTTCTGTCAGAACTCGATGATAGCGAGTTACAGCGGGCTTATGATTCCTTGAAGCGGCACTCAACCTGGCAGATGCGACATGAGCTGGCTCAGAACCATGAGCGCAGCCGCGAACTCCAGGACAGAGATTCGGTCGGAAATTCTCAAACCTCATCGACGACCAAACAAGGCGAGAGAGCTTGTGATTGCTTGCCGGGCTCTTCGTGCTCTTGTGACCGGCTCGTCGAGCTTTCCGCAAAGATGGACAAGATCAATGAGAAACTTGGCTAGATTTTCCATCCCATGATGCGGCCAATATCTCGAAGATGAGTGTCGATAATACCGCAAAGCCAACTGTGGGTTTTTGGAAGAGAATTTAAAACGTTCAGCTCAGCTTTGATAATAAATTGGAATCGGGGCTGTTGAAGTGATCAGATCATGATACGATCGGTGAATTTTGTCGTTCATTTTGCTTTTCCCAACTTGGACGATTCATTTATTGATCAGGAGGATGGTTTGCTTTGGCGTGGATGATTTGCATACAACATTCATACTTAACAATGTTGGCTTGTGATTCATAACTTACGCTGAAGTTTGTTCTTCTTGCCTGAATAATCATTCTTCGGTCTCTTCCTGCTCGCAGACATGATATATACTCTACGGTTGACAAAGCCAAGCAACGAAATAAGCAGAAGATGCCTACAGTGGGGTTCCATAAGCTTGAAACTCATCTTTGCAGTCACGAGTCAAACTATAGACCACATAAACGGTATTTATGCCATCGAGAAAAACAGTCAGGAAGACCATTCAAATAAGAGTGATCGAAGCAAGTCTGAATTATCCGTTTCCTTTATTTCTAGATTGAGACTTGTGAACTGCCACTGCATATGGTCGAAAGTGGCTGAGAAACCAAAGCTTGTTACATCTAGACTATGAGACACCTGTCACTAAAAACACACTAGCTGTCTTCATTCCCCTGATCAAGACTTGCTTTCCTTAAACCTTGATCAATGATTCATGTAAGGTTCATTTGTCGTTCCTCACGCCAAATAGGAACCAGCCGCCTATAACTGCTATGATGCCAACTGGCGGAGTTGCTAGCAGAGAGACTCATGTGTAAAGTAATTTGCCATTTTCCATAAGGCTTCACGAGGTAGATTTGAACAATCCTACCTTGACGCAAATGCTACTCTCACAACTATGAAATGAATGACATTGGAAATATCATTCATTGCTCCCGTACATATTGGAAAAGCTGCTGAAGTGGAATGAAAAAGCGAAGGCACTACCAACAATTCCAAACCGAACCACCGTGTTTGAGCGCTGTTTGCTTTCCTTCGCAAAGGTACGCGAGCTCAGCCTCACCTCACCTGAGGCTTGCTAGGTAATTGTCAGCATGGTGTGATTCTCGGAAATAATTATTACCACTTGTCACTGGCATCCTAGGCTTTCCTAATGGACAACATCCTGAATTCCGTACATACCCTCTGATTCGTGCAACTCACCTGCCGTCTATACCGGAAGCGGATAAGGCCCTCCAGGGTCCGTCTAGTATGATTAACTACCCGGAGCAGGCTGTGTGGGTTAGTTGCATGGTAGTGTTTTTCCTGGTCCTCGGTTTCTGTGAGATCAGCCAAGGCAAGCCACCCTGGTAAAGCCAAGGAAAGGCGTTCTTTGCACGGCCTCCCGTGTGTCTGATCGAGGGGAGGCTTGCCAGGGCTTGCATTGTAAGGTCTTGGCGGGCTCAATCGCTCGGATCCACGTGCGGCATGGCGTTTTGGCGCATATCATCCAAGATGTCTATCTTGTTTGAATCTTGGACTTCTAGTAATCCTTATCAGTTCTCAAATATCCCACCATGAGATGGCCCTTACGCTCTTGATCGAGGGCGTTGGGGCCAACGTTGGATGCCTAGACCCACACTGTTTCTCCAGGTTTATTCCCCAGAGTGGAAGCGATGGCACAAGTGGAGTGGGCTTTGACATTGTAATTTCGGACTTTTCCTGTTATATGGGGCACTCCTTCGGCAAAGTACGGAATAAACCGTAAAATCCAATGAGACCAGTACCTTAGTCTATTCCTTTGAGGCAGGCGCCAAGGAGTGCCATGCCGCCGCCAAGATATTCCACATCCCCCGCCAAGAGATACTATATCACCATCCAATGATCTCATACGATTGCCAAGTGCTTCGTGTGTCGTTAAGAGTCATTGGTCCAGTTATAATCGAGCCGACGAGCCGCCCCCAAATCCAACTTACCGTGGACTTATTCCCCGAGTCTTCCCCATCCCCGCCACACACGTCTTTCCCCGTACCTTGGCCGACCCCATACACGGTCCCCCCGTAGAAGCCGGACAGCTCGGGTTACTCTTTATGTTAATCCGGAGGTAGACTGGGGAAATGACGGCTGCTATATAAGCTGTTACTATCATGCCCTAATTCCTTCTGGTTTCGATGTTTCGATCGATTTTCACCTTCTTGCGCTGCTAGGACGTGATGTTTGGTATTCCGAGGTTCTTTGGCTTCCGGGGCCGGGCTCTAAACTTGGCCATCAGTTCTCTCGGTAGTCTTGATTTCTTGTATGATCCATGCTCTCTGTTACTCTACCTTGGCGACACTAGTGGCGCTTATAGAGCCGCCACCAATAGCTAACTCGTACCTTCCCAAAGGCTTTTCGGTTATGATCAAGGTATCACAGGTGGTCTGCTAGACCTGCCGTCCTTCATCAAGTATTTCCCTGATATCGACAATCTGGATCAGACGGTCTCAGATGCTGTGCGATCTCAACGTGCTACGAACCAAGGTATTGCGGTTGCATCCTATAATTTGGGATGTTTTGTCGGCTCCATCTTATGCATCTTCATCGGTAATCCGCTCGGTCGACGCAAGACTATTCTCTGTGGCTGTATGACTATGGCTACTGGAGCTCTACTGCAATCTACATCCTTCCAGCTGCCTCAATTTATCATCGCTCGTATCGTCACAGGTATTGGCAATGGTTTGAACACGAGTACTGTCCCAACGTGGCAATCTGAGTCGTCACACGCACACGATCGTGGTAAGATGGTCATGATCGAAGGTTCACTTATCACCGGAGGGATCTGCCTTAGCTACTGGATTAACTACGGTAAGTGGAAAGCAGTCTACATTTTGTTGAATATAAGAGACAAGGCTAATCAGTCAAAAACAGGATTTTCCTTTATTGGTGAATTGGAGGTAGCTTGGCGTTTCCCGCTCGCATTCCAAATTCTCTTCGCCGTCGTGATTTTCTTCTCTATCCTTCACCTGCCCGAATCTCCACGCTGGCTTGTCATGCAAGGTCGGGAAGAGGAGGCTTTGGAAATTCTCGAGGCCTTGAACGAGAAACCCCGAGATGATCCTTACATTGTGAACGAGCTCATCGCCATTCGAGAAACAGTCAAGGAAATGAGCAAGGGCTCGTTCAGGAGTTTGTTCAAGATGAGCGAATACCGCGAATTCCACCGTGTGGTTCTTGCCTACGTCAACCAAATGTTCCAGCAAATCTCTGGAATCAATCTGATCACGTATTATGTGAGTGACTGCCTCGCTGGGACACTTTTTCTTGAACCTAGCTAACACATTCAACCCAGGCGCCCTCCCTGTACAAGCAAATTGGTCTTGGAGAAGGCAATCTACCCAAGTTACTCGCTGCTTGCAATGGTACAGAGTACTTCATGGCCTCCTTCATCCCCATCTTTATTATTGAGAAAGTCGGACGTCGGCCTCTCATGCTTTTCGGCGTATGTGATCTACCCTTCCTCGCTGGTCTCGTATATACATAGCTAATCAGAATTGACTATTCTAGGCTGCTGGAATGTCAATATCCATGGCAATTCTCGCCGGCACCAACTACCGCCTAACTCATTATAACGAGAGTGGTGCCGGTGTTGGCCAGGCAGTGTTCCTCTTCGTTTTCAACACATTCTTTGCCATTGGCTGGCTTGGTATGACATGGCTGTATCCTGCAGAGATCGTGCCATTGCGCATTCGTGCTCCGACAAACGCGCTGGCTACTAGGTAAGTACCAGGACAGTCCACGGCAGTCTTGATGCATCCATGATCTAACAAATATCTCGTTAGCGCCAACTGGATCTTCAACTTCATGGTCGTTATGGTCACTCCTGTTGCATTCGACAGCATCAAGTATAAGACCTATATTATTTTCGCCGTGATGTAAGATAACCCATTGGAACCCACCACCACGATACCCTTCCCACAAATTGTCCAGTTTGACTAACTAAATAACAGCAACTTCTTCATATTCCCGGCTGTATACTTCTTCTTCCCCGAAACACGCTACCGTTCCCTGGAAGAAATGGATGCCATCTTCAAGAAGTCGTCTAACATCTTCGACGTTGTGGGCATCTCGATCAAAGAGCCTTACCGCTATGATAAGCACGGTCAGCTTAAGCCGGAGTACCTCGAGGAGGCTATTCGTCGAGAGAGCGTTCGCCGTGAGAGCGTCATTCATGAGGACTCGAATGAGAAGTTTGATAGCGATGAGAGTGCTAATGATAAGCCTGCGGCGATTGGATATGAGGGGAAATAGGGGGTTGGAGACTGAGTGTAGTTGGTGATATATAGTCAGGCACGAGAGTAGATGAATTGTTTATCGGAGTAATCTTCTCAGCGAGAATCAGAGTCGGAAATATTTTCCAGGTGGATCTACGTTGTCGTTGCCTTTCATAAAGTCAGGGCTTTCCTTCTAGTGTCTACGCGGTTTAGGGCCACCGTGGAGAATATGGTGGCCGGGCGTGAATAGGTGGGTTCCAAGGTTGGTGTGCTGGCAACTTTGAAGGGCCGGTGAGGACCATTTGCTATTAAGATTGGACAATACTGGGAATGAACGGACTTTTTGCTAATAAAAGCAAGCTGCCATAACAAGATATCAGTCGTTAATTCTTCCGTCACATGAAAACACAGGATCCTCTGGAACCCTGCCCCCTTGGCCAACAGCAGATGCATCTTCTCTATCCACAATCTGGATTATTTTATATACCCAAGGTAGTAGAAAAGAATTCAGTCTGACAGTCAGCCGGGCCTCTAGGAACACGACCAGGTCACTCAGAGCGAATGCCCGTCTGTACATCTCAAGATGCAGGAACGGGCGACACGTCATGACAGTGATCACTCGGCGTTAATATCTAATCCCATTTGGACAGAGGAATCGTACCAGTAAAGTCGGTTCCTGAAGACCTGAAAGGGGACAGATCCTAGAAACACACGAAACCAATTTCGCGAGAGGGGTCAGGGACTCAATCAGCAGCCTCCTGCGCAATAGCACCGTCACTTGATGGCGGGATTTCCACTCCGGAGAGCTTGGCCACACGCTCCTCCTCCTTTTGCTCGCGCAGCTTCTCAGTCTCATTCCGCAGAGCCACCAAGTTCCAAACGTCGTCGTCGTCGTCCGAGTCGTCCTCATCACTGCTAGCTTCCTCCTCATCTTTCCAGTCTCCGCTCTCGAACATGGCACGACCAGTAGCCTCCTTGGCCTTCTGTGCCTCCGCCTCGGCGGCCTTCTTGTCCAGGCGCTCCTTCTTCCATTTGGCGAAGGTCTCTGGGTTAACCGGTGTCAAGGTACCAGTCAGCTTGTGCCGCTCTGACTCCAACCAATCTTCCAGCGTAAGGGTGTTCAATGGCGACTTGTCCATCAGGGCCTTTTCAGCCGCCTTCTGCTCCTTAGTCTTGAGGACGAATCTGCTCAACTTATCAGTAACCAACCCTTCACAAATGTAGAGAGCTTCGAGATAACCACATACCCTGGCGGCAAGCTGTGCTTATACATGCACTTATCGCCTCCGTTCGGACAGGTCCAGAACCAACCATACTTCTGGTTCTCCACTGCCTCGATAAAGTACTTGCACACCTTGTCGGTCGTCGTCCGTGGGTTACCGTGCTTGCTGAGCACGACACTGCGAAGCTTCTCCTCGTCCCAGTTATCCATAGTATCGGCCTTCTGCTTTTCATCGCTTTCTTCGGAGTCGCGCGAGTCGGTGTAGAGATCCTTCTTGGCCGCCTTGCGCTCGATGTTCAAATCATGACTGAATTTGCACTTCTTGCCCTTCTCACAGCCACCCTTCTTGTGGAACATGCACAGGACGGTCTTCGGGTCGACACCGAAGGGTACCTTTTGTACCTGGATAGGCTTGAACAGCTCTGCAGCCTCCTTCTTCGCTAGCTCGGCGGCCCTCTTCTCAGCCTCGCGCTTCTCCTTCTCGGCCTCTTTGCGCTTGGCATCGGGATCCTTGTTGGATTTGGCCATGGCCTGCAGCTGCTGGATCTGTTTCTTGGCGGCACCACCTTTTTTCTGTTGGTCGAGATTAGTGACGGTTGTCTTGGAGGCGGGGTGGTTTCCGGGGCGCAAAAAGGTGTTCCGGGGATTGACGTACGTTCTTCATGCCAAATGTCTATGGAAAGATTGAGAGGTTAGCGAGTCGGGTTTTATTGTTGAAATGTTCGGTATTAGGCATGACATACCTTGTCCTCGACAGAGGCCTGCTTCTTCTTAGGCGCATCGGCCTTCTTGGGCGGCATGTTGGCGGTTGTGGATGGTCACGCCGGACAGGCTTTTGGTGGGATAAAAATGTGAGATGCGCCCGATCGCGGGGATGAGCGGGTCGAATCGAAAGAAGGAAACGCTGATGCAACCTGAAAGAAAGACAGGGAACTCCCGGATGGTAGACGGGGTATCTCAAAGAGGGGAGAGGGTAGAATTAGGGTGGAGGTTGAACGGAGAGGGCTGAAAGAGAAAAGAGTTGAAGGATGAAGCCCTCCACAAATTCGAGGGGTGAGTGTGGCGGCACAATCTTTGATCAGCCAATGACCGCCCGTTGCGCGCCAAGTATACCCAAGCGGTCGACAGGGCGTAGGCTTGAGTATAGGGGAAACGGAGCAAAATACTACATGAAATAATGAGAATATTGAGTATCTCCAGTACTCAAGTGGTCTGGTAATACTCCATCAATATGTCATATCTACTCGAGCCTGCGGGTGTAGCGCTGGTTTTGTGCTGTGTTCTGCTTTGCGTCATCGCCAGGTTCTTAACGAAGCTCCCAGTGGCCGTGCGGCTGAGTAGACATGCCCCAGTATGGACAGATTACTAGTGTAAATGGTGGAAAAAAAAAATGGAAAGAGGGTGTTAGAAAACCCGACAGAAATGGCATACAAGAAGGTATGGTAGAATACCCTGCACAGGTCTACTCTGTATATCCTATCTGGTCCAGGCCTGCCTTCTCTGCTTTCTAGGGCTACATCTACTCTGTACTGCCACCCAAGTAAGATTCACTACCATTGCATTCATTCATTAGAGGGCTCCCTAAAATCATACCTCATTGACCGAGTATATCAACAAGGGGCAATGGCTCAACAAGCTGGGCTGTGTTGCTTTGGATCTACAAACAAAGGGGAACTCCCCGCAGCAAAATCCAATCGATCTCCGGCACACCGGTTCGTAGGCGCCTCAGCAGCACCCAGATTTTTCATTTCTGGTCATCATAGATTCCGTAGAAAAGGGGTAATAACAGCTCAAAAAATTAAGAAACCTCCTGGATCTTGGACTTGCCATCGGCCTCCTCGAGCTCGGGAAGCTCATCCTGTTGTGTAGATGTTAGTATCGAATCTCAAAAGGCCAAACTGTAGACTAGTGGATTGAGATATCACTTACGTCCTCCTCCTCCTCGCCCTCGATGCCCTCAGCACCACCCGCAGCACCAGCAAGAGCACTCAGGTCGGGCATGCCGCCGGCACCGCCCATGCCGCCGAGCTTGGAGAAGTCAATGTTGCTGAGACCGCCGCCCTCGTCGCCGCCGAAGCCACCGAAGTTGTTGGCGTAGTCATCCTCGGCAGCCTCGTCCTGCTCATCCTCATCGACCCACTGTATACAAGTTAGCGAGCCGCAATGTCACCCCGCCCCCACCAGCACCAGTGCAAAGATATAAAAGAAAGAATAGCGCGTGAAGCATACCTTGTCAAAGTCGGTCTTCAGGAAGTGGACCTTCTTAGAGTCCTTGAGAAGGCGGGGCCAGTACTCGAGCTTGAGCTCCTTCTTGCGCAGGACAAGCTCAACCTCACGGTCGGTGTGGTTGACCTTGCTGTTCTCGGGGTCGATCTCGGCGTAGAGGTCCAGGGAGACGGAGTATGTGACTCCCTTGCCAGAGGTGCCGGTGAAAGAGACATTGGAGGGAGTGATGCTCAGCTTGGCCTCGGCCTTAGGGACGTCGGGGGTCTTAAGGTTCACGTAGAGGTAGTTCCGCTCCGCATCGGAGTCGGAGGAGCGCTGAGCCCATGTGACTGTAATCCAGACACATCTCCAGTTAGCGATAGGGTTCGAAGATCAATCATATATGAATTGAGCGAGCTTGCGGGGCATCTGGAGCAAGGGAACTTGGGAATGGCGCCGCGGTTGACTGCAAAATGTGCAAGGCCGGGTGTTTAGGCCAGAGCGGGGAAGTCGAGCTGATCAACAACTTACCTTCGGGGTGCACGGTAGTGGACATGTTGTCTATAGCCAAAGGAGATGGGAGGTAAAATGGGGAGAGTGGAAGATGAAATCAGGAAAGGTCACTTAAAAAGCGATGGAGGAGTTAGTGTGGGCAGGGAGAGGGAGGAGTAGCTCGTTCTGCAGTGTCTTGCACCGCATTCACCTGTTAGAATGTACTGGAACCCCGTGGTTTGCCTGGTTTGTCTGTGTGTGGCCTGAGGCTGCAGGGAGGGACCAGTTGTGCAGGACGTCACCGGTCTGACTAAGCGAATGTCCCCCTCCCGCTTCCAGTTGCAGGCATCGGCGATACTGATAAGAGGGCAAGTGAGCAGTCACGGACTCTAGGGCGTCTTGTCTCGTTCCTAGATCCCATAATCGTGTCTAACCTTGGAACCATATTCAACTTATTATTGCCATTCAGAGAATGCTCGCTGCCATTCGTCCGATCACCCTACGTCGATCCTCATCCTGAGTCCCGATTGAACCACTCGCCATCGCCTTCAGCCGCCTGACCTACCCTGAATACTCATCTGTTGCGCTTTCTCGAGTCTATTGGAATTCACAATCATGGAAACCCTCAAGGCTGTCTTCTTTGGGCCAGATCCCCAAGCCCAGGTAAGCGATGCACTCCTCACCAAACCGCTGAGTTGAAGCCACAAATAACCCTCTGACTGGCCATGTCTAGATGAGGAAGTGCAATGCTCTCATTCGCCAGAATACACGGCAGCTCGATCGGGACCTCTATCAACTCAAAGCCTTGGATAGCAAGACCCGCCAGTATATCATCAATGCCTCCCGGCGCGCACAACGCAACCCATCGCAAGCCAAACAAGCGATGAGCGAGACGAAGACATTTGCGAGGGAGCTCGTGCGGATTCGGAAACAAACCACTCGCCTATCTACAAGCCGCGCCCAGCTACAAAGTGTGGGAATGCAAGTGAATGAAGCGTTCCAGGTTCGCAAAATCCAGGGTAGTCTCCAAAAGTCTACTGCCATAATGAAAGACGTGAATATGTTGGTGCGCATGCCGGAGTTGACTTCTACGATGCACCAACTCTCGACGGAGCTCGTTAGAGCGGGGATTATCGAGGAATATGTGGACGATGCCTTGCCCGATGATTCGCTATTTGAAGATGAACTCGACGAGGCCGAAGAGGAAGTTGACAAGATCCTGCAAGAAATCTTACAGGGCAAGCTCTCCCAGGCCCCTGCCAACCCGGTTGCTCAGCCTGTGGACGAGGCTCCCGTTGCTGCCGAGCCCGAGGAGGAGTTCGAGGACCAGGAGGCGACTCTTTCCCAGATGCGCGATCGTCTCGAGGCTCTCAAGAGCTAGCTTGTCTTCCTTATTGTTTACGTCTTATGTCTGCAATTGTTTGAAAGCGTCATTTATATTCTGTAGCCATACACATGGCTTTTGCCATTGGCATTCAGCCTTTTCTTCTTTTGGGACGGAGTTGGCGGGCTGTCATTCCATTGTTTTTGTTCACAGCCCACATAGAATGAAACTAGTAATTCTACCCTGGTTGTATGAACTTTTCTTGTTTTTCTTCCTGATCAACCCGGGTTGCAGCTGGCAGTATGTAAGACTTGAGAAGCCAATTTGGGGGCGATGTCGGCTGGGGGCTGTGCCTGCTCCAACTACGGGATATGGCTGTAGTCTCACTATTGGAAAATTGTCACATTTTCAATCGTAAGAAACATGCACACATTATCAGGATAGAACATATTGAGTGTCATTGTCTTGTTTCAGGCAGCTAAATGTATAATAAACAATGATCATTGATAAGAACCTCGGAGCCTCGATGCAAACAAGCAAAACCCGGATGGTGCCCGACTTCCCAAACAGGTTAGCGCTGGCCAGTGGCTGCCTCCTCCCTCCAGGCTCCTCTCCCTTTCCCTCCGCTTCCATCCTTCCCGCGACTCATCTCCCTCCATCATCTCTCCCACCTCCTGGTTTTCCTCTCCCCCCGTTTGGACAACCTCTTGATCAGCTCCGATCATCATCTTCTTCGCCTTCGAATACTGCCAACTTGCGCTACATCTCGTAGCCATCAAATACGCGTTCTTGTCGCGACTTGTCAGCTTGTGATCGCAAATCGCCAGCTTTGCTTCCTCTCTCTCATCCCCTCAAACCCATCACAATGTCTGCCAACCTGGACAAGTCTCTCGACGATCTCGTCGGCAACCGTCGCCAGAACGCTCGTCGCCGCGGCGCTGGTCGTCGCCCCGCCGCAAAGCCTTCCGTCGGCGGTGTCAAGAAGTCTTCCAAGGCCACCAAGGCTGCGGCCAAGGTCGTCCACCCCACCCCTGTTGCCCCGACTGCTTCCAGCAAGATCATCGTGAGCGGACTGGTACGATTCCCCTTTTTCTTCCCCGCCTAGTCTTTGATTGTGCATCCACTAATTCTATCGGCAGCCTTCCGATGTCTCTGAGGCCAATATCAAGGTATGTTGAGCTACAGGCTTGCGCCTTGGCTTTGATCGCCATCTTTGTTTCGAACCCCTCGGGCCAACAACGTCGACACGCGTTCACACACCTCTTGTCATGTTCTTCATACCCCCATCCTTGGTGTGGTAGTCGCTTGATGTTTCTGGCCCAAGGCAAAGACGCTCCTTCCCTAAGCTTCTGTGAAAAGAAAACATTCTCTGGCTGGCATTCCTGAAGCGGGAAGTTGAGCTCTGCCGCTGTACTTTCACGAGATGTCCTCTGCTTGTGTCCATGCCTACTTGGTTTTGGGAGATACACCTGCATGACACCCTCGGTACTGAGCCGAGGCTTAAAGGTTGAAATTATACCTCTGGCCGAATTGTTTGAGTCCTCTCTCACCTGTTCCTTCTTGGTGTTGTGACCTTGGGACGAGCATCAGCGAGCGCGCATCAGCATATCTGTGGACCATTATTTGCAGCGGCGAATACACTTCAACGCTCCCAGAGACGCTTTCTTGAGGATATTCTCGAGGGGTTTCACTGCTTCAGGGGGTGATACCCCGTCCCAGTGAGGCTGAGAAATCAGCATACAGAACGTCTACCTTGCGGCGAGGTTTAGCAACTCCAAACGATTACGAGAGGCTTTTGACGGAGATCCGTGTTAGCTGCGGTGCAAAATGTGTGGGCATGCATTAGCTACGCTTTCCGGCCCGTCGTCCCTCGTTCTGATCGCTCTCTTGGTGATTGATGGAAAAGAGAAGTGCTATGATATTGTTGCGAAAGATACGCAAGATGGATTTTGGATACAACGTTGTGGGCAAGGCTAGATATGCGTTTGTGCATTTGTTGCATGTGGTGCTGGATACTGTCTTCGGGAGGACTACATTCGACATGATGCTCTGTCGCTGCTGTGTGCTCGCTGATGCTCTTTACTACTGGATTGCCCTCGTCTTGGTTTCGCGCTGTCGCCGTTGTTTCACTCGACAATTCGACTACATATCACTCTAGCTCGAACTTCCAGGCAAAAATGCTGATCCTCCCTGTTCTTGCTATAGGAATACTTTGCCAAGTCTGCAGGTCCCGTCAAGCGAGTGATGCTCACCTACAACCAGAACGGTACCAGCCGTGGCATTGCCTCGATCATCTTCAACAAGCCCGACACTGCTCTGAAGGCTGCCAAGGAGCTCAATGGACTCCACGTCGATGGCCGTCCTATGAAGGTGAGGATGACAGTTGATGTATGGCCGCTTTGGATGTATGCTGATGTTTGCAACAGATCGAAGTCGTCTTCGATGCCTCTCACGCCCCCACCGTTCCCGCTCCCAAGCCACTGGCTGAGCGTGTTGTGTAAGTCTTTCCTCTGCTACTTCTCCGGTAGTTCCATGCTGATTTCTTGACAGTCAGAAGTCTCAGCCCAAGCCTGCGACTGCCGCCAAGCCCGCCGCTAACAAGGCTAAGGCTCGCAGCGGCCGTGGCGGTGCTCGTGGTGGCCGTGGCCGCAACCCAGGCCGTGGTAAGCCCAAGACTGTTGAGGAGCTCGATGCCGAGATGGTCGACTACTTCAGCAACGAGAATGCTCCTGCTGCTGGCAATGCTCCCATCGCCGGTGCTGCTCCTCAGGCCGCCAATGGTGAAGATACCGGCATGGCCGAGATTTCCGTAAGTCCTTTGACAGCTCGTGAGGCTTGTCCATGTACTAACATTGTACTAGTAAACGTGACGCTCACCACACCATGATCTCTCTGTTCGCTGCTTCCCTTGAACATTTCGTGTATTGCAAGAGGTCTTTTTCGGAGGAATTTGATAGTTGATGCGCGGGTCTTGTCTTCTGCTGTCCTCCCCTTCTTCTTTTTTTCTGCTTCTTCTTATGGGTGCTTCTTTCTTCTCCTGGGGCTTTTCTTTTCTCGACTACCGGACTTAATTTTCTTCTCGCTTCTCCGCACGAATCGCACAGAGGACAGCATGTATCTACAATCCAATAACAGTTCTTAAATGGGCTATGTCTCCGATTTCTTTTTGCAATTAGTAAATAGTAGACATGCCTAAGGGAGAAACCTAAGTCTCCTAGTTGTCATTAAACCTCGAAGGACCGCAATCATCGAATGGTAGACCAAGATCAGACAGCGAATGGATTCTCAGCGCTATGCAATTATCAACGCCATAAGTCCCTATTCACAAACGCCACTTGTAGCCCATATATCAAACCAGGAATTAAACCCAGGAAACCGAAATCCACTCATTACCAATGTACACGAACAAGATCCACAATTAAGGAACAATCGTCCATCATCCGACCATGACCCTCCCTCGACCCTAGGTCACACCTTGAAGACACCCGCCCGAATCATAACATCATGAAACTGTTCCAGAGTCACACCAGAACTCAACCCAGCACCCCCATTCGCCTCCAAAATCATATCCTTGAGCAAATTATCATCAATAGAGTCCTCCTTTAACTCGCGCGCAATGCGCCGCAAATGGCTCAACGAGATTGGCCCGTTTGAGCCCCGCGTGAATAACTGGTACGCTGTATCGACTTCTGCAGCGCGGGTATTGTCATCTTGAGAGCGCAGTTTTGCGGCGATGACCGAGACGAAGGGGCTGTAGGGGATGTAGCCGGTGGAGGTTGGGTCGGCGGCGGAGAGGATGTCGGCGAGTTCGGTTGAGTCTGTGGGTGGGATACCGAGGGCTCTGTTGGTTTGGTGGTTAGTTTGTGTTCTGGGGCTGATAGGAGAAGTAGATTGATGCTGGGTCGTGCTTTTGGGGTCCTAGTGGAGGGATGCAGCGTACACCATAGCTTTGCGCACGTCCTCGCGCGGCATGACGCCATCTTTCTCGCCGGGGAAGTCTTCGTTCGCATCGGCGAAGAGTTGGAAGACTTCTTTTATTTCGTTTTCTTCTTCGGCGGTGATGTCGTTCTCCTTTGCGAGCTTGGAGCGTGTGCGTCTGGGGGCTGCGGTGGTGGTCGTGGAGGAGCTAGCTGGAGCTCCGCGCCTCTTGGGCGGCTGTTTGGGGAGATTGTCAGTCGGGGTTCTTGCTGCTTCAATGATATTCAGTGGATTGATATACCATGACTCTAGCCCAGGAGATGTTTGCGCGGCTTGTGATTGGTGTTGGGGCTGGTGAAAGTGTAGGTAGTTTGTCGGGATCGAGATGGAGATCACGGAGGTTGGGGGAGGTGGGAAGGCACACATCGGCCGAGGTTTTATCTAGACAGTGGGATATTGGGTTATGTATGTATATACAACTTCTAATTTCTACTTTGTGAATCTCTAATAGCAAACTGCCTAGAAAATTAGCATCGTTCCTAACTCAGAATGACAAACAATCTAGATAGAGGAGGCGGTTTCTGTGGCTATCTTGTCACGGGTCAATGACGTTGGTCAGAAGAGAGCCCATAGTTGCTATCGCGATAGACAAAATATTCACGCCCGAAGGAAAGACGATTTGAAAATCTTTTGAATATGCATACTACTTGATTTAGAACCGATCACAAGAAATGTCATTCTTCACTACTTCCTTTACTCGTCAAATTCCGTGGTTCCAAGAGGAGAAGTCGGTCGAAGGCCTCCGAAAGGTTCACGGGTCTTGGTGCTGACGTGATCCGCCTGGTGCCTGCACCAGCCTGGCGCATATCAACACGAGGACCGGACCCTTTTTGGATCTCAAATTCGAATACACACCATATCACCATGGATGTTGAGCTCTACGTCTATGACCTGTCTAAGGTACAAAAAAGTCCCTCTCCTCTGACCGGGTGCAGCCTCACTGACTAGTCCACAGGGTCTTGCGCGAGTGGTAAGTGACATTTCACGCGTATCACAAACCAAGCAACAATCAATGAGAAGCCCGTTCTGACATGAAATGGTTCTCAGTACTCTCAACCCTTAACGGGTACTCAAATAGATGCCATCTATCACACCTCGCTAGTCATTAGTGGGGTTGAGTATTACTTTGGTCAAGGCATTCAGACAGCCGCGCCGGGCAGTACTCACCATGGCCAGCCGATGGAAAGGGTCCACATGGGAAAGACGGAGCTCCCCAGCGAAGTCATTGAAGAATATCTTGGCTCCCTGTCTACTATCTATACTCCCGAGGTATGTCACCAGCCGAACCCGCCCAGGTTATAGCTATCCATCTCTGACATGTTGCAGTCCTACGATCTATTCCTTCACAACTGCAATAACTTTACACAGGACTTTGCCATGTTTCTAGTGGGCAAGAGTATCCCAGATCATATCCGGAATTTGCCTCGCACTTTCCTGGAGACGCCCTTTGGTCAAATGATGAAGCCTCAAATCGAGGCCGCTCTGAAAGGTGTGACACAAGGCTCTGGACTGGGTCCCGTCCCTGGACCAAGTGCTCAGCCTGCAGCAGCAAGACCTGCTCGCGCTCCTGCGGCGCCTCCATCAATGGCACCGACCCCGTCGCCACTTGGCATAGTTCGAAATGTCAGTAGCTTGACACAACTGCAGAGCGAATTGAGAGCCGCGTCAAACGCGTTCGCCGTAATCTTCTTTACCTCATCAACATGCCCACCCTGCAAAATTGTCTATCCGACTTATGACCAGCTCGCAGAGGAGGTCGGTGAAAATGGCCGGCTCATTAAGGTTGATGTCGGCTCAGCCTACGACGTGAGCAGGGCATATAACGTGCGCTCCACACCAAGTTTCATATCCTTTTTCAAGGGGAAAAAACAGGATCAATGGGTTGGCGCGAGTCCTGCCCAGCTCAAGGGTAGAGTTCGAATGCTCCTTGAGCAGGCAAATCCAACTCATCCCCATCGGAACCTACGACTACCTAGTCTACAGCGAGAAATCACCAATTTCGTCATGTACAAGAAGGTTCCGCCATTGGAAAAGCTCGTGCAGAAGGTTCCAGCGGCATTCAAAGATGCCCCGAGTGTCGCGCCAGTCATAGAATTTGTCAAGCTCCGTCATGCTACAAGCAATGGCAACACTCCCGCAGCGGATATTCGAGTCCCTGATCTTCACGCTTTCGCTACGACTTTGAAATCAATCTACACCACTCTTCCTAGCGATAGTCACTTTGCAGTAGTCGATCTCATCCGCCTGCTATTCCTCGACCCCCGTGTGAGCGGCTACTTCGCCGAGGAAACCAATCACGCCACCCTCCTCACTCTCCTCGCACCGCTTTCCCAAGAAGACCTATCATCACGCCCATACAACCTTCGCATAGTTGCTCTCCAACTCGCCTGTAATCTGTTCAGTACCCCACTCTACCCAGACCAACTCGCCTCGCCTTCCTCCCTCTTACGTGAAACCTGCCTCCGACTAGCGACAAACTCCCTCCTCGACTCACAATCCAACATCCGCGTGGTCGCCGCTTCATTCGCTTACAACCTTGCTGCATTCAATCACAATGCCCGAATCGACGGACATCCTGATCGTCTCCCAGAAGAGGACCAGGTCGAATTGACTGCATCCTTATTGGAAGCTGTCTCGCGTGAGGATCAAAGCCTCGAAGCTCTACATGGTCTTCTATTTGCTCTGGGCCTGTTCGTTTATGAGGCACCCGTAGATGGTATGTTGATTGATCTTTGCCGTGCGATGGGCGTGAGAGAGACTGTTGCTGGCAAGGCCCAGATTCCGGCTTTGCAGAAGGAACCATTGCTTAAAGAAGTTGGGGAGGAACTGTTCGGCAAGGGGCTTTAGATAATCTTACATACGTGATTCCCGATAATACACTTGACTTTATCCGCTATACCAAATTCATGGGCCTCGAGCACACCGGCTTTGAGAGGTAGAGACTCCATATCCCCGAATGACCCAGTATTGCTATATACCTTCAGGCTCTTTCTTGATCCTTCCACACGTAATATGAGGCATATACTCGGTATGGCATGGCTGTTGGATAGCAGCAGTTGAACTGACGCCGATTAGAAAAGAATAATCAGCCTCGGTATCGTGCAGTGGTTAGTTCGGTACCTCAGACAACGACAGACTTGCCGAGTATCTGAAGTAGAAGCACAACTCAGAGCTCAGTTTACGGGTTTGGCTTGTAGTTGGCCCCTGGTTAACGGCCCCGTCGACGATTCCTGGCCGACACATGGAGATTGTGAATCAAAATATCCGCTCAGGAACTACATGGACTGAAGTACTTACTCTGGATTATTCACTCTCTTGAGCGGTGCCCATCAGCCGCCACAAATTTAGGTATGCGATAGATGGTACTTTTGAGAAATGCAGAGTTCTGATTCTCTCAACCATGGGCCTGGATTTCCCAAATTTCATACAGTTGTTTCCACGCATCTCCTAGTCATATTAAAAGAACTCTATAGCACGTGGAGTAGTTGTGTGTTTGATGTGGTCTGTAATGCCTAGTGGGAAGTGGGCTTCGTCGAGATATCCTCGGAGCCGAGGCCTGTACCGTTTCGATTCGACCAAATTTAGGCCAATATTCTTAATGATCGATAGCATCGATAGCTTAATTTCAATTCTTCAGGTCTTGTTGAATATCAGGAACCATTCGTTTCTAGGGTCCACTGAAACACAATGTTCTCCTGGGAGGGTCTACCCGAAGCCTCAAATTTCGGTCTCCGACTCATTCCAACCATGTGCAAGGCGATATTTCTGAAGTATTTAATGCTCTTCATGCGCCTCTCTCAATCGATATCAGAAGAGCAAAGTTTGCAAAGGGACATATCGTTTCAAATTCTCATGATGTTTTCCCAGGCTTTCCTTCCATTACTACTTGCCCCCTTGATTGTGGCGTCACCCACACAATTGGGCCGCCGGCAATACATCTCCGCCAATGACCTGACCTCGGGGAACTGCAAAGATGTTATGTTTCTGTTTGCTCGAGGGTCGACAGAAGTTGGTAATATGGTAAGAATGCAACTTATCCGAGGAGAGCTATGCTGACTTTTTAGGGCACTGTTGTCGGGCCTGACGTGTGTGATGATTTAGCTCTCCAACTGGGAGGCAATGTGGGCTGTCAAGGTATTGGGGGTGCCTATACAGCCGGCCTGGCAGAGAACCTCCTCCCCCAGAACACAGCGCCTCAAGATATTCAAACTGCAGTGGACATGTTCAATGAGTGCAATACTAAATGCCCCAACGCCAAAATTGTCGCTGGTGGATACAGGTATGTCAATATCGATCTTCTTTATGGACTGGTGTCTAACACCCTTCTAGCCAGGGAAGTGCCGTCATTGATAATGCAATTCAAAAGCTATCTACGGGAGTGAAAGATAAAGTCAAGGCAGTGGTCCTCTTTGGATTCACTCGCAATCTCCAGGATGCTGGTAGAATCCCCGGATACCCGAAGGATCAAACTAAAGTTTATTGTGCAGTAGGCGATTTAGTCTGTGATGGAACTTTGTTTATCACTGCTGCCCATTTGACTTATGGTGCAAATGCCGGTGATGCTGCAAGCTTCCTCGCCTCTCACGTGAAATGATGAGTAGTCGACAATGGAGCTGGCCTGACGATCATGGGATTCTGTTTTACTGAGAAACAACCTTGATGTGCTATTCTCTAATTGGTCTGAGTTTCTGAAGAGCCTGTTAGGAAAGCATGGTGATTGTTTAAAGCCGAATGATCAGGGGCGTCCCAGTATCAGTGGCCTGTAATGTTTCATATTCGCGCGTTCCAATTCTCAATAGATAAATTACAAATATAAAGCTCACACCTCTGGTTGCAATACATTGCTTGAAACTAGTCTACTTCTTTCCCAAAGTTGTTTGAACAGGGGTTCCTAATGGTAGGGTCCATTTGCCATTTCTCCAATGCCAGACATTTCTAAGCGCATCCAAAGAACTCTTCTCTGCAAGCCGAGCCGTCACTAGTCGCGGAAAGGTTCGTTTGACCGAGAAAGAGCCTTTGAGGGATCTGGCAAGCAGTAGATGATTTCGGGCCGACTCTAATAAAGCCAGCACGTTCGACCAACCACTATGATCAATAATCACCATCGCCAAGGATCTGGTCATCGCATTGTCCTTTTAATTTGCCCCGTGAGGTGCGCAAGCTGAAGTACCTCAACAATATATACTCAGACTCCGTGAATTCTCTCGAATCCTTGGACTTTGCAATTATCTTCGATGTATGCTTGGAGTTGTGTTGTTCGCAATCTCGAGACGGAATTGGTTTTGATTGGATATCGCAAGTCCGCTAAACCCAACACAGTAACTTTTGGGAGAAAGTGACAATGAAAGTGGATCCCAAACTCCCTTCTTGCTTAGACTGCCAATCACATAGCAAGATAGAATACCTACCGTTCTCTTCTCATTCTCTAATCCAAGGCATGGAACTATGACGAGAAACTTCACGGTGCTGGGTGGTTACCCCACAATCCCGAAATCCCGACATCGGATGGAGGGACCGACTCTGACTCGTAGGTCCATCACAAATCTCTTTCACATCTTGAAATATATTCGATTCTAATCTTCAACATCTAAGAAGCCTTAAAACTGATCGGACGGCAGCATTTGGACCAACGAAGCAGCTGGTGATCTAAAGTTCAAGCAAGAGGGATGAATTCTCGGCTCTTTGGCCGAGCCTGCACTTCAGAATGGCCCTTGATCATTCAGCCAAAGGCTCTTTTAGACACGCATCCAGTCTCATTGTTCTGGTCGACTTTGGTACTCGCAGTGCTTCTTCTTTTAGCACGGCTTTATCAAGGTTCTAGGTATGGCAAAAGAGCGTCAGTTCTCAGTAAAGTCACAGCCAACGATGCTTTCAGAATTGAACTGATCAGGGACTTTAAATTGAACTCCACCAAGCCGCCTGTCTTTCGGCCGTTCAAGCCGAAGTATCATTTGACAATGGGTACGTTCCAGGACCCAGATGATCTATTCCCAGACAAGCGCTGAGTATTCAATTCCACTAGGGATTGAAACAGTAGACCGCAATGACTTGTTGCTGTTCGACCAGACTTATTCGGAGCGACTCAGTCTTCGAGAATCCCTTCTCCGAGAATATCCCGATGATGTCGTGGGAGTCACGAACGAATCAGACACAAGGATTCGACTTGCGGTGCAAGAGCTGTACAATTACCTTTTTCAAACTTATCTCCCTGTCCGGTATCCGTCTATCTTCAAGATCTATGAGAACAAAGACAGCTCCACTGCTATGTTAGAGAACTTGGTAACACGTCAAACCCTGCCGATGACTATGACAGTTTCAACTCCTCTTCATGGCGCCTTGAGAACAATTGCACAGAATGTCGACGAAGACTTTTTTATTCTTCTACCTCAAAGACAAGAAGATAGCAGTGAAGAAGTTTATGTTCTCGAAGCTTATGCCGCATGCTTCCCATCTGGGTTCCAGCCCAAGGAGAAGATTGGCAAAAAGCTAGCCGAAATCCATGGCCCGGTACCTGGGTACAAGGAAAAGTTGCAGAAAAGTATGGATAGATTCTTTGCTAGGCTTGACCCTGGTCGCTACGTCAAACGCGTCAATTGGAGTCTTACAGTGGACGAGGAGCTTTTTTCAAACTTTGACAAGAGCAAGCCAGCGTTTGAAGGAACATTGAAGAATCTTTCCGTGGAGGACCTAGATCTTGAAAAGGTATGTTGTTACTCTATTTCAAGTCATATGGTATTGTGACTCAAAACTGTCTTACATCCAGACATTTTTGCGCTGCGAGCGCCAAACCCTCCACCGTCTTCCAAATTCCGGGGCTATTATCTTTGCTTTCCACACTTATCTCTACCCAATTCAGGATATCAAAGACGAGGGTAGTGGCGAAGATCTTGCCCAAGCTATAGATGGGCTTGAGAATGGAAGTGTTCGTGAAATGTTCACATACAAAAACGGAGATAAATGGGCCAATGCTGTGAGAGAGTTTCTACGGAGTTAGCACGTTCTTCTTCAGATATGAGGAGGCTTTACTATGTATCTAAGAATTCAACAACATATTACCATACGTTTTCTCATTTTTCTTCTTCTCTTAAGACACAACGCTTAGACCGACTTAAAATGATAGAAGAATATTAGAACAAAAAATAGAGTTCCTGTTGGTACCTTATCATCCCAATTTGATTGGCTGTTGACTGCTCCACCACAATTCCCACGTCCTTTTTGCGGGGTCGGCAAAAGGAGAAATTCGCCTCGCTACAGAGAAAAGACCGACGACCGATCATCCAAATCTCAAACAATCGAGACTGCAAAGCATCGACGCCTCCATTGATGGTATACCCGAGTATAGGGCCATGTCGCAGCATACCCGATTCCAGCCATAGCTCTAGGTCCTCGGACTGAACACAGTCGATAAGATGTTGAACGTTCGCATCTCCTCTTTACCCCCAGATCGGCAGACTGCTGCCAAAGGTAGGCAGGCCTCTTGCGGATTTCCCTTCATCAATGACCTGTCTGACATCTCTAGATTGCCGGCGGTGTATCAAACGGCGCATTAAATGTGATCGCAGCACTCCGCGATGTCGCAAATGTACCATTCGCGAGTTTCAATGCCCTGGATATGATGCGATTCAACTCAAATGGGGCCTTGGTGTCACCAGGATACAGAAACCGTCCGAGAAATCACCAGTCAGCACGCTCGGGGACGTATCTCAGGACGCAGATACATCTGCGAGTGCTGCTCTAGTTCCCCGGACTAGTCTTTCTCCTGGAGGTGATATTGTCTCATGGACCGATCAGATCACTTCTCCAATATCGGTTGAAAGTACACCATCACCTACAATCGACAGATCCCTAGTCGATAGCTATACATCAGCCATTCTATCCCGCAATCTATTCACTCATTTCAACATCAAAGTCGCGCCCCGGTTGACCTGGGTTGATCGACCGGACCATCCATGGCGCAAAGTTATCGCTCCGCTAGCACAGCGCTCGAAATGCCTTGGCCTCTCGATCCTGAGTGTTGCAGCTGCCCATCTATCATTCACATCTTCAAATCCTCTACCTACAACAAATCCCACTCAAAGCATCAACCATCGTCTCCGCGATGCAAGTCTCCACATGCTCAATCAAAAAATCAACACCGAGCTAGCAAACTACCACTCAACATCCGACCATCTCTCTCGAGATTCAACTCTGATCGAGATCCTAGCAACAACACTCGTCCTCTGCTACGGCGAAATGCTTATCCCGCACTCAACAGACTGGAACCTCCATCTTCACGCCTGCCGCGTCCTCATCGAGCGCTACACCTGGCGCAACAGACACAACAAGTCGCCCAACGCTGCAATCGACTTCATAATCCGCGAAGTCGCCGATATCGAAGTCTTCCGCAACATCGGCGCCTTCTCAATCGAACAACCCTTCATAACAGACTCCCTCCACCCACAATCAACACTACTAGACGACTACTTCCACACCTTCACAGGCGTCTTCCGCGAAATCACCGCCGAAGAAAGACGCAGATACACCCTTTCCCAAGAAGCGAACCCCTCCACTGGAAATCAATCACTATCACACTCACACTCACACTCACAATTACCCCTGCCTCCCATCGACATGGCACCCTGGCGAGCCAAGATCGAACTTGCACACGCCCGAGCCTCTGCCGACACAACCCGACTAATCACAACGCACGGCTCCAACACGCAGAAATGGATGGACGCGATCATCCGGGCCGTCTACCACGCTAGTCTGATCTACGCCTACCAGTGCCTCGCCCCGATAACCGAAGCTACCGCGGAAATCGGGACGTCTTTGCCTATTCTCCTGGCGGAAATAGAATTTCTAACTGCCGGGCCGGTGCATAGCTTTTCCCATGATATTTTTGTGCCGCTGTTTATTGCCGGGACGGAGTGTTGGGATGATCCGAGTAGACAGGATGCCGTTGAGAAACGGTTTCGGGAACTATTGGCGGCGATGGGGATTTGGTGTAATTTTACGGCGTTGAGGTTTTTGAAGGCTTTTTGGGGGAGGGGTGCTGGGACGGGGGAGTATCATCGTGTTGGGGGGTGGATTCCTTATGCGAGGGAGAATGAGGGGGATAATGGGCCTTTTCTTGTGTTTTAGATACAGGATTTCCAAGGTGGATGAAGTCTGAAGTGTTCTAGAGCATCATGACTATAGAATAGAGCAACCACCTTCTGAAGAAGGAGAATGCAATTTAACCGGGGTCTATCTATTTACCCTACAACAGCCGACGATGGATCGTGAAGGATCTGACACAGCGCTATACTTATCCTGCATGGCGTATTTCTGATCCACATGCGCGGTACTTTGTTTCGTGCATATGGAAGAACTGCATTATCAGCAAGTATTATCAATAGGATCTCCCGTGGGACTTTTGTCCAGTTCACCGACTCTTCCGGGTGACATGTCGGTACATTCAGCGTTGGGGCGAAGGCGCCAGCAGATGACGGCCGGAGTCGCCGTTGTTGGTAAAAATGAGTATTCCAGTTGATAAATAGATGTATCCCCCCTCCCCCACTACTCTCCCTTGGATTTTCGGGGAGATAATACAATGACGCCCAGTGTCAACGTCAGATAACTCATTATTGCCTTGTTGGTCCATGTCGTATCCATTCTACTTCTAGTTTTAGTAGGAATGGTGTCAGATTGCCAGCGTTGCTCAAGCTCGACGTGGATTAGAAATCCGATCGATACTCAAGGTACTTCTTGACATTTCGAATCTCGAACTCAGATCGCCATACGATCTACTTCATCTGGTTACATCTTGCGATGATTCACATATTATCCCGCCATACTCTCTCTATAGACAATATCATACCTACTACCTAATACCATAACCAACTAACTATCATGTCGCACTCGCACCCCCACGCACACAATCTCCCCCAAATTCCAACCAAACCCCCAAATCTCACCGTTGCATGTCATCTGCAGGGCCAACCGTCAGATGCGAGTCACAGCCCCTCCCTCGTCCCCATCCACAATCCAGAACTGAAGAAATGTAAGGCCCAGTCATCCTCATGCCCGATAGCCGATTACCACGTCGTATCTACACGAGGCGACCGACCGGGGAGGGCAGTGACAGGGCAGGGAAGGCAGGACAGGGCTGAAGGCCCACGTTACGTTAGTGTTAGGCTGCATCGATACCTACACGAGGGAGGTTGTTCCATTTTTATCGCGGGGGCCAGGCCAGGGTGTCGTGTGTTGTTGTGGTGTACGAAGGGGCCAAGGTCAAGGGTACAGTACCTTCATGTGTACAAGGTCTACATTTGCATTTACATTTACATGTTCCTTAATTTGTCATAGCACAAACAAAATGATTCCAGACGAGACGTGTTTCGATTGCTAAAAGCTAACCTAACAACGGGACTAGAAATCCTGACCGACAAAAAGACATCCAAGCGTGCCCAACGCGGAGTATGTATACCCCCGTGTGTCCCTCAGCGGGCCACATCACACCGACACCTCGCGGATCGCGGATCGCGAGGCGCGGGACGAACGGTGCAGGGGGGAGAGGGGGAGGAACACATGAAGGTGAAGAGAGGTGGCGTGTGGCGTGCGCAGGGCTTGGAAAATCCCAGATAGCGCAGTGCGCGGGAGCGGGTAAAATACAAAATGAGGCGCGATATCGGGGGCGGACGAAAATAACTAGGAAGATTTTGGATGTTTGAATAGAAAAGAATTCATGACATGAAGAAATAATAACTAAATTGGATGGGTATCTAAGCTAAAAAATGAAGACATGACAACGCTAAAACAGGGCATACAGGAAATAATAATGGGGGAATCAAAGCGTGAAGCAAAAAGAAGCAGGCTAGATAATCATGAAGAAAAACACCGGGACCGTTTCGGGGATGCAAATAGAGTCAGACGACCAGGGAATAATAATGCGGAAACAAATCATCAGAAATGGGAAAAACAAGATCCAGCGCTGCAACACCATGCGAGAAACTGTCGGAGGGAATCAACGGGAAAGGCGAAAAAGTAAAGGCAAGTTATGAGTCAAAGGGGGCCAACAACCAGCGGTGAAGATGGAGAGGAGCACGAGTGTTGAGTACTCTGTGAGAAGTGGGAGATTTCTGGAAGCGCCGACAGCGTAGAGAAATTATGTAAGCGCGGGGGTGGTGGAGATCCCCGGTGGGTTTTGCGCGATAAGGCCCCTCTGGCGTCATGGGCATTGGGCACTGAGCCACTGGGCACTCCGAAGAGGTAATCTGTTGGCCTTATTGCAGAATGAGAGAGGACCAGCCCGTGAACTGATCGACAACTGCTGACGGATCTCGCAGCTGCCTAGGCCCTGGCATCTGATTCGTCCAGAGCCCGCGGAGCATCACGGGTGATACGATAAAGAAGCTCGGAGCCCGATGGGTCCCACGGGTCTGTCCGTCTCCAGGCTCCGCATAGGAGGGGTAAGAGACGTGGGGGTGATGGTCATAGTGGTGCTGCTGGTTGTTGGCAAATGAAGCGAAGTGAAGGAAAAAAAATAATAATATGGTTGAAGAGAAGAGGCTATCGCGTCCCAGGGAATAGCCAAGAAGCGAAGTCGTAAAGTTCGGAGAAGCGCCCGCGCCGCACCAATATAGTACATCGGTGGGCTCACAATTTAGTGCGTCACGGTTGATACTTTGGCCGATGACGAGTGGGCGCGACGCTTTGGGGTTGGAACGACTCGACGCTTCTTGTTGCGCTTGGTGCTGGAGGAGTTGTCGTGCATGGCCAACTTGGTCTGTCGGATAGCCTGGGTTGCGCGGGCGTGGGCCTCAACCTTGGCCAGGAAGCGCAGGCGATCTTCTTCCTCGGCAACTGCTCGCATGCGTGCTAGCTGTTGCTCCATGGTCATGGAAGAGACCATCTCGTGGGTCTTGGTGGCCTCCTCATCCAGCTCCGGGGGCTCGGCACCGGCGTTCTCGGGCATCCAGAGCAGGTCTTCGTCGGAGAGATAGGCGTTGGTGAAGGTGTCGTGAGTCTCTTCCGTAGATAGAGACGTCCCCTTGGGCCAGGAGGGAAAGGCACAGGCGGCGCCCATACCATATTCACTAGAGAAAGAAGACTTGCGAGGGTGGATGTCGAGGAGAGAGTCGGTGGGCGTAGGAGGAGGAGCTGATGGGTTGGAGAGAGGCGAGCATTCGAAGGAACTGCCACTCCATGAGAAGCTAACTTGTGCTGGATCAGTGCTGGCCAAGGGGGCCACGACACTGGACTTGGCCAGAGCCATGTCGCGTATCCGCGACTGAATAGGGATCATTGTGATGAGTATGGTGAGAGTGTGGTGAGAGTGGAGATGGTGGAAGTATGGTCGAGAAGGTGTAGACTGTTGTTGAAGAAACAGTGGAGCGAGGACAGGATATAAGAAGGTGTGTGGAGGTGAAGAGACGGTGACAGGTAAGAGGGTCAAAGTGGATGAGTCGAGGAGGGTAAATGGAGGAGTGTTTATCAGAGAAAAGATCAAGAGACAAGAGACGGTGTGTAGATCAAAGCCGGGGAAAGGGCTTCTAGACTGCCGCCGTACCCTTGCAGCTCCCGACGGGGAGACACTGAGACACCCAAAAGGGGAAAAAAATAATAGATAAATAGGAAAAATAAAGAGTATTAAGAAATTAAAATAATAATTTCTTAATTTTCTTTTCTCCTTTTTTCTTTTTTTGGGTCAGATCAGACAACCCAAAAGACCCGACAATCAGGCGGAAGCGGCTTCCGTGCAGTGAGGCGGACGATCAATCAATCAACGTGAGCGGATCAACAAATCGGACTGGCCCACCACCGTAAAAAAAGAAAATAAGAATAATCAGAGTCAGAGGAAAATAAGGGCTGCGGAACTGCGATTTATGACAGCCGCCCTTAGAAAAGGTACCCCCAAAGGGAGTTTCGATGTATCGGTTTCGCAGGTTGCGCGATGTCCGCGGGGAAGATCGGATGTGCCTTTAAAGTCTTCCCTTTGACACTCGAGAGATCAGATTCGAAGGAAGAAGAAAAAAATAAGTACCACTTAGTAGTGCACACACACCATCGATTGATGGTAATGATAACAGTATGTCAGTGGCGGGTGAGGAATCTCCGAGGGATTCCCAAGATCATAATAATCATCCAAATCCGATCAATGATAATCGTTGTTTTTCAGGTTTCCGAGGAATGCTGGAGATCCCCAGGAAAATGTGCATCCCTTGCAGTCTCCCAAAGATCTGAGAAAAAGATGTCTGGAGTTTCCCCGAAAGGGCGGGACGAGATGAGGTGCAGCGGGGGATCTGATGATTCTGATCCGATGGGAATAAAAATCAGATTGTCTCTCTTGCGGTGACCAAGAGAGAATGGACCCCAGCCTCAATGCAAATTGTCCAATAGATGGTCAATTATTCAATGAACCACCAGAATTCACCGCTCCGGAAGCACGATGTCGCGGGAAGGGCTGCAATGCAGTGCAGCGAGAGCTCAAGTCTTGGTGATGAGTAAGTATAGTAAGAGTCGGTCGCAAGGTATCGCCCAAACACTCCAACACGGGGATGTATCAGTAGTGCGATAGTAGGAGTAGGATCCCGTTGGTCTTTGACAAAGCAAACACGTCGACACCGTTTCTTTGACAGATAGCGTGGACGGAGTTGACAGACGGGAGATGGTCGAGTCAGGATCAATAGTCCCGAGCAATCTGCAGTAGCGTAGGATAGATAGGTATACACCGTATATTGTGATAATAGAGATGATAGTCAATCACATCAAAAAAATTAACCGGGCGACGCGCGCGACCGAGGGACGAAGCCACTTCTTTTTATGATCCTCATGTCTTCGGACTACACAATCACCTAAAAGCCGAGGGATCTCGAAACTCTCCCCAGTTCCACAAGCTCGGAAATTCAAAATACTACTAAACATGGAGAATCTCCGGAATTCTCCCAGAATTGAACCGTGAACGAGTTCTTCCGGGGTCCATCTCTCCCCGACGACCCCCGTTTCGGGTCGAGTTTTCGGGAGAAGAAGAACCTTCGAACCGCCTGGCCCGTGGATCCTTTTTCATGTGCTTGTGAATGCCCAAAGGATGGGGGGGCCACCTTGAGGATCCACGAACCGGCCTCTGGAACACCTCTAGAGACACACGAGGCACGCTAGTTTACCCATCAGAGAATAGTAAACAAATTATCGAAATAATAATTTCATAACACAACAGAATAGCAGTCACTCTCCTATTCTCTTACCATTCCCGCGCCATAGTAGTCGTCTAGACCATGACGGAAACAAGAAAACGGCCGGGTCCGTCTCCGCAGAGGAAACCGTCAATTCCGTCGAATCCTAATTTGTGGCTTCGCAAGAGATTCTGATTGGGAGAGAAGGGCACAAAGAGAAAAAAGGTTCGAAATAATTGGCATCGTTTCCGCGTCGGGCACTTCCCCGTCTTTTCTTACTTTCTCCACACGGAGCAGCGGAGGGATGAGCGTTGAACCGGACTATAACCGGCGAAATACCCAGTTGCCACTGTCTCAATAATTCGGCTGTTGTGGACTGGCGGACTAGCGGTCGCATCTCATTCTACAGTGACTATCGCGTATAGCACCAGAGGCTTGCTAGGAATGAAAGAAAGACGTCCTTTCTTTGTTGGATATAACATGGACATGAACTAGATTCCAAATCCCTAAACCCATCAACCATCGTCGATCCTGCCATCGCCCTCTTAACTCAGAAATGTGACCGCAAAGGACTAACAATGAAATGAATCCGACCAGACGCCGACAGGAGCACAAAGGAGGACCGGAAGACAGTTAGCATTTAGCATTTGACATTTCGGCGGTAAGCGGTGCTCCTAAACCGCAAATCATAGCCGGAAGTCCGCCTGGCAAATGAATATTTAGAAATACCCGAGGTCGAACGGGTTCGTAACCTTCAAGGTCAGGGATTATGGAAAGAGGTGGAAGAGTTGCGACCGAGGTTTTCGCGCCAATCAAGCTGAAAGATTTGGCCTACTCAATTTACCCGTCCACCGACAAGGCTTCTTCTTTTCTTTGTGTTGGAGTCTAACCACAATGGGTCACTTCCCTTGTCAGACTCTCCGGGCTGGGGGAGTCTAGATTGCAACGGAGTCCGGACCGAGTCCCTTTGAAAGAGGACACCTCGACAGTTGACAGTCGTTCACTGCTGTATCTAACTAACTAGTCAAATCTCATATTTGAATGGTGGATTATTCCTTCCTTGAAACTGTCGCATATCTCAAGAAACACATCAGAAACAAAAACACCATATCCCTTCTCTCCTCGTTCATTCGTACCTTTTTCGCTTTGGTATTTTGGCCCTTTCGACACATCGCCCGGAGACTTGCTGCTCGATGGGGCGCAGATGCGCGCACCGCGCCGACTATTATTCTTCAAGTTAATTATTATTATTACATATTTCTCAGGCTTAGCGTTTTCCGCCAGCGGCACCCGCGCACTTCTTCCCCGGCGCCCCCAAGTGGACCCGTTCCATTCTCGCGGGTACACCATAAACATCCCCTTTCCCTTTTTTAAACATCCCATAACCATCGGACCGGGTCCGGTCGACAGGTCAACTTCCGATAGAGAGATGATCGCTGGGAAATAAATATACTGTACATAATATTTATTGTCAATGTCCAGCACATGCTGGAGTCCCGGGGTCCAGGAAACCCGTCACATTTAAACATTATTTGACATCAGATGCACTCTTCACAACAGCCCCAACTCCATCTTTCGTACATCGCGGCCCGTCGGGGAAACGGGATCATGGGAGGTGCCTTTTTACACCTACGTAAGTTGTAACCACTAACCGGGGAGGTCTGGCCTGGGCCTTGTGTCTGTTAGAGATGGAGAGTTGTCGGGCTTAATGAGGAAATAAAACGGGCTGTCATCCTTCATATCTATTTGACATGTTCCTCGGTACTGTACCTTTGAATTGCAACACAGTTGCGGTTTCTTTAGTACTACTGTTCTTACTCCGAGCTTCCACTTGTCTTGTCTGGTCCAGCTCCCCGGGGGACGGGCCGCGGCTGGCGGTCCATCGATCACCATCGCGTCGTGATCGTGGCCCTTCGGCCCCCCTTTCTTTTCCCAGTGCCTCGGTGTTTCATTAGCCTCTTAGTCTAGTCCCTGTTACCAATTTGCTGGGTGCTTTATGATCGTCTAGGGCGGATAGTCAGGAACATACTGTACGGAGTAGTGTTCCTTTAATTGCGTGCTTATAGATTAATCCGTTCCTGCCTAACTATGGAGAGTCTGATGGAGCAGTTGATGGAGTCTCGGGAAGTGGACGGATGGGCAGTGAGGGAAATGGAGTGGCTGAAGGATTAATGAGGGCTCCGAACGAGGCAGGTCGCTCTTTCGGCTTCATGGGGAGTAAGTAATTTCCACTTCTACGACGACCGACCGGAGGAGTCCGAAGTGGAGGAGATATCCGAGTAGGGAGTGTCTCTGTGCACATCTCACGTACTTTTGATGCTGTTCTCCGAGTTGTGTTCAGTGCAAACATCAGATCGGTAGACTCTATTAACCGAAATGCATCCCCGATAGAAAGTACAGTAAAAATGTACATGTAGCAGATGGATATATACCCTAGCTCTCAATTAGAATTCGATAGACAAATCAAAGTCCTGAGGCTTGACCTCACAACCTTGAATACTTGAGCCCATATGGCGGTCCTTTGGCCCTCCCGCCCGCTTGGTCCCATCAACCTTCCCCGGGGCCTCCCTGCAGCTGCGTCTCATATGCAAGATCTCTAAATCAGATCGGGATAAGCAAGGACGCATTTTGACCGGCGTCTTCTAACCCGACTAGTTGGTAGGACTACTGTTTATTCAAGAGACAGGCAGGGTTTGTACTTTCGAAGCAATCATCACATGCAGCAAGCTCCTTTCTATCCAGCCTTTACAAGGCCTGGATAAAGTAGAGCCTCGATATGTAGCTACAGGCCTACAGTAGATAGTGTACACGGCCACTGGCAGCATCCCGACTGCCCGCGCGCCTCTCCGTCACTGCCACCCGATAGCTCGCAGCCACACGTCTATAAGTCTGGACTTGCATTTGCCACAGCTGCAAGGTTCTAGATCGAGCACCGCTCTTTCAAGAGGGGAAGCAGCTTCAACAAGTCTTCCGTACTTCTTGCATTCTCATATTCCAAATCACTAGCTCTGAAGCTCCCTTGTGTAGCATTAAAAAATAAATATGGAGCTTTGATCCCTCCGCTCTTTGCAGAAGCCAAATCAAAGGCCGAACCATGGAAACCAGCTTCACACCCCGTGGGGGAAGAGGGGCCCAGATCCTCTGATCGTCTCCACTCCACTCCGGAGAATGTGACACGGCCAGCCGCACAGTCACTACAAAAAGCGCTCTGTCCCCGATGCAGTACATGTAGTACACTTAATGTACACCACAAAGGTCCTGAAGAAAGTCCAAAGCAGAACGAAAGTGCAGTATGAGTAACCTTAAGCCCGTCCGGAACTGCATCCGCGGTCCGCACGGGGCGTCGTTGTGACGGTCGCGTCTCTCCCTCACCGCGAATCCCCGGACGTGTCGCGGGGAGAGATGATTTGAAATTCTCGATGTGGATTTGATCATTGATGATGGTGGCCACGCTGAGGATGGCTGGATCGAGAAGCATGCCATCTGTCCAGGAATCATACATAACACGGGGTAGTCGCCACCCCTGACTCATACTAGGGAGAAGGAAGGGGAGCGTAGGGGCAAGGTATGAATGCTTATAGGCTGGATGACACTGTAGCAGTCTGACCTCTGACCTCAGACCTCCTGTCTTTCAGCACGTCTGGTCAATGATGCTTGGTCTTGTACAATGTACTCATTCGGTAGGCTCATCTCAGATTTACGATTGGATCGGGCTAGGCCCTTGATCACTTTGACCACTGCGTCTATCCCGCGCCTCTTTATCTATGTAGTTCATTCGTTTATCATCAGAGTCAGTCTCGTATATCACGAGCGACCGTAGACTTTGTTATATTATTAGCTTAGTAGGTCTGACACTTATTATCTGCAACATCAAATCGTCTTTCGAGTTGTTCTATCGCTCTCAAACGTTTGCGACCAAGGAATGTGGCGAGCCACTATGACCTCGCATTCAGCCCAACAAACAAAGCAAGCAACCCAACCAGCGACCAGCCCATGCCTAGTCAACGCCCAAAGTCGGTATCCTTTCATCTATCCCCTAATTCAAGCTAGTCTGGGCCTACATGGTCATCTCTCAATTATGGTCGCTGTCGAGTAACCATCACATCCCAACATAGCAACTAGCACCCGTTTCTCGAACGCTTCGGCGCAGCCAAATGCATTCGGCATGTACAGACCCGCTATCAGCCGTGAGCCTGGTTGCTGTTGATAATAGAGCGGACGATGCATCTTCGGTGGGCTTCTTTGATCCTTCCTTCTTGGTGGTTTGTTTGATCTCTTTATTTGCTACAGACACTTCGACTCCGACTTTTCTTTCCTCTTCACATACTCAATAGGCCTTGCGGCCTAATGCATCTAGCCAAGGTAGCCATGGTCCCGCAACCGCATCTGCATGTGCGTCCGTATCTACATACATGTACATTATGTACAATATCCAGTCTTTGGCAAACTGTAATCTGCAAATTAGGCGCTGTGGAAGTCAGTGCCATTAAATTGATTGGTTGGGAACGAGCGGTGGAAGGACCTATAGGTGTCAGGCATTGGAATTTGGACTGGGGACTGGGGTGATGGGTGTACAGGGTCAGCAATTTCCGATTGCACGGTAAGAGACTAGGCGGCGACGTTGAAGACAGGGATAAGCTTTTTGTCAGTTGAACGGTGAGCAAGATCTAAATTATTGGCTATGTGGTGGTTGTCACCGCTTGCTTGTTGGGTAGAGAGAAACTGGCGGTGAATTTCGATTTCCCCAACGTTGGCCTTGATTATCGGAGGGGGTCGTTTGACTCGAGAAGCAAACAGGTTTGGTCGATTCAACCTCAGTGCTTGTAAAAAGATACCAAACTGAATGCTTATCCAGTCTTCTCTCTAGTTATACCTTCGTACCTAACTTGGTGAAAATATCTGCAGAGTGACGGCCGGATATATATGCTTACTAACTTTGCTTGCTATACTTCAATAATGGGGCACACATAGTACAGTATAGGGGAAAAAAGGAGCTTGTAGATGCCTTCATTTCTAAAATACCTTCCTTCCGAGGGCTGGGCAGCAATACCTATACCACCTGATGCTTGGATCCATGTCCGATACGCCTCTAGGTTTAAGGCGTTCCTTCAGGCCCATTCACTGAAGCGTTCTATTCGCTTTCTATATATGTCAGCCTAGCCAGGTCGTATCACAAAGACCAATCTTTCAAGTCGTAGTTATAGAGTGGAACAAGGGTTAGTTGAATATATTGGCGTTTCATACCAAATGAGTCTACATTAAGGCAACCTGGGGTCATACCTACCTCTACAGCACCTACTTTTCGCACCGATATATTCAAGCATTTCCCATTTCAAATCTCTTTGGTGGCTTGACTTCCAAGGTTGTGTTGCTTCTTATTTAGATATCTTTCTTTCTGTAGGATCTTAGTCTCATGAAAGTCATCTCCCCATTTCTCGATCATCAGACATGTACCATGGAAACCTGCAGCAGCAATGCCTCAATTCCTGTTACCCGGAGTCCCGATTCAGTCCCATTATACGATGTGGAGATCTAACAGGAAGGTAGGATTTCAGCCGCCCACTATGTTACGTCTGCCTGGATAAGCTTGATCACCCACAGGAACTGTTCCGTTCGTTCCCCACACATTCCAGTGTCTTTAATTGGACATATAGACTCTCAAATTAGCCTTTCTGCACGTCGATCATCCGCGATGAACTATATACAGCCCTAGAATACGAACAACACGGACGCTGACGACGCAATCGATAATGCCTCGACCTTCACAACATTGCCAGAGTACACTGCGAGATGAAGTATAAAAGACGACGCCATTCACAATCCAAAGAGCCATCTCCCTCCCAAACAAAGCTCAATCAATTCTGACAATTTCTGACAATCTTCATTCAAAACCACTTCCTCTTTCCTTGAGACTTCTCAGAATCTTCAAAATGAAGGTCAGCAGTGCTACTATGGCTACCCTCATCACCCTCCTCCCCATGACAAACGCCTGAATTTTCCAAACCTGCGCCGGCCAGGCCGATAGTACCGAGAATCGTGGCTGTAGCCAGGCAGCCTGTGGCACGGGCACAACCATCGACGGGAGTAACCCGACTTGGATCAAATACTGCGTGCTTCGCCTCTACAAGAACAGCGATTGCACTGGCCAGATTGGCATTGCGACGGAGGATTTGAAGCATACTCTTGCTCAGCTTATGGCGGCTTGGGATGTTCAGGGCTGTTGAATGGAGGGATTAGCCTGTCTGTCGAGGGTTTTGTTGCTTTTGTGGATGTTTTGGTGACTGATGGGCTTTTCTATTTTGTTATAACTGATTTTCCACACTGTCGTTACATATCTGCAAGAATATGAAGACTGGAATACTTGATGCTGAAAACCCCTAATATGATGCCTACACTCTAACCAGAGTTATATTTTTTTCAGACTTAAAATGCCAAAGAGAAACAATTCTGGCATGGGTGACTTCGAATATTGCTCTGTAGATCTGAGAAGCGTATCCAGTTTCGGTTTTCCCAAGGGTTTAGAACACCCATGGGAATCAGCTGGAATATATCTCATATTATCCAATAAGGACAAACAAAAATCTATCCATCTGCCATCCGTGGCAAAGAAAAAGGCAAATCACATCAAATCTCCCATTCCATCAGCACTATCATTTGTTAGTAGAAAAGGAATTGTTGGAGTAACGTCCAGAAGGGACTAGCCTGGGTTTATACTTGAGCTGGCCGCGTAGACTTGAAACCAACTTAGCTCTACTTGGTAAGTACGCTCACTAGTGACTCCTTATCTCAGTAAGCGTTGCATCCAGCATCGGCAAAGATGGTGTGGCACGGCTTAGCTTGCGGGAGCTGATAACGATACCATCTATCTTATCACTCTTGGAGCCACCAATCTAGAATCGATGCCTTCCAACTGTCGAAGGCCCTGCATTTTTTGTGCCTCAACGCTGGCATCAACAATTGTCGCCAGTCACAAAGTCACAAAACATTTCTGAATCTTCTAAAACCCGTGATGAAGATTCTTTCAATTTCTCATGTGAACCAAAAGCGGGGTCAGACCGTCCTATCTTGAACTAAGCCTGCCGACTCCACTTTTCGAAAGATCAACTGGCTTGTCGTCGGCTTAGCCTTATCTATACACTTCCCCGCGTTCATTGCGCTATTCTACGTCGGTTTGTCATGGCGAAGAGAAGACTAGTTAAAAGAGAAGGGCCCGCGCGTGGTCGCGACCTGGGATTTCCAAGTCTCGCGTCCCTGGCCTAGAAAGTGGTTGAATCTTGTCCATTCATCCAACATGGAGAAGCACGAGGCTGAGACTGCTAAGTCTACCTTTGAGAAGACTGATGAGGAGGTGGATGTTGGCATCGGAAATACCGAATTAGAGGCGGAGGTTACCGAGGATAAGAATGAGGAGTACAGCTATGAATCAGAACGGTCCCCATTCCCTGAAGGTGTGTGAGAGCAACCATGATGTTGCTTGAAACAATCCATATATGCCACAGACTGACAATTCCCAGTCAGGGCTGTTGTCCCCGAGACCGATGATCCCACCATGCCTGTCAATACTGTGCGCATGTGGGTGTTGGGGATTGTATTCACCATCCTGGGCTCCGGCATTAACCAGTTTTTCTCTCTACGATATCCATCGGTACATATTGTCGCATTAGTCGCGGAATTACTCGCATATCCACTCGGGGTGTTTCTTGCAAAGACACTCCCACTTTCAACCATTAGTCTCGGGCGTCTAGGCTCCTTCACAATTAACCCAGATCGCCAATTCAACATCAAAGAGCATGCGCTCATCGTGATCATGAGCAATGTCTCCTTCGGTTATGCTACTGCCGATGCTACCAACATCATCCAAGCTGCGAGCAAGTCTTTCTACAACTTCCACCTGAAGCCTGGCTTCTACGTGATGATCGTGTTGTGTGCTCAGCTCCTGGGTTTCGGCGTGGCCGGGCTCTCGGCACCTTGGTTAGTTGAGCCAGCGCGGATTATCTGGCCAGGTGTGTTATCCAACTGTGCTATGCTGGAGACGCTTCATTCTCGAGCTAACTCAATCGCCGATGGTTGGCGAATCTCTCGTCTGCGCTTCTTTTTATATGTGATGGGAGGCGCATTTGTCTGGTACTGGTTCCCGGGTCTGATTTTCACCGCGCTCTCATATTTCACTTGGGTCTGCTGGATTGCACCGAAGAATATCGTGGTGAATCAACTGTTCGGCATGCAAACAGGACTCGGTCTAAGTCCAATTACCTTTGACTGGAGCCAGATTGCGTATAACACGAACCCGCTGTTATCGCCATCATGGGCAGCAATCAACGTCTTCTTCGGTTTCGCATTCTTCTTCTGGATCATCACTCCAATTCTCTATTACACGAATACATGGTTCACGGCTTATCTTCCCATGATGACGAGCGATCTATACGACAACACCGGCGCCGTCTATGACACGATTCGAGTCGTGGGAGCAGACAATACTCTCGACGTTGCAGCATACCGCAAATACTCACCCCCATATCTGGGCGCCACCTTTGCTTTCGTTTACGGCCTTTCATTCGCTTCCATCGCCTCTGTCCTCTCTCATATTGGCATCTGGCATGCTCGTGACCTGTGGGCCGCCATGAAAGGTCGTAACAGGCTCGACATCCACGCTCGTCTGATCCGTGCCTCGTACCGCAAGACACCCTGGTATTGGTATGCCAGCATCATCGTGATCATCATGGCAATGGCTATTGCCATGGTAGAGGTCTACGATACCAAGCTCCCCGTGTACGGAGTATTTCTGGCTTTGATCATCCCCTTTTTGTACATGGTTCCTTGCGGTATCGTCCAGGGCATTACGAATGTGGACGCGAATCAACTTAACGTGCTTTCTGAGTTCATCGGCGGATACATGTTCGAAGGTAAACCGCTGGCAAACATGATCTTCAAGATTTTGTCGACGGATGTGGTCGGCCAGGGCGTTTATTTCGCCATGGACATGAAACTCGCCCATTACCTCAAAGTACCCCCACGGACTACCTTTGTCGCACAGGGGGTTGCCACAATCCTGGGTGCACTGACGCAGGCAGGCGTGACTCTGTGGATGCTGGGCAATATCGATGGTATTTGCGAGTCGGATCAAGCAGATGGCTTTTCTTGTCCCAATGGCCGAACTGTATACTCATCGTCCGTGATTTGGGGTCTGGTTGGACCACGCAGACTCTACTCGGCTGGCGAGATATACTCACCTCTGCTACACTTCTTCTGGATCGGTGCTATTGCCCCAGTCGTGACATGGGCCTTGTATCGGTATACCAGGAAGCGCTTCTGGAAGTTGATCAATTGGCCTCTGATCTTTGTGGGCACATACAACGTCCCTCCCGGTACATGCTTATCCCCAACAACTATTTCCTTCATCCATTACTGACTATTCTCTGTCTAGCAACTGGTATCAACTATTCCAGCTGGGCGTTGGTCAACTTTGTTTTCAATCACATCCTGAAACGCCGCTTCTTCGCTTGGTGGACCAAGTACAATTATGTCCTAGCTGCTGCACTAGACACGGGTCTCGCGCTTAGTGGCATCGTCATTTTCTTCTGCATCTCGTATCCTGGGGCATCTTTCCCGGACTGGTGGGGGAACACGGTTTACTTGAACACTGCAGATGGTCAGGGTCTCGCATATAAAGCTATGCCGGAGGCAGGATTCTTTGGACCTGCTAATGGAACGTGGACCTAATGTTGGTTACATAGTTGTGGAACTTGGGGATGTAAAGTCCAAAGTGGAATCGGATCCATCAGTGTAGATAGGAGACATGGTCCCCCGGTACTACATCTCAGTGTGACTAGTAACGAATGCAAATTTCACTATTCAATTCTGAAAGTATATATTCATGTTGCGTAAGTAATTACCATGACATGGTTTAAAAGCCGCAAGTACAAAACGGATATCATCACTCGTAAACCCATGCTCCAGAAAATCCACCCTGAAAATGCTAAACAAGGACCGAATCCTAGAAACAAGACGAACCATACAAATAATCCACTCCTTACAGCTCCTCAAACGCAATGTTAGGGTGCAGCACGTAGAGGACCTTGTCGCCCTCACCATCCTGCTGGGTCGAAGCCTCATCTTCCAGGCTCGACGTGATGCGCAGGAGCATACCCTCACGAACCATGCGCTTAATAACCTTGGTGCAAAGGTCGCGTTCGCGAGACAAATCCTCCTGGGTATCCAGCTCGGCCTCGATTTGCTCCAGGTACCAGATGATGAGGTCCTCCTGCTCGACACCCTCGCCCTGGTTGACCTCATCCTCTCTGATGCGCTGGACAACGAAGTTGAGAATCTTCGCGTACTTCTCGTAAGTGATCTTGGTCTTTTGGCGCTCGGGCTTCTCAACAGGTGGTGCCTCCTCGCCCTCATCACGCATGGGGCTATCGCCCTCCCGGTCGCGATCAGCCATCTCCTCGTCCTCGTCAGCATTGCGGCGGGCAGAAGAAACAACATCGTCGTCAAACTCAACATCGTCCTTCTCGACAGTCACAATACTCTGCTTCAGAAGATCGTAGGCCTCGTTGACAAACTTGGGAGTGACTTCCTCCACGCAGTTCACCTTGGCCACGGCCTCAGACAGACGGATCAGAGACTCCAGCTGACGAACGGTGATACGGTATGAGCTGCGGCCAATGCCACCCTGGGCATCGTTCGCACGAAGCTCCTTGTATCGCTGAACAAGCAGCGACTTCGCCTCCTCGGTGAAGGTGGGCTTGAAAGTCCGCGCGAATTGGATGTAGCGCTGGAGTTGTTCAGTGCTGAGCTCTGGCTGGACGGCCTCGTCACGGTTCATGTGCACGTTAATAATGTGGTCGGCCAGCTTGCGGTCAACAGCCTCCTTGGGGTCATCGCGGATGATGAAGAACACATCGAATCGACTCATAATGGGTGCGCTGAAGTTCAGGTTCTGTCGCAGCGTCAACCTGGGGTTGTAGCGACCGCCAATGGGGTTGGCTGCAGCGAGAATGGAGGCGCGGGCATTAAGAGTGGTGTGAATGCCGGCCTTGGCGATAGAGATGGTTTGTTGTTCCATGGCTTCGTGGATGGCAACTTGGTCTGCAATGTCCATCTTATCGAACTCGTCAATGGCACAGATACCACCGCCGTTCTAGAGAGGCTGTTAGTGAGAAGTTCAGAGGAGTAAGGATAAAATACGCACAGCAAGCATTAGCGCACCGGCCTCAATGGTGAACTCGCCCGTCTCGGCATCCTTGACCACCGAGGCAGTCAAACCGGCAGCAGACGAAGCCTTACCACTGGTGTAGACTGCACGGGGATGCAAAGAGCAAATGTACCTGGAAAGGGGAAGCGTTAGCAACTCGGACCCGAGATATGCAAAATACACGGATTTACTCACTTCAAGAATTGACTCTTACTGGTGGATGGATCACCAACGATACACAAGTTGATATCACCACGCAGCTGCAAGCTTTCCTGCTGGGTTTTTTTGCCAACACCACCAACCAATTGCAACAATAGCCCCTTCTTAACCTGGCGATGACCCCAGATCATAGGAGCAATCGAGTCCACCAATCGTCCGTAGATGTACTCCGAGTGCACCAGTCTCTTCAGGTCTTCGACCTCGGTTGCGGTCAAGCTGTTCAAGAACGCCTCTTGGGCCTTCTCGTCGTTCATATCCGGGTCCAGATTCTGGTTCAAAGATGCCAGGATGTTATTTGCCTGTCCGCTGAGCTGCTGCTCGGGCTTCTGGCCGGGTGTCGTGGTATCGGGGGTGACCATGCAGGACAGGAAAGCCAGACGGTAAGTCAGATCACGAACACCGAGCGCCTTCAGACCGGAGACGCCGCCACCACCAACTTCGCTACCGCGGAAAGAATTATTATCCCGAACGGCTTCAGGGCGCACACCAGGCAGGCCCAGTTGGCTGACATCAGGAACGACAATCAAAGTACCGGTGAAAATGCAGCGCTCGCCAGCCTTGGCACGGTCCACCATCTCACCACGCAGGATGATATCCATCGTACGGGGCATGCTACCGGTAGGAATCTCATGGGAAGATTCCTGTAGCTTGACCTTCTGCCAGTCGACAAAGGTGCTCTTGCCGATATCCAGGCGCCAGCCAAAGCGGTTACCACAGACTGCGTTGGGGCATTCGGTGGGCTCCGTGTACTTGAAAGTCTGCTCAACATTGGGCACGACTGTTCTGCAGCCCTCACAGATGAATGTTCCTAGCGACAGCTCGGGTCGGATTTCGGAGGTTCGTGTGACGGTTCCAGAAACGGAAAGCAGCCGACCGATCTGCTTAGTACGCAGCTGGCGGAGTCGAGATACCAGCGGCAGGTTATAGAAAGCGAGCGCGAAAAGCTTGTCCGTCTGTTGATGGCGGGTCTTTTCACGGATCTGACGTTCCAAGTCTGGGTTGTCGTTTACACTGGCATAAGCGGACGCGACCGAGGTACTGGGTTGGGAGGAAGCGCTGGAGGCGAGTCTGTGCGAAACAAAGTATTCTGGCTCGTACTTGGCGACCAGGTTGTGGAGACCCTTGGTGAGGAAAGGGAGGAATCGATAGTACTGCTCGGCGATAGCATCGGCCAGAATCGGGTTGTGCCACTTGGCCAAGTGGTTGAAATCCACGTAGAGTGTGGACAGCTCGAATTTCTTCAAGCCCTTGATTTGGGCAATGTAGTACTTGTCACTCAGCATCTCACCCGACGAGGGTGGTGCTGATGAAGAGGGGTCCATGATAAATGTCTCCAGCAGCTCCTCAAACTCGGCTCGTACTCTTTCTCCAGCCTCATCCACCACGGGGGCAGGACCTGGGGCGTAGGGATTCCGTAGCCGATTGACAGCAGATGTACTGGCCCCGACGACTCGATCATCGGGGAAGGCATTCATATCACTCATAGGACCATTGCTCTCGGAACGTCGAGAACTCGGGAGGTTGTCGGAACGAATGTTGTCACGGGCGCCAGATCCTGAGCCTCCCAGCTCAGACTGGAGAACGGCATCGACAAGACTAGACATCGTATGGAGAGCTTCAGGCCTAAAGGTTGGCCGTAACAGAAGAAATGAGCTCTCAAGAATACCAGAAGGGAGGGGGTGGTTGATCGAGATTGATGATCGGACGGAGATAACAATGCCCACACACAGGGGCTCTTTTTTTGCAGAGGACGCGAACGCGAGACGCGTCTTCGGAAGAATAGATTATCCGATCAGGGACGCGTTAAGTGGTTTTCCCCCTGAGTCAGCAAGATCCAATTCACCGGGATTTCGAAGATTCCAGACTAGTCCCAATCAGGCATGAGTAGATTACATCATCATGACTTGGCCACGGCAGCCACTTACGCTAAACCGATTCGGGGCATTAGTCTCCCCTTCCGTTGCAGGTGACTCGCAGGTTCTCTTGCAGTGGCTCCCTGTGGCTCCTGTCGAATGTGGCCAAAGGTCCAACAGGTGGCCAAAGACGGTCAAAGGTTCTGCGCTCAGCCTGTCCTAAAGTTCCAAGGTCCAAGGTTGGGTCTCCTTCCATTCTCCGAGTGAACGCCGACCATCACTAGCCGGCAGTCCCAGCAGGGCAGGTCGTTTAGGGTATCCCCCCTTCTACGACTTCCAGCCAGTCATACTCTCGGGATGACTCTCTCATTGACCCCCCTTCTCCCTCGCCCTCACCCTTGTGCCTTGGTGAAAAAAAAAAAACAATGGTCGCACTACTGTAAAGCCCGAGATGGGGCGCTCCACTTTCCTCCGCGGTTTAACCAGTTTCACCAGGCCTGCAACCAGTTTGGGTAATACCTAAAGAACCCAGGTGCGCCTCGTGTTCTCCGTGGACGAACTCTACACATCAACTCTCCTGAATGCCACTATTGCCCCTTCAGCGCTGCAGGGACTGAGCTGGTCTCCGGGAAAGCATTTTCTTTTTCCAGTTCGATCTCTCCGAGCCTTCGGACAGGCGGATGAGAGGCGAATACGATCAATCTTATGATCAGCTGTTTCACCTTGCATTGCGGTTGAGTATAATTGTCATCTGCCTAATCTAACGTCACCCTCCCCTCCTATCACCCTTCCTGGGGCACCAGCAAATCATTCCCGGCCCCCTCGCCCTATCTGACTGGTCGCCCGCATCAGAGGCCTGAGATGGTTCTGTCCAAATCCCGATACACAGGCTGGAGGAATTTTGGTGATTGCCGGTGCGGTATGCAGCTGTAGCCGGTCGTGAATTGCGTCGAGACCACCACTGCCTTCTCTTCCGCAGTCATGTCGAGCAACGGACAACGGCCGGTGGATTCGGCGCAGGTCCCTTCAACCATTGGGTCTTCGGCGTCGTCAAGACCGGATGTTCCGGGTACGTGATAGCTTCCCCCCTCCACATCAGACCCTTGAGACAATTTACCCTTTTTGGTCATGGCGGCTTATATCTCATTCATTTCACAGAGCCCTCAGGCAGTAACGAGCCAAATGCGAAGTCGAGACGACGCCGGCGCGGCGCAGACCCGGAATCTCAACCTAAGAACCAGTCATTCTATTTTGTCGATTCAACCTCATCCTCGAAGGAGAAACGGGCACATGTGATGAGACACCATGTCCAGGAGAAAAGGAAGCACCGGAAACTTTCACATGGAAGCTTGCAACGAGAACAAATGCCAGAACCAACTGTCTGGCCAGTCAGGACTGATTCAGGATATGATACGGACACTCCCAAGGAGGCGGCCTTGGCTGGTGTGCCAGGGTCTGCTGTCGAGCAGGAATCATCGGTATGGCGTTTCTCGCTCCTCATACTCGTATGGCTCTATTCAGAGCAAGCAATCACGGGACTAAGGAAGCATTATGCTGACACGGCGAATTCCTCAAGCTCCAGATCCGGTTTTCAAATGTGAAGCCCTATGCCCAAGAAACAGTACCGTTACAAATGGAGTCACCCATGACGATGCTCGATGCATCCCGAAGAGATCCCTTCTCCAGTCTCCCGATAGCTCAAAACCCTGAAGATATGGAATTGGTGGATTATTGGACGACCAAATTGACCTACTGGTCTGGTCAGAATCCTTATGTGAAAAACCAGATCTTCCGGATGGCCATGGAACATCCCTTTTCGTTCCAAGCCGTGATCCTTGTTTACTGTGCAAGATGGAAAGCACAGCTGTATGGGCAGAAAGAGTCCAAGATAGTCCAGCGCCATGTCGGACAGGCCAGAAAGAACATCGAAGACGCTATGGCGGGCTCGTTACAAGTGCACGACGACCAATTAGCCATGGCCCTGGCAGGCATGGCCCTGTCGGAGGAGCGATTCGGAAGCAGTCAAGATGCACACGCATTCATGGAACATGCCGTCCAAATCATGCGCCGACGCCAGGCCTCCAACCCTGCCGTTATAGTCTTTGTCCAATACGTGCGGTACATTCTACCTGCACAAAGTCCTACTTTAACACCCGCCAACCAACGCTGGCTGGTGACGTTCCTCCAGGGAGCGCAAGACCTGATGCACAGGCACAGCGCTCCCGAATTTCAACCCCAATCATCCCAACGACGCACCGCGTTCCAAATGGAAAGCCCCCTCTTCTCCCTTCTCTCCAGCGGACCCCGGCCCTCTCAGGTACCACAGGCATCACGAATGTACGTGGTCCGAGACGCGCAGACCCAGGAGGTCAGCCGGTCGGCCTCGCTTATCTACATCACCGCCGCACTTTGGGACTTTAAAGACTCGATTAGCCAGACTCATCGATTTCTTGCTTACTTGACCGCGCTGGTCGAACAGCACCAGCTTGATCGACACCCTGCCTGTGAGACCCTACTGTGGCTGTTGCTGGAGCAAACGTGCGATGCAGATTTGCGGGACTCTGAACGGCCATGGTCGACAGGTGAGCTGCTTCGAGCACACGGGCAGCTGCGGCCGGAAATGCAGTTTCATTTCAATGAGCTTTTGATGACCTTTTTGTCGCTTCAACCGCCTATTCGAGGCATTAGCGTGTTTGAGGCTGATCTTCAATCTAGTCTTGATGGTAGCAGTACCTTGCACCAATGAATTTTTTTTAATTTGTTCTTACTATGAACTTCAACAGATTTGATTTTTGTCTTTCGTGATTTAGGTAGGGATCAAGATTTTTCAATCAACCTAGTCATGTACCACAATCACCTTAGGTGTTACCTACCTAGAAATACCTAACTCCCTTATATAGGCGATCACTCGTCCCCCATCTTGGCGGGTATGGACGTCAGCTCCATCGGCAATTAGATACAAGACTATCACCTGGCTCACACATGGACCGTTCGCACAGAGAACATTAACCGGTAACATCAGCGCTTTCTCCGAGTCTTTATTGTGTTTGTAATCTTGTTCAAAGGCATACGACTCGGACACTAAGCAGCCACTTCTCAAGAGCCAGTGAATAAACCCTCGATACGGTCTCGTCGCTCGCACCCTTTGTCTGTCTAGCAACAAGAAAACTGTCTCCAACATTAACCTCTTCTATACAACCGCCCACTTCATCCAGCGCCTCGGCCGCGCATCAAATAGGCGTCCTCGTCCTATCCTCAAAACTTCGATCGTGCAAAGTCCCTAGTAGTAGCTCGTGATTCATCAACTATGTCACTAGATCTAGATCCGCAGTAGAGCAAGCCCCATGGGCGAGAGAGACGTAGAAGCGCTTGAGATATTTCTCCCACGGCTCGGTGAGCGACGACGTATCCGAAAGATAAATCTGGATCAGTGCTCGTGGTACATCCACATAGCTGCCCTCCGCAGGACTGGAAGGGTTTGATCAAAAATATCCATGTCATTATGCTAACAGAAGAGGAAGAGTATATATAGATCCTAGAAACATCGGCCTTATGTGGTCACACCAACAGTAAAAGCGAGCAAAGTACGGGAGGGTTAGATAGAAAATAAAGTGTCCGAGATAGATGGAATCCATACGTTGACATTGCTAGGTCCAAACTAGCCCTAGAAATTAACAGGTACCTATAGTTGTATGGAAAAAAGCACAAATGTAGGTTAGCAATGACGGAGTAGGTATACATTTTCAGCCTGTGATATATTCGAACATCCGCGTATCTACCCAGCCGACCCGCTCATAGGAGCGGTCTGACGACGACAAGCTATCATTGTCTTCTGAATACTACCAAGTACAGTAATTAGCTAGTCGAAATTTCCTGTAGTCCAATACGACAGCTCACACTACTATCAACTCCGTCGACGCGAACGGTATCCGTCGCATCAGGCACGAGGTACCTCGAAAGTGCCGGCAACGTGACACGGGCTTGGCAGGGCCCGAGAACCTGGACACAGCGAGTGTAAGCGTCATCGAGGGCGGAGACGATCCATCAAACCTGTCTGAGCTCAGGAGCTGCAAGATAGCGTGAGCCTTGGTAGTAAGGTTAAGAAAAACTGATATCAGATAGGAGTACGTGTATAAGAAAAAAGTCCTACCCGTGATATATCCACTGTCAGCCCTAGTGGTGAGGAAATCTCGGTCGCAAGAACTCCTGGTGGAGCCCGGAGTAGACGAGGGTGATGTTTTCCGAAGTCACTCTTCATTGGGGGTTGTACGGTCGGGTACCTTAAGGTACCTGTCAAGGTAACTGAATGTGTGTACTCGCTGTACTGTAGGAGATAGAATCCGGAAGTTGGGTTCTTGCTGGCCGCTCAGAGCTCGCTACACTGCTCTGATGAGCGATCAGCCGTGAATCATGAACTATTACTGTATGAATTACAAACCATTGAAGCATCCATGGAAAGGAAAGGCGAGGAGATGAGATCCCATTCATTGGACGAAATTAGAAAAAAAGATCGCCGATCTCCGTGAGCTGAATTAGCCTGACGACAGGACTGCGTCGGCTGGTCCGTGGGCAGACTGTCACTTCATTCCTGTGCCATCAAACTCGATCAACAAAATGCCACTACTTGATTAGCTGCAGGCGCACGGAAAATGTTGTACAGAAAACAAACAACTATGCATCAAGTAGTAATACTCCGTACTCCATATTTCTCCATGGCAGGTCAACGCGAGAGAAGAAAGGAATCAAAATTTGTTATCGCCCGACCGGACGATATCTTCCAATTTGACTTGGATTTCCGATGGTCCAGCCACAACCCATGGATAGATTGAATAGTGCGGCCCACTAGTAGCTGGTAGCCTGCTAGCGTCGTTCGCCCCGCCCGATCGATTGGGTCCAACACAGCGGCGCATGCCCGTAGTCGCAAGCCTATTTGACCCTAGGCAAGATTACCCTCGGCGTCGACCAGGGAGAGAGGGAACTTAGCGAAGCGCACCCTCGTCGACGATCCTTTTGGTGCGAGTCTTTGTTTTGGGCAGATGGTGATCGTTTGACGAAAGTCTGCACCATTGAAAATTTCGCTGTTGATCGCTGTTGATGGACAGGCAGTAGCGGGTTGCCTGCTCATAAACTTCGTGTAAATACTAAGATCTGCCAGCTCATCGTCACATGGGGTTAAATGTGCCAGACTTGCGCGACGCTCGGCAATAATGGACTTGCTTGGAATCCTTGGAAGACCACCTTCAAGATGGACAGTTGTGCTCGGTCTCTTGCTCTCGTTGTTTTGTTTTGCCGCTACCTGATACACAAATGATCCAATTGTGATGCGGTGGCGAAACCAACCCCAGCCCCTGGATTCCAAGCTGTCTGAGCTGGAGCTGGTCTGGGGTTAGAGCACACATGCAGGCGCTTGGGCGAGGTCTGTAATTGTTGGATTGCAGATTTGCAACGCTCCACTGATTGTTTGGGCATTGGATTTTGAGTTTTGGTCGATATGCATCCCTTGCCATTCAACCTGTCCCATTCGCCATTCAACATCGTTTTCCCTCGGGTGAGACACGGCGTGTGGCTAGTGTGGCGGTGCTCCAGCTGTCGGGCTTGTCCGAGCTTCCTTGCTGCAAATTGGTAAACAGTCTGCGAAGGGTCGTGCAGTTGCATCCAGTCAGGGCAGATTGCAATGTGACATGACATTGTCAATTTCTATCCTCTGTAGCTCATAGTCAGTATGGGAGTAGATCTTGGATATCTCATCGAGTCATTGACCCATTGCGAACCAACAGAAACCCGACGATCGTAGCGACCACACGGGGAGGAACCAGCGCGGGCGCAAATCTGGATCGATCGCTCACTCGCCACCAGCCACCAAGTGGAGTTGCGACCCAGGGGCCACCAGAGGAAATGTGTAATTAAATCAACGAGACTAACGACCAGGGGAGCTCTGCAAGAACCTCTTTCCCCCTGGCCTCAGCCAGTCAACGTGGATAACCCGAAAAAAGGCGAAAAAAAGAAAAAAGAGTTGGAAATTACGTAGGGCCAAGATCACCGATCAGTCACCCACCGATGCCCCTCCCCTTCTAAAGCTTAATCCCGTCTGCTTTTTTTTCTCTTTTGATTTCGATCTCTCCTTTTTCCGACTTCCCATCACCATCTTCGGCGTACACCGGTCGACTATACTCCACGTGCAGCACCGTCTCTCTACGCCTGAGACTTCTATTCGACTTTTGAATCTCGCCTTCCAGCGAATTTCAATATGGTGGACCAGGCTGGTGCATGGCACCAGCTGTCTGCCCGGGCTGTACGCATCCTTTGGACCTCGTCAACCTCCATTCCCTTCGACGAGGAGATGGCACGCAATGAATGTGTTCGCGATGCTAACAATCTCTGACAGGATGACCCGGCGGCGACATCCAGCTCCGCGTCCGCGTTTGTGACCACCTTGATCCCGGCCTTGATCTCCTTCGCAGTTATGGTCGTTCTCTTCATTATTCTTCGCCGTAGCAACCGCAGAATGTATATGCCTCGTACCTATATTGGCAGCTTGAAGTCCTGGCAGCGCACCCCGGAAACACCTACCGGTCTTTGGAACTGGATTACCGCGATGTACAAACTGCCCGACACCTACGTCCTGCAGCACCACTCGATGGACGCGTATCTGCTGCTGCGCTTCCTCAAGCTGATCTCCGGCCTGATGTTGGTCGGCTGTATTGTCACCTGGCCCATCCTGTTCCCCGTCAATGCGACTGGCGGCGGTACTGGTACGCAGTTGAACTTGCTCTCCATCTCCAATATCTCGGACACTCAGTACGGCCGTTACTACGCCCACTGCTTCCTTGCGTGGATCTTTGTCGGTAAGTGTTGAATTTGGACTTGATTGTCCAACTCGAGCTTCATTGGTGTCAATTGAAGCAAGAATTTTAGCCAGAGAGCTAATGTTCTTTGCAGCCATCGTGTTCTTCACCATTACGCGCGAGCACCTCTTCTATATCAACCTGCGCCAGGCCTATCTGTTCTCGCCCGCATATGCCAGCCGCATTTCCTCGCGCACCGTTCTCTTCACCGCCGTTACTGAGGACTACCTGAGCAAGGAGAAGATCCTCTCCATGTTCGGCCGCCAGAAGGTCAAGAACGTCTGGATCGGCACCGACACCGCCGAGCTGGAGGACAAGGTCAAGGAGCGTGACGCTGCTGCTATGAAGCTCGAGGGTGCCGAGACCAAGCTCATTGTGCTGGCTAACAAGGCTCGCAACAAGCAGTTGAAGAAGGAGGGTGCCCTGGAGAACGGCAACACTGAAGAGGAGGGCGCCGAACAGTTCGATGACGAATCTGGCTCTGTGGCTGCTCGCTGGGTTCAGGCCAAGGACCGTCCTACTCACCGTCTGAAGTTCCTTATTGGCAAGAAGGTCGACACCATCAACTGGGCTCGCTCTGAGATTGAGCGCCTCAACCCTGAGATTGAAGAGCTGCAGGCCAAGCACCGTGCTCACGATGTCAAGCTTGTCTCCTCTGTCTTCGTCGAGTTCTACCAGCAGTCTGATGCTCAGGCTGCCTTCCAGTCTGTTGCTCACAACCTGCCTCTCCACATGTCTCCTCGCTACATCGGTCTTGACCCCACCCAAGTTATCTGGGCTAACCTGCGCATCAAGTGGTGGGAGCGTATAATCCGCCACAGCGCCACTATCGCTTTTGTTGTTGCCATGATTGTCTTCTGGGCTATCCCTACCGCCGCCGTGGGTGCCATTTCCAACATCGACTCCCTGACCGACAAGGTCCCCTTCCTGAAGTTCATCCTGCATGTCCCCAGCTGGATCCGTGGTGTCATCACTGGCCTTCTGCCCGTCGTTCTGATGTCCGTTCTACTCGCTCTTGTCCCCATCATTCTCCGCCTGATGGCCAAGTGGGGAGGTGATCCCAGTCTTGCCGCTGTTGAGATGACTGTCCAAAACTGGTTTTTCGGCTTCCAGGTCGTGCAGGTCTTCCTCGTCGTTACTGTCGCCTCGGCCGCTACCAGTGTCGTTACCAAGATCATCAATGACCCAACTTCTGCCGCTAGCCTGTTGGCCAACAAGATCCCCCAAGCCTCGAACTTCTATGTCTCCTACATCGTTCTGCAGGGTCTCTCCTTCAGTGCCGGTGCCCTGCTCCAGATTGTTGGCCTCATCCTTGGCAAGATCCTGGGCAAGTTCCTCGACAGCACCCCCCGCAAGATGTACAACCGCTGGTCCGGCCTGGCCGGTCTTGGCTGGGGTACCGTCTACCCGGCCTTCACTCTCTTGGCCGTCATCGGTATTATCTACTCTTGCATTGCTCCCCTGGTCTTGGGCTTCGCCACCATCGGCTTGTACCTCTTCTACTTCGCCTACCGGTACAACTTGCTGTACGTCTCTAACGCCACCATCGACTGCCAGGGCCGTGGCTTCACCCGCGCTCTGCAGCACCTCACTGTCGGCTGTTACCTGCTCATTGTCTGCCTGATCGGTCTGTTCGCGATCGGCACTGGTGCTAACCGCATGGCTCTGGGTCCTCTGATCCTCATGATCATCTTCCTGATCTTCATTGTCCTCTACCATATTTCGATGAACAGCGCCATGGAGCCCCTGCTTAACTACCTGCCCAAGAACCTGGAGCACGAGGAGGAAGCTCTTCTCGCTGCGGACCGCAAGCAGATCGGTCGCGATGAGTCCAACGGCCTTCCCGGTGCCTCCGATTTCAAGGCTGAGAACACCGGCGTGTCCAATGTGGACTCTAGTGTCGGTGCCGTCGACTCCTCCGATGCTGAGAAGGGTCTCGCCGATGGACCTCTCCCCGCCGGGCAGGAGAAGGCGCCCAACGCCATTGTCAAGTGGTTGCATCCGGACAAGTACCACAACTACCAGACTCTCCGCCGCCTCGTCCCCAGCCCGTTGGAAACTCCGAGCTACGCCCCTGAGGTCGAGCAAAACGCGTACTGCCACCCTGCTGTCAACTCCCAGGTTCCCCTTCTCTGGATTCCCCGTGACCCTGCTGGCGTTAGCCGACAGGAGGTTGCGCATACCTCTCGTGTCATCCCCATCACCGACGAGGACGCCTGGCTCGACGAGAAGGCCAAGATTTCTTGGAATGTCGAGAAGGGCCAGCCTCCCATCTACGAGGAGAAGCCCTCCTACTAAGCCGGTCGCGGGCGCTAGTCGTCCATGTCACTCTCTCTGTTGGCAAATATACCTAAATCACGTACAAGTACTGCGGTAATAGAGTCCAGATCTAACTCGACCTCCACCGAGGTCTTTTGATACCCAGTCGGTCCCGTTTTCATCAAGCGGGTCGACTCTGGTCTGGGCTTGTTTGTTTGATTCTTTTTGGTCTTGTGGAAAGGGGACATGGGAAGACATGTCACTCCTATTCCCTCGGATGGCTTTATGCCGTGGACTCGTCTTCCTGTTTCATTTTCAATTTTGGTCCTTCCTATTCGTAATATGCGGCTGATGTTCGCGTCATGTCACCTATAATGTTTGAGAACGTTGCCATGAAAGATCTGTGCTCTTGATATTACGATGCCTCACGATGTCGAGTATGCTATGGCAAATGTATAATAAATTCTTCTCATCAATTGTTTCTCTTCTATGACATTTCATGAGTAGTTCGTGTAAGATGATCGTGTAAGATAATTGTGTATGATGATCGAGTATGATCCTCATCCTTAGACTCGATCGTACTTCTCGTCTGGCTTCTGTGTCTGTAACCACCAACTGTTCGAGCTTCACATTCCCCCTCTTGAATTTTGCCTTTCGTGCCCCGATCTTGGCAGATGAGCGTGCAGGTGGGAGATACGGAATTAGGTTTACTCCATATCTGATACTTCTTTTATTGGCACTAAATTCAGGCTACGCGCAAGTTATTTAAAATGTCCCATTCGAGCAAAACGTACTAGGACCGTGAATGGATGTACCGCTTACGCATTTCTTGAGTGCTCAGAGGAAAAGCCTAGCCATCTCATCACTACAATTAGGATAATCTGAAGTGCTCCCCCACATCTGAGCCTAGACTGAGCCTCTATGTCTATGTATCTCTCCCAGACTCTCCTGCTTCTTCTCCGTAGTCATAACATTCTAAGCATACAATTTAGCCAAGGAAGGCTCCACGGCATCGAATGAAGTAAAACTGCAATGTCCCTTCTGTTCATCAACTCCATAATTGTGATTCAACCTTACCATCCAAGTCGGCTGCTTAGTTATCTCACCCCACGCCACCGGACCTAGAGATATGGTGTCCAAGTCTTCGTTCTGGGGTGGATGGCAAGGAGCACTGATAGCAACGGTACAAGTCCCCGCCAACGGCATCGCTAACTTGAACCTTCTGAAAGACATCGCAATCAAAAAACACACCAGGAGACCCGTCATATGACAACACGGAACAATTAGTGTAAAGTACTGCCATAAATTCAGTCCTTGCATCCAGAATTTAGGTCGTGATAGCCGCGAATATGTGACAGGCTATACTTCAGAGCTAACACCACAGGACTCAAGGGATCTGAGGCATATGCCGCTGACTTCCAAACCCCGCAGCGAACCCCTTTTTCGGAATCTAGCATATTCCCTGTATTGTTGCGTCTGGCCCATTTGAGGAAGGATGCAACAGCGTCACCAATTGTGAGAAGTGGAGATGATCGAGAGCAGCCGGACCGAACAGCTAGAAACATTGAGACAAGAGTTACGAATTTTATGCAGCTTACTACCACTGACTAGCCAAGCCACGGCATTGTACTGGAGGGTAGAAGATAGGAAGTAAACATGACTGGGTATGATTCTTATATGAACTAGACCGTGAGCTTGTCTCCAAACTGTAGTTCACATATGAGCCATTGACCACTTCAGGGAGAAGAATGGGGAAAGCTGTTGTACTATGTAAGTCGATGAGCTACATTTTTACTTAGTAAAGGTCGGGCAATGTGTAACTATGAACTTTGTCTATTCTTTCACCCTTGAGGAACATTGATACATCTACTTGGTATCGTGTACAACTTTATTCTCTGAAGTGTTGATCAACAGTATGACGCTTACTCCCATTCAGCCTTTGTTCCCCGAATGTTTATTCCTCCAAGTTTCCAACCCTTTTTACGATTTACATCTACTGTATTCAAAAGCCAAAATCAAACCTTGAGCCACTATCCAGCCTTATCATTTTCTCCATCTCACAATACCCTTTCCCCTCTCATCCCCATTATCTAACCATCATTATTCTCCCCAGCCCCATGATTCATGAAGTTCCCCCTCCTTCCCAGCTGCATCGTACTTCTGTCCTTCGTAAAACGCGGCTGGAAGACTCGTCCCGGGATTCCTCAAAAAGGATATCCAATGCGACTCCACTACCCCTGGCCATTCAGCGGTGCGAGCGGATCCCGGGCGGACGGCTCTGTGGGGCTGGAACCGGGTTTAGTGGTACTGTATTTGGTTGTTTTGAAATACACACGTACATTACTCGAATGGTACGTAAATACCAAGAACAGAAGGTACAGAATAGAATCATAGACAGAGCAGAAGAACCATTCTATTTATTCGGGTAAATAGAGATCAACAAATCAACACAACCGAGAGCCTATAGATAGCTCATGATAGCCAAAGCTAAAGCTTGCTTTACAGGGTGATTTCTCCACAAGCTCCAGCGCGATCCTCAAGTTCTCAAGGTTCACTATCGTTATTGCGCCACCCGCTCAGGTAATCTTCATAGTGCTTGATCCCTGCCTCTTCGCTCTGACAGGCGAACAAGGAAATGACCTCAGCTGGTCCTGCCCTGTGGATTACACATCCCCACCATCAACAGTATCAAAAGTACCACACTCTGGGTCTAGACGCAGTCCGCAATGCGGCATGGCGACCTGCCTTGGAAGCTGATTTGCCTCGTGGTGATATGTTGCCCACGGAGACAGAAAGACTTCTGTGCTCTGATGTTGAACATAGAAACTGCGATGTACATACAGTATCACTGTACTGATCGAAATGAAAGATCGGGAATGGTTGTGTTGACGGGTAGATCCCTGTTATTTTCTTCAGGTGAATATGCAGCAAGAAGCATCCATGCAGTACGATACACAGGTCAAGGACGATTCATATTCACCCACCGACTATCAAGGCAAGAATTACAGGCATACTACTCTACTATCTAAGAGTAGTATGTTAGAGTCCCAAATCTCTTGATTTCATACCCCTAGACCAGTTTCACGTCTGTCGTAAAAGCCACAACGTTGCCTCAAAAACAAAGAAGCACAGACCTAGCCTCAATCAAAGGGTACATTACGAGGCTATGCAACGGCCCCCGCAGCATCAAAACCAAACCTCAAACGAGACGCGACGCACTCCAGAACAATGGCAATGATGACAGCCTGGGCATGCATGGTAACATACAGCTCCCCAAATGCATGCCAACCATCCCGGTTGCTTTCTCATGCACCTCCCACACCATGAAATGATGATCTCTCCTCCACTGCCCACCCACGCAGGCGGGGGTGTTGGGTACTAACCGTTAGACATTTACCAAGAGAAAATTTCTCTTAGACTCTGCGAGCGTGTGCCAATAAGTGGCCCCGGCGCGATACCGACTGCACGTTTCGTTCAATCCTTCGCCGCTTCGCGGGCGGGGGCGGATTCGTTATCTATGGTGTTCCAATTCCGAGGAGACATTGGAAAAAAAGACGGTGACAACGGTCATGCATGGTAGCGTAAGACTTTGTAGGCTCTTGCGCTGGTTTTGATAATTTCTGCTGCTTACTATGGAGTCCAACACCAATGATAATCAAGAGAAAGATTGAAGAAAAATTCAAATATATTGTAGATGATTAATCCCGACTTTTTGCTTGGATTCTTCAAGGATGTATGCCTTACAACAGGTATTGCTAGTGGTTTGGCATTGTCTGAGGTTGCAGCATAAGTCTCTCTACAGGAGAGGAGACTACTCAGCACACATCCATGCTGGAGGCATCCTAATTGAATTAACTCAATCTCAAGGCGGAACTGGTGAAAAAAGATAGATACTGGACAGTCTGGTCAAAGAACGAACCAACTTCCCAAGAACCCGATAAAGCCCAGCCTAGGTCAGGCTGTAAAACGGTCAAGTAAAAACAAATCCAAAAAAACGCCAACGCCATGCTCTCCCGGCATGGAACCGATGCAGATGATAGATAGGAAAGATAATGATAGCTGCAGGGGTTCCCAAAACAGAAACCTGCACGAACAATAAGAAATGGTGATAGTGGTAGTCAAAGAGAGACAAATCGGTATAGATCAACGCGCGATGCGCGCGAACTGCATGGCAAGAATGGCACAAAACATGTGCAAAGGACCTCAAATGAAGAAGATGGTATCTTGTAGAATCTGAATGTCGATGGTGTCAACCGAAGGGTAACGCTTTTTTCTTTTGCTGGAAATGGTTTCAACACACGCTAAATCGCTAATGGACGGCCAAAAGAAACTTGAAACAGGGGGGGGGGGGGGCTTCATGATCGGTCTACACTCGGATTCGGGAAGCCCGGAATGCAGAAAGATCGATGGATTCCGCCGATATCGACGAGGCGTCGTCGACTTCGATGGTGGCGTGCGCAGTCGATGTCGGCTTGCTCGCACCCGCCGTGATAGCGGCCAATCGCGCGAGTCGTGCGGCAGTCGGAGTCAGCGGTGGTTTCGCGGGCGCGTCCTCTTCGACTGATTCGGACTGCGATTCAGACTGTGCTTTGGCTTCCTCTTCTTCTTGTTGTTTCTTTTCCTCCTCGAGGCGCTTGACTTCGTTGTTGGCCATTTCCAGTAGCATTTTGAACTTTTCTTCCACACCGTCGAGTTCTGTAGCGCAGTCACCCGATCGGAGGACCTGGTACGCGGCGGTCTCGCAGAGTCCGTGGGCAAGCTCTAGCTGTTTGTCCGCAAAGTCAAAGGGAGATTCCTTACGGATCCCAGAAGACCCAGTCACGCCAACAAGACCACCGCCAGCCCTCGTGCTGCGAACATAGGAGAGTGCAGATAATGGCGATCCATTCTCTCCTGGCTGGCCACCACCCGCCGAGGTCTTATGCAGAAGACTTGCTCGAAGTCCTCCGCGAGGCATCATTCCCATTTTCCCCCGTCGGATATTATTCCTGGCAATTCCAAGGTCTCGAACAATCTCCTCCAAGGCCTTTTGAGTGTGACCGTCGTACTCAATGATAACGTTGTGTCGGGTGCTAACGAAGGCGTATCGTTCGCTTGAGTCGATAGACGGAGCCTCGTCCGTACCACGCTTGCGTCCAGCGGTTTGCGCCGGCATAGATGCATCGTTTTCGAGTGTTGTGGTAGTGTTGGCTTCGAGGGCTTCCGAAGTCGGGCCCTCACGTTGTGCAATCGGAACGACGTCGTTGGTGTGAATGGAGCATACGGAGCTATTCCTTCGGCGCCGGGGTTTGTATGTAGCGTGTCGCCTGTAGGCTGCGGTATATTCGGCGTGTTTGGCAGATGCGTGCGCAGCGAGTTCCGAGACACGAGTGATCCAAGAGGGCAGGTTGTTCTGAAGGTGGGAGAAGGCTCCCAACGCATCCATGGATGCCAAAGCCATACCCTATACTACCGCGATTCGATAGTCCGACAGATTCCGGGGAGTTAAAAGAGTAAACTAGGGGGATGACCCAGAGATAAAGGGAGAGAGCGAATATAGAATCGGACAAGTATTGAATATAACGGTTGTTTGGATATTGAGGGGGCTGTTTCGTTTCTTCGTCAAGTCGTAAGTCAGGACCCGCTAGTCGATTGTTGGGGGGGGTTGCGAGAGGAAACAAGGCGGGTAGTTGTAGTTTAGGATGGGTGCAGGCTTTAGTACTTGTGCGTCCAAGGGTGTGCAACGGCGTCGGATGAAAATGAAGTCGGTTCAAGAGACGGTAAGGGTTAAGAAGATAGTCTGGGGAGGGGTTGGAGGAAGAAAAAGGCCAAAAGACGGGGAAGAAGGATCGAGAAAAGAGCGCAGAGGGGGGGGAAGATGAGTGGGCGTATCGTCATGGTATGGTAAGTACTTTTGTCATGGATTTGTATGGAAGTGGGCGGTTTCGGTATGGAAACACGGCCGAGGTCCTATGTAAACCCAAACATGATGCACCGTCGATTTGGAAGACTAGCGTGACGCAGAGGATCCTCCCATTATTCCCCTACAGCAAGACTAGTATGGACGGAGCAATAATCATAGGTACGGAACAAAAATCAAGTTGATGTGCTACTGTCGATGCTACTGTGGGTTGATCCGCTAGGCGTACGCCAAAATGCCCGCCCCCCTTGAGGGTCTGATGGGGCCGAGTCCCTCAGTCCACGGCTCCTAAACAAGGATATCAGGGCCAACTGCAGTGCTGTGGCCCTATGGTTTGTACGACTGTAGCAGAATGATTGGAACAGGGTTCCCTTCTCTAATAATTATGATATACAACCCTCAACAAGGAGCGGTGAGAGGGACAATCCATGCAACGATGACAGTGTAATGTTTTCACCAGCGGGTAAGAGGTAAACAACAACTCGTCTCCCGGTCCCGAGTGACTGGGTCATGACACTGGGAAAAAGGAAATATCCCCCTACTAGTAATACTATCAGTAGATAGACCAAATAACGGGGTTCTCGTGTTGTGATTTTTCCCGAACATCCATTCCTCACCCCTCGTTAAACTGGGTGCCCACCCAGCAACTTGCCAGATGATGGGCAGATCAACTGCGACACCAAGAAGATGATTCGGATGCCCAGCATTAGCGCGGCTGTCGTGCAGTCACTCCAGTCATTCCATGACCAACGAGGCTTGGGATAATCCAGGATGGGGCTCGAATGGAGCAGAAATCACTCCAGGGAAAGCGGGTACCTTTCCCAAAGAAGGACATGACACGTAACGGTCGCTGGCCTGTGACTGTCAATATTTCCAAGGACCACCGGAATAGTTTCGGGGATTATGGGGCCTTGAGAGGTGTCCCGATCGGCTCCCCTCTGGTCCCCTTTGGAGTCTTGGACATCCTCGTTTGTGGGTCGTGGTAATACAAGATGGCGCACAAAGAGCTTTTTGCTCTGTATGTTTGGATCCCCAGTTGCCGGACGATCCCTCAACGCGGAAGACGGGGAGAGGCCGTGGGTTGGACGACGGATGGCCCCTTCGCAGCGATCGTAGCTTCTCATTCGCTGATCAGAATGGATCGGAGGATCGTCTAAAAAGTGTGAGCGGCTTGTTTGGTATCGTAACCGCGCTAGAGCGGGGTACAGTACCATAATCCTAACATCCTGTTGTGGTGCTATCACATTCTTTGCCGGTACAATAAGTGCCTGGTTGAAGGAACGGAAATGTGGTCGTCTAATGTGTATAGAGTACTAGATGATCAGTCAGTCCACAGCGTCCACAGCGACAGAAGATTCTTGTCATGTTTCTGTCCTTGAAAGCGCCAGAATATCATTGCAGAACGACGAACGCGCCCGTGCAGGTGTCATCATGCGTGCAGGTCTCGTTGTGATTCAGACTGGATCCCGGCAGACTTGATGTCGATATGATCGGAGAACAAGGGATGTTCTTTGGATTGGAAGACTTGAAACAGTGGAAGAACTGCTGCTGAATCTGCAAGATACAGTTGGAAATGGTCCGCGCAATTCGCACGTGCATCATCCCGACGTGATGACTGAAGCCCTCAATGGATGATGAGACAGACCAGCATCTTGCTTGAGCCACGGTGTTGAGATGTTATTGGCATTCGTGAGCAAAGCTGCGCTAATCTTTCAGGGCTAAATGATGCAGAGGTTTCATACACCTGGTTAGCCGCCTCTCGATACTGTTCGTTTGCACAGGATACCAAATTGCCTGACTGTGACAATCCGAAACTATGCCGCATAGACGGCAATACCAGCAATCACCCGTGTTACACAACCTACAAAACGGATTCGAAAGGAAGCGCATGAACTGCTCTTTTCTCGACAGTCCTGGTCCCGCGTTGTGATTGCCGACGATCATGAGCAAGCATAATCCAAGGACTGTGTGGGTGTGTATTGACTGGAAAGAATCAATCTCATATCGTGACTGGTACTGCATCTGCTCTCGCTTGTGGCAGGTTTAAAATCAAGACACCACACGAAAAACTCCTCGAGTCTGGTCAAATGCCCAAATGGACTATATCCCAACTTTGGACTGATCAGAGTGTACGGGCACTAGACATGATCTCATGACGTGTTATGTTTTCGCCTTTCCCGTCATCTAAAGTCCCAGATGAGATCATACTACGGTTTTCAGTTGATCGATTGCTACGAGCTGGAAATAGCTTTGGCCGAACGCACATAAGTATGAGCTGTCAGCTGTCGCTCATAGAGGAGCCATGGGAGGTAGTAGTCACTGTAGACTGGAATCTCTTCTCCCCGAAAGTTCGCTGTATAATTTGCATTCAACAAGACAGCAATTTGTATGACGACTACCAGACTAACAAGATCCTCGAATACAGTGCCGACATTCACAACCTCAATAGAAATTTACTACCTTTCCCCACTCGTACTCGAGGTTTTTGGGACAACATTGAAACATTTAAAGGGCTGGCATGGGACCTCGAATGGCTACAATAGATACTAAGTTAATCTGAAATTGATCATTACTTGAAGGAAACCTAATGTGAACCTTGATAACCGCTGACCGAATTAGAGAGTTGATACTGAGTTCGTACAGAATTCTTCTAATCTTGGCCAAATCGGCGTGAGAGTAAAAAGAACTACACTCTATGCAAGCTAGCATAAAGCCAGACACTATAAGCATACGATCTACTGTGAATCTCAATGTTTGGCGATGAAATCAGATGAAATTTACTATCTGTAGCGACAGCGAGTACGAGACCAGCTCAACACTCCCTTCCGAGCAGAAAGCAATTGACTCCACAGGGACAGGAAGCATAAGACCAGCTCAGTGCTTCCCCCCAAACAAAAACAAACTATCTACAAGGACAGAAAGTACGAGACCAGCTCAGTACTCCCTTCCCCCTCGCCTCCCCCTCTCCCTCACCCAGCCCTTCCTACTCGCTCCAGGTCCGAACCCACCATTCCACCAGTTCCTTGACGTCCTTACCAGTCTCCAAAACCGCATTGTGTGCAATAATGGAGGCCTGGTAATTGGACTCGAACCTCTCCAACAGCTTTCCCAGTTCCCGGGCAAAGCTGGAATTCACCGCCAGGAGGCCTGTACCTCCTACGAGACCGGTGCCCCCCAGGTTGTTGGAAGCTGAGGGAGGAGAAGCTTTCGGGCGGCGCGGCTTCGAAATCCTGAGTCGCGTCTGGGAACGACGCTCGCTGGGTGTGTCAGCGGCGGTTCCGGGGGCAGCGACAGCAGGGATATCGGCACCGGAGGCCGAGGTGGTTGGGTTACGACCCTTTATATCAGAATTAGTATTGACTTTATCATAGATGAGAATCATTGGAGCGTGATGTACTCACCTGGTCACCCTCCAGGGTCGGATGAGGAATCACCGCCGTGGTGTTGTTGTCGTCGATCGAGTTATCGACTTGGACGGCGGCGGGGGGACGTCGGCAGCATTGGCGGCGCTGGCGGGGGAAACAATGGCCTGGGAGGCCGGAGAAAGGTCGTCGCGATGCCCGCATCGCTTCTTCCTCCTCCGGCACTCCGCGCACGCCGGCTTCTTGACCTTCACCTCGGCCAGCGAGGCTTTAAAGAAGATGGTTATCAGTATGTGGGTGAAGTAGAAGTAGGAAGAGGTGTGAGGTAAGTACTTACTGGAAACTCCCTTCTTGGAGGCCATTCTGAGTAAACGCAAACGAGGGTTGGGGTCTCGTTTGGAGAGGATGGGATGCACGAGGAAGGAAGGAGGAAAATGTCAAGGGGGAGGTGGAATGGAGATATTTAAAGTAAACCGGAGGGCCCGAGGCAGACGGGTCCCACGATGGGCTGCCTGGTTGTGAATAGCCTCACGCCTGGTGTTAGGCAGGCTATCGTTGCCTGTTTCCCAAAACGGAGGTGAACAATCATATCCACGTTTCCCGGTCTCAAGGCAGCAACAGGAAGAGCAAACTTGGAAGGCAGCGAGCCTGTTTTACTGAAAATGGACTTCAATATCATTGTTTTAGGTGGCAGCAGGTGGAAAACGATGATCATGGCCAGAATTCGGCTTCTTCCCACTGTCCATGAGGCCCGTCTTCATCATCCTCACCCATGACCAGCGTCCACTTCCGCCTACGAACATCATCTAAATCTGAGAGATCCAGTTGTTCCACTTCCTCGGGCAGAATAAGTACAACCCGGAAGTTTTCACGAGCCACCGGGTCGTGGAGATCGGTAACCTTCTGGCCCAGCCTCAAGTCTGGATTGCTAGGCAGTTGGGACCTAGGCTGACCAGGAGGTGGATTTCTGAAGGAGCCTTGGAAAATAGTTAGTTTGGTGAAGACAAGACGCACCAGTTGAGGCTGAAAGGGAGCTGATATGGAATGAACAGGCTGCGGCAACAAAGTGCTGATATTGACCAAGGCAAGACAACGATGTGTGAAGGTTACCTCAGTCGACGTCCACAACAAAACAAGGAGGAAACAATGGGAAAATAGAGCCCCGGAAAGAGCAAACGACCAGAAAATGGGGCAAACACAACTTACCGCGCATGACAGGCGAGTGATTTGCAAAATACTTGGTTACAGCCTTCTCCCACGTCCACTTACGGGCGTCCACACTGAGATTCCCATGGTAATCTTCTTTGACCCGGAGAGCCTCGAATAACTCAGGTAGCAGTCCATACTCCTTCTCTGAACCGGGATTGGGATTACCAATGGAGTAGGCTCTGCCCTTGATCCTCCACTGCACCATCACCTCCTTCAGCCAGAACATGGCCTCGATATTATTACCCGTCGATTCCAGCTGCTCCAGCTTTTCCATCCGGACATCCGTGGTGAATGTCAACATGTCACTCTCGAAAACATACGGATTTCCACCATCCTCTACCTGCTGATCCATATCCTTCTGCCCGCTCGGATGGAGCTCTAGCTCCGGGAAGAAGCCGCGGAAGCCGCACGTTCGGACGCGAGGGACCGGGCGCTCCTGAGAATCATAACCGACGGTTGCGATGGTGAAGTCGTAGCCCTTGGTTTTCTCGAGATGCGACTCGAGCATATTGCGCCAAGGAGCGCGACTCTTGCTTATGGGAAGGGTCATAGTGTGGTGTGTTAATCGAACTTGAGTGGCTAAATTGTTTGTGGCGGAGAAGCGACGCTGGCAGCAGGTCTTAGGTACGTGAAAAAGGACGGAGGGGATGGATCGAGTATTCAAGCTTCTATAGAGAGCTGATGATGGCATAGGTGAGCTATGACGAGGGCATAGCTTTCAGATTTTAGCTATTCACGAGGTAATCGTTTGCGGCGAGGTGGCGGCGTTGTTCGGCGTGTCTGTATGGCTGCGATGCTAGAAAGCGGCTGGTAGACCTAAACGCTGGCAAATGGTTCATCAACAGCTCTGTACGGGCTGAATCGTGCGACTTACTAAGAACGAGATGTCGATTGTCGTCGAGTTAAGCAGGCTCCTTCCTTCACGATTTGTGACATCAGCCGGAGAGGGCCCGTGCACAGACCTTATCTTGACTTATCGGCTGGCCTGGCGATTGTCAACAAAACCTTGGAGATCCAACGCGCAATTGACCAATGACATGGTTGCATCCTAAAATACCGTATAGTTCTTAGGATCCGCATAGGTTTGATCCTTGACGCGAGCTCAACCTTCTGGTGTAACAGGGCCCGAACACACAGAAAACGATATACCCCTTTCCACACTTGCCTCTCCCTCACCATGCGGCTCTTCCAAAGCTGCGCGAGGCAAACAGCTTCAGGCCAAAGATGCTCCTCCATACGCAGGCCGAATCAAAGCTACCAAATCCAGCCACAACTCGCACAATTGGCCAGATCTCGCCATCACTCTACATCATCCGACCTCTCCTTCCAAGGCCATGGAGTTACCCCAAGCCGCCTAGACTCCAAAGCACACCCGCTCGGATGGCAAGCTATCCAAGCCCAAGTCGAGCCCTACTTCAGGCAGAATTGGAAGTTTCCTAGTGAGAAGGCGAAGCAGGATTTCTTCGCGTTGGGATTTTCGCAGGCCTTTAGTCAGTTTTTTCCACTTACGCTGAACGAACGGGTGGAGGGGACGTGTAAGATGCATTATCTGACATTGCTGATTGATGGTGAGTTAGACAAGGATGGATTATTATTGGACATATGCTCATGATGTATAGATCAGTTGGAGAAGATGAACTTGTCGGATATGTTGTTGTACCGCGAGCGAGTCATACGTATTGCGAACGGTGAAGAATCACCGGATCGTGATGTATGTATTGAATGGATGTTGTCGGATACTCTGCAGCTCATGCGAGATATTGATGAAGTTCTTGCGAACGACCTCGTCGAGGGGTTCTGCACGTTGCTGCGGGCGATGACGACAGAGGAGCGCTTGTCAGTGGCTCATTTAGGGCCCTACCTCGCAGCACGCGAAGTAGATGTGGGAAGACCGTGAGTTTATCATTTCGAAACTTTCTCCATTGGTTACAAGAGGCTGACCCAGACACCAGGTTCTACGCCGCGCTCATCCGATACGGCGCAAAACTTCATCTCAGCCCATCTGAACTTGCACAGACGGCTGCCCTAGAAAGCTGCGCATTCCGATTCATGGGCATATTGAATGACATTTATAGCTGGGACCGTGAGTGGAAAATCTACCAGGAGGATCCCACGGATGGAGCTCAGCCGTTCTCGGCTGTTTACATACTAGCCCAGGAGACGGGCTTATCATTCGCGGCCTGTAAGAGATTGCTTCACTCGTACTGTCGGGAATTGGAGATTGTTCTCAAGCAGACTACCGAGGAGATTGAACGGCAAAATGTGGGCACGTTGAGACCCGATATGTCCAAGTATATCAAAGCCCTGGAATATTTGATGACCGGGATCGAACACTGGAGTCAGTGGACACCACGCTACAAATGAACACAGATCCAAACGGCGTGAGGAAAAATGATTCTTAACATTGCCAAAATTGACGCTATGCGCATGCAAATAAACAAATCTATACATAATTTCAGCTTTTCTCATACGTTTGGGAACTGGAGATTGTAATCAAGCAGTCTACCGAAGAGATCAAGCAACAGAACGGGGGTCCGCTGACACCCGATATAGCCAAGAGTCTCAAGTCTCTGAAGTAGTTGATGGGTGAGATCGAAGATTGACGTCAGTTGGCACCGTACGGCGCCGCCAGGGGGCTGGCTGAAGCGCAGCCGGCGAGCTTGAACCTTTTCCGGGGTGCAGGGAGGATAGCACGACCCCGAGCAGGTGGTGTACCCCAAGTAATCAAGCCACTAGTACTGTACTGGAACCGCTGGAGTATATGCGACGGCAACACTGGGGAAGCCTCGATTGACGGAGGAGGCGATGTGGGCCTATCAGCCTTTTCGGCCATCCTCTGGCGAAGCTGTTTTCGGCGGCAACTATGACAAGCCCGACGAGACTGTTCATATGACGGAAGGACTTTCGCACAATGGTCGCAGGTACGCTGAGTAGACGGCGTAGTAGGAAGCGGGTTCATCGCCTCTTTTGCCCGGCAATATACACATTTTGTGTACTTTGCGACAGCTGATAGTGAACATGCACATGTAGTACAAAAGCGCTGCCCATTAATCCATTTGGAAACGCGGGTTGTAAAGCTTGCAAGCATTTTTGACAGCGAATATTTTGTGTACGCCGGTTGCCATTAGGTAACCCAAAGAATGGCACAGGTGTACCGCAAGGGTTGCAAAAGAGGTTGGAAGGAATAGGTTCCATTGTGTATAGACTTGGACGGAATAATCGTAGGCAAGCGGAATATCTCCATTAGGAAGGACCTCAGATAGATAGCAATAGAATTCTAGTAGTGGATCTGGATATAAACAGAATTATCTAATCAACGATGAGCTCCACTTGGGGAAATCACCGTGCTAGATACGAAAGATTAACACATCTAACCAGTGTGAAGAAAAAAGATTTTTAAAATTGCCAACATTGACCAAATGCACATGAAAAATGAACAAATCTACACACAAAACCTCAACCTCAACTATCCGTGGACGCAGTAGCGTCTCCCTCCGTCTGCTCGGTCTCCTGCTTCTTCGCCGTCTTGATCCCCGACGCACCATAAACCGAGATAAACGCCATACCCAAGAACGCGGACACGCAGGAGAACACCATCGCCACAATACCCTTGGTCGTAAATCCAGCAGGCAGCCAGCCAATTTGCTTGTTCTGGCCCGACAGGTCAAGGTAGTCTTGCGTGTTACCCGCGGCGTTACCCACGTACTTGACGCCCGCCGCATCGCACACGTCGTAGTGGTTCTTCGGAATAGTCAGACTCTCCTGAAGTTGTCGAGGTGCCTCGATAAAAGTCATCGCCAATCCTTGCTGCAAATGCCAATCGATGTGGCAGTGGAACAGCCAGACACCGGGGTTATCGGCGACGAAGCGCACGACGAAGTAGCCTTGCGGCGGCAGCACGAGAGTGTCGCGGCGAGCTGGGTACCTCGGGAATGCGGTGTGGTTGTTCGGGTCGTAGGTGAGTGGGTCGCCATCGGCGTAGTCGTAAAAGTGCCTGCCGTATGAAGGGGCGCGGTCGACTAGTTGGAAGTTGTGGCCGTGGAAGTGGAAGGGATGCGAGCCTCCGTCGCCGTTGTTGAGGATGATCTCGACAACTTGGTTATGTTCCAGGACAATCGAGTGGGTGAAATCGCCATAGACTTCGGCGTTGGTGGAGAGGTTGCCGGAGGACAGGACAGTGTAAAGGGTTGGCACTTTGGGCCTAGTGTAGGAGATGTCGTTCAGGAAAGCGTAACCAGCACCGTCGTCGAGGTTTTGCATGGAGACGGTCAGATCGAGGACGACATCGGCCTCGGGAAGCAGTTCCATGCGATCGTAGGGCACAAGAGCCATATCATCAAATGGATCAAGATCGGACGCAGTGTCCACGGTAATCGTGGCCTGCGGGTGATCGGCGTCTTTGTTATATTCGAGCCAATTGGTGTGGTTAAGTTGTAGGTTCGAGGGAATGTTATCCAGCAGCTCGGAGTCTACCACAGTCACGATGGGGTAGTTCTTTTCTGTGGAGTTCTTGGCTGTTACAAGAATCGCATAGCGCTGTGCAACGGCAATATAGAGGATGCTGGCTTCGGTAGGATCCGTATATACACCATCAATCTCAACAATCTTGAAGGTGTGATCTTCAATATAGAAATACTGCGCAACAAATGCACCAACGTTGGCTAACCGTAGCAGATACGTTTTGCCTGGCTCCACTGCGAGGCTACTGTTCTGGGTGTCATTGAACAGGAAGGCGTTGGGGATAGGCTCTGCGCCGGTCGGGTTGGTCTTGTCGATGAAAGTGATATCCTCTACCATTTCGTGGTACCAATCACTCATCGTAATGGTATATTCCTCATCATACATATCATTGAAGTAAGAGCTATTGTCGTGCACGATCAATGCCTGGCGATAGCCATCCGGATAGCAGTAATCGGTATGGCAATGGTACCAGTAGGTGCCGTTTTGGTTGACCGTAAAGTTATAGGTGATTGAGGACCCCGGTACAACAGGGCACTGAGTGACCATGGACGGGCCGTCCATGTCGTTGGTGCCATTTTGGAACATGCCATGGAAATGAATCGAAGTGCTGTGAGTGCCAAGGCCATTGTACATGTTCACGACCAGCTGGTCGCCCTTGTCCACTTCAATCACTGGCAAGGGCCATTGGCCATTGATGCCGACGACCTTTCGATCGTACAAGCCGTCCGGGTTGGCAGTGACCCAAGTGACATTGAAATCATAGGTGACGGTCTTGGCCTGGACGTACTGGAAGAGACACAGTGCCGCCACGAGGCGCACCAGCAGGCCACCTACTGAAGTCACCATGGTGATGGGGATTTCAGAGCCCGTGTTTGCGGCACCGGGGGAGAGGTAATGTAGTTGAAGAAAAGGACGGGGAAGGAGGAGAGAAAGAGTAGAAGCCCACTATGAAGCCAGAGCTCGAACCACCTTTCCCACGCCGGTCCGTGACTAACGCCAAACCCGTTAGGTTTTCGCACAACCGGGCAGAACTGGCGATGATAAGATTATCGATCTTGCCGTGGGAGGCGCAGAGTTTGGGTGTGGGGCGTAAATTGCAAACCCTCGATTTACGCAAAAAACCAGTGCCCAAGAACTGCAAATCCCCTAGCAAGAAGGTGAACTCGCTCGGACCCCTTCGATGGCTTGCGAGGTGAACCAAGGAGAATCAATGAGGTGGGCCCATTGCACAGCTCTCCCTTTTCGCTTCTTTTCTTCTCGTTCGCTCTCGTACGCATTCCCGTGCCCCCTTAGCATGTCATGATTCAGCTGGGCATTGTGGACCGTGGGGGAGACTGCCGAGAAGACCCTAAGTCCTTGGCGAGGAGCTTAGTATTGCAACTGCATAAGGATCTTGAATGGTCCATTTTTGAGCAAGAATGCATACTAAATTCAGCTTTCGGTTTGTGTGTGTGTGCGTATCTGATTGATTTGATTGATTAGCCGAGATGGCCGAGACAAATGCGGTGGCTTGCATACCAAACGATAATCTGATGCCCATTGGGGAGTCCATTGGCGGGCGAAGAAGGTGAAAACCAAAGAAAAAAGAAAATCAACTTTGGGACGAAGGCGGTGGGGCGCCCAATCAGATGGCCGGAGTGACCACGCCGCTAAGCTTTGCTAAGCCTGGCGCTACTAGCGCGCGAATCATGCGATGAATCGGGACAAATTAACGATTTAGCTTATACCACCTGGTCCTTTGGGGGGAATTTTACCGGTTTGCAAAATACCACACTAGAGAAAAATCTCAACTAGAGAAAGATTTGTTTGTGGGAAAATTGAATTCGGGCTGACAATCTCTGCCTACTCAGTGCTAGGTCCCGATCACAAGTTTACCATAAACCATGTCATATGCTTTGTATACTTTTTGGGTATCGAAAATATTCACCGCTAAATCTATATCACAATATGCATGTACAAAATGTAAAAAGGGAATTTTCAGCCTTCAACCACTGGCTAGACTGAAGGGTGCCGTGCAACAGCAGACACCCCGGCCTCGGCTCCCTTCTCGGTCTGCAGGACACCCGCTTCCAAGTTCGCACCGCTTGCATGAGAAGGGCCAGCGATCACAGGCTCATCAGTGTAGGGCTGATCCCATGTAGTGCGGAACACAAATGCCTTGGCCCGACCCTTGGCCTGGGCGAATTTCTTCGCGGCTGGGTCCAGGTAAGGCAGGGATCCGTTGCGCTCCCGCCACATCATCAACCCATAGCCGACCATCACACAGATCCAGTAAAAGTTGTATGCAAGGACCGATCCCAGAGTGGCCGAGTTGGTCCAACCGAACAGGGCGTTGAAGATACCCCAGCCACCGCCGCCGCCGATCAGAGGATTGCAGCAGTTGACATGCCACACGCTCTTGGTGATGTCGTACGATCCTGGGCCTGAGCCTACTTCCGCGGTGTCGCTGCCGACCAGATGATTCCAGGTGTTGTTTTCAAAGTACCAGACACCGCGCGAGAAAAGGCCGCCTGCGACCAGGTAGAGAAAACAGGTTGAGATGATCAGGAAGATTTGCATAGATGTCTCGCGTCCACCACTGCATAGGAGGAACATTGTTAGCATCTGCTCACCACAGGCTTTGCAACATGATAGATCATCTTACCGGTAGATGATATAACCCACAACAAATCCAGCGAGGAGACCGCAGAATACAGCAAGAGGGAAGGACGAAGCTGGAAGTCCCAAGCCCACACCACCAACGTAGATGACGGCCTCGAGACCTTCGCGGAGCACGGTGATGAACGGCAGCATGAACATCACATACTTCTCAGTCCAGCGCTTGAACCGACCCTTGCGGGTTTCATTCGGGTTGTGCTCATGCTCCAGAGCCTTCGCAAGCTTGATACGCCACTTATCCTGAAGCTTCGACACCCGCAGCAGGGCAGCACCCATGATAGTGATGATCAACGAGGCGAGAATTCCCAGCACGCCTTCCCAGATGTCCTCAGTCTGGGAGAAAGTATCTGTTCCCAGGCCATAGAAGGCACCGATCATGCCGCAGCCAACGGCCAAACAGATCGCTACACCCAATCCACATCCAAGCCACACCTAATGCGGGGTTAGCCAATGCCTTCTTCTAGTGTTTTGTATAGCAATGAAGCAGAAATGACTTGCCTGTTTCACTAGCTTTTTATACGTCTTTTTGTCGGCCTCCCCTCCAAGCGTTTGCTTCAAGAAGGCCAACAAGACCGAGACGACCACTGTTGTCTCGAGACATTCTCGGAACAGAATGAAGAAGACTGTACAGTCGCAATTGGCGTTAGTCAACCTTGTCTTTTTTTCAATCTCATCACCATAGGGAGAACATACCCGTGACGGCAAACACTGGATTGTTACCCATCTTGAATATGACAGTGTCTGGTCGATTCAATGAGCACGCGGGAGTGAATATCCAGTCCGAAACCACGGAAGGAAAAAGAGAAGATTGATTAAAACAAGGGGCGCAAACTGATTGATAAGGGCCCGAGTGAGTTTGTTAGTCCCCGTGGGCTGTCGGACCCGGCTGAAAGTGAAAATTACTAGCGCGATATGCTCAGGACCAGGCCCCGCCTCGTCCGGTATCTGATCAATGTCGGAGGATCCCTGCGTTGCATTCCTCGGTCTCGTGGGCAGCAACTCCACTTCTACAAACTCAATCGTCCAGTGATGCTGCTCAGTTGCGCACACGCTCGTGTCTGCGAGGCTGCGTGTTTGCAGTGTGGGCTGGAAAGTGGAGGGAGGAAACTACAAGGGAGCCATGATTCGGTGGCCGGCTATGAAACATCACGATCGTCAAAGGGGCCCTGCACAACAGCGACATCGTGACAGACAATTGCTCCGGAGAGCTGCGGAAAACCACGGAGGATAACGGCATACGAACCACAGACAGGCCAAAAGTCAAGGAGGAAAAAAAAGAAACGAGAAACTCCATCCCTGCCCCCGCAATAAAATATCGCAGAACAGATTGATACCAAGACTTTTGACAGTCCGAGTCCATCCATATGGACTTGGCAATCCACTGAATTCTTCCTTGTACATGGTGCCACCCTTCACCCTTCATCATCTACAGGGACCGTCATCTTCCGTAGTGGGACCACCCCAATCGCTCCCCTGCGGACCGCACGTGGTGGTCAAGTTGAGAATTAGACGTGATCCCAACCCGGCTAGTGGTTTTCTATGAGCTTCGTTTGTTCCACGGCGTACATATTAAGGGGAAAGAGGCAAATCAGATTATCTGATTGATATGATGGATATGATCGATAATAACGCGCTGGTCCCAGGTTTGTTCGAAGGTTCCGGTCCACGTCTCGCTAGTAAACTCTAATTTACCTTTGCGGGATTTTTAGGCACTTTTGGTTCTGGAAAGATCAGGCGATGATCAAGTTATGTTAAGGTTGCAATGACATAGTGAATAACATAAGATGGAATGCCTAACCCAACCAAGGCGATTCCCGATCTAAATCTGATCTGCACCAACGCTATAGACTACGTCCCTATTGCTAATGATATGGACAGCGATGGGATGACAGAACGCGAACGTCTATAACTATGTTGATTATGTAGTTGTAGTCTAATATTTTGTAGCCAACCAAGGTCATTGACTTTCAGCAATTGTACTCAAGGATGTCTCCTCAGCTGCTGCATTATCAACAGCCCGGGACTGATGCTCTTCCCAATAACATTTTATCGTAAAGACCACACTGAGCAAAATGCCAAATCCACCCAATCCCGTGGCAAAGTACAATGCACCCCGATACCCCTTCAGCACGTCCTCGGGCGTCTTTCCTCCATTGTTGACATGTACCTCCACCGTCCCCGCAAAGCCCAAACTCAACGAGATACTATAGTTGACAACGGTGGTCACCAGCGACGCCGCAATACCCTGATGTTTCCGCTCCACGGAGTTCGACAACATCAACGTAGCCGCCGGAAACGACATGTCCATCCCCCACGGGATCACCAGCAGACAGACAAAGGTCAAAGCCCAGTAAGTCTGATCCACAGGCGCGATTGCCGTGAAAATATTCCCGAGCGTAAAAGCCGTCATCGACATCACCATGATCCACCCAGGTCGGACTCGTGCAATCAGTAAACCTGTCACAAAGCAGGCAATGATACCAATGGGCGCTGCGGGCACGAACTCCGCTGATCCCAATAGAGGGCTCGTGTGTCGATACTCCATCTGGAAGCGCCAAAAATACCAGATCCACGTTCCGAACGCACCCCAGCCACATGCTATGCAGCCCAACACGAACGAGACGTCCCGGCTAAAAGCGTGGAATGGGATCAGAGGGTGCTCTGCGAAACGAAACTCCACCACAAAGAACCCCGCGATAAGCAGTAATCCGATGATCAGCAACACGTAAACGTATGGAGTACTCCAGCCCGCGACGGGAGCCTGGTTCCACGCGATATTGGCAAGGACCAGTCCGCCGATACCGCAGAAAGCGCCCGGTGCATCAAGCGCCTTGAACAGGTTGATCCAGGTGCTTGTATCTGGCGAGGTCTCGTGGTGGATTGACGGAACTACCAACAGACCCAACCCAGCACAAACAACCGCGACAATAGCCTGCGTCCAGAACGTCCACGGCCACCACGCCAGCTCTGAGAAGACGGCGCTAAAAACGGCTCCCAACACGGCACTATTCGGTGCCACAGCGCCAAACAGTGCGAAAATCATCGCCTTCTTTTTACCCGGTGGATAAGTTGCGCCCAAAATGGCCAAGCCATTCGGCAATAGCATCGCAGCTCCGATACCCGCAGAACCCGCGCGAGAATGAACAAGATATGATTCGAGTACACGCTAAATCCGGCGACCAGCGACCAGATCGCGAGCCAAATGAATCCCGACAGGAACATACGTCGGTAACCGAAGAGATCACCACATCGCCCGAATATCAGGATGAATGTGCCGACGGTCAATGAGTAACCGGCTATAAACCAGCTCAGAATGCCGGAGTCGGTGACGCCGAAGCTAGCGCCGAGAATGTCGATGTTCGATAGACAGACGCCGACATTGGTTTGTGTCATGAACTGCCCCATGCAGACTATCGTGATGAAGAGGGCTTCACGGCATGGTGAGAATGTTTGCGCGATGGATGGCGCTGATGATGCCCGCTTGAGGGTGGATTTACCCTCCTCCATGATGGAAAGCGTACAGAACTGCCTGTACAGATCTCGCGACCTTTATTATAGAATGGGTTTAGATTATGAAGCCAACGCTTTGTGACAACTGAATATATTTCTACTGCAGAAACTAAAACTCGACATCGTAGCTGCTAGTGTCTGACAAACCGGCACGTCATCAGGCTCAGATGCCGAGTACAATAAAAAAAGTGGCCCTGAAGGGATCGATATACTTAGGTAGGCATCGCCTCCTGGTGCTAAAATTTCTTCCGGCCCGTTAAAAGAGAGTCTCGGTCCCGGAGTGTGGGTCGGGATTGAGCAGATCCACTCTTGAGGAAGTCTTCCGCGAAGGACTCCTCGGGACGGCATTTGAATGTGGCGAGCCACGTTTAACTGGGGAACAGGTTGGAGGATTTTGATATTATTTGTTATATTTCATTCAGCTCCTGGAACCCTGTATCTGGAGTGGTTTATTCGGTGTAGATGACTAGAAGCCCTGGTTGTCGTACCGCGTTCAGGATATGCGTCTCAGCCCACCCAGGATCTTACCCTATTGATCTTGTGGCCTGAAGTACCCTGGCTGTTTGTTATCAATCTAGCTGGAATTTATGCTAAAATTCAAAGAGAATGTGCAGTGAGTCAGAGTATCATGACTATGACTCCGTACTGTACTCCGCATGCAAAGCTCTTGACACTCCTGGCCCATCCCACTCCCCTATAAGACTTACAATTCTACCTATGCTGATCCCAATCAATTAGGCAGGCTTCTAGAAGGCGGTTTCTGAGTAATAAACAGTGGCTGGTCTAATAGGTCGGTGTTGGAATTAGATGCACTCCGTACATGGTCGGACGCAAAAAAGATGAAACCAAAAAAAAAGAACATGAGCACCGAGGGCGATTTGAACGCCCGACCCTAGGATCTGCAATCCCATACTCTAACCCCTGAGCTACCGGTGCTATTTTTAGAAATTAATCAAAGTTTATTAAAGATGGTGGTTGCTAGGATCCAGCTTCCCTGTATAGCCGGCCGCCCACCGTCAGTTTCGCGCCACCCGGCTGAATCCGAGGACCATAGCAAGGATTGCACTTACATTTGCATTAAAACTAGAGAAGGTAAGAATCATTATTCCTTAATATGTATTTCTGCAAGAGTGTTAAGGTGGTCGATCCGTGGGCTGGTTTTTCGAGCTGTGGGTTCGGGGTTCTTCCATGTCTGGTACACATCCAGAAAGAGGAGGTATCTGGCCTTCTAACCTGCAGATCTCCGTTAATGATGCCTCATTTTAATTGGAATTAGTGCCTTTCGTCTGTAAAGGGAGCTCTTCAAGTATTCCTTGCTACTATAATACGCGACCTAGCTAGGACAAGTTGAACAGCTACAAAGCATTCCAGGCATCTAACTAGATCTCGACGCCATCGACTACTTTTGAAACAAGAGAAACTGAAGGTCTTAACCATCCGCTTGCATTAAGTTGCTCTTATCATTGGTCGGGGGTCAAATGACTGCTTAGACATGAGGCGTCGACCGCAAGATCGCTCAGCTGTATTGTTCTGACTGAAACTCTCTGGTATGTCGGTCTACTAGTTGTAGCGTGGACACATATATAAGACCAAAGAAAAGGCTGGTACAAGATCAAAAGCAACTGGGATAAAATTTGAACGTTCCGGCACATCTGAAGTAAAGGACCCCGTAAAGATGTCGCTTTAGATGAGACTGCTCTCGACAAGGTAAGCAACGATGATCACTGTAAGCAAAGGGCACATGATACTAGACTCGGGTTTGGAAAAGCTACATGCAAATCTGCGGTAGTGTCAACAAGTCACAGAGATACATCTTGAGAACTATAACGACAAAAATTGTGAGTAAGTGTTGTTCGAAAATCGATCGAAATACGCCAGCTCTACAGCAATCAGGTTTGAAAGAGTCTGATATGAAGACTTAAGCTGGGGCTTCTCACGCGATGCGCTATGCCCCTTAATATTCTTCAGTTCTCTGTTTCTTTGAAGGATCGTTTTAAATTTCTATTGAGTCACCACTCTTGACAGCTCAGGTTTATTATTCGTCGATATTGTGCAAACTCGCGACTAATATGATGATTTAAATGTCTATCGGGGTTATAACCTGCAGGGAAGACGGCATTTCGGTAGCAGCCCCCCTGGGTTTCTTCGGCGTAGCTAAAGGGTTATGCCGTATGACAGAGGGCGTCTCTTGGCTTAGCTGACCAGCTATGCTGTATAATGGGTGACGCCTCTTCTTGTTAGATTCTCATTAGATTCTTATCCGTAAAAGACAAAGGGGATGGAGTAAGAAACAGTTTCGTTACGACTTGACTTGGCTACTTTCTTCCTTGTCTGATTGAAAGGCATTCTATTCTGCAAGTAGATTATTTGATAACAAAAATTCATGGATGTATTCCCTTGATATTATGTATTATTTTGAGTATACTACATAACCACAGCATCCTAATTGAATGATCGATCACATCAAACCACCCAACATCAAGTCGATAATTCCGGCCTCGGGATAGGCATCAGCAGAGAATATTTGAGCTCGCTGGTAGCAACCTCGAGGAGATTGTCCTAATCCAGAGTATTCTGGGTGTAGCGGGCATTGTACTTTAATTGTGCTTGACAGCATTTTAGCTCTGGACATTCAGAGGCAGGGGCTCGGTGCTGAGGAACCAGGCAACTTTCTCCGAGCAAGGTGGAGTAGTGAGGGAGCCGGTGTACCGGTAGATGCCGTGAGAGTTCAGGTGAGCCACCAGGGCAGTGAAATCGAGGTGATCGGTCTTGGTGTAGGTACCAGGAGTGGCAATGTCGTCAATGTGGGCGAAGACAGAGTCGAAGAGAGGAGTGGAGTTGCTGAAATAGGGCAGCTCGAAGACGAGGCCAACAACAGCAAAGGCCTTGTCTGTTAGGTTGTTAGTACTTTAAATGTGACGAAAAGTTCATTCTACTTGACGAGCGCAAGTATGTAGATCTAGGTAAGGATGTGCAATGTTGGCTTGAATATACCTGAGTTCTCGAAGACGAAGTGGACATCCATGGGGTAGTACTCCTCATTGATACGGTACTCAGGAGTGTGGAAGTGGAACTGAGCAAGCTTGTAGGAGCTGCTGTTAGTGGTCAGGGTACCGCGAGGCCAGAGCCCAAGTTCTCAAATTTGGCATTGTCGGCACTAGGTACATTGAAGCGAATTGAGTTGGCAGCAGCATAGTCAATGTCCTCGGTGACAATGTCGATAGGAGACTGATGCTTGCCCTTGGAACAGGCAAAGTTCTTCTCACTGAGGCCGTACCAGGTCAGAGGGCCACCGGTGTTTGTGTAGTTGAACGAGTTGATTTCAACGAGGCCATCGGCGGAACGGGGAAGCAGTGAGGTGCCGTGAAGGCACGACGCAGTGGCCGAGGCAATGAATGGGAGGATAGGAGCGGTGACCTTCATTGCGATTTTGTGGAAAGGGAATTGGAAGAGAATTGGGACTGGAAGAGAAGAATCTCCTATTCTGTAACAGCAGCATTGGGGAAATTCTGGATATTTATGCACTACAACATTTCTAATTCAGGCCATATCCTTAATAATGTTATAATGGAATGAAATCAAACTACCTGCTAGGCCAGGCACGGTGTTATTCCTGGACTGCCAGGACTCGCTTGTTACAGAAATTGCTTGCTATGCTGATGCCCCTTTCTCCCGTATAACTCGGCATCGCCACGTCGTAAATCTCTTCAAGCCCAAGTCTATGGCCCATAGGTCTTATTCAGGTATAAGATCGACAGAAGTGGATTTTTGAGGGCTGACCACATTCCTTAGAAAGGTGAAAGAGACGCTATACCGAATAAATCCCCTCCTGTGCTTTCTCCATCCATTTTTCTGGATTAAGTCCTTCTTGGTAACTGGGAGATTTGCTTGACAGGCTAGTCTCTGCAGTCTGCGTGGCAATAATTTACTTCCCACTTAGCTGGGTCAGCACCAATCTTCAAAAGTTAGTAGAGCCTCCATCTTCCTATGGGCTATCCTAAATGTCTTTTGAACTACCATTCCAGATAGCCCAAGTTTCTTCCCCGTCTTGATAAGATAATTCCGAAAAACATGTTAGGGTTTCAAACTTATAGAATCCTACTGAAAAGTCTAGCATATATTATGTAAAAAGGAGCTCGATGTATATTTCCTTGGTATTATCCAAAATTGGTATAGCGTGTCGGTCTTGAATCCTGCCTAAAACTTGCATGAGTCCTTTATCTTCTTGGGGGATGTCAGGTTTATATACATTCGTCCATTCCACTATTTTCACTATCAACTCTAGATACAAACAACTGTGAATATGATTAATCTACACCCAAGAACTCAGCTAACACATGCCTTCTAAAACTCGTTCCGACCATCGCGCCTTAGTTGCTGTGGGCATTAATTGAGCCTGTTTTTCAACTCTCATGAACCAAAACCTCGGGTGCATGAAAGTGAGAATCACACACATGATCACCATTGGGATACTGTCAAGTGCAATGAAAATTCCTTCTTTCGACGCAAGTGGTCCATTGAATCCTCCGCGTAGCTCAGCTACACGCCAGCAAGACCGAATCAAGAGGCATACGGCCGCTATCAAAGCACCTTACAAGAAGCCATGGCAATTAGTGGAGTTTCATCTGGATCTCTCTACATTCACTCACCAATGATATACCATTTCTTTCCACATCGCAGAATTTTCTGCCACCATTTGTGAGCGAGAATCGACAGCACTACACAAAATATCGCCGTAACCAAGACCTGCGTTCCAAGCCCTGCCATCATCAGATCTACTCCGATGGGGCTGTCGGCATAGATCGCGGCTAAGGACCCTCCGACACCAATGAAGCAGAGACACGCAAAATCGCCCAAAATGAAAATTGTCGTGAAAAGCTGCGGCCCAACATTGGGGAAACAAGTTGATTCAAAGTGTCGTTGGAGTTGACTAATCCCAAGATAGAGCGATGAGGAGAGGAAGGTTGGTCCAAGAGTCAGACCAATAATATACCTGTGATGTATGTCAGCTTTGAAAGTTACCAGACGTGATAAGAATTCCCGCGGAGACGGTCTTACATGATGTATCCATTCTTATCACCGTGACGGGCGAGCTGAACTTTAGCGACGTATCCGAGTAGCTCTAAAAGTAAGCCACCCAGCATTCCAATTGCGTATCCATAGAACCGCCAGAAACGAATGGTAAAAAGGAGGTGATTGAGGAACAATATCGTGAAAATAGTTGTGAAGATAGCGTTCGGGGCCAAAAGCGGCGTGAAGGAGATCCGCCCTGGGCCGCGGTATGAGATATCGGTAGCATTCATTTCTTGTCGATGCAATGATCTCCTAGCGAAGTAAGTCGCACCTCAAAATATAAGGATCTAGGGGCAATTGAATTATAAGTAGACTGTAATCGACTGTCTGCCTAGACTAAGATTTGTACTGCTTCATCGGCTCTCCGCAGAGTGTCCGCGAAAGCCCCGTGAAGTTCCCGCCGAGGTTAATATTCTTTTCTTGAACACTCCCAAACACATGAGGACCATTATGTAAACCTATTAGATCACAAAATATGGTTCAGCCGTATAGAAGGTGTCATTACCGGCTCAAGTAGATGCAATTCCGGAGATGCAAATTTGACATGGGGGAATGGAATCCATGCCAAGAAATCGAGAAGGTTGAACCCATAAGGCCCGCACAATATATAGTCACCATCAACTATGTAACACGGAACGTCAATGATGTTGCGACTCTCCTGCTATATTTCCTGTCATTGCCTTCGCCATTTTTATATTCCCTCCTCGATACCATAAGAGCCCCCTGTATTCGGGAGTTCACTAGTACTACGTTCGTGGGGGTTTAGCTAACACTGGGCTGTACAGTGACATAGTCTACATACGTCGCTAAAGTAAATTGACAAGTTTAGCTATATAATGCGGTGTAAATTAAAATCCTGCGAAGCCTAACAACGTTTTCTGAACCTCATAGTAGTAACAGAGTGAACGGGATCCCGTATGATAGGTTCGTGACGGAGGAGCTCCTATACAATCCAACCTCAGGAACTTTCTAACCGCTATTTCACTGGTGTATCATTGAAACCAAAGAAAGACCTTGACGTAATTAGAATATTCAAATGGCGGTAGAAAATGGAAACCCTGGATGAAAGGCATGGGGACAAACCTCCAATGCTAGCACGGCACAGGAGGTCTTGGTGTCTTATCTGCTTGCGATATGTAAATTGAGTCAAATTCTATAACTACTGAATTTGTCAGAATATTGCAAAAGTAACCGTATTAGTAATCGATACACACAAAGAAATCAACAAAGTCGAATCCATTGCCAATCTGATATCAAGCCTGTTCCAGCTTACGCCTATGCTCTTATTCCTGTTATTTACTGCATACAGAGGCAATTTAAGTTTCATTCTACCTTTTCAATGTAATAATACTGGAATTCTGCCATCCGGGCGGTCGTCTCATGTATACAAACCATAAAGTTGAGTACTCCATTTTGATATACAATGATTTCTGATCTGCACCATAATTTAACTATTTTCGCCTCAATTCAGCAAGCACCGGTAGCTCAGGGGTTAGAGTATGGGATTGCAGATCCTAGGGTCGGGCGTTCAAATCGCCCTCGGTGCTCATGTTCTTTTTTGAATATTTGTTGATTTTCATCACATTTTTTTGGTGTTCGGCATGGCTTTGTACGTTTTTGTGTTACTGCGCTCAAACGAAGTTTGAATACACTATTAGGTCTAATAAACTTCGTTCTGACTGGGCGGAGCTCATGTTGCTCTTGGTGCATTTTTTCGGGTAGGGTTTAGCCCCTATTTCTACTTGAGCGAAATACGGCATTGTAGCGCCGCGTGACCTTAGATTGGCCAGTCTAACATCCTTTTTACTGTGTAATATAGGGACAGGTGAATTACTAGATGTGGTTAGTTTTGTCGTTCCTGGCCTAGCGACACAATACACCGTCTCGTCACCTCTTCCGCATCTCGACCACCAATGTACCGGATTTCCTATGCCACGACTTGGCTTTCCCTTTCCGTTTTAGTGCTCAGCCCCTCACCGCTTTTGCTCACTGATCCACTCACTGAGCACTCTGACTTGCTCACTGAGCACACCCTGAGCCCAGGCACCTCAATAAAACGCAATACGCTAGCCCTATCCACGTAAAGCGCTTTTTCTGTGAAGGGCTGAAGCAAGACTTGATTCAATAGAAGTAGGCCAACATGCTGTTTACAAAAAGCTTAAGGAGGGGAAGTTTATCCTGCACGTCAACATACTAAGGTCCCGTGATACATGTGACTAACATCGGGCACTGGCCCGTGACAATAACCCCCTCCTAGTCTTAACCTCGTTAGGGGCACGACGGTATAGGTTTCGGTGCTGATTTGCTGGCGAATCACATCCGGAATGGCGCTGTGCTGCTCTTTAAAGGTATCTAAGGCGCTACAATCCTGCACTGAGTCTAGTGGCTGCTACGTCTGTTCTACCAATCCTCTCTATTTCACTAACGCTTCGTCACGATATCCTCGCCTAATCTTCCTCTGTCGTACAGCTAGGATTTACTTAATATCGTATTCCTCTTTACTGTCAACTAGTAGTGGTAGTGGCTGTGAATCGTCTACTAGCTAAGATAGGAATAGGTCCGTTGCTGCTAGGCGGACTAACTTAATATAGAACACCGGGTGTATAGGTATATCAAGTCGGACTATAACGGTATGTCGGATTTACGCAGTGTGCATAAACCCAAGGGAGTGTGCGAAGCGTTCGCACACATTGTTGATCGAATACCACGATTATGGAAGAGAGACGAAAGTATGATAGAGGTGGGTCGGCAGCGAATAGGTTGAACAGTGGAATGTCAACCTAGTTTAATCAGAATTGCCTTGGTCTCTAATTATGAATGCAAAGGGTGTTAAACTTGTTTTATTCAGCTAGGAAAATGGGCAGTATTTATAACTTTGGGTATATGGCAGAATGTCACGGGAAAAGACTAATGAAAATTCGAAATACTATAGGGGCATACGAGAGTGTTAGGAAACTCGTTCCTTTTTCCATCTGATGTGATAGTTGATAATCATCATCGTAGCGGTCTACTAGATACCAATCCGATTGGTCTGATGTGTGCATCGCTTATGCACACGCTTGGTGCGGGGTATCGCACATACACATGTTGACATCTACTTATTATTATATTAGATTATATCTAATTGCTTAGGATTACATTAGATAAAGGGAAAGAGCCGTTAAATCTAATATAGTGGCTTAGCCGCGTGGCTAATCGCAAGTAATTCGGCTTCCGTCGTTGATATAGTGATAGTCTTCTGCTTGCGTAATTTCTATTTAATTAGGCCACCGAATAGGCAAAAGATAAATCCTTTGGAGCTCTTTCGATTAGGATTATTGCAGAATCATCTGAGTTGCTGCACATTCCCCGGATTACATACAAAAGTCAATGAATTGTAGGCATAAGAACCTATAAGAAGAGATCGTAAGCGGCTCCCCAGTCTCGACGACAACATATAAGACCAAGGCAAGAAATTGATGACAAATCTGGTTGCTAGCGGTAAAATATCCGCTGTCCATTCCGATACCTCCCATTTTTCATATCCCAATTTCATTCACTCTGCAAGCTAACGCGATATATTGCCGGTATTTGCCGCCAACCGTGGCTGTTCAATGACAGATGTGAAAGGTCTAATAGCCCTAGACGGAGTAAGCGGCTATTGCAGTGTCGAAGGCACCCGTAATCTGAGCTTGAATTGCGATCCCCCCGGCTTTTAGGAGAAGGGGTTCGGCTGCATTCACAGCATTGGAGAAGTCGGTGAAGGCCGTATTGAGAGCCTGGAGATCGCTTAAAATCAAAGCTGTGCCGCCTGGAATAGCGGCCCAAGCTTCATATTGAATTTCAATAGAAACCACTGTGCTCAGGAGCGTAGGAACTAGCACTTGGATGTCGGCAAGAATAGTAGTTCCAGATACAGTGTCAAAGGAGCCCGTGTTTTGGATATCTGAAATCGTACCCTTCACGGTAGCAACAAGCCTCTGAATATCGTCATTGATAGTCACTGCTCCGGTTAAACCGCTAGCGGGGAAGCCAGAGACGTCGTTGTTAAGCGTTGTTATTTGCGGGCCAATTTTTTGGGTTATATCGTTCTGAACCGTAGTGGCATCACGACGAAGGATAGGTGTGGCGGCAGCTGTTAATGCCAGAACGAGAAATTTAGCAATAAGTACCATCTTGTTTGTTTTTGGTAAGGCAATTGAAGTAAAACGAGAGGGATGTGAGAACACAGAGAGTGAGGTCCTTTTGCCCTATTTATACTACGATAGCTCGAACAAAGGTAACACTAGGGTAGTAGTAGTAACTCGTGGTGTAGCCAGGCTTACTCTGGATATGCGCAATTGCCTAACTTACTACTAATTATGTGCTACTATTCTCACTAGCTACACCCTGACCTGACGAGAAGGGGGAATATAAATGTATTCCCTACTAGATCTTCCCGCGAAATGCTAGTCTAGCCTCAGAACTAGCACAAGGTTTTCCTGTATTGGTCAAGGTTCCACGAGCGGATGCCGGGTTTATTCGCTAGCGAAGCTAGATTTCAATAGTCTTGAACAACTATCTAAGACTTCGGCATACAGAGACCTGGCTTCACTAGAACAATAGGTGGGCCATTCTGTCGATGTGCTGTACCCGTGCACTTGAGTCGGATAACCGCCGGGGGAGAGCTAGAGCGCTTTTGTTCCTAGTGAACTCGGTGTTGAAGAGCAGCATAAGTGTGTCGAAGATTCCCACTATCGATAGTATGTAAGTGGGACCTTGGGCTCTCAGCCCAGCCACGCCATCAAGAATAATAATGAATTTCCAGGGTAGAATCCTCTGGTCTCTTGCCGAACATCTCCGTTCCTTAACTTTTGTGACCAGATCGAGATACGAGACGATCACAGATCGACCCCGCTTTTCAAGGTCTGCCTTGAGGTCTTGCACGGTCTTTGATTTTTTGAGCCGACCGGGACAGGGCTTTGGTACCCCTTCTCAATGCCCCGGCTATCTGTGGTAGGCCATAATAATAGAAAGAAGAGTTTCCTATTCCGGATCTTGAACCACGGACGGCCTCTAATCTGTATCTAAGCTACATGCTTAATTCGATGTATAGAAGTAGAACCACACAAGAAAGATCTATGCATACAGTGTATCTATTCACAATAGCAAATGGTGGGCAGCATAGCTTGTTTCGAGAATCAAGCGCGTCCTCCGTACTGTTACGGAAATTTTTGATATGAAGCTATTCTCATATTCTCAGGACTTGGAAGTTACCTTCTGTGGACACGATGGAGCTCCTGCGGTATGCCGGCAGCAGATCGGTGGCTCACGTGAAGGGTGACATCGACTTTTGAACAAAGGGCCATCTTCCCGGGTAGGTATCGTCAATAGTAGAATGTGCCTAGTAGAAGATAGAAGATGAATCAAGACTATTGAAATCTCGTTCCGCTAGTGTATTATTCCAGTATCCACTTCTGGAGACTTGACCGATGTGGCAGATCCTTGTGCTATTTCTGAGCTTAAGTCAACATTTCGCTGAAAGATCCTGTGGAGAATGCGTCTCGCCAGTTACAGTCAGCTTTCAAAAGTATTTGGAACACGCTACAGTACATGCCCCACTTATTTTTCTGGCCAGTTTTACAACCTAATCAATTCAATATTTCAATAAATAGTATGATATCCTTGGTATCTAATGACTTCCTCAACATAATGATTTATTGCTTTAGGTAGCTTATCAATGTAGCGAATACTGTAAGCGAATTTACTAGATGCAACTGCTTGCGTGTGGACGCGTGTGGCTACTGTAGGTAGGCGGTGTACGCAAGCAGTAGGGGTAAGGAAACTGTGTTCCAAATTCTTTTGAACGGCCACTGTAGGTGCAGATTAGGGGGCAGTACAGTGCGGCGGGCGGTCAAGCGCCGTCCAAAGTTACGGGTGGAAAGGCGGCCGTTTCTGGCGCCAGAGGTTGACATTTTCGGCGTCGATTTCACAAGCCCCTATATTGTATATGTAAAAAAAGAACTAATCTATCGTAACTTGGGTAGGCTTCAATGCTTACATACTTTCCGCATGGATTTTTCTGCTACTGATCTTTCGATCATGCTGATAATTGTTTCTTTTTCCCTATAGTCTCCTCAGAGAGGTGTACGGAGTATATTCCTGTTTGATCGAATAAAAAGGGTTGTAGCTCCGAGGTCGGGGCTACGTTACGCTTCGCGCCCAGGCACGATGGGTTTCAATTAACTTTGGCTTGGTTGGCTAGGCTAGACTAGATAATGTACTTACGAAATTTTTCAAAATCGCGAACCTAGGTCGCTGTTTATACACAAAAGGAAATTTGTTTCACCAAGTAAATACCTCCCCCGTCGGACCGGGCTCATCGCCCTCCCTGTTGTATCTTATCGTGATCCGCTTTTGCTCATCAAATTGAGGCGACAAAGATCTCACCCGAGCAGACAATGGAATGTCCGAGGGGTGGTAATCCGTGCCGGGCGAAATGTTTGCTGCAGTCTCTTCAATTCTCACAATGCGATTGGCGATGCGCCCTGCCATCTCAGAGTCCCCAAAGTCCCTCGCGCCGTTGGCAGTATGAAAGCAGAAAAATAGCCTGGTGGCGCGTGGAAGACTCACGACAGCGAGTGGCACATATGTAAAGGGGCGTGACGATACCGAGAGACAAAGAAAAGATCGACGAAACTGACTTGGCAGGTTTGGGGCGAAGAGGAGGAAGAGATGTTGGCTTGCTGGTTGGCAAGGGTGTAGGTTCGTCTTCAGATGGACTTCCTGGTGAAGACGAACGCATGAAAAGAGTAGTCGCCGAGACTCCAAACATCTCGGCGACGAGAGAGGTAACAGACGCGAAATCAACAGCAAATCTGTCCCAGCTGAGCTCCGAAGGGGGCCATTCTAGACGAAGAAGGATGCTGATCGTTGCTCTCCAAACTTTGAGTATTGACACTAGGAAGCTATCACTGTCGTCGTAAGATTTGGGCCGATCTACCCAATTGTCAAAAACGGTGACCCAGGTTTTCAAATCCGAGAGAATTTGGAAAAATTCTGTTTGAATGTATTGAACCTGAGCGACGAATTCAAATGCTTGATCCCTTGTGGTATCTTCAAGCATCTCACAAACGGCTTCGAAGCGAGTAAATCGATTGTAGAGAACTTGAAATGAAGCAAGAATCTCTTCAACGCTTGACGGTGGTCGCGATGGGTCAATGGCATAGTGCTGGAATGAATATAGAATGGCTGGACACAGCTCACTCGCAAGTATTTCATCACCATGTATCTCCAATATCTGATTCTCTAAGACGCCAAAAAGCAAAGTGATAGTCTCTGGTGGCATGTATCTAGACAAGGCGGGTCCATCTGCCAGCATTTGCTGCTGTTTTATAATCTTGAGACCAGAGATCGCATGCCGAAATGCGGACTTGTAATTACTTTGAAGACACTCAAAGCAGAAAAAGAGTATGCAAGCAATGAGAAAAGTGTCGTTTGTTTGAGGAGAAGTTTGGGGTTTCACGGCGACAAGCTGACGAATTGCTTTATTGTAATGAAGCAAGGTGAACTGAGTTGTTTCACGAGGTGCAGAGAGCCCCTGTTGATCGAATACAAAGGTACGATGGAGAGAGCCAATGGCAATTGCAACGGTCCGAATGATTGGCTCGTTGTACGCTGCCTGGAGCAAGAATGAGCCGATCTGGGAACCAAAGCAGTTTTTGGTATGCAACTGGAAGAACTCTAATGCACGATATTCGGCCTCGTGAACGAGCTCGGGGGATTGTGGGACCTGCCACATCAGAGTCGGTTGCAAAATACCGGGGACGTGTTGAATGATTCGAAGGGCATCTCCAGGGCTTGGGCTCTCGGACCCCGAGTGGCCTTGAGGGTCTGGATAGCCGCTGCAAGATCGCCCTCTAGAGACGCATTTGTGACAGGCAGGTTTTTCTTCATCGCATTTGACGCGGCGGATTCTGAAGCGGTTGTCAGTTTCTCCGCGAGTGCGTCGGAGTAACAACGAAGTCTAGGACTCATGGTGGTTCTAGATACATACTTGCAGGTGATGCAGCCAGTGCGAGATCTACCCTTTGAGACTCTCCGACTCGATCCAGTCATGCTGCAATGTGGGATACGCGGGCAGGCCTGTGGCTCGCTACTAGCAAGAGAAGCCGGTGGAACTCAATCCTAATTCCTTTTGTTGGCGTCATTTCGCCCCCATGCGATGAGTTTCAGCCCCCATGACGGCTGGATGCCAGGTGGTGAAACTAAGCCTATTATGTCTAGCGTAACCGAGGGCTCCTTGATCAATGGTGAGCATACCTCAGGCTGACGCTGGAACTGAAGAAGCATAAATGAGGCTAATACACCTCCCTCCACTCTCATTCTGGCAGCCTTATAATTAAAGATCCACAGACCTACGTAGGTTTCTCCATACTTACCTCTTCTGGGATGGCGTAGACGAAATATCCAGTCAATAGAATATCTTGGTGATAGTGCTGACTCTACCGAGAGCTCAACCTGGGGGGCTGAAAGAAAAGGAGTATTGCCGACGGGCATACTATGAGGCTGAGAGCGAATTATCAAATATTGCATGAATTGATATAAAAGCAGAAGCAATCCGGAAATCTTAGTTCCTCATTCTACACAAGCTTCCTTCTTATCTTTCCAACGGGGTCATTTTTCCAGTGCCGATGCTGTCGAAATCTGTCTGTCTCGGGGCCTTCAGGCTAATTCCGATGTGTTTGGCCATACCTCACTCTGTGCCTGCCCGGATTGATTTTGATCACCGGGTGACTCCCAACATGAAGCCGAGACATGTTGTGGAGAAACTTTCAGAAGCGAATGTGGGTTTGTCTCATTCTTGTTTTCCTCGAAATCACGAGTACTCATGACCCTACAGAACGTCTGGTTTGGAAGTTTCGATGTTGGAAATTCTAAGAACCTGACTCTCCTCATCGACACCGGCTCCTCTGACGTTATCGTGAGCCCCGGACTTTACAAGGGCGGGCCTCATTCTGTCGATACCAGCTCGACATTTGCCAACACTTATGGCACCACAGAGAGTGATGGCTCCGAACCGGAACAGTACGCACACATATAGTCTATCCATACTTGAAGGGAGATTGACCACCCGAGACATCACAGGTTACAGGTACATTGTACAACGATACCGTCAAGTTTGGTTTTGTCACTGCGTATCAGACCATTGGATCCGTGCAGCCTGATGCGAACGTCGAGGCTTTGATCCCTGCCGATGGCATCGTGGGGTTCGCTGGCCTGGAGGTATCTTCTTTCCATGGGGCACCCCCTTTCTTCCATAGCCTGTGTGAACAAGGAGAAATGTCTCCTTGCCGATTTAGTATCACTCTAGGGAACACTGAAAAGGGTACCCTGTTGTTAGGTGCTCTAGATCAGGCGCTGTTTATGGGAGATTTGAGCACCACCTCTATTATTCAGGAGTGGGCACTTTATGCCGACATTGCTCTCAATGGAAAGATCTCAAGAAGGATGCGTTAGCAGAGTTGGATACAGGAACTGCCACAGTTATTGGGTAAGCCTTGATCGTCAATTTGGATGTAGAAGTTACTGATTTATGTTTAGTCCGCTTGATGATGTGATTGCAATCTTCAAGGCTGCATCTATTCGATATGTCATCCAAATATCTGAGGATTCTGGTACCTCCGTCACTGGGTACTTCCCCTGTGATCGACCGCCCACCTTGGAACTCTCGATTCCTTCCCAAAGTAACGCAACCGCTGCTGCAAAACAGAACTCAAAGCTTGTCAGCCATCATAGCTCGACTTTCAATATTGCACCAGATCAGTGGATTGCTGCTGATAATAGGAGCAACAATTGCACAGCAATCCTTTCTGGGACAGATGCTTTCCCTATTCCCGATTTGTGGGTAGTTGGCCAGCGTGAGTTTTCCAGGCTGTATCTTAAGTGGATTTGAGAAACTGACACAATTTACTCAGCATTCTTCCACGGCACTTACGTCGACCATAACCTAAAGGACGGTACGTTGGGCTTTGCTCCAGCGAGATGTACAAACTAATAATTTCGCTCGGGACGAAATCATGAGACGAGAGAAGTATGGACCCTCCTCGACAGGCATATAATATTAGGCTATTATTATTATGTAGTTCAGCGATGCTTGTTTTCGGTATACACTACGAACTTAGGTCATATTTTTGGGAAGCGAACAGCTTCCATTCGGTACTTAATGAATCTACGGCCCGGGATGTGGCCTTTGATTCGAATACCAAAACAATCTACTTTCAAATAGAATACCTGAAGGCCCCGTCCTGCTTATCTGTCAGGTCAGTCTTAGGTAACCCGTTTTTGTCCAGGTCGAAGTCTTGAACCATATCGCTAGTGCCAGTAGAAGCACGTGCATCACGCTCCTTGTTGTCCACCGTACATAAGAGTCGGTAGATAACGACAGCAACGAATAGCAGGCACCATGTCACGATGGAAGTTATGACGCCTTCGGTATAACGTGGTTTGTGAGTCCATAATTGAGGAGAGCCAATACATCCAGCGCAGTAACCAATAAAGAACATGGTGTTGACAATGGCCCGCTTGGTATTTCCTTTGACGTTTGAAGCGGCGAGGGAGAGGAGAATCGACATGGTTGCAGTGATACAAGAAGCCTTGATCAGAACGAGTCAATTTAGAACACCAATGACAAATTTTGAGAATCAGACTTACCACCCAGGATGCCACAATAAGGCCCCATCCCGCACTTGTATCAAGTTTGTATAGAAATATTGTGCCAATGAATGGCGGGAGAATGAGTACTAAGATAACGAGAGTCCGTTGACGCGGGAAGAAGAACACAAGTGAAGTCCCGACCCACAACAACGCAATCTGAACGGCCCCTGAGGGTGCAGTGTATAGCATAGTGTCCAGCTTGCTATAGCCGATGGTATGTATCATCAACGATGCAAAGGTCAATACTGGTGATTGCATTGTCACGAGTACGCCGAACCAGAATACCATCCACGCCTTCGGGTCCATGAGCGTTTCTTTCAGTTGTGATATGGAAAATGATGTCTTATCGCCACCATCGCGATCCTCGGCCATGCGTAATGATAGAATCTCTTTTTCACGCGCACTCAGGAACCACGCATCCTTTGGTCCGTTGGGCATGAGTGTAAAGAAGCCAATGCCAGCAACGATGGTCAAGGCACCACAGATGAGGAATAGGATGCGCCAGGGGGCAATAGAGAGGGACGTATTTTTGCCAATACCGTACATAAGCAAGCAGCCAATGACTTGAGCTACTCCATTCATTGTGATCCAGAGTGCGGTTCGCGTCGTATGCTCCTTTTTGCGGTACCAGATGCTCGTGATTGTGACGAAAGCGGGAGAGACAGCTCCTTCGCTGAAGCCCAGAAGAAAGCGGACGGTAGCAAAACCAGCGAAATTGTTAGGAGCTGCCAGGCACATACACACAATTCCCCAGATAATTCTATATTTATGGAACAGGTTAGTAGGCTGTCGCAGGGGATGCAGACGATGAAGGATATGACCTATCCAACTCACACCGTAGCGCCAACAAACTTGGTGAGTGGCAGTCGGCTCATCAAGTAAATGAAGGGATATTCCGAGACAAGCTGGCCAACGTAGAAGATGGAGCTAGACCACGAATATTGAGTGCTGGTCATATTGAGGTCTTGAATGAGACCGAATACGGCCGCATAGCTTAGGCTTTGTTTGTCGAGATACTGCAGGAAGAAGACAAAACACATCTACATCGCGGTCGCATTAGCTTCTCAGAATGTGAAGGTCATGGGGGTGGTCTGCTCACAAATGGTAAAATGACCATGTCAATTTTGCGCAAAACTGCCTTCTCTTCCTCCGGGGTATATTGGTCGCACATGCCGATGATCTCTCCATCTATTCGAGGATCCTCTTTTTTCGAGGGGCTAGAATTCTTGGAGCTCGCCATGACTGAGCGATGTATCGGCCTTGGCCTGGGATTTCCAAAGCAAAGTATTGAGCAAGGCCCCTCGAAATGCAGATTGCAGCTAAAAACCTTAGTCTGCTCAAAATCGAACACTCAGACTAAAAGATGCTCGTGGCTTCGAGAGAGAGAGATGAGAGGATGGTTATATGTCGGCAGAGCACCCATTTCGACTCACCCCGGATTTCCCCCAGATATCAGCGGACCGACCTCCTATCTCCCACAGATATGGAAGGGATTGACCGGCAGTGTCTATGACTCCACAGATACAACCGGAGGTGCATCGGCCCGATGACAATAATGTGTCGGGAAACTGGCTTTTGATGACCAACTTGCCGATCTTCCTCCACTCTGGGCGGGACTGTGTCACAACAGCTATCGGTCGCTTGAGCGACTCATTATTATTTCAGAGCGAGGACTCCTAAAAGTCAGCAAAATTTACCTTTCTCTTTATCATTCTCTTATTCGCTGTCTGTTATCATGTCCGACCTCGATCAGGTACCAGGATCCGACATCAAGCCTTGGGCTCGCTCAGAAGCCCAAGGCTATTGTTTCACAAACGCCAATGTTGTCGATGTGCTAGCGGGGAAGCTCTTGGAAGGCGCCACTATCATCACCCGCCTGGGTAAGATTGAATCAGTGGCACTCTCCCCTCCAGAACCTCTTCCGACCGATCTTACAATCATTGATTGTGAGGGGCGCTATCTTTGTCCCGGTCTCTTTGATGCCCACGTGCACCTTTGTGCTGTTCCAGGGTTCAAAGATCTATCAAAGGCATTTGGAAACCCAAATGATGTCCATTTGCTTCGACAACCTTACACGGCGGCTCAGATGCTGCATCGAGGCTTCACCAGTATTCGTGATTGCGGTGGTGCCCAGCTTGCGATTAAAGAAGCTATCGAGGATGGTGTCTTTCCTGGGCCTCGGATCTTCATCTCCGGTCATGCATTGTCTCAATTCGGAGGACATGGCGATCTTCGAGGCTCGCATGAACCTACCGAGTGCTGCGGAGGCACCCATAGCAACAACCATCTCGGCCGAATGTGCAATGGCGTGCCGGAATGCATGGCTGCTGTCCGCGAGGAAATTCGCTGCGGCGCTGATTTCATCAAAATTATGGGCTCTGGAGGTGTTGCCTCTCCCACAGATAAGCTAGAGCACCTCCAGTTCACGTCTGCCGAAATCCGGGCTATGGTTGAATGTGCAGATAACGCTGGGACTTTCGTCACTGCCCATGCCTATACAGTGAAAGCCATCAGGCACTGCATTGATAACGGCGTGCGAGGAATTGAACATGGAAACTTCGTCGATCCACCAACTGCCAAGCTGATGGTAGAGAAAGGAGTTTATCTCACACCCACCCTCATCGCTTATGCCCAAATGGCGTCGGAACGCTGGAAGGGATATTTGCCCCCAGAGTCTCAGGCGAAGAATTCCCAAGTCTTGCACTCGGGTCTTGAAGCCCTTAAGATTGCTTCCGATGCAGGTGTCAAAATGTGTTATGGCTCTGACTTGCTCGGTCCGTTAGGCTCTGCTCAGACACAGGAGTTCTCCCTTCGGTCACAAGTCTTGTCTCCACTTGAGGTATTACAAAGCGCGACAATTAACCCGGCGAAGATGATGAGCTGCGAGAATTTGATTGGGCAGATCAAGAAAGGGTTTCATGCAGATATCGTTGTTCTGAGTCAGAATCCTCTCGAAGATGTAACTATCTTTGATAACCCTGATAAATATGTGCTTGGAGTGATGAAAGATGGTCGGGTCTACAAAAGCCGTTGGAGTACCTTGCCCGAGGACTGGGAGATTCCGGTGCGAGTAAAGTATAACTGAGAACCCATAACAACAATCACGGGGTATATGTTTATTTAGAATATAAAATTATAGGCCCGAACATGCCCACTACTACCATTACCTTAAAATTTAGACTCTTCTCTATCTCAGTTTGTTGGTAACATAGGGTTAGAAAGCGGATAGAAAAACACGACATATGCCTTGAAGAAACTGGTCACTTACTGGTTGCCCTCGTCGACATTGAGCTGCGCAAAGACCTGGGTGAGACCCTAGAATGGAACATGGAATTAGTATAACCCTTGTCTATTGTAGGTACACTCTCGGGCTCCCATAGCAACTCCAGACTGAGCCCGAGGCTCATCATCCGGGAGATGTAATAGGCCATCATTCCTGTAGGCAACTGGGCAGGCCTTGGTCACACCTGTTGCAAGTCTTCTTGCCGAACTTTTCCTCATATTCACCATTTTCAGCATTATTCTCGCTCGACGCTCCGCAGTTAACTTCACAGTTTCATCACCGGTCTCCTCACCTTTTCTGTTACCTGCCATATGATCACGATCCACAAAATGAATGAGAGAAGCGTAGAAGGTAATTGTATCGGTCAGTAGTCTCTAATTCATCTACCTCGTTCAAAAATCCTCCCGACGAGGGCGAACAGTACGTGATCAGCGGCGCCGAGGTGAATTCCGCGGCAGTTTGTCAAACTATTCTTCGGGAGGGATCCTTGGTAAGTAACCGGATGATGATGGACCTCTTTCAACTTCACTGACGAAACTCTCTGTGCCAAGGATTCCCGCTCTGCACTCCCTCAATTCCGGTTAATAAACTAAAGGAGGAGATGGAAGAGTCTGGTTAGATCTCTTTCGGACCATTCCGTGTGCTGTCTATGGCGCCGAGCTTCATACCTGCATCTTTCCACCCCCGGTGGCGCAGAGTGGTGACGCCGCGCCGCGCCCAGGCCCTGGCGCAGTTGAATGTCGACGAGGGCGAACAGTAAGCGATCGGTTTCTTCGAGTCTTATGTCTTTTTTTCCTCTTCCTCGTGTTCCTCCGGAAAATTGAAGCTGCCACCACTGAAGGCACACCTATTCCCCCGGTGGAAGCGACAGTCAGTCTGCCTGAAATATTGGAATGTGTGATGCCGTCACATCTCACTAATCACTAGCATCTTTATTATTCTGTACTACCAGCATACTAACACAAAAATTTCATAGAAAGCGAGTCGGCAACACCTCCGACAACGACAGAAGCCCCGAAGAGTGAAGGGGAGGTGTGCTAGATTCTCTCGTGTGGGCCATACGGTGTCAAAATTCGAGTGGGCATGGCGGCGCATGGTTGGTATATTGTGCCAATCGAAGCCTTCATGAAATTTGATCAGATGAATATCTCGCATCCGCTCTTTGACACCCGCTCTTTGGCACCACTTCAATTAGGCTGGTTGAGCCCATCAGGAGAAAAGGTGACAGGCCTGGCTGGCAGCTGATACTCATTACCCATGCGACTATTGTAAAGTTTGAAGAAACATATGTATAGATGAAAAAAGGGGGGACCTGTGAAATGATCTAACGCGATGGTCGTCGTTTCCAAGGATGATAACGTTCGACATTCTTACAATTGATCTGTCAGTCCTGAAAAGTCTAGAGCATCCAACCCGGTAAGACCCATCAATAAAGTCTGTTCATCTCCCTGGAGCCCTGAGAATAAATACTGGTCCGTGGCTTCTAACCATTGATGGTCTATTGCCTCCCTGCTAGGGCGCCGCAGTGGCGAAGCTGCACTGTCAAAAATTTCATCATCGATAGCTTGCCAAGGTGGTAATGGTCCAGAAGCAGACTGAGACATTGACCATGCGTGCAATTGCCCCGGTTCATTCAGAGTGCGGCAAGATGCATCCTCTTGCTCCTGTACAGTGAGCCACTCAGCCCATAGGTTGTAAGCAGAGGTTGAGTTGGGGTCCACATCCTCCTCATGCCTTTTCTCGTTGGAGCTGGCGCAATGAAGTTTCTCCGCAGCTTCATTCGTAATGGAGCGCACAGCTTCGACAAACCTGACACCCATTTGAGCAGTCATATTCCCTGCGGCCATTTTTCGAAGACAATCCAGGCCGAATGCTACTCGAGCTTCGTATCCTGAGTCACGATCTAAGATCCCAGCAACTAGAGTCACTATAGTTGCGATACTGCAACCTTGGAAGTCGGTGAAAGAGAAACGTGTCATGTTTTGGGTATTGGTCAAATTTTCGAATAGTTGTAGAAGTTTTCTGGCTGCTTTTGTGCAGGAATCGGAAAGTCTCTTCATGATGTCACAAACTTGGGGTGCATGGCGCTCGGGAAGGAGATGCTGCCGAAGCCTGGCCCGTGCCACAGTCACAAGTGAGACCTTGCCCATGGTAATCCATGAATAATAGTAATTCAGGTAGAGGTGGAACACTGTGCGATAGCTTGGTGCTCTTGGATCGATACGATCCAGCTTGAAATTCTGAGGCAAAGATCTCTTCCACTCTTTGAGATCCGCCTCCCACTTGGAACAATGGGAAAGCTGCTCTGGGTTCATTTGACCATCTCTGGTAATTATTAGGGCGGAATCAACTGATATCAGAATTAGACGTACCCAAGATCAGCAATTTGATCAAGTATCTTGATCAATCGACTGTACGCTATTTGAAAGTAGATATTGTCATAGGTTTGAAGGCGGTCCAGAGGGGGGGTACGGGGACGGAGGCAGCGCTGTAATTATCTCCGCACTGATGGAACGTGGTCTGTTGAGCTTCACTGTAGTGCAGCTGTCAAAAGTCTCAGCGACAGGAAGCAAAGAAATACATCGAGCTTGTGACTCACCGTTCGAGGGAATAGATTGACCACCAAAGACGACGCCGGACCTCCTTTTCTCGCTCATCTATTCCTTGATCCTCCAGGTTCAGATGGAGATCAAAAGTTAGTGCTTTTCGCAGAGCAATACCCATATACACATAAGATGAGCCGATCGCATTTGCCGGCATGAGATATACGCCGAGGACGAATGGTGCCTGGATAGATCGCAAGCATGATCTATCTAGTATGTCAGGCATGAGGGCCTTGGCATGGTAGTAGAACAATCTTCCAAGATCAGAGCTTTCCCGATTGCGGATAACATCGGATCCTTCCGGTCGTTCCAGCGTTGTCCACTGGCTAGCGAGAGCGAAGGTGGCCATTGCTAGGCAAATAAAGCTTGGATCGGATCTTAAGCTCGAAGACGGGCTCGTGAAGAATTCATCAATTTCACTTGTTAATTGAGCTTGATCAAAGTAGAAGAACGTGTCTGTCGCGTGCTTTGTGAATACGGACAGAAGGAAGTCGGAGACAGGGCGTGGAGGAAATGCGTCTATTGCAGCACGAACCCTAGTCAACTCGTAAGGATGCAATGCCTTGGGCTTAATCATACGCTTCCAAAATGTGAGAGTCAAGACTTCGAGATGAGGGAAGTAATGTACGAACTGCTTGCATCGCGACCATGTCGCGTTCTTCTGGGGCTGGTTGCGGGTCCAAGGAGAATGCTTCGCGAAGCCGTGAAAGAATATTGGGCCACTGAACTCGTTTTGAGTTATCAGCAACGACATGCTTAATGAGGCCCTGCGACAATGCAGACTCTGGTGATAACAGCTCATGAGTTTCAGCAGGGATGTTATCCCGAGGGCTGTCCCTGTCATGGCTAGATAAGACCTCTGCTGCATTCGAGTGAGAATGCAAAATTTGGAAATCCTCATCCAAAGGAGATTTTTCTCTACATATCAGTAAGCAAATACGATTTGTGTAGACGAGAAGATCCAGACGAGTCATACTTTTCGAATTTGCAATGGAGATTTCCAGTCAAACATCTCTGGCATTTACCGGAGCTCGATTCCACACACTTGCTTTTACGAGCTTTGCAGTGATCGCAACTTTGAGACTCGGTAAGTATGACTGAGTGTGACCTTGACAACGCTGATTGGGAGGTGTGCATACGCTCGAGCAGCTCGTTTTCGATTCTCTTCGGCAACTCGTCGACGCTTTCTCCTCCGAGCTGCGGCAGATGGATCCATTCCTTACGAGGCAATATGTCCAGTTACCGACCATGTGTGGGGCAACAAGCTCTTTCAACGCTGTTCTGGACTCTCGATGCTCTGCACAGCGATACAGGGAAGTCGCAAAGCGTATGCTATTGCCGGCAGCCCGGTTGTCGGCACTCTGGCTCGGGTAGTTGTACTCCTTGACTTATCTCCCTTATCTATCCCCGCAGGTCCCACAGTGGCTAGAGACCTCCGCGAAAGTCCCGCAAAACCTCCGTGGAGAACCAACCCTCTCCACGTTGGACGCCAACTCCATCGGCCTAAATTCCGCTTGGGGGTCAGCTCTTTTCGACTCAACGACTGGAAAATTGGTATGGAGCTTGTTATCGCTCAACCTCAATGTTATTGAAACGAGGATTGGAGCGTGAGTCGTGTGACTTCTGCTTTCGACGCAAAATCAAATGCGATCGGTCATCTCGCGTAAGAGAGGGCCACGACTCATGTTCCCAATGCGATCTAAGGCAAAGAACATGCACTCTGGACTCTGATGATGTCCGAATACACCGACGCCGCAAGATGGGCCGCGATAGCGCGGATTTGGAGGGAAGCAGCCTGGTCTCAACTCTTTCCGAGCAATCCTTGAACGACCGGGGCACAGTTACTCCTCCGCCCCTAGGCGATAATACATCATTACTGCTATCACCCCAAACCATTATGGCTGCAACATTAACTCCCGATGCCAATACCGAATCTCCTCTATATGCTTCAACCAGCGAGTCGCTGTGGACAGACCTGGATCTTCAACTCAGCTCTGAAAGCCTTTCCTTTCTGGATGAGGTATTCATGCAAGGCTTTGCTCCATCGGAATCAATTGCCAATATAAATGATCAGTCAAACAACTGCTCAAGAAATGCCAACGAGATTATGGAAGGGGCGATGGCAAATCAAAATCCTTACGAACTCCAAGGAATTGACTCCGGCACCTTAGAGGCAGCTCTCACCGGGTACTTTGATTTCGCATCTCTAGTTCTCCCCATCATTCACAGGGATGCGTTTATGGCAGACTATGAGAGCCGTCAAAGTAGCTCCGCTCTCGTTTTTGCAGTTGCGTGTCGAGGTTGTCCCTTCATTTCCGTGCCGGACAAGTGGAAATTGCAGCAGCAGTTTGCCTGTGGCTTCAGGTTGGCATTCCTTGAAGCGCAAAATGATGCACCATCTAAGCAAACCATTAAACTCGATGAACTTGAAGCACTAGTACTCATGGTTGACTTTACCTACGAATCAGATGGGAACACTGCTACCGCCCTTCACTCACAACTTGGCGCCTTGTTCCTGACACACGAATCTCTTGTCCTAATGACGCTGCAGTACCGAATTCTATCCCCTCCAGCGCTCCAAAGAGCTGCGGAGCGCAAAGCCCTTCTACTATGGCACGTTTACGGGCTGGATGCATTCTACTGTCTGGATCACGGGGTAATGTCTCGGATACAAGAAGAGGACATTGAGGACGTAAAATCTACCGGAAGCTTTACTGGACATGAGACGAGGAGCTATCTTGATACCATGCTCTCATTGGCCTCTATTGCTCGAAGGATAACACGCAAAATCTGCAGTCCTGGAGCTAAGCGCAAAGGAGTTAAACTCCAGGATGTTGAAAACCTGTATGAGCAGCTCTCAAAATGGGGGCAAGATTCATGTCCGTCTCGGCTACGCGTTACAGGGAACATCAGCTCTGATCTTGCGGAGCGAAAACGAGATAGCCAGCCCTCGACCACAGTGAGCACAAATTTGCTGCACCGGACAGTGATCTCACTGTTGGAGCTGAATTGCTACATGGAAATTGAGAGGTGCCTGGATATTGGCGTTCAAGACCGGGCATCTGCCGAGGGTGAAGCGCTTGAACTTCGTATTAGATACGAGACTTTGAGGGCAGCCAACAAAATCTACCAGGCAATAGAATGCATGGAAACCGTCAAGGACTGCGGGCAAGTTATAACAGGGCGAAATCGGTACTCCCTGGTTGATCTTTCGCCAGGTATTCTGCGCAACATGTGTGCCGGTGCCTCATACTGGTTTTGTAACCATGCCCAAAAGCTTTTACATCAACAATCATTGCTTGGAGCTGAGAACTCGGTACACACACAGCATTGCAAAGACCTATCCAGACAAAGGGCCGAGGATTATCTGAACAAAGCGACCAAGCTACGGGATACCGCGGCAACAGCTGTCTCGCATATGGACACCGCGGAGGTTGTCAGTCGGGTGAACGAACAGCTAGAAGTTTTGAAGGTGTTGGTTTCACAGTCTTAAGCTCAAAAAGGATAGCTCGATTTTGGACCTCAGTGCCCGCGCCGAGAAGGTACCGTGATGATCCCGTCGAACCTCCGTCCGCGAGTCCGGGGTACTAAAACTTGAGATATTGTTTGAGTATATATATAATCTTTCAGTTGTTATACTCTATTTTCATTTCTTCAGACTACTTGTTTATTTTCCCCCCTGCTGAAAGCCACTTGATCTTGCGAGTCTAGTCGAAATGGCTGGCTTCCTTCTTGGCCCTACTTTCCAGCCACCGTCAGGGCTCTTAAATTCCCTTGACGTGAGAGCTGTGACTGCCAATCTGTCAACCTCCTTGATTCAGGCTATTAATCATGGTCACAGCAGCTATGGAGACTTCGCTGCCGATTCTTCCTCAATCTCCATCACGGCGTTGTCCACCCAGGATGACCAGAACTCTCCCTTGTTTGATTTTCATTTTTCATCGCCTTCTTTGAACCAGTCAGCTGGTAGTACTAAAACAGTGACCAATACATCCATGTACAGGATTGGTAGCATTTCCAAGATCTTCACTGTGTATACTCTTTTGGTCAACTACGGTTGGGAGCATTGGAACGACTGCATTATGGAGTATCTGCCTGAACTTCAAGATGCTGCTGATCTCAATCACGACCCTTCGGTTGCGCATGTCGACTGGAGCAAAATCACCATTGGAGATCTTGCCTCGCAGCTATCTGGTATCGGCAGGGACTGTGAGTTTTGTATGAAAAAGAGACGAGAGCGCAAAAGCTAATTCTTAGCAAAGATTCCTATGGGGACTTGGCCAGTCTTGATATCCCTTGGACAGAAGCTGGACTACCTCCACTATCCCCAGATGATGTCCCACAATGCGGTGGTAATGCTAGCATGCCACCATGCAATCGCGACGGTATCGTGCTCCTTATCCACGTTGCTCATCATTCATACTCATCGCTTCTCTTTCTAGAATACTTCCACGGTCTACTTGGAAGAGCGCCAGTTTTCGCACCGCAAACGACCCCTGTCTATTCAAATACCGCCTTCCGACTACTCGGATATATCATACAAGCAATTAGTGGTACTAGGTTGGACAAACTGCTACAGTCTTCAGTCCTTCGACCTTTGAATCTGACAACTACCACCTATGCAATCCCTACGGACAGGGGCTCGTGGGTAATACCAAATGGCGAGAGCGGGTGGTATCAAGACACGGGTGACGAGACACCGTAAGTAACAGGAATCCTCCATGCTACCGACCTCTGCTAAATTATGTGAAATAAAGTACCGCAGGGATATACTCATCGTCGTCAGATTTGGCAAAGTTTGGCCGTGATATTCTGCTCAGCACGCAGCTTTCTCCGATCGAAACTAGGCGCTGGATGAAGCCAAGCTCCCATACTTCAGGTCTTTCTTTATCCGTGGGTAGCCCCTGGGAGATCCTGCGGTCCAAAAGCAAGATAACCCATGGCCGCACTATTGACTTGTACACCAAGTCCGGAAGTATTGGACAATATAACTCGCTGCTAGTGATCTCCCAGGACTACGGCGTTGCGCTTTCGATCATGACCGCCGGTCCAAGTAGCGCGGCGGTTATTGAAGTCGCTTCCGAAATGGTCCTCCAGACTCTGATCCCGACTCTGGAGGATCAAACTCTCTATGAAGCATGCAAGAGCTTGTGTGGGACCTATCAGTCGTCCGATCCGAGCAAAAACTCGAGTCTTACCCTGTCTATGGACACAAATGGTCTCCAGGTTGAGCGGTGGATCAATCGCGGTGTCGACTTCCTGGCTGTTATTCAGGCTTATGCCTCTCAAACCGGCAGCCCATTCATTCACATGATCCTCCAGACGACGAATCTAGAATATCCGCCAAATATTCAAGGCAAAGATGTTACGTCTCGTCGAGTAGCATACCGGGCAATTTTTGAGAAAGACATGAGTGACTCAACTGGCCAACACCGAATTGTGGACCAAAGCGCGAGACAATGGAGCTCTGTCGATACTCCAATGTACGGGGAGATTGCTTATGATGACTTTGTCATTTACTTCGATCATTCTGGGGTCGCCTTCGCGATAGAACCTCGAGTGATGAGAGAGACCTTGTATAAGGTTGATGGCGGAGCAGGCAACTCTCCTCATTCCACTCAGGTAATTTGAGATACGGGGAACAATTCACATGGATCCTTCGAGAAGCATATCTAGAAACGGAACAACAACCGTCATTGAGCTTGTCACTAAATGAAGTTTATATTCTAGCTTTACCCTATTATCATATCAACCGCAATGCCCCAGATAAGCGTTTCAGCTAAGCCGGTGCAAGCCAGTCAGCCATCTTAGTAAACCTTGAATCCACCAGGCATCAAGGTCTGGAAAACACGCTCAGGATCGTACTTCTTCGCGATGTTAATAAGACGCTGGTGATTCGTGGCGCCGTAGCCCGGGAAGATGGACTGGAAGCCAGCGGCATCACCCATGTAGTTGAAAGCATCATAGAGACCAGCCTTCTGAGTAGCATTGTTAATGGCATAGGTAGTATCCTCGACCCACTTAGCGACGATACCGTCATAAGCCGAGCCAATCCACTCCACAACCTCTGCGTAGCAAAGGTAGACCTGAGTAGGGTCCAGGCCCAGAGCGTTACCACCGCGAGCGTTAGAGGCCTTAATCCATTCGGCGCCGATGGGCTGCCAGTCCAACTGGATGGTGGAGATGTTGGCGGTGGGGATTTGTCTGTACAACTTGGGGAGCTCGTTGAAGAAAGTAGTGTTGATGATGCTGATACCCTTGTGGAGCTCTTCGTAGGTTGTTCCCTTGACGGTTCCAGCAACGAAAACATCACTATAGCAAATGGTTAGCTCAATGTTGGATATTTAGGGTCACACGCTAGTCTCCGTCTTACTTGATATCGGGGACAACCATGGCACCCAATTCAGTTGCAAACTCGGCCACGGTCTTGAAGCCGACAGTGCTGCTGATCGAGGGGATATCGGTGAAAGGCTTGAGAATCTCGGGGTAGCCAACGGTGTCGCTATCGTAGAACAGAATCGCGGAAGCCAAAGTCGAGTCTCCGGGTACCAGAGCAGGCACAATGTGAGTCTTGGGGTCCGAAATGTTGGAGGCATATTGGGCAATAGCCTAGTCTTTGCAGTCAGTAAGGCATTCCAGGTACGCCAGCCATCAAAAGAAGACACTAACAGCAAGGAACTGGTCCACGTATTGGGCCTCCACGGTGTGGGCACCGGCCCAGACCATGGGCGACTTGATGGTCTCAATGTCGAAGCGGGTCACAATGCCAAAGTTGCTGCTACCTCCCTTCAGAGCCCAGAACAGATCTGAGTTGGAAGACTTGTTTGCGTGCACAACAGTGCCATTGGCTAAAACAACCTCATAGTTGATGACAGTGTTGCAACCGAAGCCGACCTGGTTGCCGTAGAAGTTGACACCGCCGGCAAGAAGCAGACCAGGCACACCAACAGGGCCGAGACGACCACCCGCAACGGTGAGGTCGTATTGGGAGAGCCATGTGTAGACCTCACCCCATCTATAAACATTAGTTTCATGGCTCTTTGCGAAAAGGCACGAAATGCGGGACTAACCGGTAAGCGGGACCAAGCGACAGCACGGACTTATCTTGGTTAAGTTCCATGGTGGTCAGGTTGGACATGACGATCAAAACACCGTTGTCGATATTGTTAGAGCCCTGCGATCAATCAGTTAACATGGTCGGATAACCTTTGATCGACATCCTTTAAACTTACGCGGATACCCATGTGGCCGCCACCGCGAACGGCAAATTTGGCTTCAGCATCGACGAGGGCAACCAAACCCTTAGCCAATTGACTACTGGACTGCGGGCGGAACACGCAGCCTGGAGACATAAGCTCAGTGTTCGACCAGAAGTTGTTCGTCTCATACTGATAGACCAGACTATCGATGAAGAACAGCGAGTCTCCAACGGGCCCCTTCAGCGCATTGCAACCCTTGCTGACACGCTTGCTAGAAGTAGTAGCCACGGCAGTAGCGACGGCAGTAGCAGCAAGGCCTGCCAGAGGCAGCGCAATAGAAGCCAAACGCATGGTGAGCTGAATTGTAGAATATTGTTAAAGGGAGCAAGGCACTGGAGAAGAGGAAAAGGGCTACGAATACCTCAGCCGACACAAGAAATAGCTCAGCATGGAAAGAGCACGGGGATTACTGCAATTGGTATCCTCGCCTAGTCGTCCTTTGCCCAATCTATTCCATCGCGCTTCCATTCGACCCGGCTTAGCTCCGGTGTTGGGGATGGACTGGGATCGATTGGGATAAGCGGATGACTTAGGGGCGGGCGTGGGGACTGTCCAGTGTCCACTTAGTGCGAGGCATGGTGCAACAAGCGCGGGAAATTATGATGAACATGGTACCCAAGGAATGCGATCTGCCAATAAAGTCAACCCTGATTCAAGTATCTGGACTGCGAACTGCTTGCATTATTCATTATCCTTGACACCTTTGTGCTGCACATAGGGGTGAATACAAACTTGGGTAGGTTCTTTGTTGGAACGTGGTTTGCTAGTCTGCCAATTATTTAGGGGCAAGCGGGTTTGCCGAGGGGCAGGATCCACTTTCTAAATCTCTCACTATGACGACTCTGACGATGGTTTGTTTCTTTACACATCGGAAAAGACAGCCGATTCGGATCGAGAACTATTTGACGCATTTATTGGTCATCATGTGTATTATTTATTGATCATCAGGTCTATAGCAGTATAGCTAAAGGGACTCTTGGCTCGTAATGAGGGATTATTAGGTATAAAGCATGAGATTACTCACGCTGTGGAGCAGTAGAGCTGTTTTCCACATCAAACTCGACCGTTCGAATGATACCAGTCGTACCATCGGCATCCTTGGCATGGCCGCTGGGATGCGATGCTAGGATATGCTCTTCGCTGCCGTTATCGGGGGCACCCCTGAGTGTAGTGAGTGTCGTTGTATATTGATTGTCTTGATTAGTGAAGTTGACTCGGTCGCTGTGAGGGATCGACCCGAGGGGATGTCCGTGCTTGCGAGATCGCGATTGAGAGGAGGTGTATCCACCTCCAGAAGAAAGGCCAAGTAGGCGGGGGAAGTATCTGCGAACGAAGGGTCTGATGGCTGTAACACAGCCGCCGAAAATTCCGAGGTTTAGCTCGATGGTGCACCACATGAGCGCGTCGGTAGTCGCCCCTGCAAAAAGACTATTTAGCAAATGGAAGGCCATGGTGGAATTTTGGATGGGAAGATGTAGGTATTACAGGTGAGATCAGTGCTTTTCAAGAGCGTATAAAGACTGCCGAGCCGAATGCAGCTAACGATTCCGACGCTAGATTGGCCATCGTTAGTACTGGCTAGAGCAGGGCTGTAATGGAACATGTCCAACTCACAAGCATCCCATAGCCAAAATGACGCCAACGGCAACCTTCTGACGGGCGGGCATTTGCAGTCGACGAAGCCAGGGTCTAAATAGATATTTCGTTAGCGACACTCGTATTGGAGTCTCCCTGGGCGTAACGTACATCGGGACTGCTACAGTCGCAAAGTCCGTGAAGATACCCAGTCCTGCATTCGCAAAGTAAAACACAGGCCTGTTCATACAGGAACCGGTTGTGATCGTCAGGTCCCAGGATTTGGCGATTGGGTTGCAACTGAAAATATTGGCAAGGATACTAGCGATACTGTAACCGGCGGCGATGAAGACGATTGTCCAGACGGCGATGTGGAAGTTGCGGCTTGGGAAAATGCGGAGGTAGAACACGAGGACGGAGACTTTGGTGAAGCCAGTTGCGGCGCAATAGATGATGGCGGCAATGAGATTCAGCTGAAAGAGAATTGACTTATTAGCTTGCTATTCCAATTGCGCGGTAGTTAGAGTTGCAAACCTTGGGGAACTGCGCCATGAAGTCCGCAAGTGGAACATCCCACATGTGCTTTCCCAATCCCCAGTTCAGCACTGTCGCAAATGTTAGCATATGTCCGTCCCTTGGTCAGACCATTAGGAACGACTCACTTTCGAGGGTCACACCCGTGAGAACGCAAGATAATAACTGCAAGTACCATAGCCTCTGTTAGAAAGACTGCCATACATTTCGTCTGCAGTCATTGCAAAGCCACGTACAAGAGCGATAATCATCAAATCTACTAGCAGTCAGTAACTCAACTCACGCAAGGACAGCTTGACTTGTTCTCACAGTCATCCCAGCGAAAGCTTCGCACAACGAACAACCGCGTCCATGTTCGTACCCCCAAAGCAATGACAGCCAATGGCAAGAAAATGCAGTTCACAGCCACAAATTTCCCACCGATATAAGGCGGATCGACAAAATTAGACGTCTGACCGGCTGGCGGCAACGACGCCGGCGTGATGGTACTAGAAGCCATGTCGGCGACTCAGTCGGGGCGGTGGCCGCATCCGCAGGGAGATTTTGCACGAGGTTGGTGTTTTGGGAACAAAAAGAGAGAATGGGGACTTCGAGGTATGTACTCCGTATTCTTATTATATTAATAGGGAAAAAGCTTCACCCAGACTGTCGGAATTTCCGTGTATTATGCGGGGACAGGAACAGAGTTTCTACTTGCCGCAATGTCAGTTGCGTCGTCCGTGGTTTGATGGGAACTATAAGAGTTTGTACTTGGTAGTTGCGGGATTGCCCCGTCATTGAACTTTGAATTGTACGAAATTTACTGTCTAGGACTTCACGTTCCTGATTTTCTTGCCACTCTCCTATTAGTTACTACTAGTAATTCTAGTCAGTGCTTTGACTTCGTGGGGATGTCCGAATCGGCTCCACCTTGGGATCCAGCAGCACTTCTGGACCACAATTCTGGGAACGGTCTGTGTGTACACCATCGATGTTTTGGGAATGAATGGCTTCGAAAATTTTACCCATTGTGCCATTGCCCCTCGGTTAAAACTGGCCGGACATGTAACAGACAGACGTGCATTGGCGAGGGGTAACAAGGCGGATTACTGCATACTCAAAATTGAGTGATGGGCATAACGAGCACCTGAGTCAATACCGCTTACAGTACTCCGTATAGAAGCCCCAGCAGCATCATTGTTGTATTGGGGCGAAACCCAGTCCATTATTCCAGAGACAATCCCACCGAGTACTAAACTAACAGACTAAAGCTAACGGAGCTCAAATCTTTGCCCTCGATCTGGCAGGGATTCTCGCGCGCCACGAACTATATGCATCTAGTTTGGGCATTTGTATCCCGTGTTCTCCGCTAGTGGAGTCCCGACGATCCCTAATCCCCACCACCTAGGAGGGCAAACATGACTTCTCACCCCTAAATTTGCTTTGTCTGGCGGCGTACGGAGTACTTTGATGTCTGCTCCCCGACTTATAGCGAAATTTCCTCGACGGTTGTTTCGAGAAAACTGCTAGTGCTCGGACCTCTCCAAGTGGGCAATCAATCGAGGGCTTCGATTTCGGCTTCTTTCTCCGAACGCGTTTCTGTTGGTGTCTGTCCCCAGCCACGTGATCGTACCTTGTTCTAGTTGGCTACAGGCGTGAATAGTAGCTTCGTTGTAGACTTTCGTATATACGAGTGTGGAAATTTGTTTTTCCGGGTCCCTTGTTCTAACCCTGCATCATCGCGGTTAGCGGAGCTGCTGTGTTGTTGTATAAGTGCCATTGGTGGGTTTTTCATCTACCAGGTAGCCGCGACGCCCCTGTTGCGTGATAATTTAAGTTCTTCACACGACTCGTCAAACTTGAAGATGCGGAGGTGGCTCGGGGGGGGGGGGGGCCAGACTGCTGTCTCTGACTTCGGAATGAACCGATGCCTATACACACAGGAGCTTTAGCGTAGGCCTACAGTATATTGGGCAGGATTCCAATATCGAGCACTCTATATTCCTCCTTTTCGTGTGATTCTCCTACGATGAGCGCGACTTCATGAACCAATTCCTCACATTCTACCGCAACTTGATTGGCAGAAGATGGATAAGTAGGAATATGATATCTCACAGAATTATGATCCGTGGTCGCATGCCTCATTGAGTATCGAGTTGTATTCCGAATCTTAAGTAAGCACTACTGTTTGTTCATAACCGGGAGTCCACCTTAAAAGCATCTAACAAGGATGTCCTCTGGTACTTATTTCATCGCAGTCCATCAGTACTTCACTAACTGAGAAGATGAGGGCAACGTGAAATGCGTGTCCTTTTGTCAGAAGTTTGTATAACAACTACCAGAAAAATTCCTACAGACCATGCCAAGAACGGAAGAAGACTTTTTGGGTATGAAAATCTAGCTCCATAATGCTAATTCTCGAAGCCTTAACAAACCGCACAGGTAGACACCTATGCATAGCGAGCAATAAAATCCCCAGAATGAAACACACACAACCCCGCAAGTGAAAAGGCCAGGTATAATATGAGAATCCCAACGACCGTAACAGGAAAGAAAAAACGAAACGAAGATCTGAGCCCGGAGAAGCAGATGAAAACAAAGCAGGCATGATATGTTCAAGGTCTACCCCCGTAAGATGCAAGAAACTCACATCTGCATCTTCTCATCACCATCGGCGTCGGGACCGCCGGGTATCCGTCCCTCGTTCAATTCCTTCTCGAGTCGTGTAATCTCCTGCAAGCTCTTCGCCTCACGGATCATCTTCTCCACACGCTTTCTCTCGGCATCGGTCAGTTTGACGCGGATAGCCTTGTCGGCTTGGCCAGTCGTGGCGGCGGCGCTAGAGGCATCGAACGCCCGGGACTTGATGCCCATGATCTTTGAGGCGAGGGCGGAGGGTTGCTCGACGGTTCCGAACAGCTCCTTGGCCTGTTTGCGCTCCACATCTCTCACTTTTTGGTAGTCGAGGAATCGCACGGAGGGTGCCAGCCAGATAATCCAGTAGCGATAGTTCTAGAATGAAAGGTTAGCTGATCCATCGGATAACAAGCCAGGATATCCCGGGCAGTGAAAGGTCTTGCCTACCTCCTTCCGTGTGATGGGGTTCTCCAGGAGGACCAGATGTGTGAGTTTGTGAAGAGAGCGCAGCGATTCGACGTCAGCCAGCTCGGATAGGTTGTTCGATGTCAACACCAGGGTAGTCAGAGACGGAATTGATGACCCCAAGTTGGGTTGGATGTGATTGATTCGGTTGCGCGCGAGGAGGAGAGAACGAAGGCGAGGGAAGAAAGGGAAGTTCCCGAGGGAAGAGAGGTCGTTGTCCGTGAAATCAATTGTATCTTGGTCCTGGAAGGCGCTTAGCACAGACCTTGGAAAGACACTCGTAGAGTCGACAGCTGCCAATCTAGCCCACCAAGCGGAGAAAGCTAAGAGCATGTCCAGCATAATGTATAACTCACCTTTGCAATACCCAAGTTCTCAATTGTGGGGATCTTGTGCCCTATACGCGACGCACAAAGACGATATCAATCCAGCTCTTGTTTCAAGATGTAGTACCTGTTCTTTTCAGGCAGGAGTTGTAGTAGTCAGACGCACCTCGGAGATCCAGCTCACGATCCTTGAGCGGATTAATGTATGAAAGGGAATGATGGATGAGCTCGACGGTCAGGCGCATGGCGGCGGTGGCTGTGGTCGAGGTTTAGAGGGGGGGCACGGGTTCAAGCAAGCGATTCTATCGATATTGAATATGACGAAAGAGAAGAAAATGAAATACAAGAGATCGCCGAGTCAAAAAAAAGCTGCAATGGATGTAAGAAGTCCTGTCGCAGTTTCTCCAGAAAGCACCTCCAACCGCAGCCCTTTCTGCCGGGCGGTCAAGAACAGTACGCGGGGCACGTGATAGCTATGGTTATTTTATCCGCTCTTCTAAGTATTGAACTATTAAAAGTAATTGAGAGCTTGAGTATTCAATTTTTTACATTTTAGAGAGGAAACATCTTTGAGAAGTTGAGCGAGCAATGTATTAGTCTATCTTCATTAAAAACATCTGTAGCAGAGTGCTAGTGGTACACTGCCTTGAAATCGAAATCACCCGCATCAGATCACAAGCACCCCAAAAAGAAAGTACTCCAGAGCACACACGGTAGAATATGGGACCAAGAATGGAAAGTGTATGCTGCTCACAGTGCAGCATCACCCCGAATGAGAAAATGTTCCCTACAGGAGGGAGAAAAACAAAGCACGACGAGTTGCGCCGGATCAAACACCAACACTCGCGTTCCAGAAAGTCAACTCCAGTTGATAATGCGATGCAAACGCGGGAAAAGACAAAAAACATGTCGGAAATCGAGAAGCGTACATAATTCAGTTCAAGATGCATCAGTCACGTCAATCATCAGCAAGGGGGGTCATGCTGGGGGATTTTTGATGGTGAGACCGTGTGGGACTGGTAGCTCTCGATCGACGGCCATTAGTAGTAGGCCCTAGTGCGATGGGAGCCAGATGGTCTCGGCTTTCAGTCCTGACCACCAGGCCAGCCCGATCCATGGCAATCCCCGAACCACCGCTGATCCCCAAGCCAATGGTGCCTGATGATGTGTTATCGAGTGTATATTTCAAGCCGGGCAGGTTGCTGCTGCTACCCCAGCTAGAGGCTCGCTTCGGTGGCCGCAAGCCCATTGAATCACCCTCAGAAGAGCGGCCAGGATCCGCGTCACTGCTGTCGGAGTCGGTCACGCCAAGTTCAAAATCTTGCGCGCCTTCTTCCATGACACGCTCGTAGGCTGCTCCGTTCCGGTTCAAGAATGGCAGCATCGCACCGAATCCCTTTCGCTTCTTTGGGTGGTTGGGATGAGAGGGTCCACCACGACGGAGCAAGTTGTTGATCTTCAGATAGATACGTGACCGGCGGCTGCGGCCGCATAGGAAGAAGCCTGCGACGATAACGATAAAAACGAACAAAAGAATTCCGGGGATTCGGCGGGGCGAGTCTCCATCAAACAGCGAATCATGCCAGTGTTCACTGTGGAATCCCTCAGAATCAGGAAGTAACTCCACACTGGGATACTGGAAGTCTGGAGGAATCCCAGCAACGTTACTGCCAAACCCAACGGGCAGAGCCGCTTCCTCAACCTGAGCGGGGACTTGCGAAGAAGCGTAGAGAACGATCTTGCCTAACGTCCAGCTTACTTCAGTCGAGTCAATCTTGTTCACTGCCTGGAATGCATCCAAATAGCCCTTCTCTTTAGTGTGAGCGAGAACTTCCTTGGTCCCATTATGAAGTGAGCCCGAGGTATCTTCAAGGCCAACTCGAGGTACTCCGATACCATCGTGCAACATATTGATGATCCACGATGCCTTGAAGCATACTTCGTTGGCCTTTTGTTGGTCGACCTTCTTTCCCCATTTGTGTGCATGAATTCCGTCCTCAATGGACGCCCAGTCCTGCGAACAGAAAGTCTTGACCCGCTCCTGGTATGTGTTGAAGTCGTAGGCTTTGTCCTTGTATCCCATTTCGAAAATCTCATGAGTAGTGTGCCAGTATTCACTGATGCCGATGAAATGGTTCACGTCGAAGTCGATAGCTGGGACGTGAATGCCATGGAGAAGACAAGGATAATCCAAGCAAGGTGCATCCTTGTCCAGTAAAGGATAGGTCTGCCGCAGGCACTCGTCAAACTTGCCCGTACCGATTAGAGAAGGTCCTGCAGCGTCAACCGGCACAGCATCCTTCCCGTCCAACGTGGTGCGCAACCCCTCCGGCAGACAGGGGTCTGGAAGCTCTTGGGCCTCGGGGCCTGCCGCGATCTGCAACGCCTCCACGTACCGACGCCGAGCTTCGTGCACGCCAAACTCCAACCACGAGGTGACAAAGACCCGATGCTCCTGAACCGAACCGTCGATGTTTCTGAGGCGTAGAAGAGTCAGGTCATTGGCGTGCTTCTCCGTCTCCGTGGCGTTCGGCGCAAATGCAATCTGGGCCGAAGCACCTCCCATATCCAAGAATCCATAGGTGTGATGTCCTTTTCCATGGTCGTGTCTCTCGGGCGCGTCGAAAGCTTCCATCAAATAATTTGTCGCAATCCATCCATACAATCCTTCCGTCACTCCCGGGATAACCTGAATATGAACACCGCAGTCGGGGAGCAGGAAGTCGGTATTGGCACGAGCATAGCTGCAAATTTGATCGAGGAGAAGCTGTCGTTCAAGGTTTCCGAGGAGTCGCATACCGGCCGTCGCAAGCAGGAAGATTGGGGTGTCTCTGGCATCTTCGTCCGGGACAATGCTCTTCGCATGTGCCAGAAGCTCCGCCAGATGCTCGGTCCCGACAGACTCGGGTCGATTGGCGAAGGAAGAAACACCTTTTGAGACGAGCGCAAGGTCAGTTGCATTGCTTTGAAGCCGTTCGCAGACGGTGGGTGCTTACCAGGATGGATCTTCTTCACCCATTCCTCCTTGGTTTTGATCTCAGGAAGCGACTTCAAGTCATTCACATCGGCCTTCTTACGAGCCGCAGCATTGCGCAACCAACGATAAACGTGTACACGGGTCCCCTATGCGATTGCAGATCAGTGGCTGATAAGGGGAGGGCGAGAGTCGGGGTGTTTTGGGATCAGAATCGACATACAGACGATCCAGCGTCCAGGACGACGCCATAACGCCCTACAAGACCCAATGTTAGTGGCTGGGGTAAATCCTTGGACATTCGGTCTCGAAGTAAGACTGGGGCGCAACGTACACTTGCCCATTTGGACTCGAGACTATCCACAGAGCATGACCAGCTGGCGATTAGATAGGAGCGAATGGAGTGACGGGAAGCAAAATGAAGCTTCTCGAGTGCGCAGATTGAGCCCGAAGGCAGAAAGATACCGTTGTAGTTGAACGAGTGACAAAGAAGGCGAAGGGTCTTCGAGAGGAGGAAAGTACGGGGGCTGTGGAAAGACCTGGAGTGAGATTGGAGAGACTGGAGAGAGAGATAAGGAGTGTCTCTGGAGTCTCAAAACGGCGACGCGACAGCGGGAGGCAAATACAATACGTGACGAGGGGCGAGACCACCATAGTCATTACAGTCAGTGGCCGGTCTAACACGAGGCGGGTAAAAAGGGTGGGTCAAGGACAGCCGCATAGGGCAAGGTGCAATACGGTAACGCTGCATGACCGGGCGCTGTAATTAAGGCTCTTCGGCCCTTTTGGCCTGAGACTTTCTTTCTATTTTTTTCTCTTTTGCTTTAGCCTTTTTCCACTTTTCCCACTTTCCCAACTGCGCTTGACGTAGTGTCCCGTCGAGAGACTCCACTCCATTGACCAACAGCCGTTTTGGTTTTGGATTATGATTGTTTCGCTCGAAACTCCATGACACAATTCATTCAGTGCCTCTTCTTTGTCTTTCGTCTTATCTCCAATGACGAGGGAAGCTCGCGGAAGTCATTTCCATGGATTCGTCACCCCGGAATGCAGTCCCCGCGGTGTTACATTTCGTTACATCTATGAGCGATTGTACCCTCCATCCCTACTCGTGTTGATCCCGCCCTTCCACAGGGACGCCGCAACCCGCGCTAAACCAACCTAGCAGGGGTTTGGGGGTCACCGTGGTGCGTCAGGGTACGTCAGCTCATACCTTCCCCGGGCAATGCCCTGCATCCTGATACGCTATGTCCGCGAGAAAGATGGCTTGGCATCTTCCATATCCCCTCTGTATGTTATGCCGCGGGGCTGCCAAGCTGCTCACTCGTCCTACAGTACCTGTAGAGAGATCAAAAGATCCAGAAAAGAAAGAACGCGCGGTAAACTTTGCCTCTGACATCGGTGCGCAAGTCTTGGCAAATCAGGAAACTCGAAAAGAAAGCTAAAGTCGTCCTTTACTGCTTATGTCTCATTTTCACGATTATACTCCGTATGGAGAGTCTATCTTGCGACGGGTGGAACTTTCAGGGTCTCGGAACCAAGCGATCATCGGTTGGCCACGCAAACCCCCACCTTTCAGCCTCTCAGATTCATTCAATGCACGCCAAACCTTGGAAACACGATTATCAGGATCAGTCTTCCACTGCTACCTTACTGGGACGATGACACCGTACACGGTCCTCGAGGTTACCACCACTAGATGTGTGCTTCATGCTCCATTCTTCTGATTAGGCTTCAATTTACATCTTCAGATCCTTGGATGCCGCCGAAATACCAACAGACTCATTCACCACGCTCGCATGAGCGGGCGTCGTCGACGATGAAGACCCAAACAGTTCGTCGAGAATGACGCGCTCCCCAATCTGCTCGTCAACGAATTGCGCCCGGTCCAGGCCTATCATCTCTGCCTCCTCCTGAACGCGCAGATGCATCCCGGGAATCCATTTCAAAATATAGAGTAGGATGCAGGACACGATGAATGCATATGCGGAGATCGCACACACCTCCGCCAATTGTTTCCCAACTTGCATCCCGTTCCCGTCGATGCCACCGGTGGCTTCGGTCGCGCCATCCAAGGCTGCCACCGACTGCGACGCAAATATACCCGTCAAAAAGGCCCCGACCATGCCTCCAATGCCGTGCAGCTTGAACACATCCATACCCTCATCGATATGTAACCAATTGTTGATGTCTTGAAGTAATGCGCAAACAACACTGGTAAGGAACCCAATGCAGGCTGCAAGCCACACGGAGACAAAGCCAGCGGCTGGGGTAATCCCAACCAATCCCGCAATCGCGCCCTCGCAGGCGCCGACAACGGAGAATTTTCCGCGATTCTTGATCGAGTCCACCATGACCCAGCCAAGAACGCCCGTGCACGCGGCCGTATTGGTGTTGAATGCTGCTAGCATGGCTCTGACACTTGCATTGAGGGCCGAACCTCCCTTTTCAAAGCAACGAAAGTTAGATAACAACGGACCACTAATCTGAGACCAGGCAGAATATACTTACGTTAAATCCGAACCATCCAAACCAAATCAACGTTGTCCCAAGGAAGACCAGCGTAGTATTGTGAGGCTTACCATGAGAGGTCTCATCGACATGCTTGCGCTTCCCCAGAACCAAGGCGTAAGCAAGCGCCGACCAGCCCGATGCGATATGAACAGGGCCTCCGCCAGCAAAGTCAAGCGACGGCAAATTGTATAGCCATCCATTGCTGTTCCACGTCCAGCAGGCCACGGGGCAGTAGACCACGGTTGCCCACCAGAAGCTGAAAATCAGCGAGGGAAGCATGTTTCCTCGTTCAAAAGCTCCGCCTACAACGATCATCACCTGAAGACATTCTCAATCAGCGGATCATCGTATTTGATCTTTAGAAACTGACTTACCGTGCATGCGCAGAACAGAAGCTGGTAGAAGCAGAACACAATCTCCGGCAAAACCGCAGATCCTGGCGATGGGGCCGCCATAACATTTTTCAAGCCGAAATTCGCAAGTGTCCCGATGAAAGGGCCAGCATCCCGGGAATATGCTAGCGAATAACCCCAGAATATCCATTGAAAGGTTGTTCTGGCCATAGTGTTAGCGAGGAAAAGAACCTTCGATCGCGTTTACAAGAGAACCTCAAACATACACGGCTACAATCATGAGAGATTGGAAAAGCAACGCCAATGCGGACTTCCTTCGAGCCAGGCCGCTGTAAAGCAGACCAATGCCAGGGATGATCAACCAGACGATGAATCCGCAGAAGACAATGTAGGTATAGTCCCATTCAAAGCCTTCAAATTGAGCATTCACGTCGACCTTTAAGGGATCACCACCGTTTGGCTCGGAGGCATTGTATACAGGCTGTATGCGTCGCGTTAATGTCTGAGAAAGAAGAATTGATGATGGTACATACGGTACCGGCCATGGCCGATGGATTTCACAATACTCAGATAGGTAATAAAAGGAAGGCAATATGGGCAAGAATTTCCCAAATCTAATAAGTAACTCGCTACACGCAATAAATGAAGTTAAAGTGCTACATAGCACAGGAGCAAGGACAAGATATACTTAATCCCCAAACCCTCCCTCACCTTAATTCCTGATAATCAACTCCCTATTACTCAATTCTCAATCCCGTTATCTACCCACAGACAGCCAAGACTCCACACTCGCTTTTCCCGACCTGAAACGAAGGTGGAGGGCCATCGATATAAGGGATCTCGCCCGAATCTGTGTCAAACTTTTCATGATGAGCGTTGGGCTACACGATAAAGGAGAAGGGAGTGTTGATAAGGATGCGATCAGATAGGGCTGGTCAGATAAGGCCGTCCAACCATATTTCCCCATTGTGACAACCCCGGATCCGACAGCCATCTGGGGTTTAGGGTCCTCTTATCGATGGTTGTCTTATCAGAGGTGGATTTCTTGGCGATGGACTTGGTGGGAAACATGCTTCTGGAGGAGCTCGTATTTGGATGTCTTGAGATCTTGGCGGAGGGATTGAGATGTATCTGTGATGGTTTGCGCGTACACGTGCTAGATAAATAGGAGAAATGTTGAAATCAACCTGGTTCCTTGAAGATGAATATACTGAGAGCGCGTATAAAGCTAGCCTCGAAAACAGCACGCTTTACACATTGCCAACTGGAGGCCGGAAGACTATTGAAGCTTTGATGATGAGTTATTTCTCCAAGACATATAGTCTATTTTTTCTGAGATCCTAGGGGGGTTGTGGAGGCCTCAAACTTAGCCCCCGAATATATGATCGTCCATTTCAATCCAGCTCAATGATGGGCCTCTTCGAAGCTGCCATGCCGATCTGGCATTTCTGATCCTGTACACTATTATTTACCTATATCAACTTTGAATTGAGGATTTGTGATCTTGATTATAGTCTTGACCACATAATTAGTACGGTGTTGTCATGGAAATATTACTTCGCTACCAGATGTATATTGTGGTACACAACAGGACAGAATAGGAAAACTCCGCGAAGAAAAACTTCAAAAACATACTTATTCTCGTTTTGAATATTACCTAAGAATTAGCAAGCTCTGAGCTAGCATGGAAGCAACCTCGACTTGAAATCAACACTCACAATGTCGGCGGGTTTCCGCACTCAAGTCTACACTAAAACGGAGGTATTGAGGGCATGATCGCTCCGTCCTCGCGTGGTGAGGGGTCAGATTTGATCAATTGCCGAAAGCAACGAAATGACCCCGGATCTCTTTCCGGGATTCTCAATGGAAGGCCCATTGGGGCTTGCGGGATGTGGGAGATCATCTCTGCTAGTTCAACAGCTGTCTGGGGAATTAGGACCCTTCGTAGAATAATCACGGTAACTAGAACCCATTTACTACGGTATATCCACAAATCTTGATGGTTGTCCTGAAAGTTACAGAGAACTGTCATTCAAGTTTTCAATCCATTTTTACGCATTCTCTCGGGAGTTTCTTCCTTCGTTACCCCGACCATGAATTGCCGACAGGATTGCCGAGTACCCCAGATAGCCCCAGATAGTTGGAGCTAGCAGGCCCCAACGATTTGACTACGCATGATCCTATGAGAGGAGCTGTCTGCCCTGGTTTTCTTGCTTGTTAGCGCAGCCTTGATGTGTACCCCATGGACCCAAGCTTCCGCCACAGCCATACAGAATATGGGACGTGGGACGCCATTACAGCCCTGCACCAGTTCCACTCCACAGCGACATCCGACACCATTACAGTCAGTAAGAACGATGAAAGTAATATCCAATATCTATGATGAACTCCAGGCTTACTCTTCTCGTCAGACAACTGCCGTGTATATATGGACTCGGCAATACCCTTCTGATTCCTAAACCCAACCTCGGTCCCCAGATCAATGTATCGTCATCGAGCAATACTCCATATCGTGGAGAATGATCCAGGGCACATACCCCACCAGCCTTCATCTCCACTATTGAGACCCTGGATGTCCTTCCGACGAGGCTTCCGAAAAGAAAGTTTTACTTGAAAGTTTCTATATCATTAAGAGACTCAGAGGACATTTCATCTCAATTCCAAGAGCTGTCCAAGGTTTGTTCCGCACACAGGACCTTCGTATCAGGATTATCCATGCCCAGCAAAATATTACCAAATGGCCTCTATGGTAGTTCAATGAAGAGAATGGTCGCCAAGGAGGATCTCGTCCCATCGTGTCGGCAAGATCCGAGGTCGCTTCAGTGCTTGCAACTGCCGACTTCATCCTTTCATATATAGCTTCACTTTTTTGGGCTATCCAAATACGGTATTCATATGTGCTGAACGTTTGGATGTCCGTTTTGTCTGCTCCACAGTAGTAGACTCACCTGTGCAAGCATGATCTAAGCCAAGCCGGAAACCTTGTGGTCAATGCTCGAATCATGGATTATGGTTTTCACAGATACCATTATGCTAGCAGGCTATATCGAACATTCCCTATCTCAAAAATATAGCTTAATATATCAAAGTATCAAACTATTTGAAATGTACTTACTTGCTTGTGTGCGAGTGGAACATTCTGAGCTATGATATGTTGGGGTAGAAACCTCGAGTTTCGAAGTTCGCTGGCCCCAGCTACAGTCTCTTTTCACCAATATTTCTCCAGTGTGGGGAACCATTTCGGCTACTTTCCGCATTAAAGGCACTTATACCAAAGTATCCATCTAGAAAGCTCGGGTCTTCGAAAAACCATCGACTGCCGATAGAATACTCTCTCCCCATACGGGAAACATAATGCGGGGAATGGGGGTCAATGGATCCAAAATGCTCTGGCATGCAAAAAAAATGGGAATATAAATTGACTCAAGTTGGCCTCAGCTAGTGTAAAATGAAGAAACCCAGAACAAAAGAAGACCAGCGTCAGTCCCTCCATCAAAATGAGCCGATCTCTTACAAGTTGTCTTTCTCAGGCACTTGCCCTCTTTGCGAGCTGTCTCAGTGTATCTGCAGCTCAATCCTCCACTGCGAGCTTATGGCCCCTTCAATCCTACAAGAGCTCGTCGATCCAGACACCCTTTATGAACGTCACAAAGATGGGCCAGACCGAGCCAGGATATCTCTTCCTCACACCCAAGGATGTCATCCGGGGTAACGGCTACCCAACAATCTACTCTGATGATGGTCAATTGGTATGGCAAGGATCCAGTGCAAACTACTCAGCTCTCCAGCCACAGATGCTGGATGGTGAACCCGTTATTGCTCTTTGGACTGGATATGCCGGTAAAGGGTTCGGCTGGGGCCATATCAGCATCTTGAACAGTTCGTACGACGAAATCCACCGGGTCACTCTGAACTGCAAGGAACAGAACTTTGTCACAGGCTTGGAGCCAATGGAATTCGATTCTTGTATTGATATCCATGAGAGCCAGTTCACCGACAACGGCACTATCCTGGTGACTGCGGTCAATGTTACGCAGGCTAATTTGAGCTCAGTTGGTGGACCGAAAGATGGTTGGATTCAAGATGGTCTTGTCTATGAGATTGATATTAAGACCAACGAGATCGTGTTCCGCTGGAGTGCGCTTGAAAATCTCGATGAGGTTCCGCTGAGTGATGTTTATGCTCCACTTGGGGGTTCTGGTGTGAACAAGACGGATCCTTATGGATACCCTCATCTCAATGCTGTCTATAAGTATGGGGATGATTATCTGGTGTCCTCGCGGTATATGTGCAGCGTGTTCTTCATTGCGCCCAACGGTACCCTGAACTGGCACCTCCATGTAAGTTGCGATCGGTTATACCGCAATGCGGACAGTTAGTTTCATGAACTAACATATTATCAGGGCCGAACTGGCGGGGACTTCCATCTTGGAATCGGTGCTAGCTTCTGCTACCAGCACGATGTTCGATTCGAATCGCAAACCCCCGAACGTGTTACATTGAGTATGCATAACAATGACAACACCGATTTCACCGGAGCCACATCTCTCACCACTGGCCTTGTACTCGATGTCGAACTGCAAGGATCCAAGAAGGTAACGGTCAAGAGCCGGGTGTGGGATGCCGACGAGCCAGTATATGCCCAGTCTCAGGGTAGCTACCAGGTCCTCGGAAACGGACACACACTTCAAGATCACGGTGCTACACCCAAGATTGAGGAGTATGACGAGAATGGTCGAATCGTGATGCGTGCCCGGTTCGGATATGACAATACCATGCAGACCTACCGCGTATACCGGTATCCCTGGGTTGGTCGGCCGTCCACTAAGCCTAGTGTGGTTGCTTGTCCGTCTAGTAAGAGTAGGAAGACTGCTGTGTATGTGAGCTGGAATGGAGCCACTGATGTGCAGTCGTGGAAGGTGCTTTCTGGTTCTCAGGTAAAGCACACTGCTGTACGGAACGGGTTTGAGACTACAATCCTCGTGGATGGCCTGTCACAAAAGGATCAGGTTGTGGTTGAGGCTGTGGGTGGCGTTATTGATGGCGTGAGATCTGAGTCTGTGACTATTGGGCAGGGCTGCTAGTCATTTCCATGATGATAAGTAGTTATGCTGTGATTTAGCTAATAAATACATATCGGATGCAGCCAATTGGTAGAAAAGACGCTGTTCCTCGGAGTTGTATTCATGTATGTACAAGTAGTTAAAGTAAGACGAACGACAGAGCAGCGGAGGGTGGGTATAGTATTATGGATAGAGGGGCGTTTTCGCAGTCGTTTACGCCGTAGGTGAAATAAAAAGCGCAGGGGAAGTAAGGATGTGCGCAGGTTGATGTGCAAGGCAAAAAACTAGAGTTTCGACTCTGTACCGATTGCCTTACGACGCATCTGCCGAGATGATACATCGGCAGGAGCTGGGGCCGCGGCATTCAAGAATAGCTGTTGTCCAACGACATCTGACATGGTCAGAACGCGCGAAGAGACTGTCGCACCATCACGTCGGTTTTTGCCTTCACGCCGGGATTGAGCAATTTGCTCGGTAAAGTCCCATAGACGCCCACGGGGGAGCACTTTGCCAGTATTGGGATCTCTCTCTGGAACCCACTCCGGGGCGAGTCTCAGCGATGGCCCAGCCCGATACTCCTTGCTCTTAGCCACGAGAATAATTCCCTCTTCCTCAAAGCGCTGATAAGAGTTCTTGAGGGTTTCTTTGTTGACGGCTTCAAAATATGAAAGATCTCCCTGGTGATAGAGAGTTTTGCCAAGCTGAAGAAAATGTTAGCGTTTCGTGCGACGGAAGTCTTTTCCCCACAACTAAATTTCAGGTAACTTACCAGCTGGGCGCTGTCTTGGGCCTTCTTGTTGTCTATCCAGGTGTCCCGAGGACCATCCAGAGGAGGCGAAAGCCCTAAGAGAGACACGGCACCAAGCCATGAGGCTTCAATGAAGGGCCAGATCAAGAAGCAATAGAAGTCGTAGTTTTCCCGGCCACATGTTCGCTCAGCATCGCTCAGCTCTACATATTGCGGAACGCCAGAGCTGTCACGGGTGATGCTAATCACGTCATCTGCCTCCAGGCTTCGCAATGTCTTTTCCAGATTGGTGATCAAGCCCTCAGGAGGGAAGATGAATTCACCACGGAAGAGCTGGAGCTCATTAGTCAAAAGGTTCCAAAATTTTTACAGCTGTTGGGTAGACTTACCTGCGAAAGGAAGGAGACCTGTGCCTTCAAAGCCTCAAAGGTAATTCGCTGGTTAGTGGGTCCGCCGCCTTGCTTGATCTTCGTATACATCGCAACAGAGACCAAAGCCTCAGTAATGAAAAGATGAATCAGCATGTTGCGATAGAAAGATAGTTGGAAACGATCGACGGCGTAGTAGGTAGGTTCTACCAATCCTGATATCACACCAACAAGCTTCGGCCCTAGTACATCAAGGGCACGGTCGACCACCACTTCTGTTGGTGACCGGTAAAAGTGGGCAACACGACCACCTTTAGCACGGACACGATCACAGAGCCAATCCAATCGTCTCACCAATTCGCCCTTGCCGACACCACGACCACGAAGCGTCAAAAGCACAGTTCCGACAAGCGCGGGTGGCATCATTACTGCGACATCATTGATTTCGGATAAAACACGATAACCGAGAGTTCTGAGAATGCGACCCCGTTCGGTGTGAGCAAGCTTCAGATCACTGCCAATACCTGAAAGGTTGAGCCGGGACAGCTGTTGGCACAGGAATTCTCGCAGACTCCACGGTTCGTGGAAGCGAACATCGACTCGGCCGAGTTTCAAGGACAGAACGGATGAGGAGGATAGAAGATCTGCCAGATTTTCTTTCTGTTTAGGCTGGCCTAGAAGTTCACTGATGTAGGATCTGTGCGAAAGTCAGCATGAGGCCAAATGGATATTTTGCGATGATTTTCATACTCAGTCTCAATAACCTTGTCGTACTGCGTACTGACGGGACAAATGATTGTGTCCTTGACACGGCCAGACAGCACGCTCTCAACGATGAAGTTCAAGATACCAAATTTAGGAGAAAGAAGCTTTCCTGTCCGGGATCGGCCACCTTCAATAAAGCATTCGAAATTGAATCCTTGTTGAAGGAGAGTGTCGATGTAGGCCTGCACGACGGTATGATAGAGGGGGTCATTTCCGAAGCTGCGTCTAATCCACATAGCACCTACCCAAGGTCAGTATAACGTTGCGCAACGGTGTGATAGCACTGCGCAGATCTACATCTGTACTAACCTGCGTGTTGCAAGAATGGGCCCAACAGTGGAATATTGAGGTTGTCGCCTGCGACAACAACTGGGAGGCCGATTCCCAGACGGTAACAAATAAGCTGCAGAGAGACATAGTCCACATGGGACTTGTGACATGGTAGGAATACAATGGACTGCTTGTTCTTCGCAGCAGTCTCCGCTACCGAGCGCAGGCGCAGAACCTCCTCACTGGACACATGAATACCCTGGTGATAGGCCCGAGTCAAGAGCTGGGTGCACATGTAGTATGCGCCACGAATGAACGTCTTGCTTTCCATCTTGCAGATCATATTATCCATCATGGTGTCCACCACCTCACGAAGACCGCTTTCGAGCTCATTTCGACGTCGCGCTCGCTTCTCGTCCATGTTCGCGCCCTCTTTAATCGCAACCAGTCCTTCCTTCTCCTCCACGGAAAGCCGAATACTGGCCAACTCCCTCACCTTGTCCTGCAGCATTGGACTAGCTAGTATAAAGGACTTCATCCTCTCACCAAAGCCTGGGTAAAATATGGGTTGTCCGATCACATCGTCATATGCGCGCCAGCCGGTACCCGACATGTACAGGCTCACTTCGCGGAGGAAGTCAAAGGGGTTTGCGCGAAATCGCGCCATATGGCGCACCAGGTTTCTTTCGGTAATCGTGTCATCTGGCCCGCCCGTGAAGCCAGATGGATGGATGGTCACCTGTTTGCCGACGATTTCCAGGTCCGGAGCCGAATGTTCGTCGCCGATGGCCGATTTGGGGGGCGCCATGCTGGGTGTAAGGGGAGTGGGGTGACGTCCTTTCGGTGGTCAAGGTCGTCGTTTGGTCATAGAGAGTGAGGAGGGCTCATTGAGAGAGATAGATTGGAGAAAGAATGGAAAGATCCACCGAGAAGAGGAGAGAACATGAAATGCGGGACAGGGCCATAGCTCCAAAGTCCCGGACACCCAACAAAACGGACGATCGTCTCCGAATGTTACTTAACAAGATCACGGGGGTTTTACCCCAGACCACAGTGGCCGATAGGGGCCACTTTCTGGCAAGTGGCGTTCAGCCACATAACGATCTTGACAACCTGAAATATTAAGCTACCAACGGGCAATACCACACACGCAGAACTCTAATTTTCGCTGATTACACTGAACGGGAGAAGAAGCCTATTGTACTGTTGTCTTATCTATGGATGTAATGGCCCAGTTAGAAGAGAGGGAGAAAGGGGAAAAGAATTGAGATTCAGGGGTATTCGAAGGAAGACTGACTCGCCTCATTGGGATATTAGGTGCATGATTAACACGCTAACCGTGGCATTGACCACCTTAATGATCCTACTCCTACCGGATTGGTTGGGTCTCTTAGTCTAAGTGGTCCTACAGGCTTAGGTTGTATGGGGTACTCCGTACTGTAAGATGGTAGTTCACTGGCCACTATCGGCCGCCGTCCACCAGACTAACAGCCGAGGCATAAGTCACGTGGCAGCGACGGGGAAGTCGTGCATCTCCGCTTTGCCGCGGACATCGAGTTAGTGCTCAGATAGTAGTACCAAGCATCGACCCCATTTGGATCATCACCATGTCCCGCTTGGTGAACGGCGTAAAGTCCTTCTCCAGTATGTTCCCAGTGCATCATCTAGGCTTACTCCAAGCTCACCTCGTCTTCTTCATTCCCTAGCTGCGGCCTCCTCGCTGTTTGCTGATGCCTCGGCGGCAGCCACTCGGTCGGCTCGTCAACCCTCCTCGTTTCAAGTCTTCCGTGACGTTCCCGAACTTCGCCAATTGCGTCGGCAACTAATTCGAAATGATCGCACCGTGGGCTTTGTGCCCACAATGGGCGCCCTACATGAAGGCCACCTGTCGTTGATTCGAGAGGCCGCCCGAGAGAACACTGACGTCTTCGTCAGCATTTACGTCAATCCGACTCAATTTGGTGTCAATGAAGATCTGTCGAGCTACCCTCGTACCTGGGACAGTGATGTCGAAAATCTGGAGAAGCTCAATGAGGAGCTAGGTAGCTTGGGTGCCGGCACGGGACGAATTACCGCCATCTTCGCCCCGACCTCGAAAGTCATGTACCCTACATTGCCACCTTCGTCTGAAATCGACGGACACGGCTCATTCGTCACCATCACCCCGCTTGCGAGAAAGCTTGAAGGCGTTTCTCGCCCGGTCTTCTTCCGAGGCGTTGCGACGGTTTGCATGAAGCTATTCAATGCGACTTCACCCGATCGTGTCTACTTCGGCCAGAAGGACGTGCAACAAACTGTGATCATCAAACGAATGGTCAAGGATTTCCTCATAGATACTGAGATTCGGATTGTTGCAACTGCGCGTGAAGCTGATGGACTGGCCCTGAGTTCTCGGAATGTTTACCTAGGAGCTCGCAGGCGAGCTGTGGGCCTCACCCTTTATAAAGCTCTGAGTGCTGCAGCGGAGGCATACAAGGCAGGCAAAGTCTCCCGCGATGATATTCTGGGAGCTGCTCGGGGTGTTGCTGAACAAGTGCTGTCTGAACAGCAGGCGCTCTCTCCGGTGGAGCGGGCTTTGTACGAGATTGACTATATCTCTCTTGCCGATCCCGAGAGTTTGGAGGAGCTGGATGTCGTCGATATCCACAAGGGCGCAGTCCTGAGCACAGCCTTTAAGATGGCTCCTCTGGAGGAGACCAAGGCTGGGGAGGACTGCGGCTTGGGAGATGGAAAGGTCCCGGTACGGTTGATTGACAACATGATCCTCCAGCCCCTGGCTTGATTGGGGGAATTAATTGCATGGTGATGTCTTTGTAAATATACATCTGCTTCTCATTTAGCGTCAAAAGCACTCAAAAATCTACTAAATAGATTATTCCTAACAAGTTGACCACCTAAACAAGTAGTTCAGTTGCTGTAACTCCAAACGGCATGTAGGGCATGTCTGTAGGGCTCTCGGGCCGAAAAAATTCCTGACTGCGGGTCTCTTGGCGGCGAAGGAAAAAAAGTCTCGATTGCAGAAGCTCCGTCCCTCAAGCAACCAAATAGAGAGATCTCTTTCATTTTTCTTGAAATCTCACCCGCTCGCCGGGAATATCTATCGCCATGGCTGATGATGGCATGCTTCTGAACTTCGCCATCAGCGACTCCGTGATCAAACCGGAGGCGAAGTTCAAAGGAGGGACTTGGCGGGACCGTCTCTCAGCGAAAAAGCGCTCTCAACACCGAGTCAAGCCTGGAGATGGCAGCAACAAGCCCCACGAATCGAAGAATCCAAACAAAGTCGCAATTGGCACACGGCCGGCGAAAAGACAAAGGACTGAGTCCGGCGGTTTTGAAGATGGAGGTGACCGCGAACGGAGACCCCGATCGCAACAGCAACAATCACAGCGTGATCCCCGCCACTTTGTATCGTCCCTTTTCTCGAGCAATCCTGAACCGCAAAATGCCGAAGAGCCTAAGAATGAGGAGCCGATCGAAGACGCAAAACCGACCAATGCGCCCCTGATCGACGGGATCGATACTTTTACAAATCTAGGCTTGTCACCGAGTCTGGCGGCGCATCTGCTTACGAAACTTGAACTGAAGGCACCGACAGCGATTCAGAAGGCCTCGATCTCACAACTACTCAAGGAAGAAAGCGATGCCTTTATTCAAGCCGAGACCGGATCAGGCAAGACCTTGGCCTATCTTCTCCCACTTGTACAACGGATAATGGCTCTCTCCAAGGCCACCAAGGAAGCTGGTGTTCACCGCGACAGTGGTTTATTTGCAATTGTGCTCGCTCCTACTCGTGAGTTGTGCAAGCAGATCTCTGTCGTGCTGGAAAATCTTCTTCGCTGTGCCACCTGGCTTGTTGCTGGTACCGTCATCGGTGGAGAGAAGAAAAAGTCAGAAAAGGCACGTCTGCGTAAAGGGTTGAATATTCTCGTCGCTACTCCCGGTCGGTTGGTTGATCACTTGGACAACACTGAAGCCCTGGATGTCAGCAGCGTTCGGTGGCTTGTTTTGGATGAAGGTGATCGCTTGATGGATATGGGCTTCGAGGAAGAACTACAAGGTATTGTCTCGAAACTAGATGCGAGACAACGACCGAGTCGGGTCCCCGGTGTGCCGACGAGGAGAACGACAATCCTGTGCTCTGCGACACTGAAAATGAATGTGCAGCGGCTGGGAGAGATCAGTTTGAAGGATGCAGTGCATATCAAGGCGGATCCCGAAGACGAAGATGAGAAGGCTCGCAATGCGAACAAGGATGAAGAGGATTTCTTCCGCGTGCCCGCTCAGCTGAAGCAGTCATACGCGATCGTAGCAGCCAAGTTGCGTCTAGTATCGTTGACTGCATACCTCAAGCGGACATTCATTCGCAAGGGCTCTGTGATGAAAACTATCGTCTTCGTCTCGTGTGCAGACGAGGTCGATTTCCTCTTCGAGGTTCTCTCAAGGAAGCACGGTGAAAGAGGACATAAGAAGAATGATGACGGTGACGATGAAGACGAGAATGAAGAAAGTGATGACGTGAAAAAGGAGAAAGAGAAGGAACGCGCAGAACTATCACCACACGGCACCATCGCTCCTGGATCAGCCTTTTCGATCCCAGCGAACCCTGTCACTCTCCACCGACTCCACGGCTCTCTGCCTCAACATATTCGAACATTCACCCTCAACTCATTCGCCAACAGCAAAACTGCTTCTGTCATGGTCTGTACTGACGTGGCTGCACGTGGTTTGGATCTGCCCAATGTTGACTTGGTCATCGAGTACGATCCCGCCTTCAGTGCCGACGACCACACGCATCGCATCGGTCGTACCGCCCGTCTAGGACGTGACGGACGAGCTCTGATCTTCCTCCAACCTGGCTGCGAAGAGAACTACGTCGAGATTCTCAAGCGTGGTTATCGCGACGGCGGCAAGGCTCTCACCCGCACAGATGCGACTGAGATCTTGAAGCGCGGCTTCGGCGGAACTTCCGAACATAGCTCGAAGAACTGGGAAGAAAAAGCCACCGATTGGCAGATGGACGTCGAGCGCTGGGCTCTGGAGAATCCACAATACCTTGAAATGGGACGACGTGCCTTTCAATCGCACGTCCGCGCGTATGCAACCCACATCGCTGCCGAGCGGTCCATGTTCAACATCAAAGAGCTCCATCTGGGCCATCTTGCAAAGAGTTTCGCCCTGCGCGACCGACCCGGAAAGATCAATGTTCCCGGTCTGCGTCCTGGAAAGGAAGAGACGAAGAAGGACTTCAAGGCTGGCCGAGGTGCTACGCTGGGCAAGAGGAAGGCTGGCGACGATTCTGCAGCGTCCAACACCGACGAAGCCACTCGCGAGGCTGCCCGTAAGATGCGGGCTAAGATGAAGGAGCATATGGGTGGTGGCGCCAGTGAATTCAATCTGGCTTGATTGTTATATCTATTTCTTTTCTTTTCTTTTCTCGCTGGGCGATGCATTATTATTATTGTACAAGAGCATTAGCATTTGTTTCAGTAGATATCCCATAATGAAATCTTGCCATCCTTGGAACCTGCCACGAGCCAGTGAGTTTGTTGTATCTTTTGCGATCGTTGCTGGTGCACGGTCGCGAGTGACCGTTGCGGTGTTTCTTCTTCGGTAGTAGACTCTTGCCCATTGGAGGGTTCTGAAGTCAGAGAATTGACCTCCCCAAAAGCAACAGTGTAGCATCCATCCTTATGCCACTTAAGCACAGCTAGCTCCTTCATCGTCTTGCCAGAGTATACTCTAACCCTACTGTCCCAACCAGCAGTCGCAAAGACCTTGCCATCATTCCGAATCCGAAGTCCCTGCTGACCTGAGTGTTTCGTATTCACAGTTTTCAGTGCTTTATCTTCGATGTAATTCCCAGCGGAGATAAAACCCGCAGAGCCAGGAGCAGGAATTGGGTGCTTGATGAGCAGTGCATCAGCGGAAGAGGAAATAAAGTAATCACGCGATGGAGACACATCGAGCGATAGAACGGGTTGAGTATGAGGGCGGCTGGCGTAGAGTTTATTCCATTTCCACGGAGTCGAGTTGATATTGCTCAGCTCGAAACTGGCTGGGTTAAGAGGGCCTTTATGCATAAACAGCATGACATGGCCATCCTCAAAGGCAGATGCAACGAAGATATCACCAAGTGGAGAGATGAAAATACTGACTGCCATCAGCATGCCCGTTTTGACTGAAGGATCGGATTTGATCGTAGTGAGTCGACGCTCGGATGGAAGGTGGAAAATATCGATTCCTCCCGAGTCGAGCGCGTTCGGCACAACGAAAAGAACATTCTGTCGTTTAGCACTTGGCTCTTGATGATTATTTTCTGAGGTGTTGGCCGCTGGCATGTCGATAAATGTCATTGAAAAGGCGCAAAAGTTCAGCGCATTCACCGACAGGGAATGGAGTAACCACGGCTGTGTCCTTGTATCGGACACACTCGATTGAGCGATATCAACCGGGAGAGTCTTGTCAAGAAAGGTCTCATCTTCTGCTCGAAGCTTCCAGACACACAGTTTGTGGTCTCGGCCATGCCTAGCTGTCCAGTTAGCCTGCTAGCCTCGCTAAGTCAACTGTTCCAGGATCTTACGTGTAAACCTCGGTCAGTCCAGAGCTAGTGTTAAAGCCTTTGACTTCAAGCACAGCGCCGGCATGAGCTTTCCAGGCTGTTACTGGCCGTTTGGTAACCAGATCCCAGATGACTACCCAGCCGTCAGCATCTCCAGACACCAGTCGCAGGTTCTGTGTGAAGATGTGCAGTGCGTGTATTGGAGCAGCGTGTCCCCGTAAAATGTAAACCGGGGTAGCCGGGGACTGCTGGACCTGACCAGATGTGCTAGCCATACCCGATGAGGGTTCCTGTGAAGATGATTATGATGGATGATATGTTTGCTATGATAGACGGGAATCACCTCCAACCAAGTCGCGGAGACGCCGCACCGCCTAACCCAAACTGCTACTGAAGCACCTTCACAATCATATTTGTTATTGTAATTTGCTGAGGATTCTAAAAGGATCATTTGTAAATATTAAATTACTCGAATAAATTCCTGGAGGCACGAATGAGGATCAAAAAGAAGATTCATCCCAGAGGACAAATCTGACATGGTGGACGAAATATGGGCAAAAAAGTTGGACTCACGGGGAATTGAACCCCGGACCACTCCCAGTTACATTTAGATGAAACATCCATGCGAAGGGAGTATCATACCCCTAGACCATAAGCCCTACTTTGATGTATGTCGGATGGAATTATTGAAACAAGAGCCAGGTCAGACATCCGGAGACTGGAAATGGACAAGATGCACCACTTGCTTCGAGTCGCCAATGAGATCATCTAGTGTCTTGAGATACTAATAGCCCCAAGGACTAAACTCTACCATGAATATGTTACCGAATCATAGTCGAAGTATACGAAGAGGTTGTACCAAAATGGAAGTCCTAGGTAAATTCTAGATGTACTGGTTTCCCTTTCGACCGAAGAACCGACATCTAATACCATTCAATTTCATGTGAAAATCAAATGCACAATAATTAATCAAGTTAATAGTTCAGGGTTGTACTTGACAGTATCTACACTAATAACAGTTTAGTCCAAGTAGGATGGAGTTGAAGCAAGATCCTTCGAGCAAAGCACTCTAAAACTTGTTGCCCAACACCTCTTCCTCCATAGCCTTGACATAAAAGACCGGTCCCCTTCCGACCACTTTTTACTTCTCCTTCTTCTCCTCCCTTGAACTCCTCTATCTTACACATATCACCGCCCCCTTCTTTTCCTCTCGCCTCATCGACCACCACTGCACCCTAGCTTTCAGCCGATACACCGACCCTCTCATTTTACCGGAGACACTGGTTGATCTAACGCCCAGCTTATAATGCCTTTCGAAGAGGAGTAGGATCACGGGAGTGAAACTACTAAGTAATCTACAAGTCAGGGTAGATGCTTGTCAATCAGGTAGGAGAAGGTGCCAAGTCAGATTTGTAAAAAGTCAGACAAGGAGCCTGACGCCTCCTCTATATAGCTCAACTTATATACAGTCTAGATAAAAGTAGGCACTTGATGAATAAGTCTGTTGCAGCGCGTAAGTTAACCGCTTATAATTCGACAAATTACCCTAAACAAAACGGAACCGTCAAAATGACCGCGTCCTGCCCCTGCCATCATTCACGCCATTTTATTAGAAAAGAGGCTTGAGCGCCACCATGAGCGTGCAAAGAGCCAAGCTAGCCATCATACGCGAGTTGAAGTGGCGGCCCACGGCAGCACCGGTATAGATAGGAGCGTTTGATTCAGTACTGATGGAAGCAGAGCTACCGGATCCCCTCGGAATGGAGCTGGTAGGCTCACCAGCGATTTGAGAGTTGCCTCCCGGGGTCTTGGTTTCCCGCAATAGCGTGCTGTACAATGAAAGTCCTAAAGGGGAAGCTCCATAACCATTCAGAGACACTCCAGTGGAAGAGAAATCTCAGTAGGAAGACCGGTAGGCGGGATTGATGGGGAGGTAGTGGAAGCGAAAACTCCGGTTGCTGTGTCGATAACCGGAAAAGTGATGATAGTACTCGAGATTTCAATTTCAGTCAAAGTTTCACAGGGTGTGGATGTGGTAGTCGGTGTCTCTCCTGTCTCTCCTGCAGGGAGGGTTATTGGCGTGCCGGTAATCTCTGTCTCGGTAAGCGTCTCACAAGGTGTAGATGCGGTATATGTAGTGATCGTTATACCCGGGGATGGGCTTTTTGTAGATCCTATACCTGTAGAGGTACTCGAGCTACTTTGGATAACTGTGGCCGTCGAGGTATCTTGGCCAGTCTTAGACGAGGAGATATTTGAGGAAGCTGGGGTGGATCTGGTAGCGGTGCTGGGGCCGTGTGCGGGCGTGCTAGTTGAAGGAGTGAATTGCGGAGTGGAAGTACTAATGATGGGAGTAGATCCTAAAGATCGTGACGTATGAATGGGAATGCATACTGATGGTATAGAGCTTGGAATCACGGGCGTAGACGTGGATGTTGCCGAGGACATCTGAATAGTACGGACCGGGTTCGAGGATGGTACGCGAGTAGAAGATGAGGAAACAATAGCGGTTGAAGAAGCCGGTATAGTTTGCGAGGATGGAGTGCCATGGGTGTAGACGGAATACTCAGAGTCGTTATAACGGTTGGTACAGTAGTCGTCGTCGTTGGACGAGGAAGAGCTTCAAAAGCAATGAGTGCAGTCTGAATGGGAGTGCTTATACTCGCCGTCAACGTAATGAAGTCATTCATCAGGGTTGCAGGTGTCTCGGCGGTCAAATAGTCCGATAGACTCTGCCACGCCGACAACAGAGCTTGCAATTCGTGGATGATCGTATCGACCGCTGCGGTCCCCGCGGCGGGCAATCAAGGAGTTCTGGGCGACGAGATCGTTCATGGTTGTGGCCATGATACTACCGAGGGTATGTAGCGGTGTGACCAGTCCCAATGCGTCCAAGTTGAACAGGCTCGGCTGCTCTGCTACCATCGTTGCTCCGGTGGTGACAGAGTCAACGAGCTCGTCGAGCGATGCCTGGATCGAGGTGATACTCCCGCCCGTATAGGCCTTGACGACAGAATCAAGCGAGACAACATCGGTGCGGATCGATGAGATCAACGACGATATTGTCGCCATATCCCGCGGCACAAGCAATGAGAATCCTGGAATAACTGTAGTCGTCGTGTCCAACGCTCTGGAGACCGAGAGCCAGGAGAGGGAATAGACGTAATCTCATGGCCAAATCCAAGTCATAAACGAGTGACAAAAACAGACGGTTTGCACGAGGGCACCTCCTTCGACTGGTTAGGGGGTTGGCTGATCATAAATAAGTATCATCTAGTCTCGGACCAGTGGTCCCTAGTTTAGTCTGTAGGGGATCCCCGTACGTTCATCCCCATACGTTCAGGATACTCGCTAAGAAGAAACATATTACCACATTTCAACGAGCGAGGCTCCAAAAACAGGGCCAGTTCATGTCTAAAATCGAAAGAAGCACTAGTTTGGTGAGAGGCGATCGTGGTGGAGGCCCTAGAGCCTCTTGATGAGCCACTGGCTGGCGGGTTCGGTCTCGGCTGTGCTGTGCTAACCGTCCACAACACAACGCCCAATTTGCCGCCATCGGCAACACTAACCTGCTGAACACTAGTTTAGTTTATTAGTTACATTGGGATGAGAAGAGGTTTTCATTTTCGGCGTCGATTTCAATGGTCCCTATTCTGGTTGTAATACTCCAAATACCTCCCGCTCCCATTCTAGTGAGCTTTCACAACTTCATCATTCTCCCCCATTCTAATCGCAATAGCAGTGTACTCATCCAAATCCTCAACTGGCAGCCTAAGCAAATCATTGTGAAGCTCATGGCGGGACTGGAGGTCGCCATCAGCAGTAGGAAAGAACATGCGACTATACAGCATCCTCGGGAAAGAACCAAATTCACCCCTTTCCACAGCAACACGGCTCTCCTTCCAGCGTTGTGCTGCAGACTCGTGAGTGATGGTCCAGTCAGCATCGACAGTGCCTGTAACACGCTTGACACTTTCCCACATATCACGCTGGCTCAATCGGAAGCTTGAGATGTAAACAGAATTATTGGCGAATTGGGAGAGTGTCGGCGATTTATCTTGTCCGTCGTCTGGAAGCTCATTGAGACTAAGCAGGCTAGCAATGGCTTGACCACACTGAGGCCATGTGGTTGTATTGAAGACCACGTCTTTCTCGTCGAATTGTATGAAGGAACGGTTTTTGAAATCGAAACCGAATCGATCAGGTCCTCCGCCCAGACTGAATTCATACCAGAAATTGCACACCAGAAAAATATAGGAGATTGTACCATGGGCTTTGAATTCGGCAATGATGCTATCCCGACTGGGACTGAGCATACTATCGTCACAAAGCGCGTCGTTGGTATTGTCATGGCCGAACCAGTTGGGCAGAACATAAGGTACACCAGCCTTGGCTGCGGCATAGACAAGCTTATTGATCGTGCCTCTTGGAGCAGTCACTGCCATCGTGATAAGCAGTACCTGCTGGCCTTGTAGCGCTTCAACCAGCGCAGTATCGTCGTCGCCGCTGTAGTCAACATGGATGACTTTGACGCCTTCTGGGAGTTTGCTGGTGCTATTTGGGCGGGTGATAGCAGTCACAGTGTGCCTGCCAGTCTTGACCAAAGCTTCGGTAAGATGTTTCCCAATTGATCCGCCTGCCTGTGCATCGGATCATTTGAGTATGAGTTGTGGCTTATGTGTGGTTTCCAAAGAGGATTGACGTACCCCAACAATGGCTACTCTTTCGATTTTGTTCGTGAACCCCTCCGGCTGATCATTCGCATACTTGCTTGCCATGATAAATCTCTTTGAATTCTAGAAGGCTAGGATTTGGAGAAATGATTTGCTGGATATCGAAATGCTTAAATGATGTAAATTACCGTATAATAGCTTAAGTTCTACCCGCAGTAGAAAAATAGCTCGATAGCCCTCTCAATAACTGCACGAGGGATTATTTATCACCTTCCATCATCTATTTCATCATACTATGCAATGTCCCGAGTCCGGTCAAGCCTTGCGATCCTTGTTGTGGACATAACGGTCTTAGTATGTGCAGTCGGTGTTAATTGCTTATCTCCGGGCGGTTAGGTACCTTGCCCTGTCCCGGCTCTGCCATGAGGATCAGCCGGGTAACCCAGGCCGTTCGTATTTTCAGCCATACAAACACGTCTCGCTACTAGGGCACAGTCTCGATTTGGCAGTCCTCGTGTTATACCGGCGTGCTCATGAAATATAGAAGCGGTGCTTCATTTGGTTTGTTTGATCATACTATCATTCATTTCATAACAGGGTATATAAAAACAAAGAAGAGCAATCCACAATGATGAAGGACGGGATTTTGCACCAAAGCCTAAGTTCTGTCTTGCCAAAACCCGGCAGATCAGATGAGGTAGGACCCGTATAGGTGATGGTCCAGCCCATGATGATGAGGAGCCACATAGTGCTCTTGGTACGGATGATTCTCCATGGAGAAATCACCCACATCCAAAAGTGGATTAGACAGTCCGGGTGGGAATTCAGGGCCCTTTGGAATTGGCAATGCTGGATCTAACCCAAACTGATGATTGTGCATCTGGGCAGGATCCACTGTTTCAGGTTGGGAGACTGTCCAGCCCCAGATTTGCTTCAGCTCATCTTGGATCGGCTCAGCGTGCCAGCTGGTATCTTTCACAATGCCGTCGAATATGACAAGGGCTTCTTTTTGCGCATCCTCGGTTTCAAGACACTCGGCGGCAATGGCAAGACAGCGGATTGATACATTGATGACACCTTTGTCTTTTGTATTTGCGACGATGCCACAGATGTCATGGGCGTGGCTTTGTTGCATTTTGCGATGGAATTCGGCTTGCAAGGGATGAGCTTTGCCCAGCAATAGGCAAGCCGTATGGTAGAACAGCTGAGAGACGATTGCAATTCGCTTATTTAGCCTAGAGTGAAGACCGATTAGCTTTGTCAAAGGCCAGGTTAGAAAATGACAGATCAAGACGTACCAAATCCTCGAGAACGAAGACCTCGGCTCGGTCTGCCATTGCGGCACATTACCAAGAGGTTTCAACGACCTTGGAGCATTTTCATACCACTGTTGACATAATGAATCGTAGTGGCTCCACTCCGTAAAAACATCGCTCAGCTCATTGGCATAATTCATAGAACCGTTCACGGATTGAAGAGAATGTGAAGCGATGCGAAAATTCGCAATTTTGGCACAGATGTAGATGATCCGGTGAAGCCAAAGCTCTTCAGTCTTTCCAAAAAGTTGTACCTGATGTGGATGTTGATGCATGTCCATATCCACTCCCCAAGTATCGGGGTTCCAGGACAACGTCCAATTATAGTGCAGAGAGCTCAACAATTCCATACCCACGCTGATCCAGAAGGATGCTCCTCCAAGACCAAGTGTTTTAGCCGTCCAGCCGCATTCACGGATCAAGGCTCTGGAACCTGCGATATGGTTCGCACTTGGTGTTTGTTGTGGGGCCATAATCTCATAAATACTGAGAACCAAGGCAGCTGTTGTACATAGAACAGAATCTCGATTCGGATCATGCATGGCTATCATCAAGTCCTGAGTTGCATCGTCGTAGTAGTTTGCAGCTTTTGCTTGGTCAAATGACGAATTGACCAGCGAAAGATGTCGAGCGCCACATGCTACGAACGCCTTGAGTAACAACGGCTCGTCAAGAGCATGCAATGGCAAGATCTGTGTGAACTGCATATTGGTCAGTTGAATTTCAAAATTTCGTAAAAAGGGCACCTCTGCTCTTACATATCGCATTGAATCTAATGAGTCCATCCAGCATCCTACCTCATCAACGAAAACCTGCAACATATAGACTTGCTCTGGGTCGCTCAATGGAGACGGGTTATACTGTTTCGTCGCCAACTTTCGAGCAAAGTTAGAGGTCCCATGCGGTAACAATTCATCACCTGGCATTAGGTGAGGCTCATGCTGGTGCCAGCCATCTTGTACACCAAGAAGGTCTACTGCCGCTGCATGCGAAAGATCAAAGGCAGAAGGGTCGAATGAGTGAGCAACTGATTGGAACAAGCTCGCCAACTGATCATGCCCCATAAGATTGAAAGCGTCATGGTGTAATTGCCTTCTTTCTTCGACAGGACTGTCTGGCTGTGGCGGGGGGTATCTCTCGAACCCTCCAACATATTCAGAGGCGATAAATCGCGAGTCGTCTCGGAATGTAACCTTTGCACCACGAGGTCGAGCGATGACATGTGGAGGTGCGACGGTTTGAATATCAATGAAATTGAGCCGAATACCTCGCCTGCATATCCGATCTGACTTTCGACAATTGAGGCATCGTCCCAAGGCCTCGTCACACTTGAGGTGCCTCTCGCGACAAGTCAAACATCCCGTGCGGACCCGTTTGGCCTTGGTATCTGCGATCTCTGAGGACTTGCGGTTTGCGCTGGATTGGCGGGGTGAATTGCTCTTCTGCTTCGGTGTCGCCGGTTTCGGATTCACCTTGGGAGGAGCTTGCGATTGCGACTTCGCTTGGGACCGCGTCGTGAGATTCATCTCGTTCTTTGTAGTAGGTTGTCCACCGTCTTTCTTATCTAGTCGCCGGCGCCGATTGGAGCGGTCGGCGTCCGAGCTGATCGAGGGGTTTGGTATACGCAGAATCTCCTTGTCAGGTTTCCTCGAATGGCCATGTTCGTATCCCGCGTGCGATGTTTCAGGTAGTAATACTGAGAGCTATACTCCCAGGGCGTCTGAAGAGGCTGAGGGCAAAGTCCAAAAATTTGCGACCGGGGGAAGGATTGGCTCGGTTTTCGGCGGGCAGGGCGCACAGGCCGACGAGGGGCAGGCAGGAAGATTGGTCGGGATCTGGTGGTTGGCAGGGTTAGTATGTAAGATTTTGAATTGCTTTTAGAAAGACAGCCTACCAGCCCATGGCCTCAATGTTGCAGTGGATTTGCGATTTGATTGGAAAGAGTCCGGGGCAGTGGTCGTTAGAGAAGTCCAGCGATGGCCGGTGGATCAAAACGCGGAGTTTACGAGGGAACAATGTGGGTCGCTGGTGGAAGGCAAGAAAAGAAGAAAACGCCTGGCGGATTCCAGTGATCCAATCAGACTATCGGACCGTCGTACTTGATGAATACTGATCATAACTACGATATGCCATTGAGATTGTCATTTCAATTAGAATCACTGCGATGTAATTCAATCTATATATGTCAGTCCTGAGCTCCACTATGTCCATGATGAACCCAGAGAGCGTTGGACAATATATGGTACATCTAAAATATGTACCTCTCTAGTTTTCAGAAGCTTTACTTCCTAGTCTGGGTAGTCGAAGTCGCGAGTGCAACACCAACATGATAGTGCCCCAAACAGCCGCAGAAAGAAATGTTACACGAAGAGCCAAAGCATATGCTCCGACGACTGTTCAATCATCAGCGGTTGAATATAATGGCAAGGGGTAAGTATAGGTGAGACTAACCTTGTTGTTGATGAAGCGGATCCAAGTCAGCAATAGCACGAATGGACTTGCGCACCAGACCAATGATTTGCGCCTTGTCTGGGCCGGTAACTTTGTTCTCAAGTTCGAAGAGTAGGGCATTTTGCAAGATCCAGCTGCTAATCGACACGCCCATCACGGAGCCCAGATTGCGCGCCAAGCCCAAGGTGGTCGTCGTGATAGCCTGCTCGTCTTGATGACTAGTTGCTAAGATCGAAACCATCAGGCTTGGGAAGGCGAAGCCTTGACCGAGACTGTTGAACGAGACACAGATCATGGCGAGAGTGTCGGGGGTGGTGATACCCATCGAAGCGGCGAGACATCCTCCGATAGCCATACTGATACCTCCAATGATGATGGTCGGCTTCAAACGTTTGGACCATGTAATCAGGAATCCAGTACCCACGCTCGAAGCGGTCACGGCAATTGAGGCAGCCAGAAGACGCAGGCCAGAGTCGGTGGGAGTAGCAAGCTTGACGGCCTGGAAATACAAGGGAGCATTGAACATTACCGTGTTCACGGAGACAGAGCCAAAGAAGTTTCCGAATATGATACTGGCTCGAGGCTCCTGGGTAAGTAGCTCAACTGGAAGGACTGCGAGAGGCACATTGCGCTCATATCGCACGAGCACGATAGCCAAGACAACGGCCGCGACCAAGGAGCATATCACCAGAGGGTGAGTCCATGGGAAGATATTTCCTCCTAGATTCAATCCCATGATTAATGCGGTGACTGCCGAGACCAAGAAGAAAGATCCAGTCAAGTCCATATTGCGAATGACTTGCACGACTGTCATGCGCTCCGAACCGACCAATTTGATCCCAAGTTCTGCTGGCACGGTCATAGCAGCGACGATAAAGTAAACAAAGATGAAAGGCAATTGAACGAGGAATGCACCTCGCCAGCCAATTCGATCACAGAGAAGGCCACCGAAGGCCAAACCTGTACAGCTTCCGATACCTAGACACAAGTTGATGTATGACTGGTAGACCCCACGATACTCGAGGCGCACGAGATCACTCGAGATGACTTGACCCATCGAGAAGACTCCACCAGCACCCAGACCACAGAAAGCCCGGGCGGCAATGAAACCACCGATACTTTGAGCCAGACCGCACCATGCTGTCGTCACGAAGAACATGAAAATGGAAAACAGGTATACCGGCTTCCGCCCCAAAGCATCGGATATGCGCCCGAAAAGGGGCATAAATGCCGTGGACGTGAGTAAAAACGCAGTCGATAACCATGAAGCCGAATTCGCAGCATGGAAATACGACGTGATCACTGGATAACTTGACGCCATTAATGTGGAGTCGAAGAACCCGATCACGTAGCCGAGCAAGATGCCCGAGAAAATCACCCAGAATTGCGAAGGTGATACGCCGATGAATTGGGAGGCATAATCCGATTCTTTCTTGGATAGTGAGTGTGCTTCATGCGCAGCAACAGTGCTTTTTCTCCTCGACCCTGCGGAGGGATATCGCTCTAAACTCGGCTCGATGTCCAGGCTTGGTTGTGCCGAACTGACTTGAGTCAGGACCGGGAATGTAATCTCATTCTCGGCTTCGATACCCGATGAGCCTGTTTCAATATCATTTGTGTGGTTGATCACACTGCGATAAGATGTGCTTTGGAAGGTGGTTGATTCTCGTAGAAGCGGAGTTCCCTCGGAGAGATGCGAGGCGGACATGTCTGAGGTCTTATCGCCTATTGTCAAAGTAGATGGACTGGCGGTTGTGTAGATCAGCTATGCAGAGATAGCAATAACGAGCTAGAAATCCTAGCAACGGGCTGATCTACTGTCGATCAAGTTTTCTAAAATAAATGTGAAAAGAGTGTCGAGTAGTGGAAGAGAAGAGAAAAACGCGGCTGAGGGAGAAATGACTCCTTCCAACACTAAAGTACTCCGTACCGAGTCGACCCCACCCTTCCCTGCAGATTTGGGAGTGTAAGGCAAGCAGAGCAAGGACCAGCTGTCAGAGTTCATGCAGATGCATAATGATCAATCTGCAGACGCATCGACCACCCCGGCATATCAATAGGATACTGTAGGATCTCGGCAATGTGTAAGTGGCAAATGTAAAAAAAAGGAGGGCGATAACAGAGTTTGTGCCTAGAAATGACACCGTCGGCCCGTCGGCAGCTTAGCCGTCTTAGATCGATCCCATTTGGCTTGTATTTACAACTCGCCTTTTGTAGCTATCGATCTGACCTGCGATCGACTGCATGCTGTTGCATGCATTCTTGAAGTACTGTACCAATATTCCAACCTATAGACCATCCGTCTACCCTGCAAGTCTCGAGCCACGCTGCGAAGCCATGCGTCCTCCACTGCGGATTGCGATCTTGGAATGCGATACCCCGCTCCCCGACGCCGATAGTCGCTATAATGGATATGGAGGTGTATTTACTGCTCTTCTGAAATCTAGTGCGAAGACGCTCAATCAGTCCGACCGGTTCGATTCAGAGATCGATCTTCAGATCTCAAGATGGGATATAATGAACGGGATAGAATATCCGAAGCTGGAGGATGTTGATGCCGTGCTTCTGAGTGGCTCGAGTATGTATTTCTCGAGGATCGTCCTAAGTTAGGGGGAGAAATAAGGCAGAATGCTAATGCTAGAATATTACAGGGTATAACTCATATGAAGACGTGCCATGGATCAACCGTTTAGTAGAATTCACCCAGTCAGTCCTAGCACAAGATCGCGTCCGCCTGCTCGGAATCTGCTTCGGCCACCAGATCGTGGCTCGCGCACTGGGTACGAAAGTTTGTCCCAGCGATCAAGGGTGGGAGATTGCAGTTTGTGATGTGGACTTGACACCCGAGGGAAAAGAGTTATTCGGACGGAACAAGCTCGTAAGTATACCGCATTGAAGATGTCGAGACCATAACTTCAAGCTAACTCCATGTTTGTAAACATCACAGCGTATCCAGCAAGTGCACCAAGACATCGTATATGAGTGTCCTCCAGGAGTGACTCTGCTGGGTTCATCACCACGCTGTGCTGTTCAGGGAATGTACTCTCGTCGCCGGTTTATTACTGTTCAAGGACATCCGGAGTTTAATGAGGAGATTGAAGATGAAATCATCAAGCATCTGACCGAAGAGGGTGTTTTAAGCGAGACTCAAGCGCAGGAAGCTCTCAGCAGGGTTGGGAATGAATACGATGGTGTTTTTATCGGGGCGACCTTCCTCAAGTTTTTGACAGAGGATTAATGAAGGAGTGTTGATTTGTTGTCGCGGAGGCTGTGGATATCTAGTTGCCGCTCCTGTACATACAAGAGTTTCATCCAATGTTGGGCAATTGCCAGACATTAGTCGTGAAGAAATCGCATACTTGTTGACGTCAAGCTGAAACATTGATTCCATAAAAATAGGCACAAAGCTATGAGCCAATCGAAGGCAGCCACAGGGTGAGGAGATACGTTACAACTGGCGTGTAGCAGCTATCGCACTTTGCTCAGAAGAATTACTCGAAGAGATTTACGAGATGGAAGAACAGACTTGAGAGAAATCCGACCACCCTCTGGTGGTTCATATGATTAGATTCGGGTATCATCAACCACAAGACAGCAAGCGTGCATGCACAACGGGAGAATCCCTGCGCCATCACCAGCCAAGACATCTAAGCTAATGAACAAATGCCCTCCCACTCTTCGCCATAAATGCATGTCATAAGCCCATTCGAGGAGTGCACCAGGCACTGCCTCCCATGCAAATAAGTAAAATAAAACGCCTCACTTAGCCAAACCTGGCCCTTTGTCCCATGTGGGCTATGCAAATGATATGCACAGCAACAAAAAATGATCCCACATGCATATGCCAGATGCTTTCCACACAAACGCCTTCACAATGCAAGAATTGTTCGCTGCAAACAAAGACAGAACTCCTGGGAGATAGCGCATGAACATAGTAAAATCGAACGAAAGACAAACGCCTAGGGGTATCGCTTTCAAGCTGGCCGGGGCTTTGACAGGCGGCCACTGCGTCGAAGGCCCTGCTTGGTGGCCGCCTCTGGTGTCTCCGAGAGAGACGCATCCCGGACTGGGGTGGCTTGGGCCTTTTCGGCAGTCTTTGCCTTCTCGGCGTCTGCTTTCATCCGCAAATTGAGCGAGACAACCTCATTGTGGTCGTCACGGAAGGAGATGCCGACACCCAGGGTCAAATTAGAGACGACTCTCTTCTTTGGTCGGCCCCGTCTAGCAGTTGGGGGTTGGTCCTCGGAGTCGTCACTATCGTCGGCAGAGCGCTTGCTGCCGGTGCTGAAAGGAGATGACTCTCGGGAGGCCTGGACACTGGGTTTGAAGTTGGGACCTGGGATCGACGGTTTGTCAGACGATCCATCGGTTTCACCGAGGAGAGCAGCGAATGCTCGGTCGATGTCACCGCGACATTTCTGGAGCACGTCCACAATGGTGTCACGGTCATATCGACCCCCGAGACCGTCTTGAATAGATTGGATATCCCAGGGTGGGAAGACATCCACGGCCAGGTCGGCGGTCTTTGTGGTGAGACCATCGGTAGAAGAGTCGGTATCGGAGACCGAGTTGAGGTTGTCGAAGTTGTCGGGGAAAGATGATGAGAGAGGGGGTGTCTGTTTGTTATCGACAGCCTCTTTTGAATCGGAGATAATCAGTGCTTTGATGTCCTCTTTGGACTGCACCCCCTTTAGTTGCAAGGAAAACTGATCTAGGGCCCGTGACTTAGCCAGGAGCGGATTGTGGGTTCCATCTAAGACCCGCACAGATGAGTAGTGTTTGAAATCCTGCATCAGTCAGTATAAGGAGTCATCGTTAAAGAGAAATGAGCATACGTGAAAAGCAACATGAACCACATCGCGGTGTTCATCATCCGACGCATTCACATCTCTGAAAGCCTGAACACCATCCATGGTATAGACATTAATGTCTACATGGTAAACCTGACAAAATGCCTGGAGGTGCTCAGAGCTACCCCACTCGCCATTCTTTCGAGTGGCAGACACCATTTCTGTGAAGCGGCGTTCTTTGTCCTCCTCGGACGGGACTGCACCATCCACCGAACGAGTGGCATATGCGGATACAGCTGCCCGCTTGGGACGCCGACGCTCGCCGCCATGGGCCACGACAAACTGCATGAAATAGGTCTTATTTTTGGCCATATGGTTGGCGAGAATGTGGCGGATATCGTCACCATGATGGAAATCACCGTACAGTTGATCGGACAGGGAATAATAGAGACAATTGCCTGCGAGGTGACGCGTCAGAAATGGCATGATTTGGATTGGAACAGCTTGCTTGGAACGGGAGAAAAATTGTAGAGATCATGTGAATGTTTAGCTTACCATCTCCTTCAGTTGGCAAAGCAAAGAGGCCGCGTTCCTTCAGACAAGGCATCTCCAAGGAGGAGAGATCGAGGGTTTTCTTCCGACGCATGGCTTCAGAGTCTACCGGCTGGGCCAGCAGCGGGGTCTGATCGAGTGTTGACTGAGAGCAGTTGTTTTCTAGTACAGCGGGGGTGGGGTGGTGGAATCGAGGAACTGTTGGTGTTGTTCGTGACCCGTAAGTATGGGTATGGGCACGATTCTGCCACCGTGTGGGAGGGCGGCCATGATGAGAAAGAAAGCCCGACTCGGGTGGAGTTCGTCATTTAAAATTTGAGTATGGGATATAAAACTCCAATGCAGAATCTGGGTAGCAATTTGATAGGCAATGACCGAAGAAATAGGGAGCAAACAGCCCGCAGACTGAAGACGCCCTGCGGGTGTGATGGGGATTAAAAAGGAATTGCAGCATCCGTCTAAAGTTGAGTGCCGAGTTGGAGGCGGTGAAGTGCTGCCTAAGCGGTGATTGGGTCACACGTGAGGCTTTTCCTAGTATGACATCGGTGACTTGGACGTAGACAAAGAAGTCTTTTCTTTCTTCTCAATTGCACCAATTTCCTTTGTTATACATTTTCGCAGGCTGAAAGAGGCTTCTGATATAGTTCACTCCCCATGATCACCTGGTAATTAGTGAATTGATCTGATTTGAGCCGTCGATTCGAAGATGTGATTCATTCAATTCTAGGGATACGGTGGACCCCTAGATGGATACCGCGGGACTTTACGGATAAGGTCCTGTTTAAACAATATTGGCCAGCCCCAATCAGAAGGTATTTAGCTTGATAGGTAGTTCTGTCTGAGCTATTGAAGCATGGATATTCAATTCAGCTGTGAGTCCATTGATTCAACTCTACTTATGTTGAGTTTTCCCATATGATCTGCCTCGATAATGCGGAGGTGTATTGAACTTCCGTTTTCACCCTGTTTTACTCCGCGTCTCCACCAGGAAAACTTTGGCGCGTTTCTTGTTTCTAATGGCGCCCATTGGTCTAGCGCCACACCGCCTCATCGGCCGCCACCCGAATGAACAGTCGAGATACAAAGGCCATACAGCAAGTTCATGGCGAGTTTAGTGAAAAGCTTTCGAGTTGAGTCCCTTGTTAGACCGAGGCAAGTTGACGAAGGAAATCTATTACATGGATCAGATAAATATTTCGAGGGGACTGCATGGGAATTTTGTGCAGATGTTACGCTAGAAACCTGCAGCTACACTTGGTAAACAGAGACGATTTTTACACTGTACACTGTATGGGGAGGAGTTTGGTAAAGCCAGTGGTCGAGTTGGATATCATTGAATAGCCCCAGTATGCCAGATCGATCCTGTTCAATGCACACATAATCAGTCTGTAAAGGGAAAAGACCAATGGCACCAAACGAGGGTCTGCACAATGTGGTCGTGTTCTACCCCGACTGTCTCAATTTCTCTTATCAAATAGATTGTGGATAACCGTTGCGGAGACTATCTACTCCTCACCCCGCTCGCTACTTTGTTCACTTCTCTGCTCTTTGAATCGTCTGAAACACCCTGGACTTGATCTAGTACAGAATCTATTCTGATCAATTTGTGAGATCTCTCAGCAGCCAACGGAAGAGCAACATACCAGCCATGCCTAACAAGATTGTCGTTTTGGGGTAAGAATCATTCACCGGCGCAAAGCGAGGTTCCAGGTGTCCGGATCTTGAACTGACGTCTCTCAGAGCCGGGGTCTCAGGCCTCACAACTGCCTACTTGCTATCTAAGGATCCCGAAAATCAAATTACTGTGCTCGCCAAGCACATGCCAGGCGACTATGATATCGAATATGCCTCCCCATGGGCTGGTGCCAACTACATGCCGTACGGTCAACATGCTCTATCGGTGTTGCGACACCTAACTGAAGACATTGTTTATATAGGGTTGGTAAGCAAGGAAGCAATCACCATGCGTGGGAACGAGATACCTGGCCAGCGCTGAAGGAGATTACCGAGAAATATCCCGAAGCTGGAATTCACTTCCTCGGTAGGTTTCCGATACCATGCAACAAGAATGACCAACATGATCTCATGAACTGACACTACTATAGATGCTATTATTTACAACCGAAAGAAAGATCAGGAAACGGCCACTGGTAAGTGGTTCTCTGAATTGGTGCAGCCGAACCCCTGGTACAAGGATGTGGTACCCGACGTATGTTCAATCCCAAAACACTCAACCGCATCAGCTTCCAAACTGACAAACAGTCCATAGTTCAGAGACATTCCAGAAAGCCAGCTATCTCCTGAAATCGACAATGGTCAAATCTTCACCTCTGTATGCATCAACACTGCCGTCTACCTCCCATGGCTAGTTGGGCAATGCACCAAGAACGGCGCAGTCTTCAAGCGAGCCATTTTCAGGCACATCGCCGACGCCGCAAACGCACACCACTCAGGTCAAAAGGCCGATGTTATCGTGAACTGCACGGGTCTCTCGTCCAAGTTCCTGGGTGGAGTGTGTGATGAGAACCTTCTTCCCGCCCGCGGCCAGATCGTCGTTGTTCGCAATGACCCGGGCCCAATGATTGGTCTTTCTGGAACGGATGATGGAGAAGACGAGGCATTGTATATGATGACACGTGCGGCCGGTAAGATTGACGCCCCGAAAAGCTACAAGTAGCACTGCTCACACAACATAGGCGGTGGCACCATTCTCGGCGGCTCTTATCAGAAGAATAACTGGGACGCCCTACCTGACCCAAACCTTGCCAACCGAATCATGAAGCGCGCAATCGCGATTGCGCCTCAGCTCGTCAAGGAGGGTGAAGGCATCGAGGGTCTGGATATTATTCGTCACGGTGTTGGCCTGCGACCTCTGCGGGAGGGTGGTCCTCGGGTTGAAAAGGATGAGGTGGCTGGAGTCAAGATCGTTCACAACTACGGTCATGGTGGATTTGGATACCAGGCTTCATTTGGATGTGCTGAGACTGCAATCTCGTTGGTCAAGGAGGTGTTGCAGAATAAGACTCGGGCTAAGCTCTGAACGCCCAACGGGCCATTGCATCCACACAATCAGCCGGACAATACATATGCATAAATATCAGCTTAGATACCTAGTACAGCCTTATGCTGCTGCTCACATAATTCAAGGAAGATAAAGCTCCGAGATCATTGGTTGACGAAACCTGAAAAATGTGACGTCAAAATGACCTGCGGCGAATATTGCCAGTAAAGCACTAACCAATCTCATCAATCTCGATGATCTCTAATAATTTGAATTTACACTCAACATCCTCCCAATCGACACAACATCCAACACAAAATGCCCGAATATCGTCAACAGGATTTCGATGATGAGATCGAGATGGTCACCAATGCCTACGGTAGCCTACCACTATCCCACACACCGATGGACGAAGCCTTGAGAACGAAGCCGACTCCAGATACCGTCCTCGCCATGGTCATAGATGCATTGGTCAAGTCAAGACCTATCTCGCATCAACTGGCGCAATCGACAGTCGCTGGCCTTATCGAGGACGACTATCATAACATCGACAAATTATCCGGGACTTCATGGGAAGAACGAACAGACATATTGAGAAAAGTAGGATATAACCGGTATCGTGAGCAGTGTGCCACCAATCTAGGCAATTTATCCGATTTTGTTTTGGTTAGATATGGTATGAAGTTTTCGTGTTACCACCTTCCCTTTTCAGTGAGATTCGGGTACTGACAATTAACGCCTAGATGGGGATCTCAACAATCTACTTGACGCTGCCCATGAGAGCCGCGAGGGAGTTCGGACTCGAATCAAGGAGATCAGGGGAGTTGGTGATCTGGGTGTTGAAATATTCCTGGACAATGTTCAAAGCGTGTGGCCGTCCATGGCCCCGTTCGTTGATTCGAGGAGCCTTCACACGGCGGAGGAAATTGGGTTGGGAAATGATGTACAGGCGATATACACTCACCTGAATGGAGACCCTGTGAAAATGAGTAAGTTTGCTAATGGGTTGTCGGAGATTCGATTGGAGCATAAGCAACATGAGATTGAGGAGATGTGAGAGATCTAGCTTTTGAGGACTCCTTGCATCTGGCTAAGGCACTGTACTTAAGAATAGCCAAATCACATGTACTGATTCGGGTAAATACAACAATCCGATAATGACCGTTCACTATCAAGTTTTTGATGATGTTATCGTATCAATCAATTCTCTTGGCCACGCCAGCCATGACCCAAAGCGGCTTAGCATCATCTTTTCAGCCCCATCATTATGGCCAGCCCCATCATTATGGCCAGCCCCATCATCATGGCCAGCCCCTCACGTGACACGTCAGCGGCGTCGTTGTTCGCTCCAGAGCCTGCTGATTCAGCCATTGTGGCTTGGCAGACCCGCTGCTTGCGACGAGGAGGCAGCTCGCTCGTTCTCATTTCTCTCTCCACCACCCCCTGTTCAGCTTCAAATCAAGCCTTCTCACGAGCGCATTCCTTTTGGCCCTTTTGCGTGATATCAAACATCTTGTACGTGGTTCACTAGGCCCTGTTCCTCCCCACACCGAGCAGCTACGGGCTGAGGTCTGCTTGCAACCCGTTCCCCCCGGATCTCGAATCCACAGCTACTGTACTATCGAGCGCTGGGACCATTGCCGGGCAACTAAGATGAAACTGTCGTGTCGCGAAAGTGCAGAGTTTACTAACGAAGAAACTAGGATACTGCTTCGAACTATTCGATTTCCACGCTCCTATTCTCCTCCGTTGCTTGCTGCCTAGTGGCTGGGACGACTCCTTTGACCTCGAGACCCTAAGAATCGCTTGAAATCGAGTGGAAACAACGTCGAACATCATCAAAATGGACTTCTCTAACATCTTGTATGTTTCTGCCGTTGTTGTCGCACCCCGAATTGGCTCCGGATTCCCTCGGCAGAGATGATGAACTCGAGCTAATGTATGTGTCCAGTCGGCTCGTCAACATCGCGGTGGGTGTGATCATGGTGCTGGGTGGTATTAGCCAGTTCTTCCCACCCACCATGAGCTCTATCGTCGTCGGCGTATACGTGATTGTCTTTGGTCTGGGTAAGTTCTGCCAATCTTGGCCCCCGTCTCTCCGGTCCCTTTGACAAGCTGCTCACCTTGTTTTCTTAGTTGTTGCCGGACTGGAGTTCCTCCCCAACGTCCCTGACTACGTCTACCGCTACGCTTCATTCCTCTTCTCCTTCCTGGGCCGTGGTATCTGTAAGTCGAGTCTCAATTCGAACTATTGCCTTTCTTTGGATGCTGCGCGCATTGTTGGGTTGTACGCCAACTGATCATTTTCTTAGTCTACATCTTCGTCGGCTGCATTATGCTTCACGGTCACGTCCTGCGCGAGATCGCCGCCTCGATTGTCGGCATCACTGGTATCGGCTACCTGGTCCTGGAGTTCATTCCTTCCATTGAGCCCCCCTCCAACATGCGCGAGTCCGACCAGGGCTGGGGCGCCGAGCAGGTCTAATTTAGGACCTGGATCTGATATGATTGGAGGCGCACCCGAGCATGGTGAGCTACCGAGCAACGGATCTGAACCCGGATTGGACTATGTGTCATGAAAAAGACAGGCTTGTGTAGTGTCGGCGTCCTTCGCGATGCATGATTTGCACATGAATGCTTTTTCTTTCTCCCATGCGATATATGATGGATGACGAGAGCTATGACGTGGGAGGGCTTCTGGGTTGATTGGTGGTCTGGTGAACGGTGGAGTGTGCCTGGATGCCTTAGGGCCTGGGTGCCTTGGCTATTGTTTCACCTTGACTAAAGTTGGACCTCTGCACGTCATCGCGAGAAGTCTGAGATTTTCTTCTTTTGCCTCCTTGCGATTTTTCTTTTCTTTTCTTTGCTATGATTTATCTTCATTTTCCCTATTTTTTGATACCTGTGAATGAGAGGTCATGGACAGAATCTGTACTATAAGTTCTCTTTGGAAGGGTCATGTTTGACTCGACCTAGGCACGAATGGAAGAAATGTGTTTACGAGTGGAAGTTTCTCGGTCTATGATTGGTTGGTCTAGGACTCTACAGTATGGGTAATATGGGTAAATGTGATTCCTGTGAGGTAATGATAATTCCATGAAAGATGCTAATGATGAGTAGTTGCCTTACCCAGCAGGACGACGAGGCAATCGTACTATAATAGTTTGATTGTACTATTTTGCTCTTTTCGGCATTTTGAGCATTTGATGTGTTGTTCTAGCGGTCTAGATGACAGCATGTATGCTGTAAATGTAAAGTTTGTCACTTTTTTTCTTTTTCCATCTTTTTGCCTCTTCTCGGGCTTTACGGAGGACTGCGTATTCTGAACGGAGGGAGTGACAGTCCCGAAGGCCGTGAGAGGCTCAAGCGGTTTCCCAGGAACGAGTAACGAGGGTCCAATTACTAACGGATACCAGGGCACTTTACTACCATACTCCTGTACTGTAAGAGTAACGTGACTTAATCAAGCATGACTAATATGACCCATTTCTTGCCTCCGCCCAACGAGAGGCAAATGATTGCTGCTGACCGGCTTCAACGGGCTTCCTTGGCCAATCACTCACCCAGCAAATCTGCTTGCCTACGCAAAGGCCCGCCCACTCCTCTCTTGGGAAGGTGGTTTCCTTCTGATTCGGTGCCCCTAAACTTCATCAGGCCGACGGTGGGCCCCGCGCAATTCACTGTGATCTGGGGAATGGTCAAGGTGATCGCGATCAGAGATTTTTTTTGTCCCGGAGTCTTAAATTACCGGAGATGGATCGATCATCCCCTAAGAAAAAAAGCAAAAATAATTACACTTCTATAGAAGCATATTGGGCCCCGTTTCTTTCGTTTCTGGGTCAGACAAGAAGGAAACAGAGACCACCCAAGAGATTAGATGAGATAGCGATCCTCGGCATTGGCGATTAGGAACTGATAGATTGATAGCCTCGTCGATCTTTCTCCCCCTTCGTAGATCGATAAACTCTTCCCCATCACCCTTTCTGCTCTGGCGTGCTCGATAAGCAATTTTCCTCATTCTTCCTTTCTCGGGTCTTTCGCCATCTCTTCATCTTCCCTATTCACCTTCCATCCTTGGCTGTACCCATCACCTCAGACCACGCCATCTGCCCACCTCCTCTCCTTATCTCACTCTCTCCCTCTTCCACCTCCTCTACTCCATCCCCCCTCTCCTTCACTGGGATCAACATCCTGCAGGCCCCTAGTGAACTTGGCTCCCCATCCCAGTCCTGCTTAGCTGTGTTTTCCCAACTTTACTCCGACCGAACGCTCTTCTCAGGTAAATCCGATACCGCGTTCCTGTTGAGCTGTCAGCTGTTGCGACCATCACCTGACCGGCCCAGACCACTCGCCACACTCTTTTTTTTTGATATCTTGCGTGGCGGTCTCCTTTGATCTAGACGCCAACTCTGATCGTCGTGAACCTCTGCCAGTCACCTCATCGCTGGTTCCTGCGCTTCCTCCTGCTGCCATCCCCGTCACCCACATCCCTCCGGACCCCTGTTACGTCTTCCGGAACCCCCTTTGATAACCATCTATCTGCTCGCCTGGTCCTGCAGTGATCTCTGCCTTTTCTACCGCTTTCCCACAGGCCCTGACCGACATTTGGACATCTGGCCCTTTTGTGGCGTGGGTGATACGGTGAATTCGGCTTTCGACTGTGGTGCGACATCGCCCTCACATCGCCGTACCGGGAGACATTCTCCCCTTGTCCTCGCTTCCGCCGTCTTGTTCCTGGATATTTTTTTTTTGAAAGAGATCATCCCCTAGCATCGCGCTATATCTTATCTCTAAACCTCCCCACATCTTCTCCTCTCCTCGCTTCCTCGCCAGCTTTCCTCCTGGTCTGACGCTCGGCCGATTAACATTCTCCGGCCTGTCGACGAGTTGGTTATGTTAGCATCCATTCCACCAATGGAAACGGTACGCTCTTTCCCCCGGGACCCTAGCGCTCCTTCGAGGCATCCGTCAGCGGAGGATTTGGACGCTGCGCAGCAGCTGATTTCGTCTGCGCAGGCGGGTCGCGAACATCTGGCACAATATGGGAATGGGCCTGGGATCAAAGTCTCCGGAAGCCCTCCTCCGAACCACCATGGACCGCCCTCTGCACCGGGCCAATTGACGGAAGGTCATGTCAATGGTCACCGGGATGGAACCTCTCCCAAAGCACAGAAGGATACCTCGTTCCTAGGACACTCTTGCAGGTAAGCTCATCTTTCCTCCGTTGCTAACAAACTCGTGACTAATCTAACATCAACTGTGTATAGCAATTGCGGAACACAACACACTCCCCTCTGGCGTCGCTCCCCGACAGGTGCCATGATTTGCAACGCCTGTGGCCTCTACTTGAAAGCTCGCAACGTTGCTCGCCCTACGAAACGAAATCGGATACAGCAAGGTGCGGACGGTGCTGAAAAACCAAATACCCCCATTGCGTCTCGCACCGAAACCGCGGATACCTCAGGAGGAGGTTGCAAAGGCTCTTGCCCGGGAGGTGGAAGTTGCAATGGCACCGGTGGTGCGGAAGGATGCGATGGCTGCCCGGCTTACAACAACCGTATCTACAAGGCCGCGAACCGTGGCCCACCCGCCGTTGTTCAGGGCTCATGGGGCCGGACGTCTGCTCCAGATTCTGAACCTGCATCCGCACCCCAGGAAGTTGAGACACCGGCGAAACCTACGCCCTCAGATGGTGCATCGTCCACTCTCGTCGCTTGTCAAAATTGCGGGACAACGGTCACCCCGCTCTGGCGACGGGATGAACATGGGCACCCCATCTGCAATGCTTGTGGTACGTTTGATTTACTCTCGTGCATTCATTCTTCTTCGATACATTCGACTAATAGACAACAGGTCTTTATTACAAGCTTCACGGTTGCTATCGTCCGACCACCATGAAGAAGTCCATCATTAAGCGCCGCAAACGTGTTGTCCCCGCTCTCCGCGATCAATCTCCCACGGCTGCTACTCACTCATCCAACGGTTCATCGGCCTCTCCCGAGGCATCGCCCGCTGCTTTGGCCCACGATAACCATCGCTACATGAGCAATGAGCCCATGGATGGCCCACGGCAGATGCCCTTTGCACCACCTCCGGTGGACTTTACCGGCTTCCATATCAGCTCCGCCCCCTTGCAGCATAATGGACTCCCCAAGCTTCTCAATCCTGAGCGATTGGGTCATTCACCGGTATCTCAATACGGCCGCCGATCTGTGTCTCCCAATTCTCTTCCAAAGAAACGCACATTGGCCGAAACCGTGACGGAAACCCTCTCCATTCCCACCACTTTGGGATCTGGCTCCAATCAGTTGCCTCCCATTATGACTTCCGCCAACCCCTCGCCTCCAGGCCGTCTCAGTTCGATCTCTGCCATCCTTAATCAAGCGGATCCACGCAATGAATCTCCTCTGGGCCGACCCCAGCCCTTCCAACCTCCCATGCAACCTGCACACCAATCGCAGCAACTTCCCAGCATCTCCTCCTTCTCGGATCCTGCAGCCGAGCGCCGCGCCCAACTGGAACGTGAAGCTGAGCAGATGCGTGAAGCACTGCGAGCCAAGGAACGTGAACTTGCTGCGATGGGCCGTTAATTTTTCTCCTGCTCGATCTTTCTCCTGGCCGATCTCTTCTCAACCCCTTCTCCCAAAAAATGAGTCCAAGTTGTGACGACAGTAATGAGATTCAACCTACAAAGATTTTCTGAAAATTTTTATGCTTTTCTTTTCTTTTTTCTCTTTTTTTCGCGGTGGAGAGGTTTCCACATTGATACACGGCGCAAATACTCGGAGATTTGCGCATGATACCACTGACTGCTTTGCTGGGATGTCCCATCCCCCGACTGTGCTACTATTTTCCTTCTTGTCTAACAAAAAGTTCGCAAAGATGAACTGTATTCTACAATAATGGAATTGCTTATCTTAATAATCTATCCTCTGTTATTTTATATGCCTTAGTCGTTGAACATTTATGTCGATTGTTATAAGCTCTCGGGTACGCCCGAAGGTTCCGATGTCATGATGACTTGGCATCCATTCCCTCCATCCTAGCTGTCGATAATAAGCTATAACATCCTAGCATCAAATCTCATCTCTGATATTAACCACAGATCATGACAGACCCCGCTACCTCCTTCACGCTATCATTCGTCGGCGACGTAATGCTCGGCCGTCTAATCGACCAATTCTTCCCCGAGCACGTCCACGACGACAACGACCGCCACAGCGCCGACCACTTCATTGAAAAACACCCATCCATCCTTGCCCACGGCAACTACACCCCCTCCTCACCATGGGGAACAACCCTCCCCTTCCTCCGCGCCTCAGACCTCTTCCTCATCAATCTCGAAACATCCGCAACAACCACGTCCGAGCTCTGGCCCGATAAAGTATTCAATTACCGCATGCACCCATCTAATCTTGCCCCGATCTTGCATGCAGCGCACGTAGACTATGCTAGTCTTGCGAATAATCATACCCTCGATTTTGGGAATGAGGGGCTTATTGAGACCGCTTGGACGCTTCGTAATGCTGGTGTTGCGTTCGCGGGTGCTGGAGAGTCTCCTGATCAAGCTTTCAAACCGGCTGTGTTATATCTACCCCGAGCGGTTCAGGAGATGCATGCAAGACGTGTGGATGGTCAAAAGAACACACCCACGCCATCCAAAGAACAAACCACCGCCGCGGAAAAGCAGGGCTATCTAGTCCATGTATATTCCGCAGCAGACCACCCACGAGACTGGGCCTCCATCCCGGCATTCCATCTAATAGACTACTCCCCGGCAACAAGAACTCGCCTCCGAACCCTGCTTCTATCAAACGGCTCAAGAACCCGTCATCCACCCTCCCAAGAATCTCAATCTCAACACACCTTCGAAAACAAACCCGAATCAGATACGTACCACCACCGCGCCCACCACCACCACAACACGCCTCCAGACCCCCCTGAACGACCGGCACTAAAGATCTTCTCCGTCCACTGGGGCCCGAATTACCGCTGGCATCCCGGGGATCGAATCCAGTCGTTAGCGCATTTCCTGATCGACGAGTGCGAAGTCGATATCGTGCATGGCCATTCGTCGCATCATGTACAGGGGGTGGAAGTATACAAGGGTGGTGTCATCATTTACGGGTGTGGGGATTTTGTGGATGATTATGCTTTGAATAGGGAGTTTAGGAATGATTTAGGTGCTGTTTGGAGGGTTGTTGTTAAGGAGGAGGACAAGGCAGAGAAAAACGATGGGAAAGGGAAAGGGAAAGGGAAAGAAAAGGATGTGAAGGGAAGACTTGTGCTTGATCGATTGGAGATTTTTCCGACGGGGGTGGACAAGTTTAGGGCTATGTTGCTTGATCGAGGTGCTAAGGATCATAGGTGGGTTCGGAAGAAGGTTGAGGAGCTTAGTTTGGAGTTGGGGACGAAGGTGAGGAAGGAGGCTGGGGATCAGGGGCAGATTATTGTTGATATCCATGGGTAGATCTTTGAAAGGGAGAGTCATATATTGAGGATCAGGTTTATGGAAGAAAAGAGTCATAAACCCGGAAGACGGCTACACTTCTGCCAGATGGATTTATGAAAATAAATTTGGTGTTGTCACTAATATCAAAACAAGATATGGTCTGTGGAATACGGTACAGCTGTACCGAGAGATTCAAATGGAGGTAGGAATGACCGGTGACTAACAGCCCTGATACTCTGGGTATGTGGACACGTCCTACTATCGGATCATTTCAGACCAAATTTGGCCCAGTTCAGTACAAGTTGAAGCGGTGATGGTGGTTGTGGTTGTTGCCGTAGTAGTACAACTAGTTGAAGTTGGTACACAAATGCAATGTAGTGGTAGAGGCCTCGTACGTTGGCCGGGCGCCAATCGTGAACTTGGTTCGCTGGGAGGAGTCGTTGGAACTGCCACCTGAAGATCTAGAGCTGTGTAGATCCATATTCGAGTAGATTTACGAACTACTGTTTGAGTCCGTCTCGTATGCCCAACTGTGCCACCTCATACTGATATTGGCATGGATGTTCAACTAGGGACAAATTCATCCTTGGCCAACGGGACGTAGCGCAGGTACGGCTTGACCACCTTCATGTTCGGGAACCGAGCCTTGGCATCCTCGTCCGACACACTGACGGGGACGACCACATCTTCACCCGGCTCCCAGTTGACGGGAGTATTGATGCTATGCTTGTCGCTAGCAAGTAGAGAATCAACCACACGGAGCAGTTCGGCCGTGTTACGGCCTGTGGAGGCGGGATAGGCCTGGATCAGGCGGATGGTCTTCTTGGGGTCGATGATGAAAACGGACCGAATGGTGTAAGCAATTCCCCGGGCATCGACGTTGGTGGTATCTTGGTGATCCAACCTATCCTCACGCGTTAAGGCTGGTCGGGGTGCCTCGGGAGAGGCGCGGAAGGCAAAGAAAAAAAGTCACTCACATGTCATAGGCATAGGCGACCTGGCGATCCTTATCGCCGATGACGGGGAAGGTCAAGGGACATCCCGCTATCTCGGAAATGTCGTTGATCCAGCCATCGTGCGACTCGATGGAGTTCGCCGAGAGACCGATTAGCTTGACGTTGCGCTTGGTGAACTCGGGCTCGTACTTGGCCAGCGCGGCCAGCTCAGTGGTGCAGATTGGGGTGTAATCCTCCGGGTGGGAGAAGAGGATTACCCAGTCGTTGCCCGCCCACTCATGAAAGTCGATGGGGCCGATGGTGGTTTCGGCCTGAAAGTTGGGCGCGATCGACCCCAAACGAAGACTAGAAGGTCAGTTAGAATTTAGAATGGAGATTGGTGATGTTGATACGCTCGGTGACCGATTAATGTCCCCGAGCCAGAAGGGAACGACCGGGAAATAGATCGCAGGCGGGGGATTCCAAATAGGGAAAATGGAGACAAACGTACGGGGCAGCCCACTGTCCTTCAGACGTTGTGGAGGTGGTGACCATTGCCCGCAAAAGAAGCCAGCTGGGAAGATGAGGAGGCGCAAGATCAGTTGATGGGTTATGGATTCAGGTGTTGGGGAGGGGGGGGGGGAAAGAGGTACACGTTCAATATCGATGTGTGAACGGAGTACGCAGTAGAGAAAGAAGCTCAGAACCCGGGCCATTCTTCTCCCGGCCCGGAGGATCTTCAGTCACGGGCCTCAAATCAGAGAGGAACAAACGGTTCTCTTCGCCATCCGAGTCCGTTTCTTTATTTCTTTGCTTTTCCGAGCGGCTTGTTTCCTCGTGTCTCTTGTCAGGGAAAGTGAATATAGAAACAAGGTTAATCCTGGGCCGCCGAAAGAACCCATTACGTTGCGCTTAAAATTCACTTACTACATACAGAAAAGGGTCCCTGTAACATATCTTATGAGGACCGTTTTGACCTAATTGACATCAAAAAGGTGCCCGTGTCCATTGGGTACCCATGCCCTTGGACTAGCGCAAGACGAAAACGGAACCTGTTCTTTTTGAAAGAGAAACAAAATGCAAAAAACCGGTTTTGCAGGCAATCCAACAGTGGCAATTCTGCCGCCCTCGCGCGTACTCCGTACAGACACTAGAATGGCCGAATCGGTCCAAATTTCGACTCTCTAAACAACACTTCTTTTACTTCGACCTCTAACGGCCAGGAAAGCCCTTCTAGAAAACCGAAAAAAACTACAATGATCACGACGCCGACCGGTACTTGATCCTCCCTCCCCGTCCTTTACCGACCACCGCCCCCCTGTCTTGGGGAATCCCAGTACCGAACGGAGAGGGCTCAGAGCCTCCCATCGGTCTGATGGATAAATTAAATCGCTTAGTGGCTTATACCTGGGACGAGTCGCGGCAATCTCGCTCAAGCTATGGCGTATGGTGCGTTGACCCAACTACAGTTCCGCGGCGGAAGGAAAGAGCTTTGCTGAGGCTCTTCTAGGCACGTTTTCGGTACCAAGCACCTTGGCCGTACTATCCGTCCGGATTATGCGCAGATCGGTCGCCTCCGAAGCGCCTCTTCTCCTGGCGATTTGAGCGGCGTATCCGTTCCACAGGGTGCAGACGAGGACAGCAACAGCAACGATGGTGAGGACCGGGGCAAAGAGTCGGAGCGAACAATCGAAGTGGTCGCGCGAATTGGTGATAATATGATTCAGGAAGAAAGGTTGCAAGAGGAATATCAGACGCTGGCGTCCGCCGCGGCTTCCCACCGTAAATATCTCCTGCGACCTGTGGAGATGCAGCGCCTATCTAGCCACGACGAGGAGCACGAGCCATCCCTTCTGGTCTGCATTTACGAAAGCCCCGGTCCCAACGATCTCCTGCGCTTCGTCGAGGGTGGCGCCCCGATCTGGAATCATACGCGCCCCGAAGGAGAAGAGAGTGATATCGAGACTGATGTAGGCTTGAATCGATCCGATCGGCGAGAGCCCATGCCGTTGGACGCATTTCTGGATTTTGCCATCGGAGCGGCCGAATGTATCGAAATGCTGCATAGCCAGCAGATTGTCCATGGGCAGATCCGGGGGGACGCATTCCACTTCAGCCAAGAGACTGGTCGCGTGCGACTAATCCATCTTGGGGCGGGCCTCCGGGCCTACGATATCGGGCGGCTAACTGCCGGCTCGCACTCTCTGGCGAGCATCTCCCTCATGAGCCGCGAACAGACCGGGTGGACACCGATCCAGCCCGACAGTCGGGCCGATATTTATTCCCTCGGCGCCCTGCTGTGGAGTGCTCTTGTCCAGGAGGGCTCATATGGAAGCAAAACTCCCCTTGACATCATTCGGGAGGTACTTGGACAGGAGCTGCCGTCGGTATCGACCTTGCGACCCGACGTGCCTGAACTACTTGCTCGGGTTATCGCGAAGGCGACGGCAAAGAATGCCGTGGAGCGGTACAACTCGGTTAGCGGTCTGCGACATGACCTTGTGAAGGTACGGAGGTTGCTCACCTCGGGAGATAAGGCCGAAACAGAAAATTGGGAGATTGCCAGCAAGGATGTTTCTCCATTCTTCACGCTTCCGCGCACGATGGTGGGCCGGACGAGTGAGCGGGATGCCATCGTCGAAGTCCTGGATCGTACGTCCCGAATGTACGGGCTTCGCTTGTCGTCGGTGCCAGAAGATCAATTTGCGATGTTTGCTGCCCCTCCCTCATCAGGCGATAATCTGGGGGGAAAGGAAGGCCATACTCAGGCGGAAGGGTTGACCTCCGCTAGAATTGCCCAGTCGTATATAGCCAATTCAAGCCGCTTGCGTTCCTCTAGAGACTCGCAATACAGCTCGAGCGAGGGCAGCGAATTCGGTCCCGCGGTTTTTGACGGGAAGGGGGTAGAGAAAAGATTGTCGACTCCATCGATCGGCAGCAGCAGTGGCGACGGAAGCTCCCGGTCTGGTGATGATGCTGGAAGGACGGCTGCACATCGCTTGATGGCGCTGAAAGGGCGGTGCGAGGTTATCAGCATTGAAGGAGGGGCTGGTATGGGCAAGACTCGACTGATAACATCAGTGCAGATTGAGGCCCGACGAAGAGGCTTCTTTGCCAGCTCCCGGTTTGACCAAGCAACACAAGACCGACAGCGTCCGGTTCTGCAGCTGTTTTCGAGTCTGTTCGAGCAGGCCTTCTCACAAAGTACGATTGAGCCTAGCTTCCTGCCGATGCTGCGGAATCTCATTGGGCCTGCGTGGGACACTCTTCACAAGGTTCTAGGCCTTCCGAAATTTCTCCTCGGGTCAGGCCCCGACGTGCCAGAGCAGGTGCTGAACCATGCTGCTCGCTCGACCAAGTCATTGCCCTACCGGCGTCCTCCGGAGAATACTGGAACCGAGAGTTCCAAAGAATTTCTTCGAACCGGATCCTCGACCAAGTCTTTGCCTCTTGTGCGGACATTGCTCGATATCCTGCGGGCCTTCGGGCAATACAAGCCGGTGTGTCTTTGCTTGGACGATGTTCACTTGGCCGACGAAGAATCATTGGAGCTCATCACCCAGATCGTCTCGGCTGGAATTAGAATGGTGTTGATTTTGGCCTACCGATCCGAAAATGCTTCACCTGAAATGACGAAACAGATTCTTCAGCTCTCTACCAATAAAGGTATTTACCCTCGCGTCTTTCACTGTTTTGATCTTTTTCATTTCAGGCAGTCTTACTACGTTGCACCATGCTTACCACCTTAGAACTTCGAAAAGGAAGAGATATTGGTGTTACTGTCGTCAAACTCTCTCCACTTAGTGAGGACAGCGTGATGCAATATGTGGCAAGCACCTTGTGTTTGCCTGTCCCTGTTATTTTGCCGCTGGGGGCGCTCATCCAGTCTAGGACCAGTGGTAATCCCTTTTACGTCCGTGAAATGTTGAACGATTGCTATGAACACGGGTTCTTCAGCTATGACTACCAGGAAGGGCAGTGGTCATTTGATCTGAGTCGTATTTCCGAACATTTCAAGAGGGACAATTACAACGACTCCATCTTCGATGATTTCTTAATCAGGCGTCTAAGTAGCCTATCGCCTGTCTCCAAGTCAATCCTGGCCTGGGCATCCGATTTGGGCATGACCTTCTCGTTTCAGCTGGTCAAGAAGCTCCTCAGTAACGATGAGACGGATGCCGAGTCTGGCTTGTCTGAGCGGGAGATGATTCAAGGTCTGCAGGCGACCATTCAAGCCTACGTTATTGTGCCTACGCAAGATCACGACGTCTTTTCGTTTACATATCACCATTACATGCATCTGGCAGCATCATTCCACACAAAAGACCAGGACCATGTAAACTTTGTCAAGGCACAAGTTCTGTTCCGGTATTACGCCCATGACGACAAATATCGCAACATGCTGGCATCAGCCATTATCGATTCAACGCCGATCTTGAGAGCCTCCATGGCAACAAGAGGGCCTTTCAGGAAGTTTTTGTTTGACTATGCAAAAGCTGCAAGTGAGACCGGTTTTCGCTCGACCGCTATCAAGTCTCTCACAAGTTGCATCCAACTTCTTCAGGAGGACATGTGGAACGAGGACGCCGAAGATGTGATGTATGACGAGACGCTCCAAATATTTACCTCCGCTGCTGAAGGCTACCTGTACCAGGGAGAGCATGCCGAAGCTAGTCGCTTGCTGGAATCCATGCTCTCCAATGCTCGAAGTCCAGTGGACAAGGCTCCCTCCTGGATCTTGCAGTCTCGCATGCTTGCACAACTGGGTAACTCAAGTGGTGCTTTCCAAGCTCTTAAAAGATGTCTCATGACTCTAGACATTACAATTGATGACGATCCGACTTTTTCTAAATGTGACAAAGAATATCGTCGGCTATGCGAGGCCATTTCCGCTATGACGACGGAGGACATCGTCGAAAAGGCCTTTGTTGGGCATCCCGTTTTGGCTGCGGTCGGTGCGGTGCTCGTTGAGGCCACTAGCGCGGCTTTCTGGTCCGACACGCTGACCTTCTACCAAATGACGCTGGTAATGGTGGAAACATATCTCGCTCGGGGCCCATTCCCCCAGGCGGGGATGGGACTATTGCAGTTGGCAGTAATAGCAATCACTCGGGACAATGCAATTGCCTTCGCAAGTCACTGCTCGGAGCTTGCCCTGGCTCTAATTGAACAATCCAACGACCCACGAACCAGGGGACGTGGTATCGTATTATACTCGACCTTTGTGGATCACTTACAACATCATGTGCAGTCCTCAATCTCTCAGCTAGAAGGAGCTTTGGACTTCTCCATCCACGCTGGTGACCGAATCGCGACCATCTTAAACTACGGGCTGTTGGCCACCATGAAGTTTTTTGCCTCCGAAAACCTGGCCGAGCTAGAGAGCTTCTGTGTCTACAGTTGTCAGGATATCACCAGCTGGCAGTCGGATACTCCCGGCGGTACGATCCTCATCACAATTGGCCAGCTCTGCCGTGCTTTGCAAGGGAAAACATATACGAATGACGGAACAAGGGTAATGAGCGATGAAGAGCACGATACGGCTGCATACAAGTATTGGCTCGTGAAAACCATTAAAAATAGCGACCGGCCGCTGATGCTCTATGAGAGCATGGAGATTGCTCCATTATTTCTGTACGGTCACTACGAGCGAGCGGTTGCGCTGGGGAATTCTTGTCTCAAGAAAGTGAATGCCATTTGGTCAACACGGAACACGCGATTCCTGATGTTCTTTCATTCCCTTTCTCTAGCCGGATTCGTGTGGATGCGGAAGCAGCAGCAACTTGATCCTGAGGCCACCCTCGAAGAGATGGGCAACATGGCGAGGATGTTGAAGTATTTCAGGCGCAAGATTGACCAATGGCAGGTCGTCACAGATGTGAACTATCTAGCATGGACTAAGATTTTGGACGCCCAGATCGCCGAGATGGAGCGTGACCAAAGGGCTGCCTTGTGTTTCTATCAAGAGGCATTAGACCACGCTTCCATGCATGGATTCGCTTTCGAGGAAGCTCTAGCCAGCCATTTGTTAGCTGAACATCTGATGCGTGAGGGCTCTGCCCGACTGGGCACACTCGCTCTGAAGGATGCAGCTAGTCTCTACCGGCGAATAGGGGCCACCGGGGTTGCCGATCACATCCTGCATCTCTACGGTTTGGAGGAGAAGGCAAAAAGCCTGCCACGAGAAGCCGCTACTCAAACTGAATCGGACGAAAGTGTTACGCGGAGTCGACATCAAGCATCTGAACTTGGCAATGATGAACAGTCGAGCGCAGGAGAGACCGTAGCGGAGCGTACCCTACACGTTTTAGATCTCACCTCCATCCTTGAACGGTCACAGGTGATATCTAGCGTTCTCAGGGTTGACGAGCTGCTCCGGACAATGTGCAAAGTTATTATGGAGAGCTGCCAAGGCACTGCTACTTTGGCGGCCATCATCACAAAAGAGAACCCAGCGGTCGAGTGGGCCGTAGCAGCAAGCTGCGACGCAGCTGGACACATCAAAGTACGTCACCCTCCGACACCGATCGGACGCTCCCTTGTCGCGGAAAGCGTTGTGAATTACTGTGTGCGCTTTCGCGAACCAGCGTATTTACCGGACATCTTGCAAGATCCGCGATTTGGCTACGTTAGCGAAGCGTGGGTGGCCCAAAACCCGGCTAGCAAATCGGTCGTGGCGTTTCCCATTTCTCACGGTGGCGATGAGAGCGAGCCCCTTGCGGTGCTGTATCTGGAGGGACCGCCCAACGCCTTTTCATATCTCAATCGCGTCGTGTTACAGCTGCTCGTCGTCCAACTTGGAATTAGTTATTCCAATGCGCTGACTCTCAAGGAAGTCGAACGGGTATCCGCTCTCAACCAATCGATGGTACACGTGCAGAAGAAAGCCCTGGCAGAAGCGATGGCGGCCGAGCAAAAGGCGAACACTGCTAAGGCGGAGGCCCTGCATCATGCCCAGCTGGCCGAGGATGCCGCCAAGGCTAAAAGCAGCTTTCTCGCCAATATATCTCATGAGCTACGAACGCCACTCAATGGGGTGATTGGCAACTCAGAGCTTCTGCTCAGCAGTCCACTGCCGGAGCAGCAATTGGGAATGGCGGATTCGATTCACATGTCAGCGAAACTCCTGCTCACGGTGATCAATGATATCCTCGACTTCTCCAAGATCGAAGCGAACAAGGTACAGTTGCATATCGATTCGTTCGACGTTGGTAAGATGATTCAGGAAGTCGTTCGCTCGATGTCAACCGACTTCAGGAAGGAGCACCAGTCCAAGGTTGTCCGTATCATCCAGGATATTCAACTGCCCCAATTCCTTGTTTATGGTGACCCTGTGCGTCTGCAGCAGATTTTAGGCAACCTAATAGGTAATAGCCTGAAGTTCACGGAGGAGGGTTCCATCACGATAGGATCTAGGGTGGAGGAAGAGACCGACGACTCAGCTCGTCTCTCCTTCTGGGTGACGGACACGGGTATTGGCATTCCCCCGCATATCATACAGCACCTGTTCAAACCGTTCACCCAAGCTGATGCAAGTACCGCGCGCCGGTTTGGCGGCAGTGGTTTGGGTCTCAGTATCTGCAAATCTCTCGTAGATCTAATGGGGGGCACCATTGAACTCAAGAGCGTCGAAGACGTCGGCACGACTGTCTCTTTCTCAATAACGCTGCCCAAGGTCAATGCGCGTGGATCGGGGACAACCAGTCCAACGGCGTCCGTCGACGGTTCACAGCTCGATAAGGCAGAGCCGATTTACCAGGATCTGTCTCAAATACCCGTCTGCAAACTCCGCATCTGTATTGCGGAGGACAATCTCATCAACCAGAAAATCACGGTGCAGTACCTCAAGAAGCTCGGCTTTACCCAGGTAGATGCCTACAACAACGGCTTGGAAGCCGTGGAAGGCATCCAGAAGAAGGCCAGAGCAGAGCAGCCGTACCACGTGGTTTTGATGGATGTTCAGATGCCCGTCATGGACGGGTATGTTGCCACCCGCCGTCTCCGCCAGGATTCTATGGATGCTGTGAGGCGGATTTTAATTATCGCTCTCACAGCCTCGGCCATTCAGGGTGATCGGGAGAAGTGCCTGGATTCGGGGATGAACGATTACCTGGCTAAGCCATTTCTTCTGGCGGCGCTGAGGAAGAAGTTCGAGAAATACCTACAGATATAGCTGATTCCGCCTGATACGATTGTGCAGGCTATACAGTTAACCAATTAATTTATCCATTTCTAATGCTCAGCTACGGATAATATCTTTTCACATTTCCCGCAACAGGATAAGCCTGTTCTGTAACTCTTCGTCTTTTGTCATTCAAACCCCCTACTCCTAGCTCTCGCACGCTTGAGTAATATTTAGAAGCAGCAATTGCTGAAAGCAACTTACGTCAGGTTATAATTGGCAGCATACAGTAATTCGGATGGAAGGAGCTGACCCGGTCCAGAGGCCGTCCACAAAGTCGTATCACTGCGAAATCTCTAGCAACACCCAGGGTCTGGACCTTTGCTATTTTTGGTAGGACTCCTCCTTGTCTTTCTGAATACCAAGAAAAGAATCGAGCTTTTTGCTATGAATCATGAAGGTAGGTACCTCATTATCAGCACTTCGCTTTTCTCTCCTCTCCCTCTACAGTATTCGCTGCAGAATGCATTATTTTCTTGAAGACTTAGCTCGTGTCATGCCTTTTAGCATTCCAGACCTTTAATCTATAATTCACTACGCTCTATTCTAATAAAGCAGTTCTGACTAGTGATTCCTTCTCGGGAATGCTGTCGGGGCTTTAAGTTCGAGAAAGCAATCTATTTATAAAGGTATGTCCTGGATACTGTACTTAATTATACAATCTCTAATATAACCGAATTCTACCGTGTGACGCTAAAGAATGGTACTCTGCCCCGTGATCCGTAAATGAGACGTCGGCTACTCATGAAAAATGCCTTAGGAGTGTTGATAAACACGGAAGTATTAGTATTGGAATGATATGACCCATTTTAGGCATAAATCCTGATTTAATATAATAATGCCGCTCCGAGATCGATAACGCGTTACTACGAGAATATATACTAGACATCCCCGTGGTAGAAAGCTCTTAGTATAAGATAGGCTTCTGAAAGATCAAAAAGAATCCTACATAATATTTTCTATACTTTATTAAGAAACATACATCGGCCGATGCATATAATGATTAACTATGAATACGGCCGGAAGTTCGAGAATAGTAAAGATATCCGACCACATCGAAAGGTAGTTTATATAATCGCAATTGCCCTTAGTGCAACCGAAATTTCAAGACACTCAACAGTCTAGAGCAACACAGACGTAATATCCATCGTTAGCAATATAGGCAATGCAAAGAGCACTTCCGCGGCTAGAAAGCACTAAACCGATATTGAAGATCTTCTAGATACTACTATTATCGGTCGTATAATCAATTCTTCAGATCATCCGAGGACTCACGCCATCAAAAATCACCTAGTTATGTAGATCAGTTTCGATACTACGAATACAACGAGAGCGCTCTTAAGCAGCACCTAAGGGATGAAAGAAACATACAAGTCAGCTACGGGAACAAAGCTAACGCCTTGCCTGAACTACTGTAGCACCCCCTTGATAACAAACTTGAGCTATGCCTAAAGATCATAATAGACACAAAATACCAAACAGCCTCCCCGAATAAACTGACCTGACTCCCATAGAAACAAGAATCCCCAAAAGAACGCGTGTCGTCGCAATGCAATCATATAATAAAGGCGTTTGCGTGTATCACCTACAAGAAAAAGAAATTGAGAGAAAGAAAGAATGACAGTTGGTAATGTCATGATTGATCCATCACAAGACGCCGTTCACTAACAGTCTCATCGTGCTTGCTCTCTTGCATGACGGTCATCTCCGTAGTAACTTCAATACCACCGAAGGAGCTGCGACTTGAGCGATCGCCACGCTTGACATTGATCGAATACATATCGAAATCTTTGTCCATGTTCTGGCTGAAAAATTCAGTCTGAGGTGAGCGGGCGGCCGTGATGTTGCGAGTAGTGCTACGCCCCGGATTCGTGGTGTACCGATTGTAATTGTTAGTAGAAAGAAGCTTCGGGAAGATACGGCTGACTAGGGGTCGGAGGAAGGGCAGGCATGAGCAGATGATAGCCACATTGCATTCTGCTGCAGTCCAGTAAGCAGCGTCGACATTGCTATCTGTGGAGATGCTTAGTAAACGCGTTGGTATTAGAGTCGCCCTGGAGACATACAGGATGTGTCTGCGCTTTTAGCGACGATGCGAAGGCTTGAAAGACGCAGGATACTTGTTATCACCACACTAAAAAGGCGTTAGGACTTGGATGATTCGAAATATATCCATATCAACATACAGAATTCCCATGGCAAATACGCCCATCAAGGCAACTTTTTGCATTTTCGGCAATTGCAACTTGATAAGCAGTGGCATTGGCATCAGAAGGAGTGTCACATCTGTTGCGATGTTCATCGAGGCATTGAAGAACCATACGGCCTCGAAGCTAAGACAGCCTCCGGGCAGATCATGGTTCCAAAACTTGGCCACAGGCACGCAGTTGACGTAGCCAGTAACAATGGCCCAGGATGAGTAGGTTGCAACGACGGCCATCATAACATAACATGCGAGTCGGAAAGAGCGTGAAGGAAATATGCGAAGATATTGGAAAAGGATGGAAAATTTGGTGAACGCCAGACTAGCATTGTACATGGGGATAGCCGCCCAAAGACACTGCGAAGATAAATAGTTTAGCATGGATTGGACGGACCAATGGGGTGGGGTGCTCCTGACCATACCTTCAATTGGGACTGGAGTGTGGCAGTCGAAAGGTGATCTTGGTGGATGCCCATTCCAAAATGGAATTCTGTACGTCTCGTCAATCAAAGTGTTCCTTGGTCTTCCCATCGAGGAAAAAGCACTTACGAGCACCGACGAGAGAGAGGTATATGATGGAGAAAATCTGTCAATTGAAAAAATAAGTCAGTAGGGTCATCATTGAACTTACAGAAACATCACTACGTACCAGAGAGACTAGAATAGCCCAGTCTTCACGCCCGGTGACTTTCATCAAACCGAGGCGTGCAAATAATCGCATTCCAACGATGAGAGCAGCGATACCCGTCAACACTGCTGTGACGACCAAAGCTCGCCGGCCACGGGAGTAACCGTTGTCCTCCTCTCGTGGCAAAATGACATGCAAGATGTTCTCCATGATTATGGTTACCCAACGTAGAAGTATGTTAGTTGTAAAGGAGTGGATGCGATCAATGTCGTCGAGAAAGAGTGAATATGAGTTGTTTAATAGTTCATATCGATGTGATGAATGCTAGACAGACCCTCTCGTATTGAGTGACTGCTCTGCCACTCAAAAAGGTGGAGGTCTGGACCTGGGGGAGAGAAAGGTTTTGCGGTCGAAGGAGGGATGACAGAATGAGCGGGGGTGCTGCTTTTGAACTCGGACTAAGGATTGAAGTACATGCGTGGTTTGCGGAGTCAATCTGTGCATTCATGCATCGCATCCTGTAATTCGAGGATCCCCGTTCGCATTCGTCTTGCTTAGCTTAAGGATCTTCGGGGAGTTTACATAGTCTCCTCAATAGTGCATGAACGGGCGACGATCTCAAGGGCAGATCCAAGTCCTCCAGTCTGCAGCTCGCTTCAAGCTTGACTATTTCGGCTCAAGAATGCGCCATGTGGAGCCCACATGAATAGAAGCTCCATGCAAGACACTCTCTATTCACCAAAGAGACCAGGATCAAGGACTCTAGCGCGGAGCTGGTCGTGAATGATACCCCACAGGCATCGTCAACCATGGTGGGTCCTTGAACATGAAACCCAGGGTTTTGCCTCACTGCCAGGCACAACTATAGAAAAGATTGGCAGGTGGCTGCTAGTTATCCATGGAACGACAGAGCTGTCTTCTCAACTTCTCCTGTCAAGTACATATAGATGTCAACTGACAACGAGCCGCTCATCATTAATGACCCACTTGCCAGAATACGATGTTGCACTGGCTGTGATTGCGGTGTATGATGAATGTTTGATGCCAGTTGATGCGTCACACAAGTGACGAAGGCTTGCTATGCTGCATAAGGCTGTACTACGCGTACTACGTCTCAGGGTATATGTATGTAGTTAGACGAGCGGCAGCAATAGTGATTGGTTTCCCACACACATGCACGGGGTGAACCACTTGAAAAATGTTCGAGAAGCCACTTCGCTGCAGGTCTGCACGATCTATGCATGATTGAGCCACAGGAGAATGCAACCTCCGAAGCTGTACTTTTCAAGGTCCCCGGATGTCGACTCCAGCCTCTTGAAATCTGGGATCATCGCGTGGATCGCTTCCTATTTAGGGCTATGTTCAGGGCACGACGCAGCCCCCTGACTCGTCGAGGGCCGATGAAAGCCCTTGTGAAAGGCACTTTGCCCTATGTACGGAGACATTTTCTTCACACTATTGATTGCTATGCCGACCGAGTACAAGCGTTGATGATCACAATGGCGCTTTAGTATGCCCTTGAAGTGCCGCCCAGCCGCGTTTACAGTAGTCCACCCCTGTCAACAGTCCCCACACAGAATCGCCACCGGCGTTCAATAATGCCTTTAGTTTCTCCACCACGGAGGCCCATCGATGGAGACTCCGCACACATGCGAAGCAGGAATCAGATCTTGTTCTAGAAATTCTGAACGTGGTTAACTACTCGACAGGCGTCGACAATGGGGCTGGGACAATTCATCCGTTGCATACTGACGGCCACCTTTGGAAAGCATGTAACCAAGTCGAATTATACGTTCTGCACTCTGGACACTAGGAACGCCTTTCCCGGATTTGATTAGCGTCCCATTGCCGAGAAAGTGATCCACGCGTTCTAAAGGTATGGTCTGTGTTCATCCACTGCGCTGATGCAACTCACGCGAAGAGACTCGATGAGGCGCGCTAGAATCGTGTGGCGTTTGCATACGGAGTATATCGAATCGTGTGGTTGTGGATGATTTCCCCACAGATTTGTAATTATAGAATAGGTCAGTCGAAACCCTCCAGAAGCTCAAATGTGGATTTGATATTTCATGCCATATTTAGAATAGTCGTAACCTGATACTATTCCAGTATGGTGGCACTTCGTAGAATGTGATTGAGACTGTAAACAACTTGTCCTGTGAAAGACTGTCGGGATTTTTTGGCTCGCCTCCAGGGGACAAGGGGTATGACACAGGACACATCCTCAGGTGGCTATGGCAACTTTCACCCCAAACCGACTCTATCTAGAGTGAGTCTCGGTACGAATTCGGCAGTAAAGACCTGGCAAAACTTTACCATTCAATCGAAAGGCCTCTACCTAGGTTTACGGTCAATAAATCCCACTAACTTAAATTTGGTATACTTAACACTTTCTCTTTCATTCAATTTATCGCACACAAGATATCAGACATCGTACACAAAATATCAGACAAAATCGGCAATCCCACAATCATTCTTCAAACACAGTTGGAAGACGGCGGGAAAAGATCTCCCGAACCAATATCCTACCCAACATCTGCATCTCATGAGGCCGGTATTGAAGAGCCATGGGGGCATTGGTAGCAAGGATCACATCGTGTAACTGAGGACAGATCAGGTCAAGCACGTCTTTCCAGTTTGGCTTCACGTCCTCGGTGAGCCATCTCTCAGAATCGGTGATGAGGACAGCTTGGTTGGCCTTCATCAGCATGATCGAATCCACTTCACCACTCCCGAACGCCCAGACTTTTGTATTGCATTGCTCTTGAAGAAGGGTGATCAGCCATCCCTTGACGTCGGGGGTCACAATAGCCCGGTCTTCATGCCGGCCACCTCCAATCAAACCCACAGTCTCGAACAGCTCTACTTTTTTCAGGACGTTCTCCCAGACCAGGCGGGGTCCTCCAGTGAGGATTATCGGTAGCGTGTGAGGTGTCTTGAGGGCCCAGTGCAAGAGAGCCAGCATATCGGGGTACAAGCGGATAGCTGCCGCAGCCTTTTCGCAAACAGCAGCGAAGTTCTCGTCATCAAAAACCTCCTCATGCAGTAACACAGTCTGGAGATAGTCCTTGTAGGTATTACCATTCTGACCCATTGACTTCTTTGAAGGAGTTTGCTGAAGCCCCCGCGGCATGAGATGATCAGGAACCTGGCACCAGATCAGGTGCTCGCTGTCTTGGGGTGAAAGAGTTCCATCTGCATCAAAGAGCAACACAGTCTCCACCGTCTTTGCGCGGGGAGTGCTCATGATACGCATCAACTGGTCTTCCGCGTATCTTCTGTTGTGCCATTCGGTCAGCACCCGAAAGTCTTGAATCAGGCTGGAAACCTTAGGCACTTCGGCCAGGTGGGGTGTCAGGACCGTAAAGGTAATATCATTTTCCTGACAGAAGTGACGGAGATAACATATCTCAGCTTTCTGCCAGCCGTGCCAACGCTTGAGATTTGCCTGCACCTCTGCATTTTGGAAAACTCCTCCCTGGTATCCTGAATAGCTCTTGAAAGGCATTTCCATGTAAAGGATATGAGTATGTGCTTTCAGATCCGCGACAGGGGTAACAGAGTAGCAATGCATGTCTTCGTTCCAGAGTGCCAAGAATCGAACCACGACACCGATGATATTCTTCCGAGCACATTCCTTCTCGAAACCGGAAAGAGCCATATCACGGAATTCGGGTCTCTTGTCTTCACCGAAAGAATTGTAAACCATGAGTCCTCCGGGAGTCACGGCGGCAAGAGCCTGGTTGCCATCACAGAATGCAAATTCATCTTCTCCAATTTCTTCATTGAGTTGATCGAGAAGGGATGCAGTTCCAAATCCAGAAAGGCCGAAGAGGCCCACAATCTTTGGTTTCTGAGGTGGGATGGTCGGTAGGGGCTTAGTGGGCGCTGTAAGCATGTCCTCGTCCAGGTCCGGCCGTTGAAACAGCGGAACAGGGCTCCCCAGTGACATTTTGAGAATCTTTGAACGAGAGACAACTCGAATTCGGGTTGATTGAGGGTAAATTTTTTGAAGATAACAGCTGAGCAGGTGCGGCGATAGATTGAAAGAGTGCAGCTCGAGTGTGATCGTTGAGATAGGGCACCAGAGTTCGAGGGCAGCGAAAGATAGAAGAAAGCTTTGGATGGGTGAGAAGGAGAGATAGAAGATATTCTGAGGTGTTGCAGGAGAAGTCCGCCCCAGCCCGTCACAGGTCAGGCTCGCTCAATTCTACTCTATCACGTATCGCAGTCTGACAACAAAACAAACGATCCGATCTATATCAGGTGACATGCTCCTTTTCCTCCTCCTTGGGGATTCTAACCCAAACAATCGTGACAAGAGCTGCAGTCAACTGCGCGGCGAGAGCAAACCACCAGATGGCCCGCAGTCCTTCAAGGCCTATTTGTCCATCGGGCCCTCTGTCCACCCTGGTTCCAATCGCATCAGCAATGCTGGTCATGATTGCCGAAGAGAGGTTCTGGTTCGTGACCAGAAGACTGCCAGCGCTGCCTTGGTATGAACGAGCGACATTGCTCGTAATGAAGATAGAAGCAGCAGCGAATGCCAGGTCGGGACCGAATGTGACGAGAGCAACACCAGGAAAGGAGAGTTTCCAATACGTCGTATTGGCTGTCTGGGGGATGAAAAAGGCAGGACCAAGTGTGAACGCCAGCATGGATACAGCGTAAATATAGTGACCGGGAACAATATGGATTGTGCGGCTCACAACCCATGTTGCGAGGACTCCGACAACAGCATTCGGGATATGATACAGTGCCACGTCGAGTGGCGTGGCACCCTGGATACGAAGCCAGAATTGGATGGCATAGAATTGCCAGGCACCAAAGAATGACCCAAAACCGAGGAAGTAGGCGATCATCAACGGAGTGAATCCGGGTGTTCGCCACAGCCGATTAGGAATCAGTGGACGGATGGCTGCCCGCTCAGCAAAGAAGAGCCCAACTAAGAGCAGCAATCCGACGATGATGAGTACAAAAGTGTATGGAGACCACGCTGTCACGGGTCCCTGCGTCAGGCCAAACAGCAAGCAAACGCAGCCACCAGCCGCACAGCCGCCACCGATATAATCAAACTGCCTGAGTGTTGGGGCTTCAGTGCCCACAACATCGGCCACGGGTCGCAGTTTCGGGATACTAAAGTATGCAGCCACAGAAAGTAAGGCGCAGATGATCGCATTGGTTCCGAAGATCCATTCGAGATGAGCATTCAAACCCCCGCCTTGGAGCGCACCAAGTGAAAAGCCAAATGGTGCGGTCGCAGCCATGGCGGAGAACACTCGATTCTTGCGAATACCAGGCTTATACACCCTTCCGAGAATACTCATACTACCGGAGACAAGGACGCCGATTGCCAGTCCTTGCATGGCTCGCATGACGAAGAACAGGACATACCGAGAGGGCTGGAGCGAGAAAACTCCGACAATGTTCCACACCGATAGCCAGGCAAATGCACTCACCATCAGGCTCTTTGGAGGAGCCAAGTCGGACAGAGACCCGGAGATCACCACTGACAGGCCGTTCGCGGTGTTGAAGGCACCAACAATCCACGGCAGCTGGGTGTTGTTGATGTCGAGGGCACGCTTCAATTGCTCTTGTGGGGCAAGCATGTCTCCAAGAAGGAAGGAGAATAGCATTAAACCCGCAGAACACACCATGATGAGCACAATTTCGGCAGTGAAACTCGAAATCTCGGGCGGAACCCCTTGCTTCTTTCGGGTTGGCGATGCCGACTCATCGGCTTCATCACGGCATCGGGATACCGAGGGTCTCCGGTTAGTTAAGCGATGGCCGAGAGAGTCAGGTTCATGGCTATCCTCGACAGTTTGGCTGAGGCTGGTGATGGTTTGCGATACCTTGAGCGCCTGTTTATCGAAAACATTCTTATTTCCCAAGAGAGGGTCTGGGGTTTGGGCGCCGGTCGCTGGAGTCGAATAAGTTCTGGCATAGTCAAAGGATGACTTGCTTGACGTGGGAGCTGAACCGCCTGCTGCTTGAAGTGGTCCAATGCCCGTTGAGCTCGTCGAATTTGAAATTATGAGGATTTGTGGAGGGGCTTGCGGAGGACCCTCCGAGCCAGAGATTGGTTTCCCAACTGGCATCCTGAACTTTGAGTTGAAAGCACGCCCCCGCTGGCAGAGAGGATGGTGAGTTGGTGAAAATTCACAGGAAGTGAGACTACGTATAACAAATTTCTCGAGAGATGGAAGTCCCAATCGTGGGGGCGCACACCATCGTGGCGAAAAGGGACGAAATCTTTTGTCGATATCTAAGGCCGAGTGGAGGTGTAAGTGGAGTGGAGTGGATCTACTCCGGTTAAATGGCGACAAAAATGAGGCCGCTGTCTTGCGATAAGCAAAGGTTGGCACTCGGGAGAACTCCGCAATGATCAACTCGATTTGAGCTGGATTTTGTCGTACTTGGTTGTACTTTCAAGTCCCTTGCGGAGGATTGCGTGTAACCCGTCGATCGAAGTGTACATAAAGAAAATCATGTCAACGACGATGGTTCCTGCCCGACGGAGCAGACGGAGCCAGGCATGCATACTTATCAGGACCCGAGCATCGTGCGAGTCATGCTAGCGCTGTCGATGACGATGCATGCAGGGAGTCAAATGATCTAATCCACTCAGTCTGATGCAATATGCTTGTATGAAACATTGCTCAAAATGAATATGGATGGGTTTCTTTGAATATACGCATCGAAATAAAGCCTGAAACTGACTTTGTTGAGAAGAATACTGCCCTGCTGCATTTCTAAAGTTCAAGAAAACCGAGGCTTATAAGGGACCAGAAGAGACACCAAAGCAATACCCTCTTTCGTCATATCATATTATTGCAGGCCTCAATGGTCGCCATTTTGGTCTCCCAGTATTCTATCACCGGCTAATTCAGGAAGGTCGGATTTTGCATCGGCTAAATTTTAGCTCTACTCGGATCCTTATGGCATTTTATCGATGTATTCCATTTTAGGAATTATATGCCTTGCTGCAATTAGGTAAGGGTTGTAGCTTTTTTCAGCAGCTCGCCTCGCCTGTCTAGACATTGACTTGACCACACAGAACCACGTCTTCGCCAAAAGGGTACCACTGAACGTTCTTCAACCTCGCAGCAGACATCGGGTTCCCTTCTCCATCAAATCGCCTCGCTGGAGAAACTACCACACCCCCTTGCCCGAGCCAAGTTGGCGCAATAGTCACAATCACTCTATCAATAAGACCCATATACGACGGTTCCAATAATGAGTTGATGACATGACCACCGCCTTCAATCATGACACTGCGAAGACCATTCGAGCGCAGAGTGACAAGTAGTTGATTCCAGTCAATCTGGTGATTACCAGACTCTGAGGTCGGAATGTCGAGCGAAATGAATTGACCTCCGTATCTCTTGAGCAAGGCATCCTTCTCGGTGGGTGGCTCATGCACGGTGGTCACAATCCAAGGCGCACGACCCCGGCCTTCCCTGCAAAGTTGAAACAACTTGCTATCGTCAGAACAATCCCATCTCAATGAAGGGTCAATGACAATGGGTCGTGGTTGAGAGTCTAAACCCTCGCCGCCGTACCCTCCAACCCCGGCGATGCGGCAATTCAGGCCTGGATCGTCAGCCAGAGCCGTACCGACGCCAATGAGAATACCATCATGGCGAGATCGCAGGTAATGAGTCATTGCTTTGGACTGAGGTCCTGATAGTGCGGTGCGTGTTCCCGGGGATAGTGCAAGCGAAGAATCGAGTGATGTTGCGAATGTGAGAGTTGTAAAGGGCATATCAGGACGGGGAGTCGAGCCATCTCGTGGTGGCAATTGAGGCTCCAGAAAGACTCTGTCTGACTCGGGAAATTCTAGCGCGTCTCTAACCGGTGCAGACATGACGATACTGCGAATTCGTATATGCTTAGGACTGTTGTGCTTATGCTTAGATGGAGGAGGGAAAAGTGGGATGGCGGGGACTCACGTGTGTGCCTGAGGCATCAACAGATCAGAGTATGGGATGAGGAACATTCACTGAGTTCTCAATAATTTCTCGGCGTTTTTTCTACAGGTTTTTATATTATATTGATTTGGACAGAATCTGCAATATATGCAGGGTGTGTATGTTTCAAGCTAACATGTGATCAAGGTAGGCAGACGATACAGTATTACAGCACGCTCAACACATTGTTAGACGCCGCAATATCAGCAACATACATCGCCCGTCCATTCGTAATATCCTTGCCATTTTCAAAGGCATGAAAAACAATCTTGGAACCATCGCTGTTAAAGTCCGCCCCGCCAGGGCCGCTCAGGTTACCAACATTGCTTGACGCTCCAGTCACCAGTAGAGGAGCATTTGGTGCCTGGGCCTTTGTATAGGGTCCAGCGATTGCACCAGCAGTCGCATAGCTCACATCGTACTTGGTGGTGTCATACATATTGGAGGAGAACGACAGGTAGTAAGTTCCTCCAACTTTAGCAATACTGGGCGCCTCAATGAGTGGACCATCATTGTTGTCACGGTCAAGAAGTTGGGTCGCGCCGCCGTTCGGGGTGATAGCGTCTGAGTTCAGCCCCTGTAGCATGATGGGAGTTGGGTGAGTGGTGCCATCGCCGTTGAGGCTATTGCCATCTACCTTATAGACGACATAGTAAGTGTCTCCATCCTTGAAGCCATCGGCGTCAATGGCACCTCCCTGATCAAGAGGGCAGGCAAGTGGATTCTGCCCGGGGGTATACGGTCCAGTAATGCTGGACGAAGTAGCAGCTCCGACACAATGCTTGCTTGTATCCTGACTAGAAGCCGCAGAGAAGTACATCACGAATGTTCCATCGTCCTAGTAGAAATGAGCGGCTTATCTATCGATTCTTGTGGTCAAACTTACACGTTGGATAACATCGGGAGCCCAAATTGCAGGAGTCCCAGCAACCCAGGCCGGGAAAGGCCCAGGCATTGCATCGGTACCAGACAATAATTTCCATGATGCAAAATCAGAAGAAGTAGCGACTTGGACATTGACACGGTTCCCACTCGTGGCAAACGCATAGTAGCCATCGTTGGCTTGAATAACGCAAGGGTCGGCAAAATCCCCATCGATCGCGCGGGTTGGTTGCGCGATGGCAAAGCCACTCATTACAAGGGCTGAAGTAAAGGTGAATAAGAATGTAGGAGCCATTTTAGCAAGGTATTGCCCGACGATGAAATCGTAACGGGATGTTGTGATCTTGTCAAGGTCTCAAATCACTCCGCTCAAGGGGTGTTCACGGCCTTTTATGTCATTCACGGCAACAACGCAGATCATTACTTGCACTTTGCTTCACAGAGACACTTCGGTTTTAGTCGCATCATGGTCTGCTTCTCGTCCTTTCAAGGACTAGTGCTTCTACCCCGGTGCTTTTGGCCCCCAGATTCTCCACATTTGCAGATGACCATAGAGGGGTCCTAACACAGGATAGAAAATTGGCCTTAATGTTTTCAAGACGGAACCGCAAGGCAGCATATGATTGAAATTATCTTTAGAAACTCAGTCGCAGCCGCATACCCGATATGGAAACTCCCATTGTCGCTCGAACTGAATACTCAATGGCACATACCGTGCCCACGTAGGTCCAGCCCCGTCATAAAAAGCTAGACAGTCTGAGCTCCAAACTTGACTTGTGCGAGGGTTATGCGCCCACATTATTTTCTTGGAAGATTATATTCAGTCATTTTTTATCTCTCTTACTGTCGTCCTCGATAATCACTCGATAACCAGCGAAACGGCAGACTGTCAATTTTGGTTTGTTCAAGTTGCTGCCCGGCTTTCGTCCCAAATACAGACAACGTTACATCGGAGTTTTAACGTCGTTATTGTCCGGCATTTCAGCTAGAAATTATGTCATTGAGCATACATCATATGTTCTTGATCGAATCAATTTTTTACTAGATTGCTACCTACAATCTAGCCGGGAGAATTTTACCTGGACTGGATTAAGCAGCACGGATACAGCAACATGGATGAATGTATATCACAAGCTTTCTGTAATACGAACACGAGGAAAGATTCACCCACCACCGCAGCATTACACCTAAATCGGGGCCCCGCGGTGTAAAGTCTGTCGGTATTGAGGCTCCAACTTTCCGCGAGGGTGCAAACCACTAACGCATTCTACTTGGCGGGGAACGTCGGGTCACGACTAAAGTCAGCCGGATGAGGCGAGATGTTTATGTTGCAGAAAATGGATCCAATGGCTGCGCCCGTTGGCAACGCCCAATGAAAATGAACCTCTACTGGCACTAGCGAGGCAGTCCTGCTTTAGTTCATACAGAGAGTTCGTCGTAGTGGCTCTTGTCAGGCAGTATATCCATTTGTTCGACTAGATTCTATAGATTTACTCTTGTCGCATTTTGTAATTAACTAGACTTGGTCGTATCCCAACTCGTCTCTGCTGAAGCCAAGTATGCCTGTCCCTTTTCAAGTACCTTGCTGTTCTCAGTTCCCAACCAAAATGGTTCCAGGTTCTTCAGCTCATCCTCTATCTCGTAACTCTCTCCACCAGCCACATGCAACATCTTTCCTGCAAAGGGCAGGCGAGCACCTAAATGAGTCTGACCATCACTGCCTCTGTTTGCAGTAGCACAAATCAAAATTGACCGCGCGACATCCTCTGGTTCGTTGACAGGCAGGTTCCGCTCGTACCAACCCTTCTCGATTCCAAGAACCATGCGAGTTCCTTCTTTTGATTAGCTTCGCTGTAGCAAGGACCCATTGGCTGAGAGGGACTTACTTGTCATCCAGGGACAAATAACATTGACCCTGATGTTCTCTGGGGTCGCCGTCAAGTGGAGGCCCCGCATAATCCCCACGACACCGTGCTTGCTCGCGGTATAAGTGACCAAGCCCCCACATTCCTTCCACCCGGCAATGCTGCTGACAAGAACGAGGTCTCCACCCCCACTCCGACGGAGGTAATGCATGCCGATACGCGCGCTAAAGACGGCTCCCACCAGATTGATGTCGATTTCCCTCATCGAAGGCTCTTGGGAAACATCGCTAGTTGGATCAAAAATATCTTGAGGGATCGAAATGCCAGCATTGGCGACGACAATATCCACTCGACCGTATTGATCAAAAGCAGTTTTGAACAGATTCAGTTGATCAGAGTAGTTTGATGAATCGCATTTCACAAATTGAGCACTTGGGCTTAGCTCGGTTTCGAGTTTTCGTGACGCCTCTTCCACGACATCACCGAAGACCACGTGGGCGCCGTTCTCTGACTCAATGTGAGCAAAGTGGAAAGAATTCGCCATGATTAGCGTCACTCACTGCATAGTTGTTGTATGGTTGCTCGGCCGATACCAGTTGCGCCTCCCGTTAGTACCACCACCTTGTCGGACAATGTTCCAAGCAGTGAAGGATTAAGTTGAATGTGGGCCATTTTCAAAGTGATTCAATTATGGGAAATAGCTTGGAGCGCTAGATAAGTGCCATTTGCTCAGGTGAGCCTCCTGTCTTTAAACAAAAGCTCCTCCCCGGGCTCATACTTTGACCCCACATATCCCGCCTACGTTCAATGGTAGAGGACGGAGTTTATTCCGGTATTCCATTCCAAGCCCCAGATCGTAATCAAGATGAGGATCAGTATTTTACATGTTAACCAAGCGAGATGGGCAGGCTTACGTAGTTCCAACTCTCCTTCACGTTGAAGCTACACAGGTCTACAGAAGCGATAAGTATATTGAGCCCGGGCGATTTCCAATAACTCACACATGAATTCTAAGTAATTTCAGAACAAGAGGCGATCTAGACTGGTGGCAGGAACGTGCTGCAAATGACAAATGTGACATAAAGGAAGTTGCACACCTGATGATGGGAAATGGAGAATTTCAGAAACTTATTACCGTGTCTATTTGGCTGTCCTTACCAATGATATCCTGTATTGCTTTCGGATATGATCTGACTCGAACGAGGGCAATGTCCGGAATGGTATCCGGTCACAAACTCTCTCTTCTAAGATGCTCAATGAAGGGGGTCTCAGAATATTTACGCATTCGGCGGCGATATTCACGACGAGCATATCCTTGGGACCTGCGTGCTGCAGGCTTTTTCTCCAAGTTCTCATGCACCTTCTTGGGCACTGTCATGGACTGTCTAAGGGGAGATGGCGGAGGCGGTAGCCAGGTTACTTTCCTGGGGAGTATAGAATTTGAAGACGTGACCTTCCGCTGCATTTTGTAAGTCGGAGCCCCGGTTGTTAAAAGCAAGTTCAGTGATTTTTTCCAAACTCACCACTACGGGATCAAGGAACTGATAGGCTCGATCAAGAATGCTCTCGATCCGTCACTTGTCACTTCCTTGGGGAACTTTAGGCCCAGTGCAGATGATAGCCAGTGATTCTGCGGGGGTGGTTGAGCTGACCTGATAGAATGGATTTCCCAGCCAGTTGAAATGTTGGATATCTTCATCGTAAACCATTGCATCTACCCGGCCAAGAAATTCCTCTTCGATCCTTTGAAGCAGTCGTTCCCTGGAAGAAACTTCCTCGGTCGAAGGAATGCTGACAATGTTGGTGCTATCGTCATCCATGTCGTCTTTGGTGATGTATTCGGCATCTTCTTCGTAGTCAAACTCGTCGGCCTCATCGCCCGTAGCTTCTGATTGCTCGCTGCCCGGAAATTCCTCATGATCGTGGCACATGCCCCAGCCGTGCGGTTCTTCTCTCTCGACATCGGCCCAGTCAAAATTGAAGGGAAACCCTCTATCAGGGATGTAGAAGACTCTGCTGAAGCCATCGTAAGGTGTCTGTAGAAGATGAGTAGACACTTCAAAGTGATTTGGTTGAAGTGTGGATGTAAGAAACTGGTCAGGTAGTGGTGACAAAGGTCTCAGATGTATTTGGGAGAGGGCAAAGCTCAAGAATCGTGAGAATATTTATACTCGAATCTCTACGATGCGAATGTAAAAGAGCTCTCGATGGAATGCCCTCGCTACGGCCCGAAGACACAGTATATAGAGTGGTCCGTATTCTAAAATCTATTTTAGAATTCCAGTGAGACCTTGCTGGCTACTAATATTGGCTAGACATGGATAGAACAGTGAAGTCCTTGGTTTAAACAAAGAAACAAACGATTGTTATTTCAATGAAGTTTCACCCCTGATAGGAAAAACGCCCTTCAAATCCCTTTGTCTAGCTCACATTGAACCTGGTAGAGTACAATGCCAGACTTTGATACAATACATTTTTGTCATTGAAAGCATTGAAAGAACATGCTTCACGATATTCCGAGCAGTCAATGGCAGAATAGCCTCGTAGATGCTCTCTCTGTTATTCCCATCGATATCCAACGGTGGGATTCCGAGCGGATCGGTAGGAAGGCCGAAAAGCGCCGCAACATTTAGCCGCTTACATAACCCGATATTGCGCGAGCGCTATCCCCGCACGCCGCGGGGGTGTCTTCTTCGATTTTCTTTCCAATTCGCCCTGACTTGATCATTTACATCCATGAACCTGTTCCGAACGTGCGGTAGATCAATTCAATTCCTCCGACAGCGCTCTCGCCCCTTCTCCGCACCGTCAACCTCAGCCTGGCCCAATAATCCCTTCCATCTAGCTATTCACTCTACGATCCCCCGACGAACCATGGCGTCTGCAATGGCCAAGCGCCTCGAAGGCAAGACCATCCTCGTTACCGGTGCTTCTTCCGGTATTGGTAAGAGCACTGCCAAGGAGTTTGCGCGCACATCGCCCAACAACCTCAAGATCATCGTGACTGCGCGTCGCCTGGAAGCGCTGAACGAGCTCGCGGCTGAGATTAAGGCGGAGGTCGGCGATGGCGTTAAGGTTCTCCCCGTGAAGCTTGATGTCAGCAATCCGGAGGAGATCAAGAACTTTGTTCCTTCTTTGCCTGTCGAGTTCAAGGAAATTGATGTGCTTGTCAACAATGCGTGAGTCACTGACGAAGCAGAGTGGGGCTAGATGATAGATAGCAGAGTCGAGATACTGACTATCTGCATGCAGTGGGCTTGTCAAGGGTGTCGCCCAGGCTCCCGATATCGCGCCCGAGGATATGGCCGTTATGTTCAACACCAACGTCACCGGCCTTATCAACATGACACAGGCCATTTTGCCCATCTTCAAGAAGCGCGACGAGGGCGGCCGTGGTGATATCATCAACATTGGAAGTATTGCTGGTCGTGAGCCTTACGCTGGTGGTGGTATCTACTGTGCCACCAAGGCTGCCGTTCGCTCTTTCACCGATGCTCTGCGCAAGGAGCTTATCGCGACGAGAATCCGTGTTATCGAGATCGATCCCGGTCAAGTTGAGACTGTACGGAATAACTCCACTCCATATTTATCAATTCATGCAGGCGCTAATTCAGGTTTAGGAGTTCTCTGTTGTGCGATTTTACGGAGACAAGTCGAAGGCCGATGCTGTCTACAAGTAAGTCTTCATCAGTGCACTGGTTTCCCGCGAGCAATGCTGATCTATATCTCACAGGGGTGTTGAGCCTCTTACTGGTGACGACATTGCCGAGGTTGTTGTCTTCGCCGCTGGTCGTCGTGAGAACGTGGTCATCGCCGATACCCTGGTCTACCCCAGCCACCAGGTATGTCCCAGGTCCCGCGTCATCGCTAATCTGTAGAATCTCTAGCTAACAATCTCCCAGGCCGGCGCTGGTGTCATGCACCGCAAGTCCTAATCATTTCGCCGAGTTACGAAGTGGAACACATGATATAGATAGACAGCATCCATTTCTTGTACATGGTTACACAATATATGAAGTTATGCAAAGATGAGCTGTCTGTGCCACCCTGGACGCAGGTTGTTGTCGTCCTGTGAATTAATGTAGATTTCACCTGGCTATTCATAATCCCATTTGTTGGCAGCCCATGCTGCAGTTGCCCAGTCTACGTTACTCCCGACTACCTACTTCACCTCGAACATGTTCGAGATATCAGGGCAAAGTCAATATATGTGAAACATCCGATTACATCATTTCAAATGGAGTATCATACGCTCTTCCATGGGGGCATTAAAGTGTCTTCGCTTCACCCCGCAGCCAATGTGCGTGGTAACTAAGGCAGAAATTATTTAAAATTGACCATCACGTTAACAAACCTGTAGGCAGGGCGGAATTTGCATGACAGCCACGGATAACCATAGATATCGATTGCTCACGTTGAAGATGTGCTGCTGTGCTGTACCTGCATGCGCCGGAGAACATGCAGAAAAGGCATGGTTCATAATATGCCGGGCCTTTTATTGCTGTGTGAGTTGGCAAGGGGCGATGTGATTGGGCTTGCTGTTCACTCTTCGTAGACTTGACGTCGCCCTAGACTCAGAATATCGATACCCAAGGTAAGGTAGATTGGTAAGCAGTGATATCTAAGGTTCGAAGCTCCTACTCCACATGTCGTGAGAGCCCAACTGTTTGAACAGATATCCTGTTGTATGCAGTCAAAAAAGAAATTTCAGGTCTATCGAATGTCATCACGAGGATCAATTACCTGCTCCATGCACGGAATAACCCCGCGCAAATTTGACTGGCCAAAAAGAGGGCCACAAAAGGTGCATTGCTGCTATGTCGCCCTGGTCTGAGTTCCAGCCGGTCTCATGGTCTTGTCATGCATCTCATTTCCCCTGGAAAACCTCGAATGGTGGTGGTTGATATCCATCGCTTCTCTATCCATGGATAGAGAATGCATGGGTAAGCTGTTCAAATTCGAACTGAGGATGACAATTAGATAGTGCGTAGATGCCTGAAGGATGGTATGTTTGTTGATAGTGGAGCTTGAAGGACTCAGACCGCTAGTTAGCCACGTTAGGCTTGCTTGGATCAATCTCATGGATTTACATTTTGAAAGATGATGTGGGTTTGACGTAGTTGAAGGTTCCCGAGGCCATTGAATTAGGGATATCTTCCATATACACGAGCTAGGTATATTGTGTTTTGACCATGTTTATAAAATTGACGGACTATGGAGACAAATGTCTGCCCTTACAGCCTTATCAACGAGCCTAATACCCCGCCTGCAGAATCATGATGATGCCAGGGGAGGAGCAGGAACAGCTCAAAAGTCCCCGAGTTCTTGACTCACAGTCCCTTCTAAAATGAACCATATCTGCGTCCGTTGGGCTACGAAATTCCGGATGAACCGGGTTCCCTGTCGTATTCCGACAGCTGCAGGAGCGTGAGGTGTCACCGACCGTGCGTCTTCTGTGGCGCGTCGGGTACTTGATCGATCATATCAAGGCCACCGATCTGCTCTACATACATATGTCCACTCTGCAAGGCTGAGCATCAGCATCATAACTGCAGCCTGTATATGCAAATTCCCGTGCAGAAAGAGACATTTTGACAGATGTGACTATCGTCGCAGTATACTTCGCCAGCCAACAATGGTAACAACCTTAGCAAAGATAAAGTAATTGTTGCCGGCGATGGAACTTCCAGAATGCGGGCAGGACAAAGAATTAACTTTGTAACGTCCATGGAAAAGCAGCCGCTTTGTCCCCTCGTTAAAGGGAGTCTAGGATGAGAGGGGCATCGTGCCCGAGGGGGGGTCCTTGGATCGTCATCGGTTTCCATGCGCGCAACGGGGCCAGTCGATCCACTCGTAATTTCCTAGTTATTCCACATCAACACCAACTACCGCAGGAGGGACCTATACGAGCGATATAGTTATGTATCAAACTCTAGTTGGTGGTGGGGAAATGAGGAAACGAGAAAAAATTGAGGGCGAAACATGAATAAGCCCCCCCCCCCCCTTTAGATTTTGCAGGTGCTGGCTGGGTTTCCGGCCGGATGGACTGCGAGAAAGTAATTGGGCGAGAGGGACTATCCCGAATATCCAGTCAGAACGGATGGAAAACTGCTGTCCGCAGACGGGAATCCTGAATGTGACTCTGCACGCGGCGAGGATGATCCCGAGTCCCAACGAGTCGTAGACGTGCAGGCGGGGTGGCGGCCCTGCAAGCCAAAGAGTGATCAGCAGCTCCATCTTTGACTGTCAATGGATAGTAGTGTAAACGTGCACCATTACTTTTCTGCAGGACGTTGTAACATGTCAGTTGTTCATCTTTTCGTCTCTGCAGTGTTAGTACCACCAAATGCCCTTTGCGTCCGGGTAATACTGAATTTTCCTACAGACTGCGGGAAATGTGGAGATGGGAGAGTTTGAAGAGTGGGATGCATCGAGTTCCTTTTTGCTGATCTGCAGGTTGCGCAGATGCTGCCAGCGGCGTGATCCCGGTTTCAGGTGGTAGGGCGATCATTCGGGGGAATGCAGTTGATAGACGATGACGGAAATCTCCGGTTTGTTTCTTCAAGGGGTATGTATGGTGAGGCGGAGGAAAAAGAAAGAAGAGCCTCCGACGTAGATGAGTTGATAGAGCAGCGCATGGGAATGATGCAATCGGGCTGCAAGGTGTCAACCTGCAAGCCATCCGTAGAACCCAAGAGAATGGATGGTTCCCCGTTCAACTATGATTGTTGGTATTGGTTTGTCCAATTTTTCAATCTGTAAGGGAGCAGGGGTTGTGGTGAATAATATAGTAGAAGTTACTATACTTCAGATGAAGTATACAATTATATCTACTTGTAGGCCGTTAGCAGCTAGCTAACCGAGCTTGTGATGAATTAGCGACTTCGTACAAAGCAATCCAGCCTCGACCTGATGATTCTCGGATCCTCCGAGCCAGCGGATTCTGGGCTCAGACAAGTGTGTGCCCCGTCACAGCATCACGGCGCTAGGCGTGCGAACTAAACCCGATACCCTAAAGCGCCTCGCAGACCCCACCAGGAGGGACTCCACCAAAGTCTGGAGGAAGGATACCAAGCGGAGGGGCAGGGGGAAAAGAGGAGACACGGAGTAAAAAAGACAGTAGATAGTTTCCTTTGCAGTGCAGCTAACTAAATCATCCTCTGAAGCTTAAGACTTTCGTATCCCATTCTGTTTCGACACCACCCGAATAGGATGGCTGCTCGTGTGTGTTTTGGTTGATCCTTACCGAGGGATAGTTCGGAGGGCCCCCAATCATAACAATTAATATCGCCTGGTCCGTTCCCAACGGAGGGGGTCAAAAACCAAGGCTGGGGCCAATCAGTCGGGCGAGGAAGAGTAGCGTACCAAACCTCACTATATATTAGCACTTTCCCTGTCGCGCTACTCGTAGCAGTTAGCAGCCCCTTTGCTTTGAGCACGGGAGAAAAAAAAGAGGCTTCGGGGTTCTTCCATTAAGAAAGTCGTCTACGAGCACGAGATACAAAGAAGCAAATGAGTAGGGGTACAAAAAAAAGGAAATAATCGTTAAACCCTACCATAGAATCAATAGAATCAAGGAAGAACGATGGAAACCATCAGATAGAAGAAATAGAAAAGGAATAAATCCGGACAATCATGAATGGAAGAGAGAACATTCTGTTCCCTTCCCCTTTCGGCCCAATCATGGGCTCCACCAGTACTAACACTACTCACTAACAACACCCTTTTTACGATCTCCTGAATCGACCCAGAACCAAAAGCCCCCTGGTCGACCTTCTCGACCCCCTTCTTTTTGGTTTCTCCAAGGAAGAGAGACATTGGCTACTATTTATGCTGACTTTGTTTTTTTGTCCATATCTCACCCCCAGGTTGCCTCCTGTCAAGATGAGCATAGACGAAAGAACTATGCTCACGTTGTGTATGCGAAGTATTTCGTAGATGGAGAGGTTCCCCCTATCATGATTGCTCCGAATGGGATTAATTAACATGGCTAGTCCTCTCTGATTGATCCAGTAAGATATTCATAATTAATTCTTAATATACCCAATACCATCATACCTCAAAAGATTGAATCAGCCCAGCCCAGCCCAGGTTCAATTGGAGGAAGACTAGTACACTCCACCCGGCAAAGAAGCTCTTCTAAGTTCTGTGTTTCTGCCTCCATTTTGGTTCCCGTCAACCGTCCCAACTCCAAACTGCCCCTAATCCCTAATCGCCTGCTCTCTGCCTCGAACCTCTCCTCCTCCTCCTCTCGATTGATCTTCTCCTCCTCCTTCTACTCTCTTCCCCATTTTTATTTTATTTCCCTATTCACTCCCATTTCTGACAATCTCAAGGGTCCCGCCCCCAGATTGCTAAACTCGACTATTACCCGGGCGCAGTCTCTCTCCCCCCTTCCCTACCGCTTTTTCCCTCCTGCTGGTCTCCGGCACAATTTTCGGTTGCTCCTGAATCCCTTGGAATCGCAAAAACATAACCCGGATCCCGCGAACCCCTCTCGATCCCCCAATCGTCTCCCTATTAATCAGCCTGCTCGATCTTCGATTCTTTTTGTGACTCGCTTCGATTGCTCCCCAGAATGGCCTCCAAGGTGAGCCAGCGTGTTGCCTGTGCCTGACCGCCAGGTTTCCCTTCCAGCCAGCCCCCTCTCTTCTCCGAATCGTTACGTCAAACCTCCGCTTCGATTGAGGGCTCTCCAGACATAGACCTCTTGCGAACTGCTGGCCTGACACCCACCGTGACTATCCTGCACGAGACACCAATTTTCAATGGCTGACCCCCGTTCTTCGCCCTAGTTCCTGCGAGAGTATAAGTTGGTGGTTGTCGGTGGTGGTGGTGTCGGAAAATCATGCTTGACCATCCAGCTGATCCAGAGCCACTTCGTGGACGAGTACGATCCGACAATTGAAGGTGAGCTGCGGATTTCCCATCCCAGTCGGATGAACTTCCTGTCAAGCGGATCAAATCGCTCATCAACCGGCTTTCTCCCTTTCTCCAGACTCCTACCGCAAGCAGTGTGTTATCGACGATGAGGTCGCTCTCTTGGACGTTCTCGACACGGCAGGCCAGGAGGAGTATTCGGCAATGCGGGAACAGTACATGCGCACCGGCGAGGGCTTCTTGCTCATCTACTCCATCACATCGCGTCAATCCTTTGAAGAAATCATGACCTTCCAACAGCAGATCCTGCGCGTCAAGGACAAGGACTACTTCCCCATCATTGTTGTCGGCAACAAGTGCGATTTGGAGAAGGAGCGTGTCGTTTCCCAGCAAGGTACATAACTTTATTCTTCCCATGCCCAGTATCCTGTCGAAACAACGGGATATCTACCTCGAATCTCTCAAAACTAACCGAATTGCTTTTTCGCTGCAGAGGGTGAAGCCCTGGCCCGACAGTTCGGCTGCAAGTTCATCGAGACCTCCGCCAAGTCCCGCACGCATGTCGAAGACGCCTTCTACGACCTCGTCCGTGAGATCCGCCGCTACAACAAGGAAATGTCCTCTTACCCCTCCGGCTCCGGAGCCTTTGGCGCCCGCGCCCCCGACAACAAGATGGACGTGAGCGAGCCCGGTGAGAGCGCTGGATGCTGCTCCAAGTGTGTTGTCATGTAAACGGGTCAATTTTAACAAGCCCACGCGTGACGACCTCTGTTCCAGTTCGAAGACGAAAAAAAAAAAAAAAAAAAAAGAACATTAATACAATACACCACACACGCCAATCACACACTACAGCATCTTTTCCCCTTGCACTACGGCTCGGCGGGCGTACAAGGGTTCGGGAGGGCAGCATAGCACATGTCTGAAAATGAGTTCATATGAACGGGTAATGGGAATTGTCGGAGAGGTCTTTCTTGTGCCGGTGTGGTTGAAGCTGGAGTTATCATTACCGACTCACTTTTTGGACGAAGGATGGACCGGACTGGATGGTTGGAAAAGAGAACTTGGAAGATTCTCAAGGAAGAGAAAAAGAAGGTCAAAACAGAGTGGGCTGTTGATATTGTGCTGGCGGCTTGTCTCTTCGTGCCCTGGACATTACTCTGAGCTCCTCTCTTTGAGGGCCTTGGTTTATCGCCATCGCACGACTTGCCAAACCGAACCGAACCCCCTCCCCCTTGAACACCCCAACCTCGTCTCACGAACATATTGATTCCCCTTTAGTTTTTCTTTTTACTTTCCCTCCGATTGCGTGTTTAACTTTTTGGTCATTGTCCTTGTTTTGGTCTGTTCTATCGTCATCTCTTGTTTCCCATTTTCTTTTTCCTGGTCCCCGCGAAAGAATTGTTGTCCTGGTCTCTCATCATGTTTTTTAAACTCTTTTTGTCCATCATCTTGTTTGAGTCTCGGAGTGCGGGACGACATGATCTGTCAATATATATTCCTCAACCGAAGGGGGTTTCTACTTCTATTCTTTCTAGTGTGGTTCTTGTGTGCATTAGGCATGTGGATGGATTGGATTGACCTAAACTACGAGCTACCTAGGACTTGTATCCACATAAATGTGCTGATAGAGGGCATGATCCATGGACAGGCTGCAATTGATTACAACATGAATAGTAAGTAGATAGAGTTACAAGAGTATATATTGCTCTATAGGTTAGAGTCGAGATGACATGCTACCTATCCGCCCTCACTCCGACCAAATGGCTATGATACAAAAGCACACAAACCATCTAACCCCGGCCTCAACCTCCAACATCCAGCCTACTGACTATAAACATGCTCTGTATCAGAAGGAGGATCCAACTCATCCTCCTTGACAACCAACTTCCCCTCAACACCAACCTCTACCTCTGGCACCAACGACTCCAAAAACGCCTTATCAGCACCAACCAGCGTAACAGTATTCCTCTTCTTCCCCCAACGCGGATAACTTCCCACCTTAACACCCCTGGGCTCAACCTTAGCCGCCAACTCCGTCAAAAACGGCGCAACCGCACTCTCCGGTAACGGCGTACTAAACAAAAACCGGAACGTCCCCTTACCCTCCGGGTCGCTCAACCGCGGCACCAAATGCGGCTTTAGATTTAGCAGGAGTCGCTCGAAGAGACGCGGTACGCCGGGGAGGATGTGCACGTTGCCGTTTACCACGGCAATGGGCACCCACATGTCGTCTACGACGAAGAGGGCTTGGGATTCGGCGGGGAGTTTGGGGTCGAAGGGGAGTTCGACCATGCGCAGTTTGGCGGTTAGGCCGGGCGAGGGCGTGTCCCAGTCAAAGTTTGGTTGCATGGGGTGTGGGCGGGAGAGGCGCTTCATGCGTTCGAAGGCTGGTTCGTGGAGTTGCAGTTTGAGGTTGAAGGCTTTGGCGATGGATTGGTAGGTTATGTCATCGTGGCTGTTATAGTATTAGCAGTTATGCTTATAGTCCTGGGTAATGGTATCATGCTTTGGGATAGAGCCGAATCCCCAGGTCCTTGCGATATCCAATTCCGCGGGGAACAAGCATCATCCAAAACACGGGAGAGGGGGTACTAACGTCGGACCAATGCCTCCGCTAGTAACGACAAAGTCGTAGCGGGCACTCATGCGGCGCACTGCCTCCATGATATCCTCCTCATCGTCAGGAATGACCTCCACCCGCTTCAGCTGGATGCCGAGACGGAAGCAGAATTTGGCTAGGAAGGGCGAGTTCGTGTCGATGGTCTGGAAATCCAGGGTAGAACTAGGTCAGCGCCATTGTCACAGCTCCTGAGCTAGTAGGAGTCATGCTAACCTTTCCACCAAGCACTTCATCGCCAATGATCAGGCATGCTGCCGTGTGGATGGGCTTCGCGGCTGATGTCATCGCGGACGGACCCCGGGCCAGGGACGAAGTCGGGGTAGATGGACGGATGGAACCGAAGGGACGAGCGAAGTGGCGAGTGAGGAGATTGAGGCGGTTGAGCATGAAGAGGTCGGTAGGGGAGGAGGAGGAGATGTTGAAGTGAAAGGCAAAGGAGAAGAAAAAGCAGCTTTGTCTGGAGATCGAAGAGGGGGAAGCGATCGATCGCGCCAGCGAAAAAGTGGGGGAGAGGGGGAAAGACTACTCCGCCCGCATCATTTCAAGCACATCACCGTCTTTCCCGCAGTTCTTCAAACGCTCATCTCCACTTCGCCCTGCGCATGTCCGTGGTATATTCATTGTCAAGAGGTCTTTCCGAGCAGGACTCGTTGTTTACTGAAGATTCGTTTGTCAGTCTTGTCGCGTGCCGTCACCCGCACAGCTATTCCGTCATGGTGAGATAGTCAACCCCAGCTCCACGTGCACCATAGATCGGGACCTTCCAAGTGGGTTTCAACTTGGGATCTGGATAGCTGATAGTCGTTCCATCGCAGCCCGGTCTATACTCGTTCTCTCCGGAGACAAAGGAGAAGTTGCGCAAGTTTCGCCTGAGCTCGTCGCGTGCCAAAGAGCCCCAGGCTCAGATCTGTACGGTCCCCGATTCGGTTCCCTAGAATACTTCTTTCTCTTCGCGACACGACAGAATCTATCTGCCTTGATGACCGACGGAAATCACGATACCGTTGTGCCTAAGCGACTGATCTTGAGCAATGCGCTGACCGCGTGCCCAACAGATGAGATCGATAAGAACACTGGAGAGATCCGTCCCAAGAATGACGAGACATACTCAAACATGATGGACTTGGCCGACGAGCTGCCCGAGACCACACCGCAGTTCATCGTTCTCAGCCACCCATTGACCCTGGTGAGTCGTCCTCATCGATCAAGCTGGATCTCCGTACATGATACTGATGCACTGGTATGCTCCTTTAGAAGGACGGCCGTCTCTCCGTCCCTTATGTCCTCCTCTACTACAAGCCCGAGAACTGCAAGACAGACACCATGTATCAGTACGCCAACGCAGTGGAGTTGATGCGCACCACAGCAGGAGTCAACCGACTCATTCCGGTCGAGAGTGAAGACGATGTGATCTCCATTGCGACTAAGCTGGCTGGCGACGAGTAAACTCTATACGAATATGAATGATTGCTGAGATTCGGTAAAATGAAATGCCTTTCTCATTGGACGGTGACAGTATCTATCGGGAATGTATTGAGGGCAGAAGGAGTCTTACATAGAGGCGGGCGTTTGGCAGATCACGAGAGAACATCCACGACAGTACCCTACGGATTGGAATGAATACATATGACAAATTTTCTGCAAGCAGATGACAGCTGAACAGCCAGCATCTGAAATTTGCACATGAGCCTGGTGATCCCAGAAGCTTATTTTGCTTACATGCAAGACTCGCGCTGTTCTCGCTGAATGAGATCTATCACAAAGGTGATTTGCAACGGCGCGACCTGCAGCTTCTCGGGCTATCGGGCTAGGCTGTTCGCAAGGGATTTAATCATTTGACAGCCCAGTTTTTGAGCCAATAATTTTCTTACCGAGCGATCTTTGCATGACTCCTACCTAATTCGATCAAGATCGTTGTCTAAATGATCGACATTGTCCAATTGCCGTGACAGGTGCTCCCATCTTACCCCTTTGGGATATCTTAAAAGTATAGATTCACTAGTTCTTACCCACCATGGCTGGCGCAGGTAGTCCATCGTTCCCATCGTTCCCAGCTGAACCCGACTCCGTGGTTGTCAGATCTTGGTGGCTTCTGACAAACTATAGGCTGCATCTCTGGGGCGTTCTCCGGAGAAGCAAAGTCATCCACTCCGTTGGGGCGTAAATGTTTCTTGATTGTGCACCAGCCACGGATCTCTTCTGGATCTTGTGCGATGCACTTGTCCGCGTCGCCCATCAAATTATGAAGAGAATGGAACTTTAATTGGTCGTAGATCGAGTTCTGATCGCTGTCGAAGCCGATTCACTTCTCTCACCTTGCGAATTCAGACTTAGGCTTCTTCGTTCTCACTTGAATGATCGGGGCAGCTGAACCTTCGTCAGAACGGCCACTCAAGACAAGGCAACACAACTTAAGACTCAGGGAATCGTCGTAAGGGGTTACAGCAAGAGTGTCCAATTATATTACCTGATATAAGGTATGAGCAAGACACAGGCAAGAACCCCGAACCTATCAGTGAAAGAGAATGAGAGGGTAACGTGATGAGCCGACAGCCGAATGTAAGACGCCCGGCTGGCTGACGAACTGAGTCTACTCTCAGGATTTCGAAGCTGCTCTTTCAGGCTGCGATTGGCTGGACTCTCTATTTCCCAAGTTCCAATCGCCGTTGATAACCCACAGAAGTCAACATAAGCGAGCATACGGTGGCGGCATTTGAACTCATTCGGAATGATTTGGAATAGAGAAAAAAGAAATTATATTGGAACATTGATAGAATATGGGTGGACTAATAACGCAATGATTCGATTCTTGGTAAAGGGCGAGAAGTCGTGCTTATAGGCTGGTTCCAATTGGGAGTACATAGTTTACGATCCCGCCATTCACATCCGAGGTACTTCGATGGTGATTATCACGTTTGCTCAAAACAGAGTTCAGCCGAGGATGTTGTCCTTCAGAATGTAGATATTCTGTCATCAAGGGAAAATATTTCCTGGGGCTTTTTCCTATCCACGGAGGTTCCAGTCTCCTAATGGTCTCCTGCTGTTTTCAGGAGAGATAGCTCATTTATCTTGTTGGCAACTCCTGTTGAAGAGGTCTCCAGCTCTTTTCAATGGTCGTGCCACCTTCAATGTTCAACCTCACACGATCAACGTGCACGATGTGATGATCCTACGATTCAATAATAATGCTGATCGCAAAGAACCATAGAAAACAGCGCCACTACACTAGTAGTCAGAACAAAGCCAGTCAATCTGTACTGAAGAGAATGAGCGAGTCATAGAATCACAAGCCATTTGTCGTTCAATAATATTATTGTCTGCATATGATCCTCAGAATCATCCTCCTATGTCATCCTATCGCGTACTCCCGTACTTGTGTAACCGCCAAGGGTGTCTGTCCACCATCAGGATCAGGCCAACAAACTCACCCTCCACCAGCTTCCCAAAACGGGCAATCAACATCCAGCACGAGGGTCCACTGAGTGGGGAGCATCGCAACCTGGCCGCCCCCGCTAGGATTCCGGCGATCGATGTCGATAGTCGGAGACCAGTAAACCCCCAGGAGACTCAGGACGGGAGGTCCACTCCATCACCCTTTGATTTTTCTCTGAAGGCTGATCAACTCGATCATTATTCTCCAGGAGGTTGAAAAGTGAAAAGAAATTGAAGGGTCAGATCCCGGCGATCTGGACCAGGGACAGCACTGACCACCTCGCCTGGACTATCTATGTTGGAACGAACCATCCTGCCATTCTGTTAATAATGTGTTAATTATTAGGTTAGGTATGTCCCCAAAGGATCGATTCCGCTGAGTTTACAGTTTGGACAGTCAAGTATGTATCCGACTTCAACTCGCATGGTCTTTTATGGTTACTCTACCGAACACATTGCATTGTTCCTATCGGGTACTCTGAAATACTGTACTTCTCTTTTATCATCTACAATGGTGTCAAATACCACTTCTGACGGGCGACAGCGCATCGAATTTTTGCTAGCCACAAAGACAGTGTCTCTAATCGATTCACCACGCCGACACACGCCAATTTTCAACCACAGATATTTGGCTTCGTTTTAGGTGCGTGACAGTTACGCTACCACGAGTCCCCACTCTTCTCGCAAGGGTAGCGACAGGGGTGCTCGTCAAGCGAGGCAAAAAGAAAACTTCTCCCTGGCCATTATTTGTAGTTCCGTCAACCCGACTCGCCGGACTCTATGCAATACAAATCCATCTTCGACTCTCCAGATCCTTCAACTCATAAATCTCAATCTCACCAACATACCCTGTACAGCACGCAGTGCCACCGTTGGGCATACCTCCAATCCAATCCAACCTGAATGATCAGTGATCATCGTCATCTCCAACCCGCAGTCCAAGGAGCACGCGTTCTTAGCTCTGCAGTAGTTCCCTCGTAGCACGACCACCGGCAAAGTCAGATTTCCACTGATCGATCCGCCCGTCAAATCGCAACCAGTTCGGTTCAAGGGATGATGGGTTACGGTCTGCATGGGACTTTACCTTCACCGCTAGCCCGGACTTGGTTTGGCTTGGGGGTTAGTAGGCTATGCCTGGGTTGGGCTTAGTACGGAGCCAGATAGCGAGAGCGTGCAGTGTTAAGAAGGTCCGATGCGCCGGGGGATGAACGCTTTCATGTCGCCTCTCGCTCCCGACCGTCTCGTGTCATGCATGATGCATGGACGGTGGGCTTGGGTGGTGGTGCTTGGGGTGGTTGCGTGATTGCACTGTCGTTGAGGGGATATTATTGGTATCTCATCTCGGAAGTTATCCATGTCTTGCCACTCCTTGTGAGGAGACGGTTGTCTTTGATTGACGTACATAGTACTACATAGTACTAACACGTTATTCCGTGTTGTTGGGAATATTTTATCACGATTTCCTGGAACACGCAGACGTCACTGCGATCGATTCCTGATAATAGTGGCGGTGTTATTATTCTAGGGGTCAAATTGTGGTGGAAATTGCATTGACAGGGGGATCTTATACTTAGTTACGCCTAGAGCTATATAGGCATTTCGGTAGACACACGCTGGATATTCAGTTGACGGCCCTCGTGAGTCGCATTTGAGACAAAGTTGCGACAAGAAAGTCAAACGCGAGCTCTCGGTCCTACAGTAACGGACTCCACCTTTCTAACACCGAGATCTCGGGGCCGTAGCACTCTCGGCACAAGAGTTTACTCCGAGTGAATCAACATTCGGGTCCGAGTACAATAATGGGATTGTTCATCTTGAACAAACTCTCAAAAAGCCTTCCCAAATAGACGACTCCGTCCATATCAAAATAGGGGAACAACTAAGAAGAAAAAGAACTACCATACCCGACGATGAAGATCATCGACCTCGATATCTTCGGCAAATCGCCAATGAACCCACCCAACTCCTTTTCCTCCCGAGCCTGATCGTCGCCATTGCCCCGTTTCATATGATTGATGGCCCAGCTACGTCGTCAAATAATCAGCACCTCCACTTACTGACACTTCTCCCCCGATCCGCTCTTACAGAAGGTAAATGATTCTGGAAACGCAGCCGAGCAATGGGCGGGTACATCCGTGAACCAGCGTGCCAGACCGCCGCTGGCTCAGGCCAGCGCACTCCACCCCCATCCCGCCATCGGGCGATCAATATTCGATTTAGACCAAGAGGAAAGAGAAGTGGACGGGGAAGCAAAATGCTCGCCGAACCTACCAGCAAGACCAACACAGGGAGTCCCTCGTTCTCCGTACATAAATCCGCACCTATGCGACCTGGAAGTATGCATCAGGACGCGCTGAGGAAAGCCACTCGGGAACCAATCGCAACTCTGAGACGTCCGACCCCTCGACCGCCCGAGTCAACGGGACAACTCCATAGAATTGGTCCCAGAGCTCTGGGAGACTTTCCGCCAGCAGTTAGAGTTCTCTGACAGGGAAGAATATGCCTAATGCTGGGGAGGCTGTGATGGACTAACTAGGTAGGAGTCTCTTTTCAGGAGGTGTTCCGAATGGATGGTGGTTATCGATCTGTAGTACGTATGGCGTCTGACAGGAGGAATAGTTTGACAGTAACTACTGCTGTAATTAGTTAGCTGTCGCCTTGAATAATCATTGATAATCGCCCATTTACTACTAGGCTACTAACAGTAGTAGCCTAACCTGAAGCCAAAGGTCCGGCCACGACGAACAGACCATGCGGTGCTCTCGGGTTTGGTTCCAGGACGAGCAGGAGTGGAGAAAGAGGAAAGAGTCAAGCTGGGATGGTCATCATTGGCGCCCGGGGATTGACCCACCTGCCAGACGTAGAGTTACCACCGATGCTGAACGCTGAAGCGATGCTAAAGTGATGCGGTTTCTCTTGTCAGGAGTGGTTTGGGTTTCTGATCGTACGGTACGAGGATCCCGGGGGATTGTATCGTTTGTACCTGGTGGTCGGTACTCTCCTGCAGCTGGTCCTGACTCGTTAGTTCGTACGGGAGTATATCTCGTATCCCCTTTACATACCATACAGTATTATATACACCTTCTTTGGTCTATGAGCATAAGTTTAGTAAAATGTCGCTATATCCTAGGCCTAGTCCAAAATACGAACATTATCCCGCGGATGCAAAGGGTCCAAGGATGATAGTGCATGTAATTCCCTACTACTATCATACGATTGTATCTTATATTAGAATTTTTGTTGGCCCATACTTGAAGGATCGATCATTCGTCATCCTTCCCCCCTGTCAGTGTCAGGTTTGTCAGGTTTCTGATTTTTTGCCTTGATGGCACGGGCGCCTAACGGAGAAATCAAGCGACGGGCGCGTTGTGGACGGCTATGGCCGCCCTCCTCGCTTTGCGCAGGCCATCCGGCACATACCAGCCCGCTTCGACCCAGTCTGTCGGGTTCGGCCTAGAGTTTGTGAGCAGTACATACAGAGTACAGTAGGAACTGTACAGTGCTGTACTCGATCTACGTTTCTACTGTTTCTACCGTTGTATGTTAGCCATGTGCCATTGTGCATCTTGGCCAGTTACTTTGATCTTTGTATACGATCGGTACCATCGATGATCTCCTAATGATCCTTTTTATACTTCATAACGTAACGTTACCATGACCCATGGTACTGAACTGTAACTGCACACTGCAAGCCCAATTGCCCATGTGCTCGGGTCCGAAAGCTTTTGCCTCCACTTTGCTACCCCGTCCCCTGGGATTAAATGGGTTAAATGGGATTAATGTAAATAAAGAATAGAAACAGAGTATAATACTTTATACTACACTGCTAATGTCCCCGTATCGTAATATTTCCTCTTCCCCTTCCCTTTCGGTTGCCTCCCAAGAAGAACAGAGTTTCTGGTCGTGGCCTGGTCGGCTCCGTTCTGATTTGATTCGAATTCCTATATTATTCTGAACTCCCTCAATCTACTCCGTTCCTATTCCTTATTATTTTTCTCCATGATTCAATCCAACACCTCCACCTTCCCTGGGTCCTCTACTTCCCCATCTCTCCGACTTTGACACCTCACACTCCAACCCAACCAGTCCGCCCTCTTCCCCCAGGTGTTCCCTGTCCAGCCCAGACCCTCCACGCCGGGTCCAAATCCCAACTGCACGGCTCGGGTCGTTCTGTCGACTCCAGTACCGAATCCCAAGTTCCAAGTTCCAACACCTCTAAACCCGCCATACTTCCGGCCCCCAATCTGAACAACTTTGGGAATTTCAATCTCGGTCCTTTTGAATTCCCCCCAAACACCGACAAGGTTCTAAATGTTCTGGATGGAATGAAGTGATCGCTTAACCACCCCTCAATCAACATCGACATCCGTCTGCGACCGAGCATTCGCAATTGCATTCTTTGCGCCACTGGCAGATCGCATACAAGTCGGACTTTCAAAATCCCCCTCAATCATGTCACCGCAAGACACTCCCGGCCGCCCGGGCGAGGACAAGCCGGAGGGCTTCTCCAAATATCTCAAGCGCATGAGGACCGTTTTGCGCGCGCGCTCCAGTTCCAAACGCTCATCGCTGGTCGCCGCCCCCGAATCCGAATCCGCCGAGGCATCATCAACTACACCTACTCCAGCGTATGCTATACCCCTCTCCTGTCATTCCAGATTTATATTATCTTCGGACCACCAAAAGAAGATCCAATGAGCTAATTTCCTCCTTTTCTTTCAATTGCAACAGTCCGCCAGCCACAACCGCGCCCCAGGCCGAGGCTGAGCCCGAGCCCGAGCCCACCGGCGCCGAACAATCCATGGTCACCGACTACAGCGCCATCCAACAAGAGAAAGCCCGTTTGCTTTTCGCCAAATACGGTCTCACCCTCGACCCCGGCGAATGGAAATCTCCAACAGACCTGCAATTCCCCCGAGTAACCAAAACAATCCGCATGCGCGTACGCCGCACCTGTCACCGCTGCGAAACCACCTTCGGCTCAGACAAGTTATGCGTAAACTGCCAACACCAACGATGCAAAAAATGCCCACGCTTCCCACCAACCCACGATGCAGGCGACGATGAGCACCCACGGGTACCCCGCCCCAGAATCGCCGAGATTCGCGCCCGTCAACCAGGTACTCTGCCTATGACGCCGCATCTCAAGTTCACGGGCAACCCCGCGGCGCCGTTGACTATGCCCTCGCGCACAGGCGGACAGGATCTTGTCCGGAAACAGGTTGTTCAGCGAGTACGTCGGAGCTGTCACTTGTGCGAGACTATGTTTACGCCCGGCTCGAAGGAGTGTTCGTCTTGTAGCCATGTGCGCTGCAAGCAATGCCCGCGCGACCCGCCTAAGCCCGAGAAGTATCCGGATGGATTCCCGGGTGACGTGCAGCCGCCGAAACCTAAGCCTGAGCGGACGTTTAGGAAAGTCCGGCAGAGAGTACATTACATTTGTCATGTGTGTCATACGGGATATAATGAGGGTGCGAACTTGTGTGGTAAATGTGGACAGGCGAAATGTGCGGAAACCATACGAATTCCGTAAGTTGTTAACCCGTTTCTTGATTCTGGCAGTTTGTTTTTGTGTTGGAAGACATGTACTGACTGTCATCTTGCAGGCCGAAGAAAGTTAAACGACAGCCGGACCCCGAAGTCGTCCGGAGCGTTGAAGAGAAGATAGCCTCCCTGAAAATCACGGAGTGATGCGTTATCTTGTACAGCGCCTCTAATGCCCATTCATATCAAGTCCATATTTTCACTCATATACTCGCTATTATTGCATTGGAAATGACACTTCTCCGTTACTCCTGCCATACTTGCATCTCGTTTTTTATGTGATCACGGTAAATCACATTATATCTTGTCTTGATCTCGCTCTGCAAAGATTAGAATTAGAAGATCAACAAAATGGTGTCGGCCTTATCGGCATAGAAAATGGCACACTCGGTTCATCCTCCGTATATTCGCCGTTTCGTCCGTACCACCTGAAATCATCCCCTCCAGGTAACACAATTGAATCCGCATACGTCCTTCCATGAGACAATCTACTTCCGATCTTATCGTACCAACCGTCATAAGGCTGGTCCTTCAATGTTTCCAGCTCCCGTTTCGGCCGGATACCAAACAAGCTACAGTACCCGGCCAGTATTCCCAACATGGTAGGAACCTAAGATCCACCTCGGGAGGAACGCAGTTCCGGTATATCCACCCAACTTTCCGGAGTCTCCAGGTGGTCATTGCGTGATGATCTGATTTCCACATTGAACCTTGAGTAAAATACTTGTTCCTGAAATAATAGACTATCCACCGTCGGAGCTCGATGCTCTTGTGGGAATAGAACGGACCGAGCCGTTTGAAAAGTGGGCTAGTTAAGTTGAGCCGGACCCATTGTTTCGTTGCAAGAATCCAGAGGAAAACAACGCATGAAGGGAGATTAGATTTTCAATGTTCCTTGGGAATGATCTTCACATTATTCAATGAGGTTGCCACTCTGCATTATCATGAATCAGGGCGCTTGCACAAACGTACTTATTATTCTTCTTATACGTACAGTAGTGTAAAACTGTAACTAGTCCATACCATTCCATACAAGCATAACGCTTTGTTTTCCCGTATGATACAAACAGACCCGACAGACGGGAAATACAGTACAGTACCAGTAATAAAGTGGGGGTTATTCAACAATAGCATTGAGTATTGACAGCACGGGCGCCACGATCTACATTACTGATTGGGCAGGAGTAAATTCCCGCATCGCTGCCATTTGCCCCTTCTATTTTTCCGGCAGTCTGGCCCCCGGCGCTTTGGCCTCGTAGAGACTGTTGCCTGTTTTGGTATAGATCTGGTGGAGAGTATGCGGGCTGGTGTGGGTGGCTTGACACGATTCTAACGAAGTTCTGCGGGCGGGGCCGTCTGCGGATTTGGGATTTGGGATCCGATTAGGCTTTTTGGTTGTTTGGAGCATTAATGTATGGCTGGATAGAGCGCTAAAGGATTGCTATATGGGGTTTGATATCTGCATAAGTCGTACAATGATCAATTCAACTACGGTGCTTTGGAAATATCATAATGTCCTGTCGCACTTCGTAGTAGGTTAGTTAAGTTATGGCGACTGGCTAGTTGTACAAAAAGACACATTTCCCCCCATTCATCCTTGTCCCATCTCTAGCACTAGAGTGTCGTTTATTTTCTATACTACATCACTACTGCATCCTATGCCGCTGTATGCATTGATAGCTTCCCCCTTGAAGAACTAGAAAATGCCCCGGGACCTCTCCCTCAAGGATATCCCTCTGTCAAAACGTGAACCCCTGCAGCCCACAGGATCCAAGGGCGTGGGTCGCTGGGGTCATGGAATCCTCTGGCGGGACGGGCCCCAACGCATCCACATCGAAGATGCCAAGCACGTACGATTTACTACGTTATAGCTCTGGTGGATGTGCGTATTGCTTAGAGTACAAGTACACCGTATATTCGAGTCAGTTTTAGCTTTCGGTACATCGAATGCCATCCGGCATCTCTCCCTGCTCTGCCGTATTCCTGTTAAGTGAGAATACAAGCGCCGGACGCCTTGCAAGGGTGAATAGCGCAAGGGGGAGAGCTGATCCGGTCCGGAGCGCTGGGAAATTTCTTTATATCCGGTTGGTCGGGCCAGATTGAATTAGTGCCTGGCATTGTGATGGATATCTTTTTAAGTATTTTTGTTTTTGATGGGAGGGACCAAGCTAGGGGAGAATGAATGGGTCCTAACGGTCGACTAGCCTAATTGAGGAGCTTCGACATGGCCCTATTTCCAGCTTAAAACGATCCACTAGTGAGATTAGATTCCTTTGAGTTGGGCTCCGGTCTGGATGGAGACTGCGAGCTCCAATGTCAATTCAGTATTTTTGTAATTTTTTACGTACTTAACTGCGGTGCTGGTCCGTTTGGTTGCTTGTCTGTGTCCTGTTGTGCGATGGATTTAGAAGTTATCTACGCTACTTCTAAGCAATCGGAGCACGCCTTGAATCTATCCGCCTGCATCTCTGCGATGCGCCCTCGATTGTGTTCAATCTGTAAACGAAGAATCTCCGATTGGAGTGTCAGATTCTCCGTCACGATTCAACAATCAAGTGTGCTGACCATCTACATAAGATCCAACCACCCGTGACGCCAGGTCTACACGTCGCCTCCCCCTCGCGGAGCTTGGCACGTCAATCCACGACATTGGAATCCACTAGGATTTTTTCCTCGTAAAGCCACCACATAGGACCCTACAATCGGTAGCTTCGTCTTCTAATGCGGTGGCAAGATAGTTTGTCAAAAATCTGGATGCGCCGGGGCACGGACTACTTGAACCAGACAGCCGGATCTAGGAATTAGATCTATCGAGCCTTCCGGGCGAGCTTTAACAGTCAGTTCGCAGAGGCTATTTACCTTCATTCCATTAGGTTTAGCACTTCAGTGCACACCGCAGGGGGGCTAATAGCGCGAGGACCCTCCTACCAAGATAGGTAAAGTGAGGGGGTTAAAGTTGTGGGTCTGACAGGCGTTGATACCGACGATCAACCGGACTCATGTACTAGAACTGTAGATCTTGCGGGATATGTGACATGTACTTTAGTTGTAATGAGACACTATCACGTTCGGAACAGGGTAGAGTTCCGAGGCTTGGAAGGTCTAGGGGAATTGATTGAGAGCCTAGACCTGCGTATATCGTGTCCCTCGCAGACGTCAAACCGACCGAAAGGCCGGAGCCGAAACCGTTGAGATATCTCAGTCAACACACATTGAGATGTAACTAGTAAAAGGCGTGATACGTATTCGCTTACTGTTCGTATGTCATGTGTACCTTTGAGGTCGTCAAGTAATCAAAAACGAGCGAATTAATGCCGGGCTGTAAGGGAAAATGCGACAGATATCTTGACGGGGAGCCTTGTTTCTACCGGAATGAGCCCTGCTGCAATTCTCACCAGGGGTTAGTTACTTAGACCGTACGGTGGCTTTGATGCATTAACGGTACGGGCTCACTGGTAGACAAAGTCAATTTACTCGGTAAATTCAGACGTGACTACATCCTCTCTTCTCTAAACCTTGATCCTTCGACTCATCTGCTCCGTCCCAGCAGACTTCTCATAGTCAATATCCTTGACGAGGTCCACACGACGTCCCAACGCCCGACGAATAATCCAGTCTTTGCTATTAATCTCCTCCTCAACCTGATCCCCCTCAATCGGAGGAATAAGATCCGATCCCTCCAATCGTCGAAGCATCACATCGTCCTCAGGCCTTGCAAAATACACCAAACTATAACGTGTCGAATCCCCTTGAACACCCGGTGGTGCAGCAACTCGATGGATATTCGATCGAAACAGGCCATTGGTGAATTTCACCATTGCATCGCCTAGATTAACAATTGCATGCCCTGGAAGCGGTCTCACATATACCCATTCTGCATCGGCACCGGGAGGTAGCACCTGCAGTCCACCCAGACGGTTGAAAAGGACTGTCACGCTGCCAAAATCTGTATGTTGGCCTAGTGCGGTGCGGCGGTCGTCGACTGGCTGTGGTGGTGCCTTGATGAAGCGTACTTGGTCACCACTCACAGCCTGTAGGCGATGGAGGTTGGATAGTGTGCCCTTGGGCAGTGATAGTTTGTCGTTGAGGATGTTCAATATCAGGTTGACAATTGCATGGGAGCCTTGCATAAAGGATTTCGTCAGGTCTCGGCTTTGATGCAATACTTCTGGTGTTGGAAGTCGATCACTAATGCCCATGATGTCGTCTTTGGATATCTGAAGCCATGATCTTAGCCCATCCATGCCCCAACTGGTCGGCTTGAGTGTACAGTGGGATACTTACATTATAAAATTCATTTCTGTCCAGGTTTCCTTGTTTATCAACTACCGCAACACCTTGGCCCTTGTACCCAAAGTACGAGTTTTGCGCACTGAAGTCGTATTTCTTCTTCTCCTCAAGACTCAATTCGAAGAGTCTTTCTCCAACCAGGAACAAACCATCGGCATCAGTAAGGGAGGAGGTTCCGTGTTCGGAATCCTGAAGATCCAGGTAGAAGAACCCGATGTCTACTGAGGCTTCAAAGAGTCGTTCAAGCTCGGCAGTATCTCCAGCCAGCAGCTTACCCAACGATAGTCGAAGAAGTGGTGCTGTGGGAACATCGTCCGGAAAAGGCGGGAGTCCGGGAAAGTTATTCACGATATCGGTAAAGTCCGTTTGGGAGTTCATAGCTGAAGGTGTAGATTTTCAATTTTAGTCCAAGATGATATGAATTTGAGGTCGAAGATCAGAGGCGAAAGTCAACTTTCGCATCGATATTTCGGTTACATATCTCAGATCTGTGACGATATCCTCAGTGCGGGGAAGCAGTCGTGAGCCGAGGGAGAGACCAAAACCCAAAGTCTTAAAGATCCTGTCGGACCCAATTCAAGATCCGAGCGTGACGGTCTTTGGCAAATGATGAGGAGGCTATTTGGCCAGTTCTACCACAAAGACGTCGTCTTAAAAGAAATAAACTCCCATTCAATGCTTCTATGGATAAACCCCCGGCTGTAATGCTTCCACGGGCCATAATACTAGAGAATAAACGCCATGAGGGCAGTTACCCCATAGAGATATAGATACGAAAGCCTTGACACTCAAGTATTTTATCCCTCTTGAGATCGGTAGTCATACACCTAGAAATCATCTGTAGGGCGCAGGGCGCAAACCTCCAGTAGAGACCAACCCCGCTCAAGGGTTGGAGTACATCGCGGGACTGTCTGCTACACTTCTGGAGAACTATTCTGTTACGAAATAACTTCAAGATGGGGAACGAGAAGATTCTCTGTGTAGCGGATCTTGAAGCAGCAGCTTCAAAGATACTTCCATCTTCGACTCGAGGTAAACAATGCCCCCTCGGCATTCAATCTGGTCGTCAGGGTCCAGTGAGGGGTAACACAAGCTACAGATTTCTTCAATTCTGGCGCAACAAACCAGGTCACCGTTCGTGAGAATACAACGGCGTACAACAAGTATCGCATTCTGGCTCGTGTCTTGAAGGATGTCTCCAAAGTCAACACCAAGATCAGTGTATTCAATCGAGATATCACGTTTCCTCTATGCGTATCTCCTGCAGGGCTCCAAGGCATGGCCCATCCAGATGGAGAGCTAGCAACAAGTCGAGCTTGTGCCAGTATGGGCATTAACATGGGTATTTCCTCTTATGCTAACCACTCGGTTGAACAAATCACATCAGCCGGGACAGAGATCGGGCCTATTCATCATGTCATGCAACTCTACTCCATGACTGACCGTGAGAAAGAGGCTCGAATTGTTCGCCGGGCAGAAGCCTCTGGGTGCAAAGCAATATTCCTGACTGCCGATAGTCCAGTACTAGGTGTTCGGTATAATGAATGGAGAAATGGCTTTCAACCCCCGCCGGGACTAGGGTATCCGATGATTGAGAAGACATCGGACCAGATTCAACAGGAATCGCACGATGATGGATTCAGTTCCTTCAACTCGGACTCGCATTCTTGGGCAAGAGAGATTCCATGGCTTCGTAGCATCACGAAGATGGAAATTTGGATCAAAGGGGTGCTGACGTCTGAAGATGTGGAGACGGCGATCGAATATGGCTGCGACGGTGTGATTATTAGCAACCATGGGGGACGACAGCTGGATGAGACGCCTGCAACTATTGATGTTCTTCCTGCATGTGCAAAGGCTGCTAGAGGTCGAATTCGAATTCATATCGATGGAGGTATCAGGTCTGGTACCGATATATTCAAAGCGCTGGCTCTGGGAGCGGAATGTTGCTGGGTTGGGCGCCCTATGCTTTGGGGATTAGCAGTAAGTCTCCCGTTTATCATACTTGGACAATGACTGATATCTTGATCTCAAGTACAATGGTCAGCAAGGGGTTGAGTCAATGCTTGAAATCCTTTACAACGAATTCAAACGATGTATGCAGTTGGCGGGATGCAAGTCAGTATCCGAGATCAGCTCCTCGAGCCTTGGAATTGTTCGATCAGACGGGCCACTTGCTCGACTTTGAAGCATAGAATAGAGTTGATTTCAATAAAGATTGCTGCCATTTAGGCGTTCATGTTCTGCGGAGCGAAGTCTCTATATTATTAGAGAGTCCATGTGCATCCCTATGCTCCATAGTCTGCTAGGCTTATCTCTTATCAGCGCAAGTGACATCAATTTTTCTCAACTCCAACTCTCCCCCAATCTCAACATCAACCGCTTCAAGAGCTATCGCATCCACCAAAGTTCTATTTTCAGCGTACCTCACGGGCTCGCAACCATCCGAAATGACTTCTTCGCCCGCTCCAACAAACCACATAGCCCACACCCTCCTCGCACGCGCCCACTCCCCCGATACCGCCTCACAACAATTCACCGAGCGCATCAAGCAAAAACCACTCTTCCTCCGCCCAACATCCCCCTCCGCAGCCGACAATCGCTCTCGTCGGCGTCACCAGCGTCTCCGAAAGAAGGAATACTTCCTCAAACACCAGCGCCCGCAGCCCCTATCAGCGCGCAAGAAGCGCTCTTCAGGCCTGTACGATCTACCCAAGGAGGAATGCAAATATGCCATTTTTAAGGGACTGCATGCGCTATGGGTCGGGTATATGCAGGAGATATTAGACCTTAAGGTCAGGGGGCGGAGTGGCCTGGTCACGCCCGCGTCGCATGGGGCTAAGCTGGTCAGCGCAGATTATCATGGTGCGGAGGTGGAGGTTGTTCGGAGTCAATGTGCGAGTCGTGTGGGTGTGAAGGGGGTTGTGGTGAGGGATACGAAGTTTACGTTTGTGGTTGTTACGGAGAAGGATGAAGTCAAGAGTGAGTTATAAGGATGTTCTGGGGTATTGAATGGGGAATACGAGAGCTGACTTTTTGCTTGACAGCGATACCTAAGGAACATACTGTCTTTCGGTTTACAGTACCCCTACCGAGCGCTGCAGAACCCCAGGTAGAGGGTCAAGGCGAGAATCAAGGAAAGCCGACTGCGAGTGGTCCGAAACCACTGGTCTTTGAGCTACATGGAAGCCAATTTGAGAATCGACCTGTTGATCGGGCGAACAAGAAGTTCAAGTGGAGGAATATTGACTACGTATAAGCAGGCCTATGCTAAGTTACCAGGACTTATGCATTCATATTTAGCATATCAACAATGAATGGCCTAGTCAGATAAAACTGTGAAGGTTGGTACATATCTTCATTGAAGCCAGATGTATCACAAATCTTGTTCTTGTTTTACAGTCAAGGCCAAGGCATTGCAGATGGAAGATAGTAGATGGTAATAGCAATTGGTAGATGGTAGATTGGCAGATGATAGCATCATGTAGTATGGAAGCCGAGATCCCTTGGTGTTGGTTTTTCTCTGGTTCCATAAATCAACTTCATGGCCGTGGCTTGTTTCAGTCATGGCAAAGTGGTAGCAGAGGACACAGACAGGATAATACCCACAGTGTTGGGGGAGTTACCTTGGCATTGCACGCAGGTGGGCATCTTTCCAGTATTTCAGGAGTCCAGAGCTGCGAGCCCTCCAGCCATCCTGCGTTGACAGGACGGGCTCATAAGGATAACAGCGTCACTGAATGACACATCAGGGAGTCGCGAAAAGATATTTCGCAAAGATCCAAGTAACCTGTGCTCGGCGAGGAATTGGTGGTATTCTCGGTCGAATCGAGTCAATAAGCGGCCAGACACAGGAGAGTTGATGGGCCCTTTCCTCGATATCGCTCACATGCCGGCCCATTCAATGCTGAAGGTGCGGACAGTCTCAATGCGATCGGCCTCGGACTCGACCTCATCACGCCTCTTCTGGGGCCCACCCAAGAGGAAACCTTTCTTCACACCAGTGCCCAGTCGGCCACCATTGACGATATCCATCAAGTTCATTTCCTGATCCCATTCTGCGGAGACGACGACGAAGTGGGAGTGGAATCGAAGGGGATCTCCTGGGTAGGCCACGTATTGACATCCAAAGCGCAGACCAGGTGAAAGGAAGTAGCCGCGTGAATGTAGGTGGGCAAAAAGCGGATAGGACAGCGGCACTTCAGGCTTCGGGAGGTATTGAGCGGACGGGGAGACGGGGTGAGGTAGCGGCGGGTAGGAAGTGGTAGGCGTGACACCCATGGCCTGATGATGCGCTGGTGTGCTTGTGCCGGTTGTGCGAGACAGCGACGAGCTCTCATCCTCTCCGGCGAAGACTGAGTTGGGTTCCTCTTTCTCGGTAGGGGCTGAGGTCGATGAAGCGGCGGCTTGAGCATCGGCGGCGGCCTTTGCAGCCTTCGCAGCCAGGCCCTTGGCCTTCTTCTCGTCTATCTCCTTCAGGGATTGTTCTCTTTGCTGGTCCTTGCGATCTGACAGCATACGCGTGGCGAGCTGGCCTTGGGATTCTAGGTCGCGGAGATACTGTCGACGATCCTCCTCTAGGAGAGATCGCATGCCATCGTGAGCTCTGGCTTCGTCTACAATGCAAGCTACATCCTTGTCCACCAAGACCCGTGCCTCCTCGGGCATCAATTCCAGCGGCAGGCCCAGGAACACATTCTGTTGTGGGATTTGTGGGAGGGTCCCGATCAGCACGCCACAGATGTTGTGCTCGCGTCGCAGATAAGTGACGGCGTCAATAGAGAACAGCAGGTATCTACCAGATACATAGGAGATCGGGATGGGAAGAGTAGGCGTGGACTCCATTGTCAAGGATTCATTCAATTCATGTAAAGCTGGAGAAAGGCTTGATGTTAGCCATGGCTCAAGAACAGTGATAAAACTGATCGGGATGCAAAAATGAAAATTTTTCAAGGCAAGTCATTTTCAATACGTTTCTCAGTCACAGATGCTCTTTTTGAGATATTAAATCGAGCTTCAGGGGATTGACAGATTTGTAGATATATAATCATGCAAAGGGAAGGTGGAAAGAAGAATGATTGCAAGAGCAACTTACCATTTAAAAAAACGAGCCCTTGGTTTGACCAGCAAAGCCAGAGACTCGAAGAGGTGGGAAGAAGTTGAGAAAAGAGAAAAGCGAAGTGAAGCGAATTTTGTTAAAAGCTCAGCCCGCGCTTGTCCGTTTTAGGAACAGCCGGTCTTGGCGTTTCTCTCCACCAAGAAAGCGGAAGACGCGGGCCACCCGTTGAGATTCCAGCTCCAAGTCGCAATCATTACATTATGAACTTCCTGCTCTTGCTGTTTTTGGTCTTCTTCGCGCCATTGATGCTTTTTGCTGGTGAGACCCGTCGCCCTCATATCCTTCACAACTGGGAAGACAGTGCTTCAAAGGCCCGCAAGGTAGCTGACATCTCCACCAGTATGGCTGGCCGCTTCTTCTTGTTTAGGAAATCGTCTGCGCACTCGAGATGGCCGGTTTTCAGCGCGTCCAGTCCTTGATACATACGGGCAGAGCTACCTTCGAACCATGGCCAATTCCGGGGCCTCGATGTCCGAGCAGATTGAACTCGACGACATGCTAGCAGAACCAGGAACTCGCCGTCACTTCGACGGAGATGAGGATTGAAGCCGGAGCCAATGAAGTTCCTCCAGATGTGTTTCAGAATTCGAGGTCTGACTTCTTTGGCATGCCGCTTGACGCTGATGCATCTTGCGCTTCGGTGTCGCCGTCGGCTGGAGGCAAGCTGAATGGCTTGATCTCGAACCGCCGACGGCTGAGGATAAATGCCCAATCTTGTCCCACGTTCTGATCGCTCCCGCCGCCCCGCTCGTGCAATACTGGAAGCCTATGTGTTTTAAGCATGCCTTGTGGTGGCTCTTCCACAGACGTTGCAGCGCCCGAGGTTGCTGTCGCATCAGCCGAATGAGGGAAGGGACAGAGCTCGATCACGCCGTCACTCAGGAGCTCAATCCAGCGAACTAGACCGGAGGAACGTGGGAACAAGGACAGAGGGAGAGTGATCATAGCCGTCACTCGAGCCGTGTTCGCGCTCAGCAATGCCTTCAATGAATGGAAGAACTGCAGCACATACTCGGGCTGGCAGGCGTTCGGCGGGTATATGGTAGGGTTGAGCAGGGATGGAATGACGATGCGATGCATGGTATTCGAGGCGCTGGAGCTGATAGATGTCTGAAGCTGCTTCAGAATCGAGGTGAATGGCGATTCTCTGGAGGGCACGAGTGGAATAAAGGACATGTTGGTGATGCCGGGATGGGTGAGACGCTTTGTGAGGTCAAAGGCATGGCAAAAGGCTGGCTTTGCAGTTGTTTCTTGTTCGCCAGCTGGCGTAGGGTTGGGAACTGTAATTTATAAGCATCTGGAAGCTGTGTTCAGTTCTCGAGTCAAGGTACTCACCATCTCGTGAGCCTGCAACGCCCGCACCGAATTCGCCTAGCCGCTCATATCGCCACGCAATCTTCATCTTTTCGTCCTTACGCTTATCTGATCTTTTTTCATCCAAAGATTCCGCTGTGCCGATCAAGCCAGGCAGACTGCGACCCCACTGTTCAGGAACCCCGACCACATGAATCTTTTGCTCTTGGACCACGCCTTCCGCCGCATAGTATCGGAGCAATGCGCCCGCGAAATCTGTAGTACCATTCTCCTCAATCAAGAGTAGTTTCCCCATAGGAAGTCCTGCATGTCCGGCGAGTAGGTTGTCGAGCGACGGCGCTCCTGTAGAGGTGGTTGGCCGTCCATCATCGGGGGAGGGGCGTATACCCGGGCTAGATTCGAGCGGAGCTGGCTGCGTAGAGGCATTGGGAACAGCTGCACGGTCGACACCTGCAGACAGGCCAATATTCCGCTTGCGAAAGGACATGATGTCCAAATTAAAGCGAGGACGTAATTGTAAATGTCGTAAGAAGTTGTGAAAGCTCCGCGGTGGTGGAAATCGTTATCGGCGGGGAACCAAAAGCGGCAGAAAAAAGAAAAGCTTCAAACTCCGCCGCAACTTGACCGAATCCTACACTCCTTCAGCCACCCACCTCACAACCCCAATTAAACCACTGCAGACCCTCAAGTTGCCGGTTTCCTGCAGTAATTTACGTCGCGAAACACCCCTTCTTTCTTTCAGCCTCCAGAAAGCCGCCGCGGCGCAGTAAAACCTCAAAATGTCCGATCCCGTCCTCTTCGAAGACACTTTCACGATCAACTCGATCAACGCCCAAAAATACGACCGCGTTTCGCGCCTTGAATGTGAGAACCGTGACAAGTCTATCACTTTCACCCTTGATGTGAACACCGAGCTATACCCATGCGCCGTGGGCGAGTCCGTGTCTATGGCCATTGCCTCGACTCTGTCTCTCGATGGCAAGGAGGACAGCCGCACAAGCTGGCGTGAGGTTAGCAATGGCGAGCCCAGTCTCGCCGATGACTATGACTACGTCTGCCACGGCAAGGTCTACCGTTTCGCGGAGGGTCAAGAGAAGGACACAATGTGGGTTCATTCGCAAAATGATCTTTTGATTTGCAAGAACAGGTATGCTGACAACTGCTATTTAGGGCTGTTTTTGCCTCATTCGGCGGCCTGCTACTCTACCTGGTTGGGCCTTACAACAAGACCAACCCTCTGCGAATCGACCACGTTTACCTGCTCCTCAAGAAATAAGCGAGCGGTGGTCGCCATTTTCGTTCCTATTGCATTGGTGAGAAGCTGCCGGATCTCGAGCTATTGTGTGCTCGAGGCCAAAGGAAAAACTTCGAGATGTACGCGATTTGGGCAAATTTTCCTATGATCTCTTTATCAGGTTGTGCAGCGCTGGCGTTTTTTTTTGCATTCTCATTTTGTGTACCAATAGATGATCGTTAATACCAATTCGATCTTCGCTTGAATTAGTATTACCCCCGATCTTATTTAAACACATTGGGGGCTACGTTATCAAGATTTCATCTACAAGCGGTCGATATCTCCCAGGCTTGCGAGGCTCATTCCAAGTATGACAAACTGACGTACACTCCTCTGATGCCAACTTTTAGTATGCCCCATTCTTTCATGAACAGATGGATATTCTTTGCTGGTAATGCGCAGCACTCACCATCTCACGAACACCCCTTGCCATAACCAACCCAATCGTGATAACTTGACAATACCGATGATTACTATGGGAGCAGTTCAGGCTGAGGACGTCCCTTTAAGTGTAGATCTAGTCAAAGTAGCAACCTTGCTATTTTGCTACGAAGTGGTTGCTCGTGAGGATGTCATGGGCGCAGCAGCGATAACGGAAAGATCCAGGGTCTTGTACATGCTATTTTTTTCTCGGTATTGATTCTAATTTTGCAAGGGCTTCGCGACGGTGAGTATGTCTCATCCGTGCTGTAATTCACTTTCCCAAGCGGGACTTGGGTAGGAGCAAACATACTTGGGACTAGGGGCCATCGTGCATGATACTGGGAATGCTCAGTCATTATGAAAACAGGCTCTGGGGTCAGATAATAATAATTCTTCTATCTTGAGAGACCTTGTCCAACTTAGTTGCAGTGAATCCGGATTGTTGATATCTGAGATACGATCCAATTTGGGTAGAAACAAACTACCTTGCTCGCGCATGATAAAACAGAGCAAATCTCAATTGACATCCGCATTCGACCTTGAATCACTCATCAGATACCACAGGCTTCACGTCAGTACTCTTTCCTCCTTCCAGACGGAACTGACCAAATTTGTCAAGGACCTCCTGGATCTGTTGCGGACCCATTGCCACCAAAAACCAGCTACTTCCCTGTCCTCCTCATATCTGACAAATTCGAAAATTAGCATTTTGTAATTGGTCCAAGCAAGCATCCCCCTGCAAAGCAAAGCATCCGTGCTGAGAGGTAGGAAACTCAACACATCAGCATTGTAGGGCTCCAGGGCACATTTCGAGGCAGGACTATCGCCAAATATCACAGCGAGCTGGACGAAATCGTTATCGCCGTCGCTCTCAATGGCTAAGATGCTGATGCGAATTGTATTTAGGCCGATGTATGACCCAATGAAGTCTTACGAAGCACCAGTGAATCGCGCTACATCACGGTGAAGCCGCCACTCAGCCACCATCCTTCCGTAGGCGTTGAGACAGCGGTCTCGAGCATCTCGCCGTGGCTGAAGCGTACTGATTCGTGGCTTGAACTTGAAAAGGGACTGCAGCATGATCCGAGATGCTGTTTCAGCCGCATCTCCGGCAATGGCAGCATTGCTTAAAGCAACAATAGCTGTGTGAGCCTCTAGGAAAACGTAAGCGGTCGCCACAAAGCCGTTTGGCAAAGCTATTGTAGCCGTATGGTGTAAGTGGTATCATTCTCAAATCCATCGACCACTGGAAGCGTCCACCAGTGGTTCCACAGGGCTCCAATTTGCTGCAATGGGTTGTTTGATCTGGCTCTCATAAGAGGCTGCGGTTCCGGCGCCGCACATTCCTGATCGTATTGATTCATGACAGCTGCCATGAACGCAAGCATATCGTTGACTGAGCTGCTCATTCCCATACTGGCTAAGAAGGGACCGTGATCTTGACGTGCCGTGCCGGTCTCGATCCGAGACCATGTTCCATCAGACAGACGATTGTGCCGCCAGGCCCCATGAAGACTTGCCTGGGGTGTGCAAGGCCGGTTGAGTGCCGACATAGGTCGATAACGGTTGATTTCTCCACAATCTCTGGGTTCCCCAGGGGGTCAAAGGTAGGGAGATGTTTGCGAATTCGGTCGTCCCACGCTAACAGATTGTCTCCAACCAACACATACCAATCGCAGCACAGGTAATCATTTTCGAGCAGCCGCCGATAATGTAAGAGGTATCCGAGTCGGCATAAAGCCTATTCCCAAATTTCCGTAGACCGTAGTTCTTTCGAAAAATCGGGTCCTTGTTTAGGCCGTGGATGATGCCAACGGATATGGATGGAGCATTGGCTATTTTTCATGGCTTCCTCCACATCTTTCCAAGCAATTTCTAGACGGTCACGACTTTATATACATTATTAGAAACATTCAGGACATTGATCGAATGATACTAACATTGCTGAGCGAGACTCAGGTTCCTCCATGATTGAAGTGTCCTTCTCACTGCGGTTTAAGGGAGACAGGAGACTGTAGAGATATGGGCGCCGTCTTCTAAACAGAAGATGAGGAGGTCAAGTAGATGAGAGATGGTAAACCCTGTAAAAGAGAGTAAGGTGATGAGGGAGAGTTTAACAAAAACTGAGAATACCTTTGCTAAATTTTAACAATAACGAAGCTTTTTGATGGAGATTCCCTCTGATCGGTAGATTCCTTGTTTTTCCAGGCCATGTATCTAGATCTGTCGGCCTATAAGAGGCCTCTGCTTCCCCGTTTCTGTTCTGCTTCCTTAGAGATCTCGATCTAGCTTGACCACGACTGAATTTCCCCTGCTCTTTTGCTTCCTGCACGATTACGCCATCACTTTCCAATAAATTTTACTAGATTTTGTGATTTCTTTGTTCATGGTTTATCTGTCGTTACCTGGGACAGAGGGAAATTTATGGCTGAGTGTAGCAATCATCTGGCATCCAAATAGCAATGGAGCATTTGCTATTGCAGGAATAGCCGGGGAGAGACCACTTTGTAGAGAATACATCCATTCAGCGCTGAAGGCCTAGGCGAAATTCAGAAGGTATGCAATGAGCAAGACTTGATACCTAAGGGTTCCATACATTTGCAGCAAAATGATTCAAGATATGTAAAGCCCAAATAGTATTATCGTGAATATCTTCTAGTTGTCAAGTCCATTCCCAATCAAATCATATCCTCGTACCAGGGAATACCCGATGAACGATCCCAGTGGATCAACTCAGACATATCATGCACTGATCCTAGCAACGCGAGCTCTTCATGTTCTAGAAGATGAAAGCGCATGAATCCTTGATACTTCGAGCGTGCTGCAGTCTCTGGATCCCATTCTAGGTCGATGACCGTGACCCAAGCACCATTCTTCTTTATCCCACCTTGAGAGGGCGGGGCAACAAATTGAACAGGCTCAGGGTTGCGGATAAATGAGAGTAGTGCCTTTTCATCAATCATTGAACACCAGCGAAAGCGTGTGCCAAGGGTCCGAGTTTCGCTATCCACGAAATCTTTGAATTTCTTTGCGACTTGATCAATAGTGGCTCCGTCAAGCTGGCCTTTATTGTCGAATACTAGGCTACGATATCCATCGCGAAGTATCTGACGTGCCTTCTCATTCACGGAGGTTCCATGTTCGAGTTTGTGATCCGGGGCAGCAAAGATATTTGCTCGAATAGCGTCAACAGCGGCATCCTAGTGTATATCATATTCAGGAGTATAGACAGTGCGATATATTGTGTATCCCCATGGCCAGCGACTAAGTTCACTTTTCAATAGTTGACTAGTATCGTCATGTTAGACCATAATTCTTGTTTGGGTTGGCGTCTTCTCTGCCCGAGTTCGAGATCTGTTTCATCTGGTGGGAAATCTCCGGTTTGGGATGTCCATAGAGTGGGCCAGCTCTCATGGTGAAACTTCCATTGAAATTGAACAACTCTCATCGCTAGTTCCCGGAGGCATTTTGGAGGAAGTAAGATTTGAATGTCTGACTTGCGGCAGGTCGGTGGGGTCCAAGTCTCTTCTTATATACGATCAAAATAGGCGCCGGTCGTCTTGGCGCTAAAGGGCTAACAAACGCCAGATGTAACGCAATACAATTGTGTCGATGATAGAGCGAAACCAATCGGAAGCGTATAGGCTAGTAGAGTGTACGATTCAAAATAGAAGTAGACGTAAGCGAAGCTGGTGGGTTACCATAATTTTGCTCGACACTGCTATCTACCTCCCTGCAATGTGTTATGTGAGATGCGCTCATAGAAAATATAACAGTGAGTTCGTGGTGCTACGTTAGATGCTTCATATTCGCACGCTAGGTATTTATTGAATTTCCCCAGCGAGCATAGCTCCCGAAGGTCAAGGATAGGTCTTGAAATCGCCCGTGACTTTTCGAGCCTGCGTGCTCACGTAGGTAGCATTCTAGCCAACTCACACTCATTAGCACCAATAAATGGTAGTAATGACCGTTTAATAATGAATTCAACATTCTACTGCCTGGTGATGAGCTGTTATGTGACAGCAGAGAGCCCTCCACCGATCTTGTTTCCTTTTTTTTTTAGTCCGTCTCTCTTACTTTTCTCCTCACCTCATTAAGCGTACGACGACGTTCTAGATCTGAAACACACGGTTCATATTCTCTCAAGAGCTATGTATTCAACCTAGCAATTTAGGTCCGACTTGTACACTTTATGTAACAAAAATTCGCCCTGGAATATTCTCAGGCGTTCGAGAGAGTATGTCAATCAGCTAATCCACTACTAACAGGGCAAGGTCAAGGTAATCTACAAGACCGAACCTATACCCAAGCTCTATTTCAAGCAATGCGAAGCCGTTGGGTGTTCCATCCGGCGATGTAAGCGCGCCACGATGTCCAGATAATCCGGTTCGTTCTCGGCGGTCAAGATACCATGGCGAATAAAGAAGTCGATCATGATGATCGAGCAGTTCGGTTTGAATTCGCCACGGGCCAATGCCTCCTTAACCTCAGATACCGAGAGCAGGTTAAATTCTTCGACCTCGTCGTCACAGGGCTTGGGAATAACGGACGGATCAAGCTTCAGGTCGTAGACATACTCAACCTCCGGCTGCAACAAGCCGATCTCTCCACCAGCACGAGGATCTCTCACATGGGTATATGTGACGCACCCCACCGGCACAATTGAAGCGCGTACAACCGATTCTGGTAGGGAGGCTTCCTCCATAGCCTCGCGGACGATGCACTCAAACGGCTTCTCGCCGGTGCACATCCCTCCGGCGACGGTGTTGTCCAGCATGCTGGGGTAGGTCTGCTTATTCTTTGCACGTCGCGGGATCCAGAATTTCAAGCCTGTCGCATCTTCCACGTATCCGGTCATATGGGCGCCATACGAGACGATGCCGAACAAAGGTGTTGCGCTGCGCTCCATCTCGAGTAGGTATTCACCCCCAGGTCCATAGACAGGGTACTTCTCATTGCGCCATCCTTTCAGCACTTCGAAGCATTCCAGTCTGACAGCCTCGGCGAGACTCTCAGCAACGAGCTTGCTGCGGTGTGCAGGATCGGCATCTGCCGGTGTGACCAGGGTGACTGTCTGGGCTGCAGAATCGATGGCCCAGATCTCTTTCGGCCAGGGAAACTTCTCGACCACAGAATTCAGGATATATCCTAGTGTGACATCGTAGCTAGAAACGCGGAAGGCATGGTAGTTCTTGAGGTTCTCGGTGTAAGCGACGCGGTTGTCCTCGTAGTAGGGGAAGCTGAAGCGGGGTATAAGACAAAGGGATCGGCAGCAGGGCAGATAGAAAAATGAGTTCAGTACTTATCGCATTCGCAGATCAGATCCAGATTAGACTTGGCCATCTTGTCAATCTGCCACCAGCTACTGCAGCTAATGTATCAACCTCCAAAGGGTGCCTAAAGGGTCAGCATCGGAGAAAGTCCTTCCTCTCCGCCGATGCCAAGCCCTTATCAGCCCCGCGATAAGGGCAGCTTCCCCTCTTATGTCACCGGCGTCATCCAATCTGCATTCTGCGGAAAAGCCTTTGTTCGAACCTGCTAGAAAGAAAGCCTCGATTGTCCTCTCATCCCTACCTCAATCCCTCTCAACCTACACTACACAGCTCTATATAGCTACGCGATTCACCTGATACCCATGTTCTCCGTCGTCATCCCCGGCCGACCATGTCTAACAGACATTGTCGCCGTCGATAGCCAACCAAATGGCCAAGCAACAAAGTTCGCCTTCACAATTCCTCTGAACCCATCATTCACCGAACTCGTTGTCTTTCTCCTCCCCGGCACAATTCTCCCACCAAACACAGGCGCTGCCATCTATATCCAGCTCCCAGACCCAAACACCGGCAACCCAACCGACTTCCGATTCATCGGCGCACTAGCAAACGAGAAGCCCTCCGGCATCTTCAAGATCCAGGCCTCGTCGCAAGCAAACAATGGCCGCAGCGAGGCCGAAGAGGAAGACCAAATGCTTGACGAAGGCTCTAGCAACACCGGTGGCGGCGCAATCCCCTCGAACGGCGTCGCAACGCTAGGAATCTCAATCGAACCAGTCCAGAACATCGCGCCACAGCTATCAGCGCTAGAAGCAGAACGTGCACGTAACGAACCATCCAGCTCCACCGCGCTGGTCGTCCAGACCCCGGAACAGCGACAACAAAAGCAAATCACGACGAAGATCCTAGCGCAGCGGATCATCGGCAGCGCATTCAATTTCCTGGCCAGCTTTGCCGAGAGCGATCCTGCTAATAAGGGCCATGAAGTGGTTCCCTTGAAAAGCTTCCGCGATTGGTGGACCAAGTTCGAGCGACGCATTGATATGGATCCCACGTTCTTGGAGCGCGCGGATCCAAACGCGGCATAAATTGCGTTAAAGGCAGTGAGGTACAGGGCCGAGCTGAGTATATTAAGTGTAATGGGTGGGCTCAGCTGAAAGACCCGACCATCGTGCCGTTTCGGGATCGACATCCCTGCTTGTGGGGGGTGCCTTGCATGTGGCTGTGTTTCAGGAGTATATGATTTTTTTTGGCATTGAGCGACTGGCATTCGATTTTACATTTTCTTTGATCTCGGTTTATTGTTGATGTCTCCGTTAAGACATGACAAGATAATATTGTTCTATTCGGCTACTTGAAAAAAGGCCTTCCTTCGTGTACACTGGGGAGTCTCCTTAAGTTTCAAACCCCGACAAGTTTTCAAAATCATCTTAGTCACGAGTTGAGCGATAGATCACTGGAATTGTGACTCCAATGTGCCATTGAGACAGATCCTTCAAATGGCAGTGATCAGAGCATATCCGATTGGGCTGTTCCTCTGGTTTATAGCTAAGTAGAGCTAGTGCTCCAAGTCTGGTGACTTTGGGTAACTAACGATTGACCAGTTGGCTTTTAAATGACCATTTGACCGCCTTGCCTACATACTTCGAAAGTCAATCCCGCCACCAGCCACCTATTATCGTCGTGTCGGCCTAGTATAATCAAACCATTCTACTATCCCCTCCATAACATTCGTCACTAGGCAGCAGCTCATCCATCTTGCATCCGCCACTGCAGTAACTCCCGTGAACAGCATGCAAAGCCGAAGAAAGATCCCTCAGTTCACCGAGGTAAGGATAGATTTTGGGCATGTTCGAACAATGGTAACGACAGTATCTGCCCTGGGAGGGAAGGCTACTAAGTTTGTTATCTATTGACAGCGCCCACGGCACTGCTGGCACAGGAAGCGAAGAGAGAGAGAGAGAGAGAGAGAGAGAGAGAGAGAGAGAGAGAGAGAGAGAGAGAGGGAGACCGAGTCAATTGGTCTATCTAGAACATGAGGACGAAGACGACTAGGAAAAAGAAGAAGCAGAAGGGAACAGAACAGGGTCTATAAGGCCCTGAAACACAAAGGAAAGGAACAGGCCTAGACCTGGCAGGAAATCACCGGCCTGCTTCATGCAGGGCCAAAGAAGACGACAAACCCTGCAAACCCTCGAGGTCAAAGGGATCGAGTCATCATCTATGAATATTGTGATCTCCTAGCACCCCGTCACCTCGTGGTAGTGATTCCTTACATTAAGCAAGCCCGAAACGACGGGCACTTCTACGACTCCTCGAAGAGTTGACTAGTATAATATGCAGGGGTCCCAAGAGAAAGTTCGCCCCCAGTACATCGATTCCACCACTCCCTGAGGGTAGAACATAAAACCAACGCGTGATGCTTCTTCCTGCACAAATATTTCCATGGTTCATCATTTGAAACAAGAGTGCTGGAGTCTGATGATTCTACATATTTTTTTCGAGATGTAGTCTCCTCTCCACCTTTCCCGAGATACCTATAGTTCGACCTTTGGTAGGATTTGTACTCGGATCTCAGACGAGGGCCATGATATTCGCTTCGGCAACGTGGTCCTTACTGGTGACACTGCTATTGTCGACGTCGATCTATATGCATTTTGGAAACTATTATTTCTAGAGCATGTCCATGTTGATTCGCTACCGAGATACTTGAGATCCGTAGCTATCACGTGACGTAGAGCAAGACCTATATGTCCAAGCTTTGGGCCCAGGCTAGCGGGTAGGCACTCCGAGATTCTTGTCTCACTTTCTTTGAAATTGAAAATTCCACATGGCACTACCCGATTCAGGGAGCATGCAATCAGTGTCCGACGATCCTAACAATCCATCCAACTGGACCGTGGTTTGGACTGAGCTTCGGGCGCCAATCGGACATGAGTCTGATAAACAACGATGGGTCGGTTATTTCCAACCCTTAGTACATGCAGCGGGCCACAAACAGTCAATATGGGCTCGGCTTCGCTTCAACCCGGACAAAGTGATTCTAGGCACATGCAAGTCATATCTTATCTTTCAGAATCGATACATCATAATGTTCCGAGTGGGGTTAATTTACTAACGAGGTTCTTATATCTAGATTGGTCTAATAGCTCAGCGTGCAGGGACTTTGAAAGCTCTCCGTTAGCTCAGCTTTTCAGGGAACAGCTTACGAATGACGGGATTACATTCCTAACATGTTATGAGTTCCCCGACGATTGGTACCATTGGTTTCAATCTTTGTTACCCAGACGTTTTATCTATATCTTCTGGGTCTACTTTAAAGTGCCAGTAACGGAAGAGCAAAAGCAAAGGGTTGCAAAAAGCGTTGGTATTCGCCCGCCTGTTGTGTTAAACCTTCGACCCAACCAAAGACTGCAACCACGTCTTCCCGTGAAGCTATGGGCTACTCGTACGGAGTACCTGCATGGTGAAGAGGTTCAACTACTGCTATAGCCACATATCTGGAGAGATGAGGAGGCAGCATCTTGGAGGCTCATCAAGTCTAGACACATTAATTCCTTTGGTGAGACGAATGTAGACAAGTTTCATGGTTTTCTTCGTGATATCGGCTCGATGGAATTCAAGGAAGACTATTGTCACTTTGAAGAGCTCCCACGCCTATAAGTACAGTCGGAGTTGTCTTGTTTTGAAAATTCTATGACTTATGATCAGGTACTTTCCTACTCTATTTCCCATCAACCTAATTAACACTAGATTGAGACCAATTTAGCCACTCCCGTATCAAAACTCCATCTTCGGTTGGAGGAGTCGGACCACTGAGTCTGCAGGAAAAACCAGTAACCCACGCTGAAACAGACATATGACTCAGGGTTACGACGGATCAGGTGCTGGCAGTCCTCATTGTAGCCCTTAGGGGTCGAGTTTGGTAGAATTTTGAGCCAACTTTGCGTTGTCTTCCACATGTCTTTAGAAGAGGCGCTAATAGACTCTAATCTACTTTTTCATTGAGGCTTATAAGGCTTTAGAGAAAAGGTTCCAAGTGTACCGGGGAGCTAACCTGGGAACGACAAAACTAACAGGATCAGATAAAAAATATTTTTCTCAATATATTCACAGAGGGTGATATTATATACAAGGCTTTCCATCCCAAAACCCAGGCCAATCACACAAGCAGAAAGCGTACCGTAACGACATAAAGAAACGTAAACTGAGAACCATGACCAGGGCATTTTCCCTTCCATCAACGCCCGCAAAAAGGAAAATTCGAAGTAGGAGAATATGATCATGACTTATCAGGATTTCGAGCAGCCGTCAACGCGTGAAGTGACGAATCTGGCCGCAGACGGATGCCCGGCGCATAGCAGAGACTGTACAACTCATCGACATACGTCGCAGGAGTGGTAACAGCATCTCCGGCAGCGATGACAGCATCGTGCGTGTGCCCCACGTTCTGCGCGGCGTTCTCGTTGATCCGGGTGACGTCGACGCGAACTTCTTTCTGGACGGTGATATCTCCCAGAACTGTGTTTGTCTCGACTAATGACTCCTGAGAGTGCCCTGACGGAGGAGCGTGGTGTTTTCGCGAGGGCCAGAGTTTCAATATTGCCGAGCGCGTTGTTGACTTGATATCTGATTCGGTGACGGAGGAATTAGAGCGGACGTCTGTGCAAAAGAATTCCTGGTTCAGTTCGCGAGAGAAGCCATCTCGATCGGCGATAACGTCGTTGACTTGCTGCTGCACGCGGAAGAGGCGGAATGGAGTGAAGGTGAAATCGGGGTTGGGTACTTGTGTGTCGAGAGGGGCGACAACACAGAAGGTGAGGAGGGTACATTGGGAAAAGAGCTGGTTCTCTTCGGATCGTCGAAGGGCAGAACGGCACGGGGCGAGAAGAGGTCTGGAGGAGAATGTTGCTGCTAAACGCATATCCTCTGGGAATGACTTGGCGAGCGTCATGATGCCGTGCACAAGGTGCTCGCGGAATGCTTCCATATTCTTGTCGGTTTGTTGCGCGGCTTTCGATTGTAGGTATTTCAGACACGTAATCATGGACCAGCCTTCCATGTGTGAAATCAGATCGAGATGCTGCACGGATAGACGCTTCATTGGAAGAGTTGCAGAAGGGAGTGGATTTCCGGTTCCCTTGGTGGTGAGAATTTCAAAGTGATCTTGAACGGTAGGTCGCATCACATAAGAGATAAGATGCACGCCTTCTCCGAAGCCGCGACTCGAGCTTGCATAATCGCGCATGTCGCGGAGATGCTCAATGAGAGTCACTTCGGGGACGTGAATACGGCGGGATAAGGTTGACGTAACGTGTTCGATCGTTGCGAATCGGAATCCGTTGGAGGAGAAACGGTTTGCTTCGTGCTTCTGTAATTGCCGAACACTGAAAATTAATTGACCCTTACCCGTGCGCAGGGAGGAGCGTCCCATAGCGCGTGATAATCGTGAAACGGGGATCGCGGTGGCCAGCACATTGTCATACAGGGTTCCCAAGTCTGATAGGGGTTGGCGAAGTTCGTCCGAAAGCTCTTGCGCAGTAACACAGAAGAGCTGCTTGAAGAGGGTATCGAAATCTGTTTGCAGCTCGGTCTCCTTGTCCATGACAACTCCACGAGATAACACGTGTTTTTGGATTGCTTGTTCTTCGGATTCGAGGCGGTTTCGCATGAAGGGGATTAGGTCTTTGACAACAGGCCAGTTGCGGCTAGCCCTGAAAGCCCAAAGGAAGGTAGGATGAGTGCGAGTGAGGTCGTCGTCTTTAAAGGTCTATATGAAATACCATGTTAGTCTTCTCGATGTCAGATCAATAGAGTTGTAAGCATACTCGGCCAATGTAGTGATCGACAATCTTTCGTGTCGGCAGAAGGGCCTGGGGTGTAACCATCACACGTCCGGCTGGATCGAAGTAGGCGCAGGCTAGAACAAGTTGGTGTGCACGAGTAGTCGATCGTCGCCGATTGCCACCTGCAACAATTGCACAGGCGGACAAAATCACGCAAGAGACGCAGGCCTAGAAAAGGCTGTTAGTTCTGCTTATGCACTCGACCATAACCTTTGACTCCATATCGTGACTCACCAGTACAGCGCAAATGATGACCACCTGAGTGCGAGACAGTTGAGTACCATGCTGCATCGACTCATCGCGCTCTCGATAGGAAGTGCCAACCGCCGCCGTCCAATGCATGCCCGACACAGCGGTCGAAAGAAAACAGGCACAGATTCCTCGTCGCCACCAGCTATCGGTCCAAGTCGCCCTCCACCGGAAGAAGATGCCCAAAGCCAGGGTGCTAGAGAATACAGCAATGATAGCAGACCCAACCACGTTGGCGACAGCGTAGGAGCACTTGTAATTCGCGATGCCCAGTTGTCCCACGTAGTGCATACCGCATACGGAACTTCCAGTCAACAATCCTCCAAGCATGATACGCAGATAGCCGGCTTTCTCTTCGACGCCGATGGAGTAGAATGCTGTCAGCAGGACTATCACGGGAAGAACGAACGATGTTCCGGTGAATGCGACATTGTAAAGGATTTGGATTTCCTGCTGTCCGTCACCGAGGACAATTGCTCGGTTACCGATGAAATGCATGCACCAGATTCCAATTCCACCCATTGTAATAGATGAGGTCAACAGTAGATACCTGCCATTGCTGTCAGTCATCGCGGGTACTTTTGCACAAACGGGTCATATCATACCAGTTATAGAATCCCGATCGCGATGTCCTTCGATGCAGAAGCTCCAGTGTTGTCGCGCACCCCATCGAACTAATCACGTACGAAAGGAAGATATACCCCCCAGATAGGAGACATGCGTGGCGGTCGCCGTGTCGGTGCCCATACCCGCCATGTTGGATAATGGTGTAGGAGAATGCGTTACAACGCGAGCATTGACCAAGGAGTGCCGACCCTTATGCAGCAGGAGAAGAAATAGTCGCAGTCGACTGTGGGAAACAAGGGAAATATACTAGAACATGAAGAGAGCGATGATTCACAGCAAGATATCAATGATAGTAGCGGGGGTAATCAAAAATAAAGGAAAGGAGCGACAATCATGCAGCAGCATAAGTGCGGACTAATTTTCGACCCAACAGCCTGGCCGCTGGTATCTTATAATAATAAATGAATTGGAATGAGAATCACACCCTCCCAGATGCAAGCCTCCACTAGGCTGACCGGGGTCCTTCTCGCATCGCAAGCCTGGACCCAGCGCCCAAAAAGCAAATGTAATTGATTAATCGGACAAATAACTTCCACTGAGCGTAATCCGATCTAAGTAAAGGGCAGATAGGAGGATCCACATTCTGGTGGATAGCCTGCATCTGTTCCCATGAGTCTCTTCGCGTGGCACTACGGAAGTACCGACGCAGACATGCATCCACACATGCCTGTCAGGCTGTCGGCAGCGTACCGAGGGCCGTCAGAACGGTTACCAGGTGGAAAGGAAGGTAAACAGGGTTTCAGATTGATCAATGTGATCTCCCATCCCGGAAGATTGTCGTCTAGCACGGGCCTAGGTAGGGGTCTTTTAGGTCCTTGGGGGGTAAAATGGAAGAAGTGAGAATGGGTTCTCCAAGCGAGGATGTTTTTCGTCGTGCATGAGCCAATTCATCATTCGCTGGGCTGAGATAGGTGCTGATCTAGATCGGATCGTAGCGGGTAAGGAACGATGGGGCGGGGCCTTGCGAACGAGCGTATCAGAAGGCCCCAAGGTATTAAATGGACCCAGTGCATGCGATACAATGTCTGTGCATCGCCGGCCATTTGACCAAGTAGGTTGTCTCCGACGCCATAATGTGATTGTTGCATTTTAGGGACTTTTGCGAACTCAAATCAACCATGTACCACAAGCTAGCAGGGATTTATTTAATGAACTGGTTTGTTTTGTTGCCTTGTAAGCGGACAGGATAAAGTGTGTACGCGCACTTTGGCCGTGTTCCATCCGGCCCCTCCGATGAATAAATTAATTGGGGGTGGCTCGTCGGGGCAACATTGATTCAGCTTCAGCTGCGCCGTGCTTCCAGGCGTAAAATGGCGGGTCCATGCAAAGAAGAGGGGAAAATCGAATGGGAGAATTGTATTGCCCGCATTGAAGATAGATAGGCCATTCTATCAGCCTATTTGTCCTCTGTCGTCTGCACTGTTCATCCGGATATGCAAGTCAAAAGCTGCCCGCGACGATCAGTCACAATGCCGCCGGTAAAGCTGTCGCTTAGCCTGTCAAACGGGCGCGTGTAATCGATCATGTCGATCGGGAGTTTGATTCCTGTGTGGAAGCTTCCCGACCGGTCCCTTGACAAGTTGACTCCGAGTCCCTGGGGCCAGAACCGTGGTAGGCGCAAGTATTCTATGACAATTGTTGGTCCAACATGGAAGTGGGCTCGGACGTGCCCCGGACATCTCATTAGCAAAGGATTCGAGATTGCGAAGCATCATTTGAGAAGCGAGTATTAATCAATCAGGAACCCACCCCACGATCAGTTTGTCCGGCACTCAATTAGTTTAGTCCTTCCTTGGGCTATCCACACACAGCTCTTTTGTCCACAGAACCTGATGTGGCAAGTCCTGGTGGCGCATGGTTTTGTCCTTGATGCCATCGATCTCACCTCGCGCTAGCGTGCACTGGCCAGTGGGCAGAGGTTGGTGGTGGACTGGTGGTCCTGGTGGAGGATGTCTTGGCTGGTCCATGGCTTAACGCTGAGTAGTCCAGGCCTGGTTTCCCATTCCTTCACTCCGCGAAGGATAAGCTGGACCGATCGGATCTGATCCATCGTGTCGGGCCTCGTTGGTTTGCACTTTAGTTGCTATCAGAGTTCAATCCAGTTCAAACCCTCAGAATTTGAGTTCTCGCCGAATGTTGATGAGTCCATGGACCGAACATGCTTTCTCGGCTCAAGCCGAGAACCAAAATCCACTCGACCCGGTCGCTGTCGCAGACTGTCGGGTCTTCGGACGTAAATTGGTGTCCGCCGCCTCGATTGTCCCTTTCAGGCATGGTCCACTCCAATCTAAGTGTGACTCTGGAATGTTCGCACGATAAAAGTCAAAGTCAATAGATTGGTTTCTCGCCGAGGCAGAGGTGGAGTGTGAAAGAGTGGAAGCGAGAGACTAGGCCGTGTCAACCACATGGCACGGGTAGACTTGCTCCACGATGCTCAATCCTGCGGGACTCCATTGACATCCCTTGTGGGATGTGTCACTTGCGATGTTGGATTTCTTGGCTCGTTTTTGAGAACACGCGATCGGTGGCTTGTACTTCTCTCTGCAAGACACTCAAAATAGGAACCGGTTCTTGTCGGCGCCGCCACCGAACTGTTCGTCAGATTCTTAGTTGACGAGTCATCTCAACACGATCCCACGCAGGGATCAGTCAACTCGGATTGAGATCGCTTTGCCACGGTCGGCCATTCTTGCTTCTAGAGGCTCTACGATAAGTCTAGTCAAGTTGCATCTCGTTATCTATGAGTCAAGTGGTCGAAGTGTAATAGATTGGATCCTAGACTATTCTTGTGGAAGAGATCAGTAGATGACACAATGGAACCATAACCTCAAGGTTGATTTATCTCTTTTCACATGCCTCTGTACTTCAGGTCCATTTCTATGGATAATCGAGTTTAGATCATATAGAAAAAAACAGCCTGGCGGTTCAATTAGGCAATGCTATACAATTACACGGTAGCCCTACAGTCCCAGGTCTGTTTGATAGCTCGTGTGCATTCTTCCGATATGACAGACAAACGGTCGATCTATTATTAGGGAAAGATTTCCCGGATACTTTTACTCTTGCAGCATGAGGCAACTAGGCAGCTTCAGACTCGAGGTCGGAGATTTTAGACTCGTGGCAACCATAAGCTCCAGGTCGTCATTGGACCTAATCTGATCCGACAGCTCATATTTGACGCACTAGACACACATGACACTATACGACAGAGCAACGTTTGTCCCACTGCCATGACTGACATAGAACCTGCGGAGAACCTGTCAAGGGATCTAGTGGGGACTGATCTGACTGATCTCCGCCTGCAGGATGCAAGCCATCGCCTGTGTGACACAACCATTCGCTTGGAGACAACTATACCAACTTCATCAAGCGATAAATCTACGGTAGCTTTCATAGCGAAGCGAGAAAAAGAAAGTTTGCTAATTGAGAGATTCCAAGGATACAAAGAGGGCCCCAGGTCGGATGTTATTTCCTTTTTTCTCATATCGCGCAAATTATTAGGTCGATATTCAGGACCTCCAAGGTTCATGTTTCAATTTAAGCGGAGATATCGGCAACGGCCTTCTGGATAGCAGGGGGGTTGGCGCCACGGACGGTCAGGTCATCGCGCTTCTGGCCATCCTTGTAGAATAGGAAGGTGGGCATGGCGGAGATGCCGTTGTTGGCGGCGACTTCGGAGAGCTGGTCAACGTCGACCTTGTAGAACTTGACGGCGGTGACGCTGTCGCTCAGCTTCTCGACGAGGGGAGAAACGGCCTTGCAAGGACCGCACCAGGTGGCGAAGAAGTCGACGACGACGGGCTCCTTGCTGCCCTCAACGAGATCCTGCCATTCCTTCTCGCTATGCCATATGTCAGCAGAACATTCTCCAGATTCAGGGTACGAAGACGGCCTCTAATGTGGAGGCCGAGGAGGGTAGCCGGTCGTAGTAGGAAAAGGGATGAAAACTCACGAAGTGATCTGAGTAACACCCATTTTGAAAGATGTTGTGGTGAAGTGGGAAATTGGGGTGGATGAGAAAGTACGCTGAGCGATAGGCAAGCGAGCCGAAAGACGAGTCAAGCGGAAAGTAGAAGGTTTCTAGAAGCGTAAAGTGCTGTGAGCTTTAAAATTGAAGGAGGGGCAAGCCGAAGAGGGGCGTTCGGATTTTATAGGGCGATGACGTTCCCGGAGGCTGGACCCAAGCTAGCTTAGCTAAGAGCCAGGGCGGATGAATAAACCGCCCATGGAGCCCTCTAGCAGTATCCAGCACAGCCTTGAAACAGCGATTTCTGGCAGAAAGTGTAGACTCACAAGCAGCATGTTGAATTTGTCACGGTCTGATGCACCTTTTCGTATCAATTTGTCCAATTGCAGTGCTGTTTGAGGGTCGGGAAAGAAAGGAGGTTGGGCGGGCGACGACGGCAGAATGTGAATGGCGTGCTTGCTTACGAATTAGATCAGTTCTGGATCCATCGGCACCCATGTCCATAACACGACGGATATCAATAATCAAGAATCAGCCATCCAACCATGGAAGGACTAATATTATCCAGCAAATTTTGATCTGATAAACTGAGTTTATAATTTCAGCCAGATCATCACTCCAACTTGACTCACTGAATGATGCCATCGCCCTGGTCATACATGGCGACTTTTACCATCCTCGGTTGTTCAAATGCCTATTTCTATGATCAAACACCGAGAGCCTCTTGATATGCTAACCAACACAACAATAATAAGCTATAGGAGAGGGCCAATATAAGGAGCACAAGAGACTGCGTACCATTCTAGTCGTTTCTTAGAAAAGTCGACAAATATTATCAACTATATGCGTAGAATTCCTACAGTAGGCTCCACCCATCGCCCTCCTCATCGACCTCTTTGATCTAAGCACCAATAAGCAGCGAGACTCGATCTAAGTCTTCTTCCTCTGCTTGCAAAATCACACCTATGTTCCTTGTCTCTCGATCGTGTTCTTCGCTGTAAGGGTCACGCTCTAGGAGATGCTTGACCATATGGGGGTGCCAGTAACACTCAAGAAACTCCATGATAGGAAGGCCAAGTTCAGTAAATTTCGCCTGAAAATCAGCCAGGAGCTGGTTGAATGTTTCCATGCCTTGCATATTCTCTGCTTGGATTTCATTAATTTCTTCAGGGTCTCTGCCCACCATCTTATCCGCGTCTCTTCTGTCGGATGCCTTGACTACACCGTCGATTTCGATGCAACAGGTGTGCTTAAGGCCGAGTGCGTCAAAGGTTAGGGATCGAATGACAGCCTGTTCGGCCGACGGGGTAGATTGAGCCCAGTCGATTATGCGAGATATCAAGCGTTTCAACCACGAAGACTTGTCGGTGATACGGGACCATCGAGACCAACGCATAGCTTGTCGCCCTGCCACAGAGACAACGGTACATCCCTGTGGAGAGCATGGACAGGTGCATTGGTCCGTAAGAGATGGGCAAGGGAAGAGATGTTCTTTCGAGTAGGCAATTTTCTCCTCCAGACTTGACCAATGGAAGTAAACAGCGTCAGACTTTCTGATATCCACTATAGCAATAAGAAATCCAACAATTTGAACCGTTAATAAATGGGCAGTCTTTGCCTTGGAGCAGGGTAGTGTACGACTGATGTCTGCTCCTTTAGACAGAAACCACACCATCCGTTCAATACCTTCCCATGCAGAATAGAAGGACTCGTATGTTGTCATCAAGGGAGTAACGTTAGTTGAGCTTGCCGAATCAAAGTCTTTGAAACCGGCGTTAAACAGTTCATCCATGACACTGGGAATAAGATCCCGATTATGATAGATGGATGCGTTCTGATTTCGAACCAAGAGCGACTGATCAATGGTTTTGCCACGTGCGGCAACCCTCTCACATATCCTTGATGCATGCAGGTCAGGAACCGTGTCTTCATATACACCGAGTGCTTGTAGTTCTTCCTGAGGCAGGCATGACTGAGCTAGTCTGCCTAGTTTCCTTCGTCGCTTGACAAGCACAGAGGCAAAGAGCGAGAGCAATTTTCCTGATCTGGGAGCCTGCAAAACGGGGATTGATAATCCACACCCAGCATCAAGCAGGAGCCTGGTTGAATGGAAAAATCCGTTGAATCCGATGTCCTCTTCGCGGAGAGGGCTGGGGCATCCCCAGAAGGAGATGAGAGAACCTCCACCAACAGATGCCCCTGCTTCCAGGAGGAGCTGTACACCCTTTGGCCATCCAAATGCCAGTTGAAGTAATGAACAGCCGCATGCTTTGTCGTTAGCACCGATTTGACCGGATTCGAGGCCAATCTTGAGCTCCTCTTCAGATTCCTGAAATAATATTCTGGCAACTTCGGGGACAATGAGAACTGCAGATAATATGAGCTTCCATTTCAGAAAGAGTGAAGGCAATAGGTAGTGATACATACTCTCTTTATATCTGGACAGGATATACTTTATATTGTATCGCTCGATATGGTTGAGGGTTCCATTATCCAGTGTACAAGGACCACCGTGATCAACAAGGTATGAAGCCAGGGCATACTCTTCATCCTGGAATCTCGTAAATCGAAGTAGCCCTCGCAGAGCTCCTTGACTAAACGTGTTGTTTGGCCTAGAGCCATTGTTAACGAGGAACCTCGTAAGCTTATGCAAGCCTGGAAGTTGATCTCGCGTCGTCGCTATGTCAAATGGTACCAGCGCCTATAAACCATCAGCTTGCTCCCGATTCAAAGAATAAGTGCATTCATACATCCACATAGGACACCATGTTATAATCACGAGGAGCATAGTCCAAGTAGAAAATATCCGATGGTTTTGACTTCCCAGCAGAGAAAGCCTTTTGGACCTGGCGGATGCAGTTTTCGACAGTTTGGTCAAACTCGGAAATAGTTGTCTTCTTCAGATCGAAGAATTGGGTTATTTGTAATTCGAGCGTGCTCCCGTTGTAGTCCAGGACGGTTTGCACGCTTAAAGATGGCGCGATTGAGAATCCACCGGCCCCTTTTGACAGTGAGAAAGACGCGGTCACCGCGACTCGAAGGAGAGTACTGAGGTATTTGAATGACTTTGCTGTGGTTTCTCCTTTATTGCTGGACTTGGGGTTATAGGGTGTCATAGCATGACTGGTGGAATTGGAGGAAGTCGTAATGGCGATTTCTGAGGTTGATGTCCTCGTTGTCATCTGCATCCCCGTGGCTGGGTTCTCGTCAAAACCACACTGGCGATCACACCATGATTTAAGCAACGCTGGAGGTGGCATTCCTTCTGGGTATTCTTGTAGAGTAATGCGCTAGATATCCAATCAGCGCCATTCACAAACCAGCCTTAAGGAGGTGATCGTACTATCTGCTGCACCTCCTCAAGAATCGCCTCCTGCATCAACCCCAACTTGTTCATCTTCTGCGTCGAATGTCTTAAACCTGCTAATCAGCCCCATACAACCATATCCTCTTCATAAATTTTACTCACATGCTCAACGTAGTCTGCAACGAATTCTGAATCCCATCCAAATCCTCAAACATCTCCTTCAACCCATCCCTCCGAAACGGATAAACAACCCTCTTAATCTGCCCCCTGATCTTCTCCGGAAACCGAAACCCATCCGCAACAACCGGTAAATGCCGTTCAACCGCAGTCCTCAGTCTATTCACCATGCATTCCAAACCCAACGCCTTCTCGGACAGATCAGCCGCCAACTCGGGGTTCGACACCTGCGCATCCTCGATGATATCGCGGAGTGCGCGGAGCGGGCGCCGGAGAGATTCGGCTTTTGATTCGATTCTTTTCGCGTCTTCGTCGTAGCTTTGGTAGGCTTGGCAGAATTTTATTAGTTGTTGGGCTATTTGGAGGCCGAGGGATATTACGCCGATGGCGCTGCTGGCGGCGGAGAAGGGGTCGGCCATGGATGTTTTTATTATTTGTATAGTAAATTATATGGATGGCATACAATAGCAATGAGGGCTAAAGGGAAAGGGCTTACATGGGAGGGGGATGGAAACAATGGTCTTCTTGTGTTTCGGCATCTCCAGGCTTAGCCGCCCAGGATGGATGCACTGCCTGGCCAGGCTAACTGGGGCCGTTGGACGGCGCCAATCGCAGGCCAACGAGGTGCATATCCCCACGAAACGGACTGCAGACGGCGGCTACAAGGAAAAATAATTATTGGCTCTGGTTGTACTAAATGGTGTAGGGCCAGTTGGAAACTCGGAGGGGTAAAGTAGGCAGTGCCATTTAGTATCCAGTTTCCAGTCATCTATACCTACAGGATGGAAACATGAGAGATAAAACAAAAACAATATCTATGAGGCTCTGCCTAGGTATACCAACAAGGGAGGACTCGTCCAGCAAATCTGCAATCCAATCCAATCCAGAAACAAAAACAGTGTATTAAAAACATCATCCACCGGGGGTCAACAGTATAGCAAGGAACCGGGGAAAATCACCCGTCAAATCGAAGACGCAGGCTATGCTAGACCAGGCTATGTGCATCGACAAAAAGCCAAGGGCAACCGGCAAGGCAGAAAGAACAAGGAGTAAGCGCATCCTGGAGCTATGGAAACACGGAAGATTGAATTTATGCATCTGACAAAGACTCGAAGCAGAAACAAACAGGGGGCAAGTTGGGGGTATCAACAAAATCGCAGTGTAATGGTAACAACAACCGTACAGATTGACAGGCTCAGCAGGTCAAACAGGGGACAGGGGGATGGAGGGGGAGGGGAATGGGGAGAGGGGGTGATGTGATGTGATGATGGGGAAGCACGGTGGGAGGGTTCTATTACAACAAAACTGGGGTACGTGATGGATGAGATCAGCGTCGCGTCGTAGATGATGGCCGTCGCTGCGCCGGGAATCATATCACAGAGATTCAGTAGTCTTGGAACAAAAGAGAAAAAACAAAGAAATGACTAAAAGAGTGTACGCGATGCACGAGGCATGCAAAGTTGGGGGGCTTGATGGCCTGGAGGTTCAAGCTCGGAGAGGTGGAGGAGATCATTCATCCTCGGCATTGCAGATAACACCGTGGACACTAGCCACGCGCTGCGGCTGAGGAGTGCTTCTCACCACCTTGTCCTTGTCATCGCCCTCGTCTTCGTCCAAGTAATCCTCTTCAGCCGTGATGGGAGACAATGAAGGGAAGCTCTTGAGCATGGTAGCCGTAGATTTGGGACGAGAAACGGGGCTGACCAGGACTGCCCGGCGGCCGACCTCGCTATGGTGCCAGGTCTCGGCGGCCTTGGTAGCGTCGTTCGCAGGAACCTCATCATTTTCCAGTAGCTCTGGCTCGCCCATGATATTGCTGCTGGCTCTGCGAGAATCGATAGAGTCACGAACATCATCATGCGTCTCGACCGGGCTGTCGATTGCAGCGCTGAACGAGGTCATGGTACGGACGGGGCTGCTAGGAGCCTTCTGGGACATCCGGCGGAAGAACTGTCCCGACATCCATGATCCTTCTGAGTCGATAGATGCCAAGGACTGGGATAGGGGAACGTTCTCGGATTCGAAGCTATCGCCTGAGAGATGGCGACGGTTCTTCGGATTCACGATATCGACGCCCGCGAAAGTAGGAGTCGGGCCGTGCAGGAAAGTGCTTCCTTCTTCGTTCTCTAATGAAGATTCGGCCACTTCCTCAGGGATATCCACTTCTTCGGGGATATCTGGGGACTGGAGACGCGAGTCTGGAGGGGACACGGGTTCGTCGCCAAAGTGCTCTGTGAACTTGGAATGCGAGCGTTGGATGACACCGGTTGGAATGAAAGCTCGCGGGGGGATGACGGAGGCTGGTGGAGGCGAAGACTGGGTTTGGATCCGGTAAAAAGACTCGTGTGAAGCATTGGAGACATCGGGACTGGAGTCGTGGAACCTTTCTTTGTATCGTCGCTTGATACGGGAGGAACCACGTCGGAAAAGAGAGGTGATGGTGTTTCCACCACGGCGACCGCTGGTCTCGGACGGGCGGCGCTCGGAAATGTCAGAGGTAGAACCAACGTTAAAGGTTTGCGACTGGCTGGGGCTGATGATTCCATGTCGGAGGGATGATTGAGATGGAGAGAGAGTGGTGCGAGACATGCCCATCTCATGTGAGGGAGCAAAGCTAGGCCGAGTAGCCAGCTTAGGCTCGCGGATCGAGCTGTCATCAATATTTCCAATGACATGCACGCTTTCAATCGATTCCCGCCCGGCATCCTCGCTCTCCTTCGACTCATCGTGTAGCCAGGTACCAGACTGCTCTGCGGGTGCTTCGTCTTCAGGCTCTTCAGCGATGGTCTCTTCCATAATAATACTTTGATGTTCAACTACATCAGGAGCCTCGACGACGGGAGCTTCTTCGGGTTGGACCTCCGGGGGTTGCTGGGTCGCTTCAATCGCTTGTTGACGCTCCTCCGCGGCCTGGGCATCAGCGCGTTCCTGCAACTTGCGACGTAGCTTTTCTTGATCTTCGAGCTGTTTCTTCTCCCGGCGGCGACGGTCTCGCTCGAGTAATTCTCGCAAAGTACTAGCATCCAAAGAATCCGCCAGATCATCCACACGTCGCCTAGAGTAGTAGAGATCCTCTCCAGAGGTGGTTCGGGTTGGGTGTCTATCGCTGTCCGGTCGCCCAGCACCTGTCGAGGTATTGTTGCTTCGCGCCGTGGTTAAACGAGGCGTCTCGACATAACGGACGACAGGGCGTGGAGTCAATGCAGCAAAGGCATTCACCTTGTAGGTGAAGGGATCGGAGATGTCCGAAATAGAGGATGCGGCCGAGTCGCGAATCGACAAACTAATATCTGACATATAGCGATCAGCGCGTCGCCCATTTGCCTTGCGTCGTCGGTGTTCCACTCCATAGTCGCTGCCCAGAGGTTGAGTTGATCGGCGTGGAATGTCGATGGGAGTTGACGACAACAGCTTAATCTCGCGCTCGCGTAGAATTTCATGGGTCTGTCGCTTGCTCTTGCGAAGCTTGTTGGGTCCACTCGGATTTGGCTGCTTCTTCAACAGCGATCCTTTCCGTGACAGCGGTCGCGGGTAGGTCTGGTCTGCCTCAGACAAGCGCCGTTGATCGAGAGAGGAGACCGGGCGGTTCGACGTGGTTGTCTGGCCCGTTGGCCCCGGGCTTTCGGAGCCATCACCAGTACGCGACCAGCGTCTGCTGTGGCGTTTGGAACCCCGGCGGGAAGGTTTGCGGCCCAAGGTTGGTTCGGCGACGGGAGCGGGCGAATCGTTCTCGTCCAGGGCATGTTGGAGTGCGGTGGCCTCGTCAGCGCTCACTTGAATGGTGTGGCGCTTGTTCTTACGACCAAACGGCCATATCGCCATTGCGCGAGGTGGTGCAGCTCGCGGCCGCAGGGCGAACTAATGATCGCAGTCGCGGGAACGATGTCGGTCGGAGAGATCGTGCAGACGGGCGACGAGATTCATCGAGGACACGAGGGAGCAAGAGCGGGCCCGAGGGCAGTTTAGTGAGCTGTGAGAGGTACAGACTGAATGGGGTAGCAGAGTAGCAAATGCAGAGCCACCGGCGTCATCAGTGGGTTTAAGCTGGGGTGGGAGATGAGTGAAACGGGCGAAAAAAGCAGCGATCGTTGACGGTGTGTGGTCTGGGCGAAGGGAGGGGGGTGGTTGGGAGGAAGAAGTAAATACTAGTCGGGGCGATAGTTTCTGTACTACCTGGGAGACTAGTAGGGTTCGATAGAAGAAAGTTTAGAATATGGGGGAGAGGAGGAAGAGGAGAAAAAAAAAGGAAGAAACAAGAGGAACTGTGAGGCATGTAGGAGTGTGTCGAATGAACTCTCTCAGTCCCTAAAATGGTTTGGTTTGCACCAGAATGAGTGGCGGCCAAAACAACTACCAAGTTGGGTAGGGAATGGTGGCAAAGGGGGGGAAGAGAAAGGAAATAAGGAGAGTTATGAGGAAGGAAAAGTGATAATTATCCCAGGATCCCTATGATTGGATTGACTCAAGTAATAATCCCCCAAGTGAATCAAATCTATCAACCTTTTGATTATGTATTCTTCTTCCCAAGTCCATTCGGCTGGCCAGACCCCCCGGTTTGTTTTGGTTTCTCCCTAAAAATAAATCCTCTTTGGGCTCACACAAGAATGACAATTATGTATTATTCATTATTCATCCCTCCACTTCTTCAGGCCTGCAGTATACCCACCGCATCATCATCAACGACAATATCAGATTGGACTCTGTCACACGGTACCTGGGACCTGCTGGATCTATGCACGACAAGCTCTTCGATACATCTCTCCTACCTAATCCGACTCTTCCTATCAAATTGGGCTGACCAGGGGGAGCAGGGATATGCTACGCCGGAAACGCGGCTGTGACGGCCAGTTATTGCACGAGACGAGCAAGAAAGTCCCCCCGAAAAAACCATATGACCGAGAATTAAAAAAGCATTTGCAATAGCGGGCCAGAGGATCACTGTCGACATCATGGGAAATTTGTTGTCTCCAGGACCCATTCTTCCTGTGGGGAGATATCCACTTCATCACACCTCCAACGACCCATTCAGAATGGATCATGGCTGGAAAAAGCGACCCTATGCAAAAAATCATCAAAGAGCAGACCGCTAGAAGAAAAAGAAACAACAGTACAGTATGTATCGGATCCAACTCCGATCACCCAGGGTCGATCCGATCGCAAAAGTTCTGCAAGTTTCTTAGCTTCGAAGCTCTCAAGTCTGCCACTATAAACTGACTGTACCAACCCGGCACGTTCATTCTTGGACCGCTTTTTCTTTCTCTCTTCACCTCTCCAAGACTCTCCTTCTCCCTCTTACTACTACTCGGCACTCTTGACTCTTCTCCTTCTTCATCGATCCCCTCCACACCTCTGGGGCCGCGGCAAAGCCCCATTCAAAGGTGGGCTGGGTTGGATCTCGTGCCATGCGCGCGTGCCCTCTGTGACGGCCAAGGCCACACCGTTGAGCGCCCGGTGGAGTCCTAACCCCCCTTCCACCGCCAGTCCAGAAGCCCGCATTCCGTGGGTTGACACGCGGGAATGGAGTCGATCTTACGCATCCCCTAATAAACTGCCAATAACCGTCATGGCTATGATGACTGAGGTGCCTGTCTTTACCCGCCGAGACGGTTCAGAGCGGGAGTCCGTACCGTGGGAGAGGAGAGGCTGGTGACCACTCAATGTCTCGAAGGTACTGTATATATTTGGATATATATCTGGTCCGTATGGACTCTGTTAGTCAGATCTTTGAACTTTCAACCTTTGGCCCCAAGTTTGGGGCCAGTTGCTACAGTACTATCTGCAGGCACTGACCTGACTACTGCAGAGCCAGCGTCCCGCTGGAATCCTGCAGGAACGGGGGGTTGTAAGGATGGCCGGTCGTTGTAAAGTGGACCCGATCAGCAAAAATTGGCCACTTTGGTCCAGGCTAACGGGCTAGTGATCATGGTGAGTCGCCGGATGGTCTGTGTGCTTTACGCCCATTCACCACTTATTCGGTCATTCAATCATTTAGAACGGAAGATATTCTCCGTCAAGATTGGTTGGCCCTACTGTACGGAGCACGTCCACTTCAGATCATCGTACAGTGAGATCGGCAAAACCTTAGACTATGAAGGTTTTTGTAGATGCAAAGGCAGATCATCAATAGAGGTAAGTACTCCGTAGTAAGTATTGTATTCGATTCCAATGGATCAAAGTAGCGGCCGAGACGGCAGTTTACGAGCGGCAAAAGTATCCGTGGCTGAAGAGGCGCAAAGTATTCTTGCCGCCACCAACCCGAAATTAAGTAGCAAACAACAGAGTTCTGCGGCAATAAAAGAGTATGGAGTACGGAGTACATAGATTGCGACTACAAAGCTATTGGCCTGTCCGTCGGCAATTTGAATTGACTGCGCATGACCTGGTAAAAACTAATCTATTCAAAATCGAACTGTCTACTTCGTACTTAAAGTAGCGTAGTTTATACCTTCGTCGGAATCAGCCACGAGTTTGATGGATGGACACCGCCACGATACATACCCGGATTACAGAGACAGTTGTAAGGCCCTCCAACTTCCCATCTGAGCGTTCGTACCGCTAGAACGAGACATTATGTAGCTAGTGTCTTCGGATCTGCAGGTTCATTGGTAGGGTTTCTTTTCTTTTCAAAAGATCTTGTTCCACAGTTATTCCCGGTATTCCTAGTCCTTTACAAACCCCACGCTTGCCATCTAATCCAAAGAAGGGTTCAACTTAACCAAACACATTCCGGCCTTGGGCATCGAGAGTGAGACGTGCAGTAGTATTTTGTACTTGGTTAGTACAAGACCCTACATTACTGTACTGAAGTACCCCAAGTCCAAGTCCGTGCCGAAGTACCCGAAAGCACCCGCCGCCTAACAGTCTAACCCATTCAAAACTCTGGCGTCAATAGCGCTGAGAACAACCGACCGTTAACCCATTTAAGCTATCCAATTAAGCTATCTTATCATAGCGCGGGGAGGGGGGAAGGATTTCGGCCGTGGCCGTACTCCGGACCTAGACTGCAGAGTACAGTATGTACAGTAGACGTGGACAAACGGGGACGCTTCTGATCGACATACCCAATGCATATACCCGTTTTCCAGATCGCGAATCATGGCTTAGTGGACAGGGATTGTGGAATTTAAGCCATAGGGCACTTGCCACGATAGTTGGATATGTACATGTGGACTGCCGAGCTTGTAGGATAGGTCGAGGGCCAAGACTCGGCGGTCATGACAATTTGATGTGTTTCTCGGTAGGATGAAGGATGAAGAGAGTGAGAGGTATAAAGTGCAGATGTAGATTGGAGAGAGATAACGAAAACGAAATATGACAGATGCTCGTCACCATAATCACCCCGCCTCGAAGACAGTCTTCTAAATATAAACGCCATACAGTATGCAATCCTGTCCACTGGAACCACCGAGTAAACCAACCACCCCGCAAAAAGAGAAATAAACGCAAGATAGACCGACCACCCATTTCCATTTCCCAAATTCAATCAGTCGTTCATCGTCGCCACATGCCAGTGACTATTGAAGTATATCGCGCCCGCAGAGTATAATCGGGTTGTAGATCTTAGTGTCCACATATCTTCTTCCCAGCGAAGATATATCAGACCATCCAGCAGGAGGTATAAAATGGCACACACCCTGTACTTCCACATGTGCCATTACCGCAATCAATCCACGTCAAGTCCAGCCGACATCATCCCATTCAAATTTATACCCATCCATTTATCCCAACCCCATTTCCCACACCTGCACAACCATCACTCACGCAGCAACACGTTTCCTCAACCGATTCGGCTCCCGCTCCAACACTCGATATCGGGGGCTCCCGCGCCCACTGAGTAGCCTCTTCAGCGACCACGACCGGCGGACTTGGGGTTCGGGCTCGAAGGAATGCACGGCTTGCTCGGGGGTTGTATGGAGGGCGGTCGGTGAGTTGGAGCGGGGGAGGGTCGACGTGGTGAGTGGTTGGGCAGACATGATGCTGGCGAGGTGAGGGCGCAGAGCGGGGAGGATGTCTTGGATACCTTTAGTTTGTTCCTTTTGAGAATAATGCGGTATATAAATGGACAGCGTGTACAGTACAGATAGGATGGATGTGTACTGCTGCACGGTGGATGTATTGATGCTTTGGAAATGGTTGGGTTTATAGGGTCTGGTGAATGGGTAGGGATTGATGTAGTTCCGTTGAGGTAGAGTTAGGATAGACTAACTAGCTGGTCGTCTTTGTAGTATATGTCGGTAGATCAGATTTTGTCAGTAGTAGATTGCTGCTATGTTACTCTTCTCTCTTTCCGTGGTTCTCGTTCTCGGAGATGTTGGATCAGGAACCGGGGAGCGGGGTTGAAGTGGTGGGGCTCATGACGAGGGTGTTTCGTCCAGTCTGGTTGGAGTCTTCGTCTTGCTGGTTTCCATCTTTTTATTCTCTCGGAGGCCTGCGGCTGCTTGAGATCATGGGTCCGGTTTGGTCAGGTGCTTCAGTAATTGTCAGTGGGATCCTGGTCTTCCAGCTATGGACCGTGGAGATCGTACAAGATACTCTGGCAGCAGGAACTAGATAGTACAGATCTTGAAGATCAATACATAGTTTGTCTTTCTCTCGTCGGACCGAGGATTACTTGCTCCTGGATGATCCTTGTTGGTCGCCTATATTATCTTCTATTCGTCAAAGTGATTGGCTATTGGGAATGATAGCGGTGTATATTCTGAGGTTGAGTACGACAAGTTATGATTCCTGGTACTTTCTTGGCCTAGAGACCTAGACATTCAGAGAATCCAATCGCTACCAGCGTTCGTATGGGTGTTGACGATTCTCGAAAGACAAGGTTAGAGAAGTAAATATTAACACCTGTTTAGGTAGACCTCGTCATACAAAACAGGCGAGAACTACATCTGACCGAGAGTCCCTAATCATGATAGAGTCATGAAGAGAAATCGTGAACATTTAGGCAAATTAAGCCTTCTTCTACCCTCGAACAAGTAGGAAAACCCTCTCCATCTACTTCCGGCTCCGTTTCAAATTGACAATACTCCGAATTCTAGTTGAAGGAGGTTCCAATTATCCTTGCCCGCATTGATCCCACCTCACGCGACCGACTGCGGGGGACGATCTATACCCCAGTCGAAACGGCCTTTGGCGCATCGCTTAGTTCAAGCCCGTCCAAACAATGATCGCCCCTAGAGCAGACTTTCTAACCTATACCCTAGAGGAGACAGACGGAGGCCCGATTAGGGTAGCAGAACCAGCACAGGACGGAGAGAAGTCAGCACTCCGAAACCCCCGCATGACTCCGGAAGAGCGCGCAATGGCTGGGCAGGACACCCAGCGTATTATTTTATCTTCTCTATTGGGTGGAACATTTCGGAGATGAAGGTCCCTTAGACCTGTAACTTGGGCCTCGACATGTTCAGTCTGGTTGACTTTTAAACCCCCGGATAGAATCCTGTCGCGTGGAACGCATCGGAATTTTTTTTTTCTCTCGCATGCCATTACACTCAAATGCACTCCAACCGCTGACAGTCTAGTACTGTCCTACAAAATTCGAAGATCCAAAGTACGGGAATTTCCAGCTCGAGTTCATTGTGAACTCTGGTCGTTCCCTGGCCTTTTCCTGTTCCACCCATCGCTTTAAATTCCAGTATATACCTCCTCCACTCCACTATCGATTTCCCCCACAACAGGGCTGTTTCTACACCGACATTCCGCACACTGACTGCTACCTCAACCCTCAAAAAGTGGGACTTATTGGATTGGATATGGCCGCACTGTGGATTTTCGTGGCCCTCGGATACCTACTTCTCTACGCTTTTGCGACACTGCAAACGGAGAAATGGTACCCTCTCGCCGCGAACCGGTTTTTGCCGTGATAGGATTCCGGGGGCCCGTCCTGGGTCTGGTGGGCGAGCGCTATATTGAGCCAGACCAGATGCTTGGGAATTCCAAGTAAGAACCTTGGTCTTCGTGGAGATCGATTCACCCCATCCCAACACTTGTGTGCCTTCTTGACATGGCTGGGACCTTTCACTTATGAGCTATGACGATTTTCTTTTATGATACCCAAGAAAGGCATTTCTATACTCTACGCAAATTGGATCTCTGGAGTGGTGTGTTGGGTTTGAGATTTTGGATTTGAAAAGGTTGCTGTTTGGTACAATTCCCACTATTCTCTTTGATGACTTGCCACGAATGATAAACATTGTGATACACACCATGTGCCTACATATGAAATGAAAAATGACAGCGCAGCGCCTTCGAAAGCACTGCTATCAGGTAGAGTGCTCTGCTACCACTCTCGTATATATGCCAGCGCGACTCTTTTCGCTGGTATATCTAGCTGTAGGATGTTACCAGGACTAAGGAAATTTCTAAAGGAAAGATTGTTAGAAGGATAAGTCCAAGGACAAGATACTGACACCACAAAGGACGGACCGAAGGGATGATCGCGGTAAGCCAAGGTTTCCATGCTATGTCGAGTCGAGCCAAGTCTACAAAATCACAGCGACAGGTTGTTCTCATTTCCATTGTTTGAATTGGGTCTATCAATAGGGCTAGAGAATAGGCTAGCCGTTCGACATCGTTTCGAGATCTAATTGTGTAAACTGACAGGCCAGGAGTAAAACTTCCTTCCGATTTTCCCAGCAGGTGGTTTGATTTGAGCGATAGATAACAATATCAGCTCAACCACGCCTAGGCAGGAATTCCCAGGACGTGTATTGACCCTGGTAGGCGTGGATCAGAACAGCGTCCCTCCGAGCACGTTGGGCGGGATCCATTCAATACGAGCATAAGCCTGAGGCTGAGCCTGAGAATGGATACCCAAGGGGTGATTTCCATCATTTCATCAACTTCGTGAAAGCTGCGAGCCTAAAAAGCTAGAAACGCAAACAAGATTCAAACAGCATACCCTGCAAATAGGCAAGGGTGAATGCGACTTCGTTGGAGCCAATGGTCCAAACAGACAGAACTTTTTCTTTTCTAGAACCAAATCTTGATCAGCTCCTCGCTGACAGCGCTGGGAGTCAAGACACCGCTGTCAGTAATCAGAGCCGAGATCAAGTGTGGTGGTGTGAAATCCACCGAATCGGAGAGTGGGAGCTCGATCGGCTTGTTGCCACTGGCATCACCAGAAGAGTGCTGTTTCTTTTTCTTGTCCTCGGCAATATCATCTGCAGACTTGAAATCGACGACATGCTGCTCAATAGGCAGGTCATACTGGCCCAGCGGGAAGAGACGGACGAATTTGTGGCTCTCGGCCACCACGTAGAATGGCTTTCCAATTGCCTTCGCAAGCAGACCAATCTGGTAAGTGCCCATACGGGATACAATTCCACCGTTCTCCACGACACCCTCAGCACCAACGATGACCATATCAGCCTTTCCAAGGGCATAGGCTACCGCCGACTCTGGGATGGTGGAGACCGGTACACCCTTGGCTCGCAGGGCACGTACTGTCTCCATACCCTCAGGCTGTCCAGATGGCTCCTCAATGTTTTGGCTAATCGAGGACAAGACGTAGATAACCCGGAAGCGCACCGCGGATGGACCGCCCTCCTCGTCCGCTGCTTTCTGGAGTAACGATGCTACTGCTCTGGAACCACCATTAGTGAGTACCGTGCAGCCATCGCGAATAAATCCTCGCCCGAAAGCGGCGATCTTCTGTCGGCTCTCCTTTGCACGACGAATGAACAATCGACCATTTGACAAAAGGTGTGTGCGAATGGCCTTGAAGTCCCCGGCAGGACCCAGTTGACCCGGCCGTTGTAGTGTGGTAATCAGATAGCGCTGGAAGAGATCGGTGCCCGCGGACAGACCAATAGGGTTGGGGATCGACTGTTTCAGGTGCGCGGTGGACTTTTCTAACAGATCCAGAGTTTCGGAGATTGTCGAGGAAGGGGAATGTGTGAGGACATGCACCAGTGCTTCAATAGCGGCGATGGGCATGGTGATGTCGGGGTCGGAGCGTAGGAGCTCATTGTATGTCGCAACAATGCTAGGAGTGATACAGTCAGCGCGAGGTCTTAAAATCTCCAAGTATTAAAACACTCACTCAAATGGCTTCGATCCGGCCGCAGCCGTCCTCTCTGTAGTCGTCGCCATGGTGTTGCCTGGAGCTATAAAATGAGTCGAGTCATGAAAGAGTCACGATTTCTTTGGATCATCAGTGGTGTTTGTCCTGTTTGCTTTGTGCCCTCAGCGTTGCGCTAACCCAATCCGGTCGGGTGTGCGGCTCGTCTCCAAAGTAAACATCCGGTCGCAAATCATAACAACGCTCGACCTTGACACCCCGCCACGTTGCTCCTATTCAGCATTTTTGGTGCTCAAAGGTGTACCAACCGCCGTGGTATTGTGAGATTATGGCGTACAACAATCGAATGAGCATGGCTGGTTCCCAACAGCACCATAATCGGACCCGCAAGAAGGAAGACGATAATGACGCATTGATGCGCCTGGTGAGTAGGGCACTTGAACTCGACGCCGAGGGGGTCACCAGAGCTATTACTGACGTTGTTGTAGCCCGATAAAGAGATTGCAGGATGTATCAACGACATTGGAATCCCCTTCACCGCGGCCGACCTGATGAAACCCAACGCCCAACAAATTCAGATGGTGTTCGAATGGTTTGCAGAGCTGCTCATGAATATTACGCGCGAGACAGTAGAACCGGCGATGCACGCAGCCGCCGAAGATCTATGTGGCGACTACCCCGATATCATACCCAATGACACGCGCAATCTCATGGGCTTCTTCATGAGCATTCGGACATTACTGGCAGAGGTAATTGGTCAATCCCTTACCAGCACAGCAACCCTATAACTAACAGTTCATCTCTTCGTCAAGTGCGGAGTGAACGACTTTACCTTCACCGATCTCACAAAACCTACTCACGATCGACTCGTCAAAATCTTCTCTTACCTGATCAACTTCGTCCGTTTCCGCGAGTCGCAAACCCCGGTGATCGACGAGCACTTCAACAAGACCGAAAAAACCAAAGCGCGCATCGATCAACTCTTGGGAGAGAACCAGGAAATGGAACAACGATTGGCTGAGATGCGACGGGGTCAGCAGGCCAATGAGATACAAGTCCGAGAGAAAGTCGCCCGGAATGATGCACTCAAGGCCCGGCTTCGGGAATTGGGAGCCGAGCAGTCGCGAGTGGCCGAGACACTCGATCGAGTCAAGGGCGACAGGGCGCGGCGGCAGCAACAGTTGGAGGAGAAGACCGAGAGGACGGTGAGGAGCCGGCAAGAAGCGGAAAAGCTGCGACCCTACGTGCTCGAATCACCCGCCACTCTGCAATCTTCCCTGACTGAGTTGGCCGAGAACTTGATGCGCGAGAAAGCACAAATTGACTCCATGGAACGGCGTGCTCGGGCTCTTCAGACATCTTCGGATACGTTCACGGTTGTCTCGAATGATGTGCAGGCGTGCGCCAAGCTACTCGAAGATATTGCTACTGAACTACAGAAAGAAGAGGAGGAGGAAGCTCGGGCCGCGCGCAACAAGGATGCTATCTCCGATAAGGGGAATACCGTACGAGAAGTCGAGCAGACAGAAAAGCTACTGCAGCGTCAATTGGTACGGTGGCAGGAACGACTTGAAGCGCTACGCAAGACGGCCCAGGAAAAAGCAGAGGTAGCGCAGATCCGGATGGAGGAGCTCCGAGCTGTGCAGAAACAGCTTCGAGAAGAGCGTGCGGAGAAGCAACGGGATATGGAAAGGAGACGCATTCGAATCGAGCAGACAGAGAAGAAGGTGAGCTTTATGCTTGATGGCGGACATAACTTACATATTGACTATACTGACTCCTTCTCTAGATGGTCGACCTCAAAGAGAACATTGAGAGCGAGATTCAAGCGGCCCACGACCAGTATCTCAAGCTGGAGTCCCACATCAAGCTCTACATCACCGAGATGGAGAAATCGCTGTGAGGTCTAAGCTTTTCGTGGCGTTTACATATTGGATCAGGAGTTTTATCGGTGGCACCAGGATACCCGGACAGTGCAGATTCATTTTTTCATGGAGTTTCATCACACTTGCAGTTTTGGATTGTTTTTTTTTGCCCTCATCGGTCTATATCATGTCTCCTTCAGGCATGCCTCCGATCGTCGAATTGAAACCAGCGTTGGGCAACTTGCTTTATGGACACACCGCGTCCGCCCCAGTTCCCTTCTTCGCCGCGTATGCGAACTGAGCCGTTTAGTAGAGGGACTTGCGTATCCCATAGTTTGCCTCCCCAGTCGGCGCTGCTAGAGTCCACAGCATTGGTGCATTCACAGAGCATCAGGTCCATTTTGGCCCGTGAAGCGGACTCGACGGAAGCAGCAAATGTCCTCGATAATCCCTGTGCCGAGAACTCTGTAGTAGTAACATGTAAGGCTACCATGTCTAGAATGACGAGCATCGGGCTGCTTCGACGGATTTCTGTTTCGGCTCCATGTATTATCGCATTGTCCGGCCTGAGAACTGCAAGATATGCCCGAAGACTCTCCAGAGATGGACAGAACGCCAGTTGAATTTTGCTGGAGTTCGCTAATAGTCCGATGGTCTTGGTGAGCAGATCATGACCCGGCGAGGCATTTGGATCGGCATGTCGTGCCCGTATAGCACAGGATAGTTGTATGAGAAACTCAGTTTTGGTCCCACAGACAATCAATCGAGTTTCTGCGCCAGTATCAAGGAGTTGCTGAAGTAGATCGGTCACCAAGCCGCAAGAAGCGATGGATCGCGTCAAGCCCATGACGTGACGTTTACTCTGTGGCAGGTCGGCGAGGATCTGCAGGTCGTACGTGGGGTCACTGATCTCCAGAAGTGGCCCTTCTGGCCTGGAATCATGGCTTGCTGATATCTGCAGCCATAGGAGGCCCTGCGAGTGTGGATGGGGTGACTTGAAGATTGGTAATGATCGGAGAGACCTAGTGCCATCACCGTGCCGCGGAGGTCATGCTCTCCTCCGCCTTTGGGTTCCCCCACCTCTCTTCTCCAACATCACCCACTCAATTCTCGAATTGTTGGGACTGGGTCCCTCAGAGGCTGAAATCAGGATGGAGACTATTTCCAGAATATCCTCGATGCTGGAAACAGGTCAGTCTAACTCGTTACCACCCTAAGCGGCCCTCGCCGAACTGAACTGGAGAGCTGACCGTGGCACGTCACTGTGCGCATAGCTCGAGAGCTCACCCTAGAGGCCGCCCAGTCCGCCGCGAGCAATCGCAGCTCGAATATCGATTATAACTCGCGCACGTACAGTGTACCTCATATCAACAAGCTCCTGGACAGTCGCCATGAGCGGGAGGTGCTGGATGGAATGCGGAAGGTCATTTCAGTATGATGGTGACCGTGGACACTCGAATAATGATGCACTGGCTAACTTCATAATTTTGCGGTGCTTTAGTTGATGTATCGCTCCGAACCCTCTCTCACGTTCTTCTCCGCCGTGGTCAAGAATGCTCTCAGCGCCAACCTCGAGGTCAAAAAATTGGTTTACATTTACCTAGTCCATCATGCGGAAGCCGAGCCGGACCTGGCTTTGCTATCCATCAACGCGATCCAAAAATCCCTGACGGACCAGAACCCACAAGTACGAACGATGGCTTTGCGGACCATGTCGGGAATTCGGGTTCCGGTCATCAGCCAGATCGTCTCGCTAGCCATCAAGCGAGGATGCGGTGATATGAGTCCACATGTACGGAAGGCAGCAGCGTTGGCTATCCCGAAATGCTACCGCTTGGATCCGAACACGCTGCCACAGTTGACAGGATATATCTCTACTCTTCTAGGAGACCCCCAGTACTTCGTGGTGGGTCCCGCGGTCTCTGCGTTCTTGGAAGTATGTCCAGAGCAAATCGACTTGATTCATAAGCATTACCGGAGCTTGGTCAAGAAACTTGTGGATATGGATGAATGGGGCCAGCTCGCTACGCTGCGTCTTTTGACCATCTACTCCCGGAAATGCTTCCCCCGCCGGACCCAAAAGGTCAAACAAGCCGTCACTAGCAAATCATTCTACGATGATGAGGAGCAGGGCCAGATCGACCCGGGCGACGGCCCAGAGTACGAAGTCCAGATCATTGATCCTGACCTCGAGCTTCTTCTACGGGCATGCAAGCTACTTCTGCAAAACCGCAACTCAGCCGTTATTGTCAGCGTCGTGCGCTGTTTCTTCTACCTCGGCACCCCCGAATATCTCAACGCAGCCATCGGTCCCCTGGTGGCTCTTCTTAGAAGCCCCCAGGATATGCAACTCATTGCTCTCTATAACATTGTGACTGTTGCTCTGAGAGACCCTAAGCCGTTTACTAAATATATCGCCCGCTTCCTAGTCCATGCAAATGACCCACCGCATATCTGGCGTCTGAAACTGGAGATCTTGACTATCATTTTCCCTCACTGTGGGAAACACTGGAAGGGTGTCGTCATCAGTGAACTGGAGCATTTCTCTAAAGGCACCGACCCGGAGCTCGTTCGAGAGAGCGTGCGGGCCATTGGACGCTGTGCTCAGGGCGATGCCACTACCGCAGATATGTGTCTGCGTATTCTACTCGATCAGATCTCTAGTTTGGACGGTAACCTGGTTTCCGAGTCTCTGACAGTGATCCGCCACCTTATTCAACAAGACCCACCCTCGCACAAACAGACTGTCATTAAACTCGTCACACATCTTGGCACAACGACCAATCCCGACGCTCGAGCCACAATAATCTGGCTGGTGGGAGAATTCGCAGGTGCAGACCCAGGACATAATATTGCACCTGATGTGCTCCGCATCTTGATCCAGGGGTTCGCAGATGAAACCGAGGTTGTCAAGCAGCAGATCGTCCTTCTCGGAGCCAAAGTGTACCTCCACCATCTTCTACAAAATGCACCTCCGGAATCATCAGAACCTGTCTCCTCGAATCCTGAGACTGCAACCAACCTCGGACAGGCAATCCACAACGAGTGGACCGAGGAACAAAAGGAAGAGAAAAAGAGTTTTGATGAGCCTCAGCAACCTGAGGATGCCAAGGAAGAAAGTGAAGACCGCATCACTCTTCTTTGGCGCTACATCCTGCTTCTTGCCCGCTACGACACTTCATACGACCTTCGTGATCGTGCTCGTCTGTACAAGGCGCTTCTTGCTACTCCGTCATCTACCCAGCTAGCTAACCTGCTACTCTTGGCTCCTAAACCCGTTCCGCATGCCCCAAGCCCCTCGGAGACACGGAAGGATCTACTCATCGGAACCGCCACGCTTGTCGTTGGTCAAGACGCAGGCTACCATGGTCTCCGAGGCTATTCCAACCTTCCTGACTGGGTCGAGTCTGGCAAAGAGCCTGATGCTAGCCTCAGAACGGAAGATATCAAGCCAGAGACGACAACCCTCCAGAGCTCAATGACCGCCGGCGCGCGACTTGATAAGGCGCTCCGTGAACACGAGACTATCGTGCCACCGCGAAGAAATGGCGCGGCTCCAGCAGGAGGGCCGTCTGGCAGGAAGACTTTGGACCAGTGGCTCGATGAGGAGGAAGAGGAGACCGACTCCGAAACCGAGACAGAAGGCGAGACTGACTCAGAGGAAGAGACCGACTCGGAAGAGGACTCTGACGAGGATTCGGAGGAAGATGACTCTGAGGATGAGGATGTTGAGGATGAGGAAGAGGAGGAAACTGATTCCGAGACTGAAGCTGTGCATAAGGAGGCTCAGCAGCTGCTTGGTTAGGCTGGTCCGAGTGATCTGGAGGCTTTTTTGTTTTCTTGAATGCATAGCAGTGGTCTCGATTGGGTTGAGTTGGATGCATTAGACTCGATATTATACCTAGATCTTGAAAAGATTGTCCACATATCTGATTCATTTGTGAACTGACCATGCTCCTTCAAGTTGCTTAGTATCTTCATCTAGAGCTATCCAGATCTGATACGAACTATGTAATAGGAAGCAGATCACGTGCAAGGCACCAAGTCACTGTCGGAACAGGAAGCAGCCCGTATGACTAAGAATGTTGCCTATGGCACATTTTGGTCTAGCGGTAATTTGCTCTATCTGTGTTCGACAGTCACGAGTGAACAATACGGTGAGATACGGCAGAACTCGCCAGGCGATCAGCGCGGAGGGCAGCCAACAGGTCGACGACTTGTCTGATCAGAGCAGATCCAGCGCAATTGTTGCAGTGGAGATTTTGGTCCGTGGTCATGATGCCTGTTGCCCACCATATTTACACATATATCTCTCGTTGATCCTTCCTTACCACCTACCGTCTCGTCTCTGCTCGGCCTCCCCTCTCTCCGGCCCAGCAGAGCACCAGCCTGATCCCAGCCTGCGTCTTTGCTGCATCGTTTTCGGTTATTCGTTTGCCTTGAATCTTTCTGGCCCCGGGACCGAATCCCCGGTTCTTGACGATCTTCTTGGTTTGTGCTTAGAGCACTCTCGCCACAATGCCTGGTTTACCCAGTAAGTGTGCCAGATGGGAGCAATGCGGGACTGACCCGAGGTTATGTGGTCTAACTTTCTTCTAGCTAGTATTGACCTGGACGAATGCATTTCACGGCTTTACCGCAAGGAGTTGCTTGCCGAGTCGGTCATCGAGGCTGTTTGCGCCAAAACAAAAGAGCTCTTGATGAAGGAGAGCAATGTGGTTCATATCAAGGCCCCGGTTACCGTTGTGGGAGACATTCACGGCCAGTTCTTCGATTTGCTGGAGATATTTCGGATTGGTGGATTCTGTCCTGACACGAATTATCTTTTCCTGGGTTAGTTGTCGAGTCCCCCGCCGCGTTCGACAAGAAGGGTCGTCTTGTTTGAGAGAAAGGTGTTCGGCGAGAGGTGCTAACTGTTGTGCTTGTATAGGAGACTACGTCGACCGCGGTCTTTTCAGTGTCGAAACTATTTCCCTCCTTGTCTGTTTGAAGCTTCGATACCCGCATCGAGTTCACCTTATCCGCGGTAACCACGAATCTCGCGGTGTCACCCAGTCCTACGGCTTCTATACCGAGTGTGCGCGCAAGTACGGCAATGCCAACGTATGGCACTATTTCACCGATATGTTCGACTATCTCACGCTGAGCGTGGTGATAAACGACGAGATATTCTGCGTACACGGCGGACTCTCGCCTTCCATTCACTCCATCGATCAGATCAAGATCATTGATCGGTTCCGCGAGATCCCACACGAGGGTCCCATGGCCGACCTGGTCTGGTCTGATCCGGATCCGGAACGGGATGAATTCTCTCTATCACCCCGCGGCGCCGGCTATACCTTTGGAGCGCAGGTTGTTCGCAAATTTTTGGAAGTCAACAACATGTCGCATATTCTCCGGGCCCACCAGCTATGTAATGAGGGTTACCAAGTCCTTTTTGATGACCGTTTGAGTACGGTCTGGAGTGCTCCTAATTACTGCTATCGCTGTGGTAATCTGGCTAGTGTACTTGAGGTGGGCGATAACATGGAGCGTTTCTTTAACATCTTTGATGCTGCTCCGGAGAATGACATTCACCGCAGCGAGCAGCAGGCACAGCAGAACAGGGATTCTCAGCCAGTGATTGATTATTTCTTGTGATACCCCTGGGTTTTATTTGGTCTTTCTCCTTTTTTTTTCTTGTTACATATGGGTTTCTTGCACCGTACAGGAGTTTTGGGGGAAATAGAAAATTTGATTTGACTGCACGCTCACATATTTTCAAGACTGCTATTTCGTAGTTGAAAATAGAAACATCTTATGAAACATGTTACATATCAGACAAAGCATATTCGCAGAAAATAAAAATAGACATAGAACAAGAAGAGAATCCAGCCTGACACCCTGTTAAGGATCAGAGAAGAAACTGTGCAGTATCAAAGACAAGGCCCGCCGAGCCGGGGCCATCTCTAGCAGGCTTTTGGAGTCAAGGAAATTCGTCACGCTTGGGAAAAAACAATGGACCGCTCAAGAACTCAACGCAGTTTGACATTCCGGGTGATGGATATGGGAGTTGTCCTGATTTACCAATCCTTGGCGATGTCGAATGACCACTCAAACAGCAGGTGAGTGTGGTCATCATCATCGACGAACTTGGAGACGGCGTTGTAGTGACCGCGGGCCAGCATGCCGGAGGGAGCTTCTTCCTCGTTGACTAGAAATAAACAAATTAGGGTGAGATTCTTACGCCAACTGGTAAAAGCGGTTGATTTGGTATACTTACACTCCTTGGTGTAAGAAGGCTTGTGAGTGGTGTTGGGAGCATAGCTGCCGAGCATCTCCTGGTCCTTGCTAACACGGATACCCTTGCGCTTGACGGCCTGGATGTACTTGAGGCCACTGAGGACATCGTGGTTAACCTGGAAGACAACCTTGATGTGGAACTTGGCACCCTCCTTGATGGTGAAGGGCTTGTCCTTGAGGCTGTCCACAGCACCGGGGGCCGACAGCTCGATCACGACGTCGGGGCGGCCCTCGGTGACCAAGGCCAGAGACTTGATGACGCACTTGGGGTCGTTGGGCTGGCCGATGGGTTCACCGGTGTTCAGACCCAGCGAGGCCTTCCAGCGGTTCATGGCTTCATCGTCCTTGTCTAGAGAGAGGGGAGAAGTGCTTAGTTAGGGGTGCCATTGTATACCGTGGAGCGTCCGTTAAATGTCAACAATGGGAATGGGGACCGATCGAGCAAGGCAATTAGGCTATCAAAAGCGCACAACTTACCAAGCTCCTGGTACTCCTGAAGAGTCTTCTTCTCGCCAACCTTGAAACCCTCGGTCTTCTGGGCGGCGAGATCGTCATCGTGGTGGTCGGTCATTTTCGAGATTGATAGAATGGGCGGGGTATGGACCCAAACAATGAATGCGGAGAGAGATAAGGGGGTTAGGAGTAGAGAGGAGATACGCTGTCACCAATGGGAATTGGACAGCGAAAGAGAATGGGAGAGAGCTGTGATGAAGAGGAAGAAAAACAAACTATGAGGGGAAAAGAAAAGGAGTGTTAGGAAGGATTGACTCCTGATTGCACTGGTGGGGTCATGGAAAGGCGGTGGGCGAGGAGGAGCAAAGAGGGGCGAGGCTATTCGGATCGTCGTGACTTGGCAAGTGGAAATCGGGAGGAAAATGGAGGGGCGTTCATGTACCGGTTGATATGCAGATATGGAGTACGGCAGATGCAAGGAGGTGGGATATGCGAGTTTATTTCTATACTAGAATTGACTGTATATCATGGACTATGAGGAGCGAGATAACGAGTGTTTTGCCCCTCTATACACAAGGGTTCCATAATGATGTACCACAATGTACACCAACATTCCGGCTGTACACGTAGGTGCTCCTGATCTAGGCTCCAAAACATCAGTTTTAGGGACGCCAATTTAGTCATTGCCATTGGAGTGTGGCCACTGGCTCCACTCGAGTGCAGAGAGGGGCGTAGAGAGCCAGAGGTAGAGACTGGCATACCGCAAGTTTGAAGTAACTAGCGATCCGAAGCATCAACAAAAGAACAAATAGAACAAAAATGCTCCATGTGTAGATTTTGAAGGCCAATTTGCTACTTGTATATACATAGTCAACTGCGGACTATTTCCTTGTTATATTCATGGAAGCAATGGAACTAGGGTTTCTGCCTGGGGTTGATGCCTGGGGATTCTGCCTGGGGATTCTGCCTTAGATTGCTGCCTTGATGCCTGAATAATGGAAAAGGGCAAGGCCACGGGGGTCACGGGGCCAACAGCTGCCCCAACAAGAGTGGAAATTTAAATACTCGGGACAGACTCGATTGACCAACCATGTTCTTCCAATACCTCAAGTACACTTCCATTACCTACTGTGAACCGGCCCTTACCGGAAACAGCCAAGGTCCAATACCAACTGGAGAAGGCGCTCCATTCCCATTCCCCCCGTCGCGAAGTGCGCTTTTCTCCCCTGATTATTATCTCTTCTTTATCTTCGCTATCGTGGTCTTTTCCAGAATCAGTCAATCTGATTGTTCGAACTGGTCGTGGTGCGTTGATTCTCGATCTCCCGCATCCATCGGTCCCCTCGGTGGACAACTCCTACCCCCGTCCAATTCCCCTCTTCCTGCGACGCGCCTGCTACGTGGCCGCCGTGGGCGCATAATCTCGACCTCGTTCGCATCCCACCTCCCACCCACCCTTCTTCCCAGTTCGAGTCAACAGTCACTCTTCTGTTCATCATGTCGCGACTACTCCCCAAGAAGAACAACCCGCTGATCCTCACGGACGCGGCTCCGTCCTGTAAGTTTCAAACTAGAGGCGCGTGTGGTCGCGCGATCGCGCATGCACCTATCATCCCGTCCTGTCGTGTACCCGAAACCCAAACCCTCCCCATCACCACCGTCGCTAATCCATCTCCTTTGTTCTTTTGCAATCGCAGATGAGGATCTTCTTTCGCGCCGCCGTCTTGGCAAGACCAATCTCATGGTCAAGCCCACCCAAATTGGCACCTCTAACGCGACCAAGCCCGAAAACCTGGGCGTCTTCGAGTACGCCCACCTTCGAGCACCTCTGCCCAGGGACTTGCAGGGCTCGGAGATTTTCCCATCACACACGCCCGCACAGCACCCAGAGACTTACTTTTTGATGGTAAGAAATGCCTCCTTAGCCTACGCCTGGTCGCATCGTAAGGCGTTGCTAACATATATCGCGGGAGTAGCGGAGGAGTAAGGATGGTTTTGTCAGCGCCACGGGAATGTTTAAAATCGCATTTCCTTGGGCCAAGACTGAAGAGGAGAAGAATGAGAGAGAGTACCTGAAGTCGCGCGAGCACACCAGCCAAGAGGAAGTGGCTGGCAATGTATGGATCTCACCTGAATTTGGTAAGCCGACCTGCACGTCATCAGCCGTCACTCAATCCTCTAATTGACTTTTCTTTCAGCGCTGGAGCTTTCCAGAGAATACAAGATGTATGATTGGGTCCGTGCCTTGTTGGACCCTACCGATATTGTCCAGAGCCCCACGAGCGCAAAGAAGCAAATCACTCCTCCACCAAAGTTCGAACTGCCCATGGATGAGCCATCCTCGTCACGCCGGAGCCGCCGGTCCGTCTCACCGAGCAAGAAGTCTACTTCTCCTCGCAAGTCCCGCACAGTCCGCTCGGCCAAGGACGTTCTTAGCACCCCCTCCACAGCCGCCGCGAACAGCAACCTCCAGGAAGCTCTGGACATTACCGCTTCAATGGAGGCCTCAGCCAACAGCCCCATTCGTCCTGTTGCGGTCGATGACGTCGAAGTGAAGGAAGCCCCGGTGCAAGCATCACCGGAGAAGAAGAAGGGACGCAAGTCCAAGAAGGCCGCCGCGGAGACCGAAGAGGACAAGGAGGAGGAGGAAGAGCAGAAGGAGAAGAAGAAGAGCGAGAAGAAGGAAAAGAAGAAGACTGAAAAGACTGAGAAGAAGAAGAAGGACTTGAAGGAAGAGATGGCGGTTGAAGTCACAGAAACTGCTCTGGCTACAGAGGACTCCACAAAGACCACGCTGACTCTGGATATGCCCATCAATCTTCCGGAGGTACCATCCGCCGCCGAGACCGAGGAAATGATCGCCAAGGCCAAGGAGATGGTCGAGGAGGCCATCAAGAGCCAGGCTGAGGGCTCAGTGGCTGGACCTTCATCTGTCACGGTGACCAAGAAGCGCAAGCCCGAGGAAGACGATGAGGAGACCGCTGCCGAGGCTTCTCAACGAGCCAAGAAGGCCAAGGTCCTCGAGGAGAAGCTGAAGCGCGAGCGGGTGCGCAACCGCGCTCTCTTTGGTGTCTCGGCAGCCTTTGCTCTTGCGTATGTGCTAATTGCCCAACCCATTGGCTGAACCTGATATGCTAACTAAGCTTCTAGTGCAACCATTCCTTATTTCTTCTAGTTCTACCTTGCTCTCCGGCTTGGATCAGCCGGCTTGCTTTGATCACCCTACTCGAGCTTCCTGTCTTCAATATTCCCTTTTTTTAACTCCCCGACTTCCCTTTGCGTTGTCTTGCGATGAATCGTTAAATAGCTTCTTCTGAATTCGGAGATGCAGTTATCATTCATTCGTACCCTCTTCCATCTTCTTGCTCGTTCTGCTCGCCGTAAGAGTGGCAGCTCTAACCCCTATCAAATTCCCCTAACACTGATCTTCCTTTCATTCCCCTTGTCGTTATGATCAATTTATTCCTTGCCAATCATGATGGATGTACTTTGTCCAGAGCCCATTACATTTTCTAATTTCCTCCACTTGCACGGTGAAAACCGCATCCTCCCTTGAAACCAACCTGAAATGCAAAAGAGACCTGTCCAATTCAGTCTCTATGCCTGTTGACCCTCTACCTCCACAATATCCTCCGAAATCTCCGACTAGTGACTCCCTCGATACCACCTCCGTGACTGATGCCCCATACAGTTTGTTCTCAGGCTGTCTTTGAATGCGGCTGTAGTTAAGACTGCTAGCCCAGCAATAGCTTTTCAAGTTTTCTCAAAGACAACCCATATCCAATACTCAATGTGTAAGAACGTGTAGGCTGCTACTGGAATAATCATCCTAGGCCTTTCAGCAGCGCGTAAATTAGCAAACGAGGCATCCAACTCGAAGTGTGGAGGCAGCTCCAAGCCGAGACCCACTAGTGCAAACAGTTAAAACACGGCGGAGTTCGGCCCTGGAAGCTCCATGATCTTTGCGCATCTCTCCGCATTTTCAATTGCAACCAATTACTCACGTTTTGCTTTACTACCTCTTTCTCTCTCTCTTTTCTTAGCTTGCGCAAGGAGAAACTGGCGAGAAAATGTCTCTCCCGGGCTTGGAGCTGACGCAGCCCTCGGAGGAAAGGCACTTGGCCGTCGCCCCGCCGTCGCAAATCGCATTGAAGGCGGGCTCTGAATGGCGCTTTGAAGTTGCATTCGGCCATATCGTTAGAGTCAAAGTTCGTGGTGCTTATTACATCCCAACCTCCCAGAAGGCAAGAGGATAGCAATTGAGAATACGGAATTGCTAACTTTGACCTCGCTGTAGCTCCTCTCCGGCACCGCCGAGCTATTTGGCACTGAGCTCGCCGAATCGCAGACATACACCTTCTCCGGCACCAAGGCGGCAATCTACACATGGTATGGATGCGAATTGGAAGTTACTGCTGGCGAGACTGGCGCTATTACATCTGATGGAGTGACACCCGTGGCCGGTCATGGCGCAGGCGGTTGCCAAAGCGAGTACACCGCGGAAGAGACGCCCATGATTGAATACGCCAACCTTCATTTCGCGCTGGAGTCAATGCGTCAGGAAGCGCAAGGATCGGGCAAGGATGGTCCTCGGGTCTTATTGCTGGGACCTGATGATGCGGGTAAGACGAGCTTGGCGAAGATCTTGACGGCTTATGCCACGAAGGCTGGTCGGCAGCCAATGGTTGTGAACTTGGACCCGACTGAGGGTATGCTCAGTGTTCCAGGTACTCTCACTGCAACTGCCTTCCGGACGATGTTGGATATCGAGGATGGCTGGGGCAGCAGTCCTATGTCCGGACCGAGCCCTGTGCCTGTGAAGCTCCCGCTTGTTTACAGCTACCCACTTGCCAACCCTCTCGACGCCGAGGCCTCAGTCTACCGACCCATCGTATCACGTCTAGCCTTGTCGGTAACGGGTCGCTTAGCCGAAGACGAGGAAGCCCGTGAAACCGGCATCATCGTTGATACCCCCGGCATCCTCTGCTCAGGCAAACCAGGTAGTCTGGAGCTGATCAATCACATCGTGACCGAATTCGCCATCACAACCATCGTCGTTCTCGGATCAGAGCGTCTCTACAGCACCATGGTCAAGCAATATGACAACAGGCCCAGCGCCAGCGCCTCAGCCAATATCTTCGACGAGCGCATTTCCGTCTTGAAACTGTCCAAATCAGGTGGCTGCGTTGACCGCGACGATGCATTCCGCAAGGCTACCCGCGAGTCTCAAATCCGTACTTATTTCTTCGGCAATCCAATCCCCTCCACCGCATCTGCGGCCCTCTCCCTCTCAGCATCATCCACATCCGCCGTGACTCTCTCGCCCCACGCGCAAGTCATGGACTTTGCCTCGCTATCAATCTTCAACTACACTGTCATCTCCACTGAAGACGAAGACGAGGATGAATACGATCCTTCTACTCTCGGCATGGGCGGCTCATTCGACGATTCTACGACCCACCATCAAGAAACAGATCGCGCCGCGCCACTCCCAGGCATAATCGGCCTCTCGAACGATGTACATAACCCCTCCACCTCCAATACCCCGAGCAACGTCCCACTCAAGAAAGTCCTGCCACCTGCACCCTCCGCCCTGGCCAATACCCTGATTGCAGTAACCCACGCTTCAACCACCGCCTCACCTGCCCAAGTCCGCGATGCCAGCATCATGGGCTTCCTTTACGTTGCAGATGTTGACGCAGAGAAGGGTAAGATTCGGGTCCTTGCACCTGTTGGTGGAAGACTCCCACCGCGGGCAATGATTTGGGCTAAGCGTTGGCCTACGGAGGTTGTTGGGTTGGTCGGTTGATGGCTTCTCCTTTGTATCAAGGGAGGCTATGAGGGTTTCTTTTGCATTGATTGGCTCTGGTTTTCTGGGGTCGGCGTTTTGGGGCTTTTTTATCTGATGGGCTCGAGGGTTTCGTCTGGAGCCTGGGTCTGATCAGATCTGCATATGCTGGTTGGTGTATATAGCGGGTTGTATTTAGAGCATTGAAATATCTACATCGTCTTTTGAACAGTTGAATTTCCTGTCTGGCATCAGACATGGGGTACCAACCTAACACTGCAATATACTAGAGGATATAGGTAGAACGTTGGAAGAGACTGAGGCCATGATGTACATACATGGACAGCTGTCTTTTAATCCCAAGCATACCCGACACTTCCACTTACAGACAGAATTTCGCCCCATAAAATGGTCTTTATTGGACCTCGTTCCCGGGCACAGATCTTGGTGGGAGGCATTGCTTCTCTAAATGCTAGACTAAACTAGAGCTATGCGTGTATTGACTCTTGCTCTATAATAGGGGTCTGTATAATTTTTAAAGGCAATGCTACATTTTGCAACACGAAATCTAGGCAGGTGTCTATCCTAGTATAGGCATTGCTGCGGTTTGATCTCGAAGCAATATATATATTCAAGAGACAGTCTACTCAAAATAAACAACTGAAGTGTTTCAATACATAAACATAAGAAATTGTCAAGAATACAAAGGTATAAAACTGAAACCGGCAAGGGGAAAAAAAAGCCAAAACCAATAACAATCCACTGAAATACATGAATATACAGTCACTCCCATTTCCTCCACTCCTCAACGGCCTTCTTCATCTCAACATCACAATCATACCCCTTCCCCTCAGCAACAAGCAACTCATCCCTCCGATCCCGGAACCGTCTCTCAGCCTCAAACCTCCGCAACGCAAAATCCCTCAAACCAGGGAAATCATCCTTAACAACCGCATCCCTGAAACGAGCCCGCATACGACCAGAGTATAACTGACAACTCGCCTCGCGGCAGCGGTTCGGCCCATCACCAGGTAAATACCGCATGGAAGTTGAAAAGGAGCGCGCGAGGGGATGGTGTGATTTCGCCAGTGGCCAGACGACTTCGTCATAGCAGTCTTCGCAGACGCTTAGTTCAGGTAGTTCGGGCATGTAGTGCCAACTGCTGAGGACGGGTCTGTCGCGGAGACAATCGCGCAGGACGACCTTGCGCTTTGCATAGGCGAGAAACTCGCGTGGGTCGGGACGGCGTGAAGGGTCTGAGTCTGCGCGGGATGCGGCGTCGTCGAGGAGGTCGATGTATTTGACGAAGCGGGGGCTGCTTGTGACGAGGTCGCAGGCGCGTTCTTGGACTTCTGGGCATTGCTGGAAGGTATCCCGGTGTGCGGGCATGAGGACGCGGACGTTGCGCGCGCAGCTACCGCAGACGTGGAAGCTGGGGAGGTAGGAGCCTGTGTCTGGGTTGACGATGCGGTACCAGGATTGTTCGGAGGCGGCGCGGCCGGGGCAGGGCCGGGTTCCTGGGGGTGGGCGGGTCATCTGGTATAGCATTTCGAGGCTTTCGTGTTGCTGCTTGATCATCTGGGTCCAGGCGAGTCGGGCCCAGGGGCTGCTCAAGGCGCAGCGGGTTTTCTGGGTTGGGGGTTTGGCCAGGCTGGGGATGAAGAAGTCGCGGAAGCGCGAGTGTCCGATTTGCTTCATGCAGCTGGGGCAGATGTCGAGGTGTGTCAGACCCTTGAGAGTGTACCAGTCATTGAGGCCGGCCACAGGGATAGACCGAGGGCACGGGGTGATGCATAATCCAGAAGGGTTGGAGGGCCGCTGTGCGAGATTGGTTTGTTTGGTGGCCGGGGCTCTGGGTGGACTCTGCCTGTCTCCGGGCTGGTCTTGGAATTTGACAGAGGTTGCAGGGCGTGATGGCCTATCGTCAGATGAGATGGATCTGGAGTGGCCACGGGTCTTGGATTTCGATCGGGCCAGGGATGATGGAATCGATGGCACGATGCTGGGCGCTGAGGTGCGTGGGTTTATCGGTGGCTCACGGGACCGGTTGCTCAGGATGCCACGGAGCTCCTTTGAAGGCGAACGAGGTGCTGACGCCGGAACTGATGGCTGCAAGGTCGTATTGATAGGTCTCAACTTCTCATTCGGCTGTGTCTCGGTATCAGATACGGATGCCGACTCGCGGAGCTCCTGGCGTTGACGCAGCTTCTCTTCAATCCTCTCGGCAAGTGTTCGGCCGGGTGCAGCGTTTCCAACCGGTGCCTTTCCTGGCGCAATAGAGGCAGGTGCATAGGAGGCTGGCCGGGGTCGAGCAGTCGCCGTATCTGATTGATAGCCAGGTGGTGACTCCTGTCGTGGCTGGGGTCGCACAGGTCGAGAATTAACATATTTGGCGCTGTTTGACCGGCCGATGGATGACTTTAGGGCCTCTCCGTAGGTTCTATCATAGCCGGGACCCCGAGAGCGAGATCGCGACGAGCGCATGCCATATGAGCTATGAGGGATAATATGCACGGGTGCCTCATGTTGCACCGGTACCTCATGTCTGATAGGATCGCTACGTTGCGGTGAATGCGAAGATGGACGCGGCTGTGGCGGCGGAACAAGAACCTCACGGGGAGGTTGTTGGTAGACCTGCGGTGGCTGTAGTCGACCACTGGACCTGCTCGAATGATCGAGTACAGGCGAAGGCGGACGAGACTGGCGAGGTGGTCGGGTTTCACGCATAGGCTGCTGGGAAATTTCCACCGATGATCGATCACGGCCTCTGCGGTTCTCGTCTCGTGTGACTGATGGTGGACGAGAATGACGAAGTGTTCTCATCTCGCGCATAGGTTGTGGAGGGTACATAGGCTGTGGCGCGTATGCCTCCGAGGAGGATCGACCGCGACCTCGAACAGGCATATCATCATCCCGTGCCAGGGACCGTGGACGAGGCTGTCGGGAGGTGACCGTCTCACGAGTCGACTGTGACTGGACCGATGGGAATGGTCGTTCTCGAGGCCTGCTCGAAGAGGACGACACAGATGGCGGCGGAGGTCCTGGGCGGACAGTCGCTTGAGATCCAGCTCTTGGACGCCCACTAGGCTCTGTCATTCTTGGAGGTGGTGTGGACGGCCCACTGCTGTCGTCCGAAGAAAAGTTACCCATCCCGGGCACGTTATTGACACTCGGAGGAGCCTCGGGTTGAGAGGTATTCGGAGTCATAATGACCGGGTACTGGTCAACAGTGCCTCTCTGGCGAGCGCCCTCGACGCCGGGCTTTTCACTCAAGTTCGAGAGGCCGTGTAATTCTCGAGCAAGCGAGGTTGGCTCCTCCTCGACACAAGGTGGTGGCGGATACCGGGATCGCACGGTGCGCAAAGACCCGGTCGACGGCATAGTGTTGATGAAATGTGTGGTCATGCACAGTCAATCTGTGATTTGTAGAAGTAAATTCAAGACGCTAGCCGGCAGCAATGACGTCTCGTGGGAAGGATAGTCGAGGCGAATGGCTCATAGTCTTAAATAAAGAAGAGAGACTGTTGTTGGGCAGTTAAAAAAGAAGCAAGAAGACCGTGGTACAATGAGTCTTCAAAAGAGAAAATTTTTTTCAATCGAGTCAACAAAGATATGCAACAGGCCAAGGGGTGTGCGCGTATGCGGGACGCATGGTATATAAATGTTGGTCAATCGGGCATCATCCTCGAGACCCGACGACTCTGATAGGGCCGCCATGGGGGCTTTGGGCGAATCACCCCCAACCCCATAATAGTATTAGGCCGAAGAACAACAGAATCACGAGCGCCCCACGTCATTAAAACCAGGGGTGGGACTCAGGAGGTTGGACTGGAGTAGGAGGTGCCATATCATACCACGCCCGCTTGAGGAAAAAAAGCACGATGGACGAAGGACGTGGCTTGGAGGATGCAGGGGAGGCCTTGGTTGACGATTGGATGGTTGGGCATTCAGGGCATACAAAGGTCGAATGGGGCGCATAGTCTCCCTTTGTTTCAGCAGGATGGATTTTCACCGACAAAATAAGGATAGATCGGTCAACCATAGGTAGCACTTAGACGAGGTTGGCCGGTCATTCCATGTTGACTGTTTGCTGTTGCCTTGGTTTAGGGCCGATGTTGTTTGAGGATCCTCAGCGGGAGGATCGATAGGAGGCTCACTAGTTACTGTGGGCCTCTGCAGTGTGTCAACTACCGCACAACGGGGGCTGCCGCAGCGATCCTCGGTGTTTTGGTGGTCAGCAATGCATGCAGAGACGCCACTTTCGTTCTTGGCCCATTGGACATCAAATCATGCAGAGCCCCAGTCTCGATCCTGCCCAGCAATGGACTTGGGGGCCAGAGGGGCCAGTCTTGTGGCCTTCACAGCCCACTTTGTGGACTGGACTGGCTTGCATGGTCCATAGACTCGACTTGGTGGGCTAGAGGGGCTCAACTCTGCATGAAGGTGTCAGCTCTGACCGCCGGGCAACCAAAGAGTCTAGAGAAAGCCACTCTTGCCCGGTACATGATGGGCCCCTCATTGTTTGGGGATGTTGTCAGCGGCTGTAGTGGTTGGAGAGTTGATGAATGATGCATTTCTATGATGCGGTCGGCCAAGTCTCGTCAAGCGCCGTGATATTATTCGTTTGAATGATTTGGTGTATTTAGAATGTGATCTCGAGACATCATTGCCGTTGCAGCAAGCGCTTGTCAGAGTATCACAGTAGATCCTGAGGTGAAAATAGTTCGGCATTCCTCCGAGTGTCCGACGGCCCTAAGAACCCGACGGAATGGCGTCACCCCCCACATTCGGATAGGCCCGAGCGAGTCGGCATGAGGTCCGTAAGGAGATCAGTAGACAAGGAAGTAATTTAAGAGACAAATGAGAGAGAGAGAGAGTGAGTTCTGTAAAAAGACCATCCACAGCATGAGAAATTGATAATTCACTAGTCAATTGGGTAAATCAGTCACCGTAGAATAGCAGTCTGGATAATCGTCGTTCCGCTCTTCGGACAATGCGGGGAATGCGATGACAAATTCAAGTAAACGGCGCATTGTCAGTCTTCTTCATATTTATCCAGCTCCTCCTCCTCCTCCTCCTCTCCTCCCTCAATAACTTCCATGTCCCTCCCAAGCCTCCGTCGAAGCACCCTCCGTCTTGCATCTCTACGCAACCACATCACCCATCCTCATCCTCTCATCAATCCCCGCCCAATTCCAATTCCCTTCCCACCCTCAACCACCCCAATCCACACCATGTCCCTCCCCACCACCATGAAAGCCGTAGTAGTCGAGCAAACCGGCGGTCCCGAAGTCCTCCAATACAAGACCGACTACCCCGTCCCCTCCCCGCAAGAAGGCCAACTCCTCGTCCACAACAACATCTCCGGCGTCAACTACATCGACACCTACTTCCGTACGGGTCTATACGCCGCACCCAAGCCCGAAATTCTAGGTCGCGAGGGCGCTGGTATCGTCACCGCCGTGGGACCCAACACCACCGGCTTTGAAGTCGGTGATCGCGTCGCTTGGTTGGCTACGGGCGGTTACGCAGAATACACTGCCGTGCCGGCTGACAAGACCGTCAAGATCCCCGATGGTGTCAGTGACGAGGACGTTATGGCCTCGTTTCTGAGTGGTCTGACCGTTCTCGCTTTTGCGAAGGAAACGTACCCCGTGCAGAAGGGAGATTGGGTGCTACTGCATGCTGCGGCTGGTGGGGCTGGTTTCTTGATGACCCAGATTCTCAAGTCGATTGGTGCCAAGGTTATTGGTACTGCGGGTGGTGCGGAGAAGTGTGCGCTTGTTAAAAGTCTTGGTGCGGATGTGGTTATTGATTACCGGAGTGAGGGGGGTAAGGATTGGGTTAAGTTGGTGAAGGAGGCTACTGGTGGTCGTGGTGTTGATGTCGTTTATGACTCTGTCGGCAAGGATACGTGGGAGGGCAGCTTGGAGGCTGTTAAGCGCAAGGGTACTATTGTCTGGTTTGGTAATGCCAGTGGTCCTGTGCCTCCTATTCCTCTTCCGTATGTTATTCCCCGTTGGGTTTCACTTGCTCTCTTGGTGTGTGTTGGATCGTCAGACTGACAGGGTTTATGTAGCAAACTCTCTCCCAAGTGTGTCAAGATTGCTCGTCCGACTCTCTTTGGTTATATTGAGACTCGCGAGGAATTTGAACATTACACCAATGAGCTGTTCAGTCTGCTCAAGTCTGGCCAGTTGAAGACTAAGATTCACAAGATCTATCCTCTGGAGGACATTGCTCAGGTTCACAAGGTGAGTACTCAAGCTTTATCCAATACCTGACGGTTTACTAATGCTAGATCAACAGGACCTGGAGGGTCGCAAGACCATGGGTAAGCCTCTTCTGAAGCCTTAGATCAGCTGCAGAGGTGGAAATAAGCATATAGGTCGAAGTTTATGACTACTTTATCGAATACTACATTGCATGAATATCATTTATTGATGGCTTGACTATCTCTCGGCAATGTCAATTGCGCAATGCTAAGGAGGTCTTCTGGCAACTTGGTGTCAAGTAAAGTAAAGGAAATCACGAGTTCCATGCCGTCCCTTTCTTGCTCACTTATTGCCGACCTCCTCTGCCTGTTCTCTAAGCCTGCGACTAATTTCAAAAGCATCCTTAATTGCTTCACCGACACCATCGAGCTTTCCATCTCCCTCTGGATCATCCTCTACCTCCGGCTGCTGCCATCCCTCATCCTGCATCTCCAAATGCTTTTGCTTCTCCTCAACGATTTCCTTAGGAGTCTTCCAGCGCAGCATCAAGTCATTAGCCAGGACCAAATGGAACGACGGATATGCCGAGATAATCTCGTCAAAGTAGTACACTCCGCAATTGATTTCCCAGATGCTAGAAGCGATCCTCAGACCCGGGTAGCAGTGCTGAAGAAGGTTCTCCTCGACGAAAAACACAAAGTCGTACTTTGGCGCCTTGCCCTCCTGCCAAGCCTTGCGCTCTTCGGGACTCATGTCAATTTCCGGCTTGGCAGGGTTGCGGAATGATTTGGCTATAATCTTTCCAACGACAGGCAGGTCTGGAGCGTATTCGTGGTAAAATTCACGAATGTCATTTTCGGGCTGGCTGATGGAGATCACCTCAAAGCCGTCAATGTCCGGGATCTGTTTGGCTGAGAGCTTTCCCTGGGCTGCCAGCACCTGGAACCGAACGGCCTGCTCGTGAGTCCCGGTACCGGCAATCGCAAACTTGACGACCTTGCGGGCAGCGTCAGGGGTGAGATTACCTGGCCAACACTGTGCTGGCATCCAGTCGCAGGTATCTTTGCCGCTTTCAGCATATCTGCCGCCGAAAAGCATCGAACAGCTTTGATTGAAAGTTCCGGGACCTTGCTGGATCAATTGGACATTCTTCCAAAGTTCCACCGAGGCAATATCGCAGATTTGCCGCGCCTTGTGAATGTCGTCCTTGTACTCGGGACACACATCATGATAGAGAAGATATGTGAGGAGGTTTCGGATAGTCCCAGTTGCAACCTTGATACTCTCCTCACTTTCTGGGTTGTAGTGATTGGCGTAGAATGAGCTCCTATAGCATCGTTAGCCAGGCTCCTTGTCCGTGAACTCCTCTGTATTACAAGAAACCCCGTGCCACCGCCTCAAAATTGACCTCCAGCTCCTCCCGGTCCCGTTGGATCATGGTCTGGCTGCGAGCCTGACGTGCTTCGTCATTTGACATTTGCTCTAGCTCCTTGAGGGAAACGCCCGTTCCGTAATTCTGGCTGGCATCTACTCCACCGTACTGTAGGTACTTGAAGAAAATGGCACGTCTGTCATTTTCCATCCGGCGCTTCCATTGGTACCGGGTAAGAGCTTCCTGGATACGCCTAGAATAAGACATTATTAGCATTCCTGGTCTACATATATGATTTAAGCCATGCATTGAATACTTACTGTTCAAATGAGTAGGACCTATGCGGGAGGAGGTCAGTAATTCTGCCAGAGAACAAACGAAGGGAGTAAAACATACGGGCCGTAAAGCTGATGGCTTTCCTCATGCTCTTCTGGTGTCATGGGACCGTCGGCATAATACTCTTCAAATCCTGTTGGCTTTCCGAGTCCACGCTTGCTCTTGGGCTTTCTGCGTTTGGCTTTGGGGCCAGCCGATGCCATGATCTCGCCTGCTCTGATAGCGACCTCATCATCCAGCTTGGTTTGAGGAATGCCGACTTGGGACTTGGATTTGGGGAGTTGGTCATCTGGGGCAGTTTCGATTGTTGTCGGCTTGGATGGCCATGAATGATCTTGGGAGGGTGTATTTTCGGCGTCTGCTGAGATTGACGGCTCCATCGGCTTGCCGGTGCGAATAGGAAGGTCTCCCGAGATGGTAGTGGGTGGGACTGCAGTATCTGGATCCATGATGGAATGTGGTGTTGGATATAAGTTGAGCTAATGAAGAGTTGGGGTTGAATTGAAGGAGAAAAGAGGATGCGTGGATGAGAGTCGTAACGACGTGATGTGAGACAAAGAGATATCAAGTGGTTGAAAGACAAGAGGAAGAGAAAAATTCCCCTAAGAATTGGAAGATTAATAGGCGAAGTGGTAATAGAAAAGAAAGAAAGAACCGGAAGTTACCTATTTAGGAAGTCATAGTCTTGAAATAACCTCCTCTTAATGAATGATAAGGACTAGCCGTTTTGACTTTTAAGGTTTCAGGGCTGAATAAACTCAACTGTCAAGTGACAAGGATAGAGCTATGATATGTGGATATAACTATTCAGATCTAGAATTATAGACTCATAGACATAGACCTCACTTTTCTTTTCTGTTAGCCTTATCTTTGCAGTATGTTCTCAATTGGCCCCCAGTTTTAATTTTGGCTCAACTTTTGTCCAGTTGGCTCCACCCTGGCTTCGTTGGCACCACAGCTGCTGCCACCAGTTGAGCCCCGCCGATCCATGATGTTATTTGCCTTTCCCCCCGGTTCCTTTTTCCCTGCTTTTGTTTTCTTTTTCTACCCCAGCTTTTCCTACCTTTCTCTCCTTTTCGTTCCCGCTGGGAAACAAGCTCCTTACTTTGTCCCTATCACGATCCATTGGAGTCCGTTTGTTCCTTGTTGAGTCATCCGGAATGACATGAGCGACGACCACTTTGCAGTCGCCCCAATCTCCCAGTCAGCAATGCTCTCCTCCAAATCAGATAGCCGGAAGACACAACAGCTAGGCAGCGATGACCTCGTTCCATTCGATCATGCCGCTGCAGGACAGTAAGTCCACCACTCCTGCCTCAAATTCCGCTCCTCCGCCGCTCCTGCGCAGCACCGTTAGGTGACATTGCTGCAAGTGGTCGCGTGGGGCTGTGTTAGGGAGAACACAAGCATATTTGGACCTCGTAAGCTTTGGAATGTCGCTGACTATCATGCGCTGCCTTTTAGCGACGGGGTCCGGTGTACCCTGTCTGGCTCGTTGATCGCCAAACCCTGTACGCGCCAGGAAGTCGAATTCTACGAATCGAGCGCCCTCCACCCAGGTTTCCAAGAGTTTATGCCCATATTTATCGGATCCCTCTCATCAGCCGAACAGCAGCAACCGCTGGCGATTGCTGCCGCCCAACAGTCCGGCGCGGTCTTTCTGCCCGCGCTCGGAGACGCGCCTTCGACGGCCCCCGCCCGGGAGGCATCAACATCACAAGATGGCAATGTGTCTGTGGAAGGAGAGCCTGCCAAAGCGGCAGATTCTGCATGGGTACCATCCGATGGGAAAAAGCTAGATACGGGACTGTCGATTGTGCTCGAGAATGTCGCTTCTGGGTTTCGGCGGCCGAACGTGTTGGACGTGAAGCTCGGCGCGCGACTCTGGGCTGATGACGCGCCACCCGCGAAGCGCAATAAGCTGGATGCAGTGGCCAAAGAAACGACCAGCTCAAGCTTGGGATACCGCATTGCGGGGATGAAAGTGTGGACGGGCAAGAACGGCGATACCGATGAAGGTTCGCTGACCGATCCCTATGCCACCAAGTACGAAGGCAAAGAGGGTGCGAAGGGCGAGGTGATTGAGAAAGACGGCTATCGTCGTTACGATAAATGGTATGGACGGTCTTTCACAGAGGAGACCGTCAAGCAAGGCTTTGAGACCTTTCTCGCCGGCGCCAAGGAGGGGAAGGTTGACCGCTCGAGAATGATTGCTCAGCGACTTGTGGAGGAACTACGAAATGTGCAACAAGTGCTCGAGTCCGAGGAGAGTCGAATGTACTCTGCGAGCGTGTTGATTATCTACGAAGGTGATCCGGAAGCAATGGAGCATGCTTTAGAAGAAGAAAAGAAGATCCCCGACCCGAGGGATCAAGACGGAGAGGAAGAAGATGAAGAGGAAGACGATGAGGATGTCGAGTTTGAAATCACCGAGGGATCTCTTGAGCTAGTCGATGTCCAATTAGAGGGCGGGATCCCTCAAAAAGCTGTCAACATCACCATAGACCCTTCGACGGCACAACTCCCCACTCTCGGCGATGACGACGACGAGGAAGAAGACGCCCCAAAGGTGCATGACCTCCGCTTGATCGACTTTGCCCACGCGACATGGACGCCAGGTGCGGGTCCTGATGAGAATGTTCTGATGGGCATTCGAAGCCTTATCAAAGTCTTCCAGGACTTGGCTGTCTGAGCCGAGAATTTATATAAATACCATCGCTATGATCGTTACGATTTTGAGCCGCATGGTGGTTGCTGGCAACTGCCAAAAGTTGAGTCTTCTTGTCATGGATCTCCAGTTAGGCCAGAGTTATATTTACGATTCAGCCTGAATTGGCCCGTTGAATGCATTTGCAATAATGTCTGTTGTGATCTTGGTTTTACCAAATCCGTAGCAAACTTAATCTCCAGAATGGAAAATATGCTGAACCCTATCTGGCAAAATAGTAGCTCTTCCTTTATCAAAACTGGGAGCCATAGGACTCGATCCGATGGGGCCGTCTTCTTAGAGAATAACACGGCTCTCGATATTCTAAGAGAAGGAGCAGAGTCATGACAACGTAAGGAGACATTTACAACTCATTCAAATTGATTTGTATTCATTCATTTGGAATATCTTTACTTAGTTAATGAAGACATTTGACTGACGATCCCTGTGTGTTGGTCTCTCCATAGTTAACTGCCCAGGTGCAGGTGGCCGCATACAAATGCTGACTCAGCCCCCGAGCACCACCGCCGGCCTGGATCTTTTCAACTTCCCCGACTAAAAGCTTCAGAAAGTCGCCCGCCACCATGTTTCCCACGCGCGCCCTGCTAGGCCGCTCGGTCTGGAAAGGTAAGCTCAGTATCTAACTCCCAGATCTTCTTGGACTTTTAATTGGAGAAAGAACCACCGCTAACATGCACTCACAGGCCCGAATATCGTCCCGTAAGTGAAATCCACCTCGAAGCCCTACACGCCTGTTACGGACCCGAATCTCGCTCGCAGGATGGCAATACAGCGTGAAATGAAATACTGATTGAGTGGATGTTCAGTCTCCCCCTCCCACGAACATTCCCTCCTCCCGCCAACACGCCGCCAATCCGGACGCAGAAGCGCGCCGCGACTATTCTGCCCAACTTTGTTGGTCTGCGCTTTGCGGTGCACAATGGCAAGACATATCAGGAGATTCAGATTACCGAGGAGATGGTTGGTCGGAAGTTGGGTGAATACGTTGCGTATGTGAACACCCCGGTGTCGAGATGAATTGCTGGTCAACTGGGTTGAATGGACGGATGGATGGATGGATGGATGAGTGCTAATGTGTTGGTTTTACGACAGGACTCGCAAGCGTTTCACATACAAGCAGTCTAAGAACAAATAGTCGAAATACGTGATCACCTTCCGATTCGGATAGGGATATGTCTTCCTATTTGTCCTTTCGGTCCGCCCTCGACTCATTCCTCCCTCCGACATCCTTCTCCGGCAGTCGCCTGTCTTCGACCCGCTTTAGCCTGTTATCCTCGGGCTTCGAGACGGATACAAGTGGATAGGTTCTGCAGATACCCTGGAGAGGGGAGGGGGAAATGCACAGTCGTGGAATACCCCTGCTTCTATTGTTGGAAGCAAAATTACCCCGTTTGATTTGGCCCTGTTGCCGTGTACAGATACATCAATGGTTTCCCTTGTGACATTAGCTACGTGTGGGATGGAGTTAGCCATGGAATTTATTCAATATTATTCATAACTGGTCTTTTATAAAACTCGTTGTTCTCCTTCTCATCAACTAGAACTAGAGTACGAATGATAGAATCAAAAATGGGGGAACGGCCATTTATAAGGTTGGCATTCGGTCAACCCCATGCACAGTCTCATAAGAGCATGCGGAATAGAAAGACATGAATGGGAAATTCCATGTTCTAGCAAAAAGACTCCCTCCCAACCCATTTGGATATGTGCCCAGGGTTCCCTTGGGACTGATATTGTACGCCCAGCGCCGAAATCCCACCCCCAAAGTAAAATTATCAACGACCCAAAAAACCAAGGTACCGAGCATGCGAGCTCAACTCCCAATTCCCCATGAAAATTACCGATAGAACTCTCCCCTCTTCACAGTGACCCCATACTCCGAAACAGCCATACCCAGATCTTCCATCGTAAGCACAGTCCGTCCCTGCCCAGAACCACCGGAACCACCACCTCCAAATCCAGGACGCTGAATACCCAGATGGGTATTACCCTTACCACCCTTTGCGCCCTCGCCGCCGGTAACACCGCCAGGCGCGGCACCTGCGCCGGCGGGACCACCCGCCGCGGTGGTCAGACTGCCCATGGGATTGTTGGCGGAGGAACTGTTGGAGGCTCGGATGCGAGCAAACTGGTATGAGTCGGCAGCGATGTCAGAAACAAACTTTTGAGTGGCGAGGGCGAGGAGGCGGGCGAGGTGAGGTGGTGTTTGATTCGGGCCTGTGCCGGGGGGTGGGAGGCCAGCGAGAGTGAGGTAATGCGCTGTGACAGCGTCGGGGATCTGAAAGATTCAGTTAGCTCTTAATTATCATCACTTTTCGGAACTTTATCTGTCTATCAAAGTTGTTTGCGATAATCAGATCTTCCCAAGTAAGCCGAGGCTTTTAGGGCGTATGATTGTGGCGCAAACAGGTAGACGAGATCAAAGATCGAAGAAAGAATCAGGGATCACTCACGATCGGCGCATATTCATCCATTTTACCCAGGAATTCGCGCAAACTGGTCTCTTTCTTGCTGGGCTGGGCCGACTCAGCCAGCTGATCCACCTCCGTCGCAAGTGCTCCGGCGCTCTCCTCGGCTCCCGCGCCTGTTTGATCCGCGCTCATGTCGATATCCTGCTCGATGGATGCGTCCAAATCTGGTTCGGGCTTAATAGCGGTATCTGCCGTTTCGATAGATGACTGTGGTTGCGCAGAGGAAGGAGGGACGGAAGATCGCTGCTGCTCTTGCGAGCCGTTGGCAGGTTGTTGGGAAGGAAGAGGTTCGGTCATGGTGGGCAAGTCATTAGAGGTCCTGCCTTATTATTTCTTTTTTGCCCCGGCTGAGTTCGTCCTTTGGTTGGAAAAGGGAAGGGGCTGCAGGGACTGGGTGTGACGAAAAGGATCCAATCACTGCGATTGGGGGGAATTGGGAGGGGAAGGGCTATGAGTTGGTCAGATATCGAGGGAGCGAGAGTCAAGCTCTTTGGTCCGCCGAGCCAGTCACACGCGGAGGTGCTGTGCACGGACCACTTTTGGCCTGGTCAGGTATGACAATTGTCTTATACAAAATTTCCATAGAGTCTATCTACACTGACAGTTGTTTCAATATTGTTCAATTCAGATAACTATGCTATGTACTCATACAGTTGAACCGAGGGAACTCCCCCGTAATCAGATCGTTGCTTTTGGAACTCAGCCATCCCCATATTTGCAGATTCCATAGTACAAGAAACCCATGACTCCGAGCAAAATGGCGCAGAAGAACATGAAAAAAGCAAAAGCAAAAGGAAAGCCGGCTAAACTCCGTCCATATGAATGTGATGAGGCAAGAATGTGCTAGCAACAGGAGGTAGGTGTCATCGCATCTACTGTCCCAGTTGCATGTGAGGATCAATATGATGATCCGGAGTGGGTGGAGGATGCTGCTGTGGATATTGGCTGCCGTGGACCTCCTGGCTCAGAGTCTGCATCAGATTCTGTTCAGCAGTCTGATCAAACATGGACTGGGCATTCGCATCCGGAGGCAAGCTGGGCGAAGCAGACATCTCGTGGCCTCCAACGGGGGATGCATGAGCCCCAGCGAGCGCCATCATGCCCTTGATGCCCTCAACGTGGGCCTTGTCTTCCTCGCCTTGCTTCTTTTGTCGCTCACGAGCCTCGCGCTTGGCAGCCTGGGCGGGAGCCCGAGTCTTGAGCTCACCAGTGACAAACTTCAGATAGTAAGGCACCTCGATCCCGCTCTTCAAGAAGAAAAGCTTCAGATTGCGGGCCTTATCCTTAAGCTGAACCTGATTGCGGTCCTTCAAGGCTTCACTGATAGTTCCTCCGGGGCCAAACATGGCTAGAATCTGACTCCAATGAGGACCCTTCACGCGGTCCAGACCCGCCATCAAGGCATTCTCTTCCTCAGTGGTCCACGGGCGGCGTTGGCTGGGCAGACCAGTCTTTCGGCTAGTGGGAGAAGATTTGGCAGAGGCCGCCATGCGGGCTCTCTCGTAGAGCACTTGAGTTGGCTGCGATTGGGAATAGTGGGGGATCCCTGGCATGTATCCGTGGTTGCCGGGGGACATTCCATTGGCGCGCGCCTGCATGACCTGGGCGGCATTAGGATTGTACTGCTGGAAGTTGGCCTGCAATGGACTCTGCTGGAATGCCAAGCCTCCAGGAGACTGTTGATATCCTCCAGGCGGGGTGGGGCTATGATGATACTGCTGCTGTTGGGGAGGTTGTCCGGATTGCTGGGCGGCAGTATATCCGTGGAGGTACTGGTTGTCACCCTGGGCAGTATGCTGTGGCTGGGGTTGAGCCTGGGGCGGTTGCTGTTGTTGGGGGGTTGCTGATGCTGCTGTTGCTGGTGGGTTGGCAGCGCAGGAAGCTGTGAGGGGGATGGGCTTGCCTGGGACTGTGGCTGTGGCTGTTGCTGCTGATGCTGCATCTGTGATTGTTGTTGAGAACGCCGAAGACCGTGGCCCTGGAGAGCAATTTGAGCGGCGCGGGCAGCTCGAGCTACCAGATCACCGTGCATGTTGCGGTCAACCGGTACCTCAACCGGCTGGTTGACAGGGAATTGGCCCTGGTGTGTAGTGCTGGGCGTCTCCTGTGCATCACCATTGGAGCTGGATGGTTGACGGCCCTTGATAGGCTTCTTTCCCTGGAAATTCTATTAGTAAGTGTGTTTCTAAGTGGTGAAAATTCCGCAAACGGACCTGCTGAGTATTGATCGCGTCAAAGTTCTTCGCGATGTAAGAGCTCAGATCGCGCAGGAAATCCTCCCAATGGTACTTGTCCGGGAGTGCCTTCAACGCTTCCTCGTTGTTGATGTCATTGAGGAGAATGTCCCGGCGAGAGGTGAGTCGGTTGACAAAATCGGTTTCACTGGGAGCCAGCTGGCGAGTACCGGGGCGTCTAGCAAGCAATCGCTGCTCCATATCATCCGGGAACAGTTCATACAGAAGCTGGGTCCGGGTGCGAGACTTGGTGTTCATGGCAGCGATGAATGCCTGAGTTTTCAGCTCTAGGTACAAAGCCGCCTGGACTTTCAGCAAACGGCCACCTTCCGGAACGAAGACGTCCAAAAAGTGCTCATTCAACTCGGCGAATCCAATTTCCTGGGAGCCGAAGATGCTCGATACAAAGGAGGCCAGGTTGGCCTTGCGAAGGACATCCAGCTGGGACGAATCGGTTACCTCGATATCGGTAGATTGAAGGAAAGAGCGTTTGATGGTGTAGACTCGTTTGGTGTGATCGAACAAGGAGCGCATAGTCGCATACGCCTGGCCGTTCTCAGAATCGGGCTCGGACACCATCGCGGTAAGGTCTTGGTAGGTGTTCTTGGACAAGAACGAAAGGATCTGAGTGGACTAGAAAGACGAGCAAAGTCAGAATATGAAGACAATTGACAGGAGTGAACGCGCACATACCAGATTGTCCAAGATGGGCAAGCTCTGAATCTTCAGGTGGCTGTTGGCCTTCAGATTCAAGAACGCGTAGCCTTTGGCGCCTGGGAAATCTCCAGAGGGGGGTATCTCCTGCGGGCCCATGGCGACAGTCTCCTCCTGTCTTTCTGTATGATCCAGAATGTCTGTAATCAACGAGTTCACATCAGCGTTGGAACTGGAGGTTCCGTCTTGAGCGACAGTAGCAGCAGCCGAGGGATCCGATCCAAGATTCTCGTGAGTACCATTAGTCAGGGGCAGATCATTGGCATTGCCCTCGGCCAAAGCATTGGCCAGTTCTTCTTCGATTTTGTGGCCGGGGCCATGCTGGTCAGAGCCTGGGAATTGGGGGTCCATGGAGATCTCATCGTCGGGGCCGGCGGCGTCGTCCGTCCGGCGCTTTTTCGTAGCCGGAGGCGACGCATTGTCGTCCTGGTCGAGTAGATGGATCGGCTTCTCGTCTATTGCATGTTTAATTCAACCACGTCAATAATCTTTTCAAGAAGTTTGATGGGAATCGCCGAGTCGTCGGCTTTTGTTGCGAAGCTTCCTGCGGGTCGCCGCTGACAACGGCAACAGGACGAACGGCAGCACCGGAATTGCAAAACTCACCAAAGGGACCCTCATCATCAGGGAAAGAGGGGAGAGCCGAGGCCTCGTCAAAAGACGGGCGCTCGTCTCGAGATTCGGCCATCTGGGGCGCAAGAGGGAGGGTCGGGGTAGGCCTGTCAACTTCCAAGAGCAGAAATGAGGGCTTAGGGGTAGGGCGCAAGAATAGGGCTTTGGGGAAGGTGATATTTAGCCCCGGCTGGAGGATTTTTCTGCCGCGAGTTCGGGTCGGTGATTGGTTGGAGATTCACCGACTCCTGACGATGGAAGTATGAACTTATGAGGGGATCACGATCATGGCCTCGAACTTTGCATGAAAGACCGATTGAGAAGAAATTTTGGAATCCAAGGCATTGTTTTTCAGACTTACATATGCAGTGTTTTGGTTCCGGGGCCTATCGAGGTATTTTTGAATACTCTTGGGCGTGGTGGCCTTATTGACATCAACTCGATTGCCTGCGGGGTCCTCAGGCAACGATCCACGCCGACCGTTATTGTTGCCTGAGGCCAGCATGCTATTTCCGCTTTTGGCCGTCTGGGACATCTACACATTATAATGTTAGACGGAATATTCCAGTATTTGACCGGCCACCATGTTACTACTAAATCCATCTTGTCCCATATAGTATGACCTAGACGTGGTAGTAGATTGGTCCATTCCCATCCAGCCCCTCTGTGCCTAGCCATGAGGAGAGAAGATACCGCATCGATATTGAGCGCGTCATCGACGATCAAATCTTTGGAACCTCCCTCTCCTTGCGTGTAACCCCCGAGTTACGCCTCATCTTAAGAGTGACCTTGGAAATCGATCCACCGCGCCATTCAGGTCCAAATTTTCCGAATTAACGACAATTCTCTTGAACGGTGAACCTCCAACCAGAGGAGATACAGTAGAGCTGGTCAGCGTGTACGTCCATTTCAGCGGCTTCTTGGTCTATAACAAGCTAGAGGAAAACGTCCAATAATTCAAACAACGGTAAGTCTGATTGGGGAGATCATGAGCTAGACAGCCGGTTATAAGCTCGTCATATCCATGGATCTCTACAAGAACAAAAGCTGGTCTCCAAGCTTCTTTGCCGGTGGATCCGAGCCCTAACACCTCTTAAGCTTAAACCGGCCGTGATTGACATACAGTTCACAGGCATCGTTCTTCCATAGCATGACAGGTTTCCGAAAGCAGCCATTCCAAAGGTAGATTTCCCTGGCATCCTTGAATCCATTCACCATGCGCCAGGGGTCTGGACCATACATTCACCTGCTCTAGCTTCCGAGTCCCTTTAATAACGAATTACCCCTCCGAATCCTCCGTAACCTGTATTGCTTGCCATATTAGCCTGCTGGTCTTCGAAAGGACTCTATAGGGCGGATTCCAATTGATTATCGCTCGTCGCTCTACGAGTTTCGGTATTTCAAGACGCCACCCATCATGTTCACCTACCTCGCCTTAATCACGCTCTGGCTTCACGCCTCTATACCTGTAACAGCCCAGGAGCATACGGAGAAGGTCTGGGGAGTCTTCGCATACACTGTTCACGGAGATAGTACCCCCAATGTTCTCGCAGAGGCCCACCCCAGGTTCTTATCCGATTATGGAGCTAATCAGCTCGCGGCCGCTGGAGCAGCTTTTCGTGAGCGCTACTTGTCATCCGGGGGAAGCATCAATGTCTCGGAGTCTGCAATTCAGTATCTCTCTGCAACTGTTCTAGACTCGAAAGATGTCGATGTATTCGCAACGACGGATCAATTCGTTATTGCTTCGGCGCAAGCGTTCATGCAGGGTTTATACCCGCCGCTTGGTCAATCTGGCCTGGTCCCTTCGGATACTATGGGCAACGGCTCGTCTGACTTGTCACCACTTGATGGATATCAGTATCCTCAAATTGTTACGCTCGGCAAAGGTGATCCGCAGTCTGTCATGTTGGCTGGGCAAGGGAATTGTCCCATGCATCAAGTGGCTGAATCGGAGTATCGAAATGGGGACTATGCACAGGGAATCACGGAAATAACGGATGCATTCTACGTGCGACTTTGGCATGAAGTTCTATCGGGAGTCTACGCCGAATCATCGGCCAGCTACAGTAATGCGGTTGATATCTCCGACTACATCGAGTACGAGGCGGTGCACAACAGTACCATCCAAACCCAACTTACCGAGGCCGAGATCAGACAGGCCCGTTGGTGGGCTGACCACTATATATACGCTACGAATGGCCAATCTGATTCCAACAGCCAATCCACAATTGGTGCCATCAGCCCCATTGCAGGTCAAACCCTGGCGACCAGTATTCTACGTGCCTTCGACATGAACATCGAGGAATTCGGCACAGGCCAGAAGATGACCCTGCTGTTCGGCAACGACGAGCCCGCGGTAGCCCTAGCGTCCGTGCTTGGCCTGGCGTCGGAACAACGACCCAACTTCTATTCCCGTCCTGTCCGCGGCGCATCGCTAGTCTTCGAGCTGTACAGCTTTGAGGCTGACGAAGTATACCCAACGTATCCAGGCAGTGACAACTTGTTTGTGCGTTTCTTTATGCACAATGGCACAAATGCAACCAATTTCACGCCCTATCCGCTGTTTGGATATGGCCCAAGCCACGAGTACATCGCGTACTCGGAATTCCGGTCCGAAATCGAGACTTTTGCCGTACAGACAACGCAAGAGTGGTGTCTCCGGTGCAACTCGGCGGCTGTCTTCTGCAATGGGGTCTTGGATAACAGCGGATCGGACTCCTCAAAGAAGAAGAAAGGAATTTCTCCCGCCGTGGCTGGTGTAATTGGAGCTGTGGTGACGCTCGCGGTGATTGGATTGCTCGCGGGCCTAGGATTCTTCCTCTGGAGTAAGCGCAAGCGTCAGGGTAACCATAAGCCAAGCCTTGGAGGGTTCAAGGGGACTGGCAAGCTTGCGAGTGATACTGATGTCACGTTCAGAAGCCCTATCTGGGATGCTTCAAAGTCCGCGCACGCGGAGCAGAGCGATGACATCGCCGGCGGTGTTGTCGTCCGCGGACACGAGCGATTGGGAAGCTGGGAGATGGGCCAGCAGAAGAAGGAGATTGAGGATGTTGACACGTCGAGTCAGCGTCACATGTCGACTCTGGAGGACGAAAACGAAGACGAATGGCGTATCCACAGTGGTCTTCAACCCGTTAAGATTCGGGAGAGTGTCTGATATCTCGCTTGTTGCAATTGATTAGGAGAGTAATAGACTTGGTTTCCTCAATTCCACGAGCTTGATAGGATCCCATAGGGTCGACCAGGAGGGCCGTGCCCATAGTCGATGGTCTGTATCGTTCCTGCTGATTTTATGAGCCAATCTTCCTGCCGAACAACGTACCTGGCTGTAACTGGCTGCCGAAGAGCTTCGATTTTCGATTTTTTCATTTCCCATTTCCCGTCGTCCCTCCCTTTCTGTTCTTTCTTCTTCTCTCCCATCGCCCTTGCCATCGACTCCATTCGAAGTCGCCAAGAGCTTTCTTCCTTCTCCCGAGTCTTTCGTCCTTTCATCTCGGTAAGTTCTTCATCACCCGCGCGTCGAAATGAAGTACAACATCCCAACGCTGATGGCTTTTAGCCAGGTGACAGACATAGTCTGTAACTGGACATCCAACGCGAGAGACTGTAAGTTGCTGATACCCCGCCCCCAGACGCGAGAAGAACGAGAAGAAAAGCGCGTCCCTATCCCAGTCATCATACCCCCAGCCATCAACCCCTAGCCACCATGTCTTCATCTTGTCGGCTCTTCACACAGTCATGGTCATGGAGTTGTGCCTTGCAGAGACTGTTCCTGTGTTCTGTACTTGTTCGTTGAACTTGCACAGAGACTGATCATACATCTCCTGGCACAACCCATGTATTCTCACAAGTCCAGATGGCGCATGTATCCGATCCTCGGATGTTGCATGCATCCAGACTGGGGTCCATGCATCAATTTCATCTCAGCTTGGTGTCGTTTCAGATGCTGCCCTTCTAGAGTCACCGACTTCATGGGCCCGACTCATGATTGAAGAAGCCCCGAGAGTTGCTGACACTGTATGTAGGCAATCTGCTTCGTCCTGGTCTGAGCGAGAGACCGGTACTCAAACAGCATTTTACGAACATTGCCTCTGTCAGCTCGGCCTTAGCCCAACAGTCAGGCAAAGTCGGTCGCTCGAAAGTCCGCTCGCACTGTCGACCAAGAATCAATACACATTCACCTTCAAACCCCTCTTTCACCCCAAGAGAAGCGGGATTCGCTCGCTTTTTGCAAGAACATTCTTCACCGACTCACCAGCGAGTCACAGCTGCTGGTCGTATCGTCCCAATGGGTCATCCTGCGACACCATCGCAAATGGTCGCTGAAATGTCTGACGATCAAATGGATCCTTCCGGAAGCGCCAATGATGCTAGCATGAATGGCCAAAGCATGAACACCCACAGCATGAGCAGCCACAGCATGAATGGCCACAACATGAATGGATACAACATGAATGGATACAGCATGAATGGCCCTAGCATGAGTGGACATACCATAAACGGCCATAGCATGAACGGTCACAGCATGAATGGATATGCGATGAATGGACATACCACGAATGGACATGGCATGACAAACCCAGCGCCGGCTGCATCATCATCTGCCCCTTCATCTGGATCTGACTCGGACAGCGATGAGTCTAGCGATGATTCTAACTCCAATAACAACGTCTCTGCCTCCAGTGGCGATGTATCTGCCCCTGCTGCGTCTGAATCTGGCCCCGATGGCGATGGATCTGGCCCTGTTGTAACCCTCGTTCCTCCATCGTCTTTGAACCCCGCTGCGCCTGCTTTCCATCTCATCCCCAATGATCGCATACGTCTCGCATTTCACACCATGACAGCTCGCATGGAACGTGAGGCTCGCACAAACCGTGGACCATCCCCGGATAGAGCAGTGAACATTCCATGGGGCGTCAATGAGATAATGGCTGCCTGGTCTCAGGTTTGGCCACCGTTCACACGAAACGAGTGGGCCAGTAGCGACACTCAAGCATTCGTGCAGATCATAGAGCACGTTATTGTGCAACTCGCTTTATCGCCTCTCCGTGCATCTGACCTACCGGAAGGCGGCTTGTTGCAAGAAAATCCCGTGCTGGCTTTCCGGCCACACCAGCCCATCCCTCTTGCCTTCCTTGGGGCTGAGTATCTGGCTCCCCAACTCATTGCACCCGTTGGCCTGTACTGGTACCTGCTCACTGAGGTCTTCCGTGTGACTAACGAGGGTCAGTTCCAGCACCCGAACCTTTACCGCAACAAACTGAATGTCCTGCTTTGGCTCGTTCACAGTCCGCGAAATGAGGATGAAATGTTCATCTTGGTTCATTTCACAGGGTGGCTCAGGTACCATCGCCGCCTGTTTGACGAGCTGATTGCGTCGGTGGACCGTCGCCGGGCGACGATAATGAATCCTCATCCTTTTCTCACTGCGGAGCGGGTGTATTACGTGGACCAGAGGGCCTATGTGGATGAGGTCATCCGACAGCTCGAGGGGTGGTTGTTGTTCGAACACCATACCCAGACTTGCCCATTCTGCCGCGCAATGATTTGGGTGGGCTTGAATGGTCACGTCGACAAGGACTTACTGCATACTCCAGTCCGACATGATCAGGGTGACGGACCAAGCGACAGATATGACCGTCAAGATGGCCCTGGGGGCGTGTGGCCTGGCAGCAACGAGGCGCCGGGAGATGAGGAGGATCCGGAGTCCGCAGCCTCCGACGGAATGGGTCAGGCGGAGACCCAGACTGCCCAGGGCCCAGCTGAGGATGGTCTGGAGGGCGGTGCCCACGCCGCAAGGCGTTGGGAAGAGGCATGCGGTGGTGGCGGCGGCAAGTCTTCGTCGCAATCGGCAGATGTCGAGGTCGGGCCCAGCAAGGGCGAGCAGGTCGTCCTCCCCCAACCATTGAGGTAAGAATGAGATTAGCTTTCAAAAGGTCTGAAGGGAAAGCTGATGAGGTTTGATAGAGAGTTGAGCGCTGAAGGCGGCGCTCATGTCGTCCTGGAGGAGCCTGTGGGCTTGAAGGTAGTCTTCGACTACTTCGGCAAGTCGGTGGTCATGCCGACCAAGACCACGGCGGCCGTGAGCCGCACTAATGTCCACGCCCACGCCGACAAGGGCAGATTGTCGGATGCCGAGACGATGCTGGCCCGGCTCCGGGGTTGAGTTGAGTGGGGAGATTCGGGGGGATGTCTGGGGGGATTTCAAGAAACGTGTATGATTAGTTGCAGAAGGGGAGAGCAACCCAGATCAGACTGACGAGGAGCCCCCTGATCCCCAATAATGCATGAGTCAATGTTCAGTGTCGTACAATCATTCTCGAAATCGCCTTGGCTAGTACTCCGTACACTGAGAAACCTTGTCCCAGTCCCAACGCCAAGACATCAGCGCCGATCGTTGATGGAACGAGCCGCATTTTCAAACTGATCAAATTGAGGGGCTTAGTAGAATGCGTCGTGTATGTTACAGTAATAATATGTGACTTTAGATTTTTGTTGTACATACGAAGTAGTTATGTAGGCAGTAAGCGTATGAAAAGAAGCCCATTTCGATGGAATCGTACTATGGCGGATCTTAACATAAATACGGCGGTGTGGGTAGATGGTGAATACTTCTAGGTAGTGAGGTGCTAAATAAAAAGTGGCTGAATAGAGCAAAACCTATCTTTCGGAATTTAGATCGCACTAGGGAGCGAACAGCCGGTATTTATGCTTTTATAGATGCACTTAATAATACAGTGTGGACGACCTCCGCCTGTGCAGCTACTTTCAATAGGGTCGAAAATGATCTACCGAAGACGATCTGTAGCTATTCAATTAGTCTAAGTAAAGGGCATGGGAACGACCAATTATAAACTGGATATTCTGACCATAAGCCAATAATATTATCATCAAGATCTGCCATTAGAAGATCTACATACCATACATAAACCAAGTCACTGAGCAGTATCTAACTGTATTTGATCTAAAGTCTCAAGTGCAGAATAATAAATGAATGGAACCTTTTGTGTAACACCACAAGGGACCAAAGTACATCCGTAATTAGCGCAGACTCAATTTCCAATACTATGTAAGTGCCATCACATCACACCATCCCCTACAATGGCCACAGAGAAAGTTCGCCGCGGTAACATAACTTCCGCTACTAAGATAATATGTGGATAATTTGCTGGCCCTGCAGCTGTCTATTGATTAGACACCAAGAGCCAGATTCGGCCCACGAACTAAATACGTAGTCCTTTGTCTTGGAAATCATGCACTCGATTCATCCTGGCGACTATTCTAGGCAGGAGTTAGGAATCTAGTGTTGGTAGCGATATTTCACAATTTAAGTCTGAGGTCGCCCCGTTACAGAGATCTGCTATATAACTTGTATTCGATTCGATTCCATTGCAGGTTCCTGAAATCAACAAAGATTATGTAAGTTCTGTAGATACCGCTGTAATTGCCTTAGGTAGGAGATGTACCTTATTCCAAGGCTTTATTCAACCCCTCGGCCGAATGAGTGATCGGTGCTCAGGCTTTGGCTAGGGCATGAAAGCGTGATTCTGCCCGTGTTAGTCAAGCCGATTTCGAGAACGCCCTTATTATTGGCGTAGATACTCTATAGGCTAGGAAGACCCTGCTTAGAAATGACTAGCGTATACTATACAGTCTATACTATATAGCTGGAAGGAAAGCAAAGTCGCGTCACAGATCGTGCTGATGCGAGGCGGCCTTCGCCGCTTTAACCTATAGAGACCTACATACATATATATCGATTCCACAGGGTTCCCCAGTCGAAAACTCGTGATATATGTAAGAGATACTGCACCATACAGGTTCGTCTTACAGTATCCTCAAAGTATAGAATGCGACCTGCCGAAATGACGCTAGGAAATTGGCTGTGGCGCTAGAGAAAATTGATTAGTTACTTAACTATGTACGTTGTTTTAGTCAAGTCCATTTCGAGAATGACTGTAGGAGTGTGAGAATTAGGAGCGTCAACAATCAATGTAGTCCTGTATCGATAAGTGGCTTGTCCCTGTCACGTGGATCCAATGGGCTTGGCTTCCACAATTGGTCACTAAACGGTTTACCGGCGGAGCCCAACCAAGTCCCGGGAACGAGTGTCGGCACCAATCGGAGTAAACTATGGAGTAGTGAAGGAGGGATTTCAAAGTACCTTGAGAATCCGCCACCGTTCCTGAAAAGTATACGGGGTTTATTGAGGATTGCCTAAGCGATGATACACCCCTGAGCCTGGAGTAGCGTAGTAACTGTATTACCATCTTCTTATTTGAAGAAGGAAATTATTGTAGTAGTTCCAATATTCGGGTCTAGAAACCAGAGAAACGGACAAACCAGATATGCTTTATCACTCTTTTTGAAAGTCCTTTCTATAGGTCTTTCGAATCATCTTTTACAGATACTGTTCAACTAGTGAGCCCTAAGATGATTATGGAAATTTGTCGTGGTTTCAAACTTGTGGAACCCGGCTGTAGAAGATAGATAGCGATACTCTTGGGGTGTACTGTATCGTTGATCTAGCAATTCCCAGGGTTATTGGGTCGAGATTCTCTATACCTTGTGTAGGGAACTTGCAGACTTTGAACCAGTACATTGATGGCTCGCTCATTCTCTTAGACCATCCATATATGGTTCTGGGATTTATACTTGCTATTCACTGAAATGCTTCTCCTCAACAACTTACAATTAATTGCACTTAGTTTAGATAGTTCTTCTGATAGTTGCCATGCGTGGAGTACTACTAAGTTGACCAGAAATGCGATCTATCGACCTATCGGGGCCGGCCTGACTAAGCGTGGCCTCCTCGCCCTTCTCCACTCGCTGGTCCGACTCCCCCCTTCGTCTCCTTCGCTCTTCTCCAACCTGTCCCTGGTCTCTCTTTTCCTGTTGGACTTCGACGATGCAGGTACTTTTATAAGCACTGCTGTCGTGATCTTTGTCTTTCCGTTCTTTCTGGGTGGATAAAGCCCTCGTTTTCTATACCCTGGGATTGCTTGCTAATCACTCCTCATCCCCTCCCCGCGGTTCCCATCCCCCATCGGTATCACTGGGTCTTTGCACTCCCCCGCTACCGCCTTTGCCTTTCGTTGCGCTACTTACTCCCTCCGGAGAGGCCAATTCTTCTCCTGGTAGAAGAGTTCGCTCGTCAATTCGACTTTTCAAATCCCTCCCGCTATGACGCAGCTTTTCGCGTCTAGTCCGTCGGCCATGACAAATACCGAAAAGCGTGGCAATTTCCCCGGCTTGTCGTTGCCGTCCCGAAAACACTCCAACGAGTCGAGCCACCTACCCACGAAGATCAAAAACTTCTTCCGCATCAACAGTTCCAGCAGTCATTCCTCGTCCCATGGCGGGAGCCCGGTTAGTAATGACCGCGAGCGCGAGAAGGACAGCCCTGCGAAGAACGAGAAAACCCCCTTCCGACAATCTCGATTCCTCCCTACAATCGGTCGCAACCGTTCTACAACCGTTGCGAGTGAAGGCAACCCTCTAGATGATGGTGTCTCACCTACCGCTTCCGCCAATCCTTACTTTGCCCACCAAGGCCAGCCCGCATTGCGACACCGAAATGATGGATCCGTCCCCTCATCTCCTCCTGATACCCCCGAGTTGCAGGTCACCGGGGTCTCGGCAGTGGAACAGGCCAATACCGCCAATAAGGAGGAACTGGCGCGCAAACTACGCCGGGTAGCATCTGCCCCCAATGCCCAGGGTCTATTCTCCAACGGCCAGGGTGACGGTCGTCCTCAGACTGGTGAAATGGGCAAGGAGCCTCTGGTGGAGGTTCCTGGCCCCGATGGGTCGATGGGTCTTGCCGGCTCAGTGCCTGAAAAGGTCTCCGCGCTCTCAGTGCCGTCGATTGGGATTGGCAACAATGCCGATAACAATGCTTCATTCCGTCGTACGTATAGCTCCAATTCGATCAAGGTTCGCAACGTGGAAGTTGGTCCGGCAAGTTTCGATAAGATCAAGTTGATTGGCAAGGGTGATGTGGGGAAGGTCTACTTGGTTCGCGAGAAGAAATCAAGTCGTCTTTATGCCATGAAGGGTGAGTTTATCATCTCTGCGGTCCAATTGCAGACTACTAACTTGGCTACTAGTCCTGAGCAAGAAGGAAATGATCAAACGTAACAAGATCAAGCGCGCCTTGGCTGAACAGGAAATTTTGGCTACCAGCAACCACCCATTCATTGTTACCCTGTATCATTCCTTTCAGTCTGAGGACTACCTGTACCTGTGCATGGAGTACTGCAGTGGTGGTGAATTCTTCCGAAGTATGTATTGGCTTTTCGAAATCGTGGTCCATAGGCTCTCGCTAATTGCTCACTATTACAGCATTGCAAACTCGACCTGGGAAATGCATCTCTGAAGATGCTGCACGTTTTTATGCTGCCGAAGTTACTGCGGCCCTGGAGTACCTTCACCTGATGGGCTTCATCTACCGAGACCTCAAGCCAGAAAGTATGTATTCGAGTGAAACAAAAATTTTCCAGGAAAGAGTACTGACCTTTCATCCCCAGATATTCTCCTCCACCAATCTGGTCATATCATGCTTTCGGACTTTGATTTGTCCAAGCAGTCTGGGCCGGGTGGTGCTCCAACCATGATTCCTGGACGGAGTGGTGGTTCCTCAATGGCGGCCCTGCCCACTATTGATACCAAGTCTTGCATTGCCGATTTCCGTACGAACTCATTCGTCGGAACCGAGGAGTACATCGCTCCCGAGGTGATCAAGGGATGTGGTCACACTAGTGCGGTTGATTGGTGGACTCTCGGTATCCTGATCTACGAGATGCTGTACGGAACTACCCCTTTCAAAGGCAAGAACCGCAATGCAACCTTTGCTAGCATTTTGCGAGATGAACCGTCATTCCCCGAGCACTCTGGTGCCCAGCAGACGTCCAACTTGTGCAAGTCTTTGATTCGCAAACTGTTGATCAAGGATGAAACGAAACGTCTCGGAGCTCGCGCAGGCGCCTCGGATGTTAAGACTCATCCCTTCTTCCGGACGACCCAATGGGCGCTCATCCGCCACATGAAGCCGCCAATGATTCCCCATCAGGGTCGTGTGGGTACGGATACTGTGAACTTCCGCAACGTCAAGGAGAGTGCCAGTGTGGATATCGGGGGTACCAACCCTAACAAGATGAAGGGAGTGCCCATGGATTCAGGTCTGGCCACCCCGAACGGCGAATTGAACGATCCTTTCGAGGAGTTCAACAGTGTCACTCTCCACCACGAGGGAGACCACTAAAATGGTGCTCTTCTCTGCTCTGCCCACCTTGTATTTTGTTTTCTCCCTCTTTTCTTCCGTTCCTCTCCCTATATACGAGGGAGGCAGCCGCTTGGGCATCGGCTCGTTGACGACCATGATGCATTGACGACTGCATTTCGATTGTTTTTTTTCTCATCTCTCCACACCCCGGGTGTACGGAGAGATTCAAGGCCACTTGTACCATTTTTGTACGCTTCTGCTTTCCATCCAGGCTATTGCTTTTTGGACTGGCCATCTCATGCTCGCATTTTGCATTCCATCATTCCCTGAAAGCCTTGAATCATTTTCCGGGTTCACCACGCGAGTACTTGACTCTTTTTTGCGCATATCACTCCTTGTGTCACGATTCTATGCGCGCTTCGGCTTCTTGTTTCTCGCTGGTAGTTGCGATATACATTTGGTTGACTTCCACTTCTATGCAGCGGGCGGCGTTCGTGGTTTTTATTTTCAATCTTGTTTCCTTGGGGGCTTGTCGCAGTTTTCTGGGTTCATCGGTTTTTGGCTATTTCATCAAGTATTCCTCTTTTGCAACTTACAAGTGTTTTCTCTCTCATATCTCCTTTGGTCATGGCGCGGTCCTATCTATTAAACAAAGCTTGGTTCAATTTTTGGTCTTGCTATATATACTGTGTATGTTCTGGACTTGCCTACCTTGACAGGAGATGACTTGCACTTTTTTACAGTAAGGCTCAATTATAGATTGAATAATCTTTTTGAGAACTGTAGGTATCCAATTCCAATGTTTTGAAATTCCAAGCCTGTATGATAAATGTGTAGTCCCTGGGTTGTCATCGAGTGGGACACTTCCGCTCCAAAAAAAACACGACCCCCGCCAGAGACAAACAAACCATCGCGTCCAACTCCGCACCTCCCCTCTGCCCTCTCGTCCACTTCACCTCTAACAGCCAATTCATACAAAATGTCCGCCTTCGCAGCCTCCGATGACCCAGATGCCCTCGACTACTCCTACACAGAGGCCGACCACACAACCACCACCCCTCCCATCGGTCCACCAGAACAATCCATGAGCTCCCCCGATCCCTCCCACGGCCGCAGCCGCAGCCGCTCCAACAATCCCCTCCTCGGCGATGACAATCCACTCGTCTCCGAGCTGGAGCAGGAAGTGCTAGATGAATACTCCCGGTTACTGCGGAACGTGAACCAGGTACGTCGAGAGATGCAGCCCCTCCTCTACCGGGCCCCGCGATAAAGCCCTCTCTCTTTCCCACGTCGCGTTTTTAGGACAGAAACTAATTTCCTTGCTATTATTCTAGCTCTCTGAAAAAATTGGCGATCTAGCCGGTTCCCCTGCTTCAATGACACTGGATGGTCTGCGCATGCTGGAAAGGAAGACTGCTACTGTGTGCACATTGCTCAAGGCTAGCGTGTACAGTATTGTGTTGCAGCAGCAGATTTGGAATGAGAGTGAAGAGCAGCAACAGCAACAGCAGCAGCAGGGTGAGCAGGAGCGTCAATTCCAGGATCAGGAGTATCAGCATGGTGGGTCTGATGGTGAGGGGGATGTTACTTTCCAGTGAATGTTTTTGCTGGGATCATAATGATGGGGTTCTCTTTGTTGTTTTTCTGTTATTTGTGTTTTTGCTACATATACCCATGGTTTTTTGGTTTTTATGGACTGGCGTGATACTGGAGATATAAGCTCAGGTTGGAATCGGTGTTAAGAGATAGAAATCCACGTTTCAAGACTTGATCGAAGATGTCTGGCTCAGAGCGTAGAAGTATGTAGTCTAGAGCCTCTCTAAGCGATCGAATCTATACCTACGAAGTCATCATTATTAAGGTAAGGTATTGCTTCGAAGCAATGACAGTTCTCTTGGCCTTCGCTAGATAAAATACATACTGCAGTCACGTCGTCGGGTTGTCCAGTCAGTTGTAAGATTTTCCAGCCCAGTAACCATAGTTGCTCCCTTGATATAAGAATTGTTTGTTTGATCCTTTTAAGAGATGACCAGAAAAAAGTACAGATACAAATACATGCAAAAGACACAAGGAGAAGAGAAAGGAAAAAGACACCCATTATATACACGCCGAGAGAAAATGCACGGCTCGATCAGTTGTGAGAGACACGCAGGTCTAGACCTTTCCAGCGTAGTAGACCTTGCGCACATCGACCATCTTACGGCCACGAGCGCGGGCAACTTCCTCGGGATCCCGCTGGCTCATGAGAGCCTCGTAGGCAGCCTTGACAGTGTTCATCTTGTTGCGGGAGCGGCTAACCCGAGCAGCAAGGTCGTGGATACCGGCGGCACGGCACATTTCGTAGATCAGATACTGGACACGGAGACCGAAGCCTGATATAATGTTAGCAGCTGTTACAACGTGTAGAAAGAGGCGATTTGATCATACCTGGAGGACGGTGCATCAACTGCAACTCCACAGCTCCGACTTTGCCGCTCACATCACCAAAGATGGTGCGGTTCTCATATCGGGGAATTGGCTGCATGTTGCGGATGGCGCGGTACTGGGACTGGGTCTTTGCGTCGGCGGCTTCGTCGGACTTGCCCTCACCAACACCAAGCAGACCGTTACCGTTGCCGGCAATAGACAGACGATATGCACGACGGACCTTGCCCAGACGGGTCTGGTTCACGACCGAGTGGGAAACAAGAGTCTTCAATCGGAAGTCGCGAATTTGATTCGCAGTGTAACCCGTGGCGAGGAGAAGGCTCTTCAGGGCATCTGTCATCTCCTCGGCCTGAAGTGAGCGTTCCTTCTCGCCCTTCTCAGCGGCGGTCTTCCGCTCCTCCACACGGGGTTCGTCAATGGTCTCTCCAGGACCGAAGAGATCGGGGACAAGAGCACTGTGGGGGTTCAGCTCGTTCTCCTCCTTGCCATGTGTCAAACGCAGCTCATCCGTGAACTTGACAAAGTCTGCACCCGTTGCATTATCAGGCATCTCCGCGAAGAAACGGCCAAAGTCCTTCACAAAGTCGTCCTCGCTCTTGAGCTTGAAGTTATAGTCCGAGTTCGACTCGGGGGCGCGCACATGTCGGTCGATACCGGGCTCAATGACGGAGAAGTCATCAACGTAGTTCAATTTCAAAGGGTCGTCACGTTCGTTGCACTGCTCAGCCAGGTCCTTGGGGTCAATGGCAGCCTCGCCGGCCTTGACGGCTTCCAACTGCGCGGCCGAGTACTCCTTGGCCAGGTAGGCCTTCTCCTCCTCCGTGTATGGCTTGAAGTCCTCTGGCTTGGGAACCGACTGACTGGAAGCCTCGGGGGCCTTAATGTTCGGGAACTTGGGTTTCCGGTTCGTCAATTGCGCTGGCGATGGGTGGAATTGGCGACGAGGCACTCGCGTGCTTTGCGTGGCAGCACGGGAGAAGCTGCAGAACAGACATCTCGCTGGCCGGGCAAGACTCATTGTGGAAGGGTGATTGGCTCGTTGACTAGCAACACCACTAGCCACGAGCTCTGTAAAGAAAGGAGCGAGATCAACAAATAATGAGCTCAACGACGCTGGGCGAAGAAACGGGCGGAGGTCAACTTCGGGAGGAATTTCTTTGCTCGCCGGGCGGTCAGCACAGGGCCAATCAGCGACTCTGCAGATGCGTTTCTAATAAATTTCCAGAATTTCGAAGTCTCCAACTTTCGCGAACTCGTCGCTATTTGAACTCTCCAATTTACATGTTTGGAGTGCGGTCGCCAGTTTATCGGTTGTCTCATAGCTGGTCCATCCTGACTCGTCCATTGATTCGAGTCCAGTCTACATCGATTGCCTCTTTCCAGCGCTATTCGAATAGTGCGACTACGCCCACCACAAGCATGCCGGACAATCGAAAGAAGCAGTTTGGGGGGAATTTTCGCAAGAAAGCCAAGTTTGACAACAAGAAGAAGAAGAGCAGTGAACATGATGAAGTCTTGCTAGCGGATGTGGATGCACTTCTCAAGCGCAATCGCCCCGAAGAGGACCAGTCCAACATCGACAATGACACGCCAGCTCCCACTCTTCCCGAGACTTTCACTGAGATCGAATTGACGGTATCCGATCTGTCCTCGACCGGAGATGGTCTTGCGCTCTCCGAGAATAAAGACCATGTCTACGTTGTGCCCTTTACAGTTCCTGGCGACAAGGTGCGCGTGAAAGTCATCCGCCACTGTCCCGATCAGTCCTACACTGTCACCGATTTCCTGAGTGTCATTGAGCCAGGCCCGAAACGAAACGATGCGCTTATCAAGTGCCAATACTTCTCAAAGTGCTCCGGGTGTCAATTGCAGATGATGTCGTATGAGGACCAGCTGGCGCATAAGCGGCGCATTGTGGAGAAGGCCTACGCCAACTTCTCTGGGTTGATCCCGGAATTGGTCCCTTCTATCGGCGAAACATTCCCCTCGCCCATGCAATACGGATATCGCACGAAGCTTACACCACACTTTGCCCAAGGAGGCGCAAAGAAGAAGTCGAATGCCGATCAAGAGGAAGTCAAGGTGCCCCCAATTGGCTTCTGCTACAAGAACCGGAGAACGGATATGGATATCGAGGACTGCCCATTGGGAACCGATATCGTGCGACGCGGTCTCAAGAGTGAGCGCAAACGTGTTGCTGAGAACATTCGCTCTTATAAGAGGGGCGCAACCCTCTTGATGCGGGAATCTACCTCTCGCATTGCCAAGGATGAATCCGGGGCAGAGACTGGTGTCAAAGACGTTAATGGACTGACATCAACCGAGGGTGCCGATACAGGCGACGTGATTCGCACTGATCGCGGCAGTTATATCGAGGAAAAGCGCTGTATCACCGACAACAATGCTACGACAGTCGAGTACGTCGATGACTTCATTTTCAGCAACAAGGCCGGTGCCTTCTTCCAGAACAACAATTCCATTCTCTCCGGATTTACCGAGTTCATCCGTTCTCACGCTCTCCCTCCCAACAATGATCAAGATTCTACCCCCATCAAGTACCTTCTCGACGCCTACTCGGGTTCTGGTCTGTTCACAATCACTCTGTCAACCATCTTCAAGTCCAGTCTCGGTGTTGATGTCGCTGGCGACTCCATCGTCTCTGCTCGCGAAAACGCCAAGGCCAATAATTTGCCCAACACGGGCTTTGCCGCCGCGGATGCCGCTGTCCTGTTCAAGGACGTCCCCTACCCACCTGACCAGACTCTGCTTGTCATTGATCCGCCTCGCAAGGGCTGCTCGGAGGACTTCCTCCAGCAACTCCTTGAATTCAAGCCTCGTCGAGTTGTCTACGTCAGTTGCAATGTCCATACCCAGGCTCGGGATGTGGCCGTCATGGTGCAAGGTGACGAGAAGCAGAACGTGCGATACGAGATTGAGAGCATTCGTGGATTTGATTTCTTCCCGCAGACCGGCCATGTGGAGGGTGTGGCCATCTTGAACCGTACCTCTTTCCCTAAAGGTGACTCCATTTGAAGTCGGAGGATTTGAATATAATGTTTTGTTATCCGGGGTTTTTAGGGTTGGCTGAACTTGATTTTACCTGTCTGATACTGCATACTGCTGCTGGCGTTGAGTCTGAAGGCAAATACCAAAAAGCATTCTTGGGCGAAGGAGATTTTTGCATTTTTATTTCAAATACGCTTCTGATAATATCAAAGAATTCAACAACCACAATCTCCTTCTATCTACTTGGGAACCAGATACAGCAAGCTGAGAACCCAGCGCCATGCCGCCCGCTTTGGATACAAACAGGAAATCGAGAAGCACCAAGGAAAGCAGGTCAAGGAAAAGAAAATGAGAAACTAACGGACTATGAACAAGAGTATCCAGCTACACCGGCTGACAAAGGACACGATAAGAAATAAGTTTGTGATACCCACCCTAGGAGCTTCCGGGTCCACCCAGCAGAGCGAATCTCCGCACGATGCTGGGACCGATCTCGTCGTACTCGGCCTTGGTGTGGCAGTAGCTCCGGAACTCAGGCGTCTGACCCAGCAGGCTGCCTCCGAACCAGGGGCCGTGCCGCTGGCGCTTGTGTGTGACGACCGCGACATCCAAACCACCGCTGCGAGCACCGCCGCTGCGAGCCTCGGAGGCACGAATACGAGCATCCACCAGGTGACGAATATCACGCTGTAGACGACGGCCGAAGTCCTTGTACAGGGTGGAACCACCGGACAACACAATATTCTTGTAGAGGCCTCGTCGCACATCAATGGGGGAGGACTGGATAACACCATCGACGACGTTGGGGAGCGGGGTCAGGAAGTCGGACGAGTAGATTTCGGGATTGAAGAAGATCTCGGGGGCCAGGAAACGCTCGTAGCCAACGTCGATAGAAACGCTGCGGCCATTGGGCGAGGTAACAGTGTGCTTCAGGAAGCGATCGGGCTCGCGGTCGTAGCGCGCGAATTCTTTGACAATATCCGGGCTGACGTAGCAGTACTCCTCCTTGACCTTCTCGGCGGTCTTCAAGCTGCTGTCGGGCTCGCCGCGGTCACGCAACAAGCTTTGCACGAAATATGTGATGTCTCGGCCGGCAATGGGAATACTCTTGATAGAAGATCCAATGACGTAGCCCTCGGCCACGGGAATAACGTGGGTGACACCGTCGCCGGAATCGATGACAGTACCAGTAAGCGATCGGTCAGTGACCTTTGAGGACGTCCATGATGCGGCGAGAGCAAGGACAGCTTGCACGGCAATGTAAAGACCAGCACAGTTGAAGGACTCGAACATGATCTCAGCGGTATTTTCGCGGTTCTCGGGGGGATTGAGTGGCTATATTTCATTTCATGTCAGCGGCTCTGGATTCGTGTGTACAATGTGTCTCGTGTGCGGGGAAGCTGCAATAAACAATTCGTCTTACCGGTTCAGTCAGGAGGAAGTAGTGATCTTCAGGCTCAACACGGAGGTATTTGAAAATCGAGTTTGACCAGAATCGCTCCATGTGGTCCCAGTTCTCAATCTGACCATGGCGGATCGGGTAGTTGACACCATAGCCCGGGCCGTTGCCCGCTGCTAGGGCCTCGTCACCAATAAAGAAGTCAAGATCCTCTGTGCCGCGCTTTGCAGACAAGTGGGAGCTGCCACCACCGCTACCACCCAGGAAGGATGGCTTGTTCGCAACAGCAGGCCGCGAACCGGCGGAGCTCCCAGCGCTCCCAGCACCAGCCTTGGTCGCAATTGCAGTCGGGAAGACGAAGGAGGGTGAATCGTTACCGGCAAATCCTATAGTTGCAGACAGGGGAAATGTCAGTCTACTGCTGCAAGGTCCGGTCCGAATATCATGATAACAGGCTCCCGCGTGAGGCACCTACCAAGCTTGGAGTAACCGGTACCGCTAGAGGAGGGTGTGCGGTCAGCATCAGAGTCAATTCTGGTATATTGGCGCAACTTACTTGTCCATGACAACGGCAGGAGTTTGGGACGCCATGGCGAATACTGGGTCGCAATGCCAATCCGGTCACAAAGAGTGCGTATGCCCGGTGCCTTTTGGAAGGGGGGGGGGGGGAATGAGGTCAACCGTGGCGGAGCTCAGGCAGACAAGGCGGGGAGGAGAGTTATGTAAGCACCAGTCACGTCCCAGATCATGTGCCAGCCAAAATTATATCAAGTTGGATAGTAGTAGAGAGGAACTACATACATTATACAATCTATTTAGAAGTGATGCTCAATTAGATGACGCCATAAGGGGGGAAACACTCCGGTCATCGTGGGTCTGATAGAGTACAAACACTCAATCGCCGCGGCGTTCACTCCAGCGTTGATGCGACGAAAATAGAAGGCGCACTTGGCAGCATCCCAGTGATTCTAATGAGGGAACCTTCCGGCGAATGAAAGTGGGATATGTTTTATTTGCCATACTTACCTACACGTCTGATCAAACCTGATCATCGCAAACCCTCCTTATTTTTATGGGGAGTCTCCCATGACACGCTCTTTATCCTTCCTCTCGCATTCTTACTTTCCATCGCAAACGCAACTCCGTTTCGTCGGATCTCTTCTCTCGCTTCGTCCCCCTCTACCAAGAGTCCTGTGCCCCTTCAGTACTGGTATTCCAGTATTGTAGGGTCATACACACTCACATCACTGCTCAGTCTAGCTCAATCGCTTGTTTTTCGTTACAGTAAGTGTTGAGTCTTGGTTCTCTCGCTCCCCAGCTCGGCATCACCTAACTGGCTCGGACAGGCGATTGACCTCACCTGGCGACAACAGTCTTCCCTAACCTGACAACTAATACAATCTGAGGGCTCAATCGCTCGTCAGATCGTCAAAATGGTTAATGAGAACCTGAAGCAAGGCCTCTATGCCATTTTTGTGCATGCTGGGGCCGGCTACCACTCCCGCGAGAACGAGACTAAGCATCTCGAGGCTTGCCGGCTGTATGTATATCATGATCTTTTCTCTGACAGACTCGAAACTTCACTAATTTGGTACACAGTGCGGCTCAGGCTGGAATAAATGTCTTGCGCAATGGTGGTACCGCCGTTGACGCCGTGGAAATGGCCGTCATGATGCTGGAAGACTCGGTGATCACCAACGCGGGCTACGGCAGCAACCTGAATGCTCAGGGTAGGGTTGAAAGTGATGCATCGATTGTCGACCATTTTGGTCGCAGTGGTGCTTGTGGCGCCGTTCCCTGTAAGTGATTCTTACCCTCCATAACTTCTTCTTGGCCTCGCCTGTGACTGACGCGATGGTATAGCTGTCAAGAATCCGATCATGCTTGCTCGCAAGATCTATGATCAGGCTTACAAGGCCCCTGGATTGTCCCGTGTCCCGCCGAACTTCCTTGCCGGTGACGGAGCTGCTGACTTTGCCTGGATTAACGGGATCGATCTTGTTCCGGACGATGATCTGATTGCGCCTGGTGCAAGAGCCCGTTACGTGTCTTGGTGCAAAGAAATTGCTGAGTGGGAGGCTGAGAACCCCGAGGAAGCTGCAAAGACTCCGTACAGGGATTGGATGCGTCGTCCGGGAACCTCCGTGCCGACTCGCATCACTCAAATGGAAATTGATACCTCGGTTACAGAGGAAGTGCGTGCTGTTCCCAGACTCGGCAGCGGCCTTACCGGTCTTAGCAATCCTTCCCTGCTGAGGAATGGAAAATCTTTGGATGGTCCTCGTTCGATTCCCCAGTCCGACAGCGCGTCGTCGGAGGCTCCCGCATCCAGTGAGGCTGCTTCTACTGGCCAGGATCAATCGGCGCCTGCTGGAACCTCTGATGGGTCTGGCGCGAAGAAAGACTCGATCTCTGACACTGTTGGCGTCATTGCAGTTGACATGTTCGGCAACATCGCTGCAGGATCCTCGTCCGGGGGTATCGGTATGAAGCATCGAGGCCGAGTGGGACCCGCGGCGTTGATCGGTATCGGCACTCATGTCATGCCAGTCGATCCAACCGATCCTGAAGAAACTACCGTGGCTGCTGTCACTTCCGGGACTGGCGAGCACATTGCCACCACATTCGCTGCCAGTACCTGCTGCGCCCGCGTCTGCTACAGCCAGCGAATGGGTCAAGCCGGTTGCTTTGAAAATGTGAGCGAAGAGGAGGCCATCAGCGCAATGGTCAAGAATGAATTCGCACGTAAGTAACCCCTTCCTCGTTTATCCATATCTTTATATCTCGATTGATGTTGATTGAGACACTCCCAGGTCATCCCGCTGTCGTACACAGCGAGTTTCCAGGCTCGGTTGGAATCTTGTGTGTCAAGAAGAATGAAGACGGCATTGTTTTCCACTTTGCTCATAACACCGAGTCCTTTGTGAGTTGCGATAAGAGTCCCCTCCCTTGAATTACCAGCTAACCTGCCATCTCAGGCTGTCGGATCCATGTCCAGTTACGACTCTGCGCCGTCTTGCCTCATGTCTCGCAGCGCTCGCCGTGGCGCCGTTGCTCAGGGAGGAGTCAAGTACACCCCTCGCGAGTAGGTTGCATCAGTTCCACTTTCCTTTTCGTTGTGGCTACTGATGTTATCTCCTTGTTTTAATCAGACCCACGGACAACCCCAACGATAAGGACAAGAAGAGAAAGCGGAAGTGAACAAAGTCCTTGGGTGCTTGAATGGTCAGCCTTGCTGGCACACCTGATGGATCGCCATTGCAAAGGACTCTGGTGCATGAACCCGCTGCATCCAACGTGTTTTCTTTGATTTTGGCCCCTCGGCATTTCCGGCGTTTTTCTCTGCATAGTGACCAAGGTTGATCCTTTTGTCTTGGTGGCATCGTCTTTGTTTGCCCTGCACATATCTTGGTTGCTTTCGCTTTGTTTCCCTTTCCCAAGCAGTGAATACCCCGGCCGGCTAGTGTGTTTTTGTATCAAGTTTATGGGCCTTGCGCATACTTCATTGGGGCATTACTTCGATTTGCTTTGATTTCCTAGATAACCTAGAAAATTCACAATCATATGCCCAGTACTATGTTTTCTTTCGATCATATTGTAGTGTATATTTGACTTCTCGAGTCCAGCGAGAAGGGGCAGCTACATAAATTATTTTCTTCTTTAGATTCTAGGTAGATCCAAATTCCATTATCCAGGTCCAGGAGTCGGCGTCCCCGTGGACATGGGTGTCCCAACCGTCGAAGTCCCATTAGCCCGCTTCTTCTTTTTCTTCTTTCTCGGGATGAGAGCCGGTTTGGACCCAAAATCACCCACGTCAAGGGGAGTGCCGCAGGTCAAACAGTCATTTCCGGGTGGTGGCTCGCAGAAGATACTGAGGCAGATGGAGCAGACGTAACCGATATCCACCACACGCCGGTGACAGAAGCAAGCCGCGCGGAAATCCACATCTACCCGTGTCGGAAGAACTAGGTGTCTTCGCGAGCGCTGATCTGGCAAAAACGCCATCATCAGATACTGCAGCAGACCGCGCGGCTCGGAGAGAGCCATATACACGCCCTTAGTGGCGTCGCAGGCCTGTTGCAGGAAGACCGCATCACCGCTGAGCTTACACACATCGATGGGGATGTGTAATCGCTGGCAGGCGAATATACTGTTCATGACGGGGATGTATTGGTGCGCCGAGTCGCTGGATCCGCTCACCGAGACGATCAGGATTCGACTTTGGAGGCGTTCGTCGTCGTTCGAGGCGGAGTATCGGCCGGGTCCGGTCCCTGCTGCTCCTGCTCCTGCGCTTGCGCCTCCGCTGCCGCCATCACCGGCGGCATCTTCTAAGTCTGCGCCGCCGTGTTCCTCGGCCCAGGCGATGGTTCGCCGGTTGATGTTGCTCAGTGCTAATGTCAGAGCACCGGCGAGCATGGTTGAAGTGTTGCCGCGGAGGTCATCGCTGCTTGTCGAGTCCATGAGCTCTTTCAGTTTCCTCGTGACTTGCTCCTCTACCAAGCGGAATGGTCGGTATTTGTTTGTCTGTGGTGCTGCTACGCTATCTCCATTCATTGAGACGTCTCCGTCTGGATCCGCGGATTCTTGTGAGATGGCATCGTTATGGACAGGATATAGCCATATTGCTTTTGTAGTGTGGGAAGCAACTACTGCGACTTCGTTGGCGTAGTTACAGGCGAGGTGGGCGTTGATGAAAACGAGAATGTTCGCAACGGCTTTTGAAAGTGGCAGGGAACCTTCAAGCGCTGCCCAGGCGTGTGGGTTTGTATCAAGGACGACAGTGAGAAGAGAGGGAGCGAGGTCTGAAAGCTTCGTTAGAGATGAGTTTGGACGAAAGCCTAGCAAAGGGCAGGGTACAGACCTGTCGCGCCGAGCTCGTAATGCTCGGAGGCATCGACGGAATTCATGGTGCTAGGAGGGTCAATGAGGGTGGAGGTTCATGATGAGGTAGGCAAGCCCTTGGAGGATTCAATGAGAGTCCAAGAGAGTAAAGAATGAGTGTATCTGCAGCTTGATGAACCCTCCCCGGGGATCTTGGATAGTGGACTATTGGGAGTGAAGCAGCTCGGCGACAAAGATCCAGCTCCGCGATAAGACTCGTCACGGGGTGATAAGGCCGATCGCAGGCTAGAAACCGGGGTATCGGACATCGGATTCTTGATTGCTTTGTTTTTCATGTAGTCTCACCGGGACTAAAATAGTTTATTCAAAGATTTGATAAGCTGGATTGAATAATGAGTCTTGTTATGACTAGATACTAGACTATACAATAAATGTCCTCGGGGGTTGTACCTTATTTCTCTCGGGTAGGTGGCCGAAAGCTGTCGGAGTATATATCTCAACTACCTAAGTTAGTGCATGGATCTAAGCTGACAACCTTATCTTTCACCAACGCCGATGATGACATCCGGACACCCTAGGTAGGCGCCGCTGATGTGTCACACATGTCTCATCAGCTCTCCCTCCACTTTACTCCATTTTCCGAGCCTTTAGGATCTTCCGGAGTGGGCGACGATGATCTCGGGAACCCACCGTGGCTATGATAGCGTATACTCAGTATGCAGGAGACTGGATTTAATCATTCAAGAACAGCGCTTCGCTACAAGCTTCCTCGAATCACGATTTGAATCAATGCAGAGATATGTCCCACATGATCGGGCCTCGGGGTTTGTACCGCGTTTAGTTCATCCTGTTGGGATGTAGAATACCCCCCTTTTTTTGGCACGTCCGTTGAGCTATTGATAGTCCGGTAACTTTGATACAGGACAAAAGGATCGTACTAGAAGAGACAAGGGGAGCAGTAGGATTGACCGTGCCAAAACCGAGTCTCTGCAGGAGTCAGATTTCAGGGTTATCAGCAACGTGATGGTATTCGTCGCTGTGGTTGGTCTTATCAGGGAGGATTGATAATGAGCATTCGTGGCCGAAATGGCGTTACAGGGTCATAAATACACTGATACAGCTGCACAGACATGGACAGACATGGATAGCCCATGTTTAATCGGTTTAGTATGCTTGCCCCGCGGACAGTAGTGGGGGGAACTGTACGCCGGTAATCTAATGGTTTTGGGAATACCGTATAGTCCGTCTACAACCCCCATCTTGTATACTGTTCTGCAATCTGCACTGCTCAGCCAAGCAGGCCAAGAGTAAATAATTCATTGATCGCCGAGAGAGCCTCCACGAATCCTCTGTATTGCTTTTCCCTCTTTCTTTCTCCTCATCCAGTTGACGTGGCTCTTAACACTCTCACCTGTTTTTGGACGGTAGTTGTTGCGCCGTGGATCTGATAAATCCGCGGTCTCCCACTTATCTCCTTCCCTCCGCCTCCTCCGCCTACCCGCCGTCCACCCCCTCCACTCCGAAAAAGAAAAAAAAGCTGCCGTCGCCAGCTGTCAATTCTCCCCCCTCTACGCGTTCGCTCGAATATATCCCATCGAACACTCGGAATATTACACTTGCCCTGCAGCGTGCTGCTCTCCAGCATCCCTGCAATGGTCCAAGCAACGGGCGAAGAGCGCGCTGTTCACCTGGCACGGGAGGCTGTCGAGCTGTTTGACGCTGGCCACCGCGAGGTATGTATTACTCTTGTCGACAACATGCGGGTTTCGAAAGCATCTAATGGGTATGAATCTATTCTAGGCTGCATCTCGCAATCTTAGAGAAGCGCTCTCTATTACGAAGGACAATCCCAATGTGAAAGCCGCCTTTCTCAAAATCCAGCAAGAAGAAGAAAGTGGCCACCCGCTCCTTGACCTCTGCCGCCGTTTCACAGCCCGCAAGGACGAGACTGCCGGAAAGGAAGCCGCCGCATATCTCCGCACAGATAGTTTGAAGCCTCCAGAGAATGTTGCATTGGAGTCGTTGAAATTACTGTTGGACCAGCGGGCGCATACCCTCTCAGAGCTCCAGGATGAAATTATCTCGGGGCTCGTCCGTCAAAACGTCAGCGTGCGCCAGTACTTTTCCAATCAGCTCCAGGTGTCCGTGACTACTTTCTTTGACGAGATCTACGACCGTGGCGATGGTGCAGCGGTCTGCCTAGACACGGTGGTTTTGGACCCCAATGTCTGGCCGTCTGAGGATATGCGTTCACACTGCGAGAGTGAGCTCTTCCAGCTTTTCTTGGCTAAATTGATGGAATCTGGCCATGATTTGGATGGCCGCTCTTTGAAGGGTATTACTCGACTTCTTGCGGTGGACGCCGACCGCCTGCAACATTTGGTCGATGACGAAGGATTCGAGGTCATTTTGACATCGCTCGACAATCGACTCCCGCTTGAGTTGCGTAGCCAAGCTACTTTGGCGACCGCAAAATACCTAGAGGTGGCGAAAGAAACTGGCGAGAGGCAATTCTCGGCTTTGGTTACCGCGATGATTGGCAAGGGCCGTTTGAACGACCTGATCATTGCGTTCTCTGCGGTGGCTGCTGTCTTCCCAGTCGTTCCCACTGCAGCGGCTGGTGTCTTCTTGTCCGACGATTTCATGCAAGCATTGAAGCCGTTGGCGACCCGAGACGCGCCGCGCAAGAAGGTGGAAGTCTCTATACTAGAGCTGCTTAATGCAGCATGCATTAACCGCCCCTGCCGGGAAGCGGTTACCAAAAACTTCTCCGAATGGCTTTCACATACCCTGACGAACGGCAGTGATGAAGGCTCAGAGCTGGCAGCGGTGGTTTTGGCGAAGATTCGTACTTCCGAAGCCACCCAGTCCTCTGCCAAAAACGGTGAGCTCCAGGAGGAACACACGGGAGTCACTGATTTGGTGCAACGTTTCAAGGGACTAATGTCTGAACCCAAGGTTGAAAATATTGCCCATGCGATTGAGGGCTTGGCCTACTCATCCGTGCAGCCTTCTGTCAAGGAGCAGCTTGCGAAGGACCCTACGTTTATGCGCGGTTTGATTAGCGTTTTGAAGCAACATGCAACCGACTCCTCCGTGCTCTACGGCGGCTTGATGATCATCCTGAACCTCATCAAATTCCTTCCAAGACTTTCCGACGAACAAAAGAAGATGTCGCAGCTGAAGAATTACGCGGACGCTTCTACCGGCAAGGCGCAGGCTCCCACCGACCCCCGGGACGAAGACGATGCAGTCCTGGAACGCTGTGGTATTGTTATTGATGCGGGTGCCATGGCTCTCTTGGTGGAAGGTGGCCGAGTTGCTTTGCCTTCAACCAACGACCTCACCGCTAAGATACTGTTGGCCCTGGCACGGCGGCCGAAATCACGAGGCACTCTGGCTCAACAAGGTGCCATCAAACTTCTACTGGGTCTTTCCATTCCCAAGCAAGGCCAATCTGCTGTTCACTCCGAGACAACTCACAATGCGTCGCATGCGCTGGCTCGAATTCTGATTTCCGTCGACCCTTCACATGTCTTTCCGTCGACTGGATTCCCTCAGGCGACCTCTCCCGTACGCCCTTTGCTTTCTCTCCTAGCGTCACCCGAGGGTGCTACAATCTCTGTGGACCAACCCCGCGACCTCCTGCCTATATTTGAAAGCTTGCTTGCCCTCACCAACCTTGCCTCCTATCCCCGTGATGACTCCCCCGCTGAATTGATTGTGCGAGAAGGTTGGTCGGTCATCGAAGAACTCCTCTTGTCCAGTAACTCTCGTGTGCAGCGGGCTGCCTGCGAGCTGGTCTGTAACCTGATGACCTGTGAATCCGGCATCATCAAATTCGCTGATGCCACCAAGCGGGCCTCGCAGCGACTTCACATTATACTTGCGCTCACCGACGCGGACGACTCGGCCACTCGGCGAGCAGCGGGTGGCGCGATTGCCATGCTGACCGAGTATGATGCGGCAGTGGCGGCAGTGTTGGAGCGACCGCACGGGGTGGAGTTGTTGCTGGGCCTGTGCCAGGAAGATGACGATGATCTGGTTCACCGGGGTGTTGTCTGTGTGTACAACCTCACCACGGCGTCTGGTGACATGGGAGCTCGTGCGAGAGCTGCCGTTCAAACTGCCGGGGGCATCGATGTCTTAACCACGTGCCTCAAGAAAACGTCCAACTCGGCGGTGTTACAGACCGGCGTGGAGGCATTGAAGCCGCTTGTGCAACCACAGTCGTGACGAGTTGCTCTTCCATGACTGTACCTTCTTTCTCACCGGGGCTCTCTGGCAGAGCGTTGAAAGGGCCAGCATTTTTACATTGACTATTCGCATACCGGGGAATTCGGAACCAGGATCTCGGGCTAAGGGAAAGCCTAGTGGAGTTAGTCGTTTCTTTGCTTTTTTTCGCTTCTGCTTTTTGAGGGGTTCGATACCCGCTGTTCTGATCACGAGCACCATTACCGAGTTTAGCGATCGGTTTTTCTCCTCTTCGTTTGTTTTCTTATACTCTTACCGTTTCTCTTTCTTATTTATGATTTCTTCTTTCGCTTCCGGGGTTTTCCTGGATTAGGGGGCGTTAATTGTGTTTCAGGACGGCACACACTTGTCTTTATCTATCACGGCAGCTATAGAGGGTCGCTAGAATACATTCTGGTTTTACGAACTATAAAGTGGGAACTATGTTTAAAGATCCGAAGTAGATTGATTATCTTTACTGTGCTAGATCTGCTGACGTGCAGAATCTTCCTATTGCATCATTGTATGTGGCGGGGGTGCGTATGCAGGGGGGTTAATGTACAGTAGTTAGTTACTGGTGAGAGTATGTGTAGTAGTATATACGAGTCTGGAGTTCTTGGGCTGAAGTATACAGCAATGGTCCGTCCATTGGGCAGGAATGGGTGTCTTTGCCCCCTTTAAGTCGGCTCTTCCTTCCACCCCTCCATCTTTTCTTTTCCTACTCTATCATCCGTTTGCTCTTACCATACTTCCCAACCGAATCACGGATAGAAGACCTTGCGCCAGAGGGTTGAAATAGGCGTGCGCTATTGGTCCCAACGCTCCCGTTGCAGCTGCGAGCTCCGGGGGTTGGGCTGGGAATGTGAACTATACTCTATAGCCCGCTCGAGTGAGAGCGTGTGGCGCACCACCCCCCGATTCCTTTGAGGGGGTCACATGAGAGGGTTGATAGGGTTTCGAGCCTTTGGCTTTACCCTCGGTCGAGTGCATATTTTGACTCATTTTTGAACGGATATCCAGGGATCCTCCGTCATCTTGGCAGTGGTTGATTTGTCTAGCGACTCTAACTGACTATCAAGGGAACTATGTGCTTGACCATGTACAAATTACATGGTACGGAGCGCTTCTCCGTACAGTGTGGGCGATGATCGGCTGGTCACGGGGCCATCGGGAAGCCACTGCGGATCCCCGTGAGGTATGGGAGGGAGACACGGAAGTATATGGAAAAGAAGAAATAGGAAAAAGAATCTGTTACTTCCAATAATAGTACGATAGTATGTGGATATGATCATTACTCTACGAAGTACGGAATAATCATCTACCTAAGGAGAAGATACCTTACAGTCAGGTATGCATGTCCAGTGTATAAAAAGCAGCTTGGAACCATGGAGCTCGACAAATCAACGCCGCTGCAGCACGCACACCTCCCGCCCGTTCGACCTCGTGCCTCTTGTCTACGTCCCTTACTGATTGCACACCTTTTAATCTCCCTCGAACATCGGAACCACTTTTTTACTCTCCGCTCGACTTGCCTCCTCTGCCTCTTCGATCCCCCCTCGTGGTCCTCAGCGTTGCTCCCTCTGGCATTTCAGAATTTTCACTACGGAGCCCTCGACTCAGCCCTTTGGCTCCTTTGTTCCTCACCGCTCCACTGACTAGCCCCCACTTGAACCAGGTACAGTCGGTCTTTGAGCTTCCCATATCTACACCTCTTTGATTCCCTTTCTACCCTCTTTCTCACCACTCACCAATTCCCCCTTCTCTCTCTTCGTCATGGCGCTCTCATCCGTCTTCGCCTGTGTGCGTCCACTCACCTGATCCCTCCCTGCGACTCTCAGGTTGAAAATAAAAGTCGACAAAAAGGAAATACATCCCATCGACGTCGGTGTGGGGACATTTTGTGCCTCGGTGGCAAAATAATCTCCGGGCGGTGGAATTGAGACCACGAAATACGATTCCATCAGATTTTGAAGACTTGGAAGAAGCAATTCGCTGGGACACGATCAGTCCGGCGTCGCCAAGATGAAGTTTGGCCGCAATTTGCCCCAATTCACCGTGCCCGAATGGAGCGCTTCGTACATCAAGTATAAGGCGTTGAAGAAACTGATTAAGTCTGCGGCCGAGAAAGTTAAGGCAGGCCAAGAAGCTGATCTGGCTGGTAAGCGCCATACTCTTATCGCCGTGAACCATCCCCGGCGGAAATTACTCCCACGAGCACCTTTCTAACCAGGATCCCGCGGTTTCGGTTTTTCCGTGTAATAGGTTTCTTCTATTCCCTTGACCGAAATGTCGAGGATGTCGATTACTTCTACAACAAGAAATATGCCGAATATGCCCGCCGTTTGAAGCTGTTGGAGGATCGATATGGCTATTCGATGGAGGGTCACCATCCGTTGGAACCCGAGGACCGTCATGATCTCCGCGAGGCTCTCCTAGACCTGCGCTATCACCTGCGACGCTTACAATGGTACGGAGAGGTCAATCGCCGTGGCTTCGTCAAGATCACCAAGAAATTGGATAAAAAGGTCGGGGCACAGGCCCAGAAGCGCTACTTGGAGACGAAGGTGGACCCGGCTCCGTTTGCCTCCAATGCGCGGGCGGTCAAGGCTCAGGAGCGCATCAATTCATGGATGGCGGTGATCACGGAACAGTCCAAGGTGGAAGAGAAACTGGCAGACGACGCCAGCTCGACCCACTCTTCTCTGCCGCTCAAACGCGGACGTGCTCGGCCCTACCTAAACCTGCCCACGAGTGTTGTTACGGCAGTGGATGATGCTTTGCGCAAGGATGACATTCACGTTTTGCTGGAACTCCTCGAAACATTGAAGGCTGCCGCGGATGAGGCAGGTGAAGGGCTCTTCCCTAAAATCCTCAAGACCCTTATCCAACGAGCTATCCTCCACCGTGCTCGGCTGTGTCTGACTTCGCTTTTGCCGAAGGTCGACAACCTTGAAGAGGACGATGACATCAACCGCCGCAATTGCTTGCACCGCCTGGTCATCTCAATTGGCCGGGTACAATCGACCAGCGACTCCGAGTCTGCGGCGTCTCTAGTCCTAGATTTCCCTCCAGAGACAACCCGCTATATCACTCCGGCGGCACCTCCAACTTTGCAACCTCCGCGGTCTGTGATCAAGGAGGCAAATCTACCTCAGCAGCTCGGCCGTGATGATCCGGCGGTGTCCCTCTTGCAACACTTGCTAGATGGACTGCGTCCCAATCAGCGTGAAGCGTTGATGGCCAAGGATCTCTCTGGCCGCACGCCATTGCACTATGCTGCTCAGTATGGGTTCAAGGATGTCTGTGAAGTGATCATTGAGCATCTCAAGGCATGGGAAATGTTTGATGTGAGCGAGGGCATCGACGGCGCCATATGGCAAGACAATGATGGCTGGGCTCCGCTGCATTTGAGTGTGGTCGGCGGACACCCAAAAACTACGCGTTGCCTTCTGGACGCTGAGAATTGGAAGGAAACCCACAGCCCTGGTGACCGAGTCCGAAAACAGGTTTCTAAGTCCTCGGCTGTGCTCGCCCTGGCCACGAAGGCCAACTTTGTGGATATTGTTCAGCTGTTGGTGGATGCTGGTGTAGATATCAACTACCAGGACGAACAGGGCGAGACTGCACTGCACGTTGCAGCCCGCTTTGGTCATGATGAATGTGCCCGAATTCTCCTGCAAGGCACTGAGGATCAAAAGGCGAATACGGAACTGGCTGAGAACACCTATGCGTGGACTCCCCTTTTTATTGCCTGTGTTGACGGCACTTTGAGCGTGGCTAAGCTGCTCATTGAGGCTGGTGCTGATCTGGAGCGCTTCGACTCTTCTGGCTGGACTGCCAAGGAGCATGCAGCCCTGCGTGGCCATCTAGCTATCGCTCGGTGTCTTGCTGAAGTCAGCCCCGGACCTCCCGCTACCGAGCCTGAACCAATTCCTGTTCCCATCGACAGGGTTTCCCCATCGTCTTCGTCGCCGCCGGGCCAGTCATCCTTGATTGATCGGCGGTCAAATACCCCTGGGCCTACATCCGGGAATTATGTCCGTAACTCGGAACCTATCAAGACCTTTGGACATCGGTACCTTACCGATGAGACCATGGTTTTAGTCAGTCTTGGAACTATGGACATGAGAAAGCCCTTGGAAACGGTTAATCTGGATCGTATCCCCATGGAGAATGCGCACGCGACACAGCTTGACACGGCTCTGTCTATGGTGGTCACTGCCAGCGGTGCTTACGGCGAGCCTGAAGTCATTGATCTGCCGGTGCAAGATAATATCTCGACCGAGCCGATCGTGTTCCACACGACCGATGTGAGCAAGGTCCGCCTTCTGTTTGACTTGGTGCCTACCTACTCCGGATCTAAGGATCAGGTTGTCGGCCGAGGTGTTGCGCTTCTCTCTAGCATCAAGCAGGAAGTGGGGTCTCATCGCATCAACCTCAAGGGTGATTCTACCATTCCTATTGTTGCTGCCAATACCTTGGAGGTGATTGGCTCGGTCACCTTTAACTTCCTCATTATTACCCCTTTCAAGCACCCAAACATGTCGATTACCGGCAACCAGACCTATTGGCGATCCATGAGCTCCACAATGGTTATCGGTCACCGTGGTCTGGGCAAGAACATGGCCAGCCGTAGGTCCCTGCAGCTGGGTGAAAACACTGTTCAGTCGTTTATCGCCGCGGCAAACTTGGGTGCTTCTTATGTGGAGTTTGACGTTCAACTTACTAAGGACCATGTCCCGGTCATTTACCATGACTTCCTGGTCAGCGAGACGGGTATTGACGCTCCTGTGCATACTCTCACGCTCGACCAGTTCTTGGAACTGGGTAAAGGCCGACACAAGAATATGCTACCCCAGACTGTGGACGTTCACGGCGCGACAACCCTCGGTCCTCGCCAACGGTCCATGTCTGTCGGTGGCTCCGAGTACGATCCGGCCGAACTGACCGAGAGAATCAAGCACACCCGCGATTATAAGAAGAAGGGTTTCAAGGGCAACACTCGCGGCGAGCACATCCAAGCGCCATTCGCGACATTGGAGGAATTGTTTAAGAAGGTCCCCAAGCCTGTGGGCTTCAACATTGAACTGAGTGAGTATTCGCAGCTACCCAAAGAACAGCTACATTTCGACGATCTAACCAAGATCGCCAGAGTACCCTATGCTCCATGAGAGCGAGGAGGAGGAGATGGACACGTATGCCGTTGAATTGAACTCGTTTGTCGACACCATCCTCACAAAGGTCTACGACCTGGGCCGGGGCCGCGACGTGCTCTTCTCCAGCTTCAACCCCGATATCTGCCTCCTGCTTTCCTTTAAGCAGCCTTCCATCCCGGTTCTCTTCCTGACTGACGCTGGCGCCTCTCCCGTCGGCGATATCCGCGCAAGCAGTCTGCAGGAAGCCATTCGATTTGCGTCGCGGTGGCATTTGCTTGGCATCGTCACCCAGGCGGAGCCACTGGTTCTGTGCCCACGTCTTGTGCGTATCGTCAAGGAATCCGGTCTCGTCTGCGTATCTTACGGTACGCTCAACAACGAGGGCGCAAACGTGGATGTAAGTTTCTACCCGGCCTTTGACCCCCTGCAGTACCTATCTAACTCCTCACAGTACCAAGTCGCAGAAGGCATCGACGCGGTCATCGTTGACTCCGTCCTTGGCATTACCAACGGCCTCATCCAGCGTCAGAACAAGGGCGAACGTACACCCGGTCCTTCACCGATCCCGGCACCTGTCGCTGACAAGGCCGCCATCCGCGTGCCGGTCCTCGAGCAGGTGAAGCCTAACAACGCCATCCCGAACCCGGATCCGGGTGCCAACGTGTAGATGTGGGCAATTACCTACTTCTTGTATTGATTTTGTTAGGTGGTCATCGTGTGAACCCGACTGGGATTGGGATTTGGAGGCTTGCGCTCTTTTTGTTTCTCCTACTTAAGACTCTCTCATCCATATTCTTTTTTTCTCAACTGACTTGATATGTCGGTGCTACATACATTAATGCATTCCATGTTTATAGTTGCATTGGGCTTGTAGCCTGCTTCAACAGCAAATATCAACCTGTGCTTTTCCGATGATACTCTGCTATGCAGACAGTAGTGTTCTTTCAAGTGAAGACCCGTGTTTGTTTGCAGATTAATTGTATGACTACAGGCAGGTCGATGGGGTCACAGGTCATCCCATCCAACAGTGAGTTGCCAGTTGACCGCCTTAACGACCGCCCCATTCACAAGCCCTAATTGCCCCTACATCTACGCTCTCTAATTAGTCTGATTTGAAATTATTGCAGAGAGAAATCAGCCGAATCTTGCCATTGAATTTCGGTGTTAACCTGTCTCACTATGATGAGGCTGTCAACGGGCTATATCTACGACCCTCTCAGTAGGAATAGGAAAGAGACTGGCAAAGCTACAAGCGAGCGCGTATAAACTGAGTACTAAGAAGCCTGGAATCAGAGATATACCTGTTTTTTGAGGCAATGAGATAGGACTTAAGTAGTCAAGTAGTTGCAAACTGTCACTTCCAGAATTTTCCGGGTTCTCTGCCTACTAGGTCTGGTTCTTAGCCCGTTAGCCATGCATCGCGGTAGAGCGTACAGAAAAGAGAAACGATCTAATGAGATATGCCTGCTTTCTGTCGTTTGATAGGTTTGTTAACCTTTCGACTGATACGATGATCATGAGCCTTTCTCGTTGTTTGAATTCATGGAGCTCCATTGTAGCAGGTATTCAATTTGTTTCTAATGAACACTGCTCTAATTAGACTCCGTGTGCTTAGCCTAATTATATCATGTAGGGGTTTACTAATGAGAAAGGCTAGATATAGAGCTAAGTACTTGGTGAGAATTGATCATTAGCAGATAAGCGATGTCGAGATGATGTCGTAGGCTGTGATTATGAGAAGTTTTTCGATTATACTAGACGTATCGTATTCCCCATTTGTATACACGAAATCGTTTTATTATTCCACGTTTAGGTAGACAATTCCACACGTTGATAGCGTTACACTTTGATGGTAAACGGACCTGGCATCTCCCTTTTCTTGACAACTTCTTCTATCCTTCTCTCGTCCCATCTTCTCCCAACAACCTTCTATTCATCCTTCATCCGATCTTCCCACTCACCTTCGATCTCTCCATTCATCAACATACTTCCCTGATTTTCGACAGCAAGGCAAGATGAGTGGTGTTTGGCTTCCTATGGAGCTATGCTTCAAAATAATCAAAAATGTGTATGATCCAAGCACCCTCTTCACCTTTCGACTGGCCAATCGTGCGTGGAACTCGGCGGCCTCCAAGCAGTTCGAACACATTGCCTACCTCTCTCTGGATCCGAAGACGCAGGAAAATCTCAGGATGAGACTGATCACAAAAGAGACCAAAGATTCCACAAAGGGAATCGTCATCTGTGTCCCTGAAAGTGACTATTTTGTCGTAAGTGTCTCATTTTCGAGCTTTTCGTCCCATCTTATACCGAAATCATCACTTAAACTCATTTCAAAATAAATCTAGTTGAGAACTTCCGCTGGCAGCACCAAAAAGACCTCCAAAACCAACAATAACCTGTCGGTATTGAGAGATCTGGTTGAGAACAAGGTCCCTGAGCTCAATAACCTCGTCCACATGGCGGTGCACTTCCGCCCACCTCCGAAAGCATTGGGCCTTTACGAGGCCGATACCTGGTTCAAGGGTCTGACAATCTACCACATGATGGTAGACCTGTTAAGGCTCTGTGTATGCTTCAGATTGGACTGGAGGAGCTCTCGCTCCATTGCCTGCCTATTCAGGCCAAGGTTCCGACAGTCGGCGAGTGTGGGACCCAGCAGCACCTCAACATACCCGGTGGATCTTGGAGATGATGAAGGCGAAGTCGTTGAAGCTTGCCTATGTGGGGCCGGGTGTATGGCCACCAACCGATGTAAGTGATTGAAACTCACCTCCTATTGCAGTGACCTTACATCCTTTGACGGGATCTCCAAGTGGTTTTCTACGTGGTGAACTCTGATGAAAGCTAACCTCACATTTCCACAGGAGTCCCAGTGGCGAGACTTCGTCCCCCCGAACTTCTGGATCCTGCCAGCCATGTTTACCCTCCGCCACCTTTCACTTACCTGCTGGGGATTCTACATGGTGGAGTGGACCAGATTCGGAAACTATGTGGGCAGAGACCGAATTTTGCTCCCAAACTTGGAAAGCCTCGAACTGGGCGGTTGCACCTTCATCAGCGACCTCGAGCTGAACTGGATCCTGGCTCACAAGAATACCCTTCGCTCCCGCAAATTCGACGACTGTGCCATAATCTACTGCTTGCAGATGGGTCTTGACAACGATTTCGCCAACCTATCCCGTGCTACTCGGGTTGAGACCAAGGGTAATATGAGACTGCAGTTATTTCACTCTCAATGGCAGGAGTGGTTCCACAAGTTCCGCGCTGGCTTGCCGCACTTGAATGACTTCCAGTTTGGAAGTAGTCGGATCCATGCACCCGGAGAACAAGGTCCACCCGCTGAGTTCTTCCAGTCGGAGAGAGTGAAGGGTCCTCGCTTCGAGCAAAAGCCTAAGTTCCTGATGGGCCTTTTCCCGGACGGATATCTGGAAATGAAGCAGAATCTGATCATAGCTCCGTGGATCGTGGACCCGGTTGCGAGGACATACAAGAAACGACCCACATGCGACAAGGCTGATGTGGTTGCTCTTCGCTTGCTGCTTAAGCATACTAAGCAGCTCGGCGTGGAGGAGAATGCTACCTCTGATCATGCCGGGTATGTTCAGAATTTGCTGGGTCATATCAAGCCACTGGAGCAGGCTTAGGCTCTGCCAGGTGGAAATTGCATGACAAATGATAGAGTATGATTCAAGCCTGTGGTTGACCGGCGGACTCTGGGGAATTTATCTACTGGATGTTGTGTTAATAGCCAGTCTCTTGATGATGTTGTACAAATATTTGCTTTTTCTTGAAAATCCCACTATCTTCTCTTTCACTAGGTGACCCAACACTCTACTTAGAGAAATATAGACTTCTCATAACGTAGAGTTTTCCATAGGTCCTGATTTAGTTACAAATTCCTAACATAGAGCCCCGAAGACATTGACTGCCTGGCCTTTGGCTATCTCATGCAAGAATATGCAAGAAACAAGCTCTACTACTTCTGCACTCCCAATCACCATCTAGAACTCCGTCCTCTGAGCATATGCAGCAACACGCTGAGCCAGAAGCGATTGACGCTCTGCAGAGGTCACATATCGCGTTTCACTTGGAAGAACAGAGGCGAGCTCAGAGAGAGAAACAACCTGAACTTCAACAGCAGGCGAGCTGGTAGATGATGTAGACGACGAAGAAGAAGTCGGCAGACCTTGCCAGCGAACCATAAATGTGCCTTCGTGAAGACCAGTCGTATTAATCCAGTTATAAACGCCGGGGTCCGCCAGAGAAACCACGAATGTATAAGTACCGTTGGTATTTGCGACAGCTTGTTTACTGTTCAAACTGACTTGACTGGCCGGATTCGATGTGATGATCCATGGGTTCGTCAGAGGGAAGACAAAGTAATCTGCATCACCCTGCGTGACGGTCGCAACCAGGGCCTCATCATCGGCTAGATCGAAATGACCAAAGGAGCTCGCCTGTGTAGTCAATGTACCGAGAGTACTCGATTGACTAGGGGCTGAGAGGGTGTTGACTTTGTTGAGGGATGTCTTGATTCCCAATGCGCCCACGCCATAGTCCACGATGGATTCCTGCAAGTTCCAAGTTGCCGCAAGAATGATCTCCGCTTCGGTGATAGCAGATTGACCCGAGGTATCGTCGACAAGGTCCACAGTAAGATTGTCGGGCTTCTCAGTCCCCCAGTTTCCCAGATTGTTGCGGATCAGAAGCTGTTTTGCTGACGAGGTGGACTGAATATGATTTGCTTGGTTGTCTGCCGAGGTACTATTCACAGTGATGGTATAAGAGCCATCACTGTTAACCACCAAGTCGCTGCCCGATAGATGCGCCACGGTATTTTGAGAGTTCGGATCGCTAATCAGCGAGAATGTCACGTCAGTCGGGCCGGCTCCGTGTCGATAACCGGTGATGATATAGCTGAGGCTGCTGTCGATAGGAATAGTTCGATAGATGCAGTCCGGGTTGTCGTAAGAGTATCGTCCGCCAGGAACATCCAGGCCAAACCAATTGCGTGGACCGGCATCGACCCAGTAGACTTTGGGGAAGTATGAGTCGCTGTTCACAGCCTTTTGGATGGAGCTGAAGGCCAATTCTTCAATGGCTGCATCCAGACTGGACGAGGCTTCCTCGCTAATGGGAAGACCATGGGCTGTCTTGTAGGCGGCCTTTGCCTCGGCCGTCAACACGGGGAAGCTCTTGTCCTGGCTGATCTTGATTGCGAGAGCATCGAGTGTCTGCTGATCAGAGGTCGCTAGTGGATTGCCGTCGACTGCCGCATTCGCGGTCATTGCCAGAACAGCGATCACAGGGGCGAGGAGACCCCGGCGTTGATGGCGAGAGAAGAAGACCATGACGAGAAACGGGGAATAAAGAATGAAGGAAAACTGACTGGTTGACAAAGAACAACCTTTTGCATGTTATTCATAGCTGATTCAATGGGCCTTTAAATATTACATTTTAGAAGTGGTGCTTTTGCCTGTCATAATGGCGCGAGACGATCGCGGCATCACATGGCGGGCCTAGAGAGCATTGTGCCTGAGTACAACTGCCCATGTCAATCACAATTCAGAATCATAAAGGATGATCACTACTGTTTTGAGGAATTAGATCTGGAAATGGCGTCAGCAAGTGGCGGTCTTATGAGACGATCTACTCTAAGCGAGCACGCGGAAGTTGATTAACAACGTTTCTCATTGGTTCGAAAATAGCCGAAGAACATTAGCTGCATACAACATTTCTGGCATGACCATGAGTAACTAATTCCACATAGATTTTTCGACGTGCTGGATATTGAACCATCAAACCTGTATCTCTCCTGTCATCCCGCGATGCATCTCTGTGTTGAACGGGATCATTGGCGTGATCCTTCTCAGCGTTCAATCACTCCCATCAGGTCGACCACCTTGGCCGCGTGGTTGGAAGTATCATTCTCCTGAACAACCTGGCCGGTAACCGCGAGGAGCTGGCGAAGGGCACTAATGTCAGCTTCGTCGGCAACGGGCCTGTCTTCAAATTTGCGGAGCTTCGAAATCAGCCGAAGGACCCAGGGGTATTCGTTGGCGCCATCCTTCATTTCAAGGTATCGATCAGGAAAAAGGCCGAAGAGAAAGTCGGTGGTATGGCCGAATCTCGGGCCCACGAGAGTCTCGGATTTGAACTTTGGGCCCCGTTCACCTGGTGCGCGGACGCGGCTGCTGCCAAAGTCGAACTGCTGAAGATGCGGCAGACCACGCGCCAGTCTCTGGAACCAAGCTGCCCACAATAACTTGTAAAGCTGGTAAACTCGACCTCCTTCAACCCCGAGATTGATGTCATCCAGAAGGTAATCAGCCCTGCTGCCCGGGGCCAGCTCCATCGAGTAGATAATGGCACAGTCGTCGAATTTCAATGAGCGCAACGTATCACTATGGCTGAGAATCCATTCAAGGGTTTGACTGCTTGTGAATCCACAGCTGCGAAGCTCCAAACTTTGTAAATGGGGAAGATGAAGTTCGTCTGCCAGATACCCTGGAGAATTCTTCATGTAAAATCCCCAATTAGAAAGCGATAGATGGCGAAGTGTGTCTTTGACAGTGCAGATCAAGAGGTGATTTGCTCTGGCCGAGGGTGCTCTAGCACGCTATAAGCCTCGTATGTCAGTAAGCTTGGCAATGAAATATATTCTCAAGAGGATCTTGAACTGTTACTTACATCATCGTTCCGGTATGGCCAAATCTTTGGTGCAAGATAGCTCATTCGTAGCGATTTCAAACCGAATTCACGCATGATTCTTCCCACGGGTAGCCACTGATCAACATTCGCCGGACTAATCCAGAAAGGCAGTGAGAACTCAATGGGAATGTTCAGAAGCGACAGCTCACTGAGACCATGGAACCCATCAAGCCCCATGATAAGTTTCGAAAAAACGTCTTTGAGATGGTAGCCCTTCATGGCAGGCGAACAAAGGCAGGTGGTATCAAAAATCGGAGGAGGACGGAAGTGGATAGCGAGGTGAGTCAAATTTGGGAAAAAGAAATCCCTACCCTCAAAGATGCGCATGTTGACGACCATGGTCATGAGAAGCTGTAGTCGGTTTGATCCAGACAAGCCCTCCAGGTCTTGGGATAATGGGTCTGAGATGCTGAAGCACTGGATGGGCCTTATGTCAGGGATTATGTTTTATAGTGTACTGAATGAGACTTGGAGCACTTACATTCCAAATAGGCCGATCAGGGAGATTCCAGATGAGGGTTCGAACTTGGTTTCTGAAGTTCTCCTCCAACTTGGTCGCATCGTAGAAGCGAACGAGGTTCTTGTTCAACAGATCGACGTACAGTGGCTTTCTGACAGAGTAGTCCACTGCATCGCGCCAGACTTTGTTCACCAGACGGAGGGCCAGCAAGGATTCAATATCGAAGATGAAGGATAGTATCATCCCCAGAATCTCCGGAGGGAGAAACGGAGGCATGATGACGGCTGGTATGGTGAATGTAGTGTTTACGAAGCGAAAGATTTGATCGAAGGGGAAGATGAAACGCAAGAAGAGGAAGGGAACAGCTCTGATATTTTGAAGGAGAAAAGGAAAGCGGCAATAGGGATAGCAAAGCCGTAATGGGAATAGCTTCGAATTTGTCAAAAAGGGCAGGTAGCTTTAGACCGCCTGGTATAGCTTATCGATATAGGTTCAATTGGGTTATCGATATGAGCATGAAGGGCTTATCGATATAGAGCAGCTAGGACTACCAAAGGCGCCGTGGAGCCGAGTTACCGAGCGGCAAAGAGGATCGATAGTGCATATTCCGGGCACTGTAGGCAAACAGATCAAAAAGTATTCATGACTGCATATCATGACTGGGTATCACATCCAGTCATACTGGAGACCGGTTTATGTAGCGCATATAACATGACAAAGGTGGCCCTAACATGGACCTGAACAATAGAACGCAAAAGGATAGCCAATGTCCCCGCCAGTCCGAAATAAGTAGCATACTTAGAGTTTATCGTCCTTGATTGCTATGACAAGTTTGAACGGACTGGCTTGTCGAAGAAGTTACAGGGGCAATGATGTCCTCATGCTGAATAGAGAGATACCGAGAAGGAGAAGGCTCGGTCCCGAGAGAAATGCAAGAAGAGCTAGTAGACACTCAAGAGTTGATAATTGATTGAAAGCTGGGAGATACTTAACTAGCAATTAGAACTCGAGCAGTGTGATAAAAAAAACATAAAGCCCCAATTCCTAGACAATGAAAATATCCATACAGAAAGCAGATTGGTCATGCCGTGATTACCATATCGACGTTGCCTTTTCAGTGACAATCGTACATTTTGGAAGCTTTAGTCACTCCAAACATTGTAGTTCTCAGAGCAGTCTGCGTTCAAATCGGAAGACCAATCAGAGTCCCAGTCGGCAGAACTGGATGTCCCTTCAGAACTTAATGAACCCTTCGACGACTGGGAATTGTCCGCTTTCACGCGTCCCATCAGCTTTCGAACATATCCAGCATGATCTGAGTTGGCGTCTTCATGCACTGACTGCCCAATCTTCTGCAGCAGCCCACGTAGGGCTTCCCGATCCGAATCGTCTAAAAGTAGTTTCTGTCGCTTCGGACCCTCCTGTTCTGCTCTTCCAAGTACCCAAGAGCAACTTCCAAGTACCCAAGAGCAACACGGACACCCAGCCTTGTCAGCCATTTTCAGATAGCGATCTGGAAAAAGGCCGAACAGGAACTGCGAGGGCCTGTTGAGCTCTGGCCCATGATGCTCTTCTGACATGAACGAAGGCCCTTCTTCACCGGGGGCACGGACCCGGCTGCTGCCAATCTCAAAATGCTTGAGTTGTGGCAATTGTAGTTGCATCTTGTCAAAGTACTGGGACCACCGAGTGTTGTATAAGCGGACTTTGCCCCTGGGTCCATCATTGACGATGCGTAAGGATGCATGGCATTGATCAGCCCTAACAACACCTTGAGGTGAAGTCCACATAATAAGACGATGCACGATTGCACAGTCATGTAACTTCAAATGGGTCAAGGTTCTGCCATGTCTGACTATCCAATCCAGCTGGGTGTCCGCCGTGAACCCACAGCCACGCAGCTCAAGGGATTCCAGGGACGGAAGAAACATCGATTGTCCCCAGCCCGCTCCTGCAATGTTCTTGATGTAGAATCCCCAGCAAGTGATAGAGAGCTTCCGTAGAGTTCGCATTGTAGGCATCACCCAAAACCATGGTGGATCACCGACTGGCTGATCTGCTGGGGTCTAACCATTTTTCTTTTCATCAGCTACCTAGCTTGCGGGGTGGGAGGAGATACGTTTTTTGCTTACCCAGTTCCAAACAGTTGAGCTCACTAAACCTATCTTCAAATTCTTCAACCGAAGCTTTGTTATCGCCCTCTTGTGGGATTCCATGTCCCAATCTGGAGACCCGGGGAAGCGAACTTGGGTTGGCAGGCATTGAATGGAGAGCTCATTTAAGCTGTCACCTTTTTTGGCCTTGCCCAATTTCTTGAGAGCTTTGATTAAGCCCTCGATTGCCTCTTGGAGGATCGCCTCTTTCTGAACGAACACTTGAGGAATGGGTTTGTAGACTCTTGGCGGGCGAAGGTGCAGGGTCAGACGATCTAGGTTAGGAAACTGCCCAACCTTCGCTCTAAAGAAGAAGGAGAGACGTTCGAAGTGTTTGAATCTTACATCAACCGTCATTCGACCACTACCCGGCAAATTATCCTGCGAGCTCTTAGCGGCCGATCTCTGGGTCGTGGATCCGGGGTTGGTACGACGATTGTTACTTACATGCCAGTAGTCACCATCGGGGTGGTTCACGACTATCCCGCGTACCAGATCACGAGCCCGAAGGTCCTTGCGCCTCTTCTCAATGATGTCTTGGTTGCGCTTGTTCATATCCAGGAGCAAGAACATGCGATCCTGCTGCCAGGCTGCAGCTACCGACCAATCTTTATTGACAGATTGTAGCGATACCAGCGTCGAAGGGTCGTAAATGTGAGAGACGATGACCATGAGGATCTCTGGGGGAAGCCAGGCCATCTTGCAGACGTTGTGAGATGAAGCGACGAGAGCCCAAAGCGGCTTGGGTCATTCCAGATGATGGGAGGCTGCAAGGTGGGTGAATGGTGGATGTAGGGAAGTAGAACAGGAAAGTGGAAAACAGCGAGAGCAAGAACACAACTGAAGAGGGAAATCGAGGATATTCACGAAAGAGGAAAACACAAACAGGTGAGCAAGGAGTCACGCCCGTTTCGGCAGGTACGCGACAGTCACTGTATATCTCACGAGACATCCCCATAAGAACTGTTGGAAGATCATAAAACCCAAGCAAAAAGAGTCTCTCAAGGATCAAATAACATGAATGGTACGTATAAAACCTCAAATTTCAGGAACAGAAAATCATACAAGACGATTGATCATGAATGTATAGAGGAGTTTACTGGAGCTTTCAGTCTCGGCCTCAGGAATCAAGGATCTCCCCGTCAAGGTCTCACCATGCCTTAGGCATCATTTGCACTTGCATAGGAGTGAAAGGCAAGATTCCGCCATAGGACTCAAATTGCAATAGTACAGCAACGAACGGGCCGAGGAAGAATTTCACATCATGGAGCATGCCTCGTATACCTTGGAGATTGCGTGGGAAGGTAGGTGAATGGGTATTAGGCAGTGTTATGACAAGCCAAGAGTATCACTATGAACTAACAAAGTATCCTCAATTAAAATATCCACATATTCTCTCTATTCGCTTTCAGCAAGTGCCTGTCTTCTGCTAACGCTCTTAGGATCGAAATACGGTCGTTCACCAAGTCCAACTACACGGTGACCGGTTCGAGAGCCAATCTCTTCGTAGTCCCAAGTTGCCGCATGATAGACAGAGCGATTATCCCAAATAGCTATTTTCATAATTAGTATGTTGATTTGAAGCTGGAAAATCTATATTGTTGGGATTCTCACCAAGATCATTCGGATTCTGCCAACGAAGGCGTGCTTGCAGATCGTGATTCTCGACAATCAGATTCACGAACCATTTCAGCAAGTGAGCACTCTCCTCTTCAGTCACCCCGTTTACCTTTTGGACGTGCGATCCAACAGCGAATATGCTCTTCCAACCCGTGACTGGGTTGGTGCGGACTACAGGGTGTTCCGCGCGTAGCTCCTCTCCGACATTTTCGGGAGCACCGCGTGGGCCAAGGTGAATGGTGAAGTTGTTGTTCTTAGCAACTTCATTGAAGCGAGGCTGGGCATATGTCGCAGTAAGACCTTCTAGGAATTTCTGATAAGGCTCTGACAGGCGGTCGTATACTTCATAGCCAGAAGCCCAGAGTGTGTCTATCATGGGCCGTTGGTGAGATAAATCTGATCGAAGCAAA